CGAGGCGACGGGGTAGACAGCAGAGATCGAGGCGACGGGGTAGACAGCAGAGATCGAGGCGATGGGGTAGACAGCAGATGCAGAGGAGGAGGACTTGGCGGGTGTCTCGTATGAGGGGACCTCCTCCTTCTCGACAGGGTACTCGGCGGCAGGGGTAGAGGGCTTAGGAGCAACGGGAGACTCAGAAGCGATGCCGGCAGTTGGGTACGCAGGGACATCAGTGGCAGGGTGGATGGGCTTGGTGATGGTGACGGTGAGGGTCTTGGAGACGTAAACGCTCGTGGTCCAGTCCTCGGGGTAGTCGGCCTCAGGCTTGTCGGAAGGCTTAGTGCAAGCGTTGCAGACCGTCTTGGTGATGACGGTGGTCTTGGTGGTCAGGCCAGTGGAGCAGGTGTCGAGGTAAGTTGTGGTGACGACAGTGGTGGTGCTCTCAGCAGGCTTGGTGACTGTAGGGATAGCACTGCTGTTGACATCGTACTCAGAAGCAGACGAAGCCTCAGGAGTCTTGACTGAATCAGCTGGGTAAGGAGTCGGGTACACTACAAGGTACTCAGTAGTCTTGGGAGAGGCAGCGGGGGCCGAGGAAGAGTAGAACTCGTACTCGAAGGTTGAGGAAGAAGCCTCAGGGGTCTTCGTGGAGACAGTCGGGTAGCTGGACGCCTTGCTGGAGACCTCAGGAATCTTGGAGGACTCAGAGTAGGACTTGTATTCAGAAGCGGAAGACGAAGCCTCAGGGGTCTCGTAGGACTCGGTGGAGGTGGTGCAAGGTGTTGAGGAAGCATCGGATGGGTAGACGGAAGAGTACTCAGATGCAGCGCTGGTGATCTCGGGGACGGAGCTGGTCTCATAGTAGCTGGAAGAAGCAGCAGACGAGTACTCAGAGGCGGTGCTGGTGACTTCTGGGGCAGAGCTGGTCTCGTAAACAGAAGAGTACTCGGATACGGAGCTAGTGGCCTCAGGGACGGAGCTAGTCTCGTAAACCGAAGAGTGCTCAGATGCGGAGCTGGTCACCTCGACGGAGCTGGTCTCGTACACGGACGAGTGCTCAGAGGTGGAGCTGGTAACGTAGGCAGAGGAGCTAGACTGGACAGTGGAGGAGACGTCCTCAGGGTAGACGGTGCTGGGCTCAGCAGTGGAGCTGGCGCTGTAGTCAGACGGAACAACAGTCGAGAAATAGTCAGAGTAGCTCAGGCTGGACTCAACGTGAGGAATCGAAGCAGTAGAGAAGTATTCGGAGTAGTGGATGCTGGACTCGATGGCAGCCGAGCTGCTAGGGTAGATGGTGCTGGAGGTGACCACAGGGGTGCTGGAAGACTTGACAGTGGAGCTGAGAATAACCGAAGAGCTCTTGCTCGAGGGAGGCACGGAGCTGCTCGACACGATGGGTGTGCTAGACTTGGAAGGAACCACAGAGCTGGCTTTGGACGATACCGGGGTGCTAGTCTCTGAGCTGATGGGAGTGCTTGTCTTAGTTGTGATGGGAGTACTAGTTGGGGAAATGATGGTGCTGGACCTGGTGGAGGAGACGAGGGTGGAGGATGATCGGATAGTAGACGAAACTACGGGGTGGTAGTTATCCTCGAATGTACCATCAAGACTGTACTTGATCCACTGGGAGTACGGCTGGTCGAACATGGTGTTGTTTTGAGAGACGGTAGCCTCCCAGAGCATGACACCACCGAACAGCGGTTTGTTCTTGAGGTCCTTGATCAAGTAGTTCGCGGCGGTGGGCGGGAGGTAGTGGTTTGGGTTTGCGCCGTTGGTGCCAGCAGATAGTCCCAGGAAGAGCTTGACGTTCGGGTTTGCTGAACGCTTCTGTAGCTTCTCTGTCCAGGTATTCCAGGTGAAGCCAGTGTCAGTGCCCGCCCGGAGGTCCGTGAAGCCCCTCATAGCAGAGCACGCATCGGTGTTGTAGAACTGTACGAATACGTAGTCGAAGGGAGCCTCCTCGATGGCTTTGTCGAGGTGGGCATCGGGAACAACGCACTGGGGAGCCGAGGATATCAACATGCCTGGGCTCCTCTGCTTGATATACTTGACGAGGTCGCCGTAGAACTGGAACTTCTGGTCGCCAACAGCGGTCGAAGACTCGATGTCGAGATCGAAACCATCCACTGCAACGTCATCGCCGAAAGGACGGGGCATGGTGGAGCTCTCCATCTTGGGACCGAAGGCTTCTACCAGAACCTTTGCGAGCCACTGTGCGGCGAGCTGGTCGGCAAGGTAGTAGTCTGAAGGTGTCAGTGAATTTGATATTACTCGGACAGAGTGTCAGCTCACCGGTAGGATATCCACCACCGAGGGACAGCAGGACTTTCTTGCCATTCTGCTTGCAAGTCTTGATACCTCGAGTGATAGTGTCGCAGCTTCCAAGAAAGTTGCTAGGTGTCCCGTCAGGGTTCGGGAAGGTGAAGCCTCCACAGGCGTTGCCTGAGTGCTGTTAGTTGAATCGTGGCCGACATGACAGTGATCCACTTACCAAAGTTTAAGTCGGGGTACTTGTTGCTGTCCTTCGGAAAACCATTGACGAACGCGATGTTGACAATGTCAACACTGGGGTCCTGACAGACAACACTGAGTTCCCTCTGGTAAGCACCCTGACCCCAGTAGATAGCAACTTGACTCTGAGCGGACACTGCCGAGGCGAACAGGCCTGCGGCGACCGCCGCGATGGTAGAGATGGTGGGACGCATGATTACAAAATTAGTCGAATATCGGTTCTACTTTTCGTAATGAAGGGACGGCCAAAGGCCAGTAAAGATCGTAATGAGCGTGCTCAATGAAAGGACGCAAGCAAAGGCTCGCTATTATTGAAGATACTCGAAAGAGTGACTGAACGACAACGACGACTAAGAGTAGGAGAAGTCGAACGTAAAAAGAAAGGGGAGATTACGATGTTTTAGTCTTCAGGCAGCTGCTGTACCCGCATGACGCTCCAGCGGCGCACCCACACCGTTTGCCAGCATGAGGCCATCCTACACTTCACGACGGCAGAAGCACCCTGACCCACCGTATAGAGCCAGGCCTGACATTGTATGCGGGAACAGAGACGTTAGACATTGCTCATTGGCGGAAAGCTCACAGATCTAGCTCAATATGGGTTGACGGGATCATGTAGCGTCTAGAACAATGCATGCACACGATGCGCTATGCTTTGTGATGATTTACCGCGCCGCAGATCTCGTGGCGTCTTTCCAAAGCTGCTTGACCGGTTCCTGAGCCGCTCTCAATGGACGATGGCTCATTTCGGTTAAAGATGGCTCACACGTCCGGCTAAGTATGAGGTTGGATGTTCTTCTTTTAGGGCTGAGTCCGGACAGACGGTCAGACATCCGCCGGCGTGGCTTTTTTGAAGCATCGTACGGTCCTTGAGTAGAAAGAGAAACATCCCAGGTGACTACCTTGCTCCATACTCTTGCGGGACTGTCTGGAGACTCCTGTGGGAATCTGTGAGAAACAGTGTACTGATGAGAGCCGCGCAAACTCTCAGTGACCTCTCAGGATCTTCTTTGAGCGTTAAGGGCGGGACTGGCGGGTCTGTGGCGTACTGCAGGAGACATCGTGGACAGAGTGGAAATTTCTCTTTTGTCCAACCAGGCTTAGTGGCGGGTTCAAATTCGGTACTGTGGATGATAGAGTGAGGACCTGAAGCCTCAGGTTGTATCCGAAAGCTTACCGAGCAGCTTGGCAGGTACCGCTCAGTCAGGGGCCGTCAGCATTGAGAGACATGTCGTTCGTTGTAAGTCTGTCGCCTGTTGTTCAGCTTATATGGACTCTTCAACTGCGTGAGTACTCACAGCCACTGGCTATTACTTCCCGTATTCCTTACTCTACTGTATCCGTTGTTCCATCTTAAGCAGACCGAGAGTGTTGGCAGCTCAAGGCCCCCCATTATTATTTGATGCAATTTTGGCGCCAGCGCTATTCTGAGCAGGTGGAGATGTGGGACTAGGCCGAACTCAGATCCGGCGCGATGTTGCGAGCTGGCCCTGGCTTTTCGAGGAGCGCCTGACTACAACATATTCACGATCATGCATATGAGGTCAGGCGCGACACGCTGCACTCCGGAGATTCATGCACCATTTTGACAGTGGTGGCTTGAATCGTACAGATGCCGAGGTCCGCCTACATGGCATTCCAGATGTCAGTATAGAGTAGCCTGCATCCGATATGTAGCACCGAGACGCAGGTCTGTTCAATGTCGTCAAATAGCGGCGCCTTGTCGCACGTGCACTGGCCTAGTTGCGGCTCTTTCGTGTTCAACGACGAAGAAGCGCAATACGATGCTTGTGTTGATCACGGCCGATCAGATAAGGCTTCGAGCACGCGACTGAAGGTGTAGGTAGGCTACGTCCAGCTTTGAGACTGCAGGCAACGCGATAAAAGGCGTTTGCGGTGGGCCTACTACGAGAGCAAACTCCTCAACTTCCACCACTCCGTGGTAGCACTGCAGCTTGATGCGCATTGTTCTTCCCACGAGGTCGATAAGACCGACAGCAAGGCCGTTGCCAACCTCATCACATTGACACCATCGACAACGGCATTGAGGCGGGCAGCAGCAATCGGACCAGGGGAAGCAAGACTTGCTCTGAACGTCTAATATCGTGAGGCTGGTGAGTCGATGATTCAACTCCTGGAGGCCTGTGATAGGGCGTTCCGTGGCAGCGGTGAGGTCTTGAGGAGGGAGGTATTTTGAGAACCGCGACTCGCGAAGCTCTATCAGTTGGCAGTGGTGAATGATCCACCATGGGTCTTCCAGGGTCCGATAGTAGCGGGATTGGCGCTAGCGGTGCCGCTCATTACCGAAGGCAGTACGCGCTTATCAAAAGAGACCCCGTGATCCTGACATTGCCTGTAATTTCGTCTAGGCTTGCGTCATCTTTCAACGATCGCTGTGAAGCGGTGACCGCACATACAACTTCACGCTTCACACGGGCTTCTTTGTGGCTCAGAGAGTGGAGTATCCGTGTCCTCGAGTCGGACATTCTGTCAGCTGCCTGTCGCGCACCTGCAACATGGTGGACCCGGATGTAAAAGTGATTGCAGCAGTCCCATGGGGTAGCAACGAAACATAGCGTACCGTATCCACGGTTGGTTTTCGGTGTTTCTTGAACAACCCTCCTTCCGCCACTTTTGCTATTCATACCTGCATCCTTTGGCGTTCTGTATTCTTTTCACAGCATTATGGGCATATTGAAAGGCTTGCGAAAGCAGCCAGAACCAGCGCCCGCAGGAGGCAGCGGCGATACAACAACACCTTCATCGCAAAACGTGAAGAGCTCAAATCCCACCAGGAAATGGAGTTTGGGAATATTGGGCGATCCTTTTACAGACGAAGTGCCTGGTAAGCCTGCAATCTGGTGTATCTGTACAAGGTCGACTGACGGTCTCCAGGATCCGTCATCCTCCTATCCAAGGCGCACAACCGCAACGAACCGCTCGGTCTACAGCACGCGCGCGCACGAACATCGGCCTCTTCTCTTCCATCAGCGTACGGTCCTCCGCGGAGCGCTTCGCGCGGCTCCCGCCGTTCGTCACGGTCGAGACCACCTGAGAAGAAGCGCACAAAAGATGGGAAGTTCATTCTGGACCCCCAGCCGGAGGAGTCGGCGAACGACCCTCTCAACTGGAAGCAACTACGTCGCGATGCTGCGTTGATCTCTCTTGGCTTCTACTGCATGCTTGGTGGAGGCATGACGCCTGTCCTGGCGGCGGGATTCAAGGACGTCGCTGAGACGTATGGCGTTGGCCTCTCGCAGGTGGCATTGACGACAGGCCTCTATATGCTTGGTCTGGGTCTCGGGAGTGTTGTTGCATCGCCCACCGCCATTCTATGGGGAAAGAGACCAGTCTACCTGGTTGCCATTGTCTTGTTCACGCTCTCTTCGGTATGGTGTGCGCTCTCGCCGAACTACCCGTCTCTGGTTGTCGCACGCATTGTTCAGGGATTCGCTGTTTCTCCAGTTGAGTGTTTGCCGAGTGCTACGATTGCTGAAATCTTCTTTCTCCACGAACGGGCCTACCGTCTAGGCGTGTATACGCTGCTGTTACTGGGTGGAAAGAATCTGATCCCCCTAGTCAGTGCAGCAGTCGTACAAAGCTTGGGGTGGCGATGGGTCTTCTGGATCATTGCCATTGTGGTTGGATTCTCTTTCTTCCTCATCTTTTTCTTCGTTCCTGAAACGTTCTGGGATCGTGCACCTAGAGCGAGAGGTCGTGCCCATACACGCAGTCGCAGTCACAGCCCCAGGGGACACAAACACTTTCATTTGCCCACAAGACACCACAAAAAGTCTATGGACGCACTCCCGGGGCCAGAAAATGCCTCTATAGTGGCAACTCCGATACAGACGCCCCTCGACTACCCGAAAAAGGTTCATAAAACAGCTCACGTCGGTTTCGCAGACGAAGTGGAGCGCGAGACGCCTGGTACGCACACGGATGCACCACAAACGCCGCGCTCTCCGATTAGCATACACTCGACGCCTCCAGGAACGCCACGACACGACTACTTTGCGCATGTGCCAGCAAGCTCACAATCGGATCCGGAGAAACAGGACCAGACGTCCGGCAGTCATAGCCTATCATCCGCTGCACCCGAAGGACCACTCGATGCAGACCAGGTCTCTGAGCAGCTGTCTATTCACTATACTGACTACTACCGCACGGCACCTGCAAAGACCTACCGCCAGTCTCTGAAGCCGTGGAATGGACGTCTGGCTAAAGATAAGTGGATCAAGGTCGCGGTTAGGCCGTTTATTCTCTTCGCGTATCCAGCCGTTCTCTGGTCCTCCTTAGTCTACGCTCTCGCTGTAGGTTGGCTCATTGTTTTGTCCGAGTCTGTTGCGCACATTTACCAAAACCACGACTCGTACAATTTTACCGCTCTCCAGGTCGGACTCGTGTATGTTTCACCATTTATTGGTGGTGTTTTGGGAACGGCGGTCGCTGGCAAGGTCTCGGATCTTATCGTGAGATTCATGGCACGCCGAAACGATGGCGTATACGAACCCGAGTTTCGTCTGGTCATGGCTATACCAATCACAATCGCTACAGTTATTGGACTCATGGGCTTCGGCTGGAGCGCTGAAGAGAAGGATCACTACATGGTACCGACTGTGTTCTTCGGTGTGATCAGCTTTGGCTGCTGTCTTGCTTCCACGACCGCGATCACCTTCGTTGTCGACTCATATCGTGTGTACGCGGGCGAAGCACTGGTGACGCTGAACTTCAGCAAGAGTGAGTTTCGCTTGAGCATTGGCTGGCAGCTACGCAACGGTACTAACGACCTACAGACGTCCTCCACGGTTTCATATTTTCCTTGTTCTTCCCACACTGGCTTGAGGCTAAGGGTCCTAAGAGCACTTTCCTGTAGGTCATCTATTAAGACTCACATCTCTTCTTCATCTAATAGCCCCACAGAGCGATCGGCGGGATCCAGTTGGCCTGTATGCTCTTTTCAATCCCAATGTACATCTACGGCAAGCGAGCGCGCATGTGGACGGTCAGGAGGAACTTGATGGAGAAGTTCTAAGTCTGGATCTCACGATGTTCGGTGATGAGTTACAACACCGACAGACCGACGATGTTACGAATTTGGCTTGGCATGACTCATGGCGTTCTTTTGGGGGCTCACACGGCGTTGAAGTGGATCGTTTCCCCAGTTAATTCCCCAGACTCTCCTCGCAGCAGTCACAGCCTTTGATGCATATCCTGGTTCTAGCATTTTCGTGGGGTATACCGAACCTCCCGTTCTTTGATTCGGGAAATAGATTCCTGTGTCGTGATAACATTCCTTGTGACTCGTGTCGAGGATCTTGTGGGTCATTCTTTGCATCTCGATGGCTTTTGGCCGAATAATTGGCAAGCTACTGTGTATAGCGGCAGTTAGGTCTTCTGCCGGACTTTCTTGCGGAAGCAGCAGAGCCGCCTCAACTTTCCGGGACGCAGACTCAACACACGAGGCTTGCGTCGTGTTCATCGCCAGTTGGTGTCAGCTGGACGATATGGGTGACGCTCCCACCGTCCTTGACCGCTGGCTTGTCCTCGTGAGCCCGTATCTTCAACGGCGCCTTTGATGGAGCTATTCCAGAACGCTCCTGACAGGCAGATAAAGATAAGTATGGATGCCCTGCATAAAGAACCGACGATGTCGGAGCCGCACGCTGGCAGAAGTGCTTTTATTGGTAGCTCGTGATATAGTGGAGCGATATGATGCATGGTGTGAAGTGCACTATCCGGAAGGAGTAACTCAATCCATCTTCCCCACACTCACTCGGGTCAGGGATAACAACCGTGGTAATCTAACAATTCGCCTCGATGCAACAACAAACATCGCAACGAGCATCTTCTGGCTGCGACTCACGATAACGCGCTCAACGGATGGCGATGATTTATCCAAACCATGACCTGTTTTCCGCGTGAACGAGCGTCCTCCCATAGATGGGTTTAGAGACGGAAAACGATGGGATCCGACGCTGTGGCTGGCCAATCAATCTCGCACTCATGCAGCTGCGACGCAAGACCAGGAAAATGCACTCGCCTCATGTCCGAGCTCGGGCGATCCAGGCTGAGTTACCTCTAACCCCAACCACACGACGAGGTTTTATCAGCTGCTCTATCTTTGTCCCTTGTTACCTCGATACACAGCGGTTCCTATCGGCTGTGTCATCGTTGCATTCTCACCTGCATTAATTGGTGACGGTCCCTCTTGCTTCCTGTTTTCAACCTGGGGTATCACATCATCGTCTTTTGAAACTTCCTATCTTGTCACTTTGCTTCAGCAGATATGCCCGCTTTGGCTCAACACAAAGCACTTGCACAAGATCTGAAGACAAAGAAGACCAAATCCAGGAATGGCTGTGGTCGATGCAAGCTGAAGCGAGTGAGTCCTCACAAGCACTTTTACGACACAAATCCTTTCTAACATTGCACTAGCTTAAATGTGACGAGACTGCTGGATCTTGCCTTCAATGCAAGAAGAGGAATGTCCCTTGCCCTGGTTACGAGAAGACCCTAAAGTGGTCCACCAAGTACGAGGTCTTCCAGCCTACAGAGCTCACATCATCTCCTCCCAAATCAAGGGTAGCATCAGCAGGTGTTCGTAAGCTATCAATCGCCACAAGCTCGTCGCTTCCTAAGAATGTCTCGAACAGCATTGAGGCACTCGCCGCCGTGCTTCCTATCGGCAGGAGGAGCATGGATGTTGAGATGAGTGGCAATGACAAGCAAGCAATACCTCTCATGGCCTCACCACCATTGCCATCTCTGGAGGAGCCTATTGCCAGTCTGGAATCGTCTGAGGAGGATGAGGACTCTCCACGAGACCTCGAGCCATTCCCCATGGATGATATCCATGTCCTGGATCCTTGCTTGCTTGATGGCTTCGTTGACGCCATACCACTGCCCAATGAGGACTTCCATTTTGATCACTTCGAGAGCACTGACCTAGACTCCACCGTGCTCGACGAATTTCGTAGCTTCAGTGGTTTCGACTTCGACAACACCACACCCTTCGAGCACAACGAGGCTTCGAACGAGTCATCTGTCTTGACCACTCGTGAGTCCAGCCGGGAAGCAAGCCCTCCGCGTCTCTCTCGTTCGTTGCTATTAGGTTTCTACAGGCTCCCTAGCCCCACACCTAACCCCTCGTCGCCGGACGACCAGGAGTCACTTCTCATTCAGCACTACTTCAAGGATGTGTGCGCTGTTTTCTCTTCTTTCGATTCACATCTCAACCCCTTCAGGACCACCATCGGTAAGATCTACCAAGACTCACCTTCGATCAGCTATGCCATTCAGTCAATGTCTGCCGCTCACCTCGCCAACACCTTCCCATACATGGCAGCCATCGGCACCGAGCTTCAGCGCAAGGCTGTTGCAGCCCTTCAGGAGGAGCTACCCCTGGCGCAAGCTGGACAGGTCAGCTGCACAAGGACGTTCCTTAGTATCATGATACTAGGTTTCACCACCTCGTGGCACGACAGCAATTCTCTCGGCACAGAATTCCTTTCCACAGCTCGGGGTCTGATCTTGCCTAAGCTGATGGATCGGTCGCAGAACACCGAGGTCCAGCGTGAGGCACAGTTCTTTGAGGAGTCTCTCATCTACTGGGAGATGGTCATGGGCTTCGTGACAGAGGATGCCATGAGCTTTTCGCGACCTTCAGGCATGCGCCCTAGGGTGGTGTCAAACAAGCAGGGTACTCCTGCAGGCAGACGCCCGGACGGCAAGTTAGTTCCTCACCCATGGACCGGCGTTGCACCAATGATCCAAGCTCTCCTTGCTGAAGTCGGCCGCCTTGTTCGCAGTGAGCGATCACTCAACAGGGACTCGGTCATGGACCTCATCCGTCGTCAAGAGAACCTTCTCAACGCAACTTCTGTGGAAGAGGATCTTCTGGCTGTCGACTATCCTTCGGTTGACGAGATTGCTGACACTGGTGACGACCGCACACCCAAGGAGCACTTCACTGTGCTTGCCGAGGCCTATCGCTGCGCTGGTTTGCTCGAGCTTTACCGCGTCTTCCCTTCGATCCTCCGGAAGCGCTTGGGCGGCAACAAGCTGCCTGTCTCTGAGAACGTTGACTTCCGCTTCCCGATGCCTCGTTTTGAGACTCCGTACGAGGATGCCGATATGAAGCTGTGGCTCAACTCCCTCGCCATGCACATCCTGCAGATGATGGAATCCCTGCCAGCATCTTCGGGCACATTTTGCGTTCAGCAACTTGTCCTCACCGTCGCTGCCTGTGAGCTCAAATTCGTATCCTCGGTTGACTTCTTCGACGTGCATGCCAACGATCAAAAGGTCCTCGACGCACGAGAGAAGGTCATTCGACGCTTGGAGGTCTATGCCCATCGTGTGCCTGGTAAACCACTCCGTCAATTGATCACGTTGATCAAGGAGACATGGCGGCAGTCAGATGAGGGTAAAGATACCTTCTGGATCGACGTCATGAACGAGAAGGGGTGGCACACCATAATATAAACAATACGCCAGCCATGGCGTGTCTACGACTTTTAACACTTGCACAGCGCCTTTCATTGGAGCTGCCCAGGGCTCCACCTTCTTCTGTCGTTCTCACGCAACGACATCCTGTTTCAGCAGCTCCTGTACTTCGGCGTTCTTCCGGCTTACGGCGTTCCATCTTTCCTGCCTCCTTCCAGTTGTCCAAGAACTCGGCTTCGTCGATGGCTAGCCCCGTGGTCTCGATCGATGCGAGCTCATGTCCATACACTCGGTTCGACACGAACCTTTAATCACGACTGTCATCTAGACTATCCGAACGAGCATCATATCACCGGTGATAGTGATCGCGTACTTACGGCAACCCACTCGATAGCCCTGCGACAATACACCTGCCGCCATAATCTGGACTCGCCCTCCCTCCAACAAAACCTTTGCAACCACTTCCTAGCGACTATTTCTCGCGACTACCTAGCGATTACTTCCTGGAGCCCATCTGCGATGACCTCCGTCAAACCATTGCGACATACCCTTGCGATACCTAGCACACCCCGCTGCGACTCTGGCCCGGGTAACCAAATGATTACTACAACATAGACGCCGATAGCGACAAGCCTGGTCCTTTTTTCCCATGCGCTTTGCCCATGTCCGTTTGTATTCCTTCCTGGGCAGGTAAGGCAGGTCATGCTTGTGCTGTTGACGCCCCTGGAGCCACACACCAACCCTCGGCCGGTCGCTGTCCCTTGCACCTGCCCACGCACGCGACTATCTGGCCTGGTCTATGTCGGCTTTCCTTTTTGCCTTAGCGCGCAAATTTTCACGTCGGTGGTGCATATATGTTTTGCCTTACGATACCCATCAGCGTAGCTTGTCTGCATACCTTTGGAGTTGCGATACCCTTTTGTTTCGTGTCGTCTCACAAGTCGGTTGGGAGGAGCAAGACGTGAATGATGAGAGAGGAGAGAGAAGAAAGAAAGAAAGAAAGAAAGAAAGAAAGAAAGAAAGAAAGGGAATTATAAGGAAGAGGAAGTCGGACAACATCGACCGAGGATAACACCTCCTTCGACCTCTCATTGTGGATGAAACCCTCGAGACCGACCGCATCTGAACATGTGTTATACTTCATTAAGTGTATGAATTGATTGTATGTACTGCCTCTGCATCGCTGAAAATGCATGCTTGGATACCAATACCAATATTGCGCGCCTGATGCGAGTATAATCACATCACCGGCCTGTTCGCCTCATCATCATCTTCACTGTCATACGCAATGAACTCTTTCCTACCACTCGAGCCCTTGACAACAAAGTACCGTGCCGACTCATACGCTTTCATCTTCTTATCCGCGCCGGGGCTGAAAACTTCGGCCTTCTCATTAACATGCGTAGGGATAGCGAGCAGCAGTCGCTCAGCACCGGGGAGTCGCAGCGCCTTCTCGGAAGATATCTGGTCCTCCTCGGACGCCGCAGACGAGCCAGAGAACCACCGCATGCCCAGATGAACGCCCTCTGCAACACACGCTAGGATTGTGACGGCGACGATGATCTGCAGCGCCCACAGCGTCAGACATGAGTCGCTGTACGCTGAGAATGCCTCGGGCTCCGAGTAGCACACTATCCGCTCGTTTGGCCGTGATGTTGGGCGCGGCTCCTTGCTCATCAGGACTTCGGTGGGCAGTGGCTTCTCCTCGTCCTGGCTGGGGTATGGCGCAATTGCCGCAATTTTGTCGCGCACATACGACTCGTAGAGGTCGGGTCTTGCGTAGCGAAAGCGTTCTAGCTCTGGGCCCAAGGTTTCGCATTTATCGGGTGTTTGTTGGTGGTAGGGGGAGGCACTAGGTGTGGAATCTGTGGGCTTCCAGTTGGCAGGTGTCCAGTGCGCGGCGGAGGGGGTTTCAAGAGGGTTGGAGGCGTCAGAGACGAGTATGCAGCTGCAGTGGCTGCGTTGTAGCGTCCGTGTCGGCGCAGCGAGGGTTGCTGTGAAGAATAGGAATGAGGTGAGTGTTGTGGGGCGCATGGTTGCGGTGTTTGGATGTTGAAGTATGGACTAGCCGAGGGTTAACAACGAGTCACTCAGGTCAATTTCGTTACACTCACTGAGGTCCTGCGGCTCTTCTAGATCAAAGCTGAGTGTTGCTGCTTATAAACTCACACCGTCGAGGGTTGGGTCTGCCGGATGCGTCCAAGTTGAGATGGTAGTACAAGGTACGATGCTCCGTATCTGACGTCGATGATGATGTTTGGTAATTAATAGTGAGCGGTGCCAGAAAAAAGCGGCGCCCACTAAGTACATGTACCCAAGCGGTCGCCCTCAAGCCCGGTCCAGTCGAACCTTCCCACCTTGGTGTGACATGCACTAATCGCGCGTTCACTTTCGTCTCAGCTGCCCCCGCGAGCGGCCGGCTCTAGATGCCCCATGCACGCCCCTGTCGCCGTCTGCCAGATCCCGTCCGAGCGCCCAGATAAGCACACTATTCGGTCGCTAGAGGCCGCAGTGGCGGTTCTTCCAGCCTGAGCGCTGCAATTGAAGTGCTGGAAACATGCGGTCTAGATTGAACCACTCAGCGCCCAATGCTGGGCAGGCGCAGACGGACAGGCTGCTTGACTGCACGTGCACTATCTCTGGCAGCTCCGCAGATCCAATGTGCACGCCAACCTCTCCCTAGATGGCTGCGGTGACTTCTCCATTTTTGGGCGTGAGCGCGTGGTTTGCAGCGCTGTTTTCGACATCGCGTCCCGCTGCTGCCAATGCCAGGCCCGTTTGCGGAACATCTAGTGCCGCGTTCCAGGAGCTACGTTTCCAGCCTCGTAAAACACCACCTGGACACACAGACACCCAACATGTTTTCTATGGGATACGAGGTGCCGTAGATGAACAGAGTCAACTACTGCACCCTGCGAAGAATGTCTTGGGTATATCCTTCCCACCTACGCCCTTCTGAGCAATCGAGAGCGCCGCTCTGGCCAGCTTGTCTATTAATATTAGTTCCCCAGGCGTTGGGTGGCTAGCCCTCTAAATATATATGGACTCATTTCCTGGTACGAGGCTGCCCTACCCGACGGGACCCACGTGCGCGCCGGTCAAAGCTACCGCAGCGCACTGCAGGCCGCCTCGATATGGTGTGCATGCAGCCAGACCTTGCTTCCACGTCTCGCCGGCAGGTCAAATCAAAGAGAAGACGAGAAGCTTGAAAAGATGCGTTTCGCAGCGCGAAGCACGAGATGTTTGCGGGCCGTGGACGCCACGCCCTCCGCGCTGCCAGACGTCTGATCATGCACAAAAATGTGGTCCTCTGCGGAGCACAAAACTGAGAATGTCTGGTGAGGTTGTTGGGGACCACACTACAGCGATTGCGAAACACTCAGGGGCCAAGCTTCGCATCAAAGCTTGATGGCTGACAAAAGCGCCTTGAAACAGGCGTTTGTGAATACACATGGAACCCGAGAATTCACGTTGACGGCGTGCAGGCCCAGTTTAGAGACCGGTGTCACTACGAAGCGGGGTGTGGGTGCCACACGGTTCGCGATGAGATGTGGGCGGCTTGAGGTGAAGATGCTTATTTTCAGGATGAGTCTCATAATCAGGGATGTATCGCAGAGTCCTGAGAAGATTTCTTTACCGGCGCAGGCTCACCGTCCGCTTCAACGTGCTAACATCTTTCTTTCTTCTTTCTTCTTTCTTTCCTTCCTTCACATGCTTTCCTGCGCGGCATTCCTTGTATGTCAGCGAGCGAACGACAGGCTGCCATGTTGAGGTGGTGTGCGAAGTCAGCATGGACAGCTTCTTGCTGACTCCGGCATCTTGCAGCTCTGACGCTGCGAAATCTGCTACACAGCATCACCACCATGCCGGCACTTTGGAAAGACCAGCCCACAGATGGCATCGTCCTACGAGGAAGTAGAAAAGAGTAGGATACATTACTGGACTTTATCAGACCATACCCTCGGTGACTTCAGAGATTTTGGTGGATGGCGACTTTTCGCATACTTTGCCGCTACATTACTTCCCGAAGCAAGAATACCTCGAAGTTGCACACACAAAAAATTAAGCCGCCGCAACCTTGGAAGGCTGCACCTCCGGATCTCCAGCGAGCACCGGAGACTTTCAAGAGCGTCGAGTGGGCCCACTTACCAATCAACACGGGGGCTGACCGAAGGCCTTCGTCCGTTGCTTGCGCTATCTGTCTGCTTACCTATGGACCCTGAAAGGGCTGCGAACCAACTTGAGGTAGCCACGCTTTGTAAGAACCACGGGAAGCCATTCTCCATGAACATTGGCCAATTGCGACAACAGATGATGACGAAGCCGGCGCTATGGTCCACTTGCAATCGTCGCTGAGATGCGTCGCCCTCATTGGTAGGCACTTACCTTCTGCTGACAGCTTAACGTGAAGTTCCGATGCCCAACGTAGGTAAGACACCTTCTGCGCTGACATTTGTATACCACGACATCGGTGATGGCCTTATAAACTGCGTCGATCCATCAGCATCGTCACTACTTGGTACTTGGCACGGAACAGTCATTCCCAAAACGCAGGAGAGTCTGACTAAAGCCGATATGTTGCACGGCGTTGAGATGGACTTAAGGCGGAAGAGCGAATATATAAATCTGCTATGCGTTCATAGGCGCCAGAACGGCAAGTAGCAACGACAATCTCCTGCCTTCTACTTTCCCACAGACCTCAAAGCACTAGATCTAAGTGTGGCATCTCAAGCTATACTTCACAGCCTTCGTCATCTCCCGACTCCACAGGAAGTCCTCTTAATTCATCATGTCATATCTATTCCGGCATTCGTCGCTCGGAACCGCAATCCACTACATCCGTCATCGAAGCTTTGACTTCTCGCGACACAAGGCAAAGAAGATATCGCCCTCTTCCTCGAGCGATGATGTCCCTGCAGCAATGCCCACTGACAGTGTCATCGGCGCCGAACTCAAACTCGAGCAGAGTGCGACTTTGGTGGGCTGGGACGGACCCAATGATCCGTCTAATCCTCAAAATTGGCCCTTAAGAGACAAAGTCCTTATGACCTCGCTCATCGGCCTCTACACGTTTGCTGTGTACGTCGGCTCGTCCATCTACACGCCTTCACAGGAGGCCGTGCAGGAAGTTTTCGGCAAGTCACACGTTGAGGGCTCACTGGGTCTTGCTCTGTACGTACTAGGGTACGGCATAGGATGCCTCCTCTTCTCGCCCATCTCAGGTAAGCCGTAGACTCGAACTAGCTCCAGGGCACCTAAGTAACAGAGTTCAAGAAATTCCTGCTGTTGGCAGAAATCCACCCTACGCCATCTCCGGCTTCCTCTTCGTCATCCTGTGTATCCCCACTGCTTTGGTCAACAACTATGAAGGGTTGATGATCTTGCGCTTCCTACTTGGGTTCATGGCATCGCCTTGCTTGGCCACGGCGGGAGCCTCTCTTGCAGATATCTGGACAATGGCACAGTTTCCGTTTGCAGTGGCATTGTGGGCAGCTACAGCTACGATGGGGTGAGTAATGACAGGACTTTGGTAGGTAGAAGTTGCGACTGACAGTCGACAGACCTGCTCTTGGACCGACACTCTCCACCTACGCTGTCCGTGACCTTGGATGGAGGTTCTCAGCCTGGGAACTCATGATCATCGCCGGCCCAGTCTACATCCTGATGCTCTGCATGCTGCCTGAGTCTTCAGCTCTTACGATCCTCTACTACAAGGCTAAGCGCCTTCGTGAAGAGACGGGCAACCAGAACCTCATGTCTGACGCAGAGAAGAAGCAGAAGAACCTGAAGGCATCCAGCCTGATGTTCGATGCTCTGATCAAGCCCTGGGAGATCAACGCGCTTGATCCCGCTATTCTCTTCACGACTGTATAGTAAGTCAAAGCCGTGCTAGTGGTTGGCCAAGTGACTGACAATTATCGCAGCATGGGTCTGTGCTACGGCACCTATTACTCGTTCTTCGAGTCTCTACCCTTGGTCTACCCTGTCATGTACGGCTTCTCCGCTGAGAGTACTGGCCTTGTATTCCTTGTTGTCGCACCAGCTGGACTGATCGCATTCACCGTCCACTGCATCTACCTCAAGTACAGATGCTTCCCCCGGATGATGAACGGCACCTTCGGCGAGCTCGAGAACCACCTGTTGCCCGGCTTGTTCGCTTCACCAGTCATTTGCATCGGCCTCTTTATATTTGCGTGGACAGCCCGTCCCTCGGTACATTGGATGGCACCAACCAGTAAGTGATGTCCTACAGGCCTTCCGTAGTGCAAGCTAACAGCAATAGTTGGTCTTGGACTTGCCATCTTCGGCACATACTTCGTCGCTCAATCGATCCTCCTCTACATCCCCAACATATATCCTCGATATGCCGCCAGTATCTTCTCAGCAAACAGTCTGTCCAGGAGCTTGTTCGCATTTGCGGCGGTCTTGTTCGCGAGGCCCATGTTCCGCGGCATTGGAATCGACGGCGGTGTAAGCTTGTTGGCAGGATTCATGGTTTTGTGTACAATCTTGATGTGGCTTCTATTCCGCTATGGCAAGGGCCTGCGCGAGAGGAGTAGGTTTGCGGTTGCCTAGACTAATTGACTTTGGCCAAGGTGGATGCTGCTCCGGTGAAAGTAGCAAATTGTAGACTCATCATAGATAACGCGAAAGGGGAATTTACTCGGTCTTCACAGATTCATTCTACAAAACGCTGGGTGTAAAAATGCTTCACATATCTGGCAATGTGAGGTGATGTGCGATCGGCGGCGCGGAGGTGACATGGCTGGTGCTGGCGCGTGGTGGGGAAGCTCCATCGTCATTCCGCGTTCAGCAACCTCACCGAACGTTCACCAGCACTCCCAGCACTGCGCAAATGCACCGCAATGCGTGTCAGCCTCTCCACCGCGAGCCCGGATCCTGAGAAATTGCAGCCTGACTGATCACTCCACGTGGGCATCGAGGCTCGGCCGTTTGCCTCGCCGCGACTTTCCCACCCAGTCCGTGGAGCTCGCCACGACGTGACGACCCTCCCGCAAAGCTTTACTAGCCTCCAAGATGAAGCACTCTGTATACGATCGCCTGCTGAAGCGGGAAGTCGGTCACCAGCGCAGAACGTACACAGATATTCGGGGCATCTACGGCGATAAGCACTGGGTCGATGATCTGGACATTGTGAACGAGCTGGAGGGCCACAATGGATGTGTGAACGCCTTGAGGTACACAGATCCTTTTCTGGCGCTTCAAATAGTACTGACTGACTGTCAACAGCTGGTCGCGGTCTGGCCGCCTTCTCGCCTCGGGCTCAGACGACCACCGAATCAACATCCACTCGTACAACCCCGGCTCGGACACGGAGCAGTTCAGCCTGACCACATCTATCGTGACGGGACACCGATCGAACATCTTCTCCGTGAAGTTCATGCCCTACTCGAACGACCGCACCATCGTCTCGTGCACCGACGACATCCGCATCTTCGACATCGAGCACTCTGGGCACTCGGCGTGTGGTTCTGAGAGCAGGCAGAGACCGAACGGAGCACGGCCCAGCATACACCATTTGCGCAATGCTGTCACCCTCACTGGCACAGAGACGAACGAGAAGGCCTTCCGCAGCCACAACGACACAGTCAAGCGCATCGTGACCGAAGACAATCCGTTCTACTTCTTAACTTGCTCGAACGACGGCGATGTAAGACAATGGGATATAAGACAGCCATCGAAAACATACCCCCCTGCACAAGACGGGCGACTGCCCTCATGGGCCAGGGATCCTGATGCTGCCGACAACGCGCCACCGCCGCTGATCTCGTACAGTCGCTATGGCTTGGACCTTAACACAGTCTCCTGCTCGCCATCGCAGCCTCACTACATAGCACTTGGTGGTGCTCACCTCCACTGCTTCCTCCACGACCGTCGTATGCTGGGGAGGGACAGGCACAGCGAACGAGGATCGAGGCTGTCAAGCCCAGGCAATTGGACGGAAACCGAAGAAGAGCTGCTGGGACAGGCTACGCAATGCGTGAAGAAGTTTGCGCCCAGCGGGAAGCAGTATATGAAGCGCAATGATGGTGGACATATCACGGCCTGCAAGATAAGCGATGCGCATCCGAACGAGCTCATTGTCAGCTGGTCACAGGACCACATCTACGGTTTCGACATTCAAAGAGCACCTGATGCGCGTGAGGAGGTCAGGACATCGAAGGTGTCGACTGGTGATACCACAGGCAGGGTGAAAGACAAGAGCCGAAAGCGAAAGCGCCCAAGGTCAAGCACGCAAGAAGCTACAGGTAGGGCCGGTTCCAGGCAGCGCACTGGAAGCGCCGATCAAGACCTAGCCCTTCGAGTCAGGTACGACAATGGTCAGTCCGAGGATATTCGCATCGAAGCCCCCACGAGCAACGGCCTATCGCAGGAAGAGCTGAACGAGCTGCGTGGCACCGACCACTTCCGTATCGCAAAGACAACTGTCAAGATGAAGAAGCGCATCTTCGGTTTAGCTGACCATGGCGAGTCTGGTCTGCACCTCGCTTACACATCACTCCTAGGCCTGGCACACTCGATATTGCCTGATATAGACGACCTGTCCAGAGGCTGGGGTTATCCAGTCGATCCCGATCCAGTGGACGTGGCACTACAGAACAGGCTTCGTGACGACCGTGCTGCATCTCGACGTTTCGTTCAGGCCGCTGGCACACTTTCTCGAGTGATGGGTGGGCAGCTTCTGACAGGGTCTAGCTCGACGTCCGACGCGGTGATCGCGCAGTACTTTGCATCAATACAGCATGCGCCACGAGAGCGAGAACTGCCACGACATGAGCAGTTTGGCTACGACTTCCTCAAGGCCATCCTACTCTGGCTCGATAGCGGTCCAGGTGCAGTCGTTGAGGGCTTCTCCAGCCGAAGTGGAGGCGACCGCCTACCCATACCCCAGGACTCGGACATGGACGCCATCGAAGAGGTACTCATCCCATATCTGATGGACCTGGCGAGTGAGGATGCGATCGTCAACGTCGACGTATCGAAGTTCATGACAGACGACATTCGAGTACTCTTCCCGACCGAGATCGACGCTGTTCGTGCGTTCTCACACGCAGTCCAGATCCCCTTTGCCGACCTGACTGGCGGCGAGGACGTTGAAGACGATGAGGACAAGCCAGATTTCACGAATCAGAACCGCGATGCGGCGAAGCTGAAGTGGGGACACCAGATTGGGAGAGGCTTGCTCCTTAATGCTTCCAAGGATATCAAATTTGCATTCGTGGACCGGGCGTTGGGCGGACGTGGCATCTCAGACGCTAGCATCAGAGCAGAGGAGAGAGCACTGAGAGAGCAGCAAGAGGACATCGATACTGCCGAGGAGGAGATAGAGCAGCTGAGTGCCGAAATTGCAAGGGCGGATGCGATTAGTGAGCTGGAAGCGGCAGCGTCAGGGTCGTCTGCAGAACACATACCTCCGGAGCTGGAAGACTTGCTCGACGAAGATGACACAGACGAGGCTGACGAAGAGGTCATTGAGGAAGACGAGGAAGACGAGGAAGACGATGACGATGACGATGACGACAGTGACGGTGACCTGGAAGAAGAGTCTGAAGAGGATGAGGAATCTGGTTCAGATGACGAAGGTCTACGCCGGACCAGAAGCGGACGCATGCTATGGAGGTCAGAGTTTGGTCGGAGAAGATATCAGAGGGCCAAGGTTGAGCGCGACATAGCGTGCGCGCCGCACACACGAGTGTACACGGGACACTGCAACGTTAAGACGGTCAAAGATGTCAACTACTTTGGCCTCCAAGATGAGTATGTGGTCAGCGGCAGTGACTCTGGACACGTCTTCATATGGGACCGCAAGACTGCACAGCTCGTCAACATCCTCGAGGGCGACGGGGAGGTGGTCAATGTCGTCCAAGGTATGTTACCCCGAGTCTACTACCATCTCTTGCTGATTCTTTGCAGGACATCCATACGAGCCTATCTTGGCTGTGTCTGGCATCGACCACACCATCAAGATCTTCTCGCCTGATATCCGGGACCAGTACAACGCCCGAAAGGGTGTTGGTGTGCACTCTGCAGACACGACTGGATTCTCCAGCATCGGCCTTGGGCGTCGAAGGAGGCCTAGCGGGCCAGAGCGGGCAGTCGAGCCTACCGACGATGAAGCTATGAGCGACGGCGATGGAGAAGTTGCAGCAGGCGGTCTGAAGAGCCGCAAGCGTCTGCACCAAGCCTACCAGATCACGTCGAAGAACGACATGGACCGCAGAGGAGGAAGGGACGACTACTTCATCTCACAAGCGGTATTCGCACAGCTTGCACGGCACATTGCGGCGAATCATGGCGGTGCAGGCGCAGGCGACGGCGAAGTGGGCGAAGACGGCGAGGGACCAATTGTCATCACCGAGGACAACTGCAACGTCATGTGAGCGGAGGCATTCACAGCGCGTTCGAGCATCTTGCACCCCTCCGAGCGAGGACTGTCAACTCTAATCAATTACATTCCAAGTATGGTATATAGTCCCTAGTGCTGCCAACGACAGTCTTGATGCTCCGAATACGTCCCATGCGCCGCCCATATGCCAGAATTACCCCTATATCGCCTCGTGTCGTACTGTGCAGGCGGTGCAACGTGTCCCCTACGAGGCCTTCTTCTGCTGGGCCTTGAGCGCCTTCTTGCGGTTGCTCCTTATCATGACGACGGACAGGAAGGAGCCAACGACGGTGGTGAACAGGATGATCAGGATGACGGGGATGCGGATGGCCCAGACGCGGGGCAGGAAGAGCGAGTGCAGGACGTGGTCCTCGTCGACGAAGGGCTGGCGCCGTGTTAGTGTCTGCGAGTGGCAGGGGGTTGCAGGGCAGATAGGTGGAGGTGTTGGGGGGGTGGGGGGAAGGGGGAGAGGCGGGCGACGCACCATGAACAGCGTCCAGACGGTGTAGTAGACGAAGACGGCAGTGGCTGCGATGAGCATGCTGAGTCCTACAAGGCGGTCGAGCTGCAATTGTCAGACGTGGATTGACTTGGCTTGGAAGGTGAGCATCTGTACCATCTTGGAGTGAGGGTAAAGGAGCGTGGCGACGACGAGTGTCTGTTCGGTCTTCAATGTCGACAGTCGACGTGGTGAGAGCTCCAGCCTAGATTCGCAGGGGTGGCTGCCAAGACCTGCGGCTGCGCTTTGGAGCTAAAGTTTCTCGAGACAACTCTTAGACGTCTGACATCACACCCTCTCGCATTCCCGGCGCATTATTGCAGCAGAGGCCCTCACCATGCAAGTCGCCTCCGCCGTCCGCATCCCCTCGCCCGAGCCGGACGTCGAGCCGGACGCGCCCCGCAAACGCGACCGCTCGCCCTCGGACGCCGGGCCCTCGAAGCGCTCGCGCCGGCAGGACAACGACGACGCGCCCCAGCGCCGCGACCGCCGCGACCGCCAGCGCGACGCAAATGGCGCCAAGGACGACGTGCCCGACGATGACGCGCGCCTCAGTCTCTTCAAGAGCGCCTTCAGCGCCGCGCGCAAGCTGCCCGTCGACGACTCCAAGACGCGCGCTGGCGGCGCCTACATCCCGCCCGCGCGTCTGCGCGAGATGCAGAAGAACATCACCGACAAGGCCACGCCCGAGTTCCAGCGTATGGCGTGGGAGGCGCTGAAGAAGTCGATCCAGGGCCTGATCAACAAGACCAACACGGCCAACATCAAGATGATTGTCCCCGAGCTGTTCAGCGAGAACCTGGTCCGCGGGCGCGGCCTCTTCTGCAGAGCCATGATGAAGGCGCAGGCTGCCAGTCTGCCGTTCACGCCCATCTACGGCGCCATGGTGGCTATTGTCAACACGAAGCTGCCCCAGGTCGGCGATCTGCTGGTGCGCAGGTTGATTGTGCAGTTCAGGAAGAGCTTCCGGAGGAACGACAAGGCCGTGTGTCTGGCGAGCACCATGTTCCTCAGTCATCTGGTCAACACGCAGGTCGTGCACGAGGTGCTGATTGCCGAGATTTTGCTGCTGCTGCTCAACAAGCCGTCAGACGACTCGGTCGAGATTGCCGTCGGCATCATGAAGGAGGTCGGCGCGTTTTTGGAGGAGATGAACATGGCCATTGCGAATGCCATTTTCGACCAGATGAGGAATATTCTGCACGAGGCCGATATCGACAAGCGCACGCAGTACATGATTGAGGTGCTGTTTGAGGTCAGACGGACAAAGTACAAGGAGCATCCTGCCATCAAGGAGGATCTGGATCTTGTAGAAGAAGAGGATCAGATCACACACAGGCACACGCTGGAAGACGATGTCAAGGTGGAGGACGGCCTCAACATCTTCAAGTTTGACGCCGAGTACGAGGCGCACGAGGCCGAGTACCAGAAGATCAAGAAGGAGATTCTGGGCGAGGAGGAGGAAAGCGGCGCCGAGTACACAGACGCTTCGGACTCGGAAGAGGAGGATGAAGAGCAGAAAGCCGAGGACGTCAAGGATCAGACCAACGCCGATCTCGTCAGCCTGCGCCGAACGATTTACCTCACAATCAAGTCCAGCGGTGGCTTTGAAGAATGTTGTCACAAGCTGATGCGCATCAACCTCCCGCACGGCCTCGAGAACGAACTCACAACCATGATTGTCGAATGTGCCAGCCAGGAACGCACATACGAGAAGTTTTACGGCATGATCGGCGAGCGCTTCTGCAAGATCAACCGCATGTGGACCGACCTTTTCGAAGAGGGCTTCGCGCACTACTACGAGACCATACACCGCTTCGAGACAAATCGCCTCCGCATCATCGCCCAATTCTTCGCACATCTCCTCGCTACAGATGCCATCGGGTGGCATGTCTTCCAGGTCGTCAAGCTCAACGAGGAGGACACCACATCCTCGTCCCGTATCTTCATCAAGATCCTCTTCGAAGAGCTGCTTTCCTTCTTGGGCCAGAAGGATGTTGTTGCGCGCTTCAAGGATCCAATGCTGCAGGACAGTCTGACAGGTGTCTTCCCCACAGACGCCGACGACCAGAGCAAGACTCGCTTCTCGATCAACTTCTTCACCGCCATCGGCATGGGCGTACTGACAGAGGGCATGCGCGAATGGCTCAAGAACGCAGCGCCGAAGCCAAAGACCCTGCCTGAGCCAGAAAGCGACAGCGACGACTCACACAGCGTCTCCAGCTACTCGTCATACTCATCACGCTCCCGCAGCAGAAGCAGAAGCCGTTCCCGCACCCCAGTACGGCGCTCCAAAGACTCCCGCTCGCGATCGCGTTCCTCGTCCAGAGGGCGCAGCTACACACGCAGCCCCACACCAGACCGCAAGCGCGTCACAGGCAAAGCCCGCGCGCGGTCGTACTCGGACTCGCGGTCGCGCTCCCGCTCCCCGGCGCCGCGCAAACGCAGCTACTCATCGTCTCGCTCGCCACCGCCCAAGCGCCGCGGTCGCAGCCCGACGGATTCGCTATCGAGGAGTCCGCCGCCGAAGAAGAGGAGGAGCCCGAGTGCGAGCGTAAGTAGGAGTAGAAGTCCGGTGCGAAGGAGGGGCGCTAGTAGCTCGAGGAGTAGGAGCCCGCTGCCGAAGAAGGCTAATGGCAAAGGGAAGGGGAGGGCAAGTGAAAGTCGGAGCAGGAGTCCGATGCGTAGACGGAGGAGTTACAGCTCGAGCAGATCAAGAAGCCCACCGCCACGGAAAAGAAGAGACTCGTAAGGCGTGGGCGATGAGGTTGGATTCAGGTTCCTTGACTGTACAAAAGTTGCGAGTCAAAATGCATCGGAATATATCAGTTTGTAATCAGCATAGCATAGCACGGTCTGGGACAAAAGTCAGGCTCCAAGAATGGATCAAACATCCCATTCTCCCGGCAGGTGCTTGCCTGGACGCAGGCCATCTCCGCTGCGCCTTCCTCAGTGTTGCGCCTTCTCGAACCCTATGGCGACCCGGCTGCCGCTTCCATCGACCCCTCGACCGTCAGATATCTCAACCTACTATGCGCTGACCTCCAGTCCAGCAGCACTCCAGCGGTCATCGATGTACCGCAAGGATCTGAGTACCTGTCAACCGGAAGCGGACAGGTGCAGAAACAGAGGCATCCTTGCAGCTACACATAGCCTCGCAGCAACCACAGTTTTCCGCTTGCCGACCACGCCCCACTAACTTGGACCGCCTTCGTTTCAAGCTCGATTCGAACGATCACGATACTCTGCGCCGTTTGCGTTTGGATGTTCAGACGTCCTCCCAGGAAGGTGATCATCATGACAGTTACAATGACCTTGTCAAGTCGGCGAACGCAGGTTGCAAGATCTGTCTTCACTTGCCATACTCTCGTGAGGAACGTGGAGCCGATGATGCAGGGGAAGGCAGTCGCCCGTTCACGACTTAAAATTTCCAATCATGGCAAGATTACGGCTCATTAGATCAATAGCTGAGAGTCGTCATACAATCGAAAGCTTCATGGCTAGTCGCTTGGGTATAGCTACATATCTCTAGTCCTGGCCCTGTACCTAGCCAGTTGCCAAGTTTCATCCAGGGAGTCAGGCGAGATCTGACGAGTCGACCATGGAACGTCAGTGAGGACACTTTCCATACGAGACACATTCCGAAAAGTACTGGGGACCCTGAAGTAATGGAGCTTGGCTAAGAATGTTTAGAAACATGCCAAACCCACCATTCATGGTGTAGGGCCCTCGATGAGCAACGACAACAGAACTACTTTCCGAGCAGAATTCTGGACGTTGGCACTATTCAATCCGGCGAAATACGTCTGATCATTACAGAAATCGAACCGCCGGACCAGGACCATAGATGTACCGCATTGAGTCATTGCTTGGGCAATAACCCTTCCTCAATCCAACTGACGACCGAAAACGCGACTTTGCTAAATAGCGATATACCGCCAGCTTGTCTCTCTCAGAGCTTCTTGGACGCAGTAGAGCCAGTAGTGCACAAGATTGCGTAAATTCAACAAAAAAGAAGAGCAGACTGTGAACTGCTGGACACCTGATCATGTCAGCATAGAAGCACGATATCAAAAACTCTACAACGAGCGGAACCGATCTCCATTTCTGATTTAGAGAGAAGCGCACAACTCCCACCGGTGGCCTTGGGACAGCCTCGTGTCCGCAGCGACTGGCTATGTTTGAGGACGTCCGGATTGCTTCAGTAGCACGCATGGTTTCGTCGTTGCCTCGGTGGTAGTTCGACTCCGACTCCATTACGCGGTCCGCGTTATGAGGTACGGAAGTCCGTTTGAGTTTCGACTGTATGGACAATGCCGACAAATAGGAGCCAGGGGTTGGGGCCTAGTGCGTCTAAAAATGGGGCAGTGCAGCTTAACACCCTACAACTGTGGAGCATCCACATCGCCTCCACAAATACTTCCACTTGGGCTACACTCTTAAGCACCGGTCTTTCAGATTAGTAACCATTTCAGGGCATCCGTGGACTCCACAATACAGCAATCTCACGGCCTAAACCAACGACACAACGGCGAGGCTTCCGCGGAACCGCAGTCGTGTACTCTAGTTCCTATTGATATGCACGCCGAGGAGCGATCACAAGCCATTGATCGAGCTCTCGAGGAGGATGCGAAGGTTCGCAAAACCCAGACTAATGTCTTGCCACTTGGTGCCTTTTCGATGAGGGACATTGCCAAACAGCTGAAGAACAACGATGAAACTGGGCTCACAGAAAACGAGCTGATCGATTATCGGTATAATATCCACCAATGTGTTGTTGACTGCATTAAGACACTGGTGCATTTGATGAAGAGCTCTGAAGCTCAGCTGGAAGAAGACACAAGAAATCGCTACAGCTATCTGTGCGATTTCATCGCGGTTTCTCAGGGTGATGCACCACTCAACGAGGAAGCTGGCCGGACGATTGGGGTCTTATGGAAAGACCCATCCATCACCGATGCCTTTCAATCCAGCGCCGACTCTGATCTGAAAGAACCATCTACATAGTCAGTGAGCAACATCCTCAACTCAATACATGTACTCACACTGCCAGCTTCTTTCGGGAAATTGGTAGAATTGCCGCATCGAATTACGTACCAACAGAAGCCGATATAGTGCAATCCCACAAGGGTATTCGTGGCATCTCGGAGCATCGATTCAATGTCAATGGATTATCAATAAACCTTATCGACGTTGGCACTCAAAGATGCGAGAGGCGGAAGTGGATACGCCAATTCGACAACGTCGCTGCGATCCTCTTCGTGGTCGATCTGCCATGCTACGATCAAGAGGCGTCGGGCAATAACGCAATGGCAGAACAGATAGAGCTTTTCGACAACGTGGTGAACACCGAATGGTTCACAGATACAGAGTTCATCCTCTTTCTTAACAACATCAGTGCGTTCCGACAGAAGCTATCCCATAAGCCTCTTGGGAACTATTTTCCAGATTACTCTGGTGGCACCGATGCCGAAAAGGCCAGCGGGTATCTGCTTCAGCGCTTTAGCCAGGTCAATCGTGGCAAACGAAGGCTCTATTCACACCTGGTCGACCCTCACATTGCCTCGAACATTGAGCTGGTGGCGACTGCGATCAATGACAGTAGCCATTGAGCGTTTCCACCGGGTGTGCTTCATCGAGGCTCTTCCAGCCAGGCGTGCATCAATGCAGCTGAGAACCCTTGTCCAATCTCGCTGGAGTCTACATTAGCATTTCATATTTCAGCCAGACTAATAAGCTTCGCAATGATTGACGCACCTTGCAGGGGTTAAGATCTCACATAATTCCGGTCTTGTATATAAGTACCTCCAAACATAAACAATCTAGTTTCCAGAACATGTGTCCTATTTCTGGGCTCTCTCGATGCTGGATGGTGCCTATTCTGTCTTCAAAAACTTCTGCGTTTTGGATCGCGCGAGAAGTACCTTCCCCCTGGTCCGCCAATTTACCCCATTGTCGGCAACGCTCACCTTGCAGTAGACAAGTACCTTTATAAGAGGTCTTTCACATTTCCCCTATGCCTTAGATTCAACTCACCGGGCCCAGGTTCATAATAGAGCGGTGTTTTCTCTTAAGATTAAAAAAGGTACGATGGTAGTGTACAATAGCAGGCGCGCGATCTACAATCTCATAGACAAACAGAGTGCGATCTATTCCTCGACGCCGCAAGATGAGCAGTATCACCTTGCTTTGACTGGCGAGAATATTGCCAATATAGATGTTGACCCAGGGTGGAGGGCGCAATGCAAGATTACTGCGCGATTCTTCGCGCCCCATTAAGCTAGACAGTGCTTAGCTGTTGGTTTCTCAAGCACGTTCTCGAAAAAGCTTAGCAGCGAGTTAGCTGCAATTGTCTTTACTCGCAAGCATGCTATATGTGATTTACTTTAACCATTGTTCCATTGTAAACCTGTAGGAATTATAGCTGGTTTGACCAGGGCTCTCTTGATATTCTTGAAGCTAAGAGGCTGTAGCGCTATCTCTTGCTGAGCGCGCTTCTTGAATTCCTCAAGATCAATCCCTCTATCCGCTTTCCTTTTGGTCGTTTTGTACAGGTGCTGTCAGTTTGCTGTTACTGTGCGTGAGTCGTTGTTGAGGCAGAGTGGCGTAGAGCAAGCGGTAAGGACTAAACCATAAGCGAGAGGGTGGGCGGCAGGACATAGTAGTCAACAACATGTCGGAGGTTGGCATCTTGTTAAGTTGTTAAGTTCACAGACCAGACTGGACGGATGGCATCCGGGAAGCTCTCGCAAGAGCAGCGATGTGTCACGTTGAATCCGTGCGACTTCTTCTTGCAACAACGCGCCTTGCTTTCGAAGACCGCAATCCTATGTCGAAGACTTTCCGGCTCGTTGATAACGTTGGCGCATAGCTTGGAAGGGCGTCATTCTATGACTTAGAATTCGAACAACTAGATCTCGAATGGAAGATGATATGGGCGAACTGACTATATATGCTCAAGGACACACCCAGAGGACTTTCTCTGGGATTCGACCTTCAAATTCAAACATGGATTGAAAGAAAAAGTTCCGTGTTGTCAAGAAGCTCTGGAGACGTGAGGTGATGCTGATCGTCATATAAGTGACAAAAAAGTCAAAAACATACAACAGCGGGTATTCGCTAGTGGTCACCCACCTAACTACTAATCCGCCGGTACGTTGCTTAAATAGGGCTGAGCGAACGGGAAGCCTTGTTTTCAACGTCCTATGGTCGTATGTGAAAGAGATAGATAAAGATATGGTAAATATTTTGGATGAACACAACCATTGATTGTCGATGAGGAGTACATAGTATAGGTCCCATCGCCTCTTCCAAGTATCTCCAATTCCCCTATCGAACCCGTAGGAGACACTAAATCAGATGTCTGGCTCGTCGGCAACGGTTCTCTAGAGGTATGACAAGCCTATAGGGTATCCCTGGCTCTCAGTCGGACGTCAGTCAACAGGAAAGGGCGGCTGCAATCCACCAATTCTTTAGAAACTGAGATGTAGTTGACAGGAAAATGCGAGGATCTTGCAGCCTAATGGACCTTCTGGAGGCTACAATGCTACTGTTTTTGTGGTCGGCTTTGTCTGCTTCCTGAGAGCCTGGCTGTCGATGACGCGGTAGTGAAGTCCTTGGACGTCCTGCGACGATCTTAATATGATCTCGAGCATTCGGCAATATTCATCTGCATGTCGCAAAGCATTCGTGTACGGTATCAGTTTTTCAATGTTGTTGAAGCTTCACAGGAGAGTCTCAATGCGGCGGAGCTTCCTCGCCGGCTCGCTTGCGCCTGCACTTCGCCTCAACGCCCTGCCACTTGCCCAATCAGTCATTCGCTGAGCGATGATACGGGCGCTCACATCACGCGCAGGGCCGCCTTTGACTGCCCAAGCTTGCTGCCATTGGCGATGCTCGGGTGCCCACAGCCCTTGACCGCCATGGGCGCCACAATAGCAGCGCAGTGCACACGTCCTCGTACTTCGGCTTGACGGGCCACCCGCGCTGAGCAGCAGGTGGGATCTTTGACCTCCAATTCTTCACAGCAGCTCGACCACCGTACGGAGGACTATGCAATGCCCGGCATAACGTTCGTCTTCGGGCCAAACGGCTCCTTCTTCTTTGATAGTCCTACAGCATGGAAATTGTGAGCAGGCGGGCTCCCACGGGCGATTCAGGCTGACCGCGCGCACAGCGATTGCCTCCCAGGAACTCTTCGGCAGCTGTTCAATTTGTCCATGGCACCAGCATGGAGGATCGCACAGCCATATTGTGTCGCACTTGCGCCTCAGATCAATTCGCCGGAGCCGCTGTGGTACATTGGCTGTAGAGTTATGACTGGGGAGGACAAGCTGTGTGAGTCTTAGCATTACTCAGGTCCCATCCCGGAAAACGCATGCAAAACCACTAGACGAGTGTCCGATCCGTGCATCGCATGCTGACTTGCTGTAGTGTATTCACAGACATACTTTGAGAATATCTATACAGACTTGGTGCGGTGGACGAAGACGCTACCGAACGCTTCCAGCGCATGCTTCGTGACTTTCGGTCTCAATTTGAGCTACTTTGCATGCGCCCCAGGAAGTGGCTCAATATGGGCAGGCATACCATCTGAACTCGAAGACAAAGTACGGAAGTCATTCGAGACCCCAACGTGCGTCGCGTTGGGATCACACGACGCGTGGTTCGTTCTGTGGCCCAACGGCGACTTCTCGTGGAAATTCAACGGCCACTACAACGCTTTGGATAAGATCTTGACTGAGGCAGCACCTCAATCTGTGTCAGTCAGTATACTCACCAACTCCAAAGACTGTAGGACTGATCATGACCTTAGTACGTTGCCATCTCACAGTACAACAAGCACCACTACTTCGTCGCCTTCCGAGATCAGTCGATCAAGTACGACTTCACTGGGGCGCCGCCTGAGTGGATGAAGCTCATGACGGAGGTGTTTGATGCATGGCGCGCCGAGCGTCTGCAAAAGCCACAGCAGCAATACTTCCCGCCAGCTGGTAACACATATCCTCATGTGCAGCCACGTCAGCCTCCGCAGCCTCAACAGCAGGCTGCCTACTATTGCAACAACACTGTGGTCTCTGAGTTACTATCAGTTCCGGCTCATATTCTTCCTGTGTCGCCACCGTTGACACCAAATATGCCTTTGACTGGGTATCCAAGCCCGGCTCTCTCGCAAGCTGTGCCAAACAATCCCTTTGCTTGCCGACCACCGCCGCAAGGGGCAATAGAAATGCCAGTCGAGCTGCCAGGTAGCGCAACGTTAGCTGCACCAGCGTCCGCGTCTGCTCGAACGATCTCAACAGAGGTAAATGTACCTGTCACCATTCGACAGAAGAAGAAGCGGTTCAAACTGTTCTGATGTACCATAAAGGAAGGCAAGACCAACTCCTCGGCCAAGCACTTACGATACTCATTTGCTTTTCTATACTTCATATCTCAGAAGAATTTGGTAAGCCTGTCTAGCATTCTCGTATATGTGAGCGTCTCATTGTGTTCGTAAAAGCAAGTGCAATGAACAGGCGGTTCAGGATTGCCGGCGTACGATTATCATATTCACATCTCCAATACAAAAGCTGTAGAAAAACTCCTGGCAACGTGAGGTTGCTGTGCTCCCACTCTTGCCCGATAAGCTGACCATGTTTTGATATTGATATTGACGGGAAGAGCAACCCGGACCACGGCCGGATGTTGCAGCCGATGTCGCTAGCCTACATGCCTAACCAACCACCTTCCTTTTCCAAGAGGCAACCTCCCGTTCTCATTCGCTTGTTCCCCAGCAAACGCGGCGGTCTGCAAGGAAATAAAGGGTAGTCCCACAGTACGGCCGGGGAACGCGAGCGTCTGGCGTGCTGCCATCAGTCCTGCCGATGCCGAAAACCATGGATGTCATCGCCGCTGACCAAGCTTGACATGTACAAAAGTAATCGATGGCCGCTCAATGGCCCAACTTCACTTTTCTGTCGCCGCAGCCAGGACGAGAGCAATTCGCCATCATGAAGGTCGCGGAACGAGCTTGGAAATGGAGCGTGTTGTGCTTGCTCGCGACTGTAACCTCGGCTGTCGAACCTACGGTCAAGGTGCTCAATGGCACGTACGAAGGCCATTACCTGCCTGGCTTCAATCAGGATCTCTTCCTTGGAGTACCATACGCGCAAGATACTGGAGGTCAGAACCGCTTTCTGATTCCACAGAGCCTGAACACCACATGGAACGACACGAGGCTGGCGACACAGTACGGTCATGCCTGCCCTGATCCTCAGCCGGAAAGAGATGGCGAGTTTGGTATGAGCGAAGATTGTCTGAGCATCAATATCGTGCGCCCGGCTGGGTTGTCTGTCAAAGAGTCGAAGAAGCTGCCGGTTGCTGTCTGGATTCACGGCGGGTCGTATCAAGTTGGCACCTCCGCTCTTCCAAACTACAATTTGACGTATCTCGTGCAGAGGAGTGTGGAGATCGGCAATCCCATCATTGCGACAAGTATCAACTATCGCAAAGGAGGATGGGGCATGATGTACTCCCGCGAGATCCAAGGGACCGGTAACACAAACCTCGCACTACGCGACATGCGCAAAGGGCTGGCCTGGATATCCGAGAATATCGGTGCTTTTGGCGGCGACAAAGATACCGTGACGATCTGGGGCGAGTCCGCAGGCTCCTTTGCAGTCGGCCAGCTGCTCTTGAGCTACGGCGGCCGAACAGACGGCCTCTTCCATCGCAGTATCCAAGAATCCGGCTCCGCAGCAACAGCTTGGTACAATGGATCGGACTGGTACCAACCCATCTACGACAACATCGTCGATAAGACGAACTGCTCGGATGTGCCGGATACACTTGGCTGCCTCCGCACTGTGCCTTACCAAACTCTTCTCCCGTTGATGACGAAGCCAATCCAGGGGCCAGGATGGTATCCGACTGTTGACGGCGATATCATACCCAGATTCCCAACTGAGCTTTTGCACTCTGGTCGCTTCGCTCATATCCCGCACCTCTACGGCTCCAACTCTGACGAAGGGACGGACAACGCGCCAGCCGGCGGCGTCATAAACACGACCCAGCAACTCTACAACTTCGTCAAAGGCAGCACGGGGTTCAGCTTCCCCGACTCAGTTGTCACAGAATTGTTAAAACTGTACCCTGATGATCCAGCGCAGGGCGTACCGCTCAACACCGGCTCCGAAAGATTTGCGGAGCAAGGATACCAGTACAAACGCATCGCCGCCATCATGGGGGATGTGTTCTACCACGCGCCACGTCTGGACGACGCAAGACAGTACGCAAAGCACGCCCCAACATACATATACCGCTTCAATACGCGCCCATGGCAAGCACCGACCAACACTACTGAGGGCGGGCTGGCACCAGCGTACAAAGGCGTCCAGCACTTCAGCGAGACGCAGTTCGTCTTCGCGAACCCTGCTTTCTATGGCCCGTGGCCTGAGTATAAGAAACTGAGCGACGTGATGAGTGCGCAGTGGGTTAACTTCATTGCAAGTGGCGATCCGAATGGGGAGGATTTGCCTTTGTGGCCGAAGTATAGTGACGGTGAGAAGGGACTGAATCTTGTAGTGCAGGCGAAGGGCAGGGGCCAGAATGGGAGTCATGTGGAGGAGGATACGTGGAGACTTGGAGGGAGGGAATTTCTGAGCGGGTGGGCGAGGAGAAGGCACGTATGAGAGAGGTCCAGGTGTACGGTACCAAGTGGTGAAACAAGAAGTAAGAGTGAATATTGTGTTAGTATGAATTTTTTTAACGTCTGCCTTCGTCCACGTTCCAGTGCCAGCGCAATCCCTTTGCAAAGGCCATATGCGGTGTAACAGTAGTTCAGGATGTACAGACTATCGCGTAGCTCCCACATGGGCTATCGTCTGATGTGGTGGTGGCTGTGTCGAGTGCGAGAAAAAGTTGCGGCCGTTCAAATCGTGGTCGTGTGCGGGAAGAGATATCCTAGAATTTGCTACAGCCTGTAGTGAGAATTTCAATTCGTCCGTACATCAACATGGCTCCGATCGTTCGGTGTGGCAGAAGGCGTGTTCAGAGTCTGAGGAACCGGACACAGCGGTTGCTTGATTGATGCTTTCATTCGTGACTGAACATGATGAGATTTTCCGTTCATGCCTGGTATAACCCTCATCCATATATTTGGGTATCAGGCAGCGGAGGGATGATAGAACGCCCCATGCCGTGCAATACCATTTTGCTGAACCCCTACTCTCTTGTGCGCCTGTCCGAGCGGACTTGATCACGCCGTCAACACCTGTTCATCCTTGTCGGTCTGCGAGACGTTTAGGCGGTCTTGGGACCCTTGGCGCCGGGAGCGGTGCCAGTGCGGAAACCGTTGGAGAACTTGCGGTTGACGGTCTTGAGGTAGCGCATGCGGCCAGAACCAGTGGTCTTCCTGCGCTTGGCCTTCTCGCCCCAGTTGACTACGCTGTGTCAGTTAAGTGCTCGTTTCGAGGATCGTGGGCTGATCGACAGCGCAGGGTCACGTACACTTCCTGGTCTTAGCAGCAGGGTAGCCGCAAGAGGAGCAGGTGTGCTTCTGGATGTGGAGGGAGCGACGACCTGATTTCCATTAGCCGAGTTCTCCATCCGTTGTTTGCTCGTTTGCAGAACCCTTCCACTGTATCTCAGTCAAGGTACTACGGGCATGACATACCGCAACGCCTGCACAGCGTGTGCGTCTTGTTGTGACGCTTTCCGAAACTGGAGGTACCCTTTGCTGCCCGGCTGTCAGTCTCGATGTTCGGTCTCGGGGGTGTCCGCGAGGCGGGTATGCGGCGTACTCATTTTGAATGGGGTCTATCGCAGCGATTGTCAGTACGTGTGCGCAGCGTATGTAGGGTGGATGGCAGCATACCTCGTGACGCTGTTACGTTAGTAGAGGTTGGAAAGTTGCGCGGTCGGCGGAGAATGGAATTTCGAGGAGCCGTGGGCTGCTCTTTCCTCGCTTAGCGATCCACTCCTTTCACGTTTGTCATTGGCCAAACATGCTAGCGCGCAGCCCCAGCTCACCATCAACAAGCTCCACTCCCTCACGACAGTTGAAGGGTCACATCCAGGTGCGCAATCTAGGGTCTTGAATAGACATCTTTCGTGTTGAAGGTTCAAGAGTACAGCGTTACTACCGTACGGGACCTCAGTGGTACACCCGTCGCAGATCTTCAATCGACTTCAAGAGTCGGTTTCTAGTTACGCCAAACAGGAGGACAGGAAAGTAAGCATTGAAGATATCATTCGAAATGTCTTAGGTCTCAAGTCACAAACAGAAAATAAGATGAATATTGAGAAATCATGGCTTCTTGGGAATGGTTGTGCATCGTCTTCATGACATTCATGACATTCGTGAACCCGTGCACCCTGACTAAGCAACATTTTCACGTCCGAACATCCTCATCGAACCATCAAGGTCACCGCGCAGCACCCCAGCAGCTGGCCGTCGGAACAACCCCTCCTCCTTCAACATCGCCAATATGCTTGCTCGAACTCTCCTGACGCCGATGAGGCGCACGCTCCTCGCCCTCCGCACCTCCACCCGCTCAATTCACACCTGCACGTCTGCAACACGGCCAACGCTCTCGCAATGCACCTCTCCCATGCACAGCCTCACATCTCACTTCAACGCGCTCGCGTTACGGAAGCAAGGGCAGAAAAAATCGCTGGTGCAGCAGATACGCGGCATGAAGGTGCGCAGCTCAGTCAAGAAGCTGTGCGACGGGTGTAAGAGCGTGAGGAGGAAGAAGGGACGATATGTGTACATCATTTGCTCGAAGAATCCCAAGCATAAGCAGAGGTATGTTTTTCAGGGTTGCAGGGGAGGAGATTTAAAAGGGAAGTCGAGTGCTACCAGAGCAATGAAGGCTAACGGAGATGCAGGCAAGGATAGACAAATAACGAGGACTATCGAGACGGCTTAAGACTGGGCGGAAGTATGTGTTTGGCACATAGACGACACAAAGGCCATGTGGTAGCATAGAAGAGGATGATGATCTGTATCATGTGTATACATAGCTAGCGTACGAGGGCGTCACATTCGAGAATTGTATAAAGAGTCAACTTCATCACACTATACTGAAGGTCTTCATGTCATAGTATATTCGTGGATCCTTACGCTCATGTTGATTAGAGAACAGGTCTCACACCATCTCAGCCCATGCTTCCACCACTCCTGCTCTCATTGCCCACCAACCCGGCCAGCTTCAGCAACTCATAGTCCTGCTCCTTGTCCCCAGTACCCAAATTGATCCTCCTTCTCGCCTCCGCCTCCCTCTCTTGGAACGCCCACTCCTTTCTCTGTGCCTCGGCAACGTCATCACCCCCACACCCCCATACTTCAATGCTGTCGATCTCGAAGCGGTCCTGCCAATCTTTTGATTTCCTCCCGGGCAGCTTACTCGGGTAGAAGCTCCCACCTCCTTCAGCAAGGTGAGTGAAGACACCGAACTCCAGTGCATCATCAAGATGCAGTGAGACAGGCGCGGGCCGGAACACGCCATACGAGCGGCTGCTTGCCTGCGACTGTGTCGGCACCGGGGTACCAAAACCAACGCCCGCGGGATGCGTAGGCGACTTGTTGAAATAGACGTAATCGCTGCTGAAATTGCTCGCGGAGAAGACGTCATGCGTGGGCGAGAGCTGAAAGAGCTTTGCGGACGGGTCGCCGAAGCACGTCTTGCCTGTGTGTTTCCATTGTGTGGGGATGTAGGCGCCGTAGGTAATTGTCTGATTCGAGTCGGAGATGCTATTTGAATGCCTCTTTGGTGGCAGCATATCTTGCAGGGCGCGTTCGCGGGTGCTGGTGGGTAAAGAGGGGATAAGACGTCCGGATACCAGCAGGATGGTAGGTGCACGCCAGTTGAAGACCTGTTTCTCGAAGGAGCCCATGGAGAAGCCGTGAGTGTTGCCGCTATAGAGGGGACGCAGACATCTGAACAGGTTGCTGCCTTTTATGAAGAACGATAACTGGCTCAGCTTGGTAAGATTGAGAATCTCGCCCGGACTGCGCAAGATCGGTTCGGGATCAATTACTGTCTTCGGTGGTGGTATCACTGGATGTGTTTCTTGCGTAGGAGACGTTGAATCCAACTTCTTTTTCGAGAGATTGAAGTCCTTTGCAAAAAGGAAATGCTCAAACAGAGGGTTTAGACCGTCAAATAGGTATGGTAACGCTGTGGACAAGACGGTATCGAACGTTCGATACGTAATGCCAGGATGCTTGTCGGTGACGAATGAGGATAGCACAACCTTTGCAGTCCGTCTCAGATTCTGGACGCGTTCTTCTGATAGCTCAGGTGCTAATGATGACAGGCTCTGCTGTGCATCAATTGGCGCGATGAGCAATAGTAGCTCAATGAGCTTTAAGAAGTTGTCCGTCGGGATGATCGAGTGGTGTACATTGCTTTGTTCGCCGTGCTTGAAGACCTCCAACGAGTCCATTGAATCGAGCGCTGCCAACACCAGCTCGTCATCCTCGTCTTCGTCCTCTTCTCCCTCGTCCCTGGCTTCGTCCACGGCGAAGCCCATCTTCTCGGCCACCTCCTCTTTCTCGTGTTTTTGCTCTTCCGTCTCCGACTTGATGCCATTGTCATATACAGCCAAGCTCCTGTATATCTCCCTCAACCAGATCTCGCGTCCTCTCTTCTTGAGTACCGCCCCGTATCTTTCGGTCAAGATAGTGACGACCTTTAGGAGCGCCTCGTTCGTAAGAATAGCCGGCGCTTGATTCGCAAATGGGAATGCACCGAGGTAGCTAGCCATCTGGAAGATGATCGACCCTACGCCCAGCGCATCTGGCAGCTCAAGAAAGCGGCATAGTGTGCCTTCGCTCCAGTATTGTACCCCAGATTGGGTGTCTGCCAGCGACCGAAATACTGAATTGAAGCAGTATAGCTCGAGTGGTGTATAGCTCTTTTTTGCGAATGTCTGCGCGAGGTTGTGGCTAAGCTGCTCTGCTTGTTGTCAGCGTGCGCCTCTGTTTCAGATACTGGCCCTTCTATTCGTACCTAGGCAGCTTAGTATTCCACGTACCTAGCGTCAGGTGCTGAGCCTCATGTGAACTTTCCTGACCCATGTTGGCGTGATTGTGTATCTCTGTACCATGTGTTAAAGTCTGTTGTCGTGTTGTGTGCCTAGAGAGCGGTGACGGAATGTGGGGTCATGGTATCGATAAGTTGTAAAGTTGGTCTGACGGCATCATCCCATCTCCAACACCACGAAGGATGGTTTCGACTCTGGAGAGATCAGAAACACCGCATTACACGGGTGCTAAAGCAATGGCTCGATGACGGAAGTGCCCTCCGCGGGGTATGGTTAGAGACATAAGACAATGCTCAGTCCTGCGTACAGACATCCGACTTTCGATGAGCTCATCGAGCAGCGCTCATAGGTATTATACAGACACATCGAGCTTTCTGGGATCTACTGGTCCTCCAAAGCCTCCAGATCGGTCAGGAGATGAATGCCTCAAAATGCGCTGTACAGGCGTTCATTTGACCACAACTATGATCATAAAACACATCATAAAGTTCCAAGTTCCATCAAGTAACCAACACGGAGTCAATCAAGACACACTCTAATATTAGCAGATGTGCCTCTGAACAAAGTATATTTAATTCACCACCGCCTCTAGCAGCTGTGAAGACGGTAGAGATAGATGTGCTCAGAAGATTCAAGAACAAGAACTCTCTGTCGAAAGGTCAATATGCTTGGTCTGACAATGCGCGTTCAGGGCGAGAGGGCGTACCGGTAATGCGCGTCGCGAGAGTCCCGAAGTTCCGTCTCCGACTTCCCCAACGCCGCGCTTGCCCATTTTGCGCAGGGTTCAATCTCTTGCCGCGAGAAAGCTTTTCATTGCTAATCTCCTATGCAGGAGGCACCCAATTACGACGAGGAAACAAAGAGAATTTGGACGGTAAACCCGCGCGCAGTGACGTTGTACGACCTTGCTCGGAGCCGTCTCGCTCGCGTTTACGAAAGGCCGAGCACCTGAAACCCTTTCCAAATACAGCCTCAAATGATCGCTACACAGTAGTGAATTGCACGAAACAACCTTTGCTTCTTATACCATCCCCCCTGTTCTGCAGAACTTGATTGAGCATACCATACCTGAGATACCAACCTTCTCTACGACTTAAGAGCAATCGCGCTCCGGCACGCAATCCTCCTGAGCTAGCAAATTTCAACGAATTGTGCCGCTGAGGAGCACTCTTAACATTCCGGCAGGCGAGAACCAACCACAACAATCTCCCAAATGTCTCAGGGCGCAAGCCTGGTCAACTCGGACGAGGACCTCGAGAAGCCTCATCAGCCCAGGACCGACATCGAACAACCTCAACTCCAACTGGACGAGAAGCCTGCAGGAACACAGTCCACGGCGCCCAACAATGAACCAATCAACCCTTTTCATCCAAGCCAGTTCCCAGATGGCGGCAAAGATGCATGGCTTTGTCTAATTGGAGGCTTCTGCTGCCTCTTCTGTTCCTTCGGTTGGATCAACTGTCTAGGTGTCTTCCAGAACTACTACCAGGCCAACCAGTTGCGCGACTACTCACCGTCATCCATCGCCTGGATCGCCAGTATTGAGATCTTCATGATGTTCTTCCCCGGACCTATCGTTGGCTGGGCTTTCGACAATTACGGCCCCAGGTACCTCCTCATCTTTGGTACTTTCTTCCACGTCTTTGGTCTGATGATGACCTCGCTATGCACAGAGTATTACCAGTTTATCCTGGCCCAGGCGATCTGTAGTCCACTGGGTTTGAACTGTATCTTCAACGCCGCGACCAGCTCGATTCCCACATGGTTCTTGAAGAAGCGTGGCGCTGCGTACGGCATCATGGCCGCCGGTTCTGGTCTCGGAGGCATCATCATCCCGATCATGGCATCACACCTGATCCCAGAAATTGGCTTCGGCTGGACGATGCGCTCGATTGCCTTCATGCTTCTCGGTCTCCTGGCTATTGCTACCTTGACAATCAAGTCGCGCCTACCGCCACGCTCCCGGCCCTTCAGCCTCCCCGTTTTCCTCGAGCCATTCAAGGATACACGTTTTGTACTGCTCACAGCGAGTTCATTCTTGTTCTTCATGGGCCTCTTTATCCCAATCAACTTCATTGAGGTCCAAGCCATCGCCGACGGCATGAGCGTGCGGCTTGCAGGCTACCTTCTCGCTGTGCTTAACGCCGCGAGTATCTTCGGTCGTATCATTCCTGGTGCGCTGGCGGACAGGGTTGGAACATTCAACATGCAATCGCTTTTCTGCACTGTTGCGGGCATCATTGTACTCGCGCTTGGTTTGCCAGCGAGCGGTAATGCGGCGTACATTACTTTTGCAGCTCTGTACGGTTTCGCATCGGGAGCGTATGTGTCTCTGCTTCCTGCACAGATGGCGCAAATCTCTGAGGTGCATCAGATTGGAGTGAGGGTCGGTGTCAGTTTCGCTGTTGTCTCGTTTGCGGGTCTTATTGGAAACCCTGTTGCTGGTGCAATTGTGTCGCACAACCATGGCAAGTACTGGGGCTTGAACGTTTTTGCTGGAGTTTTGCTCATGGCTGGCGCAAGCTTGTTCACGCTGACGAGGTTCTATGTTGCTAGTTCGAAGATCTATGTAAGGGTTTGAGGGTTTGCCAAACGTTGTCTCATGCACACGTCGTGTAGAATGATAGACGGTAGAAATTTATATATGTTAGCGACAGATACCACTCGACATAATTCACCCAACTCAATTATCTCATGGAAATCTCTCCCGTGTTTTGATTTAGGGGCTTCAGTGTGCTGAACTCACACCTGCACACCCTGTCTTCCCTGCAGCTGCTGGTATGAAGAGCTTGAGTAGGTTCTGCCCTCAAGCTCCATTCTCTTCAGGATGAAGTCTGCAAATGCAAATGCTGTACACAGTCAGTTATCTACGTTCCTCGAATATAAGAGTAAGCGTGCCAACGTACCTGATCCAGTACCAAGCGTGTGGTGTCCATGCATTGACGCAGCACTGCCTGCGAGTGCCCATTGCGCCTCCTCTCGTGCTTCAGGCGTAGTCAAATCAACGCCGAATTCCTAACGACATTAGCTTTACGAGGCATCAATCAAAGATGCTATTTACTTGTGAGCAGTCTGTGATGAAAGTAGCAGCGTCGTGAGAGTTCTTCATCTCAGCCTTCAGGGGCGTGTGCTTCGCGAAATGTGTGACATCGAGCTTGGGGTCAAGGTTTTTGAGAAGCAGGACAAGGGCGCTGGCGATTAGATCGCGTTGCGGACTCGAGTGATCAATGGGATCTGTGTGAGACGCTTGGGCAGTCCGAGGGTCGATCGACATGATTTTGAGAGTCTTTTGAGTGTAATGATCAATTGTGGTTTGGATGAAGCGATGTATTGTTTATGCAGAGGATAGGACATGCGATGTATTTACAGCGCGATAGTGGTGCGACTACATTATCTCACGGCATGCGTCACTGCTCTTGACGTTCCTGTGATAGCGCCAATGGTATGGTGTCAAGCGCGCCGCGCCGGTCTGGCAAGGGCCGCGGCGCTGGTGGTGTGGCAGGGCATTTCGCTTTCGGGCGTGATCATGCGATGGTACGATGCCCATTCAAGGAGGCCAAATAATTTGGAGAACTCGAAAACAAGCCACTCATAGCACCGCAGGTGTGATGGATTCGGAGTGTGATCCGAATAAAGGATGGTGAGGCCTCTTCGCAAAGCTTCGGTTCATGACGTTATGCCAAGGGCTTTCCAATGATCGTTCCAAGCGCGTGAGAAAGGAACACTACTCCATGTGTACAGTCCAATCGGTGGTATGTAATTTTCTTTGCAAATTGATTGGTGGCTGACTTGTTTACAGCCCTGGTTCACCATTGCTTTGTCTTCTTGAAGATAGGCACCTTCTCAAAGTCATCGACACTCCATTTCAGGTTACCTTCCTTGTCAATCCACGCCCCGTCGTCACTGCTCTTCAGCTCCCTGTTCTCGTTCTCTTGAATCTCCTTCTTGCTTACACCCATATCATCTTTAGCCAACCAGATAACTGGTGCTTGACTAGTGTAGGCTGGGTGAAGGTATGCTTTGCGGATGTCCTCGTCACTGTACTCTGGTACATTGTCTTCATCGAAGTCTCCATCGCGGAGCCACTGTTTCATCGCTCTATGGCTTGCAAAGATGTGTGGCTCAAAGAATCGGGCAATTGGTCCAGTAACTTTGGGCGAGACGTTGACAGCGCTGCTGATACGATGGATCCGCGATTCCTCACGCTCGAGAGCTTGAGCTTGGCCCTCTTCTGCTGCAGACAAAAGTGGGGCTTCTTCACTGTCTTCATTGCTACTGCCATCGAGTGCTAGATCGGTAGGCAGGTATTGTTCAAGTGGCGCGAAGTGGCGGTTGGTAATTATAGTGAAAATGATGGTGACGATGAGCAAGATGCCAAGCAGGACCGTAGGCCCAAATGCACCTCGAAGACTGAACAATCCAATCAAGCATAGCTCGGCGATGTAGACTCCAGTGAGCATGTGCTGCAACGAAAGTGTGTAGCAGTGTCCCTTAGTATCGATCTTTGGTTGTGCAGTATAGAGCAGCATGTAAAGGTAGCTGAAATAGAACAGGACGAGACCAACGGCAGCGAATCCGAGGACCAAAGGCGCGATGCAAGAGTACACGATGGCTGAACTTTGTCAGTAAGAGGCCACTGCCAGTATAGATAGACACTTACCAATAATCACGAAGTTGACATACTTCGGGTACAACTTGCCCCATTGCATACTTCGCAGCGTAGTATAGCTGTTAAACTTCTGGCGAGGGGTCTTGTCGAAAAATTTGTCGAAGAAGAGGAAAGAAAGAACGTCGGAGTAGTTCAGGAGATTATCGGATGCGCTGGTAAGACCTTGTACAACAAAATAGGTGAGGTAGGAGTTAGAGGCCCGAGGCAGGCGTTCTGCGAGTAGTTCAGGCACTTTACTCGGGTTCTTCGCGATCTGCGAGATAACTGCAGCAGCCCCAGACGAGAGGGAAACGACCAAAAAGACCTGCAGAACCTGGAAAACGTAGTACCACTTGAGGACCTTCAGCTCCGTTGAGGTCTTGGTTGGCTCGCCGAAGGTTGTAAAGATGTCTGGTTCGTCAGCAAGCTACATATACGGCGGGAAACCGAGGAATACTCACATCTGAAGATTTTTGGGATGTACTTGCTTAATGCGCTGAGAAGCAGAGGCGGTACTAGCCCGGTGAGAAGATTGATGATGCTGTCTGGCAGCTCGTTGAGAAAACCCAAGAATTCGAAGTTCTCCGCCAGATATGAAACATTTGATACGGCACCCACGAACGCAACTGGTATAGACCAGAATATGATCAGGGCAATGACAAGACCATGAGCAAGTATCCTTTGGGATATGCGACGAGTTGGCACCATGGTGAGATTGTCCCAGAAGACCTCGCTGGGCGAAATACCAGTGAACCGCGGTGTGAGAGACAGTATGTCTGACGTGGTGACTTGTTGATATGCTTTCTGAGCTGCAGACTGCGTGCGAAATTGGACGAAGACTGCAGCTGCGCCATGATGGTTCTGCGCGGTCGCATTGGACTCTCGGGCCTTGTTAATCTCTTCTTCTTTCTCCAGTAGCTGATCGCGGGAGAAACTAATGCTGTCGACCTGCTTGCCCACCGGTTTTATGGTCTTGAGGCGCTGGGTTGGTCTCAGTGATTGCTTCACGCTATCAGGAAGGCTGCCATAGGTAATTCTCTGTCCGTTATGCCTGGACTGACTCCTTCGACCTTCTTCATTGACTTTCTGGATGAGCGAGATCTCAGCAGTCTCGAGCTCATTGACCTTCGAATCCCTCGATGAAACGAGGCTTTGCAGCTTCTCTGCTTTCGTCACAGGCCAGACCTTGACAGCGTCGTCGCCGAAGAAGCGTCGCATGTTACTTTGATCCAAGGCTGCTGTCGGCGCTGACAAGAACAGTACTGTTTGCGAAGACAGTCTGTTCGCATTGCGCTTTGACAAGCTCCACGCCTGTCGAAGCCCGATGAGCCAAAGTCGCTCCCTGGCGACCGTGAACATTACGAAACTGAAGAAGACCCAGGCAACGATGGCATGGGCGTAGAAGTACTTTTTATCCGCAACGTTTCCAATCGATACACGATCCAGCTCGTTGCCCGTTCCACCACCAGCAGCATTGATCGGCATCAGGATTGGCCAAGTCAGCACACAGCCCACGACACAAATGAAGATCATGGTCCGAAGGAAGCGCAGAAAGAGGTACGAGTCGATAGACTGGTGATACAAAGTGAACTTGTCTGGAACGACCCGCATCGTGTGGACCCAGCCCCAGTATGAGCGGCTCTGACATGGTGTGTGGTCTTTCTTTGGTACTGTTCCAAGATACGTCCTGGGGAAGTAGATCTTTGGGAACTTCGGCCTGACTACTACAAATGCTGACACGAAAAGAGCAGCAAGTGTGAAAGTTGGTACGAAGGCCGCGGCCACAGTCTTGAACGAGGAGGGTCCGCTTGACTGATAAGAGAGTCAGTATAAATTCAACTCTGCATGTAGCAAGTGTTGATGTAGCGATGGATCGATAGATATGGGCGCTGTGATCCATACTAGTGAATGCATGATCCCGAGGATGTATGAAGAGAAACCTGCGCGTGAGGACGTACCGATTTACCGCCAGTATCGGTACCATTGCTGGCAGCTATGATCGACTGGAAATCCATTTCGCTACAGACGCGCGAATGCGGGATACTTGGCCGAGTATCCGGAGCTACGTCATTCCCTTGTAAGGCGAGAAGGTACGATACGAAGTTGATCGAAGAAAGAAAATAGAAAAAATTCGAGACTCGCCCAAGAGACACAATGAGGATGTGTGTAGGGATACAGCGAAAGCTTAGTGTTGATGAACAGGCGAGATGTTTGGCTGCCTAGACGGGTGCATGACGTCGCCGGTATGTGGCCGTGCACTACTCAGCCGCGGACTGTGCAAGAGCAACCATTGCGATATTCCATGCACATTACCAAACATACGATCACTGACCAAGGCACCTTGACTACAGCGACAGCTTGTAGTCATGCCTCCAACTCTCTAAGACTCATCATCGGTACACCACGACCAGGTAAAGCCCGCGGTCGCTGTAATGTGGCGTTACGCGTATCGTGATATCCAAATATCAAAGACATTCACAGAAATAGTACCCTCGGCTTTACAAATGATCCGCTTTAGCCAAGAAGGGACGAGCGTCTTGAACTGAAGAGTTGATTTGAAGCCTGGAAGGTGGTGTGGTCCATGAGGAAGGCTTCGCTTGGCTCTGATCTTCCTCTACAACTCCCTGTTGACACCCTCCAACCGGTGTTTAAAGTCCTCCTCAGGAATCCTCTGCACCTCCTCAGTCTTCTTCACCTCAAATCCCGCCCTCTTCTCCCACCCCCTCAACGACTCCGTATGGTCAGCCCGCTCATCCACTTCCTTTAACGCGTCTCCCAGATACCTCTTCAGTAGCCCAGGCAACTCCGTTTCGAACTGACTGTTATCCATGAATTCCTGCGTGATGCCCAAGTCCTTCACGAGTAGCGCAAGCCCAAACCCAGAGTTGAATGTTCTCGGCAGCGCATCGCGCCGAAACGTGTCCAGCGTGGGGAAGCATACGCCCGTCCCGACGTTCAGCACGTCGATCATCTTCTGCGGATCCAGACCCCATTTCTGGCCTGTTACGAGGCTATCGTTCAGTGCGCAGATGCTGGATGCCATGATGTAGTTGTTGAGTGTTTTCATGGCGTGGCCAGAGCCGAGGGGACCCATATGGAATAGGTAACCTGCCATTGCTGAGAGTACGGGCTTGACGGCCTCGTAGATCTCGGGAGAGTCGGCGCCAACCATGAGTGTCGATTCGCCGGCGTCAGTTGCGTGCATGTAGGTTTGTGTAATGGGTGCGTCGACGAGTGTGAGTTTGTGTGCGGCAAGTTCGCGGCCGAGGGACTGTGTGTCGAAGGGTGAGGATGAGGAGGTGTCGACTATGATTGTGCCTATCTACTTTTAGCAGGTAGGCGGATAAGAGGAGTGTGCTCACTGACCAGGCTTGAGTGCTTTGTCGATCCCCTTTCCAATGATGACTTCGCGGACCACCTTGCCTTGCGGTAGCATGGTGACAATCATGTCGCAGTCCTTGAACGATTCGGCACTACCATCGGAAGCTGTAGTGTTCTTCCATTCCTTTGCAGCCTTCTGTACTCTCTCAGTGTCAATATCGTATACTACTACGCTGAAGCCGGTTTTGGGGAGGTTTGATGCCATGGAGAACCCAGCGTTGCCGAGGCCGATGTAGCCGACCGTTTTAACGGTTGTGGGTGCTCTTGATGTATCCATTTTGGGGTCGCAATATGTGTAGGCTCTGTTATGTGACAGTGTGTCTCAATGGTATCTTTCTGATCCTTCTTGGAAGTCTGCTGGTGGTGGAAAGGCAAGACTGCCATATTTGCGAATCGGACTTCTCAGCGGGATCAATCACGGAGTGTAGCCTTTCCCTCCTGTCAAATCCAAATCCTCGCGGTTATCAGAACTTGCGGGGAGGTGACTTTGCGGGGAAGCTGCCGTTTGGTACGCTAGCGGCTGGATTTCGACACCATTGCAAACCTCGCGGGAAGAATGCTGTGTTAGCTTCTCGATTCGCAAGATCTGCGTCGTAAGTGTAAAAATTTCACCTCTTCGTGCAGACTTTGGGGTCCATATGCTTAACTTAGAAAATGAGCATCAGCACCGCGACAAGCAGCGAGGAGCAGCTTGCCAAAGGGGTCAAGTGTTTCCACTTCCTTTTCATTGCTCCACCTTTCGGTGAAGTACATGTATGCAGTAAGACCATCATCGTCGAGCAGTTCGGGAAGAGCAATATTGTTCTACTCATCGGGAGCACTCTTCCACGCTTGTAGATCTTTCGTGAATGGAATCTGTGCAAGAACAGGTACCTGATCAGCAAGACCGCCTCTTGTATTCAGGCTCCAGACACAGCTCACGAATAACGACATCGTGATCGTGCGCCGGAGCGATTCGTTGCAGACCCACGTCTCGTAGCAGTTCGCGAGCAAGGCTGGTTCATTGAACAATCACTTCCACGGGTGTGCAGCCCTTGTCTTGTGAGGTAGTTGTGCTCTTGTGCCTGGGCCTGGTCGTTCAAGCTGGGACCAAAGACGCGCATGACTTGATAAACGATCAAGGTCTGTACAACTGCGAGGTGTTCACAAGATCCCAATCACCTGGCGCTGCTCTCGACCTCGCGATCCTCGCATTGCCGCTGTTCGTGACCAAGGAGGTGTTCGCACTCGTCTCGCAAAGGTCAAGGGCGGATATTGACACACAATCTTGGTATGGCCCGGGTTGATACCTATCGCTGGTTCTGGTGCAGGAATGACGTCGACCCAGTGAGGGTATGCCATGGAGGCCACAAATGAGCGCAACGCCTGCAAAACGTACCGAATCTGCCCATCATTCAAGTACGACAGCACAGTGATCTCCGGCCACAACGTCCGTTGAAGCAGCGGATGTACAAAGGGAATGTTGTCCAGCAACAAACTCGCCGAAACCGCAGGCTGCTCTGACCTGGAACCGCTCGAGCTCGCGTTCGAACTTCCTGACGCGCACAATAAAGGTCGACCATCGCAACCAAGCGAATCGGTGTTTGCGCCGTTGAAAGACAGGAGTTCGGGTGCGCCAAAGCCAGCGACGACGTCTGCGCTAGGTGAGCCCGGCGTCGAGTCCGGCGACGTGGTGCGGACAACCACCTTCCAGTCGACGATTCGAAGATGTCGGATACGCGCAGTCGAGGCAAGCGGTGCAGCTTTTCCTTTTTTTCTGCGCGGCGCGGAGATGTAGTGCATTGTGGGAGCGGTGGAGATGTTCTCCGAGGAATCAATAGTCGCCGTCACGCATGCATACCCTGGAGATACATTATCCTGAAGAATTTGAATGCCTGTTGCTTGCGTCCGCTGAGAATTCCACCTGACTCGGCGTCTGGTGATGCAGGGGAGTTCCGCGAGGTTGTGCATGGCTTACATGCAACTGCTTGGCATCCTTGTATGCGTGACCCGGAAAAAAGGATATGGCCATGGCCGCATTACTGTCGATATGTCTCCATCAAGTCTGCCTTTGGAGAGCACAGACACGCAGAGTGCGAGCAACAATGACGAAGCCACAACCCCACCGGCAACTGAGATCACGAGAGGCTGGTGCAGGCTGGTCGAGGTGGAACATTGATGCAGGGCGTGAGCGGATCACACGCTCTGGTACAGCAACACCTGCACCCACAAACTCAATCTAGAAGCCAACATCGATCTCACGACCCATCGTTACGCGTAGTCATGCATCTGGCGGTCCACAGTATTGTCCACTCTCACAACTCACCAGACTGAATTGCTTCTGCGAAGCTGCGGCGAAGTCGCACCCACGTGCCCCAATTAGAATTAGATTTCGCACGTTCGATCACGAAACGCGGGCCTGTCTCTGCGCGAGCCAAGCCCAAACCGACGCGCGCTGAGTCCAGATCAGGAAGGGCGCCGCCCGATTGGCGGGCTTGCTAACGTCATGGCAGGTCCGTGACTTTCACATGCCTGAGGAGCGCCATGAGCTGCGAGCGGACAGCGGCCCCACTGCGCCGCCTCACCTTCTCGTCTCAGCTTGGGGTGGGCAGGCTTTCTCTCTACACTGCCAGACGTGCACTTGCCACTACTGCTTGAAGAGAAAGAGAAAGGGATAAGATTGTGTTTTGCGCTTTGTTGGTTGGACTAGCTGTTTTTCCGGCGACTAAGACCGTCTCACCTGACCACTCCGCATTGTCTCACGGTCACGATCACCGACTCCAGACGGGATAACAACACCACACATCGACATGGCCGTTCAACCAGTCGATTCGGCGGGCGCGAAGAGGGCAATGTATCTGCTCATGGGGATCCCAGACCGGTTCAATGAGTTCTGCCATATGGATCAAATCACATTCGTTCAGCTGGCGGACTGGATCCTGAACAACGTCGAGTCGCAACTGGCCGCCAACGTCAGCATCGAAGAGAGCCTGTTCGTGTTCCTAGATATTGTTGCGCAGGGGAACAGCTTCAGCAGCGCGGCGTACGGTTGGGATCACGATGTCCAGCTCATACAAGGGTATGCCAAGCCAGCCTGCTGGTGCTAGTCAAGTCGCTGACCGTGTTGATGCAGCATCTTCCTCAATGTCCTCAATGCTCTCACAGTCCTCCGCGAAAGCAGGGAGATCTCGTCAGAATGCCCGACCCTGAACGCAACCAAGAGCCGCTGGCGGATCGCAAAGATGTGGCGGCCGGGCCGATCGAGAACGGACGGCCTCGTCAAGGTTGGCAACGATGGCATGTCCGGCGACGGGCTTGAAGTGGACCAAGAAGCGCTTAAGCAGGCTTTGCTGGCGGTCAACAACTTCATGCACGAGCGTGAAGAGTACGAGGATCTTGAATGAGCGGAAGCATTTGCATATTCGGCGTTTTGGTTCGGCGCAACGGTAACGATGACGGTAACGGAACAGGCATTGCGACGGTTTGGGTGTCGGTATTGGGTGTCGAAAAATCTCGATTGCGTATTCGTCTCGTTTGTATGTATGTCGCTCGGTGTCGATTGCGACGGTGGTTCCAATGAACACCACTTCTCTCTTCAGTTTTCGCCTCTGCTCGTGATATGCCTCTCTTGTCCTGTAATTATTCCTCAACTGTCCAGGGCCATAGCTCCTACTGTCCCAGGCATCAGTACGCTCAGTCTTCCCTTCTTGATCCCCAAGCTGTTCTCAATCCGCGCTACTGGCTCGCCACGCGACTGCCTCATCAAGGCCAATGTAATGACACCAGCATCCACGTACTTCCGCCCCTCAAATCCTCTCCGCCCAACATTGCTGATCTCTCCCTCTGCCTCATCTGCTATTCGCTGTCTTGCTTCAAGCACTCGGAGGACAGGGTTGTTTCTCGGATCCGGGAATGCTGATTGTGGCGGCGCCTGCATCATGTCGCCGAGTAATTGCTGCGATTCATTTGGGCGCCGCGATTGGGGCTGAGGGTCGAATTGCGATCGTGACGTCGGCGAGTAGTGAGGGTTGGGCTGGACGGCACCGAGACTGCTCAGGCGTGATGCGAAGGCTGGATCACGCACGTCCATGTCGACTACACCTCCTAGAGAATGTCAGTATATGACCTGCGGCCCCTTAAAAATGCATGTTTACCTGCTGGCTTTGTCTCGCTGAACTGTGGTGGCGGCTTCACAGTAGGTCCCGGAGCAGGCGGTGCCTGCCGCGGTGTGGGAGGCGCGGGCGCCCGAGCTGTGACATTGCTGGGAGGTGCGCGAGTAGGGTATTTGCGAGCTGCAGCGCCGACGGCGCCGGCGGCTTTTGAGGATGAGCTTCCCATTGTTTGTATGCGGGGTTATCAGTGTGAGCTGGGGTTGTTGGTTGTTGAGATGCAAGGCATCGATAACGTCAGTTAGGCAACTTTTAGGGCATGGACCCTGGCACGTGCATGAAGTCATCACATTAGTCCCCAGTATGCTACAGTATATTCGAGCAATGGAAATTTTCGTCAAATGCCTTCGACTGAATATGTCATACGGTGCTAGCAGAAAACTCTTGTACTCTACGGACTCGCCGCATCCTCACGGTAGTGACCTGCAACCAAGAATGCCAGCTCCAGCGCCTGCTTCTCGTTGAGTCTAGGATCGCAGAAAGTGGTGTAGTTGTGGCTCAGGTCCTCATCATCCAGCCCTTGACTTCCGCCAGTGCACTCTGTGACCGCGTCGCCGGTAAGCTCGAGGTGCATACCGCCCAGGAAGGAGCCGTGCTGCTTGTGAATCTTCAGGGCCGAGGACAGCTCAGAGAAGATGTTGTTGAAAGAGCGAGTCTTGATGCCGGTCGATGTGCTGCGCGTGTTTCTGGAAACGTTAGCTATGAGTCTTGTCTTCAGAAAAATGGACTCACCCGTGCATGGGGTCGCATTGCCAGACAACGACGTGCCCGCTGCTCTTGACAGCTTCAATGTGCCCGCCCAACATCGACTCAACTTTATCCGCTCCGTAACGTGTAATCAGTGTGATCTTGCCGACGTCCTTCCTCGGGTTGACAATGTCGAGCAGCTCGATCAACTCGTCATTCTTCATCGAGGGCCCGACCTTGATGCCGATCGGGTTCTCGATACCGCGGAAGTACTCGACATGGCCGCCGTCGATCTGTCTCGTGCGGTCGCCGATCCAGATGAAGTGTGCTGAGGTGTTGTACCAGCCCTTGCCATCTGTGGAGGTTTGAGCACCGGGGTGACTAGCGGGGTGTTTGAGTCTTCTTGTCAGAGCAGTCTCGTACTCCAAGACAAGACCTTCGTGACTGCTGTACAAGTCGACGGTCTGCAGCTGCCCTGAAGTGTCTGCGCCAATGGTTCGCATGAAGCGAAGGGAGTCGGAAATACTGTTGACAATGGCAGTGTACTTTGCTTGCAGCTCCTTGTCGCCGACATGTCCAAGGCCCCAATCCATAGGGTTGTGCAGATCGGCAATACCACTCGCTAACTGAGCACGGATGTAATTCATAGTCGTAGCCGAGTGGAAGTACGCGCTGACCAGCCTCTCGGGGTCGACTTTGCGGTGCTCTGGCTCGTAGCCATTCAGGATGTCACCGCGGAAGCTGGGGATCTCCTTGCCATCCACGATTTCTGTAGGACTCGATCTCGGCTTAGCATACTGCCCAGCTATCCGCCCAATGCGAATGACGGGCTTGTTGGAGCCCCAGATCAGAACAAGAGACATCTGGAGGAGGAGTTTGAGTTTGGCGTCGATGGGATCCTCGGCGCAGTAGGAGAAAAGCTCTGCGCAGTCACCACCTTGTAGAAGAAACGACTTTCCCAGGGCTGCATCGCGGAGGCTTTGTCTGAGTCTCCAAACCTCCGATGGGGTGACAATTGGTGGGAGTTTCGAGAGCTGCTTCAACGCCGCATCTGCTGCTGCTTGGTCCTCGTACTTGACTACTTGTTTGATAGGCTTCGCTTGCCAGGCTTCAAAGGTTAGAAATGCCCGGCTTGAGAAGTGAGGTCTACGAACACGTTGGTGACCAGTTGTCGAATTGGCCATTCGAAGGCTGAGGCTGTGATCCTCCCGTCATGTATTGCTGGAGGTAGTTGTTCAGGCGGTCCATTGTCTCGTCGGCCATGGCGGCGTGAATGTGCTCAGGTGAGGCTTTGAAATTGTCAGTATGTAAAGTCGGGGAAGTAGGGGCTCAAGCGTTGCTGTGAAATAAAAGACGACTTGAGTCACTATTCAATCTCGAGTATATGAAAGCTTCAGCAAGGGTGTTGCTGCAAAATGACCTCAACAAAGCCCATGCGCGCATGACTCAATTTGGACAACTGGGCGCGCAGAGGCTGCATCCGCAAAGCCTGAAAGAACATGTCTCTCTCTCTGAGCGTGTGTACCACGTACCTGAGCTGTGCTGACTGGCAAGGGAAGGATCACCGACTAGGAGAGATCTGGATATTTCTTTACCCGTCCGTTTGTGTAGAGTCCTTGTTCTACTGTGCGGGACCTCGAAAAAGTATAACCCGGTCTAGAGGAATCTCGCAACGAATGGCGGCCCCTGATTTATATCATTGGTCAACCGCAAGGGATTACCGAGCTCGGTCTCTAGCTTACCCCGGGCCACGCCCCACTCCTACATCATAGCAGGCACAGTCGTAGTGAAACCGCGCTGCACAGTTCGAATCTGATCGAATCTCACTTGAGCTCAGCTGATCACCTGGTACTTGACATGGCCGAGCCCCAACCATCAGAGATCCAAGAAGGCGCCGCAGTCGCGCACGCCCCAACAGCGACGGCGGCTGATCGCAAAGCCGCCGCCACACTCTCTTCGCTCGACGCACAAGACGATAATGGCGGTGGCAAGAAAGGCGTTGAAGGCAAAGCGCTGGATCAAGCTATGAAGAACCTGAACGTGAAAGATGCCAAGGTTGAGGCGAAGACGGATGGCAAGGTCGAAATGGCTGATGTCAACTTGCTGGTGGGTGTCATGTAGTCCAGGGAAAGCGTTAGAGCTGACAGTGCATAGATCAAGGAGCTCAATGTGAATAAGCAAACGGCCACAGATCTGCTGAAGAGGTATGAGGGCAGTGCGGTAAAGGCTATGAGCGCCTTTGTCGCGGGGAGAGCTTAAGCACGAGACATGCATCGTTGCATTCCATCATGATCCACACGTGTATATACATCCAAGTCCACTCTTCCACTACTTCTCGCCCACCACACTCAACGACTTCGAGCCTACACGTCTCCTCTCCCGCTCCTCAAACTTGGTGTTGATCTGCGTCTTCCACCGTCCGTACAATTCATACCCCACCACAATGATGATCGGTATCCCGACAATAATGCTCGTGACCTGTCTGGCTGCCTTCTTGTACTTTGGCGGCAGCTTTGTGTTGGGCATTGGCTCGATGATGCGGGTTGGGAAGCGGGGAGCTCGTGGCGGCGCCCTGGGCGCGGGCTCTGCGAAGGCGGTGCGTGGCTTGGGGAGGTCGGAGTATGGCGAGGGCGCTGTGAGAGGGTTGCGGGGGAGTGGAATTGTGGTTGCGCGTGGCTTTGGTGGAGTGGTGTTTGCGCGCTCGCTCGGGGCTGCTGTCGTAGGTGCGATGAAGGGTTTCGAGGGCGCTTCGTTTACGGGCTGTTGGATCGGCGCTCCAGTTGCTGAGCTGGAGGACGGCGGTTCGTAATGTGTTTCAGGCACTTGTGTAGGTGCTGCATCTGCGCCGACAGGTGTTTCCGCGGCAGCGGGCAGGATTGGGGCGACTGGCGCCGGGCCAGGTACGGGAGGGAGGAAGGGCTCTTGAGGCTCTGTTGGTGGTTTGCTGAAGGCTCGTGCCGCCTTGACCTCGTCTAGAATCTTGCTACCTGTCGGTGTCGCCGGTGTAGCTTGTTCCGCGATCTTTGCGGGCGCAGCTTTGCGCGCAGGTGTTTTGGTCTTCGTCTTGTAGTCAGACACCTTCGTCAAAGCCTCCTTCTTCTTCTTGAGAGCATCCATTGTCTTGGCCTTTGAAGTCGCTTTCGGCGCAGCCTTTGCCTTCGTCGATACCTTCCTCGCCGCAGGCATCTCGGGCGCAACAGCGTTCTCATCGACGGCCTTCCTCGGCCTCCCACGCTTCTTCATAGCAGGTGGGTCGACGGTGACCGTTGCGGACGTTGCGGCAGCCATTGCGATATGATTTAGGCAAAAGTAACAACGTGGAGGATGGCGATCGGGACGATCAATGTTGCGACGCGGTATAGGGGCTGTGGGCGCGTCGAGGAGTACCAGCTAATAATGTGGTCGTTGTAAGAAAATGGCCGAATATGCAGGGATTCGCGTCTGAATATGAGGTCATCCGGGCTATTTTCATCTCTCCTAGACGCGCAACCTTGCCCCAAACAAACATTGTCATGAAGTCAACAAACTGTCGTGACAGCCTCCAGGCTACTGTTTCGGTTATTTGACATTGTTCTGTTTTTGTATTTATTGTATCGATGCTAGTAATGTCTTGCATACCCAGCTCCATCTTCAGCGTTACGACATAGTGTATGTGTATCATCTTCCGCTCTATGCCCAGAACCATTAGTCTAAACCCTAAAACATGCTTCTGTCTTATATGAAAGCCGGCTTAAAGCGACAGAACGACCCTGTAGGTGAAATCCATGCATGAGAAGGAGGTGAAAGGTATTGTTTACCCAAAGTAGCTCTCCTGGAAATTAACCGCGCTCTTCTTGCGTCGCAGCATACCTCTTGCGCCAGAAATATCGAGCACAAGCCCTGCGTTGCTTCCACGCCTGCTGTGTACGGGACTCCTGTTGGGAGTCGAAGGTGTGACAGAACATAGAGACTCCATGTGGGTGGGTGTTGGAGGCTTGAAGCTGACTTCAGGTGCTGTAGGTCCAGATGGGTGGTAAAGGCGCTTGTAGCGGAGCTCAGGCGAGCTCGGTGCAGGCACATTGCTAGAAGCTGGAGTCATCTTGAGGTTGAGTAGTGTGCCGATATGACGATCAGACGAAGTCGATATCGCGGGCGTCGCAGGAGCGGAGATGGTAAGTAGAGACGTATGACGGGTAGTTGGCCATAGTGTCGGGCCATACGAAGATGGTGATACGATAGGTGATGGAGAAGAAAACACTTCAGAAGTGTCCGAGTCTACCTCTGCGTAGTATTCTTTGTCGGATGAGTCGTCAAGGTTGGTGGATGTTGATATGGTGTCTGACGTACGGTTGCCTGATGGAATAGGAACTTCTAAAGTCTGGTTTCGAGCCGAGCTGTGGCTGTCATATGAAGGTAGCCTAGGAGTTGAGCGCGACAGAAGCGGACTGAAGGGATCCTTTTTCGACAATACCGGACTGGAAGGTTCGGTCTTGGTTACAAACCGTAGCGTCTTGCTATTCGGTCGTGTTCGAGGTGCCAATGAAGATTCATAGTCCAGGGAATTCGGCCGTGATAGGGTGCTGGGATGAGCTTCCGTCTGTGCTGAGCTGAACACAGTGCGTGCTCTAAATTTCTGGATTAGGTTGTCAAGAGCGAGCTCAATTGTGACGTGGTTCTGTATCCGCGACAGCTTGGGCCATGTAGCCCTCTGCCCTGTCAGGAGACATCCGAGCATGTACTCTGTTGTCGGATTGCTGAGAACCCTAGGGAAATCGGCGTACGATATCGCAGGAAAGATATTGATGTCGCCCGAATAGCGCTGGCTGAGTAGCCCTCTAAGCTTGGTCACGTAGGTAGGGAAGATTCCTATGTCCGCGATGACTTGCAGTCGGTGCAAGACCTCGCCCTTGGCTAAGCTTGCTACACTACTCAACCAATGGGGACCAGCTGGAACTGCAGTGCCCTGTGCTTCGGCAGCCACGAGGTCCTCTTCTTTCTCTAAGAATGGAACCACGTGTGGGTTGACTTGTGATACGACGAAATGATTGACGTTGAACATTTCTGCAAGGCGTGTCATGGGAAGGTCGTTGTCCACGGAACCATCGATCCACTTGGCATCAGGGTCGGCATCCCAGGGCACTTCCTTGCCTGTCTTCAAATCTTTGGCCATGAGCTCAGACTGTGCGTATACGAGAGGCACAGAACATGATGTGCATCTGTACTAGTCAGCATTGAATCCTGAAATCTGCGAGGTCTGTGTACTTACACCGCCGACCAGATCATGACATTGGGCGCTGTGATATAGTTCAGCAGTCTCGGTAGCTCGTAGATCGATGAGGTCGATACAGGAATGTTGAGTATGCGCCGAGTACGGTTGTACGATTCCTGGAAGGTCATGTCGCCGACCATCTGCCGCATAACCCTTTTCAGGTGTGACATGTCGAACAGGGTACCAGTTTGACACAAACGTACTACTTTCCGCAGAATACTCTCGGGTTCGCCAGCTTTCTCGAAGACGTCCAGGTCTCCATAGCAGAAGTCGTGCAGAACGTCCGGGATTTCTGCGTCGGTTTTTGTGCACAAGACAGCGCAGACGATACTTCCTGCAGATGCTCCAGAGATGATGCGCGGCAAAAGGCCATTGTCCCACAGGCTCTTAACAACTCCAACGTGGTTCATGCCAAGAGTCCCACCTCCTGATAGGAGCAGTGCGCTGCGTCCAAAGGACTGACGTGCTTGCAAGAGTGATTGGGTAAGTGTTTCCGGATCAATGGGGCAGGCGTCTCCTTGTTTGGCTGAAACGTCGAGCAGTGCTTCCATAGTCTGCTGTGCCGATTCGATGTACCGCTCGATCAGCCGCTTCGTGCCGATATGGGAGTGCTTGTACAATCGTAGTCCACCCATGTCACCGAGGTCTCGAGTCAGTGTTGTCCGCAACAAGAACAACATCTTCGTCACGTCGCAGCTTAGCCGAGCATCGTCCAGCTCCCGAAGACGAGCTGCGACCAGGGCTGCGTCATATTCCGGCGACTCATCTTCGTCCTTCCAGGCGTTGTTCCCTTCTAGAATGTCAAGGTCGATTGCCGCGGCTTTCCATTCGTGGTACGTTTCAGCCTGATAGTTGTGATTAGCATGTGATAGCCTAAACACCGAGCCCAGGCACCTACGTTCTTCAGGCGCAGGTACAGGATCTGCTTCCGGCCTGCATCTTCGTCCAGCACTTCTTGGGAAGGTGCACTATAGTGGCTGCCGACTGCATCCCCTATCGATTGTACGGGGTTGCGCACGAGTTTCGAGAGCGGTGACAGGAATCCGCCATGACTCTTGCTCTTTCGGATAAAGTCCCCACCGCTGTGCTGAATCCCTCCTACGTGCAGTCGCGTGCTGCTTCCCGAGAACACTGCGTCGGACAGGAATGACATCGGTGTTGGTACGCCATGCGCAAGCGTCGTGGGGGCTGGGAGTGCCGGATGCGCCTGGTGGAGAGGGAATATTGCGTGGAAGGAGTCGAGAATATGTGCAGGGGGTTGGTGCGGGTGGATGTTTGAACGCACTGGGACCGTTCCTTAGTATAGTAAGATATCTAGGTATAATTGCGGTCAGAGTCCGGCATGCTTAAATGGTCATGCGTGGTTGACTACGGTCCGGCGCGAGTCGCGGAAGCTGCACAACGGATGGGTGTCCCGGTACAGGTAAGATCGAAACGAGCAACAGGGAGCGCTGTCGAGCTGGCAAAGCATGTGCAAGAGGCAGAGGGCAACGAGCGCATCGAGCCCCGAACTAGCTGGCAATTGCCAACGGACGCGCTCGGATGACTGAAGACCTGTGGGCACATGAACGTGGTTTCCCGTGAATGACGAACCAAGGCGGCTGTAGCGCCATCGTATCGATAACGCACCTCACCTAATTCGCGCGCTCACGAGACCTGCGTCTCTGCCTTGCATACGAACCCTCGACGTTCGACGTGTTCCTGCAGCTGGCCCGGTAGCACTCTGCATCTGCCGTGGAGCACTTCTCGCCCTAATGCGGCGCTCGAAGAGATTTGCTGTCATGACTGCAATTTCCCGTCCAGCCTAACAGCGACTGCCCTGCACGACACAAGACGCAGAAAACGGGGATGGAAGTGATTATCTTTCCTATCCTGCTCGGAGCTGGAGACGTGTGCCGCGCTGCATGTCGCTCCGCAACCCACTCTGCGGCTGCGGGGGCCAGGACCTGGGGTTTGTGGAGTCATACTGCCTGATCTGGCTGCAATCCTCAGCTTTCCTCAGTCCACGAGGCACACCTGCAGAGGCGCTTGTGCTAAGCTGAGCAGCTTGTGATTGCCATCTGGGCACAGGTCTGACACGGCCTTCTTCACATGTCAGCCTGGGCCCTGAAGTCATGCAGGGCGCCTGCGAAATCGGAAGAAGCCTGGTGATTTCCTCTTTTTGGGCTGGTCTTTTTCCTGTCAAATTTACGTCGTTCGTTTGAGACCATGGCAAAGAAAGCAGACAAGCGAATCCGAGCTCAAGTTCAGAGAGAAGCTCTGTGGAACCCTGGGGCGTGTCTTTGAGATGTCGTGAGCCCTGCACGGGGCGTGCTGGGAGACAGCTGGATACCATCGAACAAAGCATCTAATTGTAGTCCCCTAAGGCGCCGTCGACTCACAGGTCTCTTGCTATTCATTGCTGAAGATGTCCCATTTTGACGATTCTAGTGCTTGCAGCTCGTCTTTTTCACGACATGCAAGGCGAGTTGCAGGGGTGCCCAATCGGCGCTAGTGGTGTGTTGTGGGTCCGGGCCATTGTTTACTTTCGTTGCGCACAGCAGCAGACAGTCCACACTTCGCCACAGCAACGACCATGGCGCACCTCGACGGGAAGGAGAACATTGCCGACGGGCTCGTCGCGAGCGCGTCGTTCAAGGCGCCGTCGTTGTCCCCGAAGAAGGCCGCGCCCAAAAAGAAGCGCGCGAAGAGCATCGGCCCTGGCGGCCTAGAGAAGGAGGAGGAGGCGCCGCTGAAGGCGCGCAATGGGAACAGGCGAAAGGTGGGTTTTGCAGTACGGGGAGCGGGGGTAGCAGCATGCTGACAGTGCAGTCTGCGTTTGTTCCGGCCGTCAAGTCGATCCTGTCGTCCAACGCCGAAGACGAGAGGAAGCGCAAAGAAGCGCGTCGCCAGTCGCTGGGTAAGGCGCAATGGCTCCTGGCAGAAGAGACCTGATGCTGACACAGACGGCTAGCCAAGAGACGCGTCTCGTTTGCGCCAGAGGCAACGCTGCACACGTGGGACGTGGTCGAGTACATGCGCGATGCAACCAGCTCCTCGGCCGCCTCAGACGCGACGCGCCGGGCCTCGCTGGCCTCGCAAGCCCCGAACCCAGAGTCAGATCCCGCCGAGCCTCCCTCCACGCCGCCTGAGCAGGTGGTCGAGCCCGAGCCGCACGTCGAGTCGGCCCCCGCGAACCAGCGCGAGAGCCACCAGAAGAAGAACCGCCGCAGCTCGGGCATCCCGCCCATGAACTTCAACAACCCCGACCAAGCCTACTCGTCGAGCCCTCTGAGTGGCGACACTGCCTCGCCGGGCGATCGAGTTGCGGAGAGCGAGTCTGAGGACGACGACGACGATGCCACTGCGAACCTGGCCGTTGCACTCGACACCGAAGACAGCTCTCAGAGTAGCGCACGACTGGACGCTGCCCTGCGACAGGCCTTCGAGCAGGCCGGGACGCAGAAGCTGGATTTCGACGACGACGGCGAGATGACCATGGAAATGGCAGACGATGAGACGACAGTTTCTTTCAAGCCCTGGGCGCGCAAGGCCGCGGAGGGGCAGGAAGAGCACGGAGCCACACACTCCTCTTCGCCAGCCAGGTCAGAGGCCGACGACGACATGAGCATGGACGTGACGCGCGCAATTGGAAGCATCGTCGAACAGCCAGACGCACAGAGCTCAGATATCGAGGACAACACAGGCATGAGCATGGAGCTTACTATGCCGCTCGGCAGCATCCAAGCCATGGCCGCGAAGGCACCGGCGAACCGCAGGAAGAGCCTCAAGCGGAGCGTATCTGCAGTCGAATCATCCCAAGGCAGTCCAGCGAAGAAGCCTGCCGGCCGCCGTACCAGCCTTCGAAACCGCCGCAAGTCCGAGGAACCCGCAGCTGGAGACGCAACAATGGATCTCACCATGGCGATTGGAGGCATCAAGAGTAACATTCTGGCGGGACAGCAAGACGACGACAGGCGCAGCAGCATGGGCAGTGTCGCCATGGATGAGACTATGGACTTCACCATGGCAGTTGGCAGCATCAAGACAGCTCCAACACCCGCTGTGGATGCACAGGAAAGCGATGCGGATGACGATGGCTTCACCATGGAGTTCACCAAGGTAGTTGGGCCAGGCATTAAGCGCACCGAACGACCAGCAGCAACGTCCGAGCAGCCCGCGACTGTCGACTATCCCGTTTTGCCAGAGGTCATGAAGACGCCTACTCCCGAGAAGCCTAGGGCTGCGAACGCGGCTCCGGAAACTCAGTTGGACCCGTTTCCTGTGCCGGTGGAGCAGACGCCCACCAAGTCCCCTATTGCTGCCAAACTGAACCTTGATCCTGGGACGCCAGCATTTGTACGACAGCTCCCTGCTGGGGATGTAGAACCCTCTCCGTTCGTCAGGCGAACACCGCTGAGCGCCCTCAAGAAGGAGGCCACCTCGACTCCCATCAGGACTTCTGTTAGTGCCAGCAAAGCCAGAGCAGCTGCCGCTACCCCTGTCAGTGCAAGCAAGAGGACGCCTCTGAGCGCAAGCAAGAGGAGAGAGTCTTTGATCATTCCAGCAGACCCCATCGAAGCCCCCATCCTGAACAGGCGCCGCTCGTCGCTAGGTGGGGTACAGTTCAGCCCGATCGCTGTGCCTCGCGAAGAGCCTACGCTCAGGAGTACAGCTCTGTTGTCGAACAGTATCAAAATGCTGTCAACACCCCGCAAAGCTGCACCTTTGCTGTCGCCTGTCAAGCGAGGCATGACGCCAAAGAAATCACAGACCCCCCAGAAGCAGGCTACACCTAAGCAGAAGACCCCAACGCCCAAGAAGAAGGCTCCTAGAAAGTCTCTGAGTCCCAAGAAGCGCGTGGTGTTTGGTGCAGAGCCCGAAAAGGAGGAGCCTGAAGAGATCGACGAAGATGTGTCCGAGATCGAGCGCATCTCTTTGTCAGAGTTCTTGAGCTTGACCAAGATCTCCTTCATGGACGTAAGTGCTAGCAAGCGACGAGCCACCGTGGCTCCGGCCGCCTTCCGCGACATGGATGTTGATGAGACACCGGAGACTCTAGACCGATATGTCGTTGCTGGTGCATGTGTGGTTCCTGAGTACGAGCTGTACTCGCACGCTTGTCACGAGATGAAGAGGTACATCTCCAGCGGCCGTGAAGCTGTTCGCCAGATCGAAGCGAATGTGGAGGAAGAGAACCCGCTTCTCTTCAGCGAGTACCTAGCAGCACCTCCAGACCAGCGTAACGTCATGGATAAACAATTCCTGAACGCAAGGGCGAACGCTCGTCTTGATGCTCGCGGCGAATGGTACTCGTGGCGAAGCACGCTGCTGGGAACCCTCAAGGCTAGCCTTCTTTCTACGCTGGAGGACTTCAAGGACGACGATGCTTCTCTGGCCAACCAGGAGCGCCTTCTTGACGTGGTCTTGCCTCCTTTGGTTGAGAAGCAGGAGCAGCTTGTCACTGAGCAGAAGCAACTGCAACAACGCCATGAAGAACTTAACAGCTGCGATCGCGAGGAGCTCGAACTGACTCGCGAGAACCTCATCGCTACCGACGCCGAATTGCAAGCGAAACGCGAGCTTCTGATGCAGCTCCAGCAAGACCTTTCCGACAAGGAGGCGCGCATCGACGCCACCAAGGAGCGCAAAGTCGAATGCCTCGCTGAAACCAAGGCAGCTGAACGCGTCCGGGAGGAGTGTCGAGGCTGGTCCACAACCGAAGTCCGAGACCTGAGAGGTACACTCACCCCTTCTCTGCACACCTCATCCGCTAACATCGTCCTAGCCAAGGTTACCGCTCTCGAGAACACCCACGGCTGGAGCATAACCTCCGCCTCCTCGTCAAGCATCACAATGACCCACCTCTCCGATCTTGAGCTCTACTTCCAACCCTCCTGCTTCGCCACAGGCACATTCCCAACACCAAACGGTTCCATCTCCCTGGCCTATGTCGGCGACTCCGCACAGCCGCACCCGCGCCCCCTGACGACGAGCAAGCGTTTCTTCCTCCAGCTGATCCGCGCACAACTACACTGTATCCCGCAGTCCACCGCCTCCATTGCACAAGTCCTTGCGCTCGTCAAGAACGGCTGGGCCGCTGCGCTCGCCGTGGCTGAAGGCGCAACATGGCTCGAACATAATTTCGTCACCGAGGAGTGCATCCTCAGCGACGAGCGCATGGGTGTCCAGGCCGATATGCTACTCCCTACCCTGCAAACCAAGATCCGTGTCAATTTTGAGATTGGCGTCAAGCTCGAGGACGGCGAGGTGGAGACCGAGGTGGGCATCAAGGCCGAGGTTGTGTATGGCGAGAAGTATGGGGAGGAGAAAATGGGTGCATTTTTGAGGGACTTTTGTGGCGAGACAATCAAGGAGGGGAGGGATATGGCGTGTTGGGCTGATGGGATGTGTGATTTGAGGAGCAGGTTGAAGAAGACAGGGCGCAAGGGGGAGAGGAAGTAGAGCTGCGTTGGTGCAGTGAGCCGCATCAACGGCTGATTACGAGTTATGACGGCGTTTGGGACCTGAATGGTCTGGCCTTGTATTATGTATTGGCGGTTCGTTCATATCTCATTGCTCGCAAGCATCTTCAATGTATGTTCGCATCGATTGCTCATCAACGTTTTTGCTCAAATCGGCACCCGCTTGCTCATGTCCAACCAAAACGCACACCGGGTCTCGAGCTGCTTAATCGGGCCCTGCTTTAAACCGCCCGCAGTGACGAGGAATTGCTTTCCCTTCTCCACATCCGGCACGCTCGGCACGCTTGCGTTGGTCACCTTGTGCGCATTCGGATCGCCCGTCTGCACGAAGCTCGCCATGGCGCCCGTGTAGCCTTGGTACGTCAGGGGATCGGACTTCTGGACGGCGTTGACTAGGTTCCACTGCACGCATTATCAGCATTGTCTGTAGATCCCAGCGGAACCTGTAGGGAGTTGGGGGGCTTACGTAGATGGTGTCGCTTGCGTGCTTGGCGGGCGAGATTGTGTATTCGATCATGTGCCCCTTGTCTGCCTTCTTGCTGAGCCAGTACGCCGGGCACGCGAGCACGAGGTCGCGGTACAGCAGTCCCGCGCGGATGTATGTGGTGTTGTAAGCAAGTTCCTCCGCGTTGCCGACGGCTGGGTACACAGCTTTCACCTTTGCAATGTCCGTTTCTCGCAACCCGGGTAGGAAGCCGGAGAGCCACTTGTCAAACGAGGCGACGGAAGAGTTGAAGCCGTCGCTTGCGGTGTTTGCGTTTTGGAATCCTGGTGGGATAAAGTTCTCGCCTTCGTGCAGATTGTAGCTTGTCAGCACCGTTGGCGCATTGAGTTTGCCTTTACGGATGACTTCGCTCAGGGGTGAGGAGAGGAAGGTGTTGTCGATTATGGGGCCGAAGACGAACGAGGACGTTGTGTACTGCAGACTTGTGCTCAGTCTGAACGCGCTGTCACGCAGGGCTTGCAAGTCTGCCGTCTTGAGACACGCGATTTCGTCGGTGCTATTTGCGCAGCCCACATCGCTGATGACTTGCTGGTAGATTGCCTCGTTCTCGGGGCTATCGTAACGGTAGGTTTTAGGCCAGAAGGGCGAGCTGCTCATAGCTTTCTTGAAGAGCCTTTTGCCTTTGTTGCCTGTGGCGATTGTTTGCGCGACAACGCTGCCGCCGCCGGCGCTCTGGCCCCAAATCGTCACATCGTCTTTCGAGCCGCCAAAGTGGTGGATGTGCTTCTGGATCCACTGGAGCGCGGCTTGCTGGTCGAGAAGACCGGTGTTGAGATCCACCTCTTTGCTCTCTTCGACTTTTTTACCTGGGAGAAAGCCGAAGACGTTGGTGCGGTAGTTGGAGTACACGACTACATAGTCGTTGCTCTGGCTCACGTTGAGCACCGGGTATCCAGATGGTGGGATCGTGAATTCGGCACTGCCCCGGATGAAACCTCCACCGTAGAATGTCAAAAGCACCGGTCGCAGCTTCTGGGTCGGCTGCCATGGGCGAGAGTAGACTCCAAGGTACAGACAGTCTTCAGAACCGTTAACGGTGCGCTGCGGGCACATGTCAAATCCGCGATCGGTCTCGTAGGTGCCATTGGTGATCGGTGCTGGGGGCTGGGGCGCACGGAAGCGATTCTCGCCTGCTGTTGAGGCTCCGAACGGGATTCGACGATAGTACGTGAGATTGTAGGTAGAAGACGAAGCGCCTTGTAGAGTCACATAGTCCAACGTGACGATCGGATTCGTGGAGTTTGTTTGTCTGGACTGTAGTGGCGAAGCAGCAATCGTTGAGACGGAGGCCAGAAAAGCCAATACGCTCTTAGAGAACAGCATCTTGACGGTCAGGGTCACGAAGCACTCAAGATTCGGTATTCCTGGGCATCAACGCTCCATATGCCTTTCCATCGGACTAAGTAGCGACCACCGACCGTTGCCTCCATGTCTCCGCAAATTGCTCCCCGGATTGCGGAGCGCGGGGATAGCGAACATGGATGTGCGTGGTGATGAGCACTGCAACTTCGGTGGAATATGCGCCGAGCCTCGTGGACCGAGTCAGGAACAGGCAAGACTAGGAACAAAAGGGTGCTGGAGGCTGGTGGATGGATGCTTGAATTCTTCCGTGACGGAAATAGGGATTAGAAAAGGAAGCTACGTCAGGATCACTTGTGAGTGTCGCCGTAGTCCCGGAGCGTCGAGGAAGGAGCACTGGCCTCCGATCTGTAACAGAGACACACTGATCTAAGAGCATCGACCACAGGCACATTGTCTTCAGTGTCTCCACGGTGATGTCTTTCTGCAACTGGATTTGAGCGAAACGAATGTTGAGAAGCATCTTTACAAATAACATGTTGATCGTTTTGGGTAACGTAGGTGGCAAGCGAGTCATGCTCGGTTGAAACGCGTCTTTAGACTGTACGCTTAACAAAGTTGGCTGGCTACTTCTGCCCAACCTGGCCTCTACCACGTGCAGCCAGCAGGTTATCAGCCATATCACGTACAGCTGCGTACGTAGGCGCAAATCCTCATTGATCCAGGTCTAATATATAACTAGTGATCACCTCCTCTTCTACCTAGGTGAGCTTCCTTAAGTTGGGCTGGCAATCGCGTGGGGCAGGCCTGCCAGCGCGTCAGTCGCGTAGCGTTGTACAAGGGACATTGAAAGTCCGAGCAGCAGCTCTCACAGTCTTGATTTAGCGCTGATTAACAGAGGAGATAGAGGGCTGTATATCAGCTTCAGATGAGCGTGGCAGGAGTTGTTGGGGCCGAGGCATGATTGATTTGAGTTCAAAGGTTGATCAAAGTTGGTGGGGTGGGCGACTCGCTAGCCACCTACGTTATGGCCAGAATCAGTCATGCTCCTTTGATGATGGGATTGAGCAGCTTCAGCTATCCGAGTTAACTTTCTCATTACTTTGTGTCCTGAGGGGTTTTTTTTTGCGATTATTGAACGTAGACGAACAGTTAACTTATTGGCACAATTAAACGACTCTCCCCAAGACGACTCATCGAACCGAGGCTCTGGACCGGTTGCGGGGCTGCAGCTGCGGCTAAGCTGCCCATAACCCCACATTTGGTGCTCAGCTTGAATACTATCAACGTCTTGAAATTCGTGGGCTTACGAAGAGAATTCATTACAAAGGACTACGCGAAACGTGATCGGGAGGACATAGTGACAAACAACTTCAGCACAACGACCGCTATCATGGCCAGAACATACTCCGACATCAAGTTGGAGATCAAGGGTCAGATCGGAATTATCAAGGTATACAATAAACCATATCGCCTTACTTTCAGTTAGAAGCCCTTGCTCAATCCATCTGACCTCACATAGTTCAACCGCCCCAAGGCCCTGAACTCCTTCGGTGGCAACCTGATTGAGAACACTATCTCAGCGATCCGGACTCTCAATGAGCACCCAGACACGATCTTCACCGTACTGACCGGCGAAGGTCGATTCTTCAGCGCTGGTGCAGATGTTAAAGGTATCACATACGATGACGTAAGTTGTTGCTGAGCTTGAGGTGCTGACGGCGACAAGCATCCACTGAGCGACATGCAATGGACACCGAAACAGATCTTGCGTCTACGAAGCTAAAGTTCGTTGGGAGATTCGGACCTGGTGAGTGACTTGGAATCTACCATGCACTTATGTCGACCGTAATAGTTGATCGCTTACTGAAAATGCTCCAGCTCAAGAGCTTCTCCGCTCCATGATCGATCACAAGAAAGTTCTGATCCTCGCCCTTAACGGCCCTGCCGTCGGTGGTGGCGCAGCCTGGTTTCCTGGAATTGCCGACATTGTCCTTGCCTCATCTACAGCATGGCTGCAATGCCCCTTCAGCGCTCTCGGTCTCGTGCCGGAATATGGCTCCGCGTTCTCCTTCGCGCAGTCCATCGGCATCCACCGCACAAACGACTTCCTTATGTTCGGCCGCAAACTAACACCGAAGGAGCTGCTTGATGCTGGACTGTACAATTATGTGTGGGAAGAGACGGGCGATGCTTTCCAGGCAAAGGTGGTCAAGTTTTTGGAAGATCAGTTGGCGGTCAATGACGGAAAGAGCATGTGTGAGATGAAGAGACTGCAGAATGACCCTATTCGAGATGCTAGACTTCTCGCTGTGGTCAGGTCGACCGATGCATTGGCCGAGAGGTTCGTGGAGGGTGCGCCGAGGAAGAGGTTTGAGGCGAAGAAGAAGGAGTTGGATGAGAAGACAGCTACGAGGTCAAAGATTTGAGAATGTAATTTTCTTCATGTATTAAAGATTCGAATACTCTTATTCGTCGTATATCTCGTTGCTGACAGTGTCTGCTTGGACACCGACTTCACCTCTTCTTGACGACAGCAAGCTTTGATTGCATTGGAATGTTGTGTTGGGAGTTCTCGGCACTTGGGAAGCCCTCCAGCTCAACACCTTTCTGGAAGATCGCGTAATGTGTGCTTCCATCGTAGTGAAACATGCCCAGTTGATCTCCTTTCTTGACGTGGTCTCCTTGTTTGACTGTGATATCGCAGGTGCTGACCTCAGTCATGCCAATCCCGAGGAAGCAGACAAGTTCGAGGTCATCATCACCTGTCTCAATGAAGATGATAACACGAGTTGCTGTGGCCGTGAGGTATGACCCTGCCCAGTTTTCACACCCCCGCTATCCATGTTGCCCTTAGCCTTGGGACCGCCGATACCTGTGAAGAGCGGCTCCGAGAAGTATGTGGGTGAAGGTCCTGTGAGTTCTTGTCGACATGTTCGATGATGTCTGAAATCCAGTCCTTGACATGGCGGTGGTCTAGGAGTTGTTAGTGAAGTCGGGGACCGCACATGGTCATGGCAAGCTTACCCGCTGGAAGCCACAAGCCGGTCCTATGCACATGGTATTCCTTGAGGATGTTCTTGACTCTGTCTTGGCTCGTTCCTAGAGTCATGATATTCTAGAGGCTGGCCTGGTCTATCGTATGTCTGTTGATTCCTCAGAAGCTTAGTCCTAAAAGAGCCGCAAGGTTTACGCGTTCACCCTTATCAGATTGATGCCATAGTGGCATGTGCCGATAGCTCAAGCGTGTAACGGCTCTTGGGTCTAGTGGAGGCCATTCTTGCTGTGGGGTCTTGCGATGCTCCATCGCAAAGATGGAATCGTATCGCGATGTTTGCTCGGACGCAGACGGGAGGCCTTCGACGGTGTGCATGAGCATATAATCTGCAGACCTGGAGCTAGAGTCAAACACAAATATCACTTAGGCGGGGATGAAGACATCATTATTGTATGTCCAGAATCGATGAGACAAAGCATGAGCATCAGATAAGGCGGGAGCATCCACGGATCTTTCCACTGTGACTCAGCTAGCTTGTTTCGGCTGGATCGTTCGCCCGTCAATCCATCCCGTTCACACCGCCCTGCACGCAGAACTACCACACCCATCGTCGTTTCCATCGCTCATCCCTTCCAGTCATCTACTCGACACCCGTGCATGCGCTCCCACTTATCGATCTCTCGCTGTTTGTCTACGTTCCTCTGTGGTAGAATGTGTTTGAGAGATCTGGAAACATGTTGTCTCAGACATCCCGCTATCTCGGCACCAATCTAGATCACACAACAGCAAACATCCGTCCTTTGTCGCGCTTTTAGCCACTTGTATGCATCTCAACAAGAACGAAAGCACTGCCGTTACTGTGATGGCTTCCCACAGAGATGACTAGCATCATGGGGCGCGCCACTAAGCATGTCGCTCCCTTGCGTCTATCCGCATGCTATGTGGGGACGTGGGTAAGTTTGACGGAAACAACACGACTCACACACGGGCAATGTAGACGTGCGCAGTCTCACTCTGTGCTTTGACAGCCTGATTTCGGTGACGAAGTGGGTCGGATGGCTATCTCTGGATACTGAGACTGTTTCGGATCTACCGGTGCCCATTTATGCCCTTATACAAGAACGCAAAAACCCGCTCGTCTCTGTCTGCCACAGTCAACCCTTAGTCTTCTGATTCTTCAGGAGACACTCAGCAAGACACTTTGATTGTGCATTCTCGGGATGGATGGACTAGCAGCTAAGCATTCGCGAATGCGTCTTCCTACTCTACTTGCGCACGTCGCGCAGACCATTTTGGCTTTCGTAATTCTGGGCCTCGCAGCATACGGAGTCGAATACATCTCGTACAATGTCTTGATTTACTCCATTGCAGTGGTAAGCTAGATGTCTACGTGAGCAGCCCAAGGTGCTAAACTATGCACAGAATGTCTGCAGTCTGGGCGTGTCATCCTGGCTGCTCGTCTCACGCACATTTCTCTCGAAATTTGACAACATCTGGATTGCCCTGGGCCTGCATGCTTGGATGCTTGTTTTCTGGATCGTCAGTCTTGGACTCACTGCCGACCTGACAAAGGCGTGGAGCCCTCAGTGCTCATACACCCCCGAAGCCGGCAAGATCTGCTCAACATTTGTTACCAAGCGAGACACCACGTTCCGTACATATTACGGAGTGCTGGTCGTAAGCTCTGTACTCATTGGTCTTCAGGTGTAAGTATCTGACCTAGCATGAGAGAATACGGCTGATGAACCACAGAATTCTTTGGCTCGGCACCACCGCGCTCCTCGCCCTCGATCTCAAGTGTCGCTGCTCCACGGTCACACAATCTCATACTGTTGGCGCAGGACCTCGCTTCTCCAACGACTCTCAGACGACCGCAGGCGACATTGAGAAGCCCAATACATTCGACTATGTTAGTGCGACACCCGTCCGTAAAGAAGCAGAGCCAGTCATACCGCTGCCATCTCCAGAGATCAGTGGCGTCAAGCAAGTAGAGCCGTTTCAACCTGATCAGCCCACACAGCATAATCCCCGGTCGACATTAGATCAAGCAAGCATCCCAACATCACCCGCCCCGTCTGAGATTGAATGGATCGGCCTAGATGGCATAGATAGTGTGGGGTCACCGGTGCCTTCGTCACGAGTGCTGAGTCAGTACGCTACGCATTGGGATGTTGTGAATGAGGCGCGTCCTATTGAACGAGGTCCTCAGACGAATCGGATATAGAGAGAGGCTACAATTGAAGAAAGACGTAGATAACATCGAGGTGGTGATGCCATAATAGCATTTGTACATCTTTCGTCACTATTGACTGTCACACATGCCATGTAAACGCAAGTAAAGTATAGACAGTAGAGACTCAATGCCTTCAACGATGATGCAACCGGATATGTCCGCTCAGATACCTGCACACATTTATAGCCTACAGACTTCGTTCCTTTCCCGGGGTATACACATCTCGACCAACGATTAGGCACTGCCCATGAGATGCCTGTACCGCTCCTATACGACGGCGTACGACCTCTACAACAATATCTCAGAATACTCGGCAATCTTTTTGACTCGATGTGCAATGCCCTACCACACATCGTCAGGCCCAACCCTAAACCCCTCGCCCCCCTCTCTAACCGTATCCCTCCCCTTGTCCCGGGACAGCGGCTTCCGCATATCAAACGCATCCTCGCCATCATTGTAATAATCCACAACTCTCCTATACACAGAATACCCCATCTTCCTGTACAACTCCTGCGCCCCTTCATTGCTCGCGCGGACAAACAGGTCCACGAACCAGCCGCCCGCAGCGTCAGAGCTGCGCTCCAGCGCGGTCGAGAGCGCGGTCGCGTGACCGAGGCGCCGTGCGCTGGGCGCAACAGTGAGCGCGGTGATGTGCCCGTGCCAGGGGAGGTAGTTGGGTTGGAGCTTTGTGGCTTGGACGGGCTCATAGGGCTCGATGGGGGAGAGGTATGGCGAGGACTCGAGTTTGCCGAGGACTGTGCGTATTAGCAGGTTTTTGGGGGATGCTCCAAGCGAGGGAGCGCACTGTAGCCTTCTATTTGGCCGTCGATGCCCTCGATGACTTGGCACAGCTCGGGCCATTTTGTGAGGTATTCGAGGTAGAAGCCGATGTTGTAGGTTTCCGTGAGGTGGTCGAGGTTTGTGGAGGAGAAGTTTAGGAGATCGTCTGTTCGCATGGGGCGGATTGTCGCCATGTTCGCGGTGTTATGGGGTGTGTCAGGGTGTTGTCGCGCTTCTGGTGACGATTGTGGGGCAAGATTCGCTTTCACATCGTTCGAGGTTCGACCAATCAGACCCCACAGCCGCCGCAGACTCCCGAAAATACTCAAAGGTGAAGGTTAGTTAAAGGTGGGGTAAAAGACAAGACTTGCATACTAAGTCTATTACGATAGCATACGGCTAACAGTACAAACATATCGATGACATACAAGACATTACGTCCGCCCAGAGGGTATATAACAAACGCATGGTACAACATGTTACCGCCCAATGCTCGATCTACAGCATGCTCCGCCTGCCCTTCGCCAGCCACCCTTGCTCGACCATCATGCTCCAGAGCCCTGAAGGTGCTCCCTCTATCGGTGGCAGCGCGTCCTCCCACTCCTTTGGCACTACCAACGACAACCTTGTCGAGGACCCCAGCGATTCATCCGTTTCCGTCTTGATCTCAATCTTCGTCGTTTTCAAGATCCCGCTGCCCTCGCTCACGATGGTACAGATACTCGCGTTACGCTCTTCTTCTCCGCTGTACTCTGTATCGTCCGTTCCGTTTCCGTCGTTTGATCCATCGCTCTCATCAGAGCTGCTCACTGCCGGGTGCAGTCATATCTGAAACGAGTCTACACTGGCCCCCGATCCATACTGATTGCCCCTTAGACTATTAGCATTCGAGTGGTTGTTCATTGCGCGCTGCTCGTTCACGCTCCGCCGTGGACTGGGTGGTGAACGCATAGCGTCGAGAAGCATATTTCTGTGAGCCCCGGTACCGTTGCGCTCACCGCCATTGCGTTCGCCATTTCGTTCTCTATACGAACTAGTCACGCGACCCGGGCTGTATCCGTAATCGTCATGTTGAACAGTCCTAGGGTCGTCGCCCATCTGGTCGAGATCGTCCATCCTGCTATTGAGATTTCTTCCGCCTGCTCCAGCGTAGTGCGGTCTCCGCACATCGTTCGCAACAGGTGGTGCCTGTCTGAAGCGCCTGTTCGGCTGGGTGTGCTTCTCCTCGTCGACGATGATGATCATCCAGATGCCTATGCTGCCATTTGCGCCCAGAAGTGGTGTGCAGTGTATCCAGCGCGGTCGTCCTTCCTCGTATGAGTTGCTAAGGTCTTGGACTGCGTGGGGCAGCCAGCGGATTTTGGCCGTTACGCCACGAGAACCGTCGGCGAGAGCATCGCGCACGGATTCGCGCACGCGGTTTGAGCCGCCGATGCGGTCAAGAAAGGGCGATTGGAGAATTCCGGGGACGCGAAGGGAGGGTGACGTGAAGAGGATGCGGAGGGATGGTGCAGGGCGAACCAGGAGGTACTGTGCAGTTGTTAGAGCCATGCCATTGCCAAGGTCGAGTATGACTTACGTGTTTGTATGGCCCAGACAGTCTGCCTTCAGGCTTGGGTGGTGGCTTTTCGGCGCTCTCAATATCAAATGTTGACTGATCCTGGATGAGCAACCTCGGTCGCTGAACTCCATTTGACTTGTCGTCCTTATCCTCGAGGTGGTCTCGGTGCATATTTCCACCAAACCTGCGTACTGTATCTAGTTCGCCATGGTTAAACATCTCACTGAGCTCTTGGAACTCATCTTTCGCCTCCTCGGGTTGTTCGATACCATCTTCCTCATCGAGCATGTGCCGGAAAGCATCGAGATCTGTGGCATCCTTCGCGAGACCGGAGACGTCGATCTGGGCGCCGATAAAGTAGCGAAGATTGCCGCGCGAGTCGAGGAGCGGTGCTTGCATGAGCAAATTCATGAAAGGTGAGCCATCGCGGCGACTGTTCAGTAATCAGTCCCTGCCTGCGAGATGCATGCCAACGGTGCTTACTAGTTCAAGAATACTTCGCTGTGCTCCTTGCCTTGCATGCACATCTCCTTGAAGCGTGCAACACTGCTGCGGTTTGTCTTCGGGCCCTGAAGGAATCGACAGTTCCGCCCGATGGCATAGCTGACACCGTATTGTGTTGTCCTGTGAAATTCTGAGGCTTTGTCAGCAACGCGCTTATCAAGTAATAGAATGCCCACCTTCTGATGCAAATATAATAGGGTTGTCCTTCCTTGACGGATCTGTAAGACAGAACACCTCTGCCAGTCCTTCGCTGGCCTCGCGAAGCAGGGGTGGTAATGTGCCTGTGACGCGCTTCGATATGCTCAGACTCACGACCTGCGTGAATATGTGTGTGATGAATGCTGGGAGATCATCTCGGACAAGTATGTCGAATGCCTGCTTCGCCTTCTCCTCCAAGATACCGTTGACAGTCGGGCGTGCCTGGGTATCTGTAAAATCCAGGCCAGGAATCGGCTCAAGAGCCTCAGCGACTGCATTGGAGTAGTTGATCGCACGCAAGGCCTTGAGTGCGTCGAGATAGTAAATCAAGATAGGCACTGACTCTGGTCGTGCTACGCTGAGGAACGAGGTGAAGCGGAGTAACGAAGGGGTGTCCTTAAAGATAGCGGCAAGATGTGACTTGGAGAACAACTGTTCGGAGCGAGCCTCGAGGGAATACACTTTGCGGTCCTCATCCTCGGGCTCCACGAGATCCCATGACTTCGGGTCGTCTTCAAGCAAGGGAGAGAGACGGTCGCCATCGTCGAGACCGTTCTTCTGCTGTAATGGCGGAAGAGCACCTACAGCTACCGAATCCAGCGAAATAACTGAGTCGGCAGAGCTGCGCATGGTGTTAGGTCCAATGCTGGATGCCCGGACTGAACTTTGACCTCCTATGCTGCCACGTCTTGAAGAGGATGAGCCGAGTGGGTATGACTTCTGAGACTCAGGAGTCTCGGGCATTACAAGACGTCGTGTTTCCGGCATGACGTGTGGTGTAGCGGGAGGCTCTGGCGTCAAGCTGGACTTGCGTGAAGATCGGCCAAAGAGACTTCGGCGTTTGAGTTTGGTAGAGAAATCACTAGAGCTGGCCAAGATCAGCAGCCGTGCACAAGTGACATCTGCTATAGCCTACCTTGTCCTCAAAGGAACGTGATGAGATATGTCTCTGCGGACGGAGATGTCTGGCGGTGCAGCAGCAGCAGTGTCGTCGTCTGAGAGCCAACTTGCATCTGCTTTGCTAGAAGGGGACGCGAGTGGGGCATTGGAACCATTTATGCCATCGTGCATTGTAGCAAAGTCCATGACCAGTGGTTCATGGAACGGACCCTGTGCATCCCCGTGAACTTTGGCGTCCGCATCGGGGGAAGCTCCAGCGATAACGCTATCGACGTAATAGGCCGGGGACTGTTCACCTGCACTCCCCATCGAGGAAGCTTTGAAGGTAACTGCAGCGTCGGTGGGTCTAGGAATTGGATGTGACTGCGTGGTGGAATAGACACTATGAGCCGATCTTCTTTTGTGCTTGAACACGCGCATAGCATGCAGAAACACGGGAGAGAAACGCCAATAGGCGGCTTAAAGAAAGGGCGGGCTCGATAAACGATGGAAATGTATTGACGGCGCTTGAACGCAAGCCATGAAGCGCAAAGTGCGGAACCATGACCAAGGATTCCTAATGAAGATAAACGTACCAAGAAAACCAGCCGAAGGACCTGACACGCTGGGACAGATAGAACTAGGCCACGACCGGTAATAAGCTTCGGCGTGATGATGCCACTGGCAGATCTGGCACAAAGGAGACGATCCGACTAGCAAACCTTAGAACTGGGGGTGGAAGGTCAGACCAATGAACGTGGTGGATATGATGGCTCGGGAGGACCCGGTCCTGCAAGAAAGTTGCTGGACCGCCGACGTTTGTAGTGGAGTCTCGCTGAACACACAGGAGTGACCAAATCGCTGATGGAGAGAGGTCTGGACGTTGGGCGGCGCGACGCACGTAGACTTGTCAAAGTCTAGTAAACTGTCTGTGCTGTCGGATTGGCAACGTCTGGCGTTGATGGAAGGGGCAATGAGCGTTGCACTGCAGCGAAGACATTCCTTTTCGAGATGCATATTAAACACAAATGCGGGAGGTCGGTCGCGCAACGAGCCTCTAAGGCACGTAAGCCGAGTCCCTTCTTTCGAGCTCGAGCGCGCTGTGCCTGAGTTCAACACCCGTGCCATCCTGGCGCAAATCCAACGCGGCTCTTTAGCCAATGAGATCTCATGGCAGCAGCTCCAAAGGCCGCATGTTGATAGCAAACAGCAACTCAGTGAAGTCGCAACATGCGCGGACATTTGATTGACATGTCCCATGACGAGGAGACTACTTGATGGCATGGAAGGCACACAGACTCCCGCAGAACGTTGTTGCAGCTGTCACGGCGCCTCTTCGCTTCTTCGCTGGTACTAGCGCTGTGTTTGTGAACAGTGATTTGCTCGCACGTGTACCTCTGCTAACATCGAGATGGTCTGATGAGCTGAATTGATCCGAGATTTGGAGCTTCAGATGCAAACCCGTCTGCAGTTTATCGAATGCTCTAACGGATCTAGCCCCAAACGCGCCTCCATCGCGCCCAGAAACCTTCTCCCTCGGCTCGATCCCTGTTTGTGGCCTTGTTGTCCACCAACTTCTGCAGGGATACCCGTCAGATGCTTTCCAGCCCAACGCGAACACGAGTGCACGTCTGCACAGTGCGTCCCCTTTCCCCGACGTGCTCGCTACGGCAATACACGACGCGAAGCGGATTGACGGGCTGGCCGGCCGCAGCATGCCTGCCACGAGAAGTTCTCCACGCAGCTCGCTGAACTCATAAAGTTTGCAATTTTGCTTTTGGGGAAGGGCCTCACGAGCGCTGACGTCATGTGACTGAAACTTGGGACCAAATTGGGTACACCAGTGCAGACGTGCACAGGGCCGTCTGGGCAGCCGAGCTCTTACAGGCTCTGTCAGGGTATTACCTTGGGATATCTCGAGGTGCGGGCCGAGTGCGGCTATATGCCGTTTACTTTTGCAAATGCTTGCGAAACTACGAAACTCGCTCAGATATCAGCCGCTCGCGCTCAGCGTCCCATGACGCCCCGAGCTCCTCTTCATCCTCCAGGTGCTTCTCTGAGCCGCGATATAGCACGTAGTGCTGCAGCATGAAGATGATGTCAAACACAATGGTAATATTTGACAGCCCGAATTTGACCGGATTGCCAGTCAGGCCCGTCCAGTCGTGTTGCAACCACGAATCAATGACCAGTTGAGCCAATGAAAGCCACCCTCCAGCAAAGTCCATGAGCATAGGGTAGATGCTCCAACCTACAGTCGACTTGCGCTTGTAATTTACCCACATCTGTGGGATGTACTTGCATATCACAGTGATCAACTTGACATACCCGAGGACATAGATCTGCGGTCATCAGTTAGCAACATATTTTCAATACGAGGCATCGTCGCTGCAGCACTACTCACCACGTCAATCCACGCCCAGGTATCAGCGTCATATCCACTGTCCCTTCCTCTCCACCGGACCATAAGGAGAATCCAGACGATCGCTATGACGCAGCCCCAGAATATGCCCAGGATTGCCTTACTAGCCCTCTGTGTCTTCCCAACCTGAAACCCCCATACCCGAGGAAAGAACTGGCTGTAGCAGACTATGCACATAACAGCGCCATGCGCCGCGAACAAGAAGTCGTTGAAGCGCACAGTCGTCTCTGGTGCTTCAGGGTGTCGGTGCGCGTACTGCGCTTGTATAGTGGGCGAGTACAGGAACGAGGCTGTGGAGATGGTGTACATGCAAAAGCCGAGGACGTTCAGCGTGGGGAAGTCTATTGCAAGACCGAGCGTCGACTTGCGCGTATAATTCGATATCGGTTGCGGGTAGAAGCTACCAGACTGCCGTCGTGTAAGCCCATGTCAAATAACGCTCCCCGTTGCAATATTGCGGCATACCCAGAAAAGGAAATAGGCCCACCCCAAGCATCTCGAGATCGCTCGAGCGAAGGCTTCCAGCTCTGGAGAGGTCATGGCGGGGTCGCAGAGTTGCGGAAAGAACGTGGTAATGAGGGAGTGACATCAAAAGACACGGCGCAGCTATTGAGCGCTCAGACGCACAAGCCAAGAACGAGTGCTTCGCTCAGAAGAGAGAAGTGAGACTCGAAGGCATCCTGCGTTTGCGCCTGATGTCGAGACGTGACTGCAGGATTGCGACAGCGATAACGTGGACGGGGCCCTGGCGTGTGCCTGCATCAGTCTCATCGGCCGAGCCACTAACCGCGCCAGAGCATTTGACGAGCACGAAACATGACGGTAGCTAGGTACCACCCCAAAACTTCCGGATAATTGTCTTCTCAAATTAAAGATCTAAGTATTACATTTTCAGAGAATTTCCAGGGTTCTACCTCCATGGAACCTATATCTCATGCACAAGCCAATCTCCGTACTCGGTCCAAATTCGCAACCGTAGGCGAGAAATTGAGCACGAGCAGGGTTCGTCTCGAGTTCGTCCTGGCCATGATTGCGAGAGGCCTCGATTGGAGTTGAACAAGTTGTTCCGACTTTGTTACTTGTCACATTGTTCGAGTAAACCCTTCAGGGCTTGGGCCTGGGCATCGAAACATGCCTGCAGAGCCTCGCCGATCTGACCCTTCAGATACTCTGCGGTTGCACCGTGGAAGACTTCCCTACTCTCGTAGAGCACCTTGCCGTGGCCAATGTCGCTGACGGCTGACCAGCGCTCTGACTGCAGGTCGACTTGTAGGTTTGGATCAGGTGTGAAATCCCAGGCGAGACGTCCTTGCTTGCGCTGGACGTGTGTGACGTTCTCGTAGCTGTACTGTACATTGGCTTTGATGTCTGGAGTTTGTCTGTTGACCGGCAGCGGCAGGGCAGGTATCTGAGTGCGCAGGAACAGACGGCGACCTTCCTTCGGATACTGGTCTCGGAGGGTAGCGTTTTCGGAGGAGACCATGATCGAAGCACGCACGAATGGGTTCCATTCTGGATAGTTGGGGAAGTCGGTCAGGGCCGTCCAGGCGGCATGCTTGGTGCCACGGATCTCAATGCGGGTGCTGACGTTGAAGACGCCGTGCGGAACCTCAGGCAGGTTGGTGACCACGGAGCAGACGCCAATGGTTTGGAGCCAGAGTATCAGTGCTAGTGCTTTGAGCCTGTGGACTGTCATCGTTGGTCGGATGGTCGATGCCAAAGCTTGTGTAACGAGTACGAGAGAATTTAACAGAGAGAAGGGATAGTATTGATTGTTGCAGGCGATGACAAAATTGATTTAAGGAACTCAGCTACGAGAACGCATAAAGCTCAAGCCGGTTTCAGTCGAGAGTCCACGCCTTGAAAAGGTTGTTCTGACTTCATATCGCCGTGAGAACAGGGCCCCTTGTATTTATTGGGCCGCGAAGAAGCAACAAGAGACAGTCCGACGTCGTTGTACATAGGCCGTGCTGTCTGGGTACGACCACGACCGGTGTAGTGTGCACCAAAAGCATAGGTGGACAAACCCGGGTGACAGATTTGCTTCATCTCAGTAGACGGTTGCATAAGTCTGAACGCAAGGGTGAAAATTTCCGTCCATTGAAACCTTACTGTTGCTCTTGATTTCGGTAAAGATTGTAGACCCTGCATGAGGCTCCGAAGAGAAGCAAATAACAGGATAGACTTTGGAGTACTTGCGCTCAGCTCGACCGAAGAAAACATAGACTCAGATTCTGCTTTTGCTTGATCTGGGAGATAGATCTGGTGACACATCAGCGTGAAGATGCAAACATTGTCGACTGATGAGCTTCGGAGGCGTGCAATCTCGATGCCTGGAAACAGATGCATTTGCCATAGTGACCAAGCAAAAAGGCACCTAGAGGCCAAACCACTCAACACTTGACCGCCCTGTCTCGCAGAAATGGCAGCAGACCTATCTTTTTCGAACTGGCAGAAGTTGAGTAGCCGTGTCTGATGAGACTACAGGTGTTGAGGTGTTGAGCGAGCAAGGGTAAGGGCGGATCGAGACGTCATCAGCGCAGCTCGAGGCAGTACCCCGCATCTTCCTCGACCTGATGCATAATGGCTTGTAGTGGACTGCGTGAGCCGCTGACTGAGGGGATGGACTCAACAGAGTGCCTCATCAATCGTGGCAGAGCGACTGAGAGCAATGGCCCAACAAACGTGATGCTATCTACAGGCGGAAACGGCGGCGCGAGCTAAAAGGTCACCTGCGTTAGCCGGGCCAGAGGGGAGAGGGGCAGAGGGGCAGTACCTACGTGCCTCGTCGCGGTGGGAGCCAGACAGGGCACTGCGCACCGCGTATACGACATCTGCATGCTTCCCAACACTTTCGACGCTCACTATAAGCACCCCAGCTTCTTCTGATCTGCACAACTTCCCTGAATCCCTTCGCGTTGTGAGCTGAGGAGCTTCCGACGCGACTGAAGCTCCTGGGACCGCAACTGATCGACTGTCAACAAGCTTCCCGCTACGCCGAGTGCATAGCGGAGAGGACCGAAGACCGTCCATTCAGGTACCGCAGCGGTATTGGAATTTGACGCACAGATAGCGGTCACTCACGCGGCTATCTGTCACGATACAGGGTCCATCCGCCCAGCTGAACGCGCGGGCTGGTGCATGACGCAGCAGCCTGTCTTAGACGACCCAGGGCACCTCACGCGCCGGGCTCACCCGCTCCTACCCTCCAGCTTGGTACTCCTGCTCCTACACACCACACACAACCTGCAGCAGGGCGACCACTCTGCACCAAACACGCCAAACGCCTCCCAACTACTTGAATGAGCCCATCGCCGAACTCCGGAGCCGAGTACACGACGCCCGTATCGAACCTCAGTCACCTCCACAAGCAGCAGCGCAACCAGCTCAAGGTGCAGGACACTCCTCAGCAGCGCGGGCGTAAGACGAGACATGAGCTGGGACGAGATAATAGGCACGGGGAGAACCGAGTCACAAGAATCTACCCGCGCGAGATGTAAGCTGCCGTGTACATCACATCCTCAGGCATCCACTGACTCTGTGACAGAACCAAGTCGCCGCCCTCCGCACAGCGCTTCGCCTCCGCCTCTCCTCCCTCAAACTATAATGCCACCACCTCTCCACTGTTCTCGGCTATTGGCGCCACCAGGACCGCAGCTCAATACACAACCGAGTGGACCAAGTCACTCCCGTTCTTCGGCAACCAAGCTTCACCAGGCAACGGTGGAATAGCTATAGCAGGCTCACCACCAACGTTTCAGAGCTCGCCAGGGGCACGAGACGGACTGTACATACCGAGCATGTCCAACTCACCGCCTGCACTTGCAGGACGTCCAATGAGTCACCCTGGCCCGCAGGGGGCCTTTGGTGGTCGAGATCGCAGGCCCTCCGCGTATTCGCAGTACACCACCGGGCGGCCACTCTCTCAGAACTTTGCTGGGAACCCTCCCCTCCCACATCAACCACAAGCGCACTTCTACGGGACACCTGAGCTCGACCTTGGGCTGGATGGAGTGCGAGATGGTGGTATCCCTCCGGGCGAGGCAGGCCACTTTTGCGGCTTTGACACGCTGAGCATGGGAGGCGACGAGTCCGCGCGAACAACGGAGAATGTTCTCCTGGTTGGTTCACAAGGTGGTCTGGACGTCTTTCGAGTGGAAAGGGGCAAGCTCGATATTGTAGGACGCTTGGAAGGCTTGCGAGGCGCCGTCATTGGCGCAAAGATCCTTCCTTGGTGCCTAAGGAGGGATCCTCTAGCAAGCACCAGACCTTTGATTGCACTGACACTGCATGGGCCGGTTCTAAAGGAGGGCCGCAGCAGTCACAGCGGCAGTGGCGCATCGTCAGTTATCGACGATTCTGCCTCTGAGTCTCCCAGCAGGCTATCCAGCAACGACTCTTCGACGCAAGTCAGTGGTTATCAGACAACAGTCGAGATTTATTCCCTCAAACAGCAAACAAGGCTAGCCATACTGTACGAGAGCCCTCTGGTACCTTTGATTGTTCCGGTTGGAAGTCCCCTATTTCAACCTCCTGCTCCGGTTGGCGACTTGGTGGTTGATGCAAATGGCGAGTTCGTGGTCGTATCATCAGGTGCTAGTGGAGAAGTATTCGTGTTCGCCCCATATCTCAAAGGGCACGAGGATCACCGGGAGCGTTATCGCTGTGTAGGCAAACTCTGGACCTCTGTGCAGCTTCGTGAGCGGGTCACTTCATCAAACGCGTCCAGCGGTGCGGACGGCAGCCACGATGACGCCCCACCCGAGAAGTACGGCGTGCCAATCTTCTCCCTTTCAGATCGCTGGCTCGCCTTAGCTCCACCTACATCTAGCTCACAGTGTCCAGTTAATGGCACAGCTTTGACTTCTGCGCACTACGAGCGGCCACCAGGCATTTCACACCACACCGCGCCAACTCAGCCGGCACCAAACTGTGCCGTGGATGCGCCAGAAGCAGCCAGCCTCCTGAACCGATTGACAAGGGAGGGTACTCAGGTTGCAATCCAAGGCGCACGCTGGGCCACAGAGAAGGGCATGCAAGCTTTCAAGAGCTACATGAACAAGGGGACTGCCAACAACCTGCCATACCAGGATCCGATGCAACACTATTTCCCTCCTACGCACGGGCACAATCAAGCTCAGCCAAGACAGGAAACGACTGTCATCGCCATACACGATTTGCAGAAACTCGTCGAGGTCGAGGAAAATCGGAGTAAGAGTGCCTTACATCCAATTGCAGTGTTCTCTGCAATCAGCGGCTGCAGCTTGCTGTCGTTCTCTCCGACTGGCCTGATGTTGATGACAGTCAGCAAGAAGGGTGACTTTCAAGAAGTATGGGACCTCAAGCGAGTCAACTACAGAAGAGCACGCAAGACCAGCAGAGAGCAAGCACTCGGGCCACATGTACGACAAGTCGCCAGATTCAGTCGCATTACGGTTGCCAATGCCGTCGATGTAGCTTGGTCTGCTCCTCGAATCGACAAAGTCGCCGTTATCACAGAAAAGGGAACAGTGCACATGTTTCTCATGCCTGCCTCAGCATTTCAATGGCCACCGTATAGACGAGGGCGCCCAACAGGCTCAGCGAACCCTAAGGAGGACGTGGCACCAACAAGCAATGGGGGCGCAGTCGGGTCTGCAATGCAAGCAATCAATGGCACGGCGAAGCCCTTCTTCAATGCTGTACGTGGCCGAGCTGCTAGCAACGGCTCTCGCTTCACGTTCAGCAGTCTCGGCATGACTCCTGCGGCAGGTGCAAAGTCCAGTAAGGCTGTGGCTGTGGGAGTAGGAAACTCCATCAACAATATCCGCCATTCCGGAGACAATAAGATCGCACTGCCTGCATCACCAAGTGGTGTTAAGCCTTATAGCGTGCGATGGCTGTCCGGAAAGGGTCGAGGATCTATCGCTTTGGTATCTGGTGGTATTCTGCAGATCTGGAGGGTTCAGATGCGACCTGCTACGGGCAAAGGCAAATTACCCAATGCGACCTCGATTTTGAAGAGAAAAGTTGTGGAGTTTGCGCTCGCTGCTATACCAGACACGCCGTTCCCTCCTTCTATTGCTGAGCAGCTCTACCCTCAGCCCGGCGAGCAGGAAGCGGTCAACGAGATCTACGGAGAATGGCTCCCTCGAGCCCTACCACGCAAGACAGCTGCCCAAGGCGTCAAAGGATCAGCCACAGCGTTGGCACCTCTGAGTTTCTCTGAGATTGAGACCAACCCGCCGTACCAACCGTTTTACACCGACCGCCGAGTCACTCGTTTCGTGTACGCGCGCCCGCTGAACAGCGTACATGAAAGCAGCAGTGAGCATCAGCCCTTCACAGCACCCAGCCTTGCTAGCAATCTTCATCATGAAGACGACAACGCCCCTTGGCTGTTTGGCGAGGATGTTGAGGCTATCCGCATCTCGTCGTCAGCAACTCACGCTCACGATCTAGACGAAGATGAGTTCGTGGCTGGCGTTGCAGCTAGGATTGAAAACAAGATGGTCCTGAATGACGATGAAGAGGAAGTTGAGCAAGTCGTTGTCACAACCAGGCGACGACGGGTCAAGAGGGATGGTGAGGAGGGTTTCTTCGAAGACGACTGCGAGGTGCTTGACTTTGCAGAAGATCGGGTCTAGCTTTGCATTGCGTATGCGTCTGTCAACACTCATTTTTACGTTGGTGATCGACGTCACATCTCCACTATACATCCGCGAGTGTATCTTCACTCCTGTTTGGTTCTTGCATAATGTTTGGGACGGTGCATTGGAAGGGCTTCCGCGTTCTCTTGCGTAGTGTTTTGATGCATGGCGGACTTCACATAAGATACTAATAAGATACCACATAGTCGCCGCACTGAATAGTTAGAACAAATACAATCAAATCTGCAAATGTCCGCTGTCCATCGTGTTACAGACATTTTCTAGGACCGATGCCGGATGGTCGAAGCTTGGCTCGAAGCTTCGCCATTTAGCGCGTAGAGTTGTGGACCTCAGGAATCAATAGACTCGACTATTCCATCCGAAGACCCCGGATATCCAGGCTAGTGCTACAATTCGTCTTTTCTTGCAAGCAGTGAACGCGTTCAAGGTTGACGTCACGTTGCGGCTCCGCGGTTTCCAAATATGGCACCAGCGCGGCCTCAAACAATTGTAAGCTTCGGCCATCTAACGCTCATTCAACGCCTACATGACCCACAACATCATCTGAGGACCATGTGCGTCAGTCGCTATCCTTTCGCTACTTCGCAACGATGAGCGGTTACCTGCACACGCTGCGTTACTTCTTCGGCCTACCCCTCAGCATTGCTTGGAGAACAGCTCTCGTGCAGATCCCTCGATTCGTGCCCCTATCGATCCTCCACATCACCTCGCCCAAGGGCCCGCACCCCTTTCTCGTCAATCTACCGAGTCGAAAAGGAGCCGTCATCACACTCTATGTCTTTGTGCCACCCGCACCAGTCGATCTGGAAAGAAATGAGGACCAGCGGCGAGCAGAGACGGGAGAATGGAGAGTACCAGTGGTGCTGGACTTTCACGGAGGTGGCTTCATCATGGGCAGCCCGCTCGAGCAGGCACCGTATGCCTCGATGATGTCGCGTGAGCTCGGAGCAGTCGTGATCTCTGTGTCATACCGCATTGGACCTTTTCACCAGTTCCCCGCCGCTATACACGATGCCGAAGACGTGCTGTCTGCGATCCTCGATACGGACAGCATAACGGATGCTGGCAAATACCTCAGGACTGAGATTCAGCGGTACTATACAATCATGCGCACGAACACGCTCAGTAGGACCGACAAGAGGAAGAAGAAGGAGCCACTACCTCCTCACATCGAGCATGTCACGACCATCACGCTTGATCCAGAACGGATTTGTATCTCAGGATTCTCAGCAGGTGGAAACATCGCATTGAACATGGCTGTATCAGCTCCTCCGTGTGCAGATCTCTTACAGTCCGACACGGGGCGCTCCAACTCGATATCGCGAGGACCGTCGCCCGCTGCAACCATGTCACCACTCTTACCACCGAACCGAGCACCTACAATACTCGACAACCCACTACATCCCTGGCCGACGATTTTACCTCCCCCACAGGCTCGACCTCGTTTCATGCCTCTCCTCCTATTCTACCCTTCGCTAGACGCACGCCTATTACCTCACGAACGACCCATGAAGGCTCTACCGAACGCGCTAAAGGGCGACGACAAGGCGCCTGACAAACCACGCATGCCTGGTCTCTTCTCGATCATGGGACCTACATACCTACCCAAAAAGCTACGGCCACACCCTCGAGCAAGCCCTGGCCTGATCGATCCCGAAAATATCCAGAAGAACGCCGCTATGTTCCTTGTCCTTCCCGAGAGGGACACCCTCGCCGTTCAAAGCGACGTCTGGGTCGACAAGATGAACTGCAGTGGATGGCACGGACACGTGCGCTTCGGCGACGGGCGCGAGCACGACTGGGACGGCATCGACGGCGGCGCACCCTATCCCAAAGTCGACACCAACGGCGGTCTTGAAGTCTGGCACGCCCCAGGCTGCAGACACGGCTGGACGCAGTTCCCTGACATAGCAGTTGGGAAGCACGAGAGGAAGGAGAGGAAGCTTGTCTTCGAGCGGACTTTACAATTTGTAAAGGATGCGTGGAAGAGGGAACTTCCAATCCCGGACAGGCAGCTGGGGAATAACAATCAGGAGCTCAGGCCGCTGAGAATCCCCCCTCAGTCTAGTGGGCTGGAGTGTTAAGGAAAAATCGCACTTTCTGTTATTCAATACGGTGTTCAAGCGCGGTACAGGCGTTCGGATGGAAGCATAGCGTTATGGCGATCGTCTTAGGACCCTCTAGAATTCTACAGTGTATCACTACACAGCCAACCCCCGTTGCAACACTTACCCCACGAAAATATGCACTGACAGATACCGAGTCGCTGCAAAGCTCTGCTGATCAACATGTACAGCGCATAGCCGCATAAAGCTCCACGCAGGCACAAGCGCAACTGCATGCCAAGCTGAGCACTCCCATGCCACAACCGGCTGCCACGTCGGCCAGCAACCCACTCCCCACACTAGCCCGCCCCATACCACAGCTCGGCCGTGCAACGACGCGCGGACGCAGCGATCCGCATAGCCTGCGCGGAGCTCTGGTGCTCGCTTGGCTCTGTATTGGAGAAGGCTTGGCTGTGTGCGCGTGGTGCTTGGTCGATGTTTGGTTGGCACGGAGAAGGGGGTCTGTGTGCTTTGTGCGAGGTTTCAAGATGTTTGTGTAAGGCGAAACGGTTGTGCAGCGGGAGTAGGGGAGGCGTTAGAACTGTGAGAACTGTTTAGGGAGAGAATGCTTGGCTGTGTTTGTGCTACGCGGAGAGGACGACAGGTCGTTCGAGGCTGTTCATGCCGTCGTGAATTGCAGTCTGGTGATGTGTCGAAGGCGGGAGTGACATTGTGAGGGAGTACTGTGGGGAAGCATAGTCTTGAGGAGACCGTGCAATGGAATGGCTGTCAATTCGTCCTTCTATTGAGGTGGCACGGAAAGTGCCAGGTTCAATGCTTCATACCCCTTGATCAGCAGCAAATTCGTGTTGTCGAAGTACTGCCAAGTCATATTGATCAAGTACGGTACTGAAGCTCGGGCAATAAGATCACCAAATGATCGAAACCAATTTTGGAGCATTGCCATCCTGGGTAACCTGGTACCCTGCCAAGTGGAGCGAGGAGTTATGCTTGTGATTCGAAGCGTGGGGTTGCAACTGCTGTCAACCTCTCTTGACATGGGTGATAATTACAGGAAACATAGGCCCGTTTGTAGGAGGCTGGAGCGCGGCGATGTCGTATCGTGATCAAAGCGACGTCATCCACACAGTCGGATAAGGGATAGTAGTGGAATTTAACCACGGCATCATATCCTGGCTGCTGGTCAGTAAGGCCTGGCGCAGCATCCGAGACTCCGAGTTCTTGTCGTGGTTTAGCATGCTCGCGGTTAGATGCAGTACCCCGCCTCAACATCAATCACTTGCCTACCGTAAGATGGTCTACCGTTGTCCAGATCTCAGTCGTTTTATCACTGCACGGTCACTGAATCGTCAAATCGTGCCATGAGCAAAATTGAAACACGGGCGAGGGGGTTTTAGTGGAAGTCATGAGAGCAGGCACTTCCCCGCAGTGCACGATGTTTGAGCATGCTCATGCGAGGTCAAGCCGGCTCAGGCGCTTCCCAAGAAACCACAAAGACAAGGGTTGTCACGGCTCTGCCAACGAGATGCGGAGAATGCGCACCCTGTTCCCAGACGCTGCAGGCGATGGCGCGGCGAAGCATGTGGGAGTGGGTAGATGAAACGGGAAACCCGCAACTAGCGAGCTGTCCCAGAGCAAACGGCGTCAGATGACCCACCAGGCCCGACGCAGGACAACGTGAAAGTAGGGAGAGGGAGAAAGGCGGTGAACAGCGGTGTAGACCTCCGTAGAGCGGCAAGGTGAGCAGCCTTTGAGGCACAGACAGAGATCATGTGAAGTTCAAAGGTCAGACAGGAGAGCTGAAACTGTCGAAGCTCGTCCCAAAGACACGCTCGACGATGCGCTGCACGCGTGTGCTCGAGGTGCTCAACGATGCAGGAAGGCTGCGGTGGACTCGGGTGCCTGCTCATCGCTAGCGCGGACTCGTCTGCACGTCTGCGGTTGGATGGAGTTTTTGAGAAACCCAGGACGGCAGTAAATCAGGGTCCTGTTCCGATGCATGGGCAATTGCGCACTGAATTGCGTAACTTTTCTTGTCGAAGGAGGAAACCTGCTTTTGGGTTCATTTGAGGAAAGTGACGATGGCGCTGTTGAGGCTGCTGACAAAGGATAACGATGGCAACAAAGAGGACGTCCAGCAGCATCGACGTAAGATTGAAAGCACTGTCAGCGCGCCCGTCGGGAAGCTACGTGCCGCTATTAATGCAAGTCGAGAACGCTTGCTCACCGGATGTCGTTTTGCTCGTGTAATCTCGACAGTATTCGCCTCAGGCCGAGCCCGCGCGCACATTGCATTTGTGCGAGCCGTACCAAAGTCTGCCAATGCTCTGCGTTGCATTGGCTGCACGCTCCTCCGTGGGGGAGGCATAAACTTCTAGCGCATCCGACCCAACGCTTCCCTCGCACATCAAATTCCTTTTCTCCCTTCTTCAGGACCTTCGAGGCATCGCAGCAGCAGCCACTGCACTGCACTGCGCGCGCCAGCAACGCCAAATCCCGCGCAGCACTCCGCCCCGCAGCCAACGCAAGCACCGCAATCGCCCGGGGGCTTGTACTGAGCGCCCATTCCGCCCACCTATCAGATCGCCGCCAGCTTTTGGCATCCTGGCGCCGTTGCCACAGCGTGTCTGAAGATCATACACCATCTTCGCCGGGCATCCCTCCCCACGTGTGGCCGCCCAACTTTGACAGCTGTGACACCTAGTGAAGCTGCCACTTCATTCCACTCCGGACCGAGCATTTTACTCTACTTCTACAATGTTGTTCTTCATATTATAACAAGCCGTCCTTTTGGGGCCCCACCTCACCACCACCATTATCCATATACTCAGTAATACTACCACGCGGCCGCGTATCCTTGCCACAAACTCGACTCTTTCACGACTCTCCACTCTTCAAGTACACTTGGACTCCACGTGTGCGATCGACGTCGACGCGAGTCTGCAAGTGCGTCTCCAAGTGACGTATAGCAGCAGCATCTTACTCCTACACACACATAATTGTCCCACCACCCACCAACAAACATGCCGAACGAGCAGGATCACATTGGGAGAACGGGTGCAGCGGGAATGAGCACAATGCAGACAACCCCCAGCACAATACCACCGACCATGGCAGCAGAAGAGGAGGTACCGGCCGATGTCGATGAACCTCCGGAACAAAGGCGTACGCCACGACCAGCACCTCTCAAAATCCAGCACTCGTCATCATTCACGAAGCTCTCCTCAAAACCAGGGATCGACCGCAAGACATCGCTCTTGACGTCTGCGTTGCAATCCGCCTCGAACACAAGCTCGCCCGTGGATGACCACTCCGACAGGGACCCGCCTCGTGGCATGTCGTGCATCTCCATGTGGAGCAACAGCACCATCTCGACTGCCGGCCTGACCAGCGACGAAGGCTTCACAAGCGCGGGCACAAGGACGTGTACACCTAGCCCGCCACTACCTTCGACCATAATCCACACTATGCTCCCACCGTTCACGAAGAAGCCTTCAGAGCAGCGACTAAAGTTTGTCGGACGAGAGAACGATACCATTGCAGCACCCAAGCCGGAAACGCCTGCTGGTGAACAGGGAGTCGAGGCGACGTTGGGCAGGAAGAGGTGTATCATGTTCGCGTGCGGCGGTCAGAAAGAGGAGAAGAAGCCACTGGAGGCACCGGCTAAGCCTGCGACACCTCCTACCGCCGAGGAACCTCCCAAGCGTGCTTGCACTATCAAGTTCGCCTGCGCAAAGCCCACAATGCCCGCACCCGCCGCTGAGGAGCCAGCAAAGCGTCCTTGCACCATCAAGTTCGCCTGTCTTGCGCCAAAGACCTCTACAGAAGCAGATTCGAAGCCAAAAACCTCCCGTCGTCCTGCCAGTCCCGCACCCCCACCACGTAAGATACCTGTGTCACCCAAGCCATCTCCGAGAGCCCACCGTGACTCTGATTCCACAATCCGCAACAATTCTCCCATCAGCGTCCGCAAGGTTTCGATGGTCGATCGGACACGCCGCCTCAGCCAGAACTCGGAACTTGCTCGCACCGAAGCTTTCCGCTTCCACGAGTTCGCAAGCTCGGAAGAGGAGGTCGAGGAATGGACGCAAGAGATCACGTGTCATCGAAACAGACTCACTGTTGGCGACACTCTTCGGGTTGAAAACAATCTCCGGCAACTCGTCGAAGAAGTCGAAGAGGAGGCTTTGGAGGACGATGACGATGATGACGATGATGACGATGACGCAGCTGATGATGAGGATGACGACGAGGATGACGAGGATGAGGACAACAGCGATGCCCACAGCGATGTCACCGATGAGGGCTTTCAGACTGACGACGAGGAAGGCTTCGCAGTCTCCGACGATGAGAGCGACGCTGGATCCGACTACAACTGGTGGGCCCCTGGAGGCTCAACTGCAGCTACGTCCGTCGATCACATTGGCAATCTTCGACCCAAGAATCACCGCACAGTCTCCGAGTCTTCCATTGGATCTCTAGAAAGTCGGAAGAATGGGTTCAAGATGTTCGAGCGGGAGCGTGGCCAGCGCGCAGCCGGTCCATCAGGCCATTCGATCAAGCGCAAGCAGTCGAAGCCAATGAACATTCGCGCATCAGAACCAGAACTTCCTGACAGCACCGACTTTGTTTGTGGAACTCTTGATGAGGATAGGCCAGCGGAAGAGGCTTACATGTCGAACCTGGAACGCCGCCGCGCAGCCAAGCACAAGCCTGCACCTCAAGACATCGATCCTAGCTTTCCAGCTTCAGATCCTGAGCTCGTTGAGGACGATGAGGAGGACGAAGTAGACGACATTGAGAACCGTTCTGAAAGTGATAACTACTTCATGATGCACGGACGAATGGACATCATTGGCGCTGCGCCGCGTGGACGTCGTAGAGATACCTTGAAGCAGCGCTCCCCTCCCGCTCACTCGCCAAAGCGACCTGGTTCACCTCCACCGGCCAAGCGCATTGTGCACCGATCACCGCCGCCGCCTACGAAGCGTGCAGTACATCGCTCACCACCTCCTCCTACCACCAAGAGAACCAGTCACCGTTCTCCACCTCCGCCTACAAAGAAGGCCATTCATCATTCCCCACCGCCTCCTCGTGCGCTCTTTGGCAAGTCACCTGTGCGAGCCCGTTCTCCAGCTCCCATGCGCCTCCGCTCACCGCCCCCATCTCGACGAGGCTCTGCCAACATCCTGGCGGCACGCCAACGTTCAGAGATGTCCATCAAATTTGGCGGGATCGGCGAGCGACAAGCCCTGACAGTATCTGCCTCGCTACCTCGAACTCCCATCACTGGACATCACAACCCACTGGAGTACGACGATGACGACGACGAGGGGACCACCACCAATGACATGCCCGTCCGTCGCGCTATCGACATCCAGGTCGGTCTCGAGAAGAAGAGGCAGCGACGCAGAGAGCAGTTGTACAGAAAGCAGCACCGCAAGAGCACGAAGGAGAAGCGCCCGCCGGTTCCAGGACGAGGTGCAGAGCGCATGCGCGACGTCGGTCTACAAATGGCTGCACACAAAGGCAAGACTACTGCCTTCAACCCCTTCCATGTTCCAGCCACACCAGATCAGGCGAACATGCATGTGCTGTCCGTATAAGATACAGCACACGTGTGTAGAACAGCGCCGCCAACGTCTGTTGGCCCTTGACATGATTCTGCCGAGACTGCAGTACATGCTGGTCGCTTTCACACACACTTGAGGTTGAGCCGCCCAAAGAAGGCGTGCTCCCGCACTTCGATTCTTTCGAAATATTCATTATTACGCTAGCTTCATACTTTCGCTAGTGGCTGCTCATGTATATAGCCAACCACTACCTCTTCGAATCAGACATTATCTCATTGTTCTCTTTCTAGACTGTCTGATAACCTTCTTTGTACTGGATAGTACCACAGCATAGCATGGAATTGGTCGGGTGGTGCATTGACGGCCTCCCTCGTGTCGAGAGGTTGAGAGCCTTTGGAGTTTGATATACTATGATGAATCTACGAATTTCACAACGTCTTGTTGTGTTACATCATAACTTGTGATGATGGTTAATAGACTAATATCGGCATGCTTGCCATGTGCTGACACAGCGCTGTTGTTAGAAGTCACGTAGAGACGCGTTTCACAATGCTCCATGATCGTCAGTATATATGCGGCAGTTCCACTGCACAGCCAGGGGATCGGCGCTGAATCTTGCACATCGTCGCAGGAGCCGTCCCGTGCAGCAATTGATCCTGCAGCTTCTGTGCCAAGACCAGCGACCTCGTACTCTGCCCCTATTTGGTACCGCTCGATACTTGGACAAGTTTGCCGGCGGGCATCACTACTACTGCTTCATGATCTGGAACAATCAGAGTGGCCGGAGACCACGTTTTCCAGTTCCACGCCAACAAGACTTTCTTGCGAGACAGGTTTCGCGGGGTTGAGTGCAACTAGCTTCGGGGTACATTGTTAGAGGGCGTTCGATGTGTCGGGGAGTCAAAATGGTAAATTGGCTCGTAAAAGTACGAGTGCAGCCGTTGGCAGGCGGCGTCAAGCGGTGTTGAAGAGGCTGACTCGTGAGAGAAATGAGGTGTCGATCTGCAGCTGTTGCTATGATGGGAGCACAAGCCCCGGCGTGCGTGTGCAACAGCACCGCACACACGACACCGCCTCGAGGCTGACAGCAGCGTGCAGCGTGCAGCGTGCAGCGGCATCAAGGTTGTGATTATGTGCGAAGGATTGGCAGTGCTTCAGTTGATCGCCCGCAGAGGACTTGGGGATGCTCTCCACGTTCAAAGGCATGGCGCCGCGCGGCGTCGGTCACTCCCATCTACCCTACGCACTGACAATGGTCGCCGCTGCTCGCTGCATTCCACCGGCGCGACTACACAGCAGTAGTCAGCACAAAGGAGAAAGCGACAGCACCGTTCCCGCAAGACAGGAAGCTGTCTGCAAATACTGCAGCCAGCAGCCTCCAGACCCCTTATAGCCGCATTCGAATTAGGCGCGCTACCTTGACTCGCTCCTTTTCCACCACATCCAGACGCGGTATGAGACATTCATGCTGTACGAGCAGCACGTGTAGATGGAGTGGCCCGAGAGCTACAGGTAAGGAGCCAGGACACCCAGGCATCTGCCCAGATGCCGGTGCAGACACCAAGGGAGACGGGCGAGCACGACACGTTGAAGATGTCGTACGTTACATCGACCACACCAACCCAAGCACACACGCCAACTGCACACATGCACATAGACACGCTTTGGCAAGACAGGCCAGTAGATGGCGGCGACTTGTAGAACATGGCCGCTTGGAGCGTCGCGTGAGACTAGCGTTTATAGGTACCCATGCGCATCTTGCATACGGAAAAGAGGCGGGAAGATAACTATGTTTGTAGCCGACTTTCCTACTGCTCGAGAGTGGAGTGCGCGCAATCCTGCATCGCGACACGCCCACAGGTAATCGTGATCACTGTCAGTACGAGTAGAGAAAACCCATTTCCAACTAACGAGACAATTCTATAATTACGCGGTACAACCCAAATCAACCAACGCCTCACTCCCGCTTCTTCCCTTCTTTCTTGACGTAGTCCTCTTACAAAGCAGTCTTCCCGCCTCCATACCCGCCTCTATGCTGTCTATTAGTATTGTGCCCACTTCCCCGTGCACTCCTCGGTGTCCGAGGACTCTGAGACGAACCAGACATGGGAGTCCGCGCAGGCGACAGTCCACCGGTGCCCGGCAGTGTTGCCCACTGGCTGCCTCCGAGGCCCGACGCAGTCGACGGTCCATTGTTCTGTTGGAACGCAGGCGTTGCAAGAGCTCCCTGAGATAGAGGATTGGTAGTGTCGGTTGTCGGTGCGGAAGGTCGTCTAGTGCTGTTGTTGTGCACGAACGTGAACGCGCCAGTCGGGACTGCGTCGAAAGTCACTGCTGTGGCAGGCGCTGAGGCAGGTTGCGAGTTCTCGACGCTGTCTTTGCTGTGGTTGGTCTTTCTGTTCTTTGTGTTCTCGCTGCTCTGCTCTACATTTGTAGAGCGTGTGGCTGCGTTGAACCGTGTCTTTGAGATGCCTAGTTGTTTCTTTCTGGTCGCTGACATATCACTCTCAGGTTCTTCATCTGATTCGTCCCCCCAACGTCGTCCTGTTACTTTTTGGGCTCCTGAAACACCATTCGAGCTTCGTGGGGCTGAAAATTTAGAGCCCATCGATGAGGTTGGTGGCTCAGTGCCGCTTCGCGGAGTCATTCGCCCTTGAGTCGGTTGAGATGGACGCCTCGCTGGTGATGAAATGTTGGCGGGCGGTGTTAGTGTAGAAGATTTGGTAGGAGTTTGCGGGGTTCCTTGTCGTTGAGTGCTTTGAGCCGGTGAGTTCGCTGGTGCATGCTTGCTTTTGCGCATGTTCGCACTGGCCTGCTGCGAATTGTCCGAGATCATGGGCGGTGTGTCAAGCCCATCACGAGCTGAATTGCGCAGGGCTGCCATTTGTAGCCTTGTCGGCGCTGGCCGAGTTCCTCCTTCCATCCCCTGAGACGGCGCTGCCAATCTCGGGCTCGGTAGTCCAGAAGTGTTTTGGCTACTATTAGCGGATGAAGTTTCTTCTAGCTTTGCCTTCTCAGGCTCTGAGTCTCCGCTTTGCTGTGAGCTTAGAGAAGCGGTATTTGATGTCGTTTTGCCTGTATGCTTGCTCTCTGTATTGGCTTCCGCTGCTTTCTCGTTCTTTTCATCTTCGGTCTTGTTAATTACCTTCCTATCGGCGGCGGGCTCCTCGTATTTCGTAAGCTCCCCCTCAGCCTTTGCCCAAGTCTTTTCTGTTTTACCATTCTTGGTGGAACTGGGAGTTCCTAACGTGGATGGCGAGGTTCCAGAAGCAGCTGTTGGTGCTGAAGGTGGAGCAACTGGAGTCTGTGCAGCTGAAGCAGTAGTCTGAGCGTGTGTCGATGGGATAAATACCGGAGCTCGTGGTGATGGAGTGAATCGCGAGTCCGGTCCTGGATACTTGAAGTGTGGAGGCTTAGTGGAGTCATGCCAATTTGGTCGGAGTGTCGTAGTCTGAGGGTTGATGTTTGGGTTAATCGATCCAAAATCGGGTAAGTGTCCATAAATATTGGCCAGGTCTGTCTTCCTTGCGCTCTCGTAGAACTCATCTACCGTTTCTTTGGCTGTAAGTAGCCAGTCTGGGTCCTTGACAGTCAACTTGCCCTTAGCCCAATGAGGTGGATACTTATACTGCCTACGCTGGTTCTTTTCCGGCAGCAGGAACGACTCCGGTTCCCACTCCCTTCTCCATACCGCACATTTACCCTCATGGTCCTTAGCGAACTTCCACTTTGCATCGTCAGTAAAATTAGCATGGCATGTGCTACACTTGTGCGTCTCAGCTGGTCCACTTGGCGGTTGTGGCGAGTTTGGCGTGGACCTGGTCCCCGCTTGCTGGATGCTGTGTTGCTGTAGAGAAGTATAATGGTTCGGTGTGGCCGGGTTGTGTCTACTCTCACTCATCTTCCTGAAAGCTTGGGTCGAAGGCGGGAACTGTGGAGCGGATGACGATAAATGGCTACTGAGAATGATCCCACTGTTGGGTGTCGCAGGAGGAGCGGTAGCAACCGGGCTGCTGGTGGAGACTGTGTTACTAGTACTTGATAGTCTATCTGCCGATATCTCAGGCAATGACTGATGCTCCTGCGGATCGTATGCTCCCAAAGCATCGGGACTGGTACCAGATGCACCGGCAGTACCGGCATCTAGTGTCGTTGAAACAGCAGGAGGCTGTCCATCAGCAGCGTCCTCTGACTTCTTCGACGCGTCCTCGCTGCCGCTGGATCCTTGCTGTCCATCCGCTGTGTCAACAGTAGCTTGCTTCTTCGTGGTCGATGATTCCTCGGCTGCGACTCCAGCTTCCGGCTCTTGCGCTGATTCTTTAGTAACATCTTTACCTTCAGACTCCACGGTTGTCTCCGTTTCAGTTGCAGGTGTCGATTCGGTTGCTTTAGTTAGTTCAGCGTTGATGTTCTTAACCTGTGCACCAGGTGCAGCATCATCTTGCTGTCTTGCCGCTGCATCCTTGAGCTGTTCTGCTTGTGGCTTACTTCTTGACTCGCAGTCGTTGAGCTTGCCCTGTTGATCGTGCAAATCTTTACAAAGAGTCTCGTTCTCCGCCTTGAGATCCGCGTTCTCTTTGAACATCGTCTTCTCAAAAGCCGAGTCTCCCGAGTCTCGCTTTTGCTTGATCTCGCAGGCATCTAGCTTTGCTTTGGTGTCTTTAAACTCCTTCTCCCAATGCTCGCATTGAAGGTCTCGGGCCTTCAGATCTCTTTCGAGGTCCCCAATCTTGACATGGCCTGCTTCCTGCCGAGCCGCTAAGTCTCCAATAGTTTTCTTGTTGTCATCAACCATTCCGTCTAGATACTTGACCTCATCCTCGGCATTGGCCAATTCACCGTCCAGATTGCTTACTTGCTCACGTAGGTCCTCAATCCTTCCCTTAGCCTGATTCAACTCGTCCCCGTTGCACTTGTGATCTCCTTCGCACTCGCGAAGCTTGTTACAATCGTCGTCGCAAGACTTGAGCTGTATTTTCAGATCCTCAATATCTTTCTGGGCATGTTCAAGCTGTTGTGTTGTAGCATCACGCTGTCGTGTTAAGTGGCCCACGTTTGCGTTTGCTTGATCGAGCTCTGTCTGTAACTGTGTAATGCGCGCCTCAGCAGTGGTGAGTTCGCTTTCAGAGCCATTCTCTGTTTGTTCATGATTCTCGTGCTGTTCATGGTTTTGAGGTTGTGTGTTGTTGATGGCGGCCCTGTTGTGCGTAGAGTTGATAGAGGGCTGCGGACAGTAGTTCTCCGGTATATCGGGTAAGTATTGGCCATGCTCGTCTGTATACAAGCTGTCACCTGACGAAGGTTGCGATGCCGCTGATAACGATCGTGTGCGCGATGCTGATGGGCCATCAGATTGCGTTCTTTCATCATCCTTGCTGCTCAACCGTTGCTGAAGATGGTCGACCTGTCCCTGCAAATCAGAGTTCTCCTTGCGCAGTCTCGATAGCTCCGCATCACGTTCAGCATCCAGCCTCTGCTGACTGGTAAGCTCGCCGCTCGCCGCAGTCCTGAGGCCTCGCTCTCTGTCCAAATCGTCCTGAAGCCTTCGCTCACGCTCAGAAGTGGCAGGTGTCGCGCTCTCGGAGCCGCTAGTCCGCTTGTCCTTCTCTGCGAGCTGTGAGCGGAGTGTGTGCAATTCAAGTTGCAGATCGTTCAGTTGCATCTCGAGATCGTGGCTCTGAGCTTGAGCAGAAGTCTTCGTTATCGCATCTTCCGTCGCATCATTGACTGGAGCCTCATGTGCGTCGTCGTTGTCATCAGTAGCTGCAGCATTGTTCCGGCGTCTACAGCAACACCACCGGATGAGCGTGACCAGGCAGGAAACATAGAGAAGCAGACCCGCTATGAATCCAAAAAACGCCCATGGAGTAGCCTGAGTAGGGGTAGCTCTCTGACGGAGTGTGAGAGCTTGATTCCATGGTTTGCCAGGTGTGTAAGAGACGGTGTTGGGGAGGCCCCAAATCGAAGGTAGAGGAAAATTCGGAGCAGCTGGAAGGACAACAGGCAACTCTACGTTGGTCAGTATAACTTCGAGCGCTTGCTGCTCGTCGTAAAGCGTCTGTTGCTCGTCGTAAAGCGTCTGTTGCTCGTCGTAAAGCGTCTGTTGCTCGTCTTCAGCGATGTCGTTATCGATCGGTGGTCCTCGCGGAGGCGCATCGAGCAAACCATTAAACCTCCTGCTTACGTACGGAACTCCGACAACGCCGCCAGTAATGAGCAACCCGAAAAAAATGCTGTCTATGTGTGGAATATTCATGAACGTATGGTAGTTGGCGGCAATTTGCGCTGGCAGCGCTGCTAATGCGTCCATGGCGGCTGCTGACAGGACCTCAAGTCCAGTGTTCTAGTTGTGACTGATCGATACGTGCGTGTTAGCTATGAAAGTATAGATGTACTGCTCTCTGAGCGCAAAGTGACAATCGTAAGTAAGTCTCTGAGACCGAAGAAAAGCGTGGCGCGAGCGTTTTACTCATCATGACTGAGAATCACAAGGACCAAGTGCATTATTCTTTCATGAGGACGTTCTTTGTGGACGCCAGCGTCAAAGAAGAGCGGTAACGTGTAACACAAGAAGCGGACATAACAGAAACAAAGGCAGATCTCACTGCCGCCACACAAAGAGATCGTGCGAGTTCGTTGTTCACCGAATGACAACCTCTACGGCCACTTCGTTGCTCCAAGACGCCTTTGAGTCGCTTTCCATCCAAGCTCTTTTTGTGTCTATTTCGAGCACATTTTCGCATGTTTCGCTGGCCTTAACGCAATGTCTCGCTATAGGTCTTCCAAAAATCAATGCCATGACGTCGTCTTCCAGATTGCGGTACTTAAGATTGGAGATGTACAGCCCTTCAGAACGTTAGCCTCTACCACAGGGTGAACGGAGGGGCTGTCAGAAACTTACCGTATGTGCCCAAGACCTTCAATGAAGTCCAAATTCGCAGGCGACCTGATGAGCGGTCAACGTAGCTATCTGTGTTTACAATTGCTGCAGCTCCGGTCATCTTGCCTAGAACGCCCAAGTTGGCTACCTGCACTTCGTCCGATCCTTTCACCTCATGGCTTCGCTTGAGCTTGAAGGTCTGCAGCGGGAAGGCAGAGAGTATCTCCCATCCTCGTGTCGGTAGCTCTAGGTGAACAAAAGCGTCATCACCTTCAATGCTGGTCGGTCTGGTGACTTGACCAGTAGTGTGGTTCCTGATGACGTATGTGCCCTTCTCGGCACCAGGGAATGAGTCGAGTCCGATCAGTTCGGAAAGAGGTCGCTGTGTGCAATTGAAGATGCCCAAAATACTGACGCCGCTGTGTGCCATCCCAACATAGGTCGCGACTTTCAGTAAGACGGGGTCATCGTAGGAGTTGTAGGCTGATGTGCTCTTGCCGACAGTGTGTGGGCGAAGGATGACCGTGTTGTCGCGAGGTGTGTTTCCTGTCATCTGCCCAATGAGGTCAATGTCGTGCTGCCCTGGTACATCCGTGATATAAATTGGACCACCAGACACGCATCGTCCAGCGGCATGGAATGAGGCGTAATCATGCGAGGTTTGAAACATATCCCAATCAGGAAGGATGTTGAGGTATTGGTTGAAGATAGCGTTGTGTGCGTTGCAGAAGATGTGCCAGGGGTGGGAAGCTGGGACTTCCGGAAAGAAGTCATCTGAGTTACGCAGCAGTATCTGTGGCATGTTGGAGCGTAGCTGTGAGTGGAAGATCATCTGCGGCGATTGTGACATGCACGAGATAGCCCTGGCAGAGAAGTAGCGGAGCTGTGCAACGTTCCACGCGTCTTGATACGATCTGATCAAGTTTCGGCGATCCGTAGCATCGTCCAATTCGTCGAGGAAGAACTGAGCGTCAGTCTTGACCGAGTCGATACCAGCGGAGCTTAGAAACCGGTAGAAGTCCTTGTAGAAGCGGCTGACGTCTTCCTCTGCAACGACGGTGAACTTTCCGCCAGACACCCCATCCTTCTTCTGGACAACGGTGGTTTTATACTCTTTCGCGATCTTGCCTTCAGGTGCGATTCCGCCCCAGTAGCCGAATAGCGCATGCCACACTGCAATATGCTTGATGTTCTTGTATTTAGTGCGGATGTCGCCGACCGTCGCTTTGAGGCCACGAGGGAACCCATTCTTGGTTGCTTCAAACTCGACCCAGGCGTTTTTGAACTGATCGCCGCCCTCATGATTCTAGATTGCGTCAGTATTTGAAGTAAGTGGCTTCCCAGAGTACGTACCAGGGATTGCCAGTTGTCGTCAATGATAAGGTTGCTGATGTTAATCTCGTTCTTGGCCAATGACTCCAATGCGTCGAACAGTTTCTGTTCCGTGAGATGTTGTCCAATGCCATTCCAGGTGCAGTATGAGAGTCCATCGTCTACAATGATCAGTGTTTGTCGTCTCCGCAGAGACGAACCTAAGGAGACTTACACCAGTTTTCCAACCACTCTGGCTTGAAGTCGTCAGCCAGCGCCTTCAGCTCAGCTTCCGCCTCTTCGGCACCCACTCCGTACTTCATCACCAGCTTCCTTGCATGATACATAACAGCTGCTATCGCATGGTTTAGGTCTTTGCCCACAGCGGCAACCAATTGTGAGACGCCGTCTTCTTCACTGTCGTTGCGGGATTGAATCACAATTCGCCCTTCGCCATCATGGCTCAAGGTTGTCAGTACATCATCCACGCCACTGATCGCCAAGACAACCAGATGAGAGCCATCTTCGCGTTCGAACGTCGCGAGGATAGCTTCCTTGTCGGGTTGAAAGCGATTCTTTCCCTGTCTTGGGGCTAGCCAAGGGCTCCACAAACGGACCAAGGCAAACCAGCGTGTGAAGTCTAGCGGTTTGCCCAGGCTGTTGTGCGAGTAGCCTGAGGTGGACCCGGAAGCGGCTTTGACAGGACTCGTGATGGACCATAGGAGGGTCTCAGGCGAGTCACTTTGCTCTTTCTTAATTTGCAGGTATGGAGGTAATGCATCGATATAATGTGTCAAGTCATCGCTCAACGCATCCTCCGACTGGTAGATGAGGCGGCCGTCTGAGGTGGAAAACTGCTCGTTAGCCCACTTCCATGGTTCATTCTCGCTGGCTCGGAATGTAACAGTGTACGACAAGGAACCACCGTGCTTCGGACGTCCGGGGAGTTCGATTGTGAAGAATTGTTGGCGAACGTTCGTCTGGCTCGCTTTCACGACTGTAAGGGAAGGTTCCGGTACTGCGTTGAGGTTCAGACTGGCCCACTTCTCTTTGTCATCAAAGTTGTGCCATAGTGCAGCCTCCCATGTTTTCTCTGATCCAGCCGAGCTCTCGATCAGGACGGTGAACTTGACGGTCGATCTGTCGACTGGAATCGTCGTGGTCTGTCCTAAGGGAGGATGGCATGTGAGTGTAGCGTACATGTTAGCGGTCTTGGGGACGAGGCGCGTGTTTGACAGTTGCACAATTGGTGTATTGAGATGAACGGATAGTATTGAGGAGTAAGTGAGTGATCACGCAAGGAGTCGATGTCGATGCATGCTGGACTAGGAAGGCAGGTGACGTGCATGGTGCAAGTGCGGTGCGGAGGTGCTCGGGGAAGCCGCGGTCTGTGCGTGACTGATCGTCACTTTCAAGATGGAAGTCGCGTTTTGCGCCAGAACCATTGACGGCGATGTTGATGCTCAGACACCTGTCGCAGCGGCGGCAGTATGTCTATCGGCAATGCATACGCACTCAACACACTCTCGCCCGCGGCGAGCGACCGAAGAAAAGATGGGCTGCCGAAAACGCCGATCAAGCTTCGCGACACGCCGAGTGGGAGGAGCATGCCAGCAGGATAAGACTGGGCGTACAGCAGAGCATGTTGAGTGTTCTTGAGGAGCGAGGACTCGTCAAAGATGTTGCTGGGTAGTCATTCCGCGTATCAAAGGCTCAGGACAGAGCTAATGCATGCATACAGCGGCCGCCAAACGCTCGACTGGCTCCTCACCGAGAAGCGCATAGGAGTCTATGTCGGTGTCGATCCTACCGCGCCCTCACTTCATGTTGGTCATCTGATTCCGCTCATGGCAATGTACTGGATGTACCTCCACGGCTACTACACCGTCAGCTTGGTGAGCGACTTGCGCCGAAACGCATGCAACAGAAGGTTAATACAGGACAGCTAGGAGGAGGCACAGTGCAGATTGGAGATCCTTCGGGAAGAACCACGGCACGCTCAAGACAAGGCGCAGATGTTCAGACTATGAACATTGAAAGCATACGGCGACAGCTCGACAAGCTATGGACCCATGTCAAGTGTCTAGGGATCAAGCATCACTTTTCGCCGGAGACAAGCAGGAAGCAAGAGATCCTCAACAATCGAACATGGCTGGAGAAGCTCAATGCTGTGGAATTGATGAGAGACTTGGGCTCTGGCATGCGTCTGGGCACCATGCTGAGCCGCGACTCGTAGGCACTAGCACTGCTTCAGGTGTGACCACGCTGACAAGATGTAGGGTCAAGCTACGCATGGAAAGCGGCGAGGGTATGGCCATATCCGAATTTTCCTATCCACTGTTCCAAGCCTACGACTGGTGGAGCATGTACCGCAACCAGGGCGTGCAACTTCAGATTGGCGGTTCAGATCAATATGGCAACATCTGCGCAGGCATGGATGCCGTCTCGCACATGCGCAAGATCCGCCATCTCGAGTCCTCCCAGAAGGAGGAGGAGGACCCACGCCTCGCAGCCTATGGTCTCACCACACCTCTTCTCACCACCGCCTCGGGCGAAAAGTTCGGCAAGAGCGCAGGTAACGCCGTCTGGCTCGACAAGACTATGATGAACTCGTTTGACTTGTACCAATACTTCATGCGCACCGCAGACGCAGATGTCGAGCGCTACCTAAAGCTCTTCACCTTCCTCCCTCTCGACCAGATCTCCCTCCTCGTAGAACAGCAGCGCAAAGACGCGTCACAGCGCATTGCGCAACACATTCTGGCAAAGGAGATCGTCGAGCTCGCTCACGGCGCCGCAGAAGCAAAGAAGGCCGAAACAGCACACAAGGAGGCCTTCAGCCACGGCACAAACACCTTCTCTCTCGGCGCACTGCGCAATACGCTCGGAACCGCTAACCCCAACGCCGGGCTAGGCGCACAGAAAGAGCTGAGCGAGTTCGACATGCAGCTTGTCGAATACAAGCGTGCATACGCCGCGTCCTCGGCGACGACCCAACCCGCCTCCGGCACCTCCACATCTACCTCTCCACAGACGAAGGACTCGGTCATCACCGTTCCCCTCTCGCTCCTCCAACCCGGATCTTTTCCCCGCGTGCTGCACGCCGCCGGTCTCAGCGCTACGAAGAGCGAAGCGCACCGCCTGATCGCAAGCAAAGGCGCTTACGTCGTCGTGCCCATGTCTGGCAGTGTCGAGTCCCCCACGAGTCTGAAGTGGGCGCCCATCGAGGCCGGTCCGAGTGTGAACCCGCAGCACTTTCTTGTTGATTTCGAGGCGCTGGTGCTCCGGTCGGGCAAGACGAAGATCCAGGTCGTGCGAGTTGTGAGTGATGAGGAGTATGATAAGCAGGGGCTGGATAAGGACAAGAGTGAGCAGGTGAGAAAGAAGCTTGGGGAAGAGGCGGGGGAAGAAGCGGGGCAGGATGCGAGGGTATAACCGGGCAGGACTGCGCAGGAGGCGGAGGCTGCGAGGACGAGCACGGGGGAGAGCGTGCCGTTCCAGTCGTCGTAGGCGTGTATATATCAGTACGAGAAAGTACCTGTGCTGGGGTGTAGAGTAGCTGGAGAACGGTCCATGGTAGACCAATGTACAACATCACACAGCCGTGCTAGCCCGCAGCTCGAATGTAGCTATATGAACATTTTCTTCTACGTCCGCCTCTCTTCTTCGCGAGGCACTGTACATCCCCCCTCCCCCTCCCAATTGTGCAACACGACACAGCCCATGCTGCTGAAATAAAGGACGCCAACGCGCGCCCAGAAACAAACGAGACAAGAGTACTGACACTGGCAATCCAATTTTCCTCCGAAAAAAATGTTCGGAGTCCTCCAAGGTTCGCAGAAATAAAGTTAGGAAATGTGAGAGATGAGATGGAAGGGAACATGTCCACCGGGAATCGAGGTATTATACAACGTATCGTGCCGGCCTGCTGAGATATGAGAGGGATACGAGGGTGTGGCGGGGGACGGGTGGTGGAAATGGCGATGGAGCTCGATGATGAGATGTGAGAAGGATACGAGGGCGTGGGCCAGGGCAGGCAGCTCAGGTGCCGCCGCCGGCAGCGGCCTTGTTGACCTGGGTGACGACAACGGCGACGACGACGACGACGATGATGATCAGCAGCACAATCAGCAGGCACCACCACTTCTTGCGGTTGCGGCTGCGGGCCTTTTCGATGGCGCCGCCGATTTCTGTGTTCGCCTGCACGACGTTGTCGTGGATCTCCTCGCCCTTTTGCTCGATGTTGGTCACGAGGGGTTCCTGCTGCTGCACGATCTGGTCGAGGTCCTGGAAGAGCTGGGCGAGCTCGACCATCTGGCGCTCGATGTTCTGGATCGCGTCGTGGCGCTCCTTGACGTTGCGGAGGGTGCTCGAGGCTTGGCCGCGGCGGTCGGAGTTGAGAAGCTGGGAATCGTGTTAGCAGGGGTACGATAGGTGTGAGAATCAGGCACGTACGGCCTGCTGGAAGATGGGCGCGTCCGGGTCGGCGACAGCTTCCCTGACCTCCTCCTCGGTAGCATCTGGGCGCACAATGCGGTACTGGCGCTCCGCCGCAGCCTGGGAGTCTCGCCGGAAGTCGGCCTCGAGGGTCTGGTACTTGTTGATGGTGGCCTTGAGCCTGCGGTCGATCTTGCCGACCTGGGGCGCATTCCTGGGGCTGCCAGACTCGGGCTTGCTCTTGATGTTCTTGACGCGCGAGACGAGGCCGCGGTAGCCTGTCATGATCTGTGTGCTGAGGTTGTTGATCTCGCCCGAGGGCATGTCGGGGCGGGCCAGGACCTGTCTGAAGACGCGCTCGAGGTCGGCGAGCTGGCCGTCGAGGTCGTCCAGCGCGCGGTCGACTTTGCGGCATTCGTTGAGGATCGCATTAGGGTCTGCGCCGCCTTGGGGGGGGTAGTTTTGCATCTCTAGCTCAGCTAGGGGTGGTCAGCGGCCTCATTGCCACAGCGCGGTGCTGTCATGACGTACAGTCGTCGTAGTTGCCCTGCGAGTAGTTGTTGAAGCGACCGCCATCGTTGTTGCCGTTTCCGTTGTTGTTGTTGTTGTTGTTGTTGCGCTGGTCGTACGGGTTGGCGCCGTAGCCGTCGATCTGGTTGTAACCGCTGTTGCCGTACTGCTCGTTCATCTCGGTCAGCTTGGACATGGTGGTGGAGGGACGGGTTCGAGTTGCAGAAGCAAAAGAAGCAGGAAGGAGGGCGCGCCTGCTCGCAGCAATGAGGAATGGCTACTCACACTCATGATGAAACGGGCGCCGTGTGGTGTGTGGATGTGTGTGAGGACCCCTTGAGACAGCCGCACCCAAGCAATGCAGAGATTCGACGTGCAAGACCGGAAAATGCCGAAGGTAGCAAGCTGAAGGCGTTATGTGCAGAGTGAGGATACTGGAACAGCGCAATTGCGGAAGCAGATTGCAGCGGTCAGCGAAGATATGTTGGAAGTTTCAGCATCCACCGACCCCCCAGATCTAAACGGCCGAGAGGCGACCCGCGCCCCCATTCGCCCAACGCTAGACGTGCGCGCGTGGATCCCGGCGCGCAGCAGCACTCTAAAATTGGAAGGCCCTTTCTGCTTGCACCGCCCGTCTGGCCACCACAGGGGCTTACATCTGAATGCTACTAATTTGCTACGCCTTTGCATCTGCATAGAAGTTATCTTCTTTCGCAGAACATGTTGAAGTCTGACACGGGTGCGGACTTGTTCCAAAACTCACCGGCGCACTCCTGGCGGCGTTCGCAGTGCATGCAACAAGCGTCTAACTACGCTAACCCGCAAGGCTGAGATGTTAGCGACAGCATGCTTGCACTTCAGCTCCGTCTCTGACGTCGCTGGTTGGGTCGTCAAACACGCGCTGCAGATGCGAACGAGGACACGTGATGTTTCATGCGCTTCTCCGCACCGCTTTGGTTGGAGGCTGGCTGAATGCGGCGTGTCCACGGTACCTTCTCTCGTCTGCGTGCTTGGTACGCCAGCGCACGGTTTTGGTGCTGCCTTGTCACCCTACTCAATGTGGTGGAGGTCTTTGCCAATTTCGACGGCGTGTGTGGCCATGGCGAGTTGAGAAAGATATGCCTACAAAGTTGTTGCCTGTTCACCTCTGGAAATGTCTTTGCGCATCAAGACCTGACGTTACCAGCAGTCTGCCTCGCTTAGCAAATCGCTACACAAACGTCCTACTCGTCGTGGCAACCCAGACCCCGAACATGTAGCAATCGCAACAATGTACGCACTGATACCCGGAGCGCCTCGAATGTCGTCCTTGAAAACTGTCCACAGGATCAGGAACACCCGGCTTGCCAAGAAGAGGATCACAAACACGAAACCGATGCTGGCGCTGGCGTCGACGTCTTCCTGAAAATACAGCCCCCAGCACTTGGACGGAGCACCGTCCGTCTCTTTGAGCTTGCAGTCCGTCTTGGCAGCTGTTCCAGTATAGAAGCGTCATCGTCTGCGATGCAGCTGGGCGAGTTGAGCATGTGCATCATGAACTCAGGGCAGACTGGAGGCCAGGCGTCTTGTGGGCCAAACGGGTTGCAGTCGCACTCTTCCGAGCCCATTGTCGGCTTGATGACTTTGACCCGCGGAGGGATGCACTCGCAACTGCGCAGAGTGCAGCAGTAAGGGTGGTGACGAATCTCGGCAACGTTTCCTTTACGCAGTCGGAACTGGACGCAGTCAATCTCAGTTGATGGCAAATCAGTCTCCGACTCGAGATTACCTTGACGAAGAATATGTTCTGGATGCGCCTCACAGCGAAGGAACTTCTGGATCGGCCACAGTGCTCTTGCATCTGCAATGTCAGGAAGCGGAAGAGCTCACGATCGGTAGTGGTGTCCTTCATAAGACTTTGAGCAACAACGACATGCTGCCCTGTACTGTGCAAACAAGCCAGCAGCTACAAGTCTCGCTGTGACTTGAGCGGCCGCCCAGCCATCACAGGAGCTCCGGCTGCTGAGTTTGTGTGCCGTGGCAATGTCTCCGCATCTTTGGTTGCGTGAGAGACGATTCTCGACATTGCTCTGGCAGCTGTCTGAAGCCAGGCTCGAGGCCGGAACGAATACTTCTTTCCAGACGAAGCGCCATTGTGCGTGCGAAGATGAACACTGACGCCGGAAATTCGGTGCATTTGTCGTATGATGCGCACAACACCGCCGTCGCGGTATCCATGAACGTCACTGTAGGCCAAATGCCTGCATTTCTGTACGTCAGTCAGTCAAGGATAATTCTCTGTATCCTCTCAGCTCGCCTTCGTATAGAAAGGGTTTTACTTGCACATTGCCAGTGGATACATCTCATACCAGAAAGTCTTCAGAGTCGCAGTCCACGTTTCTCTCCGAACTTCCTCGCGATGAATCGTACCACGGAAGCCTGGCTCTATATTCATCGTCGAGAATATCCGTTCTGTCTTCCGTAGATCTGGCTTGTACAACAGTGTACCTTTTGGGAATCGACGGCACACTAAACGTCCTGCGAGATGAACTGCGTTCTTTCGAACGAGTCGGCTTATATCTGTTTCGCCCTTAGTGCGAGCTTCGCGCTCTAGATTGTCGGCATATGACAGCATGATGCGTGTGAGATGTGCTTCCAGTACCATCGGCCCATAGTCAGTCTTGGATTTGATCTGCTGATACAAAGGTCCGATGTCACGTTCTGCCAGGCGACGCCTCACCATCCGTCTGACGACCGCCGGATTTCCCGAAGGTTTATGTTGGGCGCGCTGGGACGAGCGATGATACAAGTAGACTGGGCCGGGTGAATAAACCGGCTGACAGTTGAAGGTCGGAGAGAAACCGTCTGATGAATAGTCAGGCTCTCTATCGTGGACGGGCAGAGGCGGTGATGGGGACCCAATTTGATTCACCACAGAGCGCTGTACAGCATGCACAATCGATGTAGCCGCTACAGGGCCGATGCTATGGTCGTTCTCGCCTCGATCTCGAGACTCGACGGTGGGTATCGACTCTGCGCCTGTTTCATGGTCAGTCATTATCAGACTTGGATTTGGTTTGGAATTACGACATTGCTGAACTTCCCTTGAACCGCTCATCGGTGATATTTTTCCCTTTTATGGAGAAGCTGACTTCTCCATTCTTCTTCTATAGCTTCGCTATCTGGATCGCTCATCGCTGACATTTCCCAGAGAAGCTGATCTCTCCGTTCTTCTTCTTCAGCTTCAATGTACAAAGTTCCGGAAGGAGGACTTGCCGCTTCAGAATCAGTGTTGACCCATTCACTTTCTTCATTAACGTGTTTCTTTCTTTCATGTTTCCTCTTGTGTGTTTCTCTTGTGGGGATCGAAAGATTCTGAAAGTTCTCCGACTTGGGCTGTGGATGTTGAGACCACTGACCTTCCTGATTCTCGGTTACCCGGAGCTGACTGGCTTCTGGGCTCGCTCTCTTTCCTCTCATTCTGCGAAGATGCCTCAGCCATTGCGCTTTGCCCGGCATCAAGTCCATCAGTTCACGGCGTGCCACGCCAGTCAAACCGCATCGTCGTGAGCCGTGGTAAGATCTCCTTACACTGCCGTTCCCTGCCCTAGAGGTCCCCGGTCTGGTGGTACACGTCTGACATTGATTCGTGAGGCTGTGAACGGTCGCAGCATGCACCCTTGACGTGCCGTCCGTGACCCTCGCTGAAGAGTTGTGCGCTGCTGCCGTGGGGACACATGCTCACTGGTGTCGACTTAACGATTAGAGATCGAGCATCTGTCTCGGTGAGGTTCGTGTAGTTGTGAAGCCACGGCTACGGTCTTCTCGTTGCGACCAGGCTCGAGTACGCTTGCATAGTTTGGCGACTGGTAAGGGAGTCCTGCGCAGTGGTCGGCGCGCATGCATTAGCCTCCGTTGCGGTGCAAGTCGGTCCTATAGGCCTTGATCGTCACCTCTGTTGACTACCTTGGACTAGCACGTCTCAGGGCATGTATATATGGTCGCCTCCTAGCTAGCAAGCAACTCAGCGCAGTTTTCCATCAATACATACAGCGGCTGCGTCTGCCGCAACAGCCTCTCCGCATCAAGTGCACCGGACAACTGCAGTCGTGTGTAAAGACTCAGGATGACTCTCCTGGATTTAGGTACCCAAGTCAACATTAGGCACTGCAGCACCTGCAGCCGACATTGTCAGAAAGATCGAGTTTGATCGAGCGCATACCTAGATATTCATTCATCGATTCTCATCTATCTAAAATGCTCTACGGCGCTATCCTCCAAGCACTCAACGGCAAGGCCTGTATCTTCACTACTGCGGGCCTAATATAGCCCCAGAACGTAACCACACCAATGATGATACACACTATGTTCACAATATAGTACCCATCGGTGGTGACATTGCACGCACCTCCACCATTGATGCAGCGGGCCTTCTCCTGTTCCAATGCACACGAGAATGGCTGCGTAACGAGCGGGCCCTTGAGGAGATCGATTTTGGGTGGTGTCGAGGGAGGAGTGCAGGTAGCGGCGGTGAACATGTCGACGGCTTTGAGGACGAAGAAGCGGGGAAATGTGCCGCCGAGGTTGGATACACTGATGTTGTGTTAGTAAGGGGTACACGCGTGATGTCGGAGAAACGTACGTAGCGAGCAGTGTCATGTAAGTACCACCAATGACCGGGTCGGATATCTTTGCGTGGAACGCACTGACGGCGACGAACATGACTGTGTTCATGAATGTGGAGAGAACGTGTTCGGCGATGACGAGGAGGAGGAAACCGCCTGTTGCGCCGCCGGCGGGGAAGATGGACACAACGAATTGCGAAAATCCTGCTGCAAACAGGCGGCCGAGGAAGGCGTAGCACCAGATATGCATGGCCGGATATGTCTGGCACCACTTGCCAATATAGTAGCCTAAAAAGACCTCGACTGGGAAGTCGACCAGGATGACCAGAGAGAGCTCCTCCTGCTTGAGGCCCTTGTCGAGTAGCTTCAAGCTGGTGACGGCGTCGTTGGCCTGGAATCCGATCTTGGCGATCAGGTGGACGATGATGAAGGACTGGATGTTCTTGAGTTTCAAGATGCCCCACATTGTCTTGTAGACCTCCTTAACGCCGTCGGTGTTGCGGTCGCGATCTTCGCGCTTAATGAGCGCCAGACCGAGAGTCACAAGGAGATACGCCCAGCCCCAGAAAGTGAGGTAGCTATCGAGTTCGAGAAGACCGGACTCAGATTGTGCGCTGGCGCTACGGAACCATTTGTTCGCGAAGTCTTTCGAGTTGAAGGCGAGAAATACGGTATAGGAAAGGAACTGGCCTGCGGTAAGGCCAACCGTTTGGGCGGTCGAGGCGTATGCGATGTTCTCTTTGGACAGAACCGTGAGGGCCCAGCCTGATCGTGTTAGCTATGGCGCATCTAAATTCAAGGTCGATGGCTTACCATCCACAGCAATATCCTGCGTAGCGCAGAGAAACACAAGACCAAAAAAGCACCATGTGAATGTCCATACACTGCTGCCTGACTCGCTAGCTTGCGTCATCAGTCTGTTGATGTTCTTGCCCAGCCAGATCATCGAGAGCCCAGATATGGTCTGGATAGGGAGAATCCAACTCTTTCTACGGCCAACACTGGGAGACCAGATAGCATCCACGATCGGGCTCCAAAGCAGTTTCAGCGAGTAAGGATACGCCGCGAGCGAGAAGACACCAATGGCCGAGTACGACACAAGGTTCTTCAGCAGGAATGGTACCGATCCATGCGCCAATCCCATGGGAATGCCCTGGAGGAAGTAGAGAAGGACGAGCATCAGGAAGTTGTGCTGATCCTTCTTCGATAGCTCAAAGAAGCCCTTCGACGGACCCGCCTTGGCAACCAGCGGCGGTACATCATCGTCGAGAGTGAAGGAACGGCTGCTCATGAGGCTCGCAGCCTGGCTAGAGGGCGAGATGCCATCAAAGCTGTCATGCTTGCGGCGGTGTTCGAGTATGACGCCGTTCATCGTCGCGCTGGTGTTTGCATGTCCGTTGGTGGACTCTTTGCGCAGCGAGTCGGTGGAGCTCTTGCGTGGTACAGAGCCGCGGTTCTTAGACCTTGAGGCGCGTTTGCTCATCTGTGGACCGGGAAGCCTGCGTGCCCTTCCTGTAGGGGTGCTCGGAAATCTCCGGGGTTGAAATGAGCCGGATAGACGGGAGTGAAAGTGGAGATGTGAACGTGATGGGCTCGGCAGGCGTCAGGGAGCGGTAGGGAAGGTGCAATGGAGAAAATCTAGTGAAGAAAGAGCGACTTGAAGATTATGAAGAAACGTGTACAAGTCTGCAGCAGCCGGATGCAGGTAGCACTGGTACAGCGACGGAATTAAGTTCAGCTGTGACCCTGGTACGTTTCTGGTCGGGGTACCACGGTGTCCTCTCGAAATGTTAGCGGAGGCCGCGATCCGCCCGCGGGTGCACGTGCAGTCGCGTTAGGCTGCGGCCTGTCGGCATTGCTTGTGTTTGTGACAACACCAGACACTGGTTCGGCGACAATGGAGTCTGTCGAGCAGCTGGACTCCGAAATCAGCGACCTACACGTCCGCATAGCGACTCTGAAAGCACACCGCGCCAATCTATCCTCGGTCCTCCTCTCACAGCCAAATCTCGCAGCACGCCTTGGGAACGATGCGACCGCAAAGCGTCTGATCGACCAACAGTCGAAACGGAATCTCGAAAATACATATCGCGCATGCGTAGGCGTGACTGCGTATAGAGTCAAAGACCCAGACCCACATGCCGTAAACAATGGCGATGTTCTAGGACTGAGCATTGAGGTGCCTATCGACGGTGGGTTCGTTGATACCTACCATGTTCTCCTCACAGTTGAAGATCACGACACCTCGAAAAGCCTGCGAATCCACAAACACACAATACCGTCGTGTATCCCATTGCAGCGATTAGCGAACAAGTGGTTACCGCAAGCCGCGAGGGATGCAGACAGTGAAAAGCATCCAGGTCAGGACCTTGTTAAGTTCGGGCGAGCGCTGCGGCGAGAGCTGGTCAGTTGGCACATGCGCCTCGAGACGGTGCAAGATTTGAGGAGCCAGGCAAAGCTCCCGGGTCTACAGGCGGAAGACGGTGGTGAAGAAGTTGTCATCTCTGGCGGCAGGGTGCTGAACGCATTTGTGAGCGACGACAGCTCGGACGCCGAGGAAGACGATGGAAATGGTCCCGTCCGTATATTGGATATGGAAGCAGATGCCGCTGTGGGACAAGTGACAATAACATGGTCAGACGGACGCACGGCAGTACTTGTAGTCACCAAGGACGGCAGGGTCGAGAAAGCTATCTGCAGAGCAAGAGGAGGAAGTCGCGATGCTGTGTCCAGCACGAAAGCCGTAGGGCCTCTCAGTGGACTGCTACGCAGGCTATCATCGTGAGTATGTCTTGGTTTGAGGGTTTCACAGCAGGCGTTAGAGACAGGCTACGATACCCAGTTTTTGAGCGGACAATGCAATCCTTCTGCATGGATTCTACACCATGCATGAGACGATCCGGATGTGGAGCTTGATAGCAACACAGCTGCAAGCCGTCGAGCCAATAAGGTACTCACAGCGCCGGTCTCGGTCTTTCATCGTCACGAGGTCTGACTTAATGAGCACCATCTCGATCAGCCTTCGTCATACCCAAGGCTTCACGAAAATTTACTCAGTTCTCGTGGAGACTCACAGCTTTGTAAACGTTGGACTAGACCGTGAGCACTTTGTAAGACTCACCTGATCCGAGTTGCCGAGAAGCCACGAGTCCACGGCAGCCGCGCCCTCCACCTCGTCGGACCCCCAAAACGTCAACTGCCTAACGAAAGCCGTGCAAGCGTGGAAGCAGAGCGGCGAGAGATGCCGCAAGCAGACGAGCATCTGATAAGACAATTGCATGGATCAACTCTCTTTTGCAGGGCTCGCGTCAACTTGCACGTTTATGGCGCGAAGCCTCGTGATCGGCGAGACGCGGCTCTTCTTTTCCAAGCCACACTGCTGCAGGTACCGCGGGCGGACGTGACTTCGCAAGTGGGGCCGCTCGCTGTCGAATTGCAGCAAAATGTGAGGTTTGCTGGCAGAAGTGGACACTGCATTGCAACGTGAGCTCTGTGTAAGCAGACATGCCTCGACCATGATACCGAAGGGCCGCCGATGACGGAAGTCTGTAGCGGCCCGCTGCACATGCTCGTGGCTGACAGCAGCAGGAAAACCTTGAAGAGATTGATGTCCCTTGCGACTGCTAACCGTCAGTGGTGGTATAAGATCCTATAAATCACCGCGCGAGTCTCCGAGCCCGCCACACAGACGCTGTGCGAATCGTATATTGTACCTAATCGTAAGTACCATTCACCTTGCCCTAACCCGATTCAGATCCGCTTTCAATCGTCTTGTCGCAAAACATCTGCTGATACAGAACCTTCCAGTCTGCTATCTACTCTCACCTACAACCTAAAGTCTCGACTGCTTCACAGAAGCTACGCCCGCCAGTTTTCTCAGCGACCGCCACCTCGACATCGGACCTCGGACCCGTTGCGCTGCTCGCGCTCTAAGATCGCCATGTCTTTCCCTGCCTACACCCCCAAGGCCCGCGTCCAGAAGCCCGCGCCCGCCTTCTCTGGCACCGCTGTCGTCGATGGCGCCTTCGAGGGTACGCTCAATTGCCTCGTGCACACCAGCCACAGCCAATTGAAGATCAGACTGCTCAGTGCTAACACTCCTCAGATGTCAGCCTCACCCAGTACACCTCCAACAAGCAGTGGCTGGTCCTCGGCTTCGTGCCCATGGCCTGGACTTTCGTGTGCCCGACCGAGATCCTGGCGTTCAGCGACCGCGCACCCGACTTCGAAGCCCGCGGCGCCCGCGTCGTATTCGCGTCGACTGACTCGGAGTACTCGCTCCTCGCCTGGACCAACACATCGAAGAAGGACGGCGGCCTGGGCAAGATCAACATCCCCCTGCTGTCGGACAAGAACCACTCCATCAGCAAGGACTACGGCGTGCTGATCGAGGAGGAGGGCATTGCGCTGCGCGGTCTTTTCCTGATCGACCCCAGCGGCGTGCTGAGGCAGATCACCGTCAACGACTTGCCTGTTGGCAGGAGCGTGGATGAGGCACTCCGTCTGATCGACGCTTTCCAGTTCACAGACAAGTACGGCGAGGTGTGCCCTGCCAACTGGAACCCGGGCATGGACACGATCAAGGCGACGCCTGAGGGCATCAAGGAGTACCATGGCCGGAACGGCGATGAGAAGATGAGTGATGCCAAGGTTACCAATGGTGCGCACTAGTCTTGTCCTGTGGTTCCTGAAGCAAGCGAGTAGAGGGCTCTGGGGAGCGTCTGGTTGCATTTCTTTGAAGCATTGCGGATGGCGCTAGTATAGACATGATTTGACGGCTGCTACATGCGCGCTTGAGGCGCGTGTGTAGGCTGCTTGTAGACCATAGACTGATATCAATTGACTACTGAGCTTCCAAGCACTTCCAAGCACTCACAAGCACTCACAAGCACTCAAACGAATTTACAGATCAGAGATTACCAAAATGCATTAAGGTTATGACCATTACATCGCCGCGATCATCTTTGGTCTAGACGAGTCCTCTGGCTACAACAGCAGTCTCAAGCAAACCTCTCCCAACACGCTTACGACAAAACACTCACCCCTCGACTCGTCCCAGTCCAGAGGTAGAACGCAACCAGCGCCAGAAACACCGGCACCCACCACTGCAGCCAAATCGCATAGGCCGTCTTGTTCTGCACATCTAGATGGCTCTTGAGCGGCACTCCCCACTTCCCCATGACCCTGTATTCTTCCCTCATCGTCGCCATCTCGCCCTTATCCATACCCTTCGGCTCCATCCTCAGCTTCGCTAGGATCTCATCGCTCACCAGCTTCGCGCCGGCAAGCACAATCGGCACCCCAGTCCCCGGATGCGCGCTCGCGCCCACGAAATACAGATCCTCAATGGATGCATGCTTGGTCTTGGGGCGGAACGCGAGGACGTTGAAGAAGCTGTGGCTCAGGCCCAGGATGGCGCCGCGGTCGAGGTTGAACGTGGACTTCCATGTGACGGGGGTGTTTACGACTTCTTTCACAATGTGTGCGCCGACGTCGATGTGCAGGCGCGCTTCGATCGTCTTCAGGATCGTGGAGCGCGCCATTTGCACCATGGCGTTGAAGTCTTGCGTCCGGCCGCCGCTGTCTTTGGAGCCTTTGTGCGCGTCGGAGCCGTAGTCTTCCAGGTGCCCGACGGGCACGAGGACGACGAGGGAGTCGCAGCCCTTGGGTGCTGCCGAGGGGTCGACGCGGGAGGGTACGTTTACGTAGAAGCTGGGCTGGTCGGGGATGAGGTGTTTCTTGAAGATGCTGTCGAACGACTCTTTGTAGTCTTCTGCGAGGAAGATGTTGTGTGCTGAGAGTTCGGGGAACTGCTTGTCGAGCGCCCAGTAGAAGGATATGCTCGAACACGAAGCTTTGCGGCCTTGGAGGGATTTGGCGTAGCTGGAGTTCGGAAGAAGCTCGTTGTAGGCGTATGTCAAGTCAGCGTTGCAGACAACCAGGTCTGCAGTCAAGGGCGGCCTGCCGTCCTGGAATGTAACTCCTGTGGCGCGTTTCCCGTCGTTGGAGAGCTGTATCCCTGAGATGGGGCTGTTGAACATGTATTCTACACCAGCGCGCTCGCCGACGTTCACCAGGCCCTCGATGACCTTGTGGAACCCACCGATGGGATACCAGATCCCCTCAGCGAGCTCCGTGTACTGCAAAAGACTATATGTTCCGGGGGCATCGAAAGGACTCATGCCCATGTACATACTCGCGAATGTGAAAACTCTCCGTAATCTCTCGGTGCGGAAGTAGATGGAGGCTCGCGTATATATGCTCTCGAAAGGGTGCAGGGCAATCAGATGGCGCAAGAAACTCGGGCGGACCATGCTGAAAAGCGAGTAGAAGTTCCTCTTCAGCACATGGATAACCGACAGCTCGTAATGACGGTGCGCTTCCTGCAGGAACCCAAGATAGCGCTCGAATCCGTCCTTGCCCTCAAATCGCTCTACCTCCTCTTTCATGATCGCAACATCGGTAGATAGCTTGAAGTTTGTCCCATCATGGAAATGGACATTGTAGTTCGGATTGCACTTGACCAGATGGACGCCCTCGTCCTCCAGTGAAGTGCCAAGGTCCTGGAATGTCTCTTTGAAGAGCTCTGGCAGAAGAAGCAGACTGGGTCCCTGGTCGAATCTCTACGAAGCTGTCAGTCTCAATCTTCCTCCCGCGCCTGGGGTATCGTACGTAACCATCGCGGTGTATCAAGCTGCACCTTCCACCCGAGAAGTCGTTTTTCTCAACAAGCGTTACTTTGCATCCGGCCTGAGCGAGGCGCGCAGCCGTCGCAACACCACCGGCACCAGCACCGACAACAATCACACTGGGGCGCGCGTCGAAGTCTTGTTTTCCCATCTTCACTGGAATCCTGGAATAGCGATCTTAGGACCAGGAACGACCGCGTGGTAGAAACGCGTCTTTACGCGGTTCCTACGAGTGGCGCAGACGTCCTAATTCACAAAGTCATGACGTTTTGACAAAGTGAGCTCAGTAGCGAGTGGAGCCCTGAGGGAGCCGCAACCACACGATAGCACTCCTGCAGGCCAGGGCAACTGCCGCTTGCATGTGATTGTGATCGTTTTGAGACGATACATCGCGTTGAACTCGCAACGTGCGCGCGGCCGGCAGCTTGCTGTGGTGCGCAGCTCAGCCGCATCACCGCATCTTGTGGATTGCCCAATCGGTTTGTTCCGAACTCTGCTGCGCAATTTCTGGACACACATGAATTACTTTCAAAGTACTGCAGTTTCTATTGCCATGCGATACAATTCCAAGATGGGCGCCGCGCATTGTTGCATTCAGCGTTCCGAGGTGGTGTCTGCGCGCCTTCCTTCAAGCGCTCCCGGGTACTTCTTTCGCTGAAGAGACAGCAACGAGACATTGACGCCTTCGTGACCACGCAAACAGAACAGCGACTCAGATCTTGTGGCCGAGTATCCCGTTGATATTACACATAAATGGGCCAGACATGACGCTTGCGCTGCGCTTACAACGGTGACTCTCGCCCTCACCTCATAACAACGTCATTATTTAAACAATCAGATGGTGAACATACAAATGCGAAAGCCACGATTGAGGAATTTTGTACCAGGCCGCATACATGAAGACTGGCACAAAGCTGTCCATAAACATATCTGATAGCATCAAAGAAAAGACTGAGACAACCTACACCATGAAGAATGCCATCACAGGAGCCGCGGCACCGTCAGCAGGTAGTCGTCAAGGCGAGCCTTGTCATCGACCAGCTCACACACCATTCTCATCGTCGAACGAGTAGCGATGCGCAAAAGCCGGCACCTCGACCGTCCAAGTAAACCGCACCGATGAGAAGAACGACGGCTACAAAAATACAGAGATGCCTACCGCGGACACGCCGCGGCAAGGGCCTAGAATGGAGACATGTAGGGTCAGCAAACGATCGTGATGTGCGATGAGACGATCACGTAGCTAACGAGGTATCCATGTGGTCTCGATTACGAGCACAGTATCTCTTTTGGCCCTTCGTCGAGTCTATATTCGTGTTCGTGGTATACATTTGTGCCTGCGCCCCTCGCTCATTGGTACACATAGCACAGCCCATTCCCCAACGTATCAGTCAGGTCTCCGATCGTCGTAGGTTCCATGTCCAAGTAATTCAACTCGATGAGATCCTCCAAAGTAGCGTCGCGGCTCGGCGGGTTGTTGTTCAGCGTGATCGTGCCGGCAACGGTTTTCGCCTGGTCCAAGTGCAGGGCTTGCCAGATCCAGTAGACGCGGTCGACCATGGCGTGGTGCAGGAAGAAGACTGGATCGACGGGCGAGGAGAAGATGTCGCCCGCGTCACCGCCGATGCTGAAGTGGCCTGCGGCGTGTAGGCCGAGGAAACCGTCGGAGAAGCGCCCTTGGAGCCTGTCGATTGTTAGCAATGGCGATGCGCGGATTGTGCAGCTACGTACTCGTTTTGGAACAGGCTAAGCGACTTCGACGCCGCGCCCGTTGTGATGTTGAGCAGGTTCGCATCGGTGAGCCAGTTCGAAGAAGCATATGTCGTCAGGTCTCTCTTGAGACAGCGCGGGTTATACGATAGACTGCCATTGACCCTCTCCTGGCCCCTCATAGTCGGCGACACAGGGCCGAGATTCGCAGTCATGCCTTTGAACGGGCCTCCTAGGAGACATCCGCCGCCTTCTCCCGAGGGTAGGAAGATGGTGCCGCCACCGCCCACGCTGCCGTTGTGAGCAACGAAGGATCCGTCGCCGCTCATACTTGTTGCGGAGCCGTCGAATACGGGAGAGGCTTTGAGGTTGGACTGGTGCGAGAACCAGTTCCAGTAGGGCTGATAGCCGGCGTAGTCGCACTCTTCTCTTAGAGCTTTCTCATAGGCGTAGACGAACATGCGGTGCTGGATGGTGTCAGCACGCCGTATTATGTGAAGATCAGAATGCTTACCCAGGTCAAGAAGTTGCCGGTGCCGTGGATCGTGAGCGTCTGATTGATGTGTTGTCCGACGAAATCGTCGTATCGGTTGCGAGCACCTGGGACCAGGGCTGGGTCGGATTTCGAAGGCGAAGCGAGCAGGCATTGTACGGCGGTTGTGTAGGCTTTGCGTTCCTTGCCCGACATTGAGGCCCTGGCTCTTGCTCAGGTCTCTGTCCAATTGCCTAGGAGTGTAGAACTTACCAGTCCTTTCGAACAGCCGCCTTCGATAGCTTGCATGTTTGAGGACCATGCGTTTTCACTCCTTTCAATGCTGCGATTGCTTGGTGTTGTAGATCGCCGACTACATCTCGGGGTTTAGCTACAGCTCCCTGGACAGTAGCAACGAAGGCGAGCACATGAACAACGGGAAGCAACATATTGGCAAAGAAAGAGACAGGACTTGACAGTAAAGATTGAACAGCACATCTTCGACGACAACAGGGAGCATTGTATTCCTACAACACCCCAGCTGCTGACGACGGCTGTGCGCAGCTTCAAGCATGCCTATTGGCTCTACTGCAGCATCCCTGAGGTGCAAGGAGTGCTAGAACCGCGAAGGAAGCTCGAATTTTCACACTAAGTCATGGTCGGAACAAGCCTTAGTATTGTGCTCGGTCGGGGCCAATGCTCCGGTGGTCTTAGTTAGTAGCCGTCCGAGATCCATTCTGGCCTCCGACTGTTGTACAGTACGAGTAACACTTCTAGCAGAAGAGTATCGTTTTCGCGAGTAGTTGCTATTTAGGCAAACCGCAGCCACATTTTGCAAACATTCCGAAGTTTCGGCAGTTCGAAGTACTGCGCACCTCGGCACCTCGCGTGGATTGCTGACAACGACGAGCCCTGCCCAGCCGTGAGTGTAAAAGGGATCCAGACTGGTCGCGATAACCGCTGGGCTGCAGGGGCATCGTGCCGAACTCCAGGGCGTAATCCTATATCGTTTAAGATACCGGACGTGTCCGACACCCAGTAGAGCCTCGATAGCTGCGTTTCTCGTTGTGGAGCGAAGTGATGTAGTAAGAAGTTGGGCAGGCGATGCTAGCTTCGGCCTCGGCCTTCCTCCTGTCTTCCGTCCAGCCCACACCGCACTTCTCCCCACATGGAACCTCGAATAGCGACACTGCTAGATCAACAGCCCTACAGGAGACTCACTCTTGACCCTTCTGTACTGACCACTCCTGCGTCCGTGGGTCCCCGGTACATCGAGCTTTCATCTGGTGCTAGCGCAGGGCATTCAAGCCCTGAACCTCACGGCCACCATGATCATGTCGATGCCAGACACAAGACCTCATCGCAGGCACACTCGGGCGCGCCGCTCGCCCGAGTGTTGAATGATCCATTGTCCTCGTCTCCAGTCTTTCAAGCTTCGTCTGGTCGTCAAACGTCACAGCATGCTGCTTTCCGTCCCAGGAGTGATGTTCCAGTCTCAGGCCCTTCCGCGGGCTCTCCTGACGCACCTAGGAGAGGTGAACAGCCCAGCTCTGTCGGTTACGCTGGCGCCGACGTGTCGTTGATACAGTTGCCAAAGCCCCCACAAGCCCCAAGAAGACCTGCAAAGAGGCCTAGGATCCCGCCACTGCTGCAGGGTCTTCATCAACCACCGCCGCTGCCACCCAAGAATAAATTATTTCCGCCCATCAGCGAAAGAAGCGGGCTTGGAAGCGAAGTGGGTGACCGGTTCAGTCTCACGAGTGCGTTTCCCTCAAGCGGCACGGAAGAACTAGCCAAAGCTCCGGCCTCGCCAGAGAAAAGAAGTGAGCCCGCAAGTGTTGATGTAGGACAGCCGGAGAGTACGTGTGATGCTCCGATAGCACCTCTGGATCAGGAAACAAGCAATGGGAATATATCAGACCCGTCATTGGCGACGCTGACTGCGAGTCGACGTCAGACAAAGGTCAAGACAGCACGCAAGCGAACAAAATGGACACAGAAAGAAACAGAAGACCTGCTTATCGGAGTCAGCAGGTTCGGTATCGGCAGGTGGAAGCAGATTCTCGAGAGTGCAGATCTCCACTTCCAGGGGCGGACGGCGGTGGATCTCAAAGATCGATTCCGCGTGTGCCGGCCTGGTGAAGGACTGAAGGCCAGGAAAGGAGCCGTGCCGGAAAAGGCAAGGGCTGCAAGTTCAACAGACACAACTCAAGCCAGCAGCGAGGCCACACGTCCGGCTGCCGAGAAAGCTCCCATGCAGCGCGGCACGTCTGCTCAACAAGCGTCGATGGAGGACGAGGGCACAAACGATCAAGCCTCTACCAAGCGGGCCGGCGTCTACGGGCCTTTCATGAAGAGCCAGCGCAGAGCGCGGCGCGAATTCAGCGGCGAAGACGACAAGAACCTACTCAAAGGCTTCAAGCGGCACGGCGCCGTGTGGCACGCGATGCGCGACGACGTGGAACTGGGCTTCGGCATGCGCCACGCCACGGACCTGCGCGACCGCTTCCGCATCAGGTATCCAGAACGGTTCGCAAAGGCCGGCTACAAGCTCAAGCCCAAGGAGGCGCGCGCACTCCGAGAAGCAGAGGAACTGAAGGCGCAGAAGGATCAAACATGGCGGCCCCCATCGCCGAGCGTGACAAGCACTGCACCAGTACCAGCCAGCACGGCTCCCAAGCCCGCAGCAACGCGGCCCACATTCGAGCTGACGACGGACTTCACCTTCGACGACGACGACGGTGGCGACCGAAGCCCCATCGTGCTGAACCGCAACATCCTGCAATGGGCCGACGAGCACTCCTCTAACCCCGCGACCAGCGCAGCACAAGCACTCCACACAGCCACTCACCCGGCAGCCGAGCCGCTCTACAACCCGTTCGGCGGCGCCTCAGACGGGCTGCACATCAACCCGCTGGCGACGCTGAAGCTGCCGTGCGCGCACTGGAGCCGTGCCATGACGAACGCCTCGCTGCCGCCGCCGACCCGGACTCAGCCGGCGATGCGGACGCCGAACCTGCCCAACATAGTGTTTCCTTATGTGCCGAGTGCGAGCGCACGAAACACCGTGCACAATCTGCCTGCGCCGGCGGACATTCTGTCGGAGCGGCAGGCCGGGGCTGGAGAGGGGCATGTGTGGATTGGCCAGTAGACAGATGAATTTACGACTTGTCACGATGTATTTTTTCAGCGTGGCACATTGTGGACATGAATTCACAACTTGTCACGATGCATTTCTTCAGCGTAGCACAGTGGGTGCACGAATTCACATCTCGCAATGTATTTCATCTCGCAATGTATTTTATCTCACAGTGTATTTCATCTCACGATGCATTTTTCAACGTAGCACATTATGGATTCATGACTGCACGGCCACAGCCCGTAACGATCTCCCCCCCATGACCTCACCGCGCCGCCTGACACAGCGCGAGGCAAAAGTCCCTGAACTCGCCCTTGGTCGCCTCCTCGACGTCCTCCTCGACCACGCGGCCGTACTTGTCCTCGTACTCTGCCTTGACGCGCGCCATGTGCATGCGGTCCCAGTGCAGCCGCACAAGCCGGCTGACGAGCAGCTCGTACCGCTGCTGGCGCTCGTGCTTGGAGCTCGTCTTGTCGCGGCTCGAGCGCGCCCCCGCCGCAGGCGGCTCGATGAGGTCCACGAGCGCGTGGTGCAGCAGCATGGCGTCGCGGGCGGGGCGGTTGATGACGCCGTTGAGAATGTGTGCGATGACTTCGCCCTGGGCGTATGGTTAGCATCGAGTCCCAGCAGGCGGGCAAGAAGACGTCGACTCACGACGAGGTTGTTGCTCTTGCGCAGGCAGTCGCGCGCGAAGCTGCCCTGGTACTTGCGCTCGTACGTGCGCAGACAGTCGCGCAGATGGGCGTCGGAGCGGCGGACGACGACGCCCAGGATGGCGCTCTCGCCGCCCTCGCGCGCCTGCAGCGCCTTGTACAGCGTGTCGACGTCGCGGTTTCGGTAGTCGACGGGCCAGACGTCGCTCTCCTCCTGGCGCTCGCCCTCGAGCGCCATCAGCACGGCTTTGCGGAACTTGTCCGCCTTGAGCTCCTTGTCCATGCACTTGACCAGCGAGTCGCCGTACCGCTTGTCTTTGAAGCTGTCGCAGATGGCGCGCATCTCGTGGTTCTGCCGCCCCATGAGCGCTTCGATGAGCAGCTCTCGTCGCGCGCTGTTGCTCTGGTACCAGTAGTTCGCCCAGTAGCCCTCGCCCTCGTACCGCCCCAGCGCCGTCACGTAGGCGATCTTGCCCAGATTGCCGCTGGTCTTGAGCTTGATGTGTTTCGCCATGTTGATCCCCCGGCCTTGCACCTTGCAGTGCCGCTTGTATTCTGTGCGCAGCTCGAGCATCTGGTCGTGCGAGAGCGCAGGCAGGATGTCGATGAGCGCGTCGACGTCGGGGGTTCGGGCGGACAGGGCGTCGACAATGGCGAGCGCGTCGGGTTCGGCGTCGTAGACGCGGGCGCGGCGCTCTTCCTTGCGGTCGTCTCTCCTGCGGTCGTCTCTCCTGCGGTCGCGGTCGCGGTCGTCGTGGGATGCATACGGGTCACGTGCAGACGAGTTGTACGCTTCGAGGGCGAGCTTGTCTTTGCGCCTCGAGGGGGGGAGCGGGCTGGGGGAGCGGCCGGAGCGCGAGTGCGCGCGGCGTCGACCGTGGACCGACTGCCTGGACTCGCGCGGAGAGAGGCTGTCGAGGGGCTGCAGGTGGTCGACGTCGTCGTCGTCGAGCATCATGGCCTGTGGCATCGGGCTGATGGACTGGTACACGCCCCGGTACGCTTCCAGTAGCGGACTAGGTGGAGGCAGCCCGCCGCCGCCTGGGAAGCTTCCCGGCATGCCGCCAGGGACGATGCCGTGCAGGTCTGGTCGGCTCCCGCTCACGGACAGCCTGTCCATGCCCTGCGTGAGCCCGGGGCCGCCGCCGCCGACGGAGAGACTGTGCGGGCGCATGGCGGGCGACGGCGGCGCATTGGACCTCCCTCCGCCGCCGCCGCCGGGGACCATCTCGACGACCCTGCGGCCATCGTAGCCCGAGTGCGTGCCCATGGGCGGCGGGGGGTACGGCGGCTGGTGGCCCACGGGCGGCGCGGCGGGAGCGTGTGAGACGGCAGCATACTGCGCTGGTGGTGGAGCATACGTGGGACTCATGGGTTGGGCCGTGTGTCTTATGGCGGGCTGCTGCTGCTGCTGCTGCGCGGCGCCGGCGACGGGCGTCGCGCTGAAGGTGATCTTGTCGGGCGCCTGCGCATACTGGAAGCTGCCGGCGGCGTCTCTCGCGGGCGCCGTCGTGTATGCAAACTGCTGGCCCGTGTTGGGCGTCGTCGTGTACTGGATGTTGCCCTGCTGCGAGTACACGGGCTGCTGGTATTGGGCGGCCGCTTGTGCCTGCTGCAGGTAGGCAGGGCGCTGCTCGGGGGGCAGATCTGCATAGTTGCCCATGGTGACGGGCTCGTTCGCGCTTCTGCTCGCCATGTCTCAGTGCCCGTCGCGCGGGATGTCGGCCGGGATGGCTCGAGGCGCGTCTTGAAGCGTGCTGCTCAGCGCTCAGACGGGGGACTCACGTTGGATACCCGAGTGGCTGCCTGGTCTCGTACTGAGGGGTGCCCATTGGTGCGTACTCTTGTGCACTGTAATGCTGACCCGGCCCAAACTCAGCGCGCACATGGCTGTGGCTGCGACTGCGGCTGCGCTCCCTTGCGCGCCCTGGCGACTTGGAACGCGACCGTCGCGAATGCTCGTCCGGGCGCAACGACATACGGTAGGGCGGAGATGTGCGAGTGGTGTTTACGATACTCCAAAGTCAACTGGCTGACTCACTCCACTTCTCGCCAGCCTGCGCACAGGAGCACAGTGGAGGCTGGGAACCACTTCTGCCCCATTGCGGAGTAACCGCCATGGCGGGGCCTCCAGCTCTGTTTGTCGCTTGTGCCCGTGGTGAGGCTCTACCGCGCGCGAGAGTGGGTCGAGGGCGGTGAGTCTGCCCTACCCGCGTCGACCATGGAGGTCTGAACGTTTGAACCGCCATGGGCCACAAGGAAGTGCCGCGTGGTTCAAACATCAGCAGCTCGCTCGCTTGTCGTCAAACTTTCTTAGACCCTTCGCTTCACACGTCACTTCCACCGCCGAGCAATCAGCGATAGCGTGGGCGTGTGCGTGGGTGTGGGCGTGGGCGTGTTGAGCCCCCATGTCCACTTTTTGTCGGCCAGAGTCGCGAAATTTGACTCGCATGTCAGGGTAGCCCGGCTCTAATTCTGGAGAAATTTTGGAAACGACTGCTAGAGTTGCTCGTAGCCCGGAAAATAATGGAATGGGAGCGTCGACTCGACACGAACGTGCGCATCTGTCAGCTTCTGACCACTCATGCTCACTGCTCTCGCTCGGAACGGACCCACATTGGACGCGGCGACGCCATGTCGCCAGATGAAGCGACGCAGCTGAGCTTGCTATGGAGCGGTGTCCGTGTGCCTGAGTCAAATCATGTAATATAGATAAGACACCGCCGGTCCTGACTTTGCATCTGTTGGCTCGAATATTCATCCATCATGTCGTCCTCTGTGATTGCCTACTCGGCCAACCTCCAAACCCAGTCGCGACTGGTCCAATTACCACAAGAAATCAAAGACCTCGTCTTCCATCGGTGCTTCACCGCCGATGGCGCCATCGTCGAGCCAATACCCAGTAGTGGATCTGCAAAGAGCGATGTCCCTCGCAGGATGGGTGTGAATCTGTTGCAGACCTGCCGCAGACTCTACCATGAGACAGATCGCCGATCCCTGTTCACCCAGAATACTTTCCGTTTCAGCACCGTCGACCGTATGAGCACCTACCTGGCGTCGCTCAGTCCTGTCCACAGCGCCTGTATCCGCCATGTCGAGATCGACGCCCAAAGTCTTCACTCCAACCATCCAGGAGTAGCTCGTGAATGGCTGCAGTACTTGTCATGGGGCAACGGCCACTGGGACAAGTCTCCCGGTTCTCTGCGCGCAGACGCTCCCGGACTGAAGTGTCTTCGGTTGAACTTCGAGTCGTGGCCCAGGATCGCCATGAAGAGGGTTGAGCTCTGGAACCAGCTGAGGAACATGCTGGCCAAGATCGAGGGTCTCGAGCGAGTAGTCGTGATCGGTGCCAGCAAGGGCGCTGCAATGGCCAAGCGAGCACCATTCTCCCCAGTTCACTATGTAGGAGGCGACGATGTCGGTGTTGATGATTTGGTCCCTCGCATGTGGTCTACTGTCGGCGCATCAGACAGATCCAAGATCGTAAGGTGGACCCGCGTTGACGGCAAGCTGGAGCTGGAAGTCGTGTCGATTTCCTATTTGTTGAAAAGTGTCGACCCTTACTGGTATGGTCCTTCAGTGAGGAAAAGCCACACAGACCCGTGGCCAGAGAATGGTTCGTGCACCCTGTTCGGATATGAAAACCGCGATTCGGACGTCACGGAGCCGACAACGAAAGGCCTCAATCCCAGCGTCGTCGAATGATCGGTCTCGCTGGATCCCAGGGACCATGGATCTCGTTCTTGTACTTCTGCAGTCCAATCAGCCACCAGCTGCAGATGCCCATCACAAGGAACGTTAGAATGCTGCCAAGCACCACTCCAGCGATGAAAGCACCTTTACCGCCTCCGGTCAATGTCACAAAAACGCCGCCCCAAGCAGCTATAACCAAGACGATCGTGAGAGTGAGATGTCCTTGCCATGAGCGAGCCCGCAGTTCGCGGCGGAATATAGGGAAGAGACCGAAGACTTCGATGGAAAAGAGTGTCAGAGAGAACACATGAGTAGTAGATGGGAGCCGCGAAGCCAGAACAGTAGACGCCATCATAGCAGAGTTTGTCGAGATAGACGCAGGAAGCCTGTAGCATTATTAGCATGCGTAGCGAATAGACATCATTGAGATCTTACTGAGCTCCTGGCCCACTGCTATAGTCGAAGAAAGCCACATTCATCATGAGAAGCCATGTGCTGATAGCCCAGATCGAGTCGCTCGTTGTCGACTTGGTCAAAGATTTGAGTATGGGGCTTAGTCCTAGCAGAGCAGCGTAGATCAGGACAGCCGACTTTATGGTGGATACTCGTTGTTGATACCGCGAGGTCGGAGCAAAGATTGAGTCCGATTGCGAGTCATTTGCTTCGCCTGCGTCTGGCCCTTTCGCAGCTGTATTGTCGTTTGCTTCTAGCTCTTGGCCCTGCCAGTGGTCCCACAACACCCAAGCTAGTACGGTGCACCCAGTCGCCCACCCTACAACTGACAATGGAGATACGTTTCCTTGGATGATGGCGACGAAGCAACAGCAGAAGATGGCGACTGATGCGAGGTGCTGCACGATGATGGTGGTGTCGCCCATGAGCGACCAGAACTCATACGGCTGTAAACGCGGATTGCGTTGTAAATGATCTAGGAACGTCTTCTCATCCGTATAATTGTCAGGAACTGTAACATGTCAGTCTACAGTCATTGTAGAAAGCTGGCATTACACTGACATGGTTGCTTGAACCACAGCAACTTCTTGTAGTGACTCTTCGATCTTCTGCTAGTACTGCGCGCATCTCGTCTCCTCCTGCCAGATGCTGATGGTTTGAAAAACGCATCTACGGGGTCCAGGAGACGGCTGGACTCCATGTTGTCGCTCATGTGCGCTGCGCGATGATGATGATGGTGTTGTTGGTGTATGTGAGGTGGTTACTGCTTTCGGAGGTCACACGCTAGACATTTGGCCCCACTTTGCATCCAGTACCCTCCTCACGGCCTTGAGCGCCGAAGCAAGAGACAATATACGAAGCACTGATCAATAGTTCGCACGATCTATTCATTAAGCTTGTGGTTGTGTGTTAGATCGACGACTAGGGTCCGCATCTCGACTTGCTCGTCTGGTTCAATGTCTGCCAGGCTACAAGAAGTCTTCTCCATTTCGGCACGGTTGCGCGACCAGCCTTCACCACGTATCCTTCCTTGCGCAATGTTCTTCCAATCTCCATGTAGCTCTCAACTGCTACTCTTATCGGGCCTGCGGCCTCAGATGGCAGCTGTTCGATCGAGTGCTTGGACTCGTTGTACAGTTTGAAGGCATTGTCTAAGAGGCGGTTTCTTATGCTTTCAACTCGCGGCCCGGAAGGTTCTTTCAGGACAAGTTCTTGACTCAGGCCTGCTTCAGCCAACCACGTCGTTGGAAGATAGACGCGGCCGATCTTGGCGTCCACGGCGATATCCCGAGCGATGTTGACGTACTGCAGCGCGACTCCCATCAGGTTGCCTGCTTTCTCTACCTCATGCTGCCCTGCTTTGCTCAGACTACTGTTGTATGTGCGGAAGATCAGCTCAATGCACATCTGAGCCACTGTACCCGCGACTCGTTCGGAGTATAATTTGAGATCGTCCTCATTTTGAATCGGAGACGATGCAGTGTCGAAAGCAAGATCCATATCAAATCCAAGCAGCAGGTCCTGCAGTGGCTGGCGTGACAACTTGTCGGTAGGCAGCTGTACAAGCGCAGAGCGTGCATCAGCTGGAAACTCCTTGTGAACCAGCTTGATGAGCGCAGGTCTGGACCTGGGCCCACTGTACGCCAAGTCCAAGAATTTATCCAGATGCGCAATCCACCCCCTCGCTTCTGCGGCTGACGCAGCGTTGTCTACCAGATCATCGGCTACACGGCAGAAGGAGTACAGTAGCAGCAGATCGGTGCGGAGAAGCCCTTGGAAGGTCGATGATGCGAGGTAAAAGCTCCTGCTCTTGCGCTTCAAACGGTATACGGCTTCTCGCAAACCCTCAAGACGGGCCTCATCGTACTTCTTCGGCGACACAAACAGCGCTTGCATAAGAACGATCGGCGACGGGAGTTGAGGCGCAGGGTCTGGAAATAGCGAGGGGAATGTGTGCAGGATAGCAAGGGCATTGTCAAAAGCGACCAGACCAAACACAATTAGCGTGTTCGTCGCAAGAAAGAAGATAGCCTCCTCAATCTCCAGTCCATCCCACAAGTGGATTCCGTGTTTTGTGCCCTCACTGATGACCCAGGTGCCTCTCCGTAGAGCCAAGGTGTCGACAATCCAGAGGTACAACGTGGGCAGCCAAATGGGTAACGCGGTGTTGGACAGAGGGAGGCCCAAAATGAACTGGTATGCAAGCGTCCATAGCATCAGTAAGACCGGCCCCGCCCAGACGAGGATCAAGCCTGTGTATGTGCCAGTCACGTTGGCCTTGACACAATACCAGCCATATGCAATGATCGCGGAAATCACCACCTGTCCACCCCACTTCCGGTATTTCCAAGGCGCCGGCGAAGACGGAGTTGCGGCGCGAAGGTAGTTCGGCTGGTATGTAGGCTTGCTGAGCAGCAGGTACAACAGCGAGGTGTTGTAGGTCTGGATCACGAAGAAGAAAACCTCTTCAAGAGGGATATCGAAAAGCGTAGGGCCGACGATGACATGGCTTGGATAACTCCATATCCCAGTGCGAATAAGATATGAGTCCCAGGGGATAGTCGCGGTAACGGCGATCTGCGCTGTCAGTACAGAGCTATGCTTAGAGCGGGTAGATCCTCATACAAATACCAAAAAGCCAACGCGGTAGGTGTCGAGTTTTGACCAGAGCGGGCGGTAGAGGAGGGTGAGAAGCACAGCTGGTGGGATGGTGTACTTCACATGTCTGGTCCCTGCGTGTTAGCATTGAGCTCGAGGCCTGGAGGTTCTGAGCGGGGTGCATGCACGTACACGAGCGCGTAGTCAGTCCCCATTGTCGCAGATCGTAGCGACTGTCGACCCGAACGTGAGACGGAAAACGTGCAATCTACGTCGATTCGAGAACCACGACGCAGAGAAGACACTAGCAACCGCCGCGAGAGTCCGAGAGGTTGTCAGGCACAGGGTGAGCTCAACCATCTTGATCGCGCCCCGTCGACGCCGATTGCCGGTTGCGAGACATCGACTTCAGGAAAACCCATAGGAGCACGTTTCAGATACTGGTACGTGCGCGAATTAAGCTTTCAACTAGCCCTAGAGAGCTAGTAGTTGACATCATTGACTTAATTGACTTCAGTCGCGGCAGATGCGGACGCCAACGTCGAGCGCCCGTCCATGGCTAATACCGGTAACAGTGCAGCAGGGTTACATCATTGGTACCTGTTTATCACGCCGTCATCTGTCTCGCCAGACATGTGAAACTCAGTGCACTGTCATGCCCAGTGCCACATGCTTTTCAGACTGATATCTAATGGCTGTACCACCTTGAAAGCACCACCCGTACGCCGCTTCAATGCGAAAAGCGCCCATCAACTCAGGATGTCCCACGATGGGAGCACCAAGAGACAATCGCCCAAGCACCCATATCTCGCTGGAAATTTTGCGCCGGTAACCAAGACATGGAAACCCACGCCCGTCTCTTGGACGGGGGACCTCCCCAAGGAGCTCAGTGGCGGCATGTATGTTCGCAACGGCGGCAATCCCATGGCCAATGCCGATCTTGGACGTGAGGCGCACTGGTTCGATGGAGATGGAATGCTGTCAGGAGTATGGTTCAGCCGTTCGTCCAGCAACGCCAACGAGCTCGATGTTCAATTCGTCAACCAGTTCATCCTGACAGACGTGTACCTCTCTCAAATCGAGAGCACTGCATTACGGACTCCAATTCTGCCCAGTATCGCGACCCTGACGAATCCTGCTTCGAGCCTTATCTGGATCCTTTGGAGGATTGTACGCACTGTCTTCATCGTTATACTTTCACATCTACCAGGCTCAGGCTTCGCCATCAAGCGTATTAGTGTCGCGAACACCAGTGTTCTATACCACGATGGACGCGCATTAGCTGCATGTGAGAGTGGACCACCTATGCGTCTCACGCTACCTGAGCTAGAAACTGTTGGCTGGTTCGACGGGAACGCAGTAGAGGGTGAACCTCAGAATGCCGACAAAAAGGATGAACCGACACTTGGAGGAACAGGTCCATTGAGCTGGATGCGCGAGTGGAGTACCGGACATCCCAAAGTTGACAACACAACTGGAGAGCTCGTGCTATTCCACTGCAGCTTCGCTCCACCCTACGTACAATATTCTATCATACCTTCCTCGGAGTCGAACATAGTGGACTATCGTTCAGCAGATGACCCAAGTCGGATCATCAATGCTGCAGTCCCTAACTGTACAGGAGGAAAGCTTATGCATGACTTCGGCGTGTCCAAGAACAGCACTGTCATCCTCGACCTCCCACTCAGTCTATCTCCTCTCAATCTCGCAAAGAACTCTCCAGTAGTTGCATACGAGCCCTGGAAGCCTTCTCGATATGGTGTCTTTCCCCGTCACCACCCGGAAGCCGTCCGTTGGTTCGAGACCGATGGGTGCTGCATCTTCCACACGGCCAACACGTGGGACGAGTATGATGCTGATGGCAAAGTCGCTGCAGTCAGTCTTCTGGCATGTCGCCTCACATCCGCATCTGTCGTGTTCAGTGCTGGCAACATCACACCGCCACCACATCCAAACCACAAAGACGTTGTCAGTGAAAAGCCAATGTCTTTCTTCGCCAGATATGACGATGATCCGGATCCTGAGAAGGTCGACGAGACAACATCTCTACTTTCACATCAGAGCGTTGTCCCTAATCCCTTTGGCGCATCTTCAGACTTGCCGATTTCCCACGATGATGAAGAGCAGTGTCGGCTGTACTACTACCGGTTCTCCCTTGACTCAGTGACTGAGAACGTCATCACCCACCAGTTCGCTCTGGCGGCCATACCGGTCGAGTTTCCTACAGTATCACCTCTGACTGCGATGGAATCCGCACGCTACGTTTATGCTTGCAGCACGTCCAACGAGTCTTTTGGTGCGGCATTGGGCAAAGCTAGCAAAATTGACGTTCTCGTTAGATTCGATGTTCAGGCCCTGCTGGCAAAAGCTCAGATCGATCCACCAGATCCAGTCACGGGCTGTGTGGACAATCGTAATCTTAGCCAGATCATGGCCTCGAAAGACCCCAATGACCCAATCAAGGTCTTCAGATTCCCGCCAATGCATTATGGGCAGGAAGCTACATTTATTCCGCGCCCAAGACGCGGATCAGCGACCAACAAAAACACCGCTTTTGACGAGGATGATGGCTACCTCGTTTTCTACGTATTTGATGAGCATCAGTTAAATGAGAAGGGCGAGTGTAAAGAGGACGCAAAGAGCGAGCTCTGGGTCCTAGATGCACAGACGATGGCACGAGTCCAGTGTAGGATCCAGTTGCCGACTCGCATTCCATACGGTCTCCATGGCAACTGGTTCACAGAAGATCAGATCGCTCGCCAGAAGGGAGTGGTGAAGGTACGGACGCTGCCGGTGGCCGCTACAGATACCAGGTGGAGTCGCATCAAGCGAAGCATTCACGCACGCATGGGTTGATCCAGTATTGTACACGTAGCACTGACGTACGGCGTTTGAGGCCACACACAGGCATGTATGTTGCCCGTAATGTTAATGATTCACAACACCAAGATGTTCACAATATGCTCAGAAAGAATACGCGTTGTGATTGCAATCATTATCACACGTACCCCACAGAATCACCAGATCTAGATCCTCATTACGGGTGATGATAACCTCCATCGGTCCATCGCGGACCCGGAATCTGTCGGTACACGTGAACTGCTAATACTGTCAAAAACTCGCCTTGCATAGGGAAGCTTGTCTCCGGTGTGCAGTTACGGCAATAAGGTTTATGACGCGGTCACTTGAGACTCTAACAGATGGAAATATCCGCGATCATCGACATCGGTTGTTACAAACGCAGATCTTGCAGAATGAGCTGACACAACCCCAGCCAAAGTGTTGAACAACACCTGCCTGTGCAGCCGTTAGATCTACACGCGACCTGGCGATGAGCTGTCCAAATGCTCCAGCACACAGGTGTGTCAGCTCCTCACCAATAGCCCCTGTACCCTGCAAAGGATCCCAAGCTTTCAGTCCACATGTCTTACAAAGCTTGGCTACGCCCTTGCCACAACGCGCCGATCTGTGGTGATATTTCTGCACGTGCATTTGCTAAAGTTTCGTCAATTACCTATTGTAGTGATGACTTCATTCTCTCGAAACGTCGACGCTAAGCTGTTGTGAAAGCTTTTCCATTGGCCGCCAGCCCTGACCAAAATCATTTACTACGACGAAAAACCCGACATCTCCGTGCACCCAGTATAACGGTAAGAGCAATGTCAGATCGAGGCCCTGTGTATTTGCACGGTACCACACGAGCGATGTCATCACTGACGTAGACCACATGCGGCTATGTTAGCGCTCTCGGTATATGAAATGGAAGGCCCCTCTAAAATGCGAATCAGATTCGCAAATACAAACCAAGCTTTCGTGTGCAGGAAATATCTCTTGAAAAACACTTAGCAAAGATGGCATCCAACCTCATTGCGCGGGCGAACCACGCTCTGGACCTCAATGGTATGCGTAGTCACCTGCTTTTGTACTTTGAAGTAACTAACATTGCGAAGGCAACACAGTCAACGGCGCTACAGCCGACATTGCCATCACGACTCATGGCTCCGATCTCTACTTCGCCATCTGCGCAGCCATGGGCGTCGCTGGTTTCTCCTTCATGGGCCTCGCCATGCGCAAGCATCGCCGCGATCGCTTGTTTCACTACATCACTGCGGCCGTCGTCTTTGTAGCTTGCATTGCTTATTTCACCATGGGATCCAATCTCGGATTCACACCTATTCAGGTCGAATACCGACGCAGTAACCCTGTTGTTCGTGGCCAATACCGCGAGATCTTTTACGTCCGCTACATCGACTGGTTCATTACAACTCCTCTCTTGCTCTTGGACCTGTTGCTCACTGCTGGCATGCCGTGGCCGACAATTCTCTGGACTCTGCTCATTGATGAAATAATGATCATCACTGGTCTTGTCGGAGCTCTCGTTGTCAGCAGGTACAAGTGGGCGTACTTCACTTTCGGTAAGAGAATCATGCGAGTTTTTACAAGCGTCCCTAACATCAAATAGGCTGTGTTGCACTAGTCTACATCGCCTACGTCCTCACCTGGGAAGCTCGCAAGAACTCTGCTCGCTACGGCCCTGAGGTCAGGAAGGCCTTCCTGTACTGCGGATCCCTGACCACCTTCCTTTGGATCTTGTACCCAATCGCGTGGGGTCTCTGCGAAGGCGGGAATGTTATCTCCCCTGACTCCGAGGCCATCTTCTACGGCATTCTCGATTTCCTCGCTAAGCCTTGCTTCGGTGCGCTTCTGATTTGGGGTCACCGCAACATCGACCCTGCGTCGATCGGTATGGCCATCCGCGATTACGAGGATGACACCATGGTGCATGGCGAGAAGCGTGGGCCCACCAACTCCAACATTCAGGCTCCTCTAGATGGACCTGCCAACACTACCGCTACCAACGGGCTTCAGGTCTAAGCATATGTTTTGATCAGTTGAAGACTGTGTATATACCCATGTGTTATGGCCAAATTGAATCGAAATGGAGTAAGTCATTTGCGGCTGTAATGAGTAACAGAAGGAGGAAGTAATGGTTGAAACTGGATTTTTACCTTAACACGATATCTAATACCACGACTGTACATCCATTCATTCACTTTTCACGCCTGTACATCATACTGCCCTGTGATAGATTTGATCCTTGGGTCGCTGACGGTTTAAAAGGAACAATTCGCCGTGGTGCACAAGCCAACCCACCATGGTCCATGCGACTGTGCCCACACACTTTCTTTTGCGCGCGAACTTTTATTCAGGGCTTATAGGTCACCGGCTGAGGCATCAATTGCAAAGGAGGTTCCACCCTGTGACAAGGTCATCGTTGTGCCGTTAAGCGAGTTTGTGTATGCGACTGCTACAGTTTCAGATCAGACTTGTCGACTCTTGGGCCTCCTCAACTTTGCATCGTGAACACGTTGTCCTCTTTAATGACGTCGGATTTACTGACCGAGTTTCAATGCTGAAAACAGTTTCTCGGAATCTTTGGGGGCCTTCGAAGGGCTCTTAGTAGATTCGTGATATAGTCTTTTGTGCGCCCTGCACGACAAATCCGTCATGTTCTCGTAATGCATCTTTAGAACGGGAACGCGCAGGACCACTGGTAGATTCACGGGCTGCTGCCGGTGGGTGTTGGCGGGAACCAGCCTCTTGCCGTCAGCCGCTGTCACTTGACTATTCTTGTCGCGAGTTTGGCAGTGTCCGCTCCTCCGTCGCAGTACAGTTTCAGGACGTGTTTGCAAGCCGCCACTATAATTTACTGAAAGAAGGATAAGAATATAAGCTCTCAAGGAATTTGTGACTGACTGGTAAGCCAAACTTCTACCTCTGTGCAGCGTGCCTCTTCAAGTACACTTTCAGCCGCTTCTGTCTCCACCATATATGCTGCCAGACAGATACCAGATACCCTCGAGCATCAACTAAGGATAATCTAATATCACTCACCAATACCTATCAGATGTGGACTGCCAAGCGTGGAACAGCTCGAGCTGAGCGCACAGGATCGATACACTCAGTGGCCTCACTATACGGCGGTCGCCCAGAGTCAGTGGCCTCCAATCAATCACTCTCGCAACAAAGAGAATATGACTCAGACCACTCGTCCGAGATAGCCTTCGTTCAGGAACAGATAGCGACAAGACCTCCGAGCAAGGTCGTCATACCAGCAATATGGCAATCGCGACCCGAAGGTCTGAAGCCCACTCCTCTCGCACAGCGACCAGCCATGGAGGCATGGAACGAGCCTATCAAAGAAGAGCCTGTTGTCAGCGTCATACCTCAAATATTACACACAACTCCTCAAAGTCAGTGGACAACAGACAACGATAACGAGTCTCTTGCCTCGACACTTGACGGTGAAGAGCAGATCCCGGATTATCCAGAAAAGACACCCACATCGATTCCGGTAATGCTATACGCCAACGAAGCAAACGACGAACCCCTCTCGCCCGCTCCAGCACCGCACATTCCTGGTCCATTGGAGTCTCAACTCGCTGCTCTGATGTCAAAACTTATCTACATTGAGCGGTCAAACCCTGTCATATCAGTCGAGTCCGCCGAGTATGAAGAGACGACGGCACGCCTGAAGAAGCTGGAAGCGGAGCACGAACAGCTTTGGAAGAGACACACGGCCATCTGGACTCTGCGCGACGAGGATCTCGAGAATAACATCAAGATACGCGGCTTATTGGCGAAGAAGGACCGTGACCTTGTTGCCATGACGGCTCTTCGCGACGAGGATCTGATCAATGTCCAGATCGTACGGAACAAGCTTGCAGACAAGACACGCGAGGTCGAACGTCTGCAATCCCAGACTGGAACCAGAAGTCCGACCCGCGGACGACCAGGAAGCTTCATTGCCCGCACGGCCACCAACGATCTCTTCGCGGCAGCCAAGTCAGCAGCACTCGAGCAGCGCGTGCTTGAGCTGGAGAAGAGGAACTCGGATCTGGTTGCGCAAGTTGATACTCTGAAGGGTGGTTCAAGCATCGACGACCTCAACCGTATGACGGCACACCAGGCTTGGAAGGATCATGTTGCAGATCTTGAGGCTCAGGTCAAGGCCAAGGACGCTCAGCTGGTCCAACGGTCAGGTGGCAGCACGACTGAGATGAAGCCAACAGCCAGTGAGTGGTCGAGGGTCGAAGCTATCGTGCAGGAGCACGGCGCGTACCGAGAGATGGTAGGAGGCAAGCTCCAAGCACTCCGATCGGAGAAGGAGGCTCTTCAGAAGCTCCTGCACGCGAAAGAAGACGAGTGCCATACATTGGAACTTAGTGTACAGAACTTGAGAAGGCGTACGATGGCTGTCTAGAGCTCCAAGGTGGTCAACGGCTACATAGGGCTGGTGTTGTGGCTGGGATGGTCTGTTATTTCTTAGCTGGCGTACTATGAGCGTTGATGATCTGGCTGAAACACAGCACACGCGTGGCTCAGGGAGCTACAAACCGAATGACACACGTATCTGCAACTCATCGATGATATTTGTGATCGCTGCAAAAGCTTATTGTGATGGTTCTCCTGTCGTGGCATCCTCCATGACGTAGCGGCCCAGTCAATGCGGCCACCATGCCCTTCACGGTCAAGCATTGACCAAGAAAGCTTGAGTGTGCCCTGTTTACGGCCATCCGCATCGTCATGCCATCTATAATTCCCATGTAGCGTTGCAAATACCCAGTGCCGATTTCCGGCAGCTGGAAATGTTTGGTTGCGTGCGCGCCAAAGCGCAAATAGAAAACTGGGCATCTCTTAAAAGGCGGAAGACGCGTCGTTCAGTCTTGCTGTATCTCTAGCTCGCCAGATCAATATGCGTTCCTCAGCCCTTCTCACCGTTGCGGTGGCCAACGCCGTCAATGCAAAGTATACCTTTGAACCACTCAACCACCTGGCTGGTGTAAGTGTTTCGCGCTTAGTATCTAAAGAATCTGTCACTAATATCACTTCAGATTGCTCCATACTTTGAGGACCCTCAATCGGACCCTGCTCCGCCGCAGGGCTGCAATGTCACTCGTGCCGCCTACCTTGTTCGCCATGCCGCCATTTACGCGAACGACTTCGACTACGAAGAGTATATTGAGCCATTCACAGACAAGCTTGGCAACATGTCCGTCAACTGGAAGGAGGCAGGAGCATTGGATTTCCTGCAGAAGTGGCAGACTCCTATCTCAGATGAGGAATTGGAGGACCTGACCACCGTCGGCCGTCTTGAGTCGTACAAGCTGGGTACCGAAGTTCATATCCGCTACCCTGGCCTGAGGAACCCCAAGAAGGTCTGGACATCGACGGCTGAGCGCACAGAGCTCAGTTCAAAGTCCTTCATCGAGGGTCTTATTACCCAGAGTAATGAGACGGAGAGAGTCACCATCTCTGAGGATCAGTCCGAAGGCGCCGATTCTTTGACACCCTACAAGGGCTGCCCCAAGTACAGCTCTTCGTACGGCAGCGAGCAGTCCGGGGAGTTTCAGAAGATCTACACAGCACCTATCATCGAGCGGTTCCGCGCATATGCCCCCAGCTTCAATTGGACGGCTAACGACATTACGGCTATGCAGCAGCTGTGCGGTTACGAGACAGTCATCCGTGGGGAGTCTCCCTTCTGCGACCTCGACCTCTTCAGCGCAGATGAGTGGCTGCAGTTCGAGTACATGAACGACATCCAGTACTTCTACAACACCGGTTATGGCAATGAGATCTCCGGCGTGCTCGGCTACCCCTGGCTGAATGCGACAGCGCAACAGTTGCTCGCCGACAACTCCACCCAGGACCTGTACGTCTCATTCACCCATCGCGAGCTACCGCCTACTGTCGCCGTTGCGCTCGGTATCTTCAACAACACCGAGTGGGCGGGTGCCGCAAACGTCAACGGCACCATGCCGCTCAACAAGATCAACTATCAGCGTGCCTGGAAGTCCTCGCGCATCCTGCCGTTCCTGACCAACATGGCGATTGAGAGGCTTGAATGCGACAGCTACGGCTACCCTGCCGGAACATATGTTCGTGTCCTTGTCAACCAGGACCCGCAGCAGCTCGAGTGCGCCGTTGGACCTGGCGGTAGCTGTTCGGAGGGCTCGTTCGCGGAGTTTATTCAGCAGCGAGGCGAGATGTTCGGTGGGTACACTGAGAAGTGTGCGCCGACTGACTACAACAACTCGACCGACATCTTGACTATTTACAACTAGATTGGCGAGTCGACATGATACCCTAATGATAATGCCTTTTGTATTACGAATGCTTGTTGGGACTGTTGCAGAATTACCCCTCACTCCAAGAGAACAGTTGTTCGGTCGTGTAGCCATCTAAGTGACATTACCGGGACCAAAATACCGCGTGATCTTCAGTAACTCAGAGTGGAAGAAGGACAAGTGGCGCCCACGCGAGGCCACGCGAGTGGTGGGCGCGTGCACGTGCAATCATGTGCGCTAGCGTCAGGTCACGTGGGTCAGCCCGTATCAACAAAAATCTTTAAAGATTTCAACACCTTTCCAACCACCCCCACAGCCCAAAAAAGACAAAAACATAGGCTTCCGTCACGGGGAATCGAACCCCGGCCACATCGGCACTTGCGAATGAGAGCGATGTATCCTAGCCACTAGACCATAACGGATGTGATTTGATGAAGGAGGGACTCAGACTATTGAATATATCTTAGAGTAAGAAAAAATCAAGACTGCGTTTTAGGTCAATTCACGCGTTTCAGCGATATTCAATCCGATCCGACAAAATTTTGCGGAAGTGCAGGTCATACTGAGTGATGACTCCCAAGCGAATGACCCACACTTCACATTTATGGCAGTCTTGTTCGGCCTCTTAGCAGCACATATTGAGGGACGGAGGGTTAAGCATTGGAGGTTCCGACACACTTGACTTTTTGTGGTTGAGTACCCAAGTGGAGCTGCCACAGGTCTTGTAGCTCCTCCATGTATTGTGAAGGTCTCTTTTCTATTAAGAACGGGGTTGTAGCCATCCTTTCGTTCACTTGAAACATCCTGAACATTCTGCTGAATATTCCAATTTGCCGGACTCATTCAGAATCAAATAGGACTTAGCAGGTAGGGTAGCTAATAAGCATGGGTTACCTTAGCTAGGGACAGACGTATTTACACCCCTTTAGAGATTCATGAATATACATAATACTCATGCATTCGGAATATCCAATTACAAAACGCTCTATTGCGATATCAGACAACCCTAACTAAGAACATCGCATCTCGTGTTCGCGGACCCCATCCAAATCCGACGCCTAGAGGACACGACCCTTGACCTGCTTGTAGTGCTTGACGTTGATATCTGCAGGATGTTAGCGGCTGTAGTTTGCGACATGGGCTTGACATGAACTCGCCTCTCCACATGAGCACTCCTCCGAAGGCAACGACCAAGATGACTGTAGAGGCAACAGCCATCCACTTCTGCGACTCCCCATAGGCTTGCTCAATTGCAAATCTGATTGGCGTGCCCTTAGGGTATGATAGCTGCGTGACAAGACTGGCGTAAATGGTCGCAACATCCGCCTGCGCCTCAGCAGGCAAGTACCTTGCCAAATTTGCAGGGAATACTCCAGTCCACAGAGCTGCCGAAACGGAGCCTCCGATCGCACCTCCCACACTGGAGAACATGCCTTCAACTGCCAAGACGACAGCAACATATTGGTGAGTCGTTGCTGCCATGGCGGCGACTTGCTCGGTGATGACAATAGCACCTCCTGCAAAAGCGATGAAGATCTGGCTCATGACCACCCAGCCAACGTTAACGTCGGGCTGCCTGAAATGAACCATCAATCCCGTACCGAGCATGGTAACGGGAACACCAAAGTACAACGCCAGCCACTTGAAGCGGCCAGTCCATCTGATGAGCAGGCCAACGACAAGGGACCAGAAGCAAGCTCCGATGCTGTATATGTTGATGACGTATGTTGCTTCGGTGATGTTCAGTCCGTTCACGACCTGAAGGAACGAGAAGAAGTACGCGTTCCAGCAGTAGAAGCTGATAAAGAACACACCGGATACGATGCACGCGCCAAGTACTGTACGATCGAGAAGTAGCTCGTAGGGGATGAAGGTCTTCGGTGCAACAAACTTCTCATAGAGGATGAAGCCGATCAGCATGAGCCCACCTACGATGAAGAAGGCGATCACCAGCGGGGAGTTCCAGAGACCATCCTGGTAGGAGTACAAGCTGAAAGGCAGGAGGAAGAAGACCAAACCACCCATGAGCAGGAACAGACCGCCGACGTCGAATTCGATAGAGTAATGCTTGAAGGACTCCGCAAAGGTGCGTGAGCTTTTGGTGGGGACGATTGTGCCCACGCGGACTGCCTTCCGATAGTTCACCCAGAAGAGCGCCAGCAAGGGGCCATTGACCGCGACGGTGATGATGGAAAATGCTCCGTAGAACCATCTCCAACCAGGCCCGTTAACGAATGCGGTGGCTAAAGGTCCAGTGATCCAGACGGTGATGATGTATGGAGAGCTGACATAGGCGAACATGAAGCCACGGTTCTTCAGGTGAGAGGTGTCAGCGACGAAAATGCCGATGGTGTAAGTAATTCCGTTGTAGCTATGGGGTATTAGCAAGTACAGATATCCATGCTGTGTTGAAGACCTACCCGATCCAGTAGAAGATCTGTGCTGCCGCGTACGTTTGGACATTGTTGCAGGCGGCCATCATGATCAGTCCCACGGTCAGAAAAGCGATCATAATACCATAGCCTTGTGGACGACCAAATATGTCAAGAATCTTGGCGAGTGGCAACTTGAGTACTCCACCGATGATACCAGACATCACGCCAGTGTACGCGGTCAGGGAATGTTGCTGGAAAGAGCTGGTAACGTAGGCGCTGAGCGAGAATGAGGCTCCCTGCTGCATGGCATCCACGAACGTGACAGTCCACATCATGATGTACGCGGCAATGAGCGACTTCTTCCCCCACACAGTAGTCGTAGCCTCCATCTTCTTGACACCATCCTGAGCGCCTGCGGTGAAGGAAGGCTCTATGCTAGAGGTTCCGTCTGAGGTGTCGACTGGATGCTTGACGTTGATCACCGGTGCTTGACCAGCCTCAGCAGCCTTGTCCGTATCCTTCGTTTCGCCATAGTCGCCTACGGGGTGCTCCAGATGGGGGCCTATCCTGAAAGGGTTGCGCATGTTGACGTAGAGTCGAGAGAAGCGACAGGAGAAGGAACTCGACAGGAAATACAAGACCGATTGAAGGCCAGCAGAGGTGCAATCCAAATGCGGCAGTAAGCAGGTGGTCCCTGTTTATATGACATCCTGCTTGGCAGCTGGCTTCGTCAAAGTTTGGCGATCCACCACCAGCTTTGCAAATTTGCAGACAACGGCCATATCAAGCGGTCCAAGAGCCTGGCGCAAGAGCGAACGGCAACGCGCGGAAGGATTTGTGGCTGCTACAGTACGGGCGCTCCGCAGAAGGATGGACAGAGCTCCTGCCTTGATCAGCGTTGGAAGCCCGAGAGCTAGCAGGATCTGATAAGCCAACAGGCTCGGATCAGTACTGGCGTTGGTTCCCGTCCAGCTGGCGTGCACTTGGCAGGCGCCTTCGCACTCTCTGGTGGCTACAGGTTATCGCTCATCTAATCTGATCTGTACTGGTCTGGCGTTGGGATCGCGATCGAACCTTTCTCTGCATTAACGTAGCTCCCTTGCATCCTCTCGAAAACATCGCGCTGGATTGCACAACAGACCGTTGTGTTTCATCAGATCCTCACAGCCTCACAGGACAGCAGAGTCAGTATCCCAATTTCAACAAGTCGGGTCAAGCAATTTGCGACGCGGGGCCCAAGGCCTGAAACTTTTGCCTCGTGGAACGCCATGAAGCTGGGCACTGAGTACCAAGAACGGCGGCGTTCAATCACGACACGGATGCGGCGCGTCGATGCTGCTTACTGTTCCCAGCTCGCCGATCGCGGAGCAGGATGCATTTCGCGGCCATTTTGCTCACGCGCAGCTTCCAGTTGCTGAGAGCCCATAGCAGTGGTGACCACAAGGCGGTTGATACTCGGTCGATGTTGCGGTCGCCTTTTGAACCGGCGGTAACTCTCGTTGGTGAGCCTTGGCTAGCCTTGCAGGCATGCTACCGCATCCGTGACAACGAAGCAGGGGCATGTGTTTCCATAGTCCTTCCAGAAGAGCTCGGGGTCCCTCCTAAAAGTCGTTTTGATCCGAGATCTGCTGGGCGACGGTATAGGGGAATTTAAGTGCATCTCACTGCGGCAAGTCGGCGACAAGCCTCGAGATCCTCTCGGATATTCGGGCTAAACTACTCCGGCTAAATGCAGATGTGGATCTCTCTCCTCACGATTATAGCCTTATGTTCAGGTGAGCAAGTCATGCGGAAGACAACAAATGTGACGGACTTCCTGTCTTTGCTTGTTGCAGATCAAAACTCCCAGGACTACGATATCTAGAACCACAAACTTCAGGATGCCACTCGTACGAAACCCAATCTTGCCAGGCTTCAACGCCGACCCTTCGGTACTTCGAGTCAAAGATGACTACTACATCGCCACATCAACCTTCGAATGGTATCCAGGCGTTCAAATCCACCACTCCAAAGACCTTGCGAATTGGGAACTCGTGACACGGCCGCTGAGCAGGAAGAGCCAGCTCGATATGCGAGGCAACCCTGACAGCTGTGGAGTGTGGGCACCATGCCTCAGTCACGACGGCGAGAAGTTCTACCTGGTGTACACCGATGTAAAGCGCAAGGACGGCTCATTCAAGGACACTCCAAATTACATCGTCACAGCAGACCGTATCGAGGGTCCCTGGTCAGAACCGTACTATGTCAATTCCTCTGGCTTCGATCCCTCTCTGTTTCATGACGATGATGGCAAGAAGTGGTTCGTCAATATGCTGCAAGATCACCGCCGCCGTCCACGGTCTTTTGCCGGCATACGATTGCAAGAGTGGGGTCCCAAAGCCGGTAAACTGGTCGGCCCAATGAAAACAATCTTCCATGGCACCGAGCTGGATCTCGTCGAGGGCCCTCATCTGTACAAGAGGAACGGCTACTACTATCTCCTCACAGCCGAGGGCGGCACATCGTTCGAGCACGCATGCACCCTCGCACGTTCCCGCTCCATCTGGGGCCCATACGAACTACATCCGCAGAAGTATATCATCACCTCCAAAGACGCTCCACTCGCAGCGCTCCAAAAAGCAGGCCATGGCGACATCGTCGAGACCCCAGAGGGCAAGACCTACATCGTTCATTTGACAGGCCGCCCGACGACCCAGTCCCGCCGCTGCGTTCTAGGCCGCGAGACCGCAATCCAAGAAGCATACTGGAGCGACGACGACTGGCTGTACGTCAAGGACGGTCCCGTGCCATCGCTCTACGTCGATGTGCCAGGGACACGCGACGACAGCGCATACTTGGCGGAACAAAAATACACCTTCTCCGCCTCCACAGGCCTGCACAGAGACTTCCAGTGGCTACGCACGCCCGAGCCCGAGCGCATCTTCAGCATCAGCGACGGCGCGCTGCACCTCACAGGGCGCGAGGCAATCGGGTCGTGGGTCGAGCAAGCGCTGGTGGCGCGGCGGCAGACGCACTTCTCCTACGATGCCGAGACGACGCTGTCCTTCTCGCCCACGGACGAGAGGCAGTTCGCGGGTCTGACGGCGTACTACTGCCGCTTTAATTTCTTCTACCTCACTGTCACCGCGCACTCGGACGGGCAGCGCGAGCTGCTGATTCTCTCCTCGGAAGCGTCGTGGCCGGACGGCAATCTCAAACTTCCGTTCGCCGAGCCCGTCCCGATTCCGCAGGAGGGCAAGGTGAAGCTGGCGCTGAGCATTCGGGGGAAGGCACTGCAGTTTTCGTATGCGTTGGAGGGAGAGGAGTTGAAGAAGATTGGACCCGTGTATGATGCTAGTATACTCAGTGATGAGTGTGGTGGACACCAGGCGCATGGGAGCTTTACGGGAGCATTTGTGGGGGTTGCGGCGAGTGATCTGAATGGTTTGGAGACGAAGGCGACGTTTGATTACTTCACCTATAGGCCGGTTGAGCATGAGTCAGATCGGTACGACGTCTGAGAAAGCAATAGAATAACCCTGCCTGTCGGTGGTGGTGAAACAATAGAACAATCTGTCAAAAGCACATCTAATCATACATTGACGGGTCAGTTCATCACCACGGAAGCTTGTGTCGTGATGAAGGCATGTGCGAACAAATTGAGACTGGAACGCGTATCGTGTCCAGTGAACCGCTGTAAATGCATTTTGGGAACGTAGCTAGATGGCGAATGATCATGACCGCCGAGCCGAGAAAAGCAGAGCAAAACTCCCTATATGCCGCCAACCCTTCTCTCATGACCCAGAGGCATCAATCATGTCTAAAGAAACCGCGCTCTACTGCTCACCACGCCTAAAGCGCGGTACGTATTTGCCATCACCACCAGCGGCCGGAGGAGGACGCGCCTCGGGCTCACGCTCACCGGCAGGAGGTCCACGGCGCGCAGGAGGTTCCCATCGGCCACCAGTGGCGGGAGATGCCTTGCGCTCCTCACCGAACCCGCGGCGAGGCGCCTCGAAACGGCCACCAGCAGCGGGAGAGCCAGACTCGGCACGGGGAGGTGTGTCGCGTGCCGCAGTCTCACGCTCTCTCCATCCACCACCAGGAGCAGCGCCGCCGGCGCCACGAAGGTGAGGAGGGACGTAACCACTGCGCTGAGCGGGTGCCTCGGCAGCGGGAGCAGCAGCAGCAGCAGCAGCAGCAGCAACAGGTGCAACGGAAGGAGTGGGTTGGGCATCAGGAGCGGCGGGAGCACCCTCGTCAGCGTCCTTCGCAGCCATGCGGTCACGCCATGAGGGCTTGCCGCCAGCAAGGGCGAGACGGGGAGGTCCACGGCTCTCCGGCTCCGCGGCAGCGGGTGCGCCACGGGAGACTGTTCGGTCGGGCACCTGGGAGCGGAAACCACCTTGTCTCTGGGCCGCAATCTTGGCTTCTGCTGCCTCTTCCTTCTCGCGCTGGACGCGTGCCTTCTCGTCGAGGGCCCTGAAAGAAGTCAGTGGTGTACGTGAATGAGAAAATGGATATACTGACTTGCGCTCCTCGTCGCGCCTGGCCTTCTCCTCGACCATCTTGGCGCGCTTAATCTCCTCTTCGGCAGCCTTGGCCTCAGCCTCAGCAGCTTCGCGCTCCTCCTCCTCACGCTGTCTGCGCTCGGCCTCTTCGCGCTCACGCTTCTCCCTAGCGATCCTCTCCTTGACTTCCTTGACGCGAGCGGCCTTCTTAGCCTCGAGCTCCTTCTGCGCGGCCTTTGAGCGCTTCTCGAACTCAGCCTTGCGGTTCTGCTTCACAGTGGTGACGAAGTCGGCGTAGACGGGTACGAGACGGGACAGACGGTGCTTGAGAGCAACATCCTCCTTGTGCTTCTCCTCAGCATCCTTCAGCTCTTCAATCTTGGCCTTCTCGTAAGCTTCCTCGTCAGCCTTCATCTGCTTCTCGTAGTCCTCTCGGAGGTGCTTGATCTCCTCCTTACGGTAAGCACGCTCCAAGTGATCGATGCGCTTGCCAGTGATGCGCAGCGTCTCGCCAAGCAGGCTCTTCTCCTTCTCGAGAGCTTGAAGCTTGAGAATACGGATTCTTGTCGAGTCGAGGTCCTCAATGTTCTCAGGCAGGTCGATGTCGACCTTGGTAGTGGCCTTAAGCTCCTTGAGCTGCTTCTCAATCTCTTCGCGCTGAATTCGCTGTTGCTCGGCCTTGATGCGCTGTTCAGCGCGCTGGCGCTGCTCTTCGGCGAGACGGCGAGCCTCCTCTTCCTTGAGTTGCTGCTGGCGAAGGGCCCTCTTTGTCTGCTCCTCGGTCTCCTTGGCCTGGAGAGCCTTAGCGGCAGCCTCCTTCTTCTGAGAGATGATGTCGCGGCGAGCAAGAGTCTCCTGGTGCTCCTGCTCGGCACCCTCCTTGGCGCGGGCGAGAGCAGCTTCCTTCTCCCTGATACGCTCAGCGTTGAACGAGGGGTCAACGTATTGGCATGTGACGAAAAGCGACTTGGCAAGGCGAGTGAGCTGAGAACGAACAATTTCAGCAGGTGTGCTCTGCAGGCGCTGGACGGAGCGGGTCTCAGTCTCAGATGAGCCAGCACCAGATCCGGGGTGCATGGCCTTCGCAGCAGAGAAGACATCAGAGTCAAAGGTGAGAACACCGGCGGCATGGTCAATGCGAATGGCGAGGTCACCCTTCTTGCAGCCGTTCATGATGAACTTCTCGATGGTAGCCTTGCTGACACCGAAAGGCTCAGGGAACTGGGCAAGGTCGAGAACGAACTTGATCTGGACCGAGTCGTAGACCTGGGACAGCTGCTGGAAGAGACGGGTAAGGATGACCTGCTGCAGCGGGCCAACGTACTTCTTCATCTCCTCATCAGCGCCAATCTGAGCAAGAATGGGGGAAATCTTCTTGCAGATGGACAGAGGGTGGAAGTCGACCTCGAGGATGTTGTAGAGATCGCGGATTTCAGGACGAGCGCGCTTGAGCAGACCCTTGCTGAGAGCATCCTTGAACAGGATAGCACGAGTAGGTGCCTGGTTCATGCCGAGCAAGTTGGTGAGACGAGAGTTCTTGTTGTTCCTCGCCGCATCAGCGTCGACCAAGGCACCACGAGAGCGAGATGTGCTGATGACGGGGATCGAGAGCGCGGAGAGAAGGACGAAAGAAGCAGCCTTGGTCATATCGGCCTCAGTGACGGCTGGGTTGTCCTTCTTCAGGCCCTGGCCGGAGGCAACAGCGGCAGCAGACTGGCGAAGGAGGTTGTAGTAACGGCTCCATGCTGCGGCATGGAAGAGGTAGTTCTCGCTGACCAAGAAGATACGGGTGAGCTTCTCAAAGTAGTTGGCCATCATGACGTTCTTCGCAGGGCGCTTGCTCAAGCTGAGCAAGGTGTGGATGTCCTCGACGCTCCTGAAAGCCTCCTGCCACAGCTCAAGCTCGACAGCAACGTTGAGCTGCTGGAAACGGGTGTCGAGGTGGCGCTGGAGAGTGTCGGGGTCGGACAGGTTGATGGCGTGCATCTGGGAGGAGAACTTGGCGGCATTCTGCAAGTGGTTGCGGAGCAGCTCGCAGAGACGGCGGAACTCGGTCTTGCGGGCGTACTTGGAGCAGAACTGGAAGGCCTGGTGGGCGGTCGACTGGTACATGAGCTCCAGACGGGCGTTGTTCTTGAAGATGTCGAGCACGGTGCGGTACGTCTCCCACAAGAACTTCAGCCATGGGGTGACGATGGCGCGGTCGGTGCGGTCACGGGACTGCTCGCCGGAGACGGTGGAGAGCAGGATGGACTCGGGCGTCTCAGAGGCCTCCAGATCCTCAATGTTCTTCGCGTCACCCTCGGCGCCCTCGACGGACGAGTGCGCCTCGTCGGCCTTGGCCTGGGCCTCGGTGACCTTGCCCTCGGCGAGCTCGATGAACTTCTTGAAGACGAGCTCAATGGTGCCCACGTTGGTGTTCTGGGCCGTGTTCTTGTACTGGTACAGGCCGTCCTTGGCGAGCTTGCCCTTGCGCAGATCGACGCAGAGCTCGACGAAGAGGATCATGACGGGCTCGAGCGAGGCGATTGGGCTGTTGCGGGTGCGCTTGGAGGTGACATGCTCGTGCAGCAGCTGCAGCGCAGCCTGTTGCTGGTTCACGCCGATGAGCTCCTGGGCGCGTTTGCTGCAGCGGCGTTAGCATTGTCACGTCCGTGGTGGGGTGTCTCGCGGAGCGCAGGGACGGCGTACAGAGTGTTCTCAGGCTTGCTATGCGGTGGCGGCGCCATGCTGGGCAGCGGGGGAGCGGGAGTCCGGGGCGCTGGGGAGGGTTCGCAGGGCGGCAGCAGGCCTTTGTGGGTGCGCGGTGAAAGTTCGACGGCGATGATGTTGTAGGGCACACACCTGGGATTTTGCAGGTGCGCCCGCTAGTGCGCTCTCGGTTAGCCCGATCCCCACTTGGATGGACCATGAGAGCTGTTGCAACCAGCGGCGGCCAGACTGGAGGCAGTCCAGGCAGTCTCAGGCAGCGTCAGGCAGTGGACGCAGGCAGTCCATGGCCGCGCTCGAGTCGCGCGCTGTTCTCTATCCTGTTCTACCTCCAGACACACAGCAAAGGACTGCTGGTTGTACGTCGCTCGCGTGCATCGCGTGTCGGTGCGGCGAGGGCTCTGCCAACTGCTGGGCTAGGCCGTTAGTAGCAAAGGCCCCTGGACGCCAATACCGCCCCGACTCTTCCAACCTCCCTTTACGCCTCCACCGCCCACTCCACCACCGCTCCCCTCGCCAGTCGCACCCCATCGCCGCAGCTCGCAGCCGCTCGCAGCAGCACGGCCTTTGCGGAAGGCACCTCCTGGCTGGCCAAATTCGCTCCTTCCCTGCTTCCGCTCTCTACCGCCGCCCACGCACCTCCTCCCGCACCTCGTCCCGCCGAGGCCCGTCGCGCACCATACCGCTCCGCACGTCACCACGCACGTCGCCGCGCCCTAATACCGCCTGCACGCCCGCACGCCCCCCTTTTCTTCCTTCACGACACCCCTGGCTACGCGCACGATGCCCACCATGATGGCTGCTGCGCCTTACGAGATCCGGACCGGCGGCGACGGCAAGTCCAAGAAGCAGAGCATGGCTGAGCTGAAGCTGCGACGCCTGACAGAGCTCAACCAGCGCCTGCGCGAGGATCTTGAGCGTCGCCGGATACCCGTGTCCGAGGCTGCCCTAGAGTACGTCGCGGTGTTCTGCCCTGGTCGCACAGTAAACAAAGACAGTCGCTAACGCGCCTGCAGTCTCATTGCATTCACCGACAAGGAGCCCAAAGACTGGATGGTGCCTTCACGATGGGGAACAGTGCGTCCAACGCTCACTCCACGTCGGCTCTCAATGCTAACGCAACATCAGATCGACAAGCGCGAGGACCCTTACGCCCCCCAGCAAAGTAATGGCTGCTGCATCGTAATGTGAACGACGAGAGATGCAGTCAGTCATGTCTGAGTAACGGCGTTCATGCGGGGCCCTTTTCACGGCAGTATTTGATTTTACCTTTTAGTTTGGTTGGTTGTGGTGATAATACCCCCACTGTGCAGCAGTCCTGGGAGCTGATATTGGAATGGATCATGTACTTTCAGCAATGTGTAAATTATGGAAAAGCGGACTTTGACGCTCGCTGCACATTGCGGGCAGCGCAGTAGGGATTCCATAAGGTTCTTCATTCTGGCCAGTATGCCGTCTGCGGATGCCGTCTGCGGCTGCCGTGCCTCACAAATTACGAGACGACAATTGTCTCACGTTACTTTCATCCAGTTTTGCCAACTTTGCATTCTGCCATTAGGTATTACTGAGACACATGGCCACACGAGCAGACACTGCAGCGAGCCCTTCTACGAATCTTCTCTTTGTTTTGCCTTTTGCCTGTGTGCCTCGGACATGAGTGCCTCAAAGGGGAAGGCACTAGTCAAACGAGATTAACAAGGCGCGAACGAGCATTAGCATCAGTATATTACACTCCACAAATCATAGAGGAGCGCAGAAACCTGAAAAGCATCGGCGGATTCTGACAGCTGCACGACATCGCATGACAAGCCCAGGCACTCCTAGTTTTGTTCGCTGTGCGCAACGCGAGGCTGCGTTACAGCTGCCCGTGCTTCGCCAGATCGCCGGAAAGGGCACAGGCGCCGAGCGCACTGATGAATCAACGCGAACTGATTGAGCAAGCAGGCAGCCGGGCCGAAACACGCCGCAGCACTATTGGGCAATCAGGGCAGCTAGGATGAGCCTTCAGAGGATCAGCTTTTGGGTCTGCAAAGGGCCTCTGGTCCTTGCGCACGTCGCAGGGCACCCACTGATCAGCATGTGAAGGCGTCGTGTCTCAAGCTCGAGGCTTTTGCACCCCGCGTCGGTGCACGTCAGCCCGACTTCAGGAATTAGTGTGTCAACGTCTGTCCCCAGTCCTCTCACCAGCCACAGATGCACGTGATTTTCTTGAAGTCGATATCATGCGCACGCTGTAGTCGGCGTCGATCCGGTTAGCAGGTGATGTTGCCGGCTCTCTGCTGTCTGCGATTCGCCAGAAAGCCGCGCATTCAAGTCTTCAGGCGCGGGTGACTATCTTACTAGAGCCGTGGGGTGTTCTCTCTAGCCCACCACAGCAGGCCAACCCGCGTTTGCATGGCCTGTACATGGTCGCCGGGACCTGCTTGACAGTCGTCGCAATCTTCTCAAGCACCATCCAAGAGTAGCGACCCAGACAGCCACTGTGCTCGCTCAAAGGCGCGCACCTAGCGTCTTGCCGCTCGTGCGATCCCACCCGACGCAGAGAGTCAGCGCAGCCCCACCAGCAACGCCGGAAAAATTGTTCGCGCTTTGTGCTTCGTAAATCAAGGCTCTTCCCACTTGCCCACTTGCTCCTTCGCCTCCGGCAGGGGTTCGGCGAACGCAATGGACAATGCAAATACCCAATCGTGGGCGGGCATGGACGCTGCAGCGGACCAAGACTTCGGCAACCTGATCGACTTCGACCACTTCAATGACCTCGACCTGCCGGACTTCAACAACATCGCTTTCAGCCATGGCGGGCCGCAGAATCGCAGCGTGGCCGACGCGCTCGACCAGCACCACCTCGACCACCAGTTCTCCCCGCAGATTCCCCAAAATCACGAGGACGGCGCACTCGGCGCGCAACAGACGCAGGGACAGATGGGCGCCCACGGCATGTCTCAGCCGAACGTGAATGCCAACTTCTTCGACTACGGGATGTCGCACTTCGCCCAGGTCGACACGCCCGTCTTCCCCCAGTCGCAGGACCAGGTGTTCCGCCCGCACCAAGGCGTCCCTCCCACGCCCAACAGCGTGGAAATGCACGGCGACCCGCATCGCTACATGCGGCACATGGACCAGCAGACCCTCTACGACCAGAGGTACCACGCGCGCAAGGACGATGCCGTACGATGATCTGCGCTTGCCATTGTGGGCCCTCGCTGACTGTGACATAGTCGTTCACCCCACTCGTCTCTCCCGCAGTCACCCCTCACGACGCACGGTTCCAGATACCTGACTTCACCGTGCCCGGTGCCTACTTCAGCCCCCTCACGTCGCCGGCACTCAATGCACAGGCCCACCAACATGCACAGTCGCAGCTGCACTCCCAGGCCTCGACGTCGGCGAGCTCGACAGCGCACTCTCCCATCGACGTCGACATGGACATGCTGGGCGAGCCTGCCATGGCCCAGCCGGCAGAGCAGAGGAGGAGTCTGAGGGCGAAGAGGAACACGCCCAGAGCGACCCATGTGAACCGCGTACGACAGTCGCCCATAGTGAAACCTGGCAGACGGAGACCTACAGGCTCAATGCAGCTCCCGCCAAAGGAGGTCATCGAGCTCATGCAAGAAGCGCGCATCAGCGGTCTCGACGTTCCACGGAGCCGTGATCATTCAGAGACCGACTCCATCTCCCCCGAGCCTATGCTCTCTGAGATGCGCCCACCTCCGCTTCCTGGGTCCGTCAAGAACTCCCCGGCTATGATGGCGCAGAACAGCAGAGGTGCCACACCCGCCACACCTGCTTCACTCATGCGCATCCATCCTTCGCCGCAATTCGATGCTTCGATGAGTGTACTACCCATGCTGGACGACCTCACCCTGCCGGAGGCTTCGTTGGAACCGCGACCTTCGTTGTTAAGGATAGACACGGCATTCCGTGAGGATGAGCAGGACACGCCTCGAATGTCTGCTCGCAAGACACCAAAGATGGGCCCACTTAGCACACCCGGCGCAGCCATGTCGAACAGACCAAGTCCCATGCTTGATGCCATGTCCACGCCCACAAGTCCGGCGTTCTCGTTGAGCTCGGGAAAGAAGCTGGAGGCCAAGGGTCGCAACCTGAAGAAGAGGGGCAGTGTCAGCTCGAGTCTGGTGAGCCCAGCATTGAGGCCGAAGATATCACCGAGCATCAGGCCTATGCTTGCAGCTGGGGAGAATGGTAAGAGCCTTCACAAGCGATGTGTATAGCTACGTGAGCTAACATGCTACAGGCGTCACTGATAACACACACGCCCTTCTCCTAGCATCCAAGTCCAACTACCAGAATATCCTCGACGGCACAACCGTACCGGGTGTCTCGTACCCGGCGTCGCTCTCCACAAACCTCACATCGAAGCGCACATCGCACAAGATCGCGGAACAGGGTCGCCGAAACCGCATCAATATGGCTCTCCAGGAAATGCAGGACCTTCTGCCACCCGGCTCGCAGATCACTACGCCTGACGCAAAGAGCCCCGAGACTGCGGCGCAAGCGAACAACTCAAAGGCTGCAAAGGTGGAGAGTGCCATCGAATATATCAAGCAGTTGAAGGGTGAAGTGTCGAAAAAGGATGAACTGCTACAACAGAAAGATGCAGAGATGGAGGCGCTGAGGAAGCAATTGACCGAGTTGAGAAGAAGTAGTTCGGCCGGCATAAGCTCAAGTGGGAGCTCGGCCGAGAACACCATTGAGGCGGACATGAAGAAGGAGTCTGCTGCTACGCCTGCCGCGCTGGACGAGACCTGAAGAGAGTGAGTGCAGGAACTCAACACCACAACATCATCACCGGTCACAATCCAACAACCACCAACCCAGCGCCGGGTGCCTACACTGCTCAGAACCTACTGGCACCTGTGGAAGAAGGGTGTATGCACTCCACCGGCATCGAAACATCTGCTTGTCGCACATCGCAGGCTTCATTCGGAAATGCTTGGTATCAGTCACCGAGGCCTACTGCAGGCAGGATAGTAATTAATATATAGTCGACACGCGGAAGCTTGACCACAAGGTCGCTCGCCGCATCGCAGCATATGAATCAATAATTGACAACGACCACACTTGGTCTCCAATCTCCGCAAGAAACCCTCCGCATTCTCATGGTGTTTTGTCTCTGTACCCCCATGCTGCACTTCGTTCCCCCCATCTCAGTCTGCGCAGTTCTACCACCGCCATGCCCCCGCCGGAGCACACAGACGCCACCGAACCGTACGCTGCGCACGTCGAGCCCCGGAAGCGTCAAGAAACATCGAGCCCCAGGAACGCCCTGGGTACAATAGTACTTGTCCGTCGTGCCTCGCGCTGGGTCTGTGGAGGTTAAGACAGTGCGTGTGCTTTGTGTGCGTGAAGCAGCGAGGTCGCGGCTAACTACGATTGTTCTCTTCCTTGTCTACGGACGTTGGCTTCCTGAGTGTGCGTTGTTCGGCAGGTCCTGAATGTCGTTGCTCTTGACTGCGAGCTATTTGATGGGCTGATCTGGTGGATAACCGGTTTCTACTTCCTGTGAGGTCCGACTGATAGTTCTAAATAAGACACACTCTCTTAGGGTTAGATACATCACAGTTCGAATGCTCTTGCCTAGCCTATATACATCACTTCTCCCTTACAACCACCACGCTGCAGCACAGCACGCCATCCGCACTCCTCACCATGGATAAACCGAAGCAAGATCTCAACTGCACTATCTCGAGTCCACAAAAAAGCAGCAAAAGAACAGTCAGCCGCGGACCTAAGGGCCCATTCTAAACCTCCTGCCGAAACCTGAGACTCGTCACTGGAAGGCATACCTAACGGCTTTCTGGCATTACACTATCCAGGGCATCTCTTTTACAGTTTGGTCACGATTACGGCTCGAACCAAAAGCTCTCAGGGACCGAACGGTCTCAAACTCCAGTATGCGTTGAACTTTCAACCGCCACGTCAACCTTTCAGATGAGATGGATTTGATGGAGGAGTGAGCGAATTTGTTCAATACGAGATGGGGATGGAAGTTGGACTTGATGTGGTGAGAGGCAATAGGCGCATTGGAGTGATGGTGGGTGAGAGACGGCTTGCTTTCACCTCTAATTCAGTGTGTGCGATACTGAGGCGAGAACAAGCGAGTGGGCACGGCGTGTCGACATATTGTTGTTACGAAGTTGTGAGAACTTCATGTAAGCAATATACTTGAACGCAAGTGGGAACAAAATTCGGGGTAAGTGGTTATTCTCATGGTTGACGGCATGGCTCAGGGAGAACATCTGGCAGGTGATAATCATTAGAGAGTCGGTTGGGCATATTCGAACCCGTCAGCACCTACAATTAGATCCTTGCTGTACGGCTTTTCCTGCAACCTCAGATAGGACTCCATGTTCAGGGTAAATCGAGAAGTGTATATTTATCATTAATACTATGGATACGCACTAAAGCGCTCGAGCAAACGAAGAAGCTGCAATCTGGGTATCACGAGAAGACTCCCAACGCCCACATCCCAAGTTCCAACCCAAAACTCAACTAACCACCCACAATATCCTCATCCCTCTCCAAATCCTCACACGTATGCTCCCTCCACAAGTGCTCCATCAAATCCCCCACATCGCGACACACTGTATCCGCATCACCATACTTTGCGCACAGTACACATGCGAAACCACCGCCGACACGATGACACTTGACAACAAATTCGTTCCTTACTAGGAACTTCATCCGCCTTGGATGCCGTCCGCGAGCGAGCATGACGATTTCCCACGCCTTGTTCGGCCGCACAGGTATGAAAGTACGGCAGTGGGGACAGCGACGATCACCGTTGGTATAGAAATGGTGTGAGAGTGGAAGATGAGGATTGTATTGAAGGTCGAGGGCGTAACGGCAGAAGAGTTTGTTCAAGTTGGGGTTCGGTTTCGGTGCTGGGCAAGGCGCTGGCGCAGGCACTGGTTTAGGCTCGGGTCTGGGTGTCGGCTTCAGCGGTACTGGAACAGGAGTGTCTGAAGAGCTTGAGCTGCTGCTGCGACTCCTGTGTGGCTTCTTGGGAGCTGTTGGAAAGCCTCCTGGCATCGACGGGCGCGGATCTGGCTTCCCAGGACGAGGCTCGGCCAGCAGACGTTGGTAGAGGAGATCGAGTGCTTGGATGGCAGCTGCGCGCGTTGTTCGGACGGTCTGGACTAGGTAGATGAGTTGAGAGTGTGAGGAGGCGATTGTGAGGTAGTTGCTAAGCCCGAAGTCTTGATGTATGCTGATCAGAACTTGCTGCAACTTGATGATCTGCGATTGCAGTTGGATCCTTGCAATGTCGTCACCGCGCGCGTACAGCTCGCCGATCTTGCGGTATGCGCGATCATATGTTGTTTGGACTTGAGCGGATGCGTTGCATATAAGGTCATCTTCCCTGTCGCTGTAGTGCCTGGCCCTCTGGTCGAGGCTCCATCGTACATGGCGACCGACAGATTCTAAGATGTTTGGGTGTGAATCCCGATGATCGTGGTTGGACGCATGTTTGTCTCTCTGCGTTATGTCGTCGTCGTCGCAGGTAGACTGCTGCTTCAATTTGTGGTACAGGTCTTTCGCAGACCCAAACACGTCTGTCAAAACACCGATGAGCGATGCTACAAAGACGTGGTCTTTGAGCACATCCTTGCGCAGGTCAGTTTGTGTTCCAATATCATTAATCTCCGCCTTACGGGCTCGATGGCAGCTCCGACATCTTCTTTCATGGCGAAGGTGATGTTATCTACATGTGCGATGAGAGTAGAATGAGAGTAGCGTACCACAGGATGGAACGGGAAGTGAAGGCTATCACCTTTGCGGCCAGGCACCTACAGTTCATAATAATCACACTGACAACGACAAGTGATGTATTTGCAGCTGAGTCGCCCATCACACGTCGCGTCCCTCGAGCGCATCATGCGCGCGCTGTCTTGGAATTTGGGTCACATGTTCAGCCCGCGGTCGAAGTTTTGGAAGGCCTACTTCCTCCAACGCCCAGTTGAATGCATGCCCAGTTCAGATACTAGCGAGGCTTCGATCTCGAGTTCTGTCGGCTTGTGGCTTTTGTCATACATCTTTTCCTTGTTCGATGCAGGTTCGTTGACGCACAGCACGTGGCCCCGGGTACGTGACTGTGTGACTTGTCCAAACATCGCGTGCAGATGCTTCATGCTCATCAATACTCCTGGTGGTACTCATGCAGAATATACTGTACTGTGTACGTATGCGACAAGAAGCCAATGTATGTGTTCAGTGTTCACGGTACGTTACCAGAGCCGGAGAGGTGACCGCGGATCGGCGGTGAGTGCGTAGGATCCAGCGACATGGAGTGGTGCTGTACCAGCCGGAAAATCTTGTACTTACTTACATACTACCGGCACAGCCGTTGGATTGCGAAGAAGACAGGAGCAATCGACATTTTCAGAGGTTGATGAAGGAGCGCATGGCGTCCTTGGCGGTGACAACGTTTCTTCCCCGCGGGTCGCCAGGCTGCCCCTCCTCCCACATCTCTCGGGTGTCATCGCCCACGCTCACAGTTCACATCGTATGCGAGCTGTATCTTGCCAACAAGCTTACAATAATGAAGGAATTGTGCAACGCGAAAATAGGAATGCACATTCAGCCCCATCGCGGGCCGAGACGCGCCCACACTCAGGGTCGTCCCGGCGCTTATCGTCGCACCAAAGCAAAATGATTCGCTGAGAGCACCGCGTCTACACTCTTGCAATATCGCAAGCGCGCTCTTATGGCGAGAAACGTTAGAAGCAAGAGGTGGATTCGCTATGGCTGTGCCTCATGGACGCCATCAAAAGTCCTTGCGTTCGCTCGTCGCGTATGGAAGATGTACCTGTCTCATCTGCTCGGTGCAGTATTCCTTGAGTGCATCCGCAACCATGGCCGCGAACACCAGTTCACGCGGGCACCCACTTCAACACGAGGTTCTTGTGTCGCCGATTTCTGACGAGATAAATTATTCGCCCATACCGAATGCCGAGATGAAGTCGAAGACGTGGGAAACAACAGTGACTCGAGTTCCAAGCTGGCCTGAGCAAGCGAGGCAACTGAAGAAGCATCATCACGATTGGGTTACAGTTCTATTCGCACTCGGCGATGTAATACTCGTTGTACTGCCCATATACTTCGTCTGTATGTGTCTCCCTGCCTCTTCCCATAAGCTTCTTCGAATTGACATCATCAGTACTCGGCGTCGCTGTTGTCACGTTGAATGGCAAAGTTGTCGAAGGAAACGCCTTTGCCACCAAGGTCACATCAGCTATTCAACTAGTCAGTCGTTAACAATTTACCAAAATGCAGTAGAGGCTGACTGCTTCAAGGGCCCTACATTGTTTCCGATCATGTTTGCAGCGATATCCGGCCGCAGCATGAAGATGATAGCAAGGTACTTGGCCGAGAAGGGGGCCAAGCTCAGTGTAAGTCGTCCCTGTCTTGCATACTGAGACAAGCCCGCTGATCCATTGCAAGTAGACACTCGAGCTATTGATGGCCAGTCAATCCGTCTGGGGGACAGTTGAGAGTCAATTCTTGATGCGTCGACTTACTATAGTGGGCGTGAATCTCTTGTTCCTGTGGGCAATGTCTCCCTTAGGTGGTCAAGCATCACTCCGCCTTCTGGAAAGATCTACAAGTACGGATTCCACCTTCATGCCACTTCGCTATCTTTCCACAGGTGCTGGGTCCGCTGTCTGGGCTATGACCAGTGGCACTTATGTGGAAAACGATGGGGCTCTTACACAAGTCGAACCACTCTATGCTGCCGCTTTATTTGGCTCAGACGAGGTTAAGAGAGGAGCCGAGGATACCTGGGGGAACGTGAAGATACCCTTCATGTACGATCTCAATTCGTCCTGGTCGGCGGTACCAGCAAACATCTCTAAGCCAGAGGACTATCGAGCATTAGTCGGCATCCCCGTTATTGGTAGGCCCATGGATCGAGATGGCAGCTTCAACCTGGAAACTTCCCACCTGACTGTCGAATGCGAGCCCTTCGAGACGACGATCGTGGGCAAATACAACTACACTGAATTGCAGAAGCTTGTGCCTGGTCAGATATGGCAGAATATGTCCGAGACCGACAGCCCTTGGAGCCAAAAGAATGCTGTTGGAGGGAAAACCGCGACATTCTTCCTGCAGACCGATCTTCCTCTAAGTCAGGGGGACGACGGCCGATTCGACGCCTACGCAGGGTACGTGAACACATCTGCAAATGCTCAACCGTACCCGAAACGAAAAATCACGTATGCTTCGACGGTTGGCTTCGAGCCTCTAGGGAACACGACCTTGAACTTCGCAAACTGCTCGTTGGGTCAGATTCACATCGAGACTACGGTCGAGTGTACCATGGATAAGTGCTCTGCTGTCCAACAACGTCGGTCGTTGATAGACACTCGCGATGAGAATGTCACCCCGTTCGACCATATCTTGATTGCGCAGCTTGCACTGAAAGCTTTCCCGAAAACCTTTGGCTGGTCGAGAGGATCCAACCCGACCGAACAGTTCCTTTTCAACGCCACTGCATTTCAGTTTGTCTCTCCCACCTCGAATTTGGGCGACAACTCAGGATGGGTAGACTTGGCTCAGTTGAGCACCAATGTGTTTGCGAAAAGACTGTCGCTCTTGCTGAACACATATTATCAACTCACAATTGCGCCAAATGCGTACCTAGGCAACCTGCCCCAAAACAACTACTCGGCCTTTGGACTCGACACTGCTCCAGTCGATGATGTCAATGTCTATTTATCTAGCAACGTCACCACCAAGAACACGACTTTCGTGGATTGGTATTTTCCGTTCCAAGACAAAACATACGCGTCAGGGATCTACTTCATCGGAGCAACTACCAATTCGACGGTCAGTAAGACACACGCTATCTTTGTGTGCAACTTCGCTTGGCTCGGTCTTCTTATTGCGGCAGCTGCGACTATCTTTGCGACTGGAGTGGCGTCCCTCGTGCTCAAGTGGAAGACTCTCGGTCCAGAGATGTTCGGTTTCGTCACTAGCATGACTTACGAGAATCGCTTCGTCAACATCCCCAATGGAGGCACCATGCTAAATGGTATGGAACGCGCAAGGTTATTGAAAGATGTCGAGTTCTGCGTGGGAGATGTCAGAGGCGATGATGATGTTGGCCACATCGCATTCGCAGCTGGCGTTCCATTGAGAAAGTTGGAGCATGGGCGCCTGTACTGTTGAGTTCGGCTCAAGTCCAAGACGCATGAATGGTACTTGCTGACCCGAGCCTTGCAATATCGGACCCGCCTCCCCGTGGCGCAGTAAGCAGTAGCACCGCCACCCAAGTGCGGGCCCTTTAGTGATCACAGCTACTGGTCAACGGACTTGCACCGACTGGACATTGACGGGACACTTAGAAGTCTCCACTATCAGCATGGACAAGTCGTGGCAGACAATAGGGAGCCTCACGGTAATATGTTGAGTGTCAGTGCGATGGACCTCGAAACATCGGCATGCGCAGACCCACAGTGCGACAGAAGTCACGATCAGCATCTAGCGCTTCGCTGCAGCCTGTCTTAATGGCTGTTGAGATGTTGATGTGACAGGCCCTGAAGACACGCTCCAGAAGTCAAGCTTTGTTAGCAGGCGCTGGGGGCGGAAGCATTGCTGCAGCAAAAGACGGTCTACCAAGAAAGCGAACGGCCAGCCAATCGGTCGGCATCTGCAGGGGTTGCGGAGGCGGACTTGCGACACGGTCCCAAACACAGGGGTCTGGATGATCTCGCGGCCCGCTAAGCGACTCAACCTCGCGACCAATCATCAACCCCATGGACAGGCGAAACGAAACCTCTGCTGAGGCGCCCAACGAGACCTGGCAAACCTCGAGTCTTCGACTCCCACAGCCTGCCAGTTTAGGCGATGTCGCATGATGTACCTGCGTCACCCCTGCGAAGGTACCGGCCTTTCTTTGGCTCACAGTCTTGGTCACACCTGGACCGCCAGTTTCAGTGTTCACTGTGTAGGCGCTCGCCGTGGTGGAGCTGTCCACGTCTCTCAAGGCCGTTGTTTTGCGTTCAGTCTGTCGTCTTCCAGACAAGTGGTTTGATTAGGGGATTGCCGTAGTAAACTCGCTGGAAGTATAGTGGCGCATAGAGCAATGCGGCCTGGCATCTTATATAAACGTTTGCCAGAGCCTCCTTCTTGGCTCATCACACAACACGCTCTCTCAGCAGCTTCTACCTTCTTCGCATTTGCATTCTTCTCCTTCCCGCTAGCTGGTCTAGTCCGTTTTTCTTCATACATCACAGTCATTAACACATCATCTTGAAGATATCCAGCACATCACCATCACCATGTCTCTCCGATCAGTTCTTCTGGCCACTGCCACCCTCTGCGCATACATCGCCAACGCCCACATCATCATGGACCAGCCTGTTCCATACAGCGTTGACAAAATCGACAACAGCCCTATCACAAGTTCACAGTTCCCCTGCAAGTCTCAGAATGGGTTCACTGTTTCTACAATGAACAATATGGCTGTGGGTTCGCAACAGACCATCAAGTTCAAAGGCACAGCAGTCCACGGTGGTGGCTCTTGCCAGCTTTCCGTCACAACCGACACCGAACCCACGGAAAACTCCAAGTTCAAGGTCATTAAGTCCATCGAGGGAGGCTGCCCCGGTGTTGACGGCACCACCAACGAGTACCAGTTCGAGCTCCCCGACAGCATTCCCAATGGCAAGGCTACCTTTGCGTGGACTTGGTTCTCCAAGATGTCTGGTGCTCCTGAGCTGTACATGAACTGCGCTCCTATCGAGGTCACTGGCGGTGCAAGCGACACCACCGCTTTCGACGCTCTTCCCGATATGCTCGTTGCCAACATTGGCGAGGGTTGCACAACTGCTCAGAACTTTGCTACTGAATTCCCTGCTCCCGGCTCCGTTGTCGAGAAGGGCAACACCAACGACCAGAAGGCTCCTACAGGTAGCTGCGGCGCCACTGGCACCACTCCTGCTGACCCTTCATCTCCTGCTAGCTCTGGTGCCCCCGCTTCCTCTGCTGGTGGCCAGGCTTCTGCTGCTCCTTCTTCCGCTGGTGGCAACGACGGCATGTACACTCCCCCCGCTGGCGCTGGTACTACCTCTGCTGCTGCCACCTCTGCTGCTGCCACCTCTGCTGCTGCCGCTCCGTCCTCTGCTGCCGGTGGTGCCTCTGGATATGCCTCTACTCCCGTGGCTACATCCAAGGCTGCTGCTACATCCAAGGCTGCTGCTACTTCCGCAGCTGCCACAGGTGGAGCTGGCGGTGTCTTCGCCCCTGGAGCCTCCAGCGCCGCTCCCGTTGCTTCGACCCAGACCACTCTCGTCACTGTCACCGGGACGCCCTCCACACCTGTCAAAACGACAGCCGCTGCCTCCAAGCCTGCCGCCACTACTTCTGCTGCTGGCACTGGCACCTCGGGCGCCACACCCACCACTGCACCCGCCGCTGGTGGCTCTAGCTCCACCACATGCTCCACCAACGGTGCCATTCTCTGCAACGGTACCAGCCAATTCGGCATCTGCAACAATGGATCTGTCGTGTGGCAGGCCGTCGCCGCTGGAACAACTTGCTCCAACGGCACTATCTCAAAGCGCGCCTACAACGGGCGTGTCGTCCGCCGCCACCGCCGCAGCTTTGTTGGCCACGTCCACAAGCACTAAGCCGCCCATTCCAATTCTTCGGAGACGCTCCATGATATTGATATCGCTTGATATTTTTTCCAGTCACTCGCTTGCTACTTTTTAGGGGACGAGGTCTGCGACCGAGATTGTTGTTGTACATTAGACTTTCGCTGAGAGACGCATTGCATTACTGGCGCTTGGGAGGAGGCACTGGATCATCTCCAGACAGCCACATGTTGATATGAAAACGAACTACATACAGAATGACCTTCAGAATATATATATGCACTTCAACCACTTTCCGCGCACTTCCCATGCTCGTGATTCTCTCGACGGTATCTCAACAACGCAATGATCCCGTAGCTTCTCACGACCACTCTTTGCACCGCCCACCACCACACCATAAGAAACCCCTCTCCAGCGAAACAACCGACGCCCAGTCTCCCCCCCTTCTGCCCCTCCACAACACCTTCCGAGGCAACGAAAACGCCAAAGTTCAGCCCTCGTGCCTCAGCACGCCCGCATGAAACTGTACCTGTCTCCGCACTCCGCACCGCCCCCTCTCCGCCACACTACGCGCCGGCACACCCATGCTACGGCGCAGTGGCCCAGGCAGCGGACTCCAGACCCCAAAGACTGATCGGCGCGCTGGAATAGCGCGCCTGAAGACCCAGCCACCGCGCTGCTGAACCTTAATACAGGGCAGTGGCATGCTGGATGTGCGGTTCATGCGCGGGCGAGGCGCGGGGGAAGAAATCCTTGCGAAGCTAAAAGGAAGACCAAGGACTGCCATGTTCAGGGCAGCAGCTGGCGGTGGAGAACGGGGATGAGTGGACTTGAGGTGCTGGGTAGCGCGCTGTGGCGGTGGGGTTTTTTTGGGGCGGCGAGATTCGGGTGGGATGGGTGGATGGAGAGGTACTATCAAGCGGCTGTGCTTGTTGATGCTTTTGCAGGTCTGGCGGCGTGTTGAGCGGGCTTAAGGAGATGGGTTGCTTGGAGGGGAGCGATGGAATGGGAAGCACGGGGTTGTGGTGCGGATGGCGATTGGCTTGTATTCCTATTTTCTTTGCCTTCCAGTGTCAGTCTTTGTCTTGCTGGTAGTTGGGAATATTTTTTCAAGCTTCACTGCCGATACTGTTGAGATTCCGGATTGTGAGTCTGACGATCTGGGCGAGGTTTTCCTGCGCGCGGACAAGAGCAATATGTGCAGGTGTAGGAGCAAGTCGGCATGATGCAGAGACGCAAGGCAGAAAGGAAAAAGCTCGAGTACAGTAGGGGAAAGACGCAGCAAGACCGCCGCCGCTCTTCCTCTACTACAATACTCAATTCGTCAGGCCGTGGAAGGTTTGCTAGTGACTTCCTCCCGTATCCTCACGTCCCCAAAGGTGACTGCTGATATGTCCTGTCGCACAAATAGCTTCCATCTCTTCTATCGATCTGCACACATCACCTCAACCTCGTTTACTCGACATCCAGCCCCACGCCCCTCTCAGCCCTCACCTGCATAGCCTCAAACGCCCTCCTAATCGCAAGACTGACCTGCGTCCACCCTAGAACCTCGTTGTGCCCGCCAAACCGCACAACCTCCAACTCACACATGCGCTCGCCCCGCGCATCCTCGACGCGCTTGAACGCAAAAGCGCCCCTCTTCACCCTCTCAGCGCCGTGGATACTCCTCCTTTCTTCCCTTGCGCTCACACCCTCCTCGGCCAACATCGTGCTCTGCAGGGGCTGGAAAAGCGCTTCGGACTGGCGGAAATCAATGTCCTGGTCATTACGCGCGTGGAGCAGGGTGAGGCGGATCGGAGTCTTGGAGGTGGCGGTCAGAGTAAGGAGAGCGCGCAGGCGCGGCAACGTCGGCCAGTGGTCCACGATGCGTCCGAGCAGGAAATTGGCGACGCGGCGGTAGCCTCGCAGCGGCCGCAGGACGGGGATGAAGCCCCCGGCCTTGTAGGTCTCGAGCAGCGTCGCCAGATCGCGGAACGGCGCGACGAGGATGATGCCCGCGAAGCCGGCGTGGGACTTTGGCAGCGGCGAGACTTGGGTTAGATCCGCGGGCAGCTCGGGGGATGAGGGGTCGGCGAAGTACAGGGCTGAGGCGGCGGTGACGGCTGTGCCGAGGCTTTGGCCGAGCAGCACGGTGCGGGCTGGAGGGTGGTTGAGGGTGGTTTCGATGTAGTGGAGGAGAGAGATGGCGTCAGTGATGAGGCCGGTTTCTGTGGGGAGGTGAGGGGGGTTGTTCAGTGTAGAGAGTCCGAAGCCCCGGTAGTCGCAGGTTAGAAGGTGGGTGTGGGGGATGCCGGAGATTGAACGGTAGGATGATGGACGCCAGCCTTGGCCAACATGGCCTGCGTTCTGTGTTGACGTTAGATCAATCGGCGAATCAGAGGCATCATGCGGAAGCTCCAGACGTAGACGCAAGTAGCAGACTTGAGGTCCGTCCAATGTTTGAACACATGATGCGGATACTTTGACTTACCCCGTGAAAATTGACAACGATTCTTGACTCGGGATCCGTTCTGAGTAATTTCTCTCCCATGGTTCCCTTGAGCTCATCTGCGACCTCTCCAGTCGTAGTGCCCATAGCCAGCTGCTCCTCGTTCTGCAGATACACGTCTAAGGGAAGCACGTGCCAGCAAAACAGTTGCTCGCTGTCTGACGTCTCGAGGTAGAAAGGCTGCACCTGGCCCTCTGGAACCTCGTTAGTACGAGTTCCTCGGTCGATGGCTGAGAATTGCTGATTTGAAGGATGCGGAAAGACTGACTAGCGAATCCGAACTCCTCCGGATTTGAGACATTGTGCCAGAAGTTTGTGTTGAACTTGTGGGCGTAAAGAGCACTATACAGATTGTCAGCTCATGTCGTCTCACGAATCACAATGCCACGTACTGTCGTTGTATCGTTGGGAAGCACAGCGCTACCAGGAACGCAGCCCATAGCATACCCAGGCCGGCCAATGACCAGTAGGCCTTGACGAAGATTGGCTTGAGTGCCGGCATATCTGCGTACAGCGAAACGCGGTCCTGAGATTAAGACTGCGGAGAAGGCCTGGACTGAAGGCTACTTGAACGTTAATGCGACATCTGCGCAGATGGATAGGAGGCGGCCTGATGAAGCTGCAGGTGATTCGAGATAAGTTGGTGCTGTTTGAGACTAGCTCGAATCGGAAGTCGCCGGTTGCTGATGTAAAGAACTTGTGTAAAGTGGTTTACACCAACGTAAGCTACAGGCTTCTTTCACGAGCTAGTTTGACGTCTGATCGGTTATTTCGTGGACCTGGGAGAGACGATAGTCTCGAAAGCTTCGTAGCTGGTGGTGAAACAGTCAAGTCACCTCAGCACTGTCACATGGTAGTCGATTTTACGTTTAGACTCATTGTGATTCGACTGGGCCGGCTGACACAGCCAAGTCCAGAGTACGAATTGTCGTATTCAAAAGGTGGCGAAGATGAAATGCCCATCAACACTTGGACCGACCATGTGGTTGAGGGTACAGGGCTGTTCTGCCCTGCCCTGCTTTATGACATTCTTGTCACTTTAAACTGCGTCCTCAACGCTATATGTACATGCTCGCTGTTGTAAAACTGCAACGGTGTTGTACATGTGTAGGCCAACCGAGGTCGCCTCTGCCTCTCCATCCCCCCCCCATAGATTCATCCCCTAGTTCTTCTCGACGCGAGAGGCCTTCAAGCTCTGGTACTGTCGCGACAGGATAGTAGGGCGGCTGTTGATGCTGCCGAAGGCTTGGGTAACGATGGGCGAGCTGTCCGTGCGGATGGTGGTGCCAATGGCCATGAAGAAGCTGTGGCGACCAGTCAGTTTGAACGCGCATTCGGGAGGCCTTGCATACCCAAAGGTCGCTGCAGATCCTGCCATGTACTGTCCAAGAGTCCGCAGCATGCCGTTTGGCCCGGGTCCGAATCGAACGATGTTTGTGAAGCCTAGCATCGTCAGCACAGGGCTCCTGGTGTATGCTATGGGTGGTGTGCGCACCGAAAATAAAGCCAATGATGAGACCCACAGCTATGCAGACTGTCAGAGAGCCATTTGCGTCATGTCAAGTCGTTGTCGACATACATCCACCCATCATGCCACCCATCTTCACTGCAGGCCGTTAGCCGACTTCGCAATGCAGCTTGTCTGCAGCAAACATACGCTTGTCGAGTGTGGAGGGGCCATGTGCGCCGCCTCCAGGCATAGCTCCTACAGGTACTGGCATCGCAACAGTTGTGTTAGACGTTTGTAGAGCACTAATGCGGAGAGCAACACGACACCAATCCGGACAGCAACACGGCACCAAGCCTCACTTTGCCCCAGCGGCCAGACACGTGACCTTGGACTGAACCGAGTGCACTGCACGGCAAGGAAAGGTCTGCGACTACATCTCGTCGTGTCTGGCACCGCGTATCGATGCATACGTGACTCTCGCAGCCGTCGTGTCCACAGACGACGTGCCCTGCTACTTGTTCCACTGCACGTCATTCTGCCCGTTGTGTCCAGCGCTGTCTCGTCTGCGCGCCTCACGGCTCTCAAGCGAACGACCAGGCCAGGCCTACCGGCCAGGACGGCCAGGACCAACGACCTCCCTCCCGCCCCAGGTATCCAAGCACCTCGAAACGCGAACCCGCCCACCACGCTCCACCCGCCAGCCTGCACACGGCCTCGCCATCGCCATCGCCCTGCCTGTCTGGCTCTGCTGCTGCTGCTGCTACCCGCCGCACGCCATCTGCACTGAGCAGGCCTGCATCGACCGCCGTCGCACGGGCTCCCGGAGAGTTGACAGCACACGACAGAGAGACGACCTCGCCGCAGGCCGCCTGCTCTGCACCCACTGCACCGCCTGAGTGCTGCACTGCACTGCACTGCACCGCGACGCATGCGCGCCTGAGCTGACGGCCGACTGTTGCTGCCCTGTCCTGCTGTATTCTTCTGGTTCTGGTGGTTTGCGCGGCTGCCACGCTGTCTCGCTGCGGCGCCCAGGACGGAGACACGGACATCCACAAAAAGTGACGCCGCACGACCCTGAGCATCAATAACGCAACCACCGCTTTCGGAAACCGGCCGCCCGCCGCTCGCCCTCCAAATGACGGCCGTCGCTCCTCCTGTGCAATCCTTCCAGAACATCAACCGGCAGGCATGGAGCGCTGAGGGAGGCGCCAACGGCGCCATGTACATGCCGCGGAAGAGCGCCCAGCGGACAAACTCATCCTCGTCCCTGTCGTCGCAGGCCTCGTCCACGTCCACCATATCGGCCGCCTCCACCCAGTCGCAGCCGCAGCCCAACGGCCTGGCGCTCCCGAACGGCACCGACGGCAGCGCCTGGGCCGCCCGCAAGACAAAAGGGCCCAAGGGCCTCTACCCAGCAACCAAGACCGAGCCTGTCGCAGGCCTCTCCATTGCCCGCCCGCAGCAAATCGCCACTGCAGGGCCTGGCGCATCCGCCGCCTCTGCCATGAGCGCGCTGCAGGCACCCTCCGCCATGCTCCCCTCGCAGCAGAATGCGGTCCTGCCGTCGCAGCAGAATGGCGTGCAGCGACAGGCAGGGGAGAGCACCGCCATCCTGCACCTGATACCCATGAACGGCACATTCGAGCGCAAGACCATCACCGTCCCGTTCTTCCCAGACGTTCTCCGCATCGGTCGCCAGACCAACAACAAGACAATACCGACACCACTCAACGGGTACTTTGACTCGAAAGTACTGTCTCGACAGCACGCAGAAGTGTGGGCAGACCGCAATGGCAAGATATGGATCCGCGACGTCAAGTCGTCCAACGGCACTTTTGTCAACGGACAGCGACTGTCACAAGAGAACCGCGACTCAGAACCTCATGAGCTTCGAGAACAGGACATGCTGGAGCTCGGAATCGACATTGTCAGCGAGGACCAGAAGACCATTGTGCACCACAAGGTTGCTGCTCGTGTCGAGCATGCTGGCATCTACGCCCGCTCACCCAACGAGGCACTCGACCTTAATTTTGGCGAACTGGACAGCAATCAGATGCAGAACATGATGGCAGCAAACGGTCAACAGCAGTTGGCGAACATGCGTGGCCGCACGCCCAGCCAAGGCTCGATGAATGGACAACGCATGCAAATGGCTGGCGGTGTGCAGGCGTACCAGAACGCTATGCAGCAGCCACGCCACCCCAACTTCTGGCTGCAACCAATCACCATGGAACAGGTGGTCAAGAAACTAAATGTGAGTGCCTCGTGCAAAACAGATGCCACCCGTACTAATACTCGCAGGCGGAGATGAAGGCTGCCAAGCAGCAGTCACAAGAGCTGCAGCAGGCCCATCAGTACATCAATGCTATCCTATCGTCAGAGCCGAAGAAGGAGCCGGCCAAACAGTCTCCCGCCAACTCGGTAAGGATCTCGCCGATCAAGGATATCAACCTAAAAGCTAGATTCTCCGACCCTCCAGCTCCTCCACCGCAGCAGCCTTTGCCCGAGAAGCCAAACGCTGCGTCGTCACTCAAGAGGTCAGACACTGAGCGCCCCAAGGCGGCGTCACCTGTAAGGTCAGACGCACAGATGTCGTCTCTCACTGAAGCTCTGAACAACGCCAAGAAAGAGATCGAGACTCAAGGTCACAGGCTGCGGGACCTGGAAACGTTACTGAGCGAGGAGCGACGTGCGAGGGAAGCTGCCGAGGAGCGGGCTCACCGCCTTGAGACTGAGTCGATCAGGGAACTTGAGCATGAGAGGGAAGTGGAAGAGGAGGCGAAAGAAGAAGCCCCCGTGGTTGAAGAGACGGGCAATACCGGCCTAGAGAACGGCTCTGCGTCACCCACCGCTGATGCCACGGCACGCCTGCAACACCGCCTCGAAGCTATGATGTTGGAAATGAGCGAGATGAAGCAACAGATGGAGCGATACCGCGAGCGTGCTGAAGTTGCAGAGTCTGACCGCAAGAGTCTGGCCGAGATGATTGAGAACATCAGAAAAGACAATGCGAAGTTGAGCAGTGGTGGCAGCAGGAGGCGAAGCCGAAGTGGTGGTGATGGAGCTAGGGACATCAGAGGAGGTGGTGTCGATGGCCCCGAAGACGAAAACGACACCGAGGAGGGCGAGATCGTCATCATCAAGGACCGTGACGTTGATGAGGTCAGAGCAGGCACACTGTCTCGAAGAGCAAGCCACCAGAATGGGCATGCTGTAGACGGCGAGGTCAAGGAGACCTCGAAGCCGTCCAACGCCCTCTCAATTCAGCGTCACAGCAGCGCTGATCTGATGTATCACGGCGGGCCAGTCGGTGCTATTGTGACAGTAGTCGCCATCGGTGTGGCTGTTATGGCTATGCTCAACCAGTATCCAAAGGCCGAGCGCTGAGTGAGGGGAACCATATCGCCTCAACCAACACCAACACGGAGGCCAACCTTGAAGAGTTGGAGCTGAGCAACGTGGGTCGAGGCATGACCAGGAGCAAGCCAGTCGCATACATGCGCTGGCTCGACCCTGTCCTGGCTTCATCATAGCCACAACGAAGCAGACTTGCTCGTCACGGTATCGACAAAGGCTCAAGACCTCGCAGGATACCACCACCGCCAAGCGCCGCCTTCACGAGTACGACAAGGCCACGAAGACGCACACGACTATCAATTTGCACTCACGCAACGAAGGAAGATTCAAATAGAGTCCCGCACCACGCATTCGTGGTACCCATCTAGCATATTTTTTCCACAGGCGCTGCATAATCGGGCCTACTAGAGACGCCAGATTCTGCCACGGGCCCTCGGCAAGGGCGTACGGAGGCGTTAATAATTGTTTTCCTAGCCGGCGTTTCTTTGGATTGGATCGACGCCCCTAGAGGGTTCTCATGGGGGCACCGTGCGAGGCAGCCATCCCGTACCATTCACTGTAACAGCTAGCGAACCTTTCCTTTGTAACATGATGAAGTTGTCTACTTTGGGTCTTGGATGATGATGGCATGCAGAGAGCCTCTTGTGGCTTGTATTTTGGACATGGAGCAGAGGGAGAGTTTCTACTTCAATGATACATATTTGAACGAGTCGGTTGGCTTCGGTGGTACTGCTGGTGACTGGACTGGGTATCTGCAACGCTGGTATCGCGGTGAAGGGTGGAAGGCATGGCTTATACCAGCCCGATGCTCACCGTCACCGTGCTGAGCACGCGTATCCGCGTCTCCGGCATGTCTTCTCCCTCGTCTTCTGGCTCCCCGTCTGGACTCGGCTGCATCTCCACGTCGTCAATCGCTTGCACGCGACCCATCTCCACCCGCACGCGGCAATCATCCTCGCCTTGGAACTTCACACCCAGCTCCAGCGCCCGCGGTATCGCCCGCCCCGTCGCTTTCAAGTAGACTTCCTCACCCCCGCCTCCAGTCTCCCTCTTTCCCCTCGCTCTCCCCGCACCCTCGGCGATGCTGGCTTCGACGTCCGCCGCCGAGAGTCGCCCGTTTGCTTCCAGCTGCCCGCGACCCCTCCCTCTAGACCCCCTCCCGCGGCCTCGCACTTCACTCGCGGATTGCGCAGCGCGTCTCTGCGTCTGCGCGAGCAGCGCGCGGATCCGCTTGCACGTCGGTATGAACGGCGAGGTGCGCGTGATGTATAGCACCTTTGGCTTTTCAGCGCTGGCGAACGGACTCGGCAGCGCCGCGTGCAACAGCGGGCGTTTCGAGATGATGGCGTTGGAAGGCAGGCGCGCGCGTTTCAAGGAAGGCGTGCGGGCTGTCTTGAGCGCGTTGGGTGCGTGTTGTGAGATCGTGGGATTGCGGGCTCCGTCTGCGCGCAAGGGGTCTGTGGTTCGCGCTGTGACGGTGCCGGCGTTTGTCTGCGGCGCTTTTGTGCCGTGGGCGCTTGTCGTTGCTTCTGCGTCGGTTGCAGTGGACGATGGGAGCGCTTGGCTGCAGAGTGGGGTGTTGGCTGCAGGTGTGTCTTGGGGTTGGTGCGGGTGCGGGTGCGATGCGGGTTGGGACTTGGACTCGCCGCTTCGTGTGCGCTTCTGGCCTACCATGGTGGTGTGTTGGAGGCTGTGGTGCGTAGAGGAGGCTGTGGTGCGTAGAGGAGGTGCGTAGAGGGGCTTTTGTTGGCGGAAGGTAGACGCGACTTTTGGCAGGCGCGACTGAACTTCTTTGCTTATCGATAAAGCTACAACGTCACAGGGCAAGAGCACCCCTCGACTGCACTTAAGCTTGCCCCTAGCACCGTAATTTCACTGTAATTTCGTATTGGAGCAGAGTGCATGGCTGGTCCTCTGCGCCTGCAACGTCCATTCCGTTAAAAGAGCAGGACGTCGGCCTTCCTATGGCTTCTTTTAACAGCCGCTGTCCAGGCTGAGGCAAACTGCGGCTATTGACGCAATAACATACATCTAGACGCTTCATCTTCCCTCCCAACAGCCCCATTGCACAGCAACCCGCAATGGCGCAAGTCCTCCGCCACATGCACCTACCGGGCATAGTCCCCTACTCGACAGCCGCGCGCCTGCAAGAATCCCTCGTCGCGCGCTTCCTCGCCTCCAAGCCGCCCTCCAACGCGCCCGCGCCGTCGCCGCACATCATCACCGCCCAGTTCGCTCCCGTGTACACGTGCGGCCGCCGAGAAATCGGCACCGTCTCGCCGGAGCAGCAGCAACACCTCCGCGCCAACGGGCGCGCCGCCTTCGTCGAGGCCATGCGCGGCGGGCAGACCACCTTCCACGGGCCCGGCCAGCTCGTCGCGTACCCCATCATCGACTTGCGCGCCCACAAGCTCACGCCGCGCGACTACGTCTGTCTGCTGGAGAAGTCGCTGATTGCGACGTGTGCGCGGTACGGTATCGAAGCCATGACGACGGAACACACGGGGGTGTGGACCAGCCCGGATGACAAGATTGCCGCGATTGGAGTGCATATGCGGAGGAACGTCACGAGTCATGGGGTTGGGCTGAATGTGGGGACCGATCTGTCGTGGTTTGATCGGATTGTTGCGTGTGGACTGGAGGGGAAGAGGACGACTAGCTTCGAGGCGCAGGGTGTGGTGGGGAAAAGTGTCGAAGAGGTTGCGAGAGAATATGTGAGAGAGATTGCCGCTCGTCTGCGGGGGGTGGAGACGGTGGAGATGGTGGGCGAAGAAGAGGTTGCTGGGTATCTGTAGGCATGATCGAGCTGGCTCGCAGACGAGCTGTTGTGACACGCGCATCGATGGCCCTGGTGAACAGAAGGACTGAGAGCGACAAACGAATCTGGACGAACGCCGTCTTCGGTCGGCCTTGCGTCTTGGTGAACTATGGAACATCGCAGTGGAGGGGACTTTGAAAACTACGGAACGCCGGGCTGAAGATGACTAGTCCATGCCTTAATCGTGGGTAGAAGTAACGTCCGACCAACTTTTACAAAATGGATCGATACACCAGCCCAAAACACCTTCAGAATACCCAGATCAATCGTCTTGGCTCTACCTCACGCGGTGCCACGATGCCCAGCTCTCAACAGGACCCAATAGCATGCCTGAGATGTGGAGTCGATAACTCCAGCCGGGGTTTCTCCCCATGGGCACGCATCGCCAACAACAAAATCATCACGCTATCGATGCGGCTCAGCGAGGCTCAACTGGAGCACTGGAGCAGCAGCTAAACGTGGCATGGTCGAAAAAGAAAAACCCTCCAACAACCACTCTTTGCTACATCTTGCGTGTCTGCCAAGTGTCTCGGATGTGCTATGGTTTGCGTGAAAGTGGGCTCGCAGATCAGCAAGCTTGGAACAGCGATGCTTGCGTGTCCGACAATCTTCCCGCAGAGACACTCGCTCAGAGTCAGAGCCAAAACGAGGACCAAGGCCGGCATCGATCAGGCCTCGAATTGCTTCATTGGACAGCCAAGCACGTTCCAAGGTCTTGACATGTCGAGGTTGGCGCGCGGACCATGCCATCCAGCACTTTTGACGCTAGCATGAGGCTCTGGCGGCATGGCGCCGCCTCTTGAACATCATCGACCAAACAAATGAGCGATTTCTTACTGGGCCTGCCAAGTGAGCCGCTGGAGAAGCTCTTGTGAGCTTCTAGCGCATTTCGATCTTGGGATGTAGTTGGAGGGGAAGTGCGTGTCTAGCTTCACGATATGCACTGCGCCTCGCGACCGCTTGCACGCATATCCTGCACGCTACGTCAACAGCTGATATACCTTGGACGCCGCGACACCTCAAGGAATGTGCGCCGGTGACAGGAGGCGACTCGTGATCATGTCTGGAGGAAGACTTCAGGCTCATGCGTCTGTAACGGCCACCGATCCTAACGGACCATTGACTCCACATTGCCAGCCATGTCGACAAGTTCGTGATGAGCTCAAAGTGGGGAACGACTTTCCCATGGGGTGCCGTGCAGTTGATAGCCAAGACACGCCATCACATCCCACGCTACTCCAGCTCTCCTCATCCCCATAGGCACAATAGCGCGACCACAAGGCACCACGCCTCCGTTACATCGGTGGCCCGAGCACACAGCTAGTTCACCAAGCTCCTGGAAGAATTGCCCCATCAGTACTACCTCGTCGATTTACTGGTGTAATGGCGTGGGCCCGAACACACCCTCAGAGAGAGGCGGCTCAAAGGCCAAGCGAGAGCTACAAGGGTACGTCTGTTGGCACCTTGGAAGCACCGCGGGACTTGGGACTACCAACAACAGCAGGAACTCAGCGTCGGATCTGTATATAATCACCATGGCGTCCGTACGAATGGAAACAGCAGCCCAAGCTCGGTGTTACTCATCTACGGTCTGATCAACACTTTCATCTTCCAATATCAGTCACGGCCGATACATCATGGGCAGGTTCAACTTCAGCAAGAGCGATTCATCGTCCACCGAAAGCGAGCGGCACCCATCAGCAGTCGAAGCTATGGAGAATGCTTCCAGGAGGAAGAGTCTGGATGATCATGCCGTCACCGGTGCTGGCGAGATCACAACTAGGCAGTCCATCATTCCTGTAGGTCAACATGTGGATGTTCATGAATTTGTTACTAACCTGTTCAGGTATCTCTCGTCACAATCCTCTTCTTCATGTGGGGCTTCGCCTACGGCCTCCTCGACGTCTTGAACAAGCACTTCCAGGAGACTCTCCATGTCACTGCTGCGCAATCATCTGGCCTTCAAGCGTAAGTACATCACCGCCAGTACATCATCAACGCTGATAGCCCCAGTGCATACTTTGGAGCCTACTTCATCGGTCCTCTTACGTACAGTGGTTGGATCGTCCGCAAGTTCGGATACCGGTGGACTTTCATAACCGGACTCTGCATCTACGGCGTAGGAGCTCTGCTCTTCTGGCCCAGCGGTGTCAAGAGGTCGTTTGGTGGCTTCTGCGGTGCCATGTTCGTTGTTGGTTCGGGTCTTAGCACCCTTGAGACATCTGCCAATCCTTTCATCGTATGTTCCTGGAGAGCCTTTGTCTACCGTACTGCAGCTGACGATGATAGGCTACTTGTGGTCCTCCTAGATGGATGGAACTCCGTCTCAACTTGGCTCAAGCTTTCCAGGCTATCGGCAGTGTCGTCGCACCCGTCCTCGCATCCTTCGTTCTCTTCAAGAATGTCAACAACAACTCTCTGCAGAGCGTGCAGTGGGTGTATCTCGGCATCGCCTGCTTCGTATTCGCTTTAGCCGTCGTCTTCTTCTTTGCTCCGTAAGTCCTCACCCCGTCCAAACTTTCATCCCTAACACTTCCCAGCATCCCCGAAATCACAGATGCCGACGTCGCTGCGCAGTCGGAAAAGACCGAGTCTTCCACCGGCTACGTCGACAAGCCCTTTCGCCACCAGTACACGCTCTTCTGGGGCGTGGCCGCCCAGTTCTGCTACGTCGGTGCCCAAGTCGCAGTCGCGGGCTTCTTCATCCACTACGTGACCGAAGTCAAGCCCAGCCTCACCACGGCCGACGGATCCAACCTGCTCGCCGTCGCGCAGGCGTTGTTCGCCGTGGGCCGCTTCGTCGCCAGTCTGATGATGAAGTGGGTCAAGCCGCGCTTCATCCTGCTCGGGTTCCTGACCGGGTGTGTCATCTTCATCACCGCGGCGATTCCCACCACGGGCGATGCCGCCATCGCGATGCTGTGCATGGTGTTGTTCTTCGAGTCGTGCATCTTCCCGACCATCTTCACTCTCTCCCTTCGCGGCCTCGGACGCCACACTAAGCGCGGTGCGTCGCTGCTTGTTGCGTCCGTGTCGGGCGGTGCCGTATTCCCGCCCATGCTCGGTGCGGTGGTGGATGCGAGGAACACGAGGGTTGCGATGGCGGTTCCGCTTGGAGGGTTTCTGATTGCGTACTCGTTCCCTGTCTACCTTAATCTTTTCAAGGCGAAGGAGCTGGATGCTTTCAACCAGAGCAAGGTCGGTGTTGCGGCTGGGCCGACTGACAAGGCTGTTGAGGCTGAGTTGTTTGAGGAGAAGAGTGGAGGTGTTGGTCGTGTTGAGAAGGTCTAAGATCACCTGGCGGTGAGAATGCCTTCCCTGACCCGGCCTTTGCTGATGTGTTCATGATAGACGATTGATATAGCTATAGACTATGATATATGATAACGACGTATGTGCTCTCGACAACTACCAATTCCTTCACCTTCACCCTTGCTTCTCAATCTCAAAGAGGACACAGCCAACGAGAGACAAGATTTCGGTTCATGAACGACAAACCGACACATGCCACAGCATGTGTCGCGTGCCCGACCACAACAGATTGGGCACAGATACGCAACTCGATTGCCGAAGCTCGAGCAGAAGAGCCAGAAGACACCACAAGGACGAAACGATCTTCCTCGCACAGCACACGAACACGTCACACGAAGGAGCTTCAGACCATCGCATCCTCAACGCACTGACGAAAACGAGTCTCACAAGCACATCATCTCAGCATACGTAACGACACTGCTGTCTCCGGTCGTGGTATCACACCTCGCAGAGAGCCCGAGGCGTACGGGCCGTCGGTGATTCTCTACAGCTTCAGAGGATGCGCGGTGCGTCGCAAGGACTCCCGAAAATCGAATCAAAGCAGACCACAGGCCGAACAGCCTCGAACTCGACAGAACAGAGAAGAAGCACATGCGCTGCGGTGCAGTCAATTTTGGTTATGACATCGATGCCTGCGGCCGGACTCTCCCGTTCCATGAGCATGTGCTTTCACACGTCTTTTTGACGCCGCACGGGAACACAGGATGTACGGATCTCTACCCAGTGGAAGATGTCACATCTTTCTTCATTCTTGATTTGACGAAGAAGAAGACGTGTGACGGCGAAGATGAGTCCTGCTCATAGCTGGCATTTATACCTCTATACTGATTACATGCACATGAGCCGTGACAAATACACTCCAAGAGCATCTTAGAACCTCGCAACAATATCCAGCCCCTCAAGCGCCTCGACCTCCCTCTTCTGCTTCGAATCCGCGCACGTGTACATCTGCGTGAAATACCACCGATGCGCCTCAATATCCGTAAGCAACCACGCCGCATTCCCCTTGAAAAGATTCACACTGCCTTCGATGACCTGGAAATCGCTCTCCGTGATCGCCGCCTTATTTTTCTTATTAATATAGTACTCCGGGCTGGTGTGCACATAGCCCATAACCAGCAGCGGCACCCTCGGCACAGGATCATTCCAGTGCGTGACACGGTAATTCCCACCCTTTTGGTTGCTGATATAGCTGCTGAGCGCCGAGCCGCCGACGCGGGGACTGCCGAAGGTGTACAAGGCGACTGCGAGGCCTTTGTTTCGTAGCTGGGCGGCGGCGAAGGGCGCGATGGCGCCGCCGAGCGAGTGCCCCGTTACGCTCACTTTGTAGGCTGGGTACTTTTTGACGGCGGCTTGGACCGCGGGGGTCACGGTGTCCCGCGCGTCGAGCCAGGATTGGTAGAAGCCCGAGTGTGCGGTGCAGCCGGAGCAGATGTCGGTGGCGGTCAGGCCGAAGTCGAGGTTTGTGAGCCAGTTGTCGATGGATTGGGAGCCGCGGAAGGAGACCATAATTACATTGTTAGTGTGGTCGATGGCGACGAAGCCGGTTACGTCTGTGAGCGTCTCGGTTCTGCTTTAATGTAAATGGAGTGTTTGAGAGAGTAAGGGGAGGAAGACCGACTTGCTGTATTCGAGCACGGTTGCGGAGTCGGCTGCTTCAACAAGCGGGCAGTTTCCTGAGCCGCATTGGATCTGGGTGCCGGGGGAGTTGAAGTTGTTGGTGCAGTAGGCTGCGGAAGCGTATTGTGACATTAGTCTGAATGTTTGGAGGAGCATGGTGTCGATAGCTGCTTAGCATCAGTAGTGGAATTGTGAGCTTTGAGCTTTACACAATACCTCTCTTCTCAGGAACTAAAGGAACAGCATCGCTGAGCAGTGCATTAAGCAAGATGACAAGAAAGAGAGACAAGAAGATCATGATGGCCGACGTTCAAAAGAGTGTAGGAACTGGAGAGGTTGACAAGGAGGGGACAGAAGCAAATCAGGACTATTATGTTTACATCAACCCCTTCTCTTTCAGTTTGGAGGTGTCTTTTGCGGGGGTGAGAGTCCGTGGGACGGTTGTAGAAAACTAGACTGAAGGTGCCGTACTCGGCAAGTGTATTAACTTTGAAGCCGCGCGACGCCCCGCTCGTTCCGCTTTGCGAGTGAGCGAAATGTACATAGAGGAAATCATTGGACGAGAGTTCCTTCATGCGGCTTGAGCGGTCACTTAAGCTTGTTGAGAGGAATGTGGTGTTTTGGCCTGCGATTGGTTAAAGCACATCGAGACCGGCGTTTAGGTTACTGCCACCCGATCCAAATAACATTATGATAGCGGCGGCGCCTCTAGATCACGGCAGATGGACGGGCGAGTGCGGACAGTTTGTGTGGGGATATTGCGATCGCTGTCGACCTTCATATTGTCATTCGAATTGAGTTTTGGGGCCTACCCTTGCCAACAATTCATGCGATACGCAGCAAGGGAGCCTTGAGTGGTTGCTTCTCTTCCTTCAGCATGTCTTTACTTTCCTGGCTAGATCAAGTTCTACTCATGGCCTTCTTTTTCAACGGGAGCATACCTAAGCATGCGATTTCGAAGATGTAGACGGTAGGTTTACAACATCGTCAAACCGATACCACCCATGTGCTTGACGCTCGCCTGGTTCCTTTGATCAATGCCACCTGCGATGGGCGCTGCGCGGTAGTTGTACATGTAGTAGTGAAGAGAGCCATCTCCAGCTCCAAAGCGCTGCTCCTCGAGGAAGAGCGGGTTATCAAGGAGAGTCAACGCATTGAAAACATCGAAGTCAGCCTTTTGATTATGTCAGTATCACTTCGAGACACCGTCTGATTGTAGTGGCTCACCTTCTTCGCAAGTATCAAAGCGTCCTTCATGAGCGAGTTCAGCCTTGTCTTTAGTTTACCCTCGTCCTTTTCGAACGCAACTTCCGTCGCGTAGTAGAAGAGGTACGCGGCCTTGATAGTGTCGTGCTTCTTGTTTCCAATGATAGTACTCTCCAAGTTGTAGAAGGAAAAGTAGTCTGTGATCTTCTTTGTGTCGGGATCCTCGACGACGTAGCTCCATACGACTTGCTCTTTGGGCTCCTCCTTGGGACAGATCCAGTGCTCGAACTCTGTCTGATTGAAGACCTGGGCCATGTCCATGCGCTCGAGGTAGCGCCTCAGAAGGTCAAGTGCAGGAGGTACGTCCTTGGATTCCATCTTGCGCAGCCCCGATGTTGATGTGGTTCCTGGCAGTTTGTAACGGTTGATCTGTCGCAGCTTTGTGCTTCCGTGTGGTAGGGGCGAGAAGCCAACATCGTACAGCTTTTCCCAGTCGAGAGCGCGATGGAAGTAGCGACATGTCGAGACCGGTGTTGGAAGCAGCGAGCCAACGGTGTAAACCGCCTGGAACGTACCTTCGACGTAGCAGCGGCGAGTGATCTCCTTGATCAGGACAGGAGCTAGTCGCTTCGAACGAAGCTTCTTATGGACGCAGAGGAAGTTGACCTCCGAGCTTTTAAGCACGTTGTCGCGTATCCGCAGCTGGATAGGGATGCCGGAGATGAAAGCAACAAGTTTGCCGGAGGCTGTTGCGCGTACACCGACGTGCCATTCCTTCTTCCAGCCAGGTGCTTTGAGTGCCCTACTGATGTTAGCGCTCGCTCTTCCTCGTTTTGCCAATAAACCTACCAATTCAAGAAAGACGGCGAGTACTTGAAGCGGAAGGTAGCATCCTTGTCCTCGACATAGTGGTTTGTGAGCAAATCGTACACCTCGTCAAGCTGCTTTGCGTCCTCGAGATCCATAGTAACCCACTCGAAACCCGGGTACATGGGGCTTGGGTTCTTGTCTACCTTCTCGATTTCAATCTCCTTGATGGGACCGTCAGATATCCGCTCCTTCGAAGCCATTTCGTCGAAGCTCGGTACGGGCTGTGTCTTCCAGAACGCGTGGTCGGCCATATCCTTTGTGGCGCCTTGAGGTGCCAACCCGGTCAACATCTCGTTGATGTTGAGCTTCTTGATCATAGCCTCCAGTTCTGCCCTATTGCTTGCCTTAGATAAGAGCTGGTTCTTCAGCGCAGGGTTGGCATCCAGCAACATGCTCATCTGGTCCTTGCCCAACTGCCCAGCAGCCGGCGCATTCAGATCTGTAGCCTCATGCGCCTTTCCCTTGCCTGAAATTGCGTCCTTGATCTTGCGCTTTCTGCTCTTCTTCTTCTCTGTAGCTCCATCTGCTCCCTCTACGGTTTCTGTGGCCTCGTCACCGCTTTCATCTTCAGATACATGAGCTTCGTTGTCTTTGCTGGATTCGGCGACGACCTCCTCGGCGGCAGCGGCGGTCGTATCGGGGTCGGAGATTTTGGACGCTTCTTGAGGCATGACGACGGTATTGTTGTAGTGTTGTCCTCGGAGCTGCCTAGGAACAGGTAGGTAACTGTGGCAGGTATGTAACTAATTATGTGGGGCAGAGGAGGGGTCCTGCCAACTTCGACGCGTGCCGCGTTTGCACCTGCCTCGTGTCGCCGAGGCCTGACCATCAAGGTGCAATAAACAATTCTCGAAAATAGACAGGACATCATTTGTTTCCCATACATACAGTACCTACACACATCAATCGTACATGTACAGCTATACTACAATACACCCAAGTTTTCCAAGATGCGCCCGTCTATATGCAAGCCCTATCCCTCCATCAGTCGAGGGTAGAATGTAACAGAAATTAGTCGCAACAGCCCGTCCACGCATTATCTTTAGTCCTTATCCTTCCTTTCTTTCTCATACTTAGCAATGAGCTCCTTCTGCATCTGCGGCGGCGCGGGGCTGTAGTGGCTGAACTCCATACTGAACTCGCCCTTGCCTTGTGTGCTAGCGCGCAGCAACGAGCTGAAACCAAACATGGAGTTGAGCGAGCAGTCGGCATAGACGGTGAAGTCCTCGGAGCCGACCTCAGTATCGATGATGACGGCGTTGCGCTTGTTCAACAGACCAATTACAGAGCCCTGGAACTCGGCAGGCGCAGTAATGGTCGTCTTCATCAGTGGCTCAAGGACCTGAGGAGATGCCTGTGCGAAGGTTTTGCGGAAAGCCTGGGCAGTTGCATTCTTGAAGGCCATTTCACTGGAATCGACAGCGTGCGTGGCTCCGTCGTTGATGACCATAGTAGTTCCCAGTACACGGTGACCGAGTAGAGGACCCTTGACGATGGACTGGTTGAAACCCTTTTCGCATGCGTACAAGTACTTCTCGGACAGGTTGTCACCAGTGACTTGGGTTTCAAACTTGTTGTCTGCAAGCGCTTCTGAGGGCTCCATCCATCCAATAATACGCGCAAAATCTCCAGATCCACCAGACTGCTTCTTCAGTGTATGGTCGAATTTGACGCGCTGCGTGAGTGTCTCACGGTAGGCGACTTGAGGCTGACCAGTCTCGCAGTCGACGCGGTACTCACGGCGCAGACGCTCAACGTAGATGTCCAAATGCAGTTCTCCCATACCGGAGATGACAGTTTCCTGGGACTCGGGATCGACGTGGATGCGAAATGTGGGATCTTCACGGGTGAAGCGGTTCATGGCTTTGCTGAAGTTGGGGGTATCTTTGGTGTGCTTGGGTTTGATCGAAAGGGAGATGACGGGCTCGGGAACGAACATAGAGGTCTGATAGGCGTTAATTTCGGCATCGTCTGCAAGGAAGGTATGGCACTCACCATAGTGTATCCGAGACCGCCGTCAGTGAAGGTATCACCGGACGCGCAGTCGACACCGAACACGGCGCAAATTTCACCAGCACCAATCTCCTGTACTTCCTCCATATCGTTCGAGTGCATACGCACGATCTTGGGGATCTTGACCTTCTTGTCCGTCTTGGCGTTGAATACGTTCATACCCTTCCTCAGGGTGCCCTGGTAGACACGGATGTAGGTCAACTGACCGAAGTTGCTTTCCTCAAGCTTGAAAGCAAGACCAACGAACGGCAGCGAGTTGTACGAGACAAGCTTCACAGGTGCTTCAGCCCTCTTCTTGTCCAGTGCCATGTTCTCGACCTCGGAGGGGTTGGGGAGGTAGTCGCATACGGCGTCGAGCATGGGCTGAACAGACTTATCGGCAAGTGCAGAGCCCATCAACACGGGTGTAAACTTCAATGAGATGGTGGCGCGGCGAATGGCAGCCTTGATCTGAGGGATAGTGGGTGTCTCCTCCATCAGGAAGATCTCGGCAATCTCGTCGTCCACATCCGCAAGGGTCTCGATGAGTGTCGCCCTCTTCTCCTTGCAGAGATCTACCAGGTCCGCTGGAATCTCGTCTGTGACCCTGATTGTCTCGCCTTTAGCACCCTCACTGTAGAGTGCCTGCATCTTGATGAGGTCCACGACGCCCAAGAAGTTGTCCTCGCGCCCGATAGGAACCTGGATGGCGGCAGCAGCAATGCGAAGCTTTTTGTTGATCTGTTCGACGGCCTTCCAGGGGTTTGCGCCCATGCGATCCATCTTGTTGACAAACGACAACCTGGGAATGTTGTAGCGCTTCATCTGCCTGTCGACGGTGATTGTCTGAGACTGTACACCGCTGACGGCGCAGAGGATCATGACGGCTCCGTCGAGGACTCGCAGCGCACGCTCTACTTCGATGGTGAAATCGATATGTCCGGGTGTGTCGATCAAGTTGACGTGGTATTTTTCGTCCTTGCCCTCGTCATCCTTCTTGACCCAGTCGCAGAATGTTGCTGCAGACTGGATGGTAATACCCTTCTCACGCTCCAAGTCCATTGAATCCATCTTTGCGCCCACGGCATCCTTACCTCGCACTTCGTGGATGGCGTTGATTCGACCGGTGTAGAAGAGGACGCGCTCGGTGACAGTCGTCTTTCCGGAGTCTATGTGGGCTGCGATACCGATGTTGCGGACTCGTGATAGACGCTCCCATTCGACGGGATCGAGGTTGGCGACGATGTCGTCTTGGGTCAGTGTTGACGGGTCATCCTTTGCTTGCGCGAGCCTGGGTCGCGATTAGCTCAGTCGCCTCCTCGCCACAACCCGAGAGCTGCAACAACGTCAATCGTAACTGGACTCACACTTGCGCCGCTGCAGATTGCCATCTCTTCTGCTGGTTGTTGATCCATGTGGCTGTCTTCAAGCCGCCGGTGAAGGGCGTGCGCGATGCGGCAGCGGTTGAGAGAGCGCATCGAAAAGGGCTCCGCGAAGCCGTGCGAACAGCGGTGCGCAGGCTGCCAGAGGCAAGCGACTGCGCTCTGACGAGAGACTGAACCCTCATCGCGAACAACTTTCGATGGAGCAACGAGCAGAGAAGTGAAGGGACGACGCTTGCGTCTGCTGGTGCTCGCTCGGGTCTGGGAGTGGCTCGAAACTTTTGTCGAGCGGAACTGACCAGCTTCCCATTGGTCGAATGAAAATGCACTTCACCTGACACTCCGCGCCGCCACAACACTATGCACTCCTTCGATGCCTGTAATAAATGAGGATGTGTTAATTGCTATGCTACTGAGGAGGCCAGACGCGTATGATGATCGCGACCAGAGGACGTTCCCGAAGTGCTCCTTGTCAGACCGCAGCATCTTGATCAAATTCCAGCCTTTGGTCCAAGCCCTCAGAATGACTTGTATTATCCAGATTCGGCGAATGCGGTGAGTAATGCAATAAACCTAGACCCTGAAATCAAAAACACCGCCAATGGATATGAAGCTCCGCCAGATGAATGCTCCCGAAAATGCTGGTAAAGAATGAAACAGACGAGCAAGCAGCATGGTAGGAAGGCAAGACCTATGGCCTGCAGCCAAGCAGACTCTGCATACACAGGTGACTAACGAATAGCTTCACCTTGGAACTTGGGCGTCTGCAGCTCCAACGCGGATGACTCGCCCTCAAGAACCGGGGTCTCGGCCTTTACAGGCTCCGCCGGTTTCGCCTTCCCAGCATGTTCAGGAACAGATTCTGTGGTTGGCTCAGCGGCAGGTACCTCAGAGGCTTCCGCATGGGCCTCAGTGCCGTTCGCTGCCTCCGTCTTCGGGGATTCATCTGCGTGACCATTGGTCGTCACGGCTTCCTTTGCCTCGGCCGCAATCTCCTCCACCTTCTTCTTGCCCTTCTGGAGAATGCTTGCTTTGACAGGGGCTTTTCGGGGAGGCGAGCTGGGCTTCTCATGCACTTTGCTGGCGCTAGCTGCCGTAGGCCTTGACATGCGCTCGAGGAAGCCGGGCTTAGCACCAACAGTGGAAGCGCGCGATTCTGGTCGCTTGTTTGTGCTCGCACTCGGTGCGACTGAAGGACGAGAAGATTTGGCGGGCGCAGGCTTTGGTACTGGGCGCGTTGCGGTCGAGGGCTTGCGAGTGACCTTTGCTGCTTCTTCACCCTGTAACTTAGCGGCTGACGCTGCAGTGGGAGCGGTGAGGCGTGAGGGTAGCCCGACGGGACGGGTGGGCGACTTCGGCTTTGGCTTCTTGAAAGCAGGGGGTGAGGTAGGGTCCCTGGATTTAGTGAGATATTGTTTCAGCACATCAGAGCTACACAACTACGTACCTTGGCTTGGTGGCTGCTGGCTTTTTGGTCTCGGTAGCGACTGTCTTTGCTTTTGCTGCGGCAGTAGGTGCTGTGGCAGTCGACTGTCGTAGAGATGTGTGGCTGGTCTTCGGCTTTGGCGCAGCTGCTTTGACTGGCTCCTTTGCGGCTGGCTTTGGTGCGGGTTTGGTAGCTGCAGCAGGCTTCGAGATAGGCGTAGCGGCCTTTGGTGCAGGCGCAGCAGCTGAAGGCCTGTTGTTAGTGGGCGTCTTCGGCGCGGTCCTGGGAAGCGGACTCTTAACAGGCGTGCTCTTCGATGCGGAAGCCTTGGTGGTAGAGATAGCTGCAGGTCTTTTGGGATCGAGCTTGCCCTTCGACGCCGGTGTTCCGTTCGCCTTCGTGCTACTCGAGGCAGGCTTTGGTGTCTGTACGGCAGGCTCAGCAGGGGCTGCTGGGGTGATGGAAGAGGTCTTCGCGGGCTCGGTCTCTGCAGGCTTCAACTCCTCGGCCGGTGGAGGGAGTGCCTTGCCGCCAGAGACAGCAGAGGCGTCGGTTGGGTCTGCTGGCTTCAGAGACACCCCCTCCAACGCTCCTATTGTAGCCTTGTCTAGCTTCTCAGCAGGTATCTTCTGTGCCGGCGCTAGAGTAGCCTGTTTCTCCTTCGCAGGCTCCTCTTTGACTGCAGGTAGCTCAGGGGCTGGCGCTTCCTTTGACGGTGATGCGCCAGCATCTTTGTCCGCCGAAGTCTCGGGGAACTCGGAGCCTTTCATTATGTGGCCCAAATTCACAATGTCTCCTTCAGGCTCCTTCCTGACGGGCGGCGGACCCGCTGAAGATTCCCGCGAAGCCACGGCATGCTCTGGAACCGCCTCAATGATAGCGACACTTTTCCTGCGCTCTTCCTTCTCTTCGCTAATGGACTTGCGAAGGTCTGCGACCTCTCCAGCGGTGTCCTCGCTTATGCTGAAGCTCTCTCGGCGGTTCGCAGCGGTGCTGTTCGAGGGGGTGCCCTTGTTGACACCAGCGAAGTCGCTGGCATGAGGCACTGTGTTCTCAACGGAAACGAACGAAGCGCGCACTTTGGAGGTTGGGCGGCTGGTGTCGTCGGCTGCTGAAGAGCTTCCTGGGGAGCGGCCGCGGGGCTCAGGAGAAGAAGCTGCGTTCTGCTCGAACATGGCGCGTAGATTGCGCACGCCGGAACTCATGTCTGCGGTTATGGCAAGCTGGCGTCAGCAGTGCCTCTGGGAGCGTTGATGTGTTATGTGGAGAGGACGAGTGGCAGTTCAATGTGGTTGAAACGGCGTGTGAGATGATGTGGTGTGTGCGCCAATTGCGGTCACGGAGACCAGGACAAGGGTTTCAGCGGGGTGCATCACTTACAACGATTGCTCGGGAGGCGATACGAATAGCGTGACAGCGGATGGATCAAGCGATCGTGGACAAGTTGACAATTGGAAAGGAGTCGTGTAGGTATGCTCCCTACTGCGGTTGCTCGCCGTCAACGCGCTAGAGGTGACGTATTCCAGGAACGGAAGTCACTGCTCATTCAAATAGAAGTCATTATCCCCAGAAGTTATGATCAAGTTATGATCCATGCATCACATCGCATCGCCTGAAACATCGCTTTCATCTCGAGTCGCTTGGGCACAAAGGTGCGAGGCAGCTGGCGCCGGCACTGTTTGTTGTGACGACCAAAATCTCTTGCACAACAACCCGCCAACGCAGCTTCCAAAATATCCCTCACACGCAAAGGAGTCGCAGCAGGACAACATGCTCTGCTGAGTCTGCTCTCACAACGGCTGCAGAATAGGACACCCTGGCCCTTATTGCCAACGCTTGAGCCCACTGGTTCATGCGAAATTGCCGAGCATTAATCACAGCGGTTGCGCCAATCGCGAGCAGGCGGGCATCAGTACTGGCCAATCACATACTCCGAGCACGTCCATCACAGTCTCCTTTTTGCTATCGTTCCTGCCCAACTGTCATGACCATCACGGTGGGCGACCGCGATAGTGCTGCTTGGCTCTGTCACTTGTCACATTGTCGAACAGGCAACGATTTGCGAATGCGGATCGCGATACTCGCTACGTAGATGCGTGTAGCAAAGTGCCCATCTTCATGATCAACTCCAGCACCAAGCATGTGCTATGTTTCAATCCAGGAATCCCTTAACTTTGCAGAACGTGAACGCAGGTAAAGCTCCAAATTGACTCTCGCTATCCTCAAACCCAGGACTGCAAGAGTCACAAGGCGATGATGACGCAACCAATCGATAAGCCAACCTCGGCCTGTCGCATTCTCTCACCTTTTTGTGATGCAGAGATGCTTCTATATCTATACAACAATACTCGAGGATGGCGTCAACACAAAACGCACCAGCCAACCTACCACGTGTAGCGATAACATACTGCACACAATGTCGCTGGATGTTGCGCGCAGCATACGTAAAGCCCCAACCAACATCTCTCCAATATCCAAGCTCACCACCCCACAGTTCGGGCAAGAGCTGCTTTCAACATTCGGCACTCAGATCGGTGAAATAGCCCTGATACCCGCAACAGGCGGGCTCTTTCAAGTTGAGCTGGTACACTTGCCTCTTCTCAATTGTGAACGCAAACTAACAAAGAAGACCTACCTGCCACCCAACTCCACGGACTCCACTGAACTCCAGGCTTCAAAAGTCTTGCTCTGGGACCGCAAGACCGAAGGCGGTTTCCCTGAGACGAAAGTCCTCAAGCAGCGCGTCAGGGACCATATTGATCCCAAGAAAGACCTGGGTCACAGCGATGTTGGCGGGAAGAAGAAGGATGCCGTGAAGATAGGTGGAGATGCGAAGGTGGAGAATGGCAAGGTTGATGGCAAGGTTGAGAAGACTGCGGAAGATATGGTCAAGGATATGGAGCTGGAGGATGTGCCGGACAAACTTAGTGTTAAGAGGAATCCAGATGGGACGATATGTGAGGACTGTAGATAGAGCGCCTTGAGCTGGAGGGAAATGTACACGTAAATGTCGTGAGGGAGAAGTTCAGAGCCAGGTCTCATAGGGAGCGTTCACAAGGAGGTACTTTGCAATTGGTTCTCTTCTAATACATCCTATTGTTCCACAATATTCGGTGTATCTGACCAATTTATCAGAATATGCGAGTCAATCTCATGGAGACGCTGACCATGATTACCGACTGAGCTCTGAGGCTTATCTCAAGCCAACAGTTGAGGGGGAAAAGTACTTATGATCAAGGTTTCGACGCCTACAATCAGGACGAGAAGACTAGCGAGAGAAGCTCTATGGACGGCGAATCTAACACTGCACAGAAGTATCAAAGGTCCTGATTCGTTCTTACGGGAGGCTTGAGACATTGTTAAAACAATGGGTGTGGCGCTGGCTACACCTTTCCAGCTCAATCTGATCCACAGAAGGCTGTATTACGCCAGTAAAGCCTTCAGCCTCGTTCACCTATTGAGTAGCCGCAACCTATGGGAATCGAGCAATGACTGGCATGAAATACCGCAATTTGCGATGCTATTACTGGCTCTGCGCCGTAGAGTATGTGGGATCCTATGGCATTCCAGCCATCCGCGTCAATTATACTGCTAACAGTTACCTACGTTCTTGATCCTGCCGTCTAGTCCATTGCTAGGCCCCGCACCGGATCGATCTTGTATTCGCTTAGCAATGGCCAAGATTTACTTCGACAATACTGGTGTAGAGTTACGAAGCGACCTGATGAGGCTTGTCTTCTCAAAGCGGTCTACTGCACTACACACAAAGCCATAAGCCTGAGAAGCTATGATGACTATTCGATGAGACGTTGATGGCTATTCTGATGTTGTGCAGAACCTGAGATTGCCGCAAGCTGTGAGACCTGGGCGATAGATGACGTGTAATGATGCATACCGCTCTTGCTTTGTTGCTAATAGTGGTTTGGATGTATCATCCCATGCCTATTCAGTTTGCGGTGGGTGAAGCCGACACCGCGAGATTGAAGCAATGTTGAGTTTTTGCCCATGCTATTGCGGGGCGAATCTCTCAACAAGGGATTGCACATACTCGTCCGTAGATCTCTAATCTCGATTACGGATGCGGCAGCCTGTGTCATTACAAAAATCGGAAAATACTTTGCTTTGGCTGCTTCTGCGGATACGGAAGACTTGTGCCATGTTTCAAAGAATCCTAGTTGCAGTTCGCGTAACCATAAGAGACAGCCTCGTCGCACACCGGGAACTGTCAGCCAACATGGTGGGATGTCGAGTGTAACGACCCGAAAGACTGCAGACATTGCACTTCGATGATGCCTTGAAATACCGAGTGTGGTTGTTAAGTCCTAGATTGCGCGTTCGGTGGAGTCGATAAGATGGAGTGCAGAAGATACGTGGTCCTGCATTGGCGACTTTTCTCCTCTTGTATTGAGGACAGGGTTGTACGGATGTGAGCGTGACGACGGAAGACTGCGTTCGAGCCGGACTGCCCTGCAGCCGGAGTGGAATTTTTCCCATCAAGCAATTGGCTCCGGAAGATGACTTGCTACTTGAAGGCTGGTCGCAGATGTGCATAGTTTCGGATACATGCCGTGCTCACTCTAAAATCGGATCGTTGAGGATGACTCCAAAGAATTGTTATCGGAAGTCGTGTGAAGCTGCTTGGCGTGCGCTACTAGTTAGTCATTCGGCAACGCTATGGTCGAACGGGCTCATACGAATGCGTTGACAACGGTGATACAAACCAGATTTACAGACAGATAGACACCATGATCGATGGTGTCGTGCTGCATGATGCAACCGCTGGAGGTGGAGAGCCGAGAGACTTGTCGATCATCGCCTTTTCGGTTGACCAAAGTGGACTGAGCGAACTCGCTTCGCTAATGGGGAACAGATGGTCTCGATCGTGACCTCTTCCGGCAGTCTTGGGGTGAGGGGTTCGTCAGAGGCTCAGCTGAGGTTTCCTCCGTGGTCGACAAAAGCCCAGCTAATCCAAGCTGAACGCGCGACCAGGGCCCTTGTCTAGCGGTGATCCCGGATCTGCAAGCGGCATCTTTCGAGGCCGACATCCCAGATTCACTGCTGTCATCCATGACGAATCCTGCACTGTACGTGGTGTATCTTGCGATATGGAGCATGGAACAACGCCTTATGGCAACCTTATCATCATCAATCATCTGATGATACACATCGACGTGAATGCTGAACGCTGGATAGCTCAGCCGGGCGTCAGGATGCGTCTCTACGGCTGCAAGCTACGTGCACGATCCAGCTAGCCTCCCTGACAGCTGAGTGAGGCCCAGAGCCTCGGAGAGGACGAGCGCAAGCCACGAGTCTCCGACTGGTCTGTTTCCACCACTCGGCGGCAGATCAGCTCCTGCACTCGCTGGCCATAGCTGTGCAGCCTCGCCATCTAGAGGCCCGCGCTAGATCATGTACTCTCTATCTCGCCTGTATATGTATTGAGCTGGGGTCTTGAGCACGGTGGTTGTACAAGACTTTTGCTGTCCCACTGTCAGCCCACAAGCTAGGGAATCGATGCCACAAGTTGCTCAATACCCCTGCTCGTCGAGCCTCCCGCTTTGAAGGCTTCACACGTTGTACTTAAGCGCCATGGCCTCGACTGAATCGCGATTCGAGCCGCAAAGCTCGAACCTTGGTGGCTGCCAGTCTATAAGTCACTCGATCAGCCCTGCCGCGGAGGACATCAGGCGATACCAGATCTTGAGGATTGATTCCAGGACTACGTCAGATAAAACAAAACTTTCCTCGCGCAGCAGCCAAACTTTAACACGGTGCCCGAGCCTCGCTGCTGATGACGTTCTTCCCATCGGATTATTAGAGAATGCTTGCTTAGCTGGTCAACATTTGCACAGCACCTCCAATTCACGCACATCAATTCGACGATCAGTCAGCCGTGCGACAGCGACTCAACCCCCAATGGCGGTCGAAAAGATGCAGAGATGGTCCGGAATGACCCGAACTGTTAGCGACTGGGATGGCCTAAGAAGGGTACGCACACGAACAATACCTCAATCATTCTAACTAACTTTGCGAAGGACACTGAGCTATGGCTTGAAAACAGCGATTGCTACGTGCATCTCTATGCACGGGGAGCGTCGCGTCGAGGTCCTTCCTTTTGCATTCCCTTCCGGGCCCTAAGACAGAAGAAGTGCAACTCTATTCTCAGCGTATGCCATGCACAGATTGCGTCGCGTGATGGCTCAGAATCACAACGACTCATAAGCTTGTCTAGCTCACTGATGCTCCCAAGCCGTGAGATGGGCATCGTCAACCTGTACATCCCTGCGCCAGATCATGTTTCCCGCCAAGATGCCTTCAAGTGGCACGTCACGACACGGAACTTCTTTGCTTTCCTTCTCGGAAAGCCTCTGGTGGGCTCCCACATGGGTCAGACCTTCGTCGACTTGCAAGAAAGAATACGACTGTTCCGGTCCGACTTGGTCGATAATCAGGAAGACTTTCTGCAATACACCGAGGACCAAGGCTACCGCGACTTTGCTGAGTGCACTGACTACGCGCTTGCTAGCCTGTTTTATGCGGAGACTTACAAGCTCAGGCCTGCCTGGATCGATGCTTTTGCTCATTGCGTCGGCATGAACGAAAGTCTTTCCCTCAGTCCAGAGCACGCTGTACGTTCGCCACCACTAACTTCGGTTTCGCTTTCTGACATCAATCTAGGCTACTTCAAGGCTTACCAAGGCTCTCATTACGCGTGCCTTCCTTGAAGTTGATATACACCTCAGCCAAGTTACTGCTGCGTTGAGCAAGTTCCTCGAAGAGGACCTCTCGTCTGCTTATCTTGGCCTCACACCAGGAGCCAGGAGCCACCTGAACCGCTTCCGCCGGTTTCTGCACAGCTTCTATGTCAAGAAGTTTGGCTATTGGCCGCCTCCTCGGGGTTCTGCGTTTCCAAAGGCACTGTATAAATCGATGTACTTTGACTTCCAACAACTATATGACTACCTCGTTGATACGAAATCTACCGCTGACTTCGCTTTGCAGCGACCAGCTAGCGGAGGGATCTGTGTTCTGCAGAACGTCGACAGCTTTGACAAACGTCGCCAATTCACATCACAGCCGCACCCATTGCCGTTGATTCCTAGCTACGCGGAGCCAACAAAGAAGATGGAATCTCAGAAAGCCCTTCGACAGCTGACATCGGCGTCTCAGCATAAAAAGGCTGCCAACAACGTTCAGACTATCAGTGCCGCCCTGGCTGCGGCTACCAACACACATGATGCAGCTGTTGCCAGCTCAACAATCGTACAAGAGTATGCCCATTTTGAACGCACATACAGCTCAACACTTCATCAGCGCGACGAGAAGGTGGCAGTTGTCGATGCGCGCAAGGTTAGATGGCTCATCATCTACGGCACATTGCAATATTTAGTGTCAGCGCTGCGAGCTCCAAAAGAAGTCCGCGACGCCGAGACTGCTGACTATCCCCTGTGCTGCCTGTTACCCGAGCAATCATCATGGCCTGGTAGCTCGCAAGTCTCGACACCATCAGCAGCTTCGGTAGTTACACCTGCCTCTGCTGCAAACGTACCTCAGGTTATCGATGAGTACCTCAGCAGCTCGCAATCCGACTTTACCTTCATTCGACCCGACTGCCATCGAGAGGACTATTTCTTTTCCCGAACAGCTGGTCAACGTGGATCTGTTGAAGTTCCTGCACCACTCAAAATATCAACCCCGGTCTCGTGCCCACCCAGCCGTTCTTTTGGATCAATCTCGTTATCGAGCCGAAGTTCGCGCAGAAACAGTTGGAAGCTGAAGCCCACACATCACTGCGAGATCATTGTCCATGGATATGGCAATGGCTTGAACGAAGCCACAACAAATTCACCGTCTAAGTGTTTGCCGCGCAGTGCGTCCATGAACGAGTCTCATCGCTCCTCGACTTCTATCCTGCCCGAAGGTGCAGGTCCTGAGACATCTTGGTTCAGACCGCAGTCTCCTCCCATCCCACAGGAGCGGACCTCATCGCTGAACAAAGCTCGCCGCCACGCACGCCAGCGGACTCCTCTTCTTGACGCTGCTCATCTCAAGCACTATCTCGGCTCTGCTGCTTCTAGCGATGCAACAGATATGAGTCGCTCTGACAGCACAAGCTCGCACGGTAGCCAAGTATGGAGCGTGTCCAGCGCCATCTCATCGGAGTCCAGCACCGATGGAGATTACAAAGAACGCCACAGGACCACCGTGGAAAATAGTGGCCTCTTAGGCGGCTTCGTTTCTGTCGACAGCACCCCGGTGCCCTTACCCCGCACACGATCGCTAGTCAAGACAAAGACACCAGCATCTAAGGCGTCACTACCGCAGGTCACTACGCATATGCAGGCATTCCGCTTCGATGATGATGCTCCACAGACACCGCCAGCAAACTACTTCTCCCATATTCATCCAGCCTTCCGTCCACTGACTTGCGAGACCACCATTGGTATGGCGCTCTCCCCACCCGTCTCACCACCGCTCAGTCCGAGCATCAATGCGCCATCTTCATGCTTCGAACCGTCCCCTTCGGTGTCAACGAACATGCCCTCGCACTCTGTGACGCGCCGAACATCTTCAGACCTCACATATGCCAACCTGCCCGTTTCGAAAGTGCCCAAGCGTATTGCAAGCCACCGTGAGCAGCACGGTCTCTTCACCACCATCACGTCGTCGTCCAAGAACATGGAGATGCGGGCTAGTGCTGAGAGGACGAAGAGCCGCATGTCTATCTTGAAGCGCTTCTATGCTTTCTGAGTTCTTGGTTACCTTCCTGTTGTACCTCGCTACGAGTCTCCTTTATCGAATTTAGCGTTTTGCACGTTTGATCCGTCTAGATGGTTTGGATTTGGGATTGTATATGCTATATACCCACGGTCGCCTTGCCGACACGAAAAGCGAACCACACCGTTCTGTTAATAGTTGGAATCATATTTTTCACAATGCAATGTCTCGTGCCTCATGTTGCTATTGCCTGAGACCTCTTGCTTGCGATCTGACTCCTGAGTAGTGCTCATATTCCTTGTCGTACTTTCCTCGTTATCCAAGGTGAATCTGGGCCAAAGTCGTGCTCTAAGTCCAGATCGGGATCTAGAGTGGGTGGTAGTGTAAGCAAGGAGACGTTGGTTTCTTTGGTCGTTGCAGAACCACTGACCAGGATACAATGCTCATATGTCTGTGAGCTGGGATTACTTGAAGCTTGATGTATCGCACCTAGGTTGTGAATACCTTTCTGGTACGAGCTCTTGCCTTTCAGGACGCTTCGGAGAAGGGACGATTCAAGCGAGTATGATACCGAACGATCCACATCATTGCCCGCTCTTGCGTATCGTTGCAAGAGCGAGCCTACAACAGACTCATCCTCTGGCCAGCCTTGCGCTCGTCTGGCTTATTGTACGGTAAGGAGCCTATGCTGGTTCTAGTACAGGCAAGGTCCCCAACCTTCGCTCTGACTACCATTATGAGTCCGTATTGTTGGCATCAAACAGCATTTGCATGTTCTCCAACACCAATTAAAGGCTCTCCAGAATGACCCAGGGGTTCCCAAGCAAACTCGAGTCTGATTTTACGCGAGATCTCGTGGGGAAGACAACGATTAGGAAAGGCTATGCATACTTGAACATTGTCAACATACGGCAGGTCCCCTCTACCATCGCCACAATTGAGCTATTGAAATGGTGTATGAGTGCATTCTCCGGTCAGCACTTTGCCGATCTGGCGAGCAGCCAGCGTATCGTGAGTTGCTTTGGGTTTATTTATTGGGAACAAATCCAGGAGCAGATATGACGAGGACCATCCTCTCGCGTCGTTGACAACTGTTGAACTCTTCGCTCTTCATGGCATAATGATTCACTTGATAGCCAATGGAAACCAAAAACGCTATCAATTGGCACAGGACGTTCTGAGACGATACTCCGGTCCGTTCGAGCTCGTCATCTACATCTTCAATGTCTTATCGGCAGAAGACTCGATCAAACTTGGTGCGAACATTTTCCAGAATGCCGACTTTCGGACTACAGAGATCGGCGAAAGCGCAGAATGAGGTGACGTGTGATGCATTACCTAATGATTTATTGCTTACCTTATCATTTTGAAACATTGGTAAAGCTGTGGTACTTAATAAACCGCGAAGCTAAACATCCAGTTTACGTACCTTGGTGAGGACAGCCTGCTGCAAGGCAATCAACCTCTCTAACATTAGCAATGAAATCATCGCCGCATCTTGTGAGAGCTACTTTCAGGTGATAGTAGTGAACTCGTGCTGGATCTTGACTGTTCGCACGATGTGTGTAAATGGCCGCAGGGGCTGTGTCGACGACATGTACGAGTTCAACGCCGCGCGCCTCCTCAAGGCCTCGATCTAGTCCACCACCGCCGATTAAGATACTGAGACCTTGCAGCTTGTTGTGTGCCAATGGTGGGGGGCCGTGTTTCCTGCGGGCCAATCCTATTGCTCTGACCATACCAGGCGACCAGCTTCACTCAGCACTTCCGTGCTTACGACCCAATTATCTCCAACTCAGTTGCAATTGTATGGGAAAGGAATACTCTCCTGGATGATGGTATGTTGCGATATGTATGATATGTCACAAGCTCGTTGTATTCGCGAAGATTGTATGTCAAGCTTTTCAGAAGTAAGGATGAGCTCATTACAGAAGGCATAGCCCCGCTGTAACTGCAATGCAAGAGTTTCGTGGGCCAAAACTCGCTTTAGAAGCCTCACCTTTTACATGTCATCGTTCTCGCTGGAGTCGAGGACGATAACAGGCTCCAGGCGTGTAGTATCGGCTCGTTGCATGTGGACTGTTTCACCTTTCGATAAATTATAGGCCCGCGCTTCTTCTTACGACAGGAACGACGTTTCTGGTCTTCTGTACATGTTATAAAGGACCCTTGCTGGGCCAGATAGGTTTGTCGAATGATGAAATCTTTCGATGTCTTGAGCATCTTGGGTGTCCATTCCAGGCTATGTGTCCCGAAAATGTCTGAGGGATAAATCAGCCAATCTTTGTTGTTACAATTAGGTACGTCGGTCTGTCAGAAACAGCTCGTTCGGGATCGGATAGCTAAACACTGCTTCTCGATAGCTGCCCTACCCCCAAACATGGAATCTGCTTAAAGAGCATAGTGTTTCAAGTTCTTCTCGTCTCACTGCCCGACCATCTGGGTCCAGATGAAACAAATGTTCGCATTCAGAGCAGTTCGGGAAGTCAACCCTGTGATCAACTTGATCGACTTGACTGAACCATTGATAGACTAAGTCACAGTGACCAATCTCTTCTTTCAGCCACCGACCAAAGTCGCTTTGGAGGTGATGCAGTCTTTTTAATACATTAGATCAATCCAGATAGTCGGTTACGTGTCTAGAGAGTGTTGCAATCTGTAGGAACGGCTCGTGGAAGCGTATGCAGGTGCTGAAACGCTGTCCCCTCCGTAGCTCGATTTTGACAGTCTCGCCATTCGCTTCTTGTTGCAGCTGAATGATCTTGATCCTAAGATAGAAGTAATTAAATTATCTTGCCGGCCTAGTCTAAAAGACAGTCGGCTTTTATAGTAACTAATCTATCCTGATACTGACAACTCTTGTTAATGTTACCCCCTTACTTATAGTACCCCCTAAATTTAACCTCTAGTTATAGTAACTAAATTAATTCTTGCTTATATTGCCTCCCTCACTTAGATAACATAAATGCTAAGAGCTCTAACCTACTTATAACTATGTCTGTCAGCGCTGTCGTTTCTAGTTTAGTAGTCACCGAGTAAACTCTGTCCATTTTGTTCGAGCATGTTATACAATGTCGGAGTCTTCTCAGCCCTCGCAAGCTTCTTCTTCATCGTCGCAACTAGCTATTACTTCAGTGTTTAGGACTGTCTCTGATCAGACAATTATCCGCAACGCCTTTAATGAACAAGGGTATCGCGATGCGCTTGTCAGTCTTCTGACTCGACGTCGAATAGCCTTTTTATCAATCGAATAGGCTGAAATGAGGGATCTAGCGCTTGCTTGAAATCCATTTATTGCAGACCAGCTTATCACAAGTCGACGTACAGCCGTATGTCTTATCCCCTTGAATTATCAGCTCTGTAAAGGCTATGTAATCAAACACAGCTTATCAACAGCTGTAAGTCCTTTCCATATATAAACAGATCTCTGGACATCACCGTTTCGTTCATCTCTCCTTGCTGTATGCGCACACTGGGCCGATCACGAATATAAGCTTCAGAAGGCTCTTTAAGGACTACTAGAACGTCGTTATAGCCACTCTGGAGTACAGCAAGCGCACTTACTTCTTCAAACCCTCGAGGAATATAGGATACAGTCTAGAGTTGGCTGGCGTACGGGTGGGTGATAACGCGACGTCTAATGATATCTGTTTGGAGCATCTTGATACCATCCTTCGAAGGACGCACAACGTAAGCATGGCCTTTGATTTAAAAATCGGGCTTCGCTGCTTAAGTTACGCGATGGTGCTAATTTTAACAGAGTTCAATTTGCTGTCAAAGAGCGCCGTATCCGATGTATCGGTCATATTATCAATTTGTCCTTGCAGGCATTCCTGCTTGCATCCTCTAAGGAGGCTCTTACCGCTTCTCTCGACTCCGTGACAAATGTCATAGGGAGAGAGCTTCTCGCAGAGTTTTCAGGCGTTCTTACTTCTCGACAGAGAAACCCTAGAGCCCAAGCCCAAGCCCAAGCTGTTTCACGAACCTCACAGAGACAAAGGTTATCTCGCCAGAGACGCAGCGTAGATAGCGACGGGTCTGTTGATGAAGACTTCTGTAGTATTGAAAACATCCGTACACTACGCAAACTACATCAACTATGTGTTTGGCTGCGCAACTCAAATATACATGCAGCAGAGCGGGATCGCAAGGTAGGCCTCCGCTTAGGGATTGATAATCAGACTAGGTGGTCTTTGTGGTACTCAGTTATCGATCAGGCTGCCAAGAAGATGGCTGTAATCAAGGTCTTTATGCACGATAACGAGAAACACCTTAACGAGATCCGTCTTGCTTCTAACGACTAGAATATACTGCAAAAAATACATACACTCTTGCAACCATTTGCATCAGCAACGCTGTATGTGGAGGGAAATAAATCATCTATCTCTTAACCTCTTTTAATCACGGGCTCTCTTTCAATCCACTACGAGCAGCAAAACGTAAGCGCTAACGTGTTATCCTGACTTTGAGTCTTCAGTTAATAGCTTCATAGATACATCAAAGTTACTCTGAATATGAACACAAGGACCTTCGCATAGTTCGATCGATCGAGATGGGCTGGTTCGTACTTGAGGATTACTACCAAATGACTGATCAGGTTCTGGTGTACGCTTCCGCTGTTCTTCTAAATCCCTTAAGTAGAGCAGCATATCTCAAAGAAGAACCGGTCAGTCGAATGGTACGAACCGGCTATTAACGTTGCTTAGAATTTTGGTTGAATAGGTTCAAGGACGCTTTGCTTTTAGCGAGCTCTAGAGCTTCTAAACAAATGGCTCCTCCTTCGAAGCAACGCGGTGCCGTTCTCAATCAGAATCTACAACAGATGTCAGTTACGGCGGCAGATCAATCGAGCAGCGACGGTCTTAAGTTCTTCGCAGAGGGTCTAGTAATACAAATTGACTGTAGCCCTCTTGAATGGTGGTGCCGACCGGAGCAACGGCAGCGCTACCCTACCGTCTACCCGTTAATCCTATTGCCTAGAGAAGCGCGTCTCTGTGCTAAGGGGAGTAGTAATTGCTCCTCAAGAAGGTGAGCGTCTGACATAAATCGCCGCTATGTTGACTGTAATATCGGTCGTTTCGTTACCGCTGTGAATTAACTCGTTGGTAATACCCCCTGTTTATCAGCGAATTTAAGAACTGACTAAGCACTGAGAGGGTTATGCAGAGAGAACGACGAAGGAAGATCAACTCCCTAGGCTCATGAGATAATTCCAATGTGGGAGCGAGCATGCCGGGAGCCCTGTTGTGCGAAGCAGGAGATCTCTGGAAACAAGCCCGGACTGGCAGAACGCGCTCGTGTCTCTTACTTAGCATGCGTAAGCCTGCATTATCGGACCGAGCAAACTGTTCGTTAATTAAAGTGAGACTATGAATTAATACAAAGTATGCGGGAATAATCAGAAGTAAGCACGGTTGTGGTGGAACTCTGTGGTGAGAACCAAAGCATTATCGGACCAAGCATACTGTTCGTACACAGTATGTACCTGACGCAGATAACCCCATTCTATTGCGCCTCGATCCTACTTCGGCTCAACGCGCACTTTCTAAGGCAATTAGACTACTTGTACTCCCAACCTACGCGAGCTTGAAGACTTGGCCATCTACCGCATCTTTCTACGTGACACACTTACGTGTACATTCGTACAAATTATCTATAAAGTCTTGCTTGTCAACTCTATATAACATTTATCTAGTCCACTTCTTTCTGTTGTTCGCCTACACAACTACCGTGCTCTACCAACAATACAACCTATCCAATCTCTCTTCGTTCAAACCTCGACAACGATCCGATTGAGCCTCGCATTCTTACTACAGTAACGATGCATTTTCCAACCTGCCTTGTCACCCTCATAGGCCTTATCGGCATTGTTGCCGCAGCTCCCGCTGCTGCAATTGACAAACGGAACCCAGTCAGTCTCCAGAAGAGAGGTATGCAAAATCTATTACTATCTTGTCTTCTATTAAACCAAATTGCTAAATCTCTGCCTATTTCATGCAGTGTTTGGTTGCGACCCTGCGCTCTGTGCATGCGAAGCAGGATGTGGGGGAAATGCCGCGTGTATAACAGGTTGCAAAAATGGACATTGCTCCAATGCCTTTACTTCTACGCCTCCACTGAACTGTTAATGAACTGTTCTATTCCGTGAGATGTGTGGACAAGGGCAAACTGGGAGGGGGGAGGGGGTAAAGAGAAGTGGTTTACAAGGGGGAAGCGTAAACGGACTGCTACCTAGTGCACACTACCGGTAGGCAGGATAGGTCGAATGTCATTAAATCTGTTGCAAACAACTAATTTATTTTCTTAACAACGTAGCTTAAGTTATAGTTAACGTTAATTTGCGCTTGCTTAACTTCTTAAAAGAGTTTACCTATAAGTTAACTAGGGTAATTCTTAGCTTAACGTAGAATTTAGCTTTAATAAGGCTTTAAGCCTTTAGCAAGCATTCTTACTATCTTAGCCTTGTCTAGGACTTCTCCTCTGTATATCCTAACACGTTTAACTTAGGTTCCTACAAGGAACAATACTGCCTTATGCTAGGGGATAAGTTATCCACAAATAATGAATATCTATCGGGTGCATGCACCGAAGCACCAGCCTAGAGAATACGAGTTCTGCTGCCGCAACATCCATGGGCTGCGCTAATGATGTCGCCCCTCGGCTGCTTCTCCTCCAGAGCGAGGCTGTCAAGGCTGTCTTCGTGGCCAACACTGCGCAGAAGTTGAAATGAAGAGAACAAGCGCAAAGGCGCTCGTTCGTTCAACTTCACGATCTCCAAGCTCGTCACGCCGTAAGCTTTGCAGGCTCATCTTGTCCAGCTCCACATCTCCAGAGCTGTTCCGGATGCGAGTGTTGTACGCCTACTGATCGTTGTGGAGCAAGCAGTCCGACGAGGCACATTCAAATTACCGCATACCTAGATTGGTGAAATCCGAGTGCAACACTAAAGCACAGCAGAGGACGGTTCTTGCCCACCTAGAGCTTTACTCTTAGTGCCTAAGCAGTTGCAGTGAATTTCTATAATTAAGAGCTTTAATTTTAGTCCTAAAAGGTCCCTCCCTTGCTAAAGGCTCGAGGAATCCCTAATTAAGATAGGGAGCACACTCAAATCTTACAATTTATGCGGTACATGATGCGCCCCTCGGCGGAATTCGAACGGTTCCGAGCGATGGTGGCGTGCGGGTCACACACGTCCCTGCGGGAAGCGTGCAGCCTTGCTGTTTCTAATTTTAGTACGCTAAGGCATGACCAACTGGCAATGACCGTTTCTATGCACTTCCTCGCACGTCCTCTTGGTTCTCAGAATGTCAGTTGTAAGAGGAATTGCATATTCAGCTGTAAGCCGTTTCCCGTGCGATATGCAACGCTTTCAATCGATTTGTCTGTGTCAAATTCGAAGAACAATTGCATCGAGCAGACCGTTGAGCATGCACATAATTTTCACGACAGGAGCCGATCACCCAAGCGATAGCTTAATTCTCCGAGGCATGACCGGGGTCGAATAAGAATACGAGGCTAAATCCGGAAGGTCTGGCAGCTACTTGGCTGCAGCCCTGCAGAATAGAAAAAAGTGGGGATGAGATGTATACAATGACGTCGATCAGGAGAAAGAAGCACGGTCTTCGAGGAGGTATAAGTATAACCCTCTCATGTTGTTCTCTTTGCCATCATTCCACCACACTTCCAGTTCACTCTCCGCATCCGCATCTCAGAATCTTCTTCACCGACCTACTTTCAAACATCAAATCATACAAGATGCAGTTCTTCACCGTTGCCTCCCTCTTCGCCGCTGCTGCTATCGCTGCACCGGCTCCCCAGTCGACTGGCTGCCCCAACCCTGCTCACTGCGGTGGCGCCCCCGACCCATCCAAGACCGAGAACATCAACATCAGCGACTTCTTCCTCCGTAGGAACCCCAGCATCCAGAGCGCTGGCTTCAAGCTTTCCGGCAACAACGCCACCGACATCTCTTGCGAGATTGGCGCTGTACCCAGCCTACCCTCTGCGGTCACGAACTGTGGCACTAGCGCTTACAGCTTTGGCCTCACAAAGGGCGAGTCGACCGAGTACGCTCTTGCCATCTACCACGAGACCGGTCCTTCCGCTGGCAAGTGGGCCATTGTCGACTTTTCCACCGACTGCCGCGCTGGTCCCAACGGTGTTAACGACTCCGTCTGCTCCCAGGTCAACCCCACGACCATTGTTATCTCGAGCTAGTAAATTTTCTGGTACGACACGTTCTTGTATATACCTTAAATCTTAGCGTCATAGTTGGACACGGCATCAATGCCTCTTGAATGAGGATATTTAATCATTATGAAATTCCTATCATTGAAGTGTGATGTAGCATTGTGTGACCTCTACACTTGAATCGTCGATAAGCCGATACCTGTTCTGCCACCTTGTGGGGTGTCACGTATATCTTAGTATACCAATGTATCACACGACATGTCCCTCTACAACTGATTTTCATATACATCCCTCGAGCTCTGCAAGACCCAGTCATGAAACCACACCTGAACGGCGTACCTCCTGAACCGTACCTCATGGTCCTTCTCACCGCTGTCAACGCCATTGCCATCTGCATCACTCTTCTAGCTGCACTCAAGATTCGGAAGCTTCATGCTCATACACAAAGACGACTTCGGAAGCAAGCAAAAAGGCAGGCCGACGGGCAAGCTCGCAAGGATGCGAGGAGGGCACGTAGACAGCATGTAGACGTCAGCACGCAAACTATTCAGATACCCAACTCGCCCAATGGTCGTAGATTCTTAACAGTTGAGCCTGTCAGACAGCCCATTGCCAACCGCGTTCCACACCCGGTTGATTCAACAATCAATGGCGCTTTGCATACAGTGGAACCGTATTCGTCCACGGACCATTGCGCAGAGTCCGCCACCTCTTCTCACTCATCGGCTTTGCCATTCTCACATCATTCCCTTGTCGACCCTGAAGGATCAAACGGCGAGGCCTTGGTTGCCCACTTGTCACAATCTTCAAATCTCTCTGGCACCACGCTCGTGGACACAGTGAGCAGCGACTCGGATCATGGGCACTCGAGGCTGGGGGGGCTTCGTTGGCGGCCCAACGGAAGGATGTGAATGTGGTCATTGTTCGTCTCTGCAGTTCATGACTGCTTTTTGGAAAATGCAGACCATCTCCTTTACGATACTATACTCGCACATCAGTCAGCATTAAGTGATGCACAGGATCTGTTTGGCCACATGCCTTGGATGTTGGCTGTGAAGGAGTATGTACAAACAAAGTGGCCCATGAAGAGGGAGGGACAGTAAAGATACTTTGTAACACGAATGCATGTCCTTGGATGTTTTCCATACCGACTCACCCTCTCCTGTTCTCGTGCATGTTTACACCGCTGGAATAAGTGTCCTCGCGGCTGGGTACTGGTGATCTGTTGCCCTTCTGCCTAAATGAGACGATCTCCCGCATCGTCACATGACTTACTCCTCACCTTGGCGGCATTATTGGTACGCCACCATCGTCCTGGGACCGTATTCTGAGCCCGTAGATCGTTGAGGTGCCTACCTCTGAAGATCACTGAACCAACCTGTATCGCTGATCTGTTTGATGTCCTGCGTCTCTCCTCACTCGTACTGAACTCGGAGAGCCTTTCACACGACTCGATTTCTCAATCAGCTCGAGCCATGGCGACAGTCTTGTTCATGGGTATAGGCGCTCACGACCCTAACATCGACTTCCCACCCAACGTCTCAGCGCAAGCATTGGATGCTGCCATCAACAAAGGAGTCGAAGACCTGGAGAATGCCGGCTACAAGGTCAAGCTGTTCCTGCCCCCCATCATGGAAGGCATCGATGCTCTCGAAAAGGAGCTGCAGACGATCAAGTACGATCTAGTGCTTGTTGGTGTGAGTGATTTCTGCCTCCTGGGGCGAAGGGAATGTGATAAAAAAGTGTATGCTGACATGTGCAATACCGTAGCTGGGCATCAGGATCGTGCCCAAGCATACCCCGTACTTCGAGGGAATTATCAACACCGTACTCAAGTACAAACCCGGCCAGAGGTTTGCATTCAACGCTAGCTTGGAGAGCACGCTTGAGGCTGCGCGGCGGGCGCTACCTCTGTAGAAGAGGTGGATCGGGAGTGCGCACCGGACCGTTAGATCAAGCTGGAGTCTTGAACTGATCCTGCAATGTGACAAACGTTGTAGTTCTTGGTTCACCCCGGATTCACCTTGAGGTTTGTGACGTCTTTGTAAATGTTGGTATCGCAAATCTCGTACCTGCGCCTGAGCCCATGTAAATAATAGCACCTCGTGTTGAAGGGTCTCCGCCTACCTGATCATCTCCGAGGGTGGCGATGATGTTGGCATGCTCGCACTCTTCATAGCGATTTCTTCATGCAGAAATACTGTCGAGCATACTGCATGATGTTCCGCTCGCTCATACAACACGAAGCCAGTCACCAACGGCTATCCAGATCTACGACTAGATTCAGTCGCCCTTTGACTTCCAATTAACCTTTAGCTGCACTATGTCGGAGAGTTCTCCGACCTGCACGATGCAACGTTCAGAATAACCCAGGGTCCTGCATGCAGCAGCTCGACGGCTTTATCATAGCATGAGGCTCCGAGGCGAGGAGACACATCTCTCAGTAGGTGGCAATAAGGACAGCCTCCAAGGTCCGTAAGAAAATCAGTGTCAAAGGCACGACAGTAGAAGTGTGCAGCATGGGGAACTCGCATGCTAAATCGGTGTCCGTTCATTTATATAGAACGCTGCAGAACAAAACCGGCGCTCAGACAGATACCTTGTTCATTGATATGATGTGCACGACGCTTGGCTTCCACCCCTGACCTTAGTAAAGTGTGCTGGTCTAGAGCCATCAGCGTGGTCCGTGATGGGGTGCCACACATCGACGAGGCTACCGAACTGCTACTGCATCGCCTTGCAACCGCGGATTCAGGGAAGAAGTAGCGATAAGCCACTGAAGGTTTGGCAAGAGACTGTCGCAGCTTTCAGCTCCTACTGGTTGACAACAGTAGCCTCTGGCCCATTCTCATGCAGGATCATGGTGTCTTGCATGAATGGTTACTGTTCGCTGACAAGAGATTAGTGACGAGGGCACAAAGTATGAATGGCCAGCGCAATTGGCAGGCATCAAGATGCCTTACACCATTAGTGAGTCTGTTAAGAACAGGCGTGAGTAATACTGAACGGAGTCTAGAATCCAACCAACGTTCTAGCGGACTTTTGGCGAGCAGAATGACTCAAAATGTCAAGAAGTGTCCGGCACGACCAGAACCTAACTTCTATTCGTGTATGACGTCGTCAGCTGGTGAGAGAATCGAGGGGTGAAGGATGGCGCTGGTGTTTATCGAATTTTGCTTGGCGGGAGGAAGGTGCTGCCGCGAGGGCAGTTGCATTCCAGCATTGCACGCACGTGTCTGTATCGCTTCGCAGTTGCATTATCAAGTGCCATCCAATCCACTCGGCTCAGTGACACCCTCCTCTGGGTCGATATCTTCGTTGGCCAGCGGCTCAATGCGCATGCTCGCGTGGTGGGTGTGAACGTGCGAACTCTTCACGGTCTTCATGCAACTTCGACCTGGCGATGGAGACGCATTGCGTACCTTTAACGGGCCGCTAGACTATCGAAGACCCTCTACAGGATAACAGATCGAGTAGCGGAGCTGTGCAGGGCTGCAGGTTCTGACAAGCCTACGATGGTTCTGGCCGCCCACAGGCATTGCGACACTTGGTCGCCCGCCCTAAAGTGCTGGGGCGATTACCGCTGATAGGCGGACGGGTAATTCATTTAGGAAAAGTCAATATGACCTGACCATATTGAGTCGCCAAGTGGGGACTGGCTCCCAGTCGTGGGCCGAGCAGTGGGAATTTTCTCACAAGGAGGCGGCGCGTGGCTTTATTACCATGTCTGCTGGCTAGCATTGGTGGCTTATGGCTGACTGCAAGCTCCATGGCAATATTCAACATAAGGGCGGCTGCTCCCATAGGGGTACAAACTTTTGAGCCTGATTAGCAAACGAAGAACACCGCGGGAACAGTTCTTCTTCATTCCTTCGGGTGACGATCGATATTGACAAGCAGACCGCTGCCTTTCCTTTCTTCTTCGCCGACGTGCCTGCACGTTCCTGGATCCGCGAGCTAAAACTCGGAGCATTTGAGGCGGCCTGCAGGGACGCGACAGCCTGTCAAGACAGCCGCACCAGCGTCAACGCTACCTCTGCTCCTTATCTTCTGCAGCAGACGGTCATGCTCTTGAAGCAGTCTTGCGAACCGTAACTGCAGTGTCATACTGTTGAAGGAACATAAAATGTGGTGTCCCAACCATCCTGCGGAACGCGGGCCTCCAATCATGCACCGTGCCCCATTGTCGCACCATCCGGTACGAAAGAGGAAGCACAAGAATAGATTGCGCCGCGGCATCTTCTCCTTATATACGGGCAGGACGTCGCCATCTGCGTTGCTCTCTGTGCTCGTCGTACTACTATTCTGGAGTTCCCTGCTCGGCGCCGTTACCGCTGCACAACCACATGGTGATCGACTCTCCGTCGTCTTCGACGATCTTCTATGGAAAGGATCAACATTGCGCCTCGATACCCGCCCGCCACCAATATTCGCGCTGTTGATGCCTCCCGTACTCGCCAGCGAGGATGCCACCAGAACGCTTTCCGCCCCGCCATCCAAACGCTCCCTTGCAACAGCGACGAGCGACACATCGTCCACTTTCGATGTGCCCAAACCTTTCGACACTGGTCTTTCGAACAACTTCACTAGCTCATGTGCGACTTATTTGAGCAAGCTGCTCAATAGCGACGCTTTCAACAATTGTCACCCATTCTCACTAATGCTGCAGGTGCGTAGTCGTGCATGAAAGAACCCAAGGCTCCTGTACTAACCCCATGCAGACCTCAAGCGGATTTTTCGATGCGTCAAAGTCGTTCTTCAAGATCACTCAGACTCTGGATGCCACATGTGCTGTCAATGAGACTCAGTGTGAATCAACCCTAGACGGCTTTGCACGCGAGCTTCTCGCTGATACAGCTTGCAAGACGGATTACGCCAACGACAATCCAATCGTACTGCAAGCCTACAACGGGCTCGTGGCGTACAAACCGTCGTACCAAGCGAGTTGCTTGCGCGATGATGATGGGAATTACTGTAAGTGTCAAACGCCTCTACAGCACTATTTGGAACCCGACCGACTGATTGACCCAGGCTTTGCCAACGCAGTGAGTAACTCGTCTTCAACAACTGACAGCTACCCTTTCTATCTACCCATTGGTCAGGAACTTCCGGGAGGCTCACGACCCACCTGCAACTCGTGTTTGCAGGACACCATGGCCATCTATGCCAACTTTGCTAATAATGCTACGCAACCGCTCAGCAAAACATATACCTCAGCTGCACAACAGCTCTCCATATCTTGTGGATCGAAATTCGTCAATATCACCGCCGCCCCACTGAAAGGAGCAGCCGCGCCGACCGCGAATGCATCGTTCACGCCAACACTCGCCCTAATCGTAATGTTCGTTCTCTTCTTCTTCCAATGAATGAACAGCCCCTGCTCCTCTTGTAACCTTATTGTACCTACTTTGTCATGGACTCCACGAATGGCTACGGCCTTCACTCATTAGCGACGGCGCATGGGATTGTTTGTTTTGCTTTACTTTGATTTCAGCCAATGAATGGCTGTAGCGTATACCCATTGGAATGGATCACTTGCTGTTGTGAATACGGAGCATTGGCTTGCGAGGCACTCAAGCCCTGCCCTGGAGGCGTTCATGAGCCTAGAGAAATGCGCTGGAACATCTACACGCGCACAACGAGACTGGTCGCAATTGCGAAACAATGGTGTTCCGGAAGTTGCGATATGCATTCATCCCCTCCTATTGAGCATTCAGCGTTCTGGAGGTAAAGGTAGCTATCCGCGGCTACGATGAGCCTGAGAATTTGCGCAGTTTCTAATGAGATCGGCAATTTCACCTAATCTATCTGCTTCAATCGTATACAATGTTGCACTTCCACTGTCGAGATCGAGTAATCCGTGTGTATCATTGTTTCAACCCACTTCCTGTTTCGTACGAGAAGACTAATCAGGAGGCCTGAGCTGGAGTCGCCGGCGAAAAGGCGATCTGTGAACGTCAGAGTCGCACGTCAAATGCGTCCGATGTGGGCCACTAGCGAGGGTTGACATCTTTTCATAGGGCTGTCGAAGTCTGGGATGTGCTTTCTGAAACACGATAGCCTTAGTCACGTGCGCCTTCGCAAGGATGCTCTCGCGGGGTGCAATGCTCCCGGACCCTGACGCCTACAGTGCCTCAGCTCTCAGCAGCAGCGCCCACATGCAGCAACGCAGACACAAGTCTCTACATTCTCACGATCCGTCGCAACAATAAGGTAGGGCCTTTAGGGGACTGTTGCGAGTGTGTTAAGTGTTTCTTAACACTTTCCGCTTCAGTGATTGATCCGCGATGGCGGAGCTTACATGACCATCCTCAAATCTCCAATCGACATGGGATAACCCGTCGCTCATCGCGACAGGTCGGAAAGAAGCTTGACAGGGCACCAAACGCATGAATGTTTGAATGGACCCATTGCTCGCTTGTTCTCTGTGATCCATGTGCTTTTCTTACTTGAGACGGCCAGCTTCGCCGCGAACGTCTTGCGCGTCGTCTCCTTTACTCCTCTCATTCAGTCGTTGTTTGCTCTTTTCGATATTAAGTGGTGCCGGGAACCAGATCTTCTGCATTCATTCATTCACTTTTTGATACTCACACTCTTTACGGTCAGCGACCAGTTACCCTGGACATACTGTCCTTCGGCATCATTTCATTTGATCATCGTGTCGACTATACTCACTTCGCGTTCAGCAACACACAATCATTACATCAGAATGGCTGAGGTTATGGGTCAGCAAGGTGCAGCCCTCACAGCACCTCCATCGCGACAAGATATTGTCAGCGAGCTCTTAGACGACTACACGTATGAGGATTCATACGATGCAGAAAGCGTGTCGAGTCTAGCACCTGCGTTCAAAGAGCTTCCTCCGCCACCACGTACGGACAGTCTCAGGGACCCAAAGGCAGAGGCTATACAGCGAATGAACACCAAGTTTCAGTTGAGAGGTAAGCAGTGTCCCTGCATATTATGTACTGAGGCACTTGAGGGGTGCCGATGCATGACATGGTTCAGCTCTTGGCTTGGCATGACTTTTACGCGTCAGCACTCACCGTGAAGTCCTCGCCAAACGGAGCTTGCCATCACGACAGAATCATGTCGATCTTGCCGCCCCTCTCTTATGCCTACCAGCAGCCAGCAGTACAACGCACAGCGAAGACAGATCAAACGTTAAATACCCGTGCTAATACTCGGTAGAAGACGATATCTCATCTATTTCCTCCCATGGCTCACGGAATGGCTCGCTAGATCACACACCCAGAACTCGCATCACATCACGCAGTCTTTCTCGCAGCGGGACACCGCCATCGCTCAATCTCTTCGTCAGTAACGGCGCGACAGCATACATCCCACCTGCGCCCCTTGTCTACCCACCAGTGCAGACTCTTCCTTCCTCGATCATCCCCGATAGTAAAGAGTTGCCACCACCGCCACCGGAACGCTCTACCAAGCGAAAGGAACTCCAAGCTGCAACTATGGGACATACGCCTTCCAAGAGCGAGCTAGAGCGCAATGATTCATTCCACTCCCAAAGTGGGGATAAGCCCTCAGGAACGGGCCCGTCGGAAACTGCCGCCGCAGTACCAGCCATGAAGCGGAAGGCTGTTCCTGGATCAGGTGTCAAGAAGTTTGTCAGTCTGCTTGAACTGAACAGCGGACCTCGTGGCGGGAAGCCTGCTCCTGCTCCCACATCTGCGCCGCGAGAAACAGGCACTCAGCAGGAGGTGGCCAGCAAGACTCCCATCCCAAACGAGGTTTCTACCAATGATCAGCTACCACCCACACCACCCGAGGAGCATTCCATACCATCACCGCCTCGCAAGGCTCTGGTCGGCGTTGGCTTGCCATCAAACCCTCGTACCAAGCAACCAATGTCACCCCTCCACACTCGCGGCAAGAGTAGCACCTGCTTCAACATCCTGAAGGTACTTATTGAACTCCCCCTCCCACCACGCGCAATCCTCCGGTAGCCTCCGCACCGCAAGGTCAGCCATCTATCAGTCCTGCCAAGCCCCTCAGCAGCTGACATGCTGGACATAGGCTCAGAGACCCGCTCCCCCCGTCCCAACGACGAGGAAGGAAGTTACTACGCCTGAACCGACACCATCACCCACGCTGAAACCGGAGATTCGAATGGACAATGAGATCTCCCCCATCAAGCCTCTGCCATCCCCAACCGATGCCCGCCGGCCATTCAGCTATGAGGGACCTGGCTCGCACGAGCAAGGTTCGCCGAAGCAGAAGACCGAGCAGAAAGCCGGAGAAGGAGCCCAGCTCGAAGTCCACAAAGCCACACAAAGCCTCACTCCAGCGACCGTCCTCGCGACCCCAGCATCCCAGCCCTCCCTCCCGCTCCGCACAACCACCCTCGACCCGCCATCACCCAGCCCATCGCTGCGCCCCTCCACCGCCCCCGCGCCACAGTCAACATTCACAACCACGCACCCATTCTCGTCGACCAGCACACTCCCCTTCACAACCACGCACCCGTCCTCATCGACCAGTACACAGCCCAACGCCCAAGAGCCCAGTCCCTCCGACCCCGCCCAGCACGACCAAGGCGCACCATTCATCCCCCTGACCAAGCTCCCCATCCCGCTCCCGCCCAGCCTCATCCCGCGCATCACGCCCTCGCAGCTGGCGTGCTACACGCGCCACGCGACCAACGTGTGGAGCAACAACTTCTTCCAGCCCACGGGCTGCATGGCGTGCGGCGCCAACACTCCGGAGCGCAGGTTTCAGTGCACGTGGTGCCAGCTGCGTATCTGCCGGGGGTGCAGCGACGTGCTGCGCGCCATTCCTGGGCGCGATCTGGGGGTGTTGCTTGAGGCGCGGCAGAGCGAGAGGGAGAGGGAGCAAGAACGGGAGAGGGAGAGGGAGAGTGAAGGTGAGGATAGCGAGGCGGGCGATGCGCATAGCGGGGTTAAGGTCGTGGTGCACGGCGTTGATCAAGAGGTGCGGGGGTACGGGGACGAGGAGGATGGGAGCGAGGGCCGGGGACGGGGTCTGGAGAAGGTTGATTCGCGGGAGAGGAGCGCGGGGAGTGCGCTGCGGGAGTGAGCTGTGCGAGATGAGAGCGGGTGAGCAGAGCGGGCAGAGCGGGTTTCAGAGTGTGTCGATTTCGTGCTGTTGTTGCGCGGGCTGGCGTCCTGGAGGCGTTTACTGACTGGTTCCGCAATTTTTTTTTGTTCATGATCATGTTTATGTGTATACGAAGAAGATACCTGGTCGCTGCGAAGCGCGCGCATTTCATAGACTGAGATATCATACAGCGTTCTGAATCCACGCAAAGTCTCAAATTCGAAAACCATATGGCATTGCGCTCGCTGGGGTATCGGCATGGCTAACTGCACTGAATCATCACTTGCGGTAGGCGTCGTCGTGCCTACTCCATGCTATTGAAATGCTCAACAGGCGCCAGCAAATCCCACTGCAGCCCCGCTCCCGCATCAACAGCGGGCGCCAACTCCTCCAGGCCCATGATAGCATCCATCTCGGCCTCCTCATCGCGCAGGCTCAGCTGATGGAATCGCTGATCAGGGTACCCGTCCAGTGCCTTCATGTGACTGTCCAACGCCGCAGCCTCGGTGAAGTACGGCATGGGCGTCTGCGGCATACTGGGCGTCGCGCTGTCGAACATGAGCTCGTCGCCTGGATCCAAGCCGCCGATCCAGAACTGACCGCCGGCGGCGGCGTCACGCTCGAGGATGGCGGCGGCGGCCTCGTTCTCAGTCATGCTGTGCGTGGCCTTGAGGTGGCGGCGCAGATCGACGTCGCGGTGGAAGCGGAAGGCGCAGTCTGTCTTGATGCACGGGATCTCGCGCTCCTCTTCGTAGCCCACGCCGGTGAGTAGCGTGAGCATAGACGGGTCTTCCTTCTTTCTGCTCTTTGCAGCGAGACGACGCTCTTTGCGGTTCCCCTGTCCCATGTGGTAGGTGCGGATGTGGTTGTCGAGCGAGGACTTGGCTTTGAAGGAGTGGCCGCATGCATTGGAGCCGTCCCAGCTGGCGAGATCGGCGTGCCTTGATTTGCTGACTGCGGTGGGGAGGCATTGGTATCTGAAGACGTGCTCGTGCACGGATTGGATGTGGACGGTTAGGTTGTGCTTGCGGGTGAACAGGGCGTCGCAGTGGGGCTTGGGACACGCGTAGCGAGCGGCGGTGTCGTTGTGGACGGTTTCGGTGTGTGATTTGAGGTTCGCTTCGCTCTTGAACTTCTGGCCGCATTCGGGGCATACCGGGGGGTGGCATTCGATCGAGTGTGCGTGCAGTTCGTCGGCTGTCGCGAAGTAGAGCGGGTTCTTGGGTATTGTTGTGGTGCCAGAGTCAGTCTCAATGGACTCAGCCTCGGTGCCCGGGGTAATGCATAGCATGCAAAAGAGTGCTTCCTCCTCTTCCTCATCTCTGTGGGCCTTGGAGCTGTGCTTTTGCAGTGCGTTTTCCGTCGAGTAGCCCTTCATGCATCTCTCGCTTGTTTCCGGATCGACAAAGGAGCATTGGTACGGCTTGATTGCCCTATGCTGGCTCTTGACGTGTGCCTCCAACGCTGTCTGCTTCCGGAAGGACTCGTGACATGGGGGATACGCGGTGCAGTACAGCTTCGATTCGTGAACGTCTTTGTGTCGCTGGAGTCGGCCGGCTGATGTGAACGTCTTCCCGCACGCTTCCCAATCGCACACGTGCGCCCCGGCTTCAGTCCCCCCGGGATGCGCGTTCCGCAGATGTCGCTGCAGGTGGTCTTTTCGAGGGAACGTCTTGTCGCAGCCAATCTCGGGACAGGCGAACGGCCGTTCCTTGTTGTGGCTGCGCATGTGTGCTTCGAGACGGCAGGGCCGGTTGAAGCGCTGGCCGCAGCCGTCGACCTCGCAGATAAAGTGCCATTGCCTGCGGGCCTCGCTGTCTGCTCTCCGGGCGCCGCTGTCAGTGAAGTTTACTATCTGGTCGGCCGAGTCGTCTGAGGCCCAGCCCAAATCCGGGGAAGCTGCCGCAGGGCCTGTGCATTGTGAGCAAGAGGACGCAACGCGGTGGAGTTGGAGGAAGACGTACCTGTGCGCAACTTCTTCTGCGCCACAGTGGCAGCGCTGCCGTCTGTCTTGCGCTTCACAGCCATTGCAATGCCCGCGGGTGCGTCGCGACGCGGAATCTCCGAGGATGGCGCAGATGGGAAAATTAAGTGGGACGGTGAGCTCGAACTCTTGGCGTGTGGAGCTGATTGGCGGCGCGATTCAATGGATCTATCTTTTTGTCGCCAGCTCTTTGACGTGCAGCAACACAACGCCAGCCCGCCCAACATCGACGCCAGACTCTCCCACGCCCCAAACTACACACACACGCACACGCACACGCACACGCAAACGTTTCGAACGCGACCATGTCTGACTACGGCGGCGACGACGGCGGCTTTGGCGACGACGGCTACGAGTACGTGCACGGCTACCTCGCGCAGCGCAACACGGGCGCATTGGGGGCCCCTAGACTGCGGACGCCGACGCTGACATGAAGCAGTGGCGGCGCCATCGACTTCGATGAGGAAGCAGAGCCCGAAATCATGGACGACGTAGACGACGCCGAGGGCGGCGAGGACCCAGACGTGGACGACAACATCGTAGTGTCGGGAGACGCAAGCGCCGCGACTGCTGCGAAGGACAAGGCCATGAACTCGGTCGACGCCGAGAAGGCGAAGAAGGTGCCCAACGAGAACCGCACAACAACACCGTACATGACCAAGTACGAGAAGGCGCGCGTGCTGGGCACAAGGGCGCTGCAGATCAGGTAGGCAAAGCTAGCGCTAGCAGCATACCTGGCAGGGGAACTGACAGCTACGCAGTGGAAACGCTCCTGTCCTGATCGACGTCGAGGGCATGACAGATCCCCTTCAGATCGCGGCCAAGGAGCTGCGCGAGAAGAAGATCCCCCTCGTGGTACGAAGATACCTGCCCGACGGCTTCTACGAGGACTGGACGTGCGAGGAGCTGCTGATATAGAGTACTGCGCGTCTGAGAGGGTTTGTCTTGGCTGCATTGGGCTTGGAGTTTTGGTAGGAAAACTGACGGGGCATCTTCGGTCTTTGAATGGCTGCGCATCTATACCCCCCGAATCAGAACCGAGTTTCACACAATCCCCAAGTCTTGTCCGCGTATCTACGTGACCGGCTGCGGATCCGACGTCTTGATCCAGTAATTCCGCCCTTAGCTACCCATTAGGTCTACCCCGCTAAGAAGCCCCGCCAACGTCACTTATGAGGACAGCTTCAAAAGTGCCACTGCTTCGAGCATTACTGCTGCACACTGCGACTCCGCGCCTCCACCACCACCACCACCACCACTCCTTCTCGTACCACACCAGACGAGCCATCATGTCTTTCGAAACTACCGGCACCATCGCCTCCTTCGGGGGCAAGCTGCTCCAGCTCAAGCACAAGTCGTCGAGCACCAGCACAGACATGGCCCTGAACCTGTACCTGCCGCCCCAGGCATTGAAGTCTGGCGCAAAGGTCCCGGTGCTGTTCTACCTCTCTGGTCTCACATGCACCGCGGCCAACTGCTCGGAAAAGGGATTCTTCCAGCACGGTGCCAGCAAGCACGGCATTGCCATTGTGTACCCCGACACATCACCAAGTGCGTTGTCTGCCATTGATGCGTGAGTGCTTGACTAATGTCTTGACAGGGGGACTGAACATCGAGGGCGAGGACGAGTCGTATGACTTTGGGTCAGGTGCAGGCTTCTACATCGATGCCACCAAGGAGCCATGGACGAAAGGCTACAACATGTATTCGTACATCACAAAGGAGCTTCCCGACGCGCTTTTCTCACAGTTCAAGGAGCTAGACTCCAGCAAGGTCAGCATCACAGGGCACAGCATGGGAGGCCACGGTGCTTTGACCTTGTTCTTGAAGAACCCCGGAAAGTACAAGTCCGTGTCCGCCTTTGCACCAATTGCCAACCCCATCAACGCGCCGTGGGGCCAGAAGGCCTTCAAGGGGTATATTGGCGACAACGAGGAGGAGTGGAAGAAGCACGACGCCACAGAGCTTGTCAAGCAGTGGAAGGGGCCGCTCGAGATGCTCATCGACGTTGTACGTACCTTCACCGCACACATTGTAATAAAGCTGACAGACGACAGGGCACTGGCGACAACTTCTACAAGCAGAAGCAGCTGTTGCCAGAGAACTTGATCGAGGCAGCCAAGCAGGCCGGCAACGACAAGGGCATCCAGCTGCGCATGCAGCCCGACTACGACCACAGCTACTACTTCATGGCCTCTTTTGCGGATGACCACGTCGAGTGGGCGGCGAAGCACCTGAACGCGTAGTACGTGGATCGAACTGTATGATCAATAGCACGTGCTGATCGCCGTCGAAGCGATTCGAATGATAAACCCAAGCTGTAGGGTCGTGGAATTCGAGAATCACGAAAAAGAAACAAAAGGCGAAATGCACTGTACATAGTCAACACGAATGAACTTGCTGAACATCTCCTCGCTGCCTCGAGACCTGTCAAAGCATCACTCGAAAAGTTTGTGGATCCTGCGCAATAATTCAATGGCCCGTGTCACGCGACGGCGGGCTCGGGCAGCGGTTGACAGCCCACCAAAGCTCGGCACATCACATTTGACGGGCAGCATACACACGCCAGCTGCACATCAACAAAGGGCCAACAACACCTGTCGTGCGTGCTCGAGCGTAAAGGAAATTTGACCTGCTAGCTCCGGTTTTTCTTTCCAGCTCGTTCACCAGCACCCCTGCACATCGCCTGCACATCACTCGAGCGTGCCCCGCCGAAGCCTACTTTCACCGCCCGCAACATTCCCACAATGAAGTCCTCGCTCCGCCCAAGCACTCGGTAGCACATCACATCACTTCGAAACGACCCTGAACCATACTGTACACGCCCCTGTATGGTTGAGTCCCTCACCGACTGCCCTTGACTATACATACATCTTACCGCATCGAGACGGCGGAGGAAATGGAGGCCCAGGTACGTTGTCACATGCCTGCACTGCACAGATCTTTACTGACGCTCGTTGCTCCTGCAGGTCGAAAATGCCATCCAAATCGCCTCGGACCCGACCTCGAGTCAGCAGCTGCGCGGCCAGGCCATAGACTACCTCAACCAGCTGCGAGCAGAAGGCACAGCATGGCAAGCCGCGCTGGCGCTATTCATCCGCGACCCTCGTCCGTCGGACATCATCCGGCATACCTCGCTCGACCTCGTCAACAACGCTATCCAAGAGCACCGGCTCGACGAGCGGAGCCTCGCATACATCAAGGATACGCTCATGAGTCACGTCCGCCAGTCGTATGCGCCTGGCAGTAGCTCGACCGACACGAACCATATACAGAACAAGCTGATGCAGACTATGACTTATCTCTTTGTAGCGTTATACCCTTCTTCGTGGCAGTCCTTTTTCGACGATTTTCGCTCTCTCGCTGGCGACCAGGGAGTCATCGGCAGTGCAAACACGGCTACAACTTTTCTCTACCTGCGCGTGCTTGGTCAAGTACACGACGAAATCGCCGATCAACTAGTTGCGAGGCCAGAGGACGAAAAGAAGCGCAACACCGAGCTGAAGGATCTGATTCGACAACGAGACGCCCAGAAGATTTCAGTATCATGGCAGGAGATCCTCGGCAAGTGGAGGGAGATTGATCTCGGACTCGTCGATATGTGCCTGCGCACAATTGGTCGATGGGTCAGCTGGACAGATATCAATCTTATTGTAAACCAGTCCATGATCGGCACGTTCCTGGAGATGGCGGGACAACAGGGCATCAACGATCCCGAGAGCCCAGCTGGCAGGGTGCGCGATGCAGCTATTGACACCTTTTCCGAGATTGTGGGCAAGAAGATGAGCCCGGGCGACAAAATCGAGCTCATCTTGTTTCTGAATCTTTCAGACGTCGTGGGCCAGCTCCTGGGAAGCCCAGCGCTCGCGGAGTACAACAGCCCCAACTACGACAACGATCTTGCGGAGACTGTAGCGAAACTCGTTAACAACATCGTATTCGACGTTGTGAAGATCCTGGAGAGCGACGCCGCCAACGACCAAACCCGCCAGCGAGCCGATGACCTTATTCGAATCTTCACGCCTTACCTCCTGCGCTTCTTCGCCGATCAATACGACGAAGTCTGCTCCACCGTTATCCCAGCTCTCACCGACCTCCTCACATTCCTGCGAAAGCTTCAGAAGAAGAACGGCACCGTACCACCGCAATACGCAGCCATACTGCCACCTGTGCTGGACGCCATCATTGCGAAGATGAAGTACGATGATACCGCAAGTTGGGGCGAGGAGGACGAGCAAACAGACGAGGCGGAGTTCCAGGACTTGCGGAGACGTCTCCACGTTCTGCAACAGACCGTGACAGCCATCGATGAGCCGTACTACATTGAGACCCTCAGCCGTGTAGTAAATGGGACCTTTGGACGTCTATCACAGGGCGACCAGAGCTTGAATTGGCGTGATCTTGAGTTGGCCCTCTACGAGATGTACTTGTTCGGAGAGCTTGCAGTGAGGAATCAGGGCTTGTACGCAAAGCGTGAGCCTTCTTCTGTTGCTGCTCAGCAGCTTGTGGGTATGATGCACAGCATGATTGACTCAGGTGGGTGCATTCCAGACTGGACGTGTAGCACGCAGTACTGACATCTTCAGGTCTAGCTAACTACTCACACCCCGCTGTCCAGCTTCAGTACATGGAGATCTGCGTCCGGTACTATCAATTCTTCGAACAGAACCCTCAGCTCATCCCCAAAGTTCTAGAGAACTTCGTGACTCTGACACACAGCAACCATGTCAAGGTCCGCTCGCGATCGTGGTACCTCTTCCAGCGCCTAGTCAAGCACCTGCGAGCCCAACTGGGCAACGTTTCTTACAACATCATCCAGGCTGTTGGAGACTTGCTCACAATCAAGGCCGAAGTCCCTGATAACTCTGAGGATGACATGTCTTCGGACGAGGATGACCAGTCTGCGGATGCCCTGTTCAACTCTCAATTGTATCTCTTCGAGGCTATTGGCTGCATCGCTTCTGCAAACACAGTATCAACAGAAAACAAACAGCTGTACGCTCGCACGATCATGAGTCCTCTGTTCGCCGACATGGAGCAGGCACTTCCTCGGGCCCGCAACGGAGACGAACAATCAATTCTCCAGACCCACCACATCATCATGGCCCTAGGTACTCTCGCGCGTGGGTACTCTGACTGGGTGCCTACGGCAAACAACAGCACCGCACCGCTCACCGAAGTTGCCGACGAGTTCACCAAAGCTTCTGAAGCCATTCTCGTCGCACTTCAATCCCTCAATACCTCCGGTTCGATCCGCCACGCCGCACGCTTTGCTTTCTCCCGACTCATATCGGTTCTCGGCGCAAGACTCCTGCAGCAGCTTCCATCTTGGATCGAGGGCTTGTTGTCTCTCAGCTCCTCCATGGACGAAATCAGTACTTTCCTCAAGGTTCTTGCCCAGGTCATCTTCACTTTCAAGTCGGAGATTGCAAGCATCCTAGACACTGTCATGACTCCAGTCCTGCAGCGCATCTTCACAGCGCTCGCTGTGACACCATCAGGGACAGACGACGAGATCCAACTGGCTGAGCTCCGCCGCGAATACCTGAATTTCATCACTGTTGTTCTCAACCAGAACCTTGGCTCTGTGCTCGTCAGCGCAACCAACCAAGCAACATTCGAGCCTGTGGTTTCGTCAATCGAGACGTTCGCCCGCGACACACGCGACTACCAGACCGCACGCCTCGCCATCTGCGTCATCATCCGTATGATCAACGTCTGGAGCGGCCCCGACAAGGTCGGACCCGGCGCGAACGCTACACCTACGACTCCGAGCACCGAGCCCCTCCCTGGCTTCGACAACTACGTGGTCGAGCGTTTCTCGCCTCTCGTGTGGTCCATCCCTGCCTCACCCGGCTTCAACTCCAAGGACGCGCAAGCCAAGCAAGTCCTCCACGAGACGGCCAACCTGCAGACGGAGATCATCAAGAAGGTCGGCGAGCCCTACGTCGAGCGCCTACGCAGCGACTTGAGTGGCATGGGTGTTGGCGGCGACGTCGTGGACCAGTACCTGCGCACACTGGCGGGCGCTTTCGAGGGCGCCAAGAAGGAGAAGGAGTGGAGGAGCTTCTTTGCGCAGTTTGTGGAGCGCGCCATGTCAGCGCGGACATGAAGAGCCATAAATGTGGATAGGACGAGCAAGGGAGGTTTCCTATGTATCCCACCAAGATGGCGGCATCATCGGCGCGCATTGGATGGCATTGGCTTGTTTTCGAGATAACCCCATATAGCACCAGTTCGCTTTAGCTGGAATCAGACTTTCAACTTCAAAAGCCCGTGAACCCGGCGTGATGCAAAGTTACCAGTCCCTGGATAACTAGACCCATCTATCCCATGTCTCTCTCCAACCCGTCTTATCGATAGGTACGGTAGCCCGCGGGCAAGCCTTGCAGAAACTCCACCGTCATGATTCCTCCCCGCGTCCGCGTCCGCGTCCGCACACGATGAACCCGTCAACCCGCATTCCCCCGCTGCTACAACCCTACATCACGCTGCCCCGCGCCGACGCACAGCTCCTGGTCACAAGCACACTGGGCGCCAGCGCAAACTGGCTGCTGGTGCGGATCCTCTGCGACGCGCTGGGCAGCGGCAGCGCGCAGGATGGCGGCCACAACGTCGTGCTCGTGTCGTGGATGCGCGACTACGCCTTCTGGCGGCTGGAGGCGCGCAAGGGCGCGGGGCTGGATCTGGAGCGGTTGAGAAGGGAGAAGCGGGTTGTGTTTGTGGATGGGCTGGGTGGGTTGGTTATGGGCGGCGAGCGGGATGCGCAGATGCAGACGTCGCAGGCACACACTGGCCTGCTTCCTGCGCGGACGACGCCGGTCGCTGATCCGCCGCAGAGGACGGGGAACATGTTGCCTGCGCGAGGACCGCCTGGACGCGCTGTACCCGCCCGAGGGCCGCCAGCACCCACACAGCCCGCTCGCAGCCAGACAGCAGGCGACCTGACGCTGACATCGCTGGACCTCGCCCACCTCAAAGACACGCTCGCACGTGCCGTGACCTCGCTCTCGGCGCTCACGACGACGCGCAGAACGCTCCTCATCCTCGACAGCCCAGACGCCTACCTCGCCCTCTCCTCGACACCGACCTCGTCCTTTGTGTCCCTGCTCCTGCAGCTGCACACTCTTCCCGGTGTCTCCCACATCCTCACCCATCTGCACGCCGACACCCCCCTGTTATCGCCCTCAGCACCCGCGCAACCGCTCGAGATTAGCCAGTTCAACCTGCTGACTAAGATCGCGCACATGAGCGCCAGACTGATCGGGACCAGGGTGCTCGACACGGGCGTTGCGCGTGATGTGTCGGGCGTGGTCAGAGTCACCGAGCAGCGGACTGGGTGGCAGGACCTGGGGTTAGAGGAAGAGGGCACCTCGACCGAGGACGACGCCGGGAAGGGCAAAGAGTTTCTGTACCAGATCAAGGGGGATGGGAGTGTGAAGGTTTTCGAGAGGGGGGCTGGGGGCGAGAGCTGAGTCTCATGCAAAAGCTCAAATCAAAGAAAGACAAAACAGATGACCAAGGCTGCACATCTTCAGTCTTGTTCTCGTTTTCTTTCTTTCTGATTTTTTTGCGCTTTTTCTGCTGAAGTTGTACCTATCGTACATACTCCGCCACCGAGGACCATCAAGGGTCAAGAAGCCGAATGCCTCCTTGCTCAGGCTTGTCTCTACCATCCTTTCAACCGACTTGTCCCTCTTTGGGCCACCGCCTGTCGTGCATCCTGACCTCGCAAGAACTCATCCTATGGTTCCAGTACTGACGGCGATGCGACAGGCAGCGAACCTCTGCGTTCCTTGCTGGACTCTGCTACTTCCACTCCACTTTGTACACCAATCTCATGCTGCTGCTCGCTTGCTGCCATCGCCTGAGGATCTCCAAAGTCCAGGTTGAGCATCTCTCCAATCCGAGTAATACCTTGATTCGTTTCCGCAGTACCCAACTCGTCTGTTGCCCCGGGCTTGTTCGCGCGATGCTTACGTCGACGCTGCTCGTGCACGACGTCGAGCTGCATTGCCTTGTTTCCAGTCGCCAGCTTGCCCAGCTCGCTGTGGAAGATCCACGGGAACGACATCAGTGGCATGCTCTCGGCGTCTTTGTTACGTACGGGCACTTGTTGACCTCCAACCGTCTTGGTCATGTTGCACTCCTTGAGCGCGTCCCTCGTCTGTTGCGCGCTCACCGTGTACATTGCCGCGACGAAAGGTCCGATCTGGCCCCAATCGACAATAGTGCTGGCTCCAGAGGCGTGGATGCACATTTCCTTATACTGTAACTTCAGGACTCTGATGATCTGACCGAACTCTTCGGCAAACTTGTAATCGCGCGTCTCTTCATTGTGCTCCAAAACAAACACCGAGAAAGCTTCGAATTCTGTCTGGATACCGTGCTTGGCCATCAGCCTCTTCAGGTCATTGTCGTACTTCGATTTGATATTTGCGACCATATCCAGTAGAGCTTCGTCTAGGTCAAAGGCGTCGAGAATTCGTTGGTCAAACTTGTCCTCCCACATGGGGAGGAAGTCTACCAGCTGCACTTGATCATACAACATACCCAAGATATTCTTGGACTGATATATCTGGGCTGCGGTTAGATGACGCTTCTCCATGAAGTGTGGCCATTTCTTCGGCCTCAGCGCGTGATCCATGACAGCCGGAATACCGCTCTTTGGATAGTCGACCGCTTGAGAATGTAGCTTGGCAAGCTCTATGCAGATATCGCTAGTGACGCCCCCGGATTGTTGGTCAGCCTGTGCCAGGTGCGCGTGTGCAATTTTACCAAGCGAATCATTCTTCATGTACGTTACGAAAAAGTCGCCGACAGCTCGGATATCGATTGGGCCATTCTGCTCCACGGGCTTCTCAGGCGTGAAATCCATTGGCGGAACGTTGATGAGTTTCGGTAGCAGGTCCTTGTCCCACAACACCATGTAATCATCGCCATCGAGGTCACCTCCCGAGCACATGTTTGCGAGATCGCGGTCGCCAGTTTGGGGTAAAACAACCACATTCTTGTGATGGTGCAGTGCTGGGACATCGACTGCGCGAACGATGCGAATATCGCCGGGATGTAGTGATGGGTTTCGAGCGAGTATACAAACGCCCTTGATGACTTTGTAGTGGCATTTCCTGCTTGTGTCATCAACTTGAATGAAGATCTCGGGTAGTGTGCGAAGCTTTTCGTCCCTAGTGGCGTCGTGGCGAGACTGAGGCTCATCGCGATGGCCTTGCAGTATGCCGGACTCGTCAATGCAGCCCAATACGAAGGCACCATTATCAATGACAATCCGAGCCTTCTTCTTGAGCTCTTTGATCGTACTGGCGCGCCAAAGATGCAAGAGAGACATCATGAACGGCTCCTGAGTATCAAGGAATCCGTCTAGAACCATGCTGGCCATTGTGAGGGTCGTCTGGTTCATGTCTATATGGTTCAGAAGGCATTTCAGTGCTTCAGTCTTGTCCATCATGGCCAGCTCGCAAGCGTTGATCATCTGTTGTTGCTTCCGAATGAAGATATGGTCTGGCACACCTAGATCTGACAGCACGATGATAACCTGTCGGTTGAAGAACGGTGTAGCGAGAGATGAGCAGCGGATGATCTCGAGTCCATTGTACGGGGCCTTGAACTTGAACTGACTCGGCCTGATGTGGACCTCTGTCTTCTTGATAGCCGGGTCAAGAGCAAGTACACCCTTGCAGCCACCCAGACGGAATTGATACAAAGATGGCGGGTCATCGAAAGGGTTCTGCAAGCCAAGGTCCTGCGCCGCCATCTGAGCCAGGAAGAGAGATAGTTTTCCAACACCATCGGTGAAAGTGTATCCGTTACGCTCGATATCATCGATGGCATGCACGGCGACGGTAGTTTGCATGGCTCGAGTGGTTGAGAAGCACTGTCCAATTCGGGCACCATACTTGGCGACAGACTTGATATCGCTGAAGTCACCCAGTGTCACACGGATGTCATGCGCTGACTTGGTGGACGTCGGTGAGTAGAAGTAGGCACCAGCTTCTCGAAATTGGGAATTTCCGAAAGCAAGGAACTCGTAGTATCGACCAGCGACGACAATACCGTTTTTCATCGCACGGCTCACTCTGTTGAACAGAGCATCATGTCTGCCTCCGGACATGTTCCTTAAAGCACCTTCACCCTTCTCATCTGTGAACTTTACCCGGATGAAGCGATCGGAATCCGCAAGGTACTGGCGAGTGATCCTGTTGGAGATCTCCATGACTGGTGACGCGACATGCATCATGGTGGGTGTAATGTTGACAGATCGTTGCATTACACAATGTTTGGGAATGAGCCTTTGAGGCGTCAGCTTTGTGCGTGTCTTGAAGATATCCATGGGATCGTAATAGACGCGCTGCTTACGGACAACCTTCTCAAGTATGTGGGTGGCGTGAGAAGGATCCAATGCTCGAAGGTCTTCGAGAAACTTGCGGGTGATGTTACTCTCCTTGATGAAGCCGTTCGACAAACAGGATTCGAGCTGATAGCGTACTGGGAAGTTCAAGTGGACAAGACCGAAAGCAAGATCGTCAAAGATTGAGGATGTTGTCTGCAGAGCTTGAAGAGAAGAGAGTGTTCCCGTGTATTCTTCTTCCAACATTGTGGCGAGGGGAGACGGTCGCTCTGAGCTTATGTCGAATTGATCGCAGTCTTTAAGCGCTACGCCGAAGTCACCGAGGGCGTTACGGAACTCTTCGAACTGTGCCCCGGACAGAGTGCTTGAATCGAAGCACAATTGGTAGGTGGTCCAGCGGCCTGGTATCGTGTGAGTGCTAGTTCCTCATGGAATGGCTGCCATCTTACCTATGTCGATGATCGCTGAGCCCCTGCCGTCCGAGAGTGGCAGTGTCTGCATACATCCCCTTGTGCGGCCGTCGATAACGTCAGTCTCGCGGAACATCGTACTCCAAACACTCCAGCTACGCTCTTTTGTAGGAAACATGCTGTCGTCTTTCGTCGTTGGCTTTTTCTGGACAAAGAACTGAGGAGGTCGGTCGAACGGTATGATTATAGAAGACGATCTACGTCCATCCTCTGTCTTGTGAATACCTGAGAGCTGTGAGATTGGTAATTGGAAGGAACAGGTATGTTTCTGTTTGTCAATCGTAAGAGGAAATTGCACCTCGACCTCTTTGCGTCTCAGATTGAGCTTGATCTGGACTTCGCCGGCGGCGTGCACTTCGTGCATGTTCACCAAGCTCTTTTTTTCTGTCTGTATTCCAAAACTGATGTAGTTCGCATAAAGAATGTTGTTCTCCTGATACTGTATTGCTGAGTTGACGGGGCTGGGGACGGTGAATAGGGTGGGATGCCGGACCTCATGCTTTCGACCGATGCAGAGCTGAGGTGGGAGCTTCTTGGGAGGAGGCCTGTAGTCATACATTAGCGAAGAACTCGTAAGACGTATAAATCGACGTACTGGAAGACCACCCATGCGTTATTGTCCCGGCTGCCGGCTTCCATGTCGATTCTTGTCACATTGCCATAATTAGACACAGCGAAATAGACGTCTTTGGTCCATTGCTTCTTGGTAATACCCAAGATCTTTACCTTCAATTCCTGCTGCAAGGCCCAATGACCTCGAGTGTTGCGAGTCAGAGGCCGGTTGGATGTGTTTTGTGTATTCGCACGCTGGCCAGGGCTGTTGGTCCGGAAGGCCCGTGAGACAGGTGTTGACGGCCTCGGTGAGCTGGTAGCCGCCCTTAGTCGAGGCTTGTACGTTTCTTTGATCTGCTGTCCGTTTAATGAGAAGGTGGGTCTCTCGCTGGTGCGTGTCTCTGATGCCATAGGTGATTCGGCTCCGCTAGGAGTTACACGCGGTAGCTCCGGAGTCTTCAAGTGGCTGACTCGATTCGAAGGCCTGATGACAGGTCGTGTAGGACCATCTTGATTGCTAGAGCCACCAGAACTGTTCAAGTATGTAGGACCGTCCGAGCTGTTACCATCGCCTTGGTAGCCATAGCTTCTGTAGTCGCTCTGCACACGGCCACTAGTCTGCCGACGCATGATGCAGGCTGTGAGCGAGATCAGGCCTCAGCGACCCTCACTCGGAAGAATTTTATTTACTACCGCTAAGTGTGGTAATGCGTGTAGGGTATGCTGGCTCGATGGTGGGAGTGGTGTGGGCGAAGTCGGTCAAGTGAGTAGGAGGGCAGCTTGCTTACCAGCGCGCTTGTTCGCGAAAAGCGAGCAGAACGTTGAGTATTAGGTGGTGAGAATCGTTTGTTTGCGACTGCCAATTCGGTCAGGCAAGGGGCGATGGATGGGCGGCGATGAAGCGGACAGGTGAAGGCGCGCACGCTCGTATTGCAGCGCAACTGATCTCGCAACGCGATATATAAGCGCCACTTGATCGATCTGACCAAGCTACAGCTGTGAAGTTAAGTGAGTCGACTTGTTGTTTGTTGTTTGGAAGAATGGTGCTGGTGAGGAAGCCGCAAATTGAGCTCGCTAGCAAATAGTAGGCAGAAACCGAGGCGGACAGCCTCCACGAGAACTGATACCAGAGCCTCAGAGAAGGAATGTTGGAATTTAGTTGAAGTCCGAGAATGATGGTAGCGGATATCTGAGCGTTTGCATGAGAGGGTGAAGTGGTGCTTCGACAAGAAAGCGCCGAGGGTGACTGGCGAGAGGATTATCGTGAAAGGTAGAGCTCTAGGATAGATGACTTTAACATTTGGAGAACGGTCGTAGTCGCTCGAGTAGGCGCCTAGGAAGTCAAATCGAGAGGATTCAAGTAGAGCGATTGGCCAGAGAATTCATAGCCATGACTTTGTAATTGAGAGCACGCTAAACGAATGAAGGCAGATAATTGTACGCAAGTGAGACTGAGATCTGGAGCATTGACACTTTGATCGACCCTTGAACGGCTTCGTAAGCAGGTTTCTGTGGGGCTGAGACCGCCATTACAAAGGTCATCCACATGAACAAACAAGGCTTCAAGACAGCCTCAGAGCTCTGTTGTTGTTGCCTCGTCGTCTCCTGGGAGTCTCCCAGTACCCGATGCGAATGCGCCCGGCGTGAACGGCGTCCCTGCCAGGAAATCATCCATATCAAAGTCCTCTTGAGTTACGCCGTGGATACTTTCTCGCCTCTTGTGTATCGAGGGGGGTTCCTGAGTCTGTTCTTGATCTTCGGTCTGGGAAACTCCGGCGAATCCCACGGTTGTGTACCTGCGATTAGGGGACATCTGTCGCAGAGCAGATCGCTTGATGGGCGACAGTTTCTTCGACGTCGAGCGTGAAGCAAGAGCCGGTCTTTGATTGAAGGGCGTCTGCATCGTAGGCACTTTGAAAGACGGGTGAGGCTTCTGGCGCTTAGGCGTCGAGCCATTCTGCGGCTCTTGGCTCGACGAAGCGAAAGATGCTTCAGCAGAGTTTTCCATCGCAGTATTGGTGAAGTCCTGGGCTATTGCGGAAGCCCTCAATGTTACATCCTGGGTCTGGATGGCTGACTTGCGACGACGGTGCTCTCGCGATCCTCGTGGACTTTCTGGCACCGTGCCATCCTTCTGGGATCGAGACGCTGAGCGAATCGCCAAAGGGTTCTGTGTTGCAAGGCCCATCGAGGCTAATACATTTCTTCGCAGAGTTCGTAGCTCCTCTAACTCCTCTTCTTGCTCTCCGCATAACACGTCAAGCTCTTGTGCTTTCGTTTCCAGTGTCGAGAATGTGTTCTGTAGAGTATGCAGCTCTCTCCGGGTCTTATCGTGGGCATCCTTCAGATGTCGATTGATTTGAACAATATCCGTAAGCTTGCTATTCAGCTTGTCACACTCCTCTCCTGCTCTTATGGCAGCAGATTCCATATCAGTCGTGTACTTGGCCTCCATATCCCTCAATGCTTCATCAGAGGACTGTCTGAGCTCCTGATGACTGACTTCGAGACCACTCAGCTGCTCTGTGATCGCTTCTAGTTCTAACTCAGTGGTCTGAAGCTGACACTCGAGGTTGATGCCACGCTCTTTAAGCCTTAGTATTTCCTCCGATTGCTGGAATTTTGCCACGCGCTCGTCGTCTAGCTGGCGGCTAGTGTCGCCCAGGCGAGTCTGCAGATCTTCGTATCGCTCACCGAGAGCACGAAGTTCTTCTTCGGTATGCTCCGAAGTATTTCTCACCTTGCTCAGAGTGCTGTTGAGCTCTCTCAAGCTGCTTTCCCGGGTCTGAAGTTGCTCTTCGTGATTCAAGATTGTTGAGCGCAGCTCAAGCTCTCGAGCATTGAACTCTTCCCTGGCGATACGCAGAGCCATATCAGCATCTCGGTTGGCCTCCTTCATTTGCATTCGAAGCTCGTCCAGTCTGGCAGAAACGCGGTCTTTTTCATCTGCAAGACCAAGCTTTTCATCCTCTAGCCCATCAAGATGGAATCGATCATCTGCCGCTTGCGACTCAAGTGAAGACACTTGCTCACTGAGCTCTTGTACGCGCTGCTCAAGCTCTTGTGATCTTGCTTTTTCCTGCCGTAAGGGCTCCTCCACGGTACTACAGCGCGTTTCAAGATCCTGGCAGATCTGCGCCACCGAGCGTACAATGGAGTCACGCTGATATGAGTTCTGGCTTTCTAGCTCAGAATTCAGGCGGGTTCTCCAATCTTGCAGGTGCTGGCCGGTGAAAGGGGTCGACTTTTGCTGGAATAGCGATATCGAATTTTCATTCGGACTGCTCGCCGCATGTGAGCACTGCCTCAGGATGTGAGGGAGCTTACGCTGCCTTTTGATTAATCCAAGGGCGAGGTGAGGCGACAATGACAGCTCCTCAGGGCGCGCTGCAATGGCGAGATTCAGGATCAACGACATCGTAGCGGCGAGTACCTCCTGGTGCAACGAAGCGACGTACGTACAGCACCCGAATTCTGTGGCCAGTGTATCATTGCGTACCAAGTTCCAAACCTTCCCCTGCAATGATGAAGATGACAGAGCCTGGAGTAGTTTCGTGCTCAAGACTGGACAGGTCAAAGACACAACAGACAAAGTGTCCGCCAGTATGACAAGACTGTTCCGCGGACGTGATGTAGAGCCTGAGGCGCAATCGTCAAGCGTGTCCGAAAGTAAAGTTCGGAATAGACTGTCTTGCATTTGAGGCTATTAACATCAGCCAGGTCAAAGCTCGTAACCAGCGTCCGACTTACAGCATAGATAGGAAGAGAGACCAGCAGAACCTCCCGCAACGCGTCCGAGTCTGCGAGCTCCTTGAGTGTAGCTAAGCAGCGCTGGTATTGTATTACGATCTCCATGGGAAGGTCGTTCGCTCCTGTTATCATGGCGAAGAAGCACAGAGCTTCAAGTTGAATTGCCGGACTGATGCCCTCACGCAAGATCTTTGCCGGGAGCTTGGGAAAGATGTTCTTCGCCAGTGCGCTGGAGCTCGGCCAACCTGCTCGTACTTCGGTCTCCACGAAGCTCAAGGTTCTTACCGCGATGCGTATGCCTTCGATGGCCTCAGCGTCTGAAACACCAACGTCGCCCTTGATCGCCCAGATCACACTGAGGTAGGTCAAACTGATGGTCTTGTACAGCCCAGTTAGAGAGCCGAACAGTTTGCGCCCGGATGCTGTCTTCCATTGCCTGTCAAGACCTGCTGTCGACGTTGGCTGGTCGAGACCAAATTTCTGTGATTCACTGAACTCTTCGGGATGCTCCGCAAGAATGACTATCCCAAAGCACCACAGCAGCAACATGGAGTTCTGTCCGGTTCCATTGGATGACAAGATGTGACATAGCTCTCGATCGAACTGCTGTCGAACCTCGGCAGGCATGAGACTGAGAAGCTTTCGGCAGGCCCCATTGAGCATACTGTAGACAGGCTGGAGGGTGCTTACGTCTGGATTCTGCGAGGCTCGCTCGAAAGCACGAAGGAAAAACGTTTGAGCAATTGCAGGTAACGCGATAGTCTCCGGCAGGGGTCTTGACAAGAGCTGCACGCAAAGGTCTAGGTACTGAATGGAGTCAGTATAGTCCATGAACCTACGGGACAACACTTACATCCTCGAAGTCCCGTTGCGAGGAGTTCGCTTTGGTAAGTAAAACGTTGAGTAGACCTGGGCTTTGCACCAATAGCTTCTCAGTGAACTCTGAAGAACAACCTTCATCGAATTAGTTCGGTTCCCAGATGTAAGGGCTGATGGTACATACAGAGAAGCTGCAATACATGTGTCGTGTACGCCCATAGTGGCAGAGCATCGCAAATAAGCGTAGCCAACCTTGTTACTGCACACGGAGATCGATCGTTAATGCAGGCTTGTATGATCACAGCATCTGCACGAATAAGGAGATCTTCTAGTTTCTGTGGTATCAGCGCATTAATATCTATATACAAGCTGCGTATGCGGGTAATACTCACAGACAACGAAGCCGGGTATGGGCACTCAATAATCCTCGTTAATTCCGATGATAACTCTGATCTGATAGTCGCCTCCATGATGGGTCGGCTCGGGCTGTGCGAAGTAGGGCAGATGCGCGTGGTAGAGCGTGTTCGAATTTGTTTGGGGCGATAGCGCTGCTCGGGCAACCGAACTGCCGAGACCGCGAAATGCTCGCGCTCTCACGTTTCAACAGCAGCCATCAGTCGCCAAACCCAATTCTCCTTTGCCCATTGTGAAAGAGGAGATGTCATCCTGTTTTTTTTTAACCACTCTGTCCTCATTCCCAGTCGGCGGGCGCAGCGCGGGCGCTTCGGTGCTTTGGGCAGCTGCTCATGTGGAAGCGCTTCACCAGCCGTCCATGACTTCCGAAGACGCCTGGTTTTAGCGCAGGCGTGCGGCATTTGAACTGGTTCGACGCCCCGCTGTCATCGATCACAGAAGCCCTAAGATCGCATCGAGGTGCAAGAGTGGGATGAGGGATGCAGCTTGTACCCCCACGCCTCCTCTCAGCCAGCGTGCATGCCCTGCACCGACATGGGTTCGGTGTTGTCATGAGTAATTGTATCACGGACACCCAATGACCACTGACGAGTGTTTTCCATGCATGCTTTTCCGCATCTGCAGGGAATCTTTGGAGCCTTACCTCCAGCTCTTGAGGATTCCCTATGATCCGAGCCAGCGGCTAGCATCTGCTCACTGCTCAACATCTCTAACTACCTACTTATACGAGTTCGCGTCTCGTATGCATCGGCTACAGATCAAAGTTGCCTCATCACGCGATGGCGACAGGTCCGAACGTTACCCGGTTTCTCGTTCACAATGCACACCATCGTTGCCCTGGTCTTCCCCGCAATGGCCTTGCTTTTAACAGGCCCCTTGCAGATGATCATGCAGCACATCTTTCGCACGTTACTGCACGAGCCGCAAATTTTGGGCGGTATGATCAAACATCGTCAGCCTCCCACGTCTAGGGGCCTTTGTGGCATTACCTGTGCGCCGCAGCTCGACATGATGCCCGCAAGACGAATAGCGCCAACAGCGTCTAGTCCGAGGTTATCCCCGCCCTCGACCCGCTTCTTGGAGGGTTCCCAACCCTTGAAGGGCCGTTGAGTCCCACTGCGGTGCTCTACTTCATGCCTCTATTCCCGTAGGTACGAGTTCACCGCGTGACCCCCAGGGACGTTGAAAGTGAATTCTGCCTTTTAGTCTCACCAGCCGCCGCACAGCTTACCCTGGTCTCACTCTGTGGCCTTCACTGACCTCACCATGTTTCGTCAACCGGCTGCGAGATTAAGACAGTCTACCCTGCCCCTTATCAGACGTGGCAGCTCACGACCAAGAACGACTGGACCGAGCGAAAGTATCAAGCCTGGACCCGTACATGTCCAGAAAGCATTTTGGACAACAGGCAGGGTACTGCTGTTCTCGGCTTTCACCGGCACAGCGACCTACTTGTATGGAATCAACGATGCTTCGAAACTACAGCTACCATGGATGAAGTCTACAGGGCCGCAGTATGCTCCCAAGAAAGATATGGAGAAGGCAGACTACCAAGTACAACGGCAGTAATGTAGTTTTACTAATGATGCCTAGGCAATCAAAGAGCTGAGAGCAGCATTTGGTGAAGATGCCATCAGTACGGATGATGAAGACCTCCATAGGCACGGCTACTCAGAGTGGTCATCAATCAACATCGATCAGCTTCCCGTCGCAGTCGCCTACCCCAAGTCCACAGAAGAAGTGTCACAGCTTGCGCAAGTGTGCCACAAATATAAAATTCCCATGAGTATGATCGAGAAGCGTCTTCAAAAGCCCAAGACTGATCTCTCATAGTCCCATACTCCGGAGGTTCCAGTCTCGAGGCCAATTTCTCCGCACCATTCGGCGGCATGAGCATCGATTTCGCATTTATGGACCAGGTGCTTGCGCTACACGCCGATGAGTAAGTTCAATTGTCTGGTGAGGTTAAGCCGCGACGAGGCTGATGTGAGAGTTGTAGTATGGACGTTGTGGTTCAGCCCTCTGTGCCATGGATGAGCCTAAACGACCAGATCAAAGACTCCGGTCTGTTCTTCCCTGTGGATCCTGGGCCATCTGTAAGTGACGCATTTTCGAGATTTCGATGTGCATTAGTACCTCCCAGACTTGTAATCCGGATCTCGCTAACGATCAGGATAGGCCAGGATCGGTGGTATGGTCGGCACAAGCTGCAGGTAACAACATCAACGATAATATGCAAGGACTGCGCTGAGTTCTTGAAAGTGGAACAAATGCCGTACGATATGGCACAATGAAAGAATGGGTCATCAACTTGACTGTAGTCCTTGCTGATGGTACGGTCATCAAGACAAGGAAGCGGCCAAGGTAGGCGATCTTCAAATGATTGAATATGCACAGTGCTGACACCGCGTAGGAAATCGTCAGCCGGCTACAACCTCACAAACCTCTTCGTCGGTTCAGAAGGCACGTTAGGCATTGTCACCGAGATCACACTGAAGCTGGCAGTCATCCCTCCAGAGACCAGTGTTGCTGTTGTTACATTTCCCACTATCCGCGATGCAGCAGCAGCAGCCTCTAAGGTCCTACGTGCAGGTATCCCCGTAGCTGCAATGGAGATTATGGATGATGTGCAGATGGGTGTGATTAACAAGGCTAGATCAACGCACAGGAAGTGGAAGGAGGTACCCACCATGTTCTTCAAGTGAGTCTTTGCCGTTCAGCGCAACTCTCGGATCAAGACTGACTGTTGCAAACAGATTCTCCGGCACTAAAGCAGGAGTGAGTCTTGCTACCTATACAATAGGTGATAGGCAAGCTAATTGTGACAGGTGCGAGAAAACATCCAGCTAGTAAAGGACATCTCGAAGCAGCACAAGAGCGGTGACTTCGAGTTTGCAAGAACCGCCGAAGAAGGCAAACAACTCTGGTCAGCGCGCAAGGAGTCTCTTTGGAGCATGATGGCGATTCGAAGAGAAGGCGACGAAGTCTGGTCAACAGACGTTGCTGTCCCAATCTCAAGACTGCCAGATATCATAGGTGCGTGGTGTACGCTCTTGACAGTGGTAGCATTGTACTAACATCATTGCAGAGATTTCGAAGAAGGAAATGGACGACCTCGGTCTCTTTGCCAGCATCCTGGGCCATATTGGAGACGGCAACTTCCACGAGAGCATCATGTACAACGGCAAAGATCCCAAGGAGCGTGCAGCTGTTGAGAAGTGTGTACACGACATGGTTGAACGCGCTCTTGAGATGGAAGGTACTTGCACCGGCGAACACGGCATTGGTTTGGGAAAGAAGGCGTCTCTGCAGAAGGAGCTCGGATTGGACACGATCAACGTTATGAGGAGCATCAAGAGCGCGCTTGATCCGTATTGGCTCATGAACCCGGGAAAGATCATGGATGCAAAGGCTTGAGCGTGTCATAAATCAACTCTGCAGCATAACTTAGGCGCATGCCAGTTCGCATTGGGAGGCTGTCTGACGATACGGCATTTGCGGACCACGTAGCTGTATCAGTATTTTCAGCATCATCGTACGACCTCGAAGTTCTCCTGGAGTACTACCAGATGCCGGTGCTGCCGATGTCAGTGGTTGTGAAATTTGCCGTTCGCGGACTCCCGCTCCGCAGTCGCAGCTTTCCACCAGTCAGATCACCCCACCTGCAGCGTCATCGCTCTCTAAACTTCTTGAACGCCAATTGACTCAATTCCACAATGTCACTACCAGCAAACATGGACGCAGTAAGCTTTACATCGAACAACAGAAACTTCCCCAAGAAGAAGTGCGGTACGGAAATTGTTCTTTTATATGCATCAGATCACTCATAATTGTAGGTGTGCTCGGCGCCACGGGCTCTGTGGGCCAGCGCTTCATCTTGCTCTTGCAACTCCACCCACACTTCGTTCTGCACGCTGTCGGTGCTTCTGAGCGCTCAGCAGGCAAGAAGTACAAGGATGCGGTCAAGTGGAAGCAGGCCCTGCCTTTCTCAGATCGCATTGGCGACTTGGTCGTGAAGAAGTGCATAGCAGAGGAATTCGCAGACTGCGACTTGGTCTTCTCTGGACTCGACAGCGATGTTGCTGGGGACGTTGGTATGTGGAATAGTTCACATGCCCGGACCAATTGTTGATAATGCGCAGAAATGTCCTTCCTGAAGGCCAACCTCGCCGTCTTCTCCAACGCGAAGAATTACCGCCGCGACCCTATCGTTCCCCTCGTTGTCCCCACCGTCAACCTCTCACATCTCGACGTGATCAAGCACCAGAGGGAACATTACAAGCTGCAGAAGGGCTTCCTGGTCTGCAACTCCAACTGCGCCGTCATCGGCATAGTCATTCCCTTCGCCGCGCTCGAGAAGTTCGGTCCCGTCGATCAGGTCTCAGTCGTCACAATGCAGGCCGTGTCAGGCGCGGGATACCCCGGAGTGAGCAGCATGGACATCATCGACAACGTGGTGCCATTTATTTCAGGCGAGGAGGACAAGCTCGAGACTGAGGCCTCGAAGATCTTAGGCAGCGTCAACGACGAGGTCACCGGCTTCGTCGACAGGCCCATGAAGATCTCCGCAGCATGCAATCGCGTGCCTGTGCTCGACGGACACACAGCCTGCGTCTCGCTGCGCTTCCAGCGCCGCCCGCCACCCAGCGCGGAGGAGGTCAAGCAGGCTATGCGCGAGTATGTGTCTGATGTGCAGAAGCTGGGTGCTCCTTCAGCGCCTGAGAAGGCGATTGTGGTCATGGACCAGCCAGACAGACCGCAGCCTAGGTTGGACAGGGAGACAGATCGCGGATATGCTGTCAGTGTTGGTCGCGTGCGCGAGGACGAGTCGGGCATCTTCGATATCAAGTTTGTTGCGCTCAGCCACAACACTGTCATTGGCGCTGCTGGTTCGTCGATATTGAATGCTGAGGCGGCAGTCCTCAAGGGATACGCTTAGAGTGGGAAAGTGACAGAACATGGACATATTTGTGAACATGATACCAATCAGTCAGCAAGTCTTCAAGTGTGCGCGCTGGAGGTGTTCGAGAAACCGATCTAGGTCTATCCATCCTGATCTAAATCAACTCCAAATCCTCATTTGAGTGATGGAGTCCAGCGGCGATGAGCGTTTGGGGTTGATGTTCCTTCCTCGCAAGCCATGAGCCCCACTGTTTTCCGGCCAACAGTCAGGTGCGACCGGACCCAAGACCTTAGCGCTTCGCTAAGCTTGTGTGCGCGCGACCTCGAAAAACCTCTGACGGCCAAAGAGCAACTTCCTTTCGACAGGATCCCTCATCGTCGACGACTAACCTCACACAACAGTCAAAATGGCCCGTGGACCCAAGAAGCACCAGAAGCGCCTCAGCGCGCCCAAGCACTGGCTCTTGGACAAACTGTCCGGTACGCACGACACCGCATTTGCATCGACGCAGAGTTTCAGAGTCGCAGATGCGCAGCTTCGAAGCACGGCAATGGCAAGACTAACATATCTCAGGTGCCTACGCTCCCAAGGCCTCCGCTGGTCCTCACAAGACCCGCGACTCGCTGCCTTTAATCATCTTCCTCCGCAACCGCCTCAAGTACGCGCTCAACGGTAACGAGGTCAAGGCCATCGTCAAGCAGCGCCTTATCAAGGTTGATGGCAAGGTCCGCACCGACAGCACCTTCCCCACCGGTCTCATGGACGTCATCTCCATCGAGAAGACGGGCGAGAACTTCCGCCTGATCTACGACACCAAGGGCCGTTTCACCGTCCACCGCATCACTGCTGAGGAGGCACAATACAAGCTCGGCAAGGTCAAGCGTGTCCAGCTTGGCAAGGGCGGCATTCCCTACTTGGTTACGCACGATGCGCGAACGTAAGTTCCCGCTCTATCAGACGTTGGACCAAGTTTGGGCTAGGTGCTGAGCAGGGAAACCTATCGCACCCGGCATCCGACCACGATCTGGCGATGTCTTGTGATATCATGCTAACAAGCTGTGTAGCATCCGTTACCCCGACCCCGCCATCAAGGTCAACGACACCGTCAAGGTTGACCTTGCTACCGGCAAGATCGAGGACTTCATCAAGTTCGACACTGGTGTCATCGTCATGGTCACCGGTGGTCGCAACATGGGGCGTGTTGGTGTCATTACCCACCGTGAGCGTCACGATGGTGGCTTCAACATTGTCCACTTGAAGGATGCCGTTGACAACGAGTTCACCACTCGTGAGTCTAACGTTATCGTCATTGGACAGGAGAAGCCCTGGATCTCCCTCCCCAAGGGCAAGGGTGTCAAGCTCTCCATCGCTGAGGAGCGTGACCGCCGCAGGGCCTACGCCATCGGTGGACAGTAAGTGTGTGCGAAGATAGAAGCAGCAAGTTAGCATACGAAGCTCAGACATGACCGTATGATTAGCCTTGCGGGGTTAGGATACCAAAAAGCCAGGCGTTTGGTCACTCGTGGAAAAGTCACGAGTCTGGGGTCATTCTGCATATCATACGAATACCAAATGAGAATCAAATGAACACTTCAGCTGCCTGCTTACAGATTCGATAAGAACCGAGGTGTTTGCGTGCTACGTGCTGCGTGCTGCGTGCTGCGTGCTGGTGGCGTTTTTGTCGGAGCGACTCTTCGGTGCAGCGTGCTTGAAGGCCGACGAGTCACGACTGGTAAGTCGGTGTTATGGGCAGGGCCGCAGGGGAGGGACGCTATCAGTTCCCCTGGCGCAAAGAGATTGGGATGAACGTCTGCGGCTGCAAGCGACAAGGAGGTGAGGCTGTTAATAAGGGCGCATAACGTTTCAGAAAACCGGAGCACGGTGCCAATTGGCGGCTGTGGATGGGAATCGAGGCAGCAAACATGCGATTCCCTCAGGCTCGACAGGCGCTTGTTTGAGTTTGTTGCTACAGCGCAGCAGGAATGAGAGCAAGAGGCTAGCGACAGCAGGCCAGAGTATCGATTTTGGCGAGCACGCCTCTAGCAGGGGCCGTGCCTTGCCTGTGCAACGCGTGTGAAATGAGATGCGGGCGGGCAGCGTAGATTCGGTGAGAACGGTGGCCGCAACGAGCCTGGCGGCCCGTGGTGGTGCATTTCTGGAGGAAGCAATGCGCCGACAACGTCGACTATCGAGTGGACGTCGAGGCAGCGGTTGCAGTCTCTCAGTCTTTCCCACGCGCCCGTCGCTGCGAATCCCATCGTCCTGCGGCAGCCTTGTTAGACGGCGTCGCTCAACACTCGCTTGATACTCCTCATCCTTTCATTGGCCAGGCACGCCGTTGTCCCTGTGGTGTGGCTCCAGACCTGCTTTCGCGAACGTTATCCTGCCTCTAGCGGTCACTCCTGCCTCGCTGGACCACTGCGCCCACTTCCCCGCGCAACTGCCCACCTCAACAACGCCATCCAGCGGCCCAAAAGCGTGCGCGCGCGCTGCCAGACCGAGCCCACGTTGTTGCGCCGCCCCCGTCTGCGTCAATGGTGTAGAGCCGCAGAACACAAGCATCGCCTGTCCCACCCCAATCGTCACTCGTTTCACGCTGCTGCACCGCGCGTAGGGCCCGTCCTCAACACCACGCACGTCCCAAAGCAGCACCGGCCTGCGCGCGCTCGACGAGCGCAGCGCCCACTACAGTCGCTCACCACACCTACCGAGCCGGTCTCGTGCGCGCCCAGTCCCCGCGCAACTGCGCATATCGCCCACCATGCTTCGCCCGGCGACGCCCCTGTCGATATTATTCTTCGTAGCCTTCTGCTTGCTGCTGCTGTCAACCATCTCGACGCCCATTGTTCCGGCCATCCCCATTGCTACCTACCGCAACATCAACTTTGGCGTGCTGGGCTACTGCCCGGATGGCGGGAGCTGCAAGGGGCCCATGATCGGCTATGACACTGGTACGCTGTCTGATATAGCCACCGAAGAGCTCCAATTGACCGTGACCCGCAGAGACGTTATTTCAGGACCAGCCCGACACCGACTTCTCGCTGCCCGCAAGCTCGCGCCATGCCCTCTCGTCTATCCTCATCGTGCACCCCGTTGCCGCCCTCATGACGCTGATCTGCTTTGGGCTCGCCGTCGCCGCCCACTTCCATTCGCCCGCCCACTCGCCGCGCTACCTGCTTGCGCTGCTCATCTTCACCTTTCCCACGCTCCTGGTCTCGCTGCTAGCTTTCCTGGTCGACATCTTGCTCTTCGTACCGCACGTAGCCTGGGGAGGATGGATCGTATTGGCCGCCACCGTCATCATTGTTGCCAGTGGCATCGTGACATGTGCCATGCGTAGGACGCTGGTCAGCCGCAAGGCACGAAAGAGGCGCATTGCAGAGAACGACAATATGAACGGCCAGGCATACTACGCAAACCGCCCCAGTGACGCGAGAGTCACCACCGAATTCCCCAAGGCCGAGTCTCCACCACCCATGTCGAACGACACAATGTCATCTGGAATGAAGGACAACGAGTACGCTTCGTTTGAGCTCCACAAAACGCGTTCGTCTGAGGATAGAACGCCGCTAAATCAACGAAATCCTTCACTCAAGACAAACAGCAGCGCTGGAAGAGAAGGGTCTGATCCTATGGTTACGCCAATGCGTGGCCCCTCAGGCCGTGGACGACAACCTGTGGACCAGTACGGAAACCCCATCCCACCAATGCCCCAGGATCAGTACATGATGAATGCTGGCCCAGGCGGTCCGGGACGCGGTAGAGGAGGGCCAATGAGAGGACGAGGCGGATACACACCACGAGGCGCTCCGTATGGCGTGCCTGGAAGAGGAGGATTCGGCGCTCCACGGGGAGGAATGCGTGGTCCTCCACCACCAGGTTGGCAAGGCGGGCGAGGCGGACCCATGCGTGGTGGACCCGGTGGAATGGGCCCTGGCCCCATGGGACGAGGTGCTCCTCCCCCAGGATATAACAACTACAGCCAGGGTCCTTATAGTCAGGGTCCTCCATCACGCGAGCAGTCACCTTACGGTCAGGGAAACAGGGGTGCGTCCCCGCAACCTCCTATGGCAATTGGACAAGCTATCGAGATGGACTCCCGTATTGGAACACCGCCTGCGAACCAGACCCAGGACCAGAACACCAACTACGGTCTGAGGGAAAGTGACGGGGATGTTCAGGGTATGCTGGCACTGCAGCAAGGCGGGTTCCCAGCGAGCTCACCACAACGGAGACCATCCGATGGTGTCATGAGTCCGACCAGCTCCTACTCCCAAGAGTAAGTACTCGATCATGGTGACCAAAGTTCATTCCTAACATATAACAGGGAACTCCTACCTCAACAACAGCAACAACAGCAACAACAGCAACAACAGCAACAACAGCAACAACAGCAACATCAGCAACAACAGAACGGCCTACAACCGCAACAATACGTCCCGGTCCGCGCAGGTTGGACCCAAGACCGCCAGAACTCTGATAACAGCGCCCACAGCCGCGGTCTGTCCCCTATCATGGACTCTCCCGTCGAGATGCCCGCTCAGCTCTCCCAGATGGGTGGCTTCGCGCCCTCACAACCTAACCACAGCAACTCGCTCGAGCGCAGCTCCGACTACTACGAGGACGTCGATCCGAAATTCGCAGAGCCCGCACGACCCAATCCGCCCGTAATGCCCTCCAGCCTGATGCCCGGCGGCTACGCCTTGAACCCGAACCTCCTTTCCGCGCCCGAGCGGCCGCAGCAACTCTCCGACCCCAACCTGCCGCGCACAAGCTCCTACGAGGACCTGCCCGACGGCTCGCGCAGCCCCGCAGCCAGCGAAGCCTCACACTTCACATCTGTCTCACAGCGGCCCGTGAACCCCGCATGGCGCCCAGAGATGGGCGCCGCGGCAGGCAACTTCGGGCCTTACAGCGGTCCAGGCGGACCTGGCGGACGCGGACGGCCTATGAGGCCCGAAGACGTGATTCTGGACGCGAACGCGGCGAATCCCGATTTTGCCATTCCTGGAGTGGGCATGGGCAGGGGGAGAGGGCGAGGGAGAGGTGCGTTTCGAGGCCGTGCAAGGGGCGCGCCGCCGCCGATCATGATGCAGGGCGGGTTGCAGGCGCCGGGGAGGTATCCGGGTGCGAATGCCATGTGAGACGGCGCAGCGAGAGACTTGGCCGTAAATTACGAAGGTTGAGTCCTGCTCCAAGTCCTGCTACGTCGTGCTGTCCGCCCGCGCTGGTACTGCACGCATCAGCTCTCCGCGCTGCTCTTTCGAATTTCTCCGCTTCTTTTTCGCTTCCATTCGCCTCTGTACAAAAGGTCCTCTCCGCCGGCACACTGCACTCGCCAGTCCGGCTTTCCGCATTCGAGACCCCTAATGTCTTATTCAGCGCCGCCCTTGTTCTTTCACGCGGCACCTGATATCCTCCTTCTTCCCCATGCTCTCCGGAGCTTATCTGGCTGCCCACACAGCCGATTCAAACGCACACACACGCCGCCCGCATTTGTTTGCCTTCGCAGGGCGCGCAGCCAGTTAGTTACACACGCACACACCCCGCCCGCAATCATCTTTGCATTCGCAGGGCGCGCAGCCATTTCCCTCGCCATCTCACGACCACACATCTCGTTACGTAGCGCGGCGGCTTCTCTTCTTCGCGGTACAGCGGCACACACATAACGGTGTTGATTGGGGGGTTTGCATGTACATAGTCGGGACGACGGCGTTTTTAGGACATATACCGACAATGAACAAGTGTATGTAGCGACTTCAAATACAGTGGACCCCATTATTGCCGTCTTTCTCCTCGCATGCATAGCATGCAGAGGACCAGTGAGCTGGTGATTGCGTCATCTGGAAGGCGAAGCTGGGATGCAACGTAATCATCGTGTTGACATGCTATGCTCGTGTGGCCGTGGGCCGGGTATAGCCAGCGATGCTACGGCTGTGCGCTTGTTGGTAACAGACCTAGACGCATTAGGTTGTCAAGACCAGCGCGTGCCAGAAGAGTTGATGGTCGCAGAGCCAGCCTTCTGCGCGTTGGGCGCTTGCGAGGTCTGCTTCAAGGTGTCAGCGTGTGGATGTATCTGATGACCGCGGAACACTGACCTCACTGGGCTTCATCCTCCCCCCTCATCGTCTTGGCTTGCGGAGCAGCACTACCGCTAACGCTGCCATTATTGGTCTCTGATGAAGCTAAGCAAAATGATGATCACCAAGATGCCGATGCCTTGATTGGTATACATGTGAGGTTCTTTTCACACTCAACAGTCTCAGCTAGCTTCTGTTGTAAGGTTAATTGAGGAGGAACATGTACTCCAGAGTCGAGAGTGCATACCTTGTCCTTGACGGTGTTCTTATCCTGGGACCTTTCTCCAAGATTCACATCCATGTCCAAAGCCTCCTGGGAAGCCCGGACCTTTTGCTGCTTGCCGTTGTCTAAGGTCACTGTACCCTCGGCCAAGTCGTCGGCGAACGTATACTTGTTGAGTATAGGTTCCAGAGCCTTGTACTGTTGGTGAGAATTGGCATGCAATGCGTGTAGGGGCCCGGGCACCGCAGCATTGAGTACGGTGCTTTGGGCGGTAATGAAAGAAATGATTGCCTTCCAATGATCTGAGCGCACGGCGATGACGCTAGGTTCCTCTTGGGGCGGCACACCAGACGACATGGAGGCGTCGGTCGGCGGGGCCATGGTGGTAGATAAGGGCATATATATAAAAGGTATAAATGGTGTGCAAAGTGTAGATGTAGGAGTAGGTGCGCAGCTACGGCTCTAAATTGGAAGGTGCACTGGTGGAGACTAGACTTCTTGCGATGGAGGCGAACAAGAGAATCAGGCGTGAGCGCTGTTTAAAAGACAGTGCGGGTCCCATCCGTGCGCGTAGTGCAGACTTGCAGACAAGTGAAGAGTACTGAACTGCCAGAAATGCGACTGGTGTGCGGCGACCGCAGCGTGCGCTAAAAGGAAAGGGTCGCGAGGTGAACATAGGGTCTGCAACAAGATCATCAGAGTAGAGGACACAGGCGTGTATTTCGCAGGAAGCATGGCTTGACGGGACGATAATGAGAAAAGAAGATTGTAAACCTACTTAAAGTACAGCAACGCCATCATAAGAGATGACAATGATTATCACACAAGTTTTCAAAACGGCGTCATGGTATCAACTACCAACAACGTGAGCGCTTGCAATGTATAACTTCATCCTCAGTGCTTTTTTAGGTACTCGTCTTTGGTGATGTGGGCCTCACGCGTGGCTTCTTGCGAGGACGCGACTCGGTGTTGACACTGACAGTCTGAGGTTCTGCTGCTAGCGCGACTACTTTTCGCTTGGATGAACGTTCTGGCTTCTCCCGAGTACTCATGTGCCTCGAAGTTGCAGCAACCCTGTGCCTACCCTGCGCCTGGGCGTCCTTCATGTACTGCTCAGAATGCAGAGCATTCATCTTGCCAAAGGTTGGCCTAATACCTCCTGTCTTGTTCGTCTCATGGTACCACATCTGTTTCTTTTTGACTCAGTCTTCTTGAAGTTCCGTTTTCGTGGCTTGGCTCTCCTGAGCTGCTTTCAACATCTTCTCGTCCAGACAGAGCGCTTATTGCTCCTTCTCCAACTTGGGCGGTCCCTTGAATGATTTGGGGAAGCTTAGCGCTGGTCCTCCAGTAGTGATCTCTTTGATCAGGTCCCCAACCAGATAAGGCATGCTGTGCAGCTCGCGGTCGAGTTGGGTTTGAACGGTGTGCTAGGTGTTAGTGTAGCGTAGTCTACAATCAAACGAGCAGCAAAGAATTTACCCAAGGTTTCTCGTAACGTCCCATGCTCAAGTGAAAGCCTGCGCTCACTCTCGCAGTACATGTGCTCAGAGGAGTGTATGTGGAAGAGCCATACGGATTCACAATCCATGCGGGATACAAGGCCTTTTCTCCCAGCCGTAGTGTAAGCATCATGTGAAAATAGATGCGAAACATGTGCGAAACCATTCGGGCACATATTGTGGTAAATAATAGTGAGTACAAGATCGAGCTGTGCGTGAAAGAAAGAGGTGTGGAGTGTGACGTCGATCAGACCCTTGAAATTCAGTCCAGATTCGCGTTGGCGCCTTCCCCACATAGTTAGATCAAAGCTCCGCACCGCCTTCGTCACGCTCTCGTATTCTACAGGTTCCATTGTACTCTCAACTCTACAGTTCTACACCAAACTCCTCAATTGTCCAATATGAAGCTCTCAATCATCCTCGCCCTTGCTGCGACTGCGCTCGCCGGAGAGACGATCAACAACGAGGTACATATCTGCCTGCAGCCCCTCCAGGCTCCATGCTCGAGCATGTAACTGCACACGTATGGCCGCTAACAATGCCGCAGCACCTAAAGACCGAAGTCGTGACTGCAGTCGACTGTAAGCGCCCCACCGTGGCCGGCGACAAGATCCACGTCCACTGTACGTCCTCCCAATCATACCCCCGTATCCCCGTACCCCTCCTTGCGTCTCCCGCTCCTATGGCAACCTCTCGCTCGCTTGACAAGCATACACTGATAAGTCTAGACCGCGGCACCCTCGAATCCGACGGCTCCGAGTTCGACGCCTCCTACAACCGTGGCCAGCCCCTCAGCTTCAAAGTCGGCAGTGGCCAGGTCATCAAGGGCTGGGACCAGGGTCTGCTCGACATGTGCCCCGGCGAGAAGAGGAAGTTGACCATCCAGCCTGATTGGGCATACGGTAGCAGGGGTGCCGGTCCCATTCCCGCCAACAGCGTGTTGATCTTCGAGACAGAGTTGGTCAGCATCGATGGCGTCAGCAAGGATGAGTTGTAGATTCGTATGAAGTTTTGATGAGACGAGGGAATGGAGATAAAGGTCGCGTAAATACCACTTCTGAGATATACCACGAATACACAATATGAAGCTTGCAGGGCGCTCGGGAAGCTACTGTTTATTCACCACGACGCTAAGGGTCACATACGCTCAAGTGATGCATAGGAAATGTTGATATCGATACGGGTATACACGAACTGAAACTCTCGACCAACTCCACGCGCTCTAATAATACATGTCCTTCCTCAGCCCAATCATTCCCTCCTTGAACCCATCCTTTTCCATAGCCTGCAGCTCCTGCAGATGCTTCTTCCTCTCCGTGCTCCCAACTCCGCCCGCCAGCCTATCAGCCGGCAACGCCTTGAGACTCAAATCCGGATTGGCGTTTGCCTGCGGCCCAACAGTGCCCGAGATTCCAATGCCCATACCGCATCTGAAAGACATGTAGTCTGGCAGGCCCGTGGAAACACCTGGAAAGCGCAGCGTGCGGACGGACATGGTGCAGTCAAACTTCTTGTACAGCGTGCAGTAGCCTCCCGGGTCGGGGCCGATCGACTTGGCCGTTGCTATCCTGCAATTGGTAGTTGGGAGAGACCAGCCACAGTCGCCAGAGAAGTTCTCGCCTGTGCAGGTGTAGACTGCGCCCGGGAGTCCGCGACGCTGCAGATTCGGGAGAGCGTTGCTGGGCGCGAAGATGACCTGGAAGACGATGAAGAGATAGAGCGCGATTGCGTTTGCGGCTGTGAGACTGAACATTGCGGTCTGATGATTAGATATTAGGTACGTGTATGTCGTTGCGTCGTGTACAGGAGGTTCCAGATGGCTTTCAGGTTGGTAATGTTCGATTCCTTGCGGGTACCAGAATGGTGTCTGTGGATCCGTCGACGGTTCCCTTGTACACTGTGAGTACTAACTCGGGAGTGACAAAGGGCAGGTACCCAAGGCAGACATCATGTGTTTGGAGTCAAGCGACCATAACACGTACCTCTAAAGTGATTGTGCTCTTCGAGGACAGAGATTCGTCTTGCTTTCTTTGTCTCGCCGTGGTAGCATCTGCGGTAGATGTGTGTTCCTGGCGACCAGCTCCATTGTGAAGGCGGCGCCGCAGACGCTCAGTGGCAGAGCGGCATGAAAAATGAAAAGTGAAAAGTGAAGGGATTGGGACCGGGATGGGGGCGCACAAAATGGGGGATGATTGAGATAGGTACGAGAAGGATCATATGGGTGATGTTGTTGCGGACCGATGCGGGTGTTGCAAGGATACGGTTATGTGTGAAACCTGGGTCATGACATGATGCGACCGAAAGAGTCGCAGTCACCAATCCAATTCTGCGACACCCCCACGACCCTGAATGCTTGGTTGGCGCAAAGCTACGATAGCCCAGCTTCTTCCATAAATCTGTTGCCGCCAAGCTGTCGTTGTGGTCAAAGCCGTCCATCCATGCCTGACAGGTACCTAGGTATTACAGGGATGCACAGATTATGATCGTCAGGTACGCGTCCTTGAGATTAGTCGAATGCCGTTGCGGTACTTGCAGATAGTCAGATGTATGTTCAACTTGCTGGGGAAGGCTTTCGCATGAATGAGCGAGGTAGAAACGTACGCGCGTCTTCCAAATATTAATGGATTTCAGCAACGCCCTGTAGGTGCATGCCATGAAGCACAATGCGGTCTACGGGGCCGACAGGTTTTCAGCGACTCGATCTCGCGAGCTCAGGAGTGGTCTTCGATGTATTTTCTCGTCAACTTCTGCGCGCCTGAGATGAATCTAATCGTCCTTTGTCCTATCGAGCTGGCCGTCAACGAACTTCCAAAGTACATGAAAGATGTAGGTCCTGTTGCAACCTATCGCACTACTCGCCAGGCCATCGAGGAGTGAGTCTCGCATGGCTTTAGGCGTCGACCCATGGCGGCGAACTCATGATGTTGGTAGTTCTGCGCAATCAGTACCTATGCTACGAGATAAACTCGTCAGAAGGCAAGCCAAGAACCTGTCGTACGCTCGGACAGATGTTCGTGCATATTCAGCCAGTCTTCTGGAACAGCGCAAGGTCTGGTGATCCTCTTGAACGGTTCTCGCATGCGAACCGTGTTGTTGCAGGTTCCGGGTCTTAAAACCCCAAGACGTTTTGCGCTCACCACACAAGGGAGCGGAGACATGCCTGATACATGGCAGGCGATCAAACATGTTCATCCTCACCTCATTGGTCTACTCAGCCCTGTAGTCGTAGGTGACGATGCATGGGCGTTGTACAGCGGTTCATGTAGTGAGAGCCATGCTCGCGACGAGCCCGCAAGACGCACGTGACCGTTCGTGCAAGTGGAGCTGGAGGTCGCGCCTGATCAAAACGATGTCTCTAGTCAGTCTCAATTGTAGCAATTGCGCTCCTGCGATTGTCACTTGATTCGGTCTCGAATTTCGTAACCTCCTGGCCGGTTTACCTTCAAAGGACTCAAGGAATTTGGCAATGGGTGGATTCATGTGCATGGATTCATGTGCGTGGATTCATGTGCGTAGATTCGTGATGGATATGGCAGCTGCTGATCGAGCTGAGAGATGGGCAATACTGTGAAGCAAGGTGATCACGTTTCGCGTTTGGAGAATGCTGATGAATTGGAAGATGCGACAACCAGATGTGCAATTGGCGCGTCCGTGCGCAACGGACAGGCGCGTCATCCGCTTATTGACGGAAGGAGCGAATAAAAATGCTCGATGATCCCTCATGCATCGGCATGATGCCCTCATGCTCGTAGCACGCAGCCGCGTTGTTTGCTGGCGCACTGCCTCAATCACTCGAAGGCACTACAGCGCATTCGATATGGAGAAGCGTGATTATGCGGTATGTAGTTGTGTCCTTTGTGGAAGGTTGGAGCTGACTCTTGCAGGCCGCGGTCGCGGCGCTGAATACGCTGCAGTCCAACTTTGCAATTGTCGATGCAATTCGCAAATCTGGACGTGGTATGAACAAGGCGGCCATACCTGAGATGATCGAATGGTGCAGCAAGATCGGCTACAAGGTGTGCGGCTCTAGCTGTCCTTGAATAGAGCAGTGGTCTAACTTGCATGCAGCCCTCGGATTTCGATAAGATGAAGCCTGTACACATTGCTGGAACCAAAGGGAAAGGCTCTACGAGTGCTTTTATCTCCTCGATCCTATCCCAGTACACCTCTCCTAGTGACGCACAGTTACAACCCTCGAAAATCGGCCTCTATACATCCCCGCACCTACGATTCGTTCGCGAACGCATACAGATCGACAACGAGCCGATATCTGAGGAGAAGTTTGCAAAGTACTTCTTCGAAATATGGGATAGATTGGAGGCTGCAGCAAAGGCAGAGAACACACCTGCCAATGTCCCAACAAAGCCTGTCTACTTCAGGTATCTCACACTTATGGCATTGCACGCGTACCTACACGAAGGTGTCGATTCTGCGGTCATAGAATGCGGTATCGGTGGAGAGTATGACAGCACCAACATCTTGACAAAGCCGACAGTCACTGCAGTGACCAGCTTGGGCATTGATCACACCGCTATGCTCGGATCTACACTTCCCGAGATAGCGTGGCACAAAGCTGGGATCTTCAAACTAGGGAGCATCGCATTCTCAGCGCCCCAAAAGGCGGAGGCTATCAAGGTTCTGCGAGAGCGAGCTGCAGAGAAGGGTGCCGGTCTACACGTGATTGACCTTCACCCGTCGCTGACCAACGGTAGCGTCAAGCTTGGGCTGTCAGCGGATTTTCAGAAGATCAATGCTTCTGTTGCAATAGCTGCTGCTGCTGCTCATCTGCGTGCTTTGGGTCACACGTCAATACCGGACCCCACAAAGACAACGCACATTGAACTACCTCCACAATTCATCAGGGGTCTCGAACAGGTGCGCTGGTCTGGCCGCTGCGAGACACGGCGAGAAAAGAACGTTGCTTGGCATATCGATGGTGCTCACACGCTTGAAAGTATCGAAGCTACGGGTCGATGGTTCACCAAGCAGATCGCTGCTGCACTTACAGCTACTCCACAACAGTCCAAGGTCCCTCGAGTTCTGATCTTCAACCAACAGACTCGAGATGCAGGCGCTCTTGCCAGAGCACTTTACGCGGCGCTGCAGAATAGCATAACATCTGGATCGACGTCACCTTTCACAAATGTCATTTTCACGACCAACCAGACTTTCAATGAAGGTTACAGACCCGATCTGGTTTCCATCAATACCGACAAACACGAAGTTGATGTTCTTGCTGTGCAGAGAGCGTTAGCAAATACTTGGGCTGAGATCGATAGTACTGCAGAAGTGCGTGTCTTGAGGACCATTGAGGAGGCTGTCAGCGCCGCACGAGCGGTAGCACGCGAATGGGCGAATGGCACAGACGCAGAAGTGATGGTCTTGGTCACAGGCAGCCTCCACCTGGTCGGCGGTGCCCTCGAGGTGCTGGAGTCCGGAAAATCGACTTGATTTTGATACCCATAGAGTAACAGTCGACTTGCGCTTCAACACGCGCTCATCTTGAACGTGTTCGACTTTGTCTTACAAACCCTGAGAGTATGTCCCCAGAGCGAAGCCATGGTGTTTGTGTGCGTGACTTTGAAGCAACAAACTTCGACGACACAACATCACGTCAGACTACGCGCAATCAACCGAACAGCGTTGCCGGCTTCCCTGCCGATCCCTGTAGCCCTTGCACCTTGGTGTTCTCGATGCAGGAGCTATTTGTCTTGGACATCGGGAGAACCCGGCGGCGGGCGAGGCTACGTTCACGCTCACGAAGACAGGAAGGTACTCACGAGCGCGACGCACGATAACGCTGGCTTGCGCTGTCCCCGTGGACGGAAGAGGCGATATGGGGTAGGTAAGCACGTTCTCGTGTGGCGCTCAAAATCGAATTAGCTTGGCAACTCTGCACGGGGTTCTTTTTGGGTAATCGTCAGGGATGAGCCATAGCCGACATCACTCCTAGGCCACTCACATGTTCACATATAACTCCGCGCGTCTCCTCTTGTCATTGCTGTTCTGATATACGACACACACGCGAATTGAGAACCCTCCGCACGCTGTCAACATGAATTGTCCTTCTCGAACTGACGATGAAGTCCTCCTGAACCCAACCTGGAATCAGAACCCACCTCGCTTTGCAGCCGATCTCACGACATGCCAAGATTTAAATGGAATTGCGAATGCCAGGGAGCTCAGTGATGCTGATCGATTGCGCAGCGGCGCACAAGGTCTCAGACGCTGCGACGTGGACCAACGTCATTTTCAAGAGAAGGAGAAGCAATTGTTTGCGCTTGGGAAGGGTGTCAAGGGTCCTCAAAATGGTGCCGTGGTGCCGTTTATTATGTGATGAAAACGGGATTGCTGACGTTGCCGAAGGACCTTGCACCCGAACAACCGCAATCATGAGAAATGAACATCAATTTGGCGTCAGCATAGCTGGTCGCAAAATGTCGCAGACGCAGTTCAAGAGCTGGGGTCGCTGGATCCTCTCTGTGCTCTGCACCTCCATGTTCATGTCTTACATGGGCAGAAATCGAACATCGAGTCTCGCGGCTGCCAAGCCTGCCCTTGCACCCTGGAGCAGTAAGTCGACTTGATGCTACGTTGTACATGACATCTCAGCTCACAACCATAGGTGTCCCGGCAACTCACCACTACCCTAAGCGAGATGGCTGTGCTGTCGGCGGCGCGCAGCCTGACTACAACCTACCTTTCCACGTCGGAGGGCTGTTCATGATCCTTTTCATCTCCTCAACAGCATGTGCCTTCCCGATTCTGGTGATCAAGTTCCCCCGTCTGCGCATACCCGCGTCTTTTCTCTTCACTGCGAAGCACTTCGGAACTGGTGTCTTGATTGCAACAGCGTTCGTGCATCTGCTACCTACAGCGTTCCTGTCACTCAGCGATCCCTGCTTGTCGGGCTTCTGGACCGACGACTACCCGGCAGCGCCTGGCGCAATCATGTTGGCTAGTATCTTCTTTGTGACAATCATTGAGATGGTCTTCTCACCAGGTCGACACTGCTGTGGTGGCAACGAAGGAGTAAAAGGTGTTGCCCGCGATGCAGTACAAGAAAAGGAGAATGAAGTGTGCACAGCACCAGATGTCCAAGCTCAGATGAGAAGGACTTATTCCGAGGGCAGCATGCAAGAACAAGTTCGCTCAATGGGCAACTTGAGAGGCCGAGTCACCAGCATCAGTCGCACTCTTTCCCAGTACCGTGCAGAAACTCGAAGACTTGGCGCCATTGAATCTGCTGAGGAGGCGAGTCCAGCTGAGGTCGATAAGAAGAGCAACGAAAACGCAATCGAGGATCCTGAGACCAATCAGCAGGGCGTTCAAATGACGCCCGACCAAGCTCACAAGAAAGCTGTGCTACAGTGCTTTCTCCTAGAGATGGGTATTTTGTTCCACAGCATCTTTATCGGCATGTCTCTCGCCGTTGCCATCGGCAATGACTTTGTTGTCTTGCTGATTGCCATCATCTTTCATCAAACCTTCGAAGGCCTCGCTCTCGGTGTACGCATCGCTGCCATCTCCTGGCCCGTTCGCTCTCCTCAACCGTGGCTTATGGCCGTAGCGTACGGCTGCACAACGCCTCTTGGCCAGGCCATCGGTATCGCGACGCATACCCTATATAGCCCAGACTCTGAGGTTGGGCTATTGGTTGTTGGCGTTATGAATGCTATCTCTGCTGGCTTCCTTGTATTTGCCTCTCTTGTGGAGCTCATGTCCGAGGACTTTTTGAGTGATGAGAGCTGGCAGGTGTTGAGGGGCAAGAATAGGGTCATAGCATGCCTATTGGTCTTCTTTGGGGCTTTCCTGATGAGCTTGGTTGGAGCCTGGGCATAGTTGGCGGGGCCTAGAGCAAGGGTTTGACTGGCTGAAATGAAAGAGGAGTGGCAAAGGGAGGAAATGGGAGGATTGCTGGCGTTTTTTTTTAGCAAGCTGTGACGTTGCAGAGACGGAGCGCAGGGCGTTGTGCGCGGGAATGATAGCAACTGTAACAGCTCATACTGAGCTGGGTAAGTGTCATAGTGATATCACATTCACGTACACCCATCTACCCAATTCTCATTGCTCTTCCCTGCCCTGGACAGGTAGCGAGCCAACATCGACCGTGTTGTTAGAAGGCTTGCTCGCATCCTTCGCGCATCCTTGGCGGTAAAGCATCCCCGAACGCGGACGCGAGATCGTAGATCTCGATGCTGCATCCTTCGATCTTCAATTGAACCTTCCGGAAAAGATACCCACATCCAGGGCGGTCAGATATCGTTTGCCACTGTCTTGAGCAAGAACAATGCGGGCCCGGCCTGAGGCACCCGTGACACGATTGGCATATTTGGCGATCACGAAAACAAGAATGGTGACAAGAGACTAGGTCGATCGGATTCACGATTGAACAGCGAAGAGAAAAAGCAACAAAAGTTGGAGAAGTTGGGCAGCAATCACATCACTTTAAATCCTTCGTCTCAAGGTGTAGCTCGAGAGAGCACGAGATCATAGCCTGCAGATCATAGACCAGCGTACCTTACCCCAAATATCATGAAATAGATCATGTCTGCGGATACACTCTGAGGGTGACCAGGAGTCTGGATCCTCGGCTGGCCTTTCACCACTGGTTGCTGTTGAGAGGCAAATTACCGCTAAGGGGTGGATCGCATCAGCCCCCTCCGCCACTTTCCTGTGATTCAACTATCGAGACACCTGGCTGATAATCGCCACTACGCTAGGTAGTCAGAAGTGACAGGGAAATACTGTTGGTAGGGCTGTGAGGTACAGAGCCGAATGGCGCTGCATCGTCTTCTACACAGGGTTCCAAGATGTATTGGAGATGCAGGGATGGCGACGTGTGATCGAATGTAGAACTGGTCAAGCCGTATCGTTTATTGTTCCCTACATCCTGCTTTAGAGGCCCGTAGCAATGAAAAACGAGATTCACGGTGCGTCTTCAAAAGCAATGGGCGCTGCTGAGAAACGCAATTGATGTCGAACCAGCAGTTGGGCAAAGTTCTCCGGAGTTCGATTGAAATTATTGGAGCACTTCACTACTGAGCTTGTTTCCTTGTAGCGCAGATTGCTGCAGGTTTCAATAGAAATCGAGAATCAGACCGTGAACTTGGTGCACCTACGCTCGCCCTCGTCCCGCGGCTCAGATAGACCATTGGCCGCGGCCTGCCCTGTATGTTACGTGGGTCAATTTATACCAGAGCCAGATGATGCGCTGATCCCTAGCAATTCTTTTGGATGAGCTTCCCTAAAAAGTGCAGCTGGAACCGACCGGTGTTCTCAGCGTAGATTTGCTTTTTTGAATCCTTCCTGAGGCAGAAGTAATCAACCGTTAGATAGGGAAGTAAGTGGCTGATTGGCTCAGGGCCTACATCTGAGCCTGTAAGTTGAGCGTAATGCTTGTATTATCTCACTTAGCTTTGTTGCGCAGCAAAGAGACAGATGTCTGAATAATGAGTATGAGGTGGGGTATCGCTACGAAGGAACGGTCAGTGCAACACATTGAAAGTGCTAAGACCATGGGTATCTTTGTTTCTTTCAGAGCTAGAAACTCTTGCATTGGTAGTACTCGAAACTTAGAACTACTGGCCGATCAAGGGATATACCGCTGCCAAATCCTCGGACAGCTTGCGAAGTGCTATGGCGCACGAACAAAGTTCTGTTTTATGGGTAGCAAGAAACGTTGTCTCAGATTTTATGGAGGGACATCTGAGGTATTTTAAGACAGAGCTATGCTAGCTCGTTGAAAAGGAGATGCAGTAGCTTGGCAGGGAGGTGGTGGAGGGTATCGGATTGCCTACATAGTGCACTCAGGATGGGTGTAGCCTCGTACTGACGTCGTGGAAGATGATGTCGCAGCAGCAGGACATGCAGGAGAAACTCGACTCATGAAAGGGAGAATCATATTGCGTATGTAGTCGCATTGTGTCTTTGTGGGCAAGTCGCTCTCGGATCCGATGTTGTTGAGGATGCTGTTGCTGGTGAAAGCGATCGCTGCTGGGCCTGGAAACCACGCGTTGCTGACAGTTGTTCAGTAAGGATTGTGCGGTGGTACAGAACCGACTTGACGTTGCCCGATCGTGCAACGTCTGTGCTGTGGCTGTGAGCTGCGGACCGCTTAACGGGCTTTGCCCTTGACGTCCGCCAGCCCTTCCGAGACTATCGGGCCGATTTGGTAGGCTAGAACGGAATCGAAGTCCCGGCTTGGGGCCGCACGCGGGAGCGGTGGAAGCAAGTTGAGCACAACACTACGCCATGGATCGGACCGGCCGCTCAAAGGCCAGCCAAGACAGATTGAAGGTACTACGGGCAGAGAAGTACTCAACGCAGCAGTGAGATAAATCATGATTCATTGCAGTGTTTCTTTGAGTATATATGATCAAATGGGTCCAACAATGGCCTATAGTTTCAGCACCTGGAGGGTATTGTTGTGGTGGGACAGAGAAGTCGATCGCAGAGGTGAAAAGTTGAAGGGCGGGCTTCCGGTGTTGTTGCACAGGCAACGCCTGCTAGAATTGCCATGCTCTTTCCCCGTGAGCATCCAGAGGATGATAGGTTACCTGGCTGCTGTGTCCGAGGCTAATTTTTGCACTTCCGAGTCGATAGACATTTGTAGATGTGTCAAGTGGGAGAAGGGGTTTGGAGAGTGAGACTATTGCCATGGGCGTAGAACGGTCGTGTGGGATCTGCATCGTACATCGAAGCAAGGTGTTGTTGTGCACGCATGCTCATGTGGAGATCGAAGGCTGCGAATGAGTCACGGGGTAGCTGTGGTCTGATGAGCCCATGTCGAACATTTCCATTGTGCTGGCTTAGAGTATTGACCGTTCGTACTCGACCTTGATCCTCCCACCCATGTCTTCAGCTGGCTCCTCACCAGATATGCAGGGGAACTCGGTGAGACGACCTTCGAGCATCTGGAACGTTTCTGCGTAGGCTTTAGATGGTACCGACTCAGGCTCGACGCACAAAGACGCTGCGTCGATACGGATTGGTCTGATTGTCGAACGACTTTTGGCATCCTCAAGAGAGAAGTCGTTGTCTTTGATCATTTGTATTGAGTCGGTTCGGTGGAACTCATCGTGTGCAAACCGTTCAGCCAGAATCTTGCGGAGCACACGTTCAACTTGTTCGTCGCTAGGCCCAATGACCTGTCGCTCCTCCAAGCGTAAGATACGAAGGCTCAGTGCTTGGAAGGCATCCTCTGTCCTCTCCAAGAAGTCATGGCTAGGTAGTATCGTCAGGAGCGTTTGGAGAGACATGCTATTCAAACTTACTACCATCCAGCAATCCTCTCGAAAGACTGGTTGATCTTCTGCAGTTGGAACGACCAAGACATCAGGGCTGAATGCCGAGAACAGTCGCAGGCGAGTCCGAAGTTGCGAGAAACGTCTAATAACGTCGGGCTACCTCGAGCCAGAGCTTGGGACTGCTAGCCGTGATAGAGCTCGAGATGGAGATGAGCGGAAAGATTTGGAGCCTGGGCTGAGATGGATGTACAAAGCCGGAGGCGGACCGTCGTCCTTCTGCGGAACTTGGGTGGCACCAGTTTTCAGGACTTCATTTGAGCAGCTGAGTGGCCTAAGCGTCTGGGGCACGCTCACAACTCACAGGCGGTAAGGTCCGAGTTACTGGGAAGATGGCCAGATCCAAATTGCCATGTGCAGACACCAATCAATATATGCAGACACCCAGATGGCAGAAATGGATCTAACAAGGAGCAGCGCGTACGAATGGGTCCAAATCCGCAAAGTCCATCTATAGTATGGCTTTAAATTTCGTGGCTGAGAAACCATGTCCGCAAACTGAAGACCACGATACACTTGGCATGGGTGAGGGCGATGCGCATGCAGCCACAAGGGGAGCGTAGGACATCGTGAAATTCCAATCTGCAGAACCAATTGGTAGCAGAAGTGAGAGATAACAGCTGCACCTATGGGGGATGCAGTTGCGATGTTGCGCGACAGCAGCCGTGAAGATCTCAGCCGCTGAGAGCTTAAGCCTGGAGAGGTCCTGTCCAGCTGAGCACGGCCAAGGCAGAGGCGATGACGGGCAAAGGCATCCCGGCTGGAAGCTGCCGCGAACAGCTGCTGCACGAAAGCGAACGAGCACAAACAAATTAGGGCGGATTGGCTTCCGCCTCCCCTGGCGAATGTTAGTTGCAGCATGCATGGGGAAGCAAGAGATCGAGCCGATGCGACTAGAAGATGCGGGTGAGTCAGCATTGCTTGGCAAAAGCAATGATGGCAGCCATGGCCAGCTGGCAGCCGTTCCACGCAATCCACCTCTGTCACACACCACCTCTGATGCCTTTAGACTTTTTTCTTTTTACAGAAGCCACTTTCCTTCCTGTCTCTTTGCACGTATTGTCTGCCTCTGCATGAATGAGCGGCCATCAGGCCGTCCCTTGTGGATCTGCACCGCCACAGACCCATACGCTCTGATCGGTGTACTGACACGTCAGATTTTCCGTCGAAGAACACCTGTTCGGGTCTCGCATGCAACTCTACGCCACTCGTTACTTTATTTCACGCGGGGATCAGAGAGCTGATGACCTTCTCGGATGCCGAGCCGGAGCGACACAGCTGCCAGAAAGAATCAGAAAAGCGTTCTGAATAACTTAATTAACTCTTGCAGTTCTCTAGCCTCGGTACCTGTTGTGCTAATTCAATTCACCACCTACATGATAGAGCCATAGCGCTATTGGCAAACGGCTCTGTTTGTGGAACAGTCCCCTGCATATCCGCGAGGACGTCCTGCCACGACATCAGTCCAGTCATCGTACGCACAACCGCTTCGTCTCAATCTCGCAGCTTCGGATCTTGTGGCGTCTCGATTGCAGTATCGTCTTCGCATTGCGCCACATGTCGGGGGGCAGATCCAAGCCTTCTTGTGGCGGCCTCTCCAGTCGCGCACGATAATCTCTCGTTCAGAGCGGGGGAACAACGTCAACCTGGCATCTGCTGACTGCAGACGTGGTTCTGTCGCCATGTGGTCTGACACTTGGAGGTATGGCAGATGCAAGTCCTCATCGATCATGCTCGCAATTGGTACGGCAGCTAGTAGATGTCGATGTGGGTTAATAGTAAGAGCGACAGTGTATGTTGATCTACCTTGAATCGGCCAATCACACAAGACAAGCTCCCAGGTCGACCGCAGAACGGGACATAAAACTGATACTACAGCGTTTCCGTTGCCGATACCTCGCAGTAGGCAAGCCAGTAGCGATCTCTACCAGGTGCCGAGGAGAGGATTAAATCGCAGCTTAAGACTGGGTTCTGACCGCTATCGAAAGTCTCGCTTTGTAGCGAGGGCCATGCATCATCTCATTGGAAACCATGAGATGAACGCCGAACAGTTCTGCAATCCTGGCATACACAGCTCCATGTACAGGGCGCAGCATGTCACAAAGTCCTTTCTACCCGAAACAGTACTGTGCTGTTCGCAGTCTACAGCAGCGACGAGAGAAAATTGCGCGACTTGTATGGGCATCAGCATACCAAGTCGTGCCACCACAATCTGCGGGCCGACCTTTTGTATCTTATTGGACTGTTCAACATGGTATCACAACTATGACAAAGCGAAGTCATGTTCGGCAACCATGATATTTCTGCGGGTGTTACCTTGCGTGCCGGTGGAACAACTTCACCCCATTGCAGCGACAAGGAAGTCCAAATATCGAAAGAAGAGAAATCCTATTGGTCACTTGCCTTAGGTTTCCCTGCTGTTTCTGGGACTAAGGCTAGCGCATGGGACTTGTACGCCTTCGGTTCCCTTGAAGCACACCCCTGTGCAGTTCTATTCGCCATGCCATATCGATCGTCGATCTGCAACTGTCAGTCAGAACGGAGGCGGCGGACGCATAGTGGCCAATAGTTGTTTCTGCAAGTCTAGCATGCGGCGGTGCCAATGTTGGCAATTCAGGCCTAATTTCCTGATAAACATGGGGTGATACCTTCACTCTTGCGCAAGGCGAGCGGGACGCGGTCAGCCCCAATGCGCGGTTGACCCATCTGCGCCGCCAACTGGTCCCTTGCTAGCCTACCGGTCAGGGCCATCTACCTTCATCGTCGATGCGGCATTCGAAGGGTGTTACCACTTCGTGTCAAAGCATGAGCACCGTGGCTGGTTAGCTTGCTTACATGGTATGAAGATCAAGGGGGCTGTATATGACCATGTTCTGCAGTGCTCAGACGTAAAACTTCCTTCTCCTCCGGGTAAATAGTGAGTCTTGCTGGTCTTCCAAATTTGGAGAATGTTCGCTGTGATATGCGGAGTCGTACGCGCAACGGTATCGGCAAAGCCGAGTCATGGTTCGGGAGTACTACGAACAATGGTGTACAATGACAAGGTAAGAGTTCAATATCAGCGGCGGTCTGGCCTGCCACCTTGCTCGCCAACCATGAAAACCGTGCATCCGCATCCACTTCCGCGTCCACGTATCTACCATTCATTTGCATGCTGCTATGCAGAGGCAGCTCACTACCGACAGGAAGCCAGGCACATCTAGGTGATCTGGTATGGGAGCATGTATTTGCGATATGTATGTGAGAATATTTACATAAGCAGAGAAGCAAGGTATGTACAGACAAGGAACAAGCTCGAAGATGAGTACCTGGTAAGGCACTTCATGTGCTCTGTGACCAGATGGCTGACAGCATAGAAGGCCCAAAGCTCACTGGAACAACTCTATCGCGTCGAGAATAATGTTCGGCGCAAGGAAGGCATCGCCAGTGCTACCACTAACACAAGTGATAGTGACAGTGTTGGTCCCACTAGTCAACGTACCCGACGGGATAGCGAAGTCATACACCTCGCCAAATCCACGGTACGCACCACGCGTCAGACCTCTGGAGTCGATCTTCGTCGGCGCAGCAGGCGTGGTAGCAGTCCAAGAATTCACCACTACACCGGGTCGACAGCCCGCGAACGAAAGCGTGGTCCCGACGCGAAGGGTCGAGCCAGTGGCGCCGGTGAACTTGATAGTGAGTTGGTTGGTGTCCTTGACGAGCGCCATTGGCACGTTACCGAGGCTGGACGAGCCGACAGTGTATGTCAAAGGACCCCATGAGTCCATGCGAGTGTCTGAAGGGTGCATGCGCAGCTGATTCGCGGCGTTTCTGAAACCCGTGGGTTTGCCATCCCAGTCGCCGATGCGCCAGACGGAAGTCTTGGTCTCGGTGGTGGCGGCGATGTTAGCAGTGGTGGTAGAGCCCGCGCTGACGGTAACGCTGGCGGCCTTGACCTTGAACTCGCCCTGGTAGAGGACCTGGGTGTATGTTCCGGGCTTCATTGCAGGCGACGTGAACTTGCCGGCGCTGTCAGCGTAGACCCAGTACTGTGCGGCATCGTTGAACCAGTGCAGAACTGTCTGGAAGCTAGAGCCAACGCCAGTAGCAGTACCCGAAACCTGTCCACGGCCGGAGGCGGCGACATATCCAGTGATTGAGAGATCCTTGAAGAAACTTGTGTCGAGCGACGAGCCACCTTGTGGAATACCACTGCGAGTGAATGCCATGGCGTACGGGCCGTGGAGGCCCATACGGAAGTTTTCTGTCTGCACATGACCAGAGTTCATGTAGAAGTAGAGGTTAGTCGAGTCACCAGCGTTGTTCGAGTTGATGTCGCGGAAGAAAGGACCCCCAGAGGAAGCCTCGTATGACTGAGAGTTGAGCAGCATGCAAACATGTACGTCTTCTCCGCGGTAGACACATTGCTAGCTTGAGTCAGCACTCTTTGCAGATGCTTTCAGAAAGCACCGGACTTACTCGCGAATCGTCGATGAATCGCTCGCTAGAGTAGAACTTCGATCGTGTTTGTCCATCGACAATGAATACGTCAGAGCCCTCAACAGCCGAGCTCGAACCAGCAGTCGTCGATACAACACCAAAGGGGTACTCGGAAGGCAGTGTTGTTGGGTTGAGGCGAGCGATATAGCGCAGCTCACCGATGTCGGGCTCGGCGGTGGTATAAGTTGCCATGTAGATGGTCGATTCGCCAGACTTCACAACATAGTAGTGTGTTAAAGTGGATGTTGTGCAAGTGATCTTAGCAACGGAACCTGATAGGGTCAGTCAGTGAGCGTTTCGGACAAGAGGTGTCGTTAACCTACCAACTATTGTAGATGAGACCGTAGCTGATCCAAGACCAGACGAGATGTGTGACCCCTTTGAAGCGTACTGGAACTCCTCGCCACGGTATATGATCGATGTGATATCGCAGTTTGCGCCGTTGACAGTGAAAACTAACGTATTGCTTGAGCCGGCATCGACGACGAAGTCGCTGCCAGACTTGGTGACACCAAAGGCGGCCAGCGCCGATGAAGAGAGGGAGGCCGCAGCCAGAAGAGCAGACTTGAAAAGCATGATGACAGGAACAGGAACGAGACCCTGGCACGCACACTAGTAGTCAGACACAAGAGAACTTGTCGACTCTGAAGACCAGGTGGCGATGAACCTAGACATCAACGATACTTCGCAGCTCTTCAAATACTCCTGCGGATATTCACTGCCGTCGAGTCGAGAGGCCTACAGGATTCGCTCGGCGCCAATTATTCCACACTCCCCTAATTTCCACTACTAGTAAGCCCTTATTAGCCACATCCATCATTACATCTCTCTACTTATACGAGATTCATCAATTCAACTTGATCACGCGTGAGATGTTCCAGCCTTGTCGCTCGAAGCTTACCACACGTTGCCGATCACCATGCGTCCCTACCTGCCTCTCCGCATTGCTCGCTATATACATGTCCCGATGCAATTTGTGCTAGACATGGCGTCTTATTGATGTGGGCGTTAGGGTTGAAACATTGCCGACAGTGCACGGCACATATGGCTTCACTAGTCGGGGTCAAATGCAAGGCTAAGTGGCGGAGGAAAAACACTCCACCGTATAAGCACTATAAAGGTCTTGGCATTTCTGTTTCAGGTAAGAGTTGTGGCAGCCTGCTCCCGACGTTTGTGGGGTCATTTGCAACATTGAATAACATTCGAAGGAGTACAGAAATGTTTTGTACTAGGCTGAGATTTGCCACCAGAGGACTTGAAGAGCGACAGTTGGCGCAAGGGGAACGTTTGCGAGCAGAAACTCGGGAAACCAAAGGGGTCGAAATATGAGTCGTGCCAGCGGTTGGACCTAACCCTGGCTGGAAGTGAGCAGACGAACTGTGCGCCCGAACACCGCTACAAGTAGTGCCCTTGAGTCACTGCTGCTATGAACCCTTCCGGAAATAGAAAGGAGATACCCACTTCGCAACTGATTTCAGACTCGCTCAACGAAACTCCGACCGATTTGCGACAGAGTGCGAATGCGAACCTACTCAATCCTCGCCATTTGGACAGTCGTTTCTATAAAGCGGACTGATTTCCACTTCTCGACACCAAAGTGCCCACGGCCTTGATACTGTCGCTTGCATGGATTCCCACGTGTCGTGGGATTGTCTCTCGGTCAAGTACTTCAGGTCGCCTTCTCCCTTCGCTTTTCGAGACATTATCCTCCCGCCCGCCTCAATATCGATCTTACCCTCTAACGAGTGGCTAAAATGGGCGTTGTTAATGATGAGTGCTGTCGTCTGGGCTTTGGCGGCCTCTTTGGTGTATATCGCTTGATAGACAGCTTCTTCGATGCCATGCGCCAACGTCGTGAAGCCATGTCCTTGGAGCAGGACTGTCGAGTGATCGGGCTGGAGCGATGGTTCAGGTTTGGCGCCCGGGAGAGCCGATCGGACCTTTGAGTAAACAAATCCAGCTGATGTCGCCGGTTTGAATGTTGCCGCAAGGGATGCACCGAGATTCGAGTCGCGGACGAGGAAGTCTGACCCGGACGAGTTCCACACCGGAACATTTGTACCTTTCATTAACATTATTGGCTAAATTTCAAGTGACCGCAACAGGGGCACAGCGTACCTAAAAAGCCAGCCATATGTATCGTGTTCTTGAGAGGTACGCCACTGATGCAGTAGGGCAACACATCGCTTGCATGACTGTGCACAACGCTGTTGATATTTGGGAAACGCTTGTATATCTCGCTGTGGATATGACGCTCGATGTAGCCCGGCTTCGCGTAATTCTCGACAGGTTCGGCGGACTCGACATGATACTCGACAAGATCGCCAGGCGAGCTCACTAGAGCAGGCGGCATATTGCAAGGCATCCAGAAGGTCGCGGCATTATCTGGGGACCGCACGGAGACGTGCCCGTACGCGTCGAGGACTTCATGGCGGTGGAGTATGTGGGAGGCAGTGACGAGGCCTTTGAAGAGGTCCTCAAGTCCAACCTTCTCACGTTTTGGGAAGTATCCTGCAGACATATTGTGGGTGGATGGTGGTAGAAAGCATCGCCAACGACTTTTGGAACTTGAATGGGTGGTGGCTGCTTCGATGTATGATGACGTGAGCGCGAGAGCGGGAGGAACATTTGGGGTTGATCGGTCGCTGCTGCCTCGGAGCTCCTTCGGCGCGTGCACGGTTGTAGCCTTAGCCTTGTCGCTAACAAGCTGAGCTCTCCGCGGTCCTTAGCTGACCTGCCACATGTTCCTTCATGTAAGCTAAACCATCTGGTTTTCGGCCACACCTAGTTTTCGGCCACACCTAGTTTTCGGCCACCCAACCAAACCATACCTCACTATTTGGAGTCGCGATTTCTCAACAACAACGCTTATAATTGCCACTCTATACACATAGATTGAAGCGTGAGAGCTGCTGCTGCTGCTGCTGCTGCTGCTGCTTTTTTAGCCTCATCTTCTCCGTGCCTTGATGCCTGCTCAGCTTGTAATGCTGCTGCCCGATCAATAGCAGCCTTAATGGCTTCAACGTTGCTATAGCGCTCATTTGGGTTTACTTGAATACGCTTTCTTGAGCGTGTGACTGTACTACTATCTAGCTGATATTTGAGTCGTTGATTCTCAGATTGAAGCCGAGCTGCGCGGCTGTTGGCTTTGGCAATAGCCTTGCCTGCCTTACTAAGCACCACACGGGTGCTCTGAGAGAGGGATTCAGACAAAAGGAGCTGTTGATAAGCCCTGTGAAGAGCCTGTGAGCTCTGAGGCGTGGCAAATACGTCATCTATGGGTTGAGTAGATAGAGGAGGCGTGACAGGTCGGCCTGATACCTGAGATGAGAGTAATACTAGGCCTGGGTTGTATGGGCATAAGCCAGCAGCCTTCCACCCAGCTCGTATAACTCTCTCAGATAGTCCTTCCTCTCTTCCTTTGTTGTATGAGGTGACAAACCTCTCCTTCTTGATAGGTGCTGCGTCATCGAGTGCTGAGAGTGCTCGGATCTGACTACGGTAGTGGGTTTTGACAACGGAGAATGGAGCCAGATCCAGCGGCTGGAGGACGTGTGAGGCGTGAGGTGGAAGGTATAGGAGATAGATCTGATGCTGCCGGCAAGTCCACGTAAAGTCAACAGGGGTATGAGAGCCGTGGCCGTCCAATAGTAGTAGCCGCCACCCACCTTGTGAAGGTGTAGTATTTGGTATAAATATCCGTTGTAGCCACTCAGATCCAATTGAGTTTGACGTCCATCCATTCTCTGACGTTGTGTAGAGCCAATTAGGCACCCCTTGTGCTGGAAACCACGTGGTTTGTAGATGCTTGCCTTTGAAGATGACTAGGCATTGGAGCTTAGTACCGGTGGCGGAGATTGTCTCCAGGATTGATACCCACTCGCGATCCTCTGGCGATTTAATATAAGCCTTCTTCTTTGATGAGCTAGCAACGACTCTGGTGTTGCTACATACCCCAAGACTGACACCAGTCTCATCCATGTTCCATATGTCTTCATACTGTATACCCAGCTCAATTCGAGTACGCTCAAATAGCTCAAGAAACGCTCGTATAGTCTCATAGCTAGCTGCCGTAGTCCGTGCGCTCTCAATTGTTCGACCAACTATAGAGGCAATAGATGGGTTCCGTGTGATGAAGTGGGATACCCACAGGTGCCCAAGTGGCTCGTAGTCGCCGTTCATATGAAGGATTCGGAGAGCCATCTCTCGTACTCGCGCGTGAGAGGGTGGCTGTGAACGTGAATCCTCTTCAAGTATCCACTCTGCTAGGAAAAGCTCTTGCTCTGGTGTCAAACGTTGTTGATTTGAGTGAGCTATCACGTGTGGTTGACGGCCTTGAAGGCGGCTCTGGAGGGACGATCTCGGGATCCCGTACGCGCGCGCAGCCTGTCGCTGGCTCTTAAAAATACCAGCGTTAAGATCAGCGATAGCAGATTGTATAGCACCTTCACAGGCATCCATTTTGAGTACGTGGTGCTGGTAATAAAACGCGTCAAATGGTGGGTAGCGAGTTGTGGTGGGGTGGCCGAAAACTAGGTATGGCCGAAAACCAGATGGTTTAGCTTATGTCCTCTACGCAATCCCGAGCGTCATACCGATCTCGAATACCGACCTCGAATACCGAGGTGTACCGGTGATCAGCGTAAAATCTCGATATCGAACTTCGATAGCCGTCTTGACGGCATTGTGACCAGACGCAAATCGAGGCGAGCGAGTGTAGCAATCAACTTTGGTTTATTGTTCGTTCTTCATGTTACCTGCGACCATGGCAGTCCTCGAGCAGCTCGAACAACATAAGCTCAGTTGGTGAGTCATAAGCATAGCCCGTGTCCATCCAAGTCGTACATGTCTGCTTTCCCAACTCTTCTGTCTTGCTCATCACCAACGTCCCTTGTCCCCAGCCCACCCAGTCTACTGTCCCACGCGAGCACTTGAGCACCTCCTTCTCTGCCGCCTTCGTAACCACAGGCGTCAATCGTGCAGACTTGCGCGGTAGGACCTTTGGGCACGGCTCTTTCCAGACCTCCAGCGTCTGTCGTGCGCAGTCTATTGATGTCACATCCAGTGGTAACGTCATAAAGCTTCCAAGGCCAAAGCGCGGAGACGATCTGACAGCCATACCTGCGACGTGATGCTCCAATCGTAGCCTGATCTGCACGTCTCCTGTTTTTCCCCGGACACCTTCATCCATCAACCCTGTGAGCGTCCGGACCATAGCATGCGGTATCTGGCCCGCGTTACGGCGGTTGTGCTTGCTCTTCAACACTCCATCTGGCGCATCCCACAAGATCTGAATGTCGTACCTGGCAACCTTCTTGAGCCAAGGGTACTGCTTTGCCAGCTTTTGTAGGTGCACTTCCATCTTCTTGTCCCAATGCTCTTGCACGAATGTATTGGCTCGACCCTTGAAGACGACACCGATGCGAAGTGTTATTGCGTGGTTGAGGAGCCATGTTCGGTACTCATTGCCTTCGAGAAAGCCAAAGCGTTGGAGTGTGAGGAGAGCGGTGGGGCCGGAGTGAACGGGGCAGAGCTGGATGAGTGTGTGTTTGCAGGAGTATGATTTGAGCTGTAGTGGAAGACCGATGTTCGTGTTTGTGAGTGTTGCTGAAGCAGATAGGTAGCTGTAAACCGAGTTCCGCAGCTCAGGTGGGAACATTGGAAGGAGTGTACGCATGGCTGTTGCCATTGGCGATGCTGTATTAGTCGTGATGATGGTCTTGCAAACTGTGTGTTCGCACTGCTTCGCAGACAGTAGCAAGGCCAGTGAGGCTGCGTTTGTCGCGTGAGATCAGGATGATTTGATGCGTTGATAGGAACGCCGCGATCAAGATACGGAGTCAAATGTTGAACTACAGCTCACGAGTGAAACACACAGTGGTGAACCAATAATACAAGCCAGGCTTGCGTGTGTGTGAGTAATATCACGTGATGATAATGCCTGTTTGCGCTGCAGGACTGTCGCTGAGGGCAAAGCACCCAAAGACCCGAGCTTTCCGTGTGTTAGCCATGCTTGCACCACTGTGATGCATATGGCTGCCTGTACCTGTGAGTTCTTGTTCTGCCACCTTTTGTGTGGAAGGAAACTCGGAAGCAATTTTTCGATTTTTGGTGGTCGGCGCCGGCTCGGCACGAAGCTTTTTTCTCGGGCATCGGCGACGATGCGAAATTAGGAAGGCATCTGAATCGTGAAGTTGCGAAAATAATGCGAGAGTTTTCTTTGCCGATTTCCTCTACATGCACAATAGCAACAATATCCATGAGGACCCATTTCGGGCTTCGGATCTACTGGGTTCTAAGTTCTTGTCTATTGCTTCCACAGGCTACGGGACCTACGATCGGGGTTAAGAAAGCATACCAGGCCATCATGGGCTGTGCCTATGGAGGTTTCTTCTTGTTGGTGTTCATGTCGCAGGGCAGCCGGTAACTTCTCAGTAAGCCATGGTGAATGTGATGCGGTCAAAAAGGCATGCGTATGGTCAAACGCTTGCAGTGAGTAGATAATAAATTTAGTGAGATACGTGATGGAGATGTGCATCCTCAAATGTTTTACGACATTCATAAACATGACATGAATTGACTCATACACTGTTGATCGTCTGACCCATGTATTGCTGCGGTACAGCCACTACTTCGTACTAAGGGAGAGTCTCGTCATTTCTCATCCGTTCGGCAATCATACAAGATCAGTCAAGATCTAATATCTAGTGTATTAAATAACGTTAACAACAACACACCGACCATGAATGCAGGTGATAGAAGTCTACTTCCGGACCGTGATCACGTGTGTACACGCGCACGCGCACGCGCACGCTCGTACTTAACCTTTAGCTCGTTATTCTTTCGTATCTAAAACGAGAAGCTTCAGCAAAGTCCATCGGTTATTGACCTTGATCTGTGGTCAAAAATGTGCGAGAGTCCACACTGGAGATTCGGGTTCCTGGTATAAGGGGGGTGCCTGAATGAGTGAGAACACGATTTTGCCACATTCAGGGTACTCCTCTTGTAAAAGATCACTAGATGTTCAGCGCAAGCAGACTCGTATTCCCGACCGCTCAGGCACCCCCCTTGTGACAAAGTTAGGTAGGGTAAGGCTCATGCAAGCTAAGCTTGTGAACGCCATCTCCGTGCCCACTCCTTCGGGCTGCGCATCTCGGCGGACCACATCTCGACAACCTCAAACTTATTAGCTCAGGACAAATACCGATGAAAGGATTTCTGGGCAGAAGCGCTCTTTCCGGCGGGGGCGCGCTGCCAATGTTTGGGCTTGGAACTAGCCGGTGGAAGAAGGAGCCTAGGTTAAAAAATTGCAAAGAGAGCTTAAAGGAGAAAACCTTGTGACAATTCTACTCACATCTAGCATGCTAATCATCGTACCCATGATCGGAAAAGCAAGAGGCGTGAAGCTGGGAATCCTGGTCATGGGCAGCCACAAACGTGAAAACAGACGGTTGCAGGTCTTGTGAGAGGGCCCTCCGCGGAGCACTTTTTTTATACGGCGTAAATCTGTCGCGGTCTGGACTGCGTCCGCCACACTCGTGTGCAGCCCGACAACGGGGGCTCGATCAATTTGATTTATGAACCAAGGTTTTGCCACGCTACCATCGACGTCAAGTGGTGCCCTGCAATTGTTGTTTTGACGACGCATTAGGTATTGTAGTTCGCCTCCCTGCGCGACGATGCGGTCGGGAAGTTGACCGAATCCGTCCAACGCTCTTGCTGCTAAGACCCTCATGTTCTCTGGTTGGCCCGTTGCTAATCAACTTGCGATGGCAAATCTGGCCTGCCCTTCAGGCGGGGGCCAGTGCCACAGTGCCACTCCTCCATCCGGGAATGGTGAAGGCCACGAGGCAGGCAGGGCTCGGACCGGCGAAGGTGCCATTCCTCCAGCTAGCCTTCGGCAGCCACAGTAGGTGAGCCTGTTTTCAAAGGTGGGTAACACTATGTTTCGGAGGGCTAGTCGTCTTTTCCTCACAGGCAAGACATCTGCATCGATACACAAACCGACTCAAACCCTGTCCTCCAGCGACGCCACAAGACGTCCGATTGGCTTGCATGTCCGTTTTAGATTCACGGGCTCAGAAAGAGCAAATAGTCGCCTTGAAAAAAAAGCTTGAATCTATCATTTGTCCAAGCCGTCTTTACATATCCCCTCAGCCGCTCAGCACGCTGTTAGTAGACAGCAAACGGGGAACACCATGCTCCTCGAACAGAACGCCTGCGCGTGTGGCACGAACCCAAGGTCGCGCAAGTCAGCGAAGATTGTCTATATCGTCACCGATACACGCTACACTACTGCGGCCGATTTCGATGAAGGGAAGGGAACGACCTTGCTCGACTCAGTGCACACCACACCCCGAGCAGCCAACGTTCGCGCCAGAAAGGTCATGTACGCCCGCACCAGTCCCGGTTTTGAAATAGACGAAGACAAGATTATCGATGAGGTGAAAAACGGCCTTTACACTGGCATTGGTGTTGGTGGTGCTGAGAAGGACGGATGCTATGCAAGGAAGTGCGAGGTCGAGGCCAAGCCCATAGACATCGAAGACGATGGAAGCAGCGAGGAAGATGGACATGATGGCGAAGATTGGAACATGAAATGAAAGGCAGCGATCAGGAGTCAGCGACTCGGCGCAACCTACGGCCACTAAGAGATGGAGCAAGCAGCTGGGCCAGCTGGCATATGAAAGACGGAAAACGAGCGACATTGCATCCACAAGGGGAAGGGCGGATGAGGGACAGGGCGGCTAAGCAAAGATTATGATAGGAAAGAGAACGGACTGCACGCCACATCCCGACCCTATGAACCCTCGATCATATCACCCAAGCGCACTGTCAGTAAGTCTACCCTCCCAGACTGTATACATAGTTGCTTGCACGCAGACTGCAATAGATGCCCCTGCATCGAAGCCATCATCAACGCACGATACCTCACTATCATACTGTTAATCGAAAGCATGTGGTAAAGCGCTCGCACTTCGCACCAGTGGCTTGGTCCAGGTACTTCGACACACGCAGCAACTACATCTCGCGTAAGTGCCCCTAGGTCTACTCCTTCAAGCTTGTCAACCTGCTATTCACTCGACTACTCCTACTACTCGCATATCTAACTCCCCACACTCCCTGTATGATACGGTTGACGCAGCCCAAACCTTGTTAGTGCCCAAAGAAGAAGCAGATTACGCATTCTTACCATATATATATGACGTGCAACCCTTCCTAGGCCTAGCTATCCATCACTCAGTGTCAACATCAACGCCAGTGAAATAGCCAGGATCCAGCTGCATTATGCATAATTTATCTCAGACAGAAGCCGCAATACATATGAGCACAAATCCCGCTTTAATGAACGAGGACTAATTCTTTTTACGCAGCTTGTGCTTCATGCAATACCTGTACGACACAACTCAGACGGCCAGCAGACTGATGCTGCAAACTTGTCATGGAAGAGTAGACCACACTCCCTTTCCTCCCATGTTAATGATCTATTAAAATCTATGTCTAGTATCAGTTCAGACTGTGCATTGTCCTGATTCCGGGTGGAGAAAGACTGCATAAACAAATGTGTATAATCAACAAACATATGGTATCTCGCTTTGCTAGACAACAAACGCATGAGGATGTTCACTATTATTATTACGATATCCTCCTCTCTCAACATTTCATCGCAGGGACAAACAACTTCAAGTGCCTTGCAAGCACGTCATGAGAGGCCATCTAGACGCGTGCGCCCGGGGCAGACTCAGCAATGTACCGCTCTTGGACCGCCTTCTCCTCAGCCTTCACGCGCTTAGTCTTGCGGTGGTGATCTTTGACCTCATGGAACGCAGCAGTAAGGGCGTGAAGCAGACTGGAGTTTGTTAGATATCGTTCGTGGTAGTGGTTCGTGACAATGCTGTCATGGCAACAAGACTTACGTGCTGATTATGGCCAAAATGAAAGTACCCCAGGGAAGATCGCAAGTGTCGTCCTGGGAATTCGCGGTCTGTCCTTGCGCAATGTTCTCGGCGTTGTTGGTGTTGCGATCGGTGTAGCAATGCCTTGGGCCAGCGGCTCCGCCATTGGGGCGTGTGAGGACAGACACAGCGATGAATGCGCCGACAAATGCGAGATCGAGAAGCACCCATAACCAGCGCAGCGCTTTTCCACCGGGGTTGGCGGACTTCTTGATGCAGCCGAAGATGGTGGAGATGAGTGTGTACAAGACAGCAGCTGCAAGGATACCTTCGACGGCGCCATAAGAGCCGTTGATACCACGACGTGTCTTAATGGAGTTTACCAGGCGGTAGACTTTGTAGAGGCGCTGGGAGAAGACACCGAGCGAGATGACGGCGGAGATGAACTGCAGGACGCGGGTAAGGCGGAGCAGGACCCGGTAGAAAGCTGTGTGGCGCAGACGAGCAGGTACAAAGCGTGTGAGTAGACCGGTTGGCTTCTGTTCTTGGTAGTGTTGGTCGGCTGGGCCGTCGAGAGGCTCTTGGTAGCGCGCCATCGTGTTGTGTGCGAGGTGCCTCTGTTGAGGAGGTAGGAACGGTTGTGATGAGTTTGGAGAGCCAATTGTGTACCTGGCAAAGTCTGATGGTCACTTGGATGTAGCAGTGAGTGAATGCGAAGATGAGTCAAAGTTATATAGCTCGCTCATCATTTTGCTGTCCCATTGCGGCTCATAACAGGTTGTGGCTGCCACTCGTCAGTGCCACGTCAAAGCAACGCCTCAGCTCGTCACCCTGAAAACATGCTGAACACAAACAACATCGAGTTTCTCGACTGCAATCGAGAAATACTATGCCGTCATGTACAATTACCATGTTCCGTTTAGCCGTTCCGCGCATTTCACGTCGCACGTGATGACGCTAATTGGACGTCATATTTCTGTCGTATGATGACCACAGCCGCAAAGTGGCTGTATGCATACCCGTTGAAGATCATTTAAGCTTGCTGTGCGCCTTGGCTGGCAGTGCGCTGGCTACGATCGACTCTGTAATGACGCCTGGTGCCCTGCAGCGCCTGTAGTAGCTGGAGTCAGGGGGCCATCTTCTTTGTTCAAACATTGCACGAATGCAGCGAGCAGTCATTGACTGAGAATCTAGCCAGTGAGGTCTGGATATTGCAACTTCGGGACTTTATTACTTTTGCGGAATGACGATGGCGCGTTGACCCTGGCCGGTATATTCGAAGACGCGGCATTCGCAACCGAGAATATGAGCTAGGCCAGGTTCGAACTTCTACAACAAGTGCAGCGAGGAAGAAGCATCGGTGAGAAAAACCGGTGTGGTAACGCGCAGTCTGCTTCAACTCCGGTTGTAGGCAGCCAGACTGTGGGAGCTCGTTCGCCGGCAGTCCGGACGTCCTCCACCGTCTGTCTGCATCTACTTCATCGAACCCCCAGGAGATCGTTACATTCTGTTCATATGGTATATTCAGCATGGAGCTTTTGGAGTTACCCTCAGAATCAAGGATAGCGTACCCGGGACAATTACGAGCGTATTTGTGGGTTTCTGTGGGTCCAGTTCCCGAGTCTGCAGGGAGCCAAACAGCAACACCCTGGAGGCAATCACAAAGCCTGGAATCCGCATAACCGTCCAGGCGCTGACAGAGGAGCGTGCCGTGACACTAGAACGACGTCACCTGCACAGTCATTTCGAGCTGGTCCTTGCACCGGCGAAAAGAAGTTCAGCAGGTGGTATGATCGTCCGTACTGAGTTTGCTGATATGCTTCCGCGTTGCAGGATTATGATAAGACACGCGCTGGATCTTGCGTGAGCTTATGGAAGTGTGCGCGCCGCGGAGGAAAACGCGCAGAGAGAAGCAGTCGAATCTGGCGTCACAGAATACTCAAAATCTTGATCATGTAGAGTTCGCTGACAGCTGTACGGTAACGAAAATGTCAGGCGGAACAGGCTGCCAGACAGTCAACACAGGGATCGTAGCATCTACATAGTCATACACAATACATACATGATGTGCGACCGTATTCAACCCCAACCCCACCAGCTTTTGATGGTATCTCCTATTGTGGCCTGCCCTGATTCTTTTCTCTTCATGCGGTTGATACGCTCTTCAACGAATGTCTCTTCGACCTGCTTGGACATGCCTGTTTGGGCCTTGAGCTCGCCCAGAATTGCCATACGTTCGATATTCTGATCTCTCGGCGGCAGCTTGGCGATGCTGTCTTCATATCTCTTGCGCGCTTCTGGCTTGATTTGGTCCCAAACGTCTTCGTCTGTCTCGACTTGTTCGCTACCTTGCGCAGGTAGGGATGTAATGGTGGTCTGTTTGCCTCTCATGGCTCGCGCGACATTGGCCTTGGATAGCACGCTCTCAAATTTTGGCGGCTCTCTACCCTCCTTCTCTGCCTTTTCAATCTCAGCCTCTTGCTGGAGCATTTGCTGGTACAGCTTATCGGCGTGCATCTGAATCCTTTCGTCCTCGTCCGGTGATCGCGCGTCGAGCGTCAAATAACCCAGTGCCTTGAGGAATTTTGACTGCATGTCGTAGCAACGGTTGAATTTCCTTGATTCTGCGTTGCACAACGTGCCCATTGACATCCATGTCTTAGGGCTCCTGAAGCACTCGAACTGCTCCATGTACTCTAATGCGCAGTTTTCCATAGCAATGTTTCCTATTGTAGCATTGCGGCCGTTGTAGGCATCGACAAGGTCCCTCAACTTGTCCTGCTCGTTTTTTCCCCGGTCCATTAGGACATCTTGTGGGGTGTAGTTCTTCCAGAGGTGCGCATAGCGCCCATCTTGGAATTGCGATTGCGGTGGTACAATTGGCTTCTCGGGCTCAATGGGTGCTTGCGTAGGCGGCGTCGGTGCAGGTGCGCTTTCGACAGGCTTCTCTTTTGGAGCGGCAGGTAGTGAAGGCTTGGGTCCTGTGGGTACCTCTTTCTTCAAAAACTCTTGGAGAGAGGGATCTAGTTTGTTCGAGTCATCGCTGCTGCTCCACAGCCAGCCCATGTTGTGTGTTGGAGAGATTGTCAAATGAGAGCGTCAAAAGAGAGCACACGAATCGTCCACCATCCATCAAACCAGCACGTGCGCCGCGGTCTAGCGCGAACCACGGCCGCGGCATCACAACACGCCCACACGCGACTGCTGTTGAACCCCAAGCACTATTGTCGCGCGCACTCCTACCATGGCGCCTGTTGGTAGGAAAATACCGTCGCACTAGATTTCTGAACCCTTGGCTAACGAATTGTAGATCGACGCGAGCATCGTCAACAGCGCGTGCGCGGTGCAGGGTAAGCACACCACCACAACAGTAAGGGATAGCACACTGATAAAGCCAGAGCTTCGACCGTACAGGCATCGTTTGGCTTCGATTTTGGCGCTCTTGGTGCAAAACAGAGCTCTCTCCCACCACAACGATCCGGTCGGCGATCTCGAACTCCGGCACAAGGCACGCCGCGCAACCTCAATGGATCAGCGAAGCGGCATCGCAGCCTTTCAGCACCACATAGTACGAAGTCGCGGCGTGATGCTACACCGAGGAATAACGCTGTCATACCGCAACTGGGGAAACGGAAGCGTGGATCGTCTAGTGCTGCTCCACCCGACAACGAGAATGAGGAAGAAGATGAGCTGAGCCCTGACCGGGTCGAGAATGTGGGCTCAGTCGAGAGAAGCAGGAGACTAGCCAGGACAGCCTCGCCTATTAGGGAGGAGCCGAACGAAGCACCAGACGAGCTATCGATAATCGACGAGGCGCCGAACACAGTCAGGAAAACACCGCGCAACGTTTCCGGTCTTTCTTCGAGCGACACAAGTGCATCTGCAGGCTCACGTCGAGATGGTTCTCGAAGGTCGAAGCCGACAGATGTGGTCCCAGTCACTCCAGGCATGCAGCCGCATAGTGGCTCTAGACAATCTTTCGCGCTCTTGAGGCCGGTGGAGAACACCGCATCCAACGCTTCGCAAGCTGAAGATGAGGATGCAGACGAGCTCTCACCATCTCAAAATGCCGCTTCCACCCCGCGAGTTATATCACGAGAATCGATACCCAATGGCGTACCTCTCGAGGGCGAAGACGGTGGCATTGATGAACTCTCGCCCACACAAGCGACTATCCCGGACACGATAGCGTCAGTCGCAACGGGTACTCATAGCGAGACCGTAACAACTCCTGTACCTACACGACCTCCACGGAATGCGGGCCGCGGCATGCCACGCAAGACCAACAGAAAAAGCGACGACGACACAGCAGTCACATCAGAATTTCGAAAGCCTTTACATAAACGGAGCGAGAAGGCTGTGGTAGAAGATGAGCCGAGTGAGGAGCAACAAGATGAGCTATCACCTGAGGCACAAAGAACGACACAGCCGACACCCAATCTCAAGAGACGAACCGAAGAGGAGGTTGATGCATCTGATGAGGAGTCCGACGAATATGAGGAGGAGATGGAACCTGATGAGCCAGTTCGAAGACCTACACCCAAACCCATCGCAAAGCGCACACATTCGAAGCAAGTCGAACGTACAAAGCCGGCTAGCGACAAGCCACCACGCAAGCGACAAAAGTCGCTCGGGCCAAAGCTTGCGATTTCTGTCATGCGCATGAAAGGTTACGGTGTTCGAGGTATCACAGTAGCAGACACTATGCGGACCATACTCGAAGAGGCAATTGATCATCGCCTTAGTCAGATGTTGGAGAAGATGCAGACATTATCGGACTTAGCGCGCCGAAAAGAGATGCGAAGCGAGGTCAATTTGGCGTTGTCTTTCAAAGAAAGCCTGAATGAGAAGCTGCTCGATCTGCAGGATGCCAACGATGTCTTGACGACGAATTTGAAGAAGATGAGAACCTTTAAGCGCAGTAATGCGGAGTTGCGCAAGGATATACTCGCTCTGCAAAATAGTCGGCAGGAAATTGCTCTTGAGCACGATGACGCTCAGGCCGAATTCGAGGGCGAGAAAGCCAAAATCGAGTCGAGGAACACTTTGAGTACCGAAATGTTTGAGATCGAAACCGCTGTCCAGAACGGCCGCAAGAAAGCGAAGCAGGAAAGACGAGAAGACGAAGGGCCGGACATCCCCTTGAGCATGCTCCTCGAGACCGTGGGCAGAGATGTGGGCTCGGTTGGGGGCGGTTTGCTTGCAAACGTGAAGAGCTTCAATAGTACATTGGAAAGAGCAGCAGGCTGGCTCGAAGGAAGAGCGTAATGCCGGCATCTAGATATAAGCATTCTTTCGGGCGTATGGATCACTATGGATACCCGGCACAAAGCCACTCGCAGATACGAATTAACGTTTACACTTTCACACGCATTCGCGTGTTGTTCGGAAGGAGCCAGAGGAGCCAGCCTAGCGCTATGTATGCAGCAGGTGCGTCACTTTCCAAGCGTCATCGACCAATCGGTCACTCGGCCACAAGCAGCTTCACGTATTGAACATCACTGCCTCTTGCACACCCATCACCGGCTGAGACTGGCTTTGACTTATATCCACTACTTTTGTTTACTGCCTTGCCGCCCGACCAACACCACAGGATTCGCACCGCTTACTTCTGGTAGTGCACTACGTACTCTTACATCAACACATTCACGTTTCCGAAACCCAAATATCTGCAGGATTCATATCACAGTATGCGTGTCGCTCGTGAGAGCCAGCAAACCCCTCTCTGAAAGGTCCCTCTGGTCGCCCGACGCATGCTGTAACGGGTCACACAACATCAAGAGCCAGCCCCCCCCCCCCCCCCCCCCCCCCCCCCCCCCCCCGCCGAGCCCGCCACGAGGCAGCTAGGCGCGCGGACACCTTTCAAGAGCTTCTGCTCGCTCCGCGTGCCCGCGCCCGCCCTCGCTCGGTCTCCCCCCCGTCTCGTGTCCATGCAACCGCGACAGCCTCAGTATGCTTACCGGTACTTACATGATACCATCCGCTGTTGGTGTCAGCCTTTCGGACCGTTACTTCTCTACAAGTGCGAACCATCACTACTCCCCTAATGATCGGTGTTCCTGGTGTCAGGACATGATTCAGACGCCACAAGAGAGATACCAGGGAGCCTTGAGGCAGGCCTTGCATTCCCAGCCGATTACTCCTACAGCATTGGAAGCCGATATCGAAGCTGGGAGATCTGGCCAGGAAGTGGCGATTACATCCTCAACACCAGTTAAGACTCCAGCCTCTGCTCAACCAACAAGCCCTACTCTGCGCAACCCGGCAAATCGACTGTGGAGCAAAGCCACTCAACGTGAGGCTTTCATTCAACACCTGAGAGACTGGGCGTCTTACCATGATTTGTCTACCCACTTCCATGGAAGCATGAGTCTTCATTCGCAGGGCACTGTGTCGGAAGAGATGGTGGAGCTGGGCAGGTCAGTCAACTGCCTGTTGTTCGATGCCTCTTCCAGTGATACACCGACGAATATTGTCATCTGCCTCTTCCAGTCAAAGCGTTGCCGCGACGATGCTCACAAACGTCGAGCAGAAGATCCGGTCGTGTCCCTCGATGGCACAAGCATGAACTCGACAATAGACTCCAAGATAAAGCATTGTGCAGATTCGTCGGATCCGCATCGCCAGTCCATTTGGCCCTACCAGCTGGTCATCCGTAGCGGGTCTGGATGGGTGACTGCTCGCCAGTACCTTGACAGGCATCACTTCAAAAATCATGCCAAATATGCAAAAGATGCGTCTTCGCGGTCGCTTGCAAGGGCGCGTGCACTGGACGATGTTCAGCAACGCGCCACGGTCTTGCTATCTAACCTAACAACTCATCAACTTGGGCCGGTGAATCGCACCGTCGTGCAACAAACGACTGCAATGGGCCATTTGATCGCCGCTCTGCACACCAACGTCAGCAATATTCAAATCAGCAACACCCAGGCTCCTGGATGGATAGGTCTGAGAAATAGCAATGTCACTGCAAACGCCGGAAGTGCCAACCGCGTGAGGAGACCCAGCACCAATGCACTTGAGCAGCGTCGCAAAAGCGCTGCAGGTCAAGCCAACCGAGGAAGAACTGAAGCTTTAGTGTCCAGAAAGGATGTCGTCAGCGTCAGTCCCTTATTCCATTCGTTCTCCCTACTGCCGCGAGAGCTTCAAGATGAAATCCTCTACCATGCAATTGGGTACACGGGAAACGTCAACATCATACGTGCAGTTCAAGTCAAGGATGATCCATCAATGTCCAGACCGTCTGTCACGATCTCAAAGTTGTTCCGGATATCAAAGATGATCAACGAGCATATGGTAGCACATATCTTTCGCAGCACGAACTTCCACTTCGGTATAACAGGCTTCACGAACTTCATGTGGCAGATTGGGCCCGTCAATCGATCCTATTTGCAGAATTTGACCTTCCGTTTCGGCAAAGTTTCTCTGTTGCACTGCGTACGCTGGCTCGCACCCGATCCTATCTGGGAGCTTTTTGAGCCCCCGGTTACAACCAGCCCGCTTACCATGGCCTACTTCTGGCGCTGCCAGCTTCAGGACCTGATGAAAGAATTGACGCTAGTGACACTCACGGTTGATATTGGTGATGTGCCGCTTGCAGACGTGCCTATGCTCGTCAGGACTCTCAGATCCGCAATCGGCAGCGCGAAACATATCCGTATCGTCGACAACAGCTGCTCGGTAGATGAGACTAGGGGTTGTGCGGTTGCTCAAGCTCTACACAGGCGCTTTCCGGACTTCCATGAACCTACATGGCGAGAGTTGGCTAACAAATACTACGCCGATTATAAGCATCAGCGATGGCACATGAAACACAAATTGACCCAGCATGGGGTAGACGCCAGCCCAGTATTGAATGAGTGGATGGACCAGAATAGTGCCTTCTTCGATGCTTAGAGAAGCAAAGAGGAGAGATGGAAGGAAGTGTTTGGGGTCGAGCTAGGGTCCGAGGTACCGAGTGTGGACCGTTGTCTGCGAAAGCTGGATGAGCATCTAGAGTGGGCTGGTAGATTTGCTGTTGGCACCTGGACCGCGCATATCTCGCTTGCGCATGATACAGCGGCGTCGAAGAGTAGACTGGTGCGGCAGCCATGATGTGATGTATGTCAATGATTTTGCATTACCACGCATAGCACAACCGACTCTGATATGATGGTATTAGAGCATCGCTAGCTGCATCTAAACACCTGCGCTTTGTGTTTGGCGCTCAGGACCGATCACAACATCCTCTATCCTATCTCTATTATGAAAGTACGTTCAACACCAGGGTCAAGATGGTGAGAGACGTTGAGGTACTCGTCCAATCACTGACTTTGCTTCGTAAGATTGCTAACCGGATACGGACTGGGCATGTGGAGGTGAACCTCGGCTCATCTCACCCCAGACTCGCGACAGCTTACAAGCAAGTGGGCGACATATAGTACATCGCAATACCTGCGCACTACACAGTTTCTACGCTTCCAAAGACCACAATCTCACCTCCCAGCTGGCAGAGCAATGTCGGCCATCAAGCCTAAGACCGCGCCTCCTCCCACAGCCCACGTCCTCCTCTCGTACCCGGCCGATTATGTCCTGCTTGTCACTATTAACCGCGAGAAGCAGATGAACAGCATCCCATATGCGGGACATCAGGAGATGGGCCAGGTGTTCGATTGGTTCGACGGGGAAGATAATCTGCGGTGTGCCATCATCACAGGTGCTGGCAAGAAGAGCTTCTGTGCTGGACAGGACTTGATTGAGCTGGGAAGGATTAGAAGCGGGAAGAACGACATGAATCCAGCCTTGATGAGGCATCCGCTGGGCGGTTTTGCCGGTCTGAGCAGGAGAGCTGGCAAGAAGCCAGTCATTGCTGCTGTCAATGGCTTCGCCTTTGGAGGAGGCTTCGAGATCGTGCTTGGCTGGTGAGTTGCAAGTCTACGAACTCGAAGAAACAAAATACTAATAGCTACCAGTGATATGGCAGTTGCCGCACCGGGTGCGACTTTTGGTCTTCCAGAAGCGCTACGAGGCATATTTGCGGGTGCTGGAGGTCCAGCGCGCTTGGTCCGCATCGTTGGCTTGCCGGTTGCTTCTGAAATGGCTCTGACCGGCACACCCATCACTGCTCAGCGAGCGAAGGAGTTGAACATAATTAATCGCATATCGCCTTCGCAAGACACCGTTGTCGAAGAGGCGTTGAAGCTTGCGAAGGAGATTGCCGCAATTTCTCCGGATGCAGCGATTGTGACACGGGCAGCACTGAAGGATAGCCTCGAGCATGGAAGTGTTGAGCGTGCTACACAGCTCACGCTCGAGCGATACAGCCATGCATTGCACTCCGGTGAGAATGCTCTTGAAGGTTTGACCGCCTTTGCGCAGAAGAGAATGCCGGAATGGAAGCCCTCGAAACTATAGGCATTTCGAGAGCGATAAATGGACTTTACTTGACGCGCCACTTAACTTGAAATGTTTTTCCTCAAATTACCTTTCGAACATAGTCACGCTCCAAATACGGTTAGCAAATTGACCGTCGAGATTTCGCCGTCCCGGTTATGTTCGGTAATTCCTCCTTCCCACAACGTGACATAGGCCCCCCTGAGCCACTCTCCAATCGCCACGCCAGACATGACGAGTTTAGGCCCGATAGAGGTAACGGAGCTGACCGGAAGCTCGTACCCGCCGCTGCCGGTGTTAGACCCACACCATACCCCCGCATTATGGCTTCCCCTGTTGACTTTTGTCGCTGCACGATGAAGGCACATGGACGGGGAGTCCTCGGTCGGCGTCGGCGTCATGTAGATATAGGGCAACGAACCCTCAAGCCCAATTACTCGGCTTTATCGATTCCTTACAAATTGACAGGTCATCGGCGACTCAGTGTTCACTGTTTATTTACTTAATACCATTGCCGGCATGGTTAACGGACGCCCTAGTGACGCTGCTGAGCTCGCAATTCCCGTTGCACCTGTAGTTAAGCGCAAGAGACGAGCTTCGTGCTTAGGAGAACATGAGAGACGAGAGCGCAAACGTGCGATAGACCGGGAAGCTCAGCGGTCGCTTCGGGAGAAGACAAAGACACATATTGCTGAACTAGAGCGGACGATACAGATCTTACGAGATCAAGACCGAAATGTAGCGACAGCGAATCTGCTTTCCGAGATCGACAATTTACGAGCAGAGAACGAACGCTTACGAGATGTTATCGACTGCGTCAAAAGTGTTGTTGGGAACGAGGTCGCACCGAGAACGAGTACAGCAACAGAGCATCCACCACCGAACGGAGGTGTGATAGCTTCACCAGCTTCTTCAAGCAACGGTATGCATTAACTTACTCAGATGGCCTTCTATGACTTTGCATCAAAGAGGCTCACACACCTATAGAGCACCGATCGCCCAAACCGTGCACAGTATCTTTCGTCGACGACATCAAGCCTTCACTCCCTACACCTACAGATCTGCCTTCTTCGTACGACTTTAGTGAGCAGAGTGGGAGTGCCAAATTGGTCGACCTGGACGGCATGAGCATCACTGGTGTACACACGTCGTCCGCCAGGAACCTAGACATCGATCTGGAACCAGTGGAAGAGATTTCTACGGAGACCATTACAGAGATGCAAAGAGACCGCCAGGTCGATATAAAAGACTGGGAGAACAACCCAGTAGCAGCTTACTGGGGACCGTTAATGCTAGAAGTATACGCCCTGTGATCCGGCCCCGCCGTTAGCATCGAATGCTAACACTTACAACCTCAGTTCTTCGGCGATAACTGGCACTGTCCCTCTCCAACCATCATCCACATCGGCACTCCGGACTCTTTGACGCCAATGACCTCGATCACCGTGTGTCCGATCTGGAAGCAGGTCAATGAGCTATTTGAGAAGATATATAGCAGCTGCATTCCAGCACGCACACAGTATGCCACTCTGTACGGAAAGCCATTGTCGGCACCAGCAGAGGCTGGACTGCTGTATCTCGGTATCAAGGAAGGCTGGACCAGCATATCCGACGAATGGATGCAGAGCCCGGCGCTCGTCGTCTTGAAGCAAGTCGACGAGTTTCTGTTCTGCCATCTGCCTAAGGTGAAGCGCCTAGCCTCGGCCTACAAAAGCTTCAAATTGCTGAAGGTAGATCATCGAAAACGCTGAAATGCAGACAATTTACTAACGCACGCAGTACTATCTCAACCGCAACGAAGATCAGCTGTCTACAGTCCCCACATGGCTGCGTCCCAGCGTCATGCAATCATCCAATACACATCCCATCGCTATCGATTTCTTCGCCTGGCCCACACTACGCGATCGCTTTGTCAGTCAGCACTCGTCCATCTTCCAGACCTCAGCCCTATCGCACGTGTACGGCCGGTATCTAAAGTTCGACTGGCCGTTTGCCTTCGAAGATGCATTCTTCCACGATGAAGCCACCGGGTACCATTACCCAAGTCCGCTCTTCGAGAGGTACCACGGGGATTTGAGGTATTGGAGTGTAGCGAATGAGTTTTATGAGAAATTTCCTGAGATGCGGGCTGACATTGAGGGGGATCGAAGGAGGTTTGCTGAGGATGTGGGCGTGTAGTTGGAATGCATTGTTTGGCCGCACGGTTGGCTTCGATTCAGCGTTGCACAATAAGGAAGAGTCAATTAACATCTGACATACATTACGAATGAGATAAAAGCCGTGGATGGATGGTCCCTGCAAACTTAGGGGTCACACCTCTGCCTTCCGCGAAGGCCCGGAATCTTGCCTCATTCAATCTCAGACACGCTACTTGACGAGCTGTATCTTTCGATGTTCGCGCCTCTGAAGTTCGTGAATCCATTGTACTTCATACGAAGTACAACACGGAACTGGGTGCAACTTGAGAACGCTGTGGACCCATTGAATGAGCGCCATCTCAGAGTGGCTAGTCTCAAGGGCGGCCCGCCCGCTTCTTTGTGGAGGATTCGCAGGGGCATATACAGTCGATGTAGTCGACTATTGTGCCTGCAACAGTAAATTGGTCGAACCAACACTGTCCCGCATGAGCTAGAAGGCTATCTTGCGATGCACAGATCATGGAGTGCTCCAGCGGTCGCTAGGTGTAACGACTCACCGGGACCAGACACTAGGCTGAGCGCGCGGCTCCTCTGGGCACAAGCCTACCAAGACCTACACCGCAGCCATGTATCCACTATAGCCAGTCCGCTCCTCTCTCATCGTGCATACAGCGTCGACATGCTCCTGGACAGCCATGGCTGAAGAGGTACATTCCTGTCTTCTGCCGACAGTTGGCGTGCCAAAGCTGACCGTGGATAAGCAGCACCCCTCGTCCTCGCGCGCAACGCCCACGCTGTCCTCCAAGAGCAACTTCAAGCCTATCACCTACGGCTCATCGTCTACGAGCGCGCACGATTCGGCGGTCGAGGTCTCGCCGACCGATCCGCCATCCCGCGCGCCCCCGCTGCTGTATACGTACTCGCATCCCAACGGGCACCGCATCATACCGCCGAGCATCAGTGGACATGGGCGTCTTATAATTGCACACAGGACTGTGCCGTACTGGGGAGGAGCGCTAGTGGTGATTGGGTCTTTTGCTTGGGCGGTGTTTGTTGCTATGCACGTTTTTGAGCTGCTGGGGGCAAAGCATCCTAGCACTAGACCGGGATATGGGAGGGGAGATTGTGAGGGATGGTTCTGCTGAGACGGTAAACCTGTCAAATCAATGTGAAGGAAGACTTAGAGTGGCTCCCCGTATGCCAATGGGATACAGCCTCCATGTTGATGCACCCACCGTCGTGCAATACGGCGCTAGCTTTGGGCCGCCGGTCGTCATACTTGAGCAGCGTCGCGGGTGGCTGAGAACGGTTATCAGGACTGAGTCTGTAAGGATTACAGCATGAGTACAGTTGAACACTGGCTGGATAGAACAGCAATTCCAACACTACTAGATGCAAGCGTTCCCATTTGCCAGTCTTTCAGCACACCAATCCCGTCCTGACACCTACTAAAGCTCATTGTCCGCATCCGTCCTCGCATACCCAACATCAAACGGTCTGATAGCCTCCATACTACAATTATCTAACGCCTCACCACGGAACAGCCCAGTGATGAAGCCATGCCGCTCCAGCGCACTCGCTCCCGAAGCCGATGGCGATGCCGCCAAATGCGCCAGCTCCGACACACGCTGAGTCTCGCACGATTTCTCGTCCGACAAGACTGGTAGCTCGTAGAGGCCGTAGCATTGCTCTCGGCCGAGACAAATAAGGCGCCTTTCAGCTGCAGCCTAACTCTGGGCTGTTCGTTGCTAATGGCAGTGAACAGCGCCGAGCTTGGTCCGAAGACCAGACAGCTACTTTTGAGGGGTCAGTCGATGGGGGTAATCATCCAGGGACGAGGTTTGATCAATAGTGGAGGGGAACAGGGGGACTATGCGCTCCTTAGCGTGACGCTATATATGAGCATTTAGCGAAAACTGTTTAACCACAAAAAGGAAGCACCCAAAAGTACCATTACATTATTGGCTACATCAAGAAAGACGTCGATCAGTACAGTCCATGCGGAGTGTCAAGGTCCAGACACGGGCCGGCCCCCCACAGACAGCAAAAAGAACATCGATTTCTCCGCTCCCAGAATCGAACTAGGGACCTTTCGATAACAATGAAGCTATTACAGTCGAACGTGATAAACCAACTACACCAAGCGGAGGAATGCAGCCCGAAGGTTGCGCTTGCTGATTGATGATCATGTGATGAATAAGTAAACTTATATCCCATATTGAATTTGACTAAAGAAAAGATGTTCAGTGAGGATTCAAATCGTATCCAAGATGGTCTGGTGACATTGAAGAATTTGTTGAGACGCACAGATTATGCTGACGCACGTCAGACTTGTGTAAATCCGAGACTCCACTTATGCAAACTCCTAACTCTCACGACCTTCGGGCTGCATTCATCCGCTTGGTGTAGTTGGTTCATCACGTTCGACTCTACTAGCTTCATTATTATCGAAAGGGCCCTCTTCGCTCAGCAGCTTGACATGTGTAAAGATCTCAATGGCCTTTCTGCACAGTGTGATTACTCTCTCAACGACACCCCTCCCAACCCAGCATTCGCGATCTAAAGCGGTACATGCCCATCAACTGAATCGGTATAAACTGCTGCAGCCTTGAGCCATGTTGCTTCATCCCTCAACCCTAAATTGCTCCCGTCTACTCTCTCTTCAACACCTTCCGGCTATTTGCAGTACCTCGGATCGTCTTCGATACGCGGTCTCCGTCTTTAGTGGGCGTAAGAGAGTCTAGCACAACCAGTGATATATTGCCAGCTATAGGTGGGGTTTTCAGGCACGTATTCGATGACCTCGCTTATGTGACGCGGGTTAGCACTGTGAGAAGTGTAGTTGGCGAGATCCCGCGACCTTTCCGTTCGAGGGGGGTTGAGTGGTCGAGAGAGGAAGGAAACTGGACGGGAAGCGTGATGAAGTGGATGGAGAAGAAGTCGAGCTTCTGAATATGTTTTGGGCGTTGAGCAGTAATGCTGAAGTAGGTTGCTGATGGTCTGATTTGAACTCTGGAAGAAACAGTGGTCTTGGAGATACTCACCGGCTGCATCCATCATCTCTGCAGCCTTTGCTGTCAGATTGACACTGTTGATCGCCATTTTGACATATTCTGTAGTAAGCTTACTGATGCCACAAGTACGACCCCATACTAGACGCATTTCTCATTCTCTACACTATCAACCATATTGCGTCAGACAGCAACTCTGATGCCCTCCCCAGAAAACACACTGTCACGTTGTATGATGATCCATTACAGACGCTGGATGTCATTAAATCTACCACATGCCTGCCAGCTTCGACGACGCGAAATAAGTCAATGGACCGTAGATCCACAGTCCGTGAACCATAGACCGAGGACCCAGGAGAACAGTGCCAGTGCTTAGTATCTAGTTCGCTTTGAAGCAGACTCTCGCTTCTTCTATGTTCTTTCCATATACCTCCCTTCCACCATAACATCCTCATCATAGAAAAAAAATCCGATCACAAAGTGCACCCGCTCGCCACCACCCACACCATTTTCCAGCTCAAAGAGGACCCGCTTGACAAAGTCAATTCGCTTCCTCGTTCTTCCAGATACCCACAGCGCAGATCTACCCAGCAATCTGCCTTCCCGCGACGTACTCCTACACTGTAGCAATATAACAGAGGACGGTTCGCCCGAGTCCATCGCGAAGGCACTTTCGAGCACAGGCCGCATAGGCGCCAAGCTAAAGCTAGTCATTGCTGGCAAGCACGAAGTCTCTCTAGAGTCTAGACAAAGGATACTACACATCTGAAGGCGGAGCATCAGAAGAGGTCGAAGAATCCCTCGCCCTTGTTTCTTCTGATTCCTCATCACTCGTCACAAAGAATGGCGTTGCCATTCCCCAGGAAGGCACTCACACCTTCACGCTCGCCTCGGGCGCTTCCTTCACCGCACACGTCTCCTTTTTAACCCTGGCATACGGCTCCTCCGCATCCCAACATCCTTCAAACGAAGACAGATACAACTTTGCCATGGAGACGCCTGCATGGGCGAAAAATATCGGCACTGAGTCTTCTCGAATCCCTGACCGCGTCGACATAGGTAAGGAAGCAAGGTCTCAGAATCAGCATTATTCTCTACGATCTCAAGCTCACATCTGAGGTTTCATCTAGCACAGCATGCTTAATACGTCGAGGAATAGGATGTCGGTACGGTTGCAGGCCCGGGTCACAAGTGCTTCGAGGGTGGACATTGTATACAGCAACATGTTGCCGGCAGAGGCGCAAATGGCGTGCCGCGTAGTATCATCACTCACGACACCCGACAAAATCTCTGATGAAGGCACAGTATAAGCAAGTATGTGTGTTCGACCGCTTGCAGTCTATCGTTGATTCGTCTTGATCATTCATAACCATGTCTATCCCAGCCCTATATCAATGCCAAACGCTAAAATCCTACAACTGCGACAACAGACCAGACGCCTCAAGTAGGAGGACAATCTGGTGGACAGCCGTCCTGACGTTCGTCTTGGAGATGTCAACGGTCAGGTCGGCGTTCTTGGGAGTCTCGTACGGGTCGTCGACGCCGGTGAAGCCCTTGACCTCGCCGGCGCGGGCCTTGGCGTAGATGCCGCGCTTATCCGTCTTCTCGCAATGCTCAAGGGGCGTGGCGACGTGGACGAGGAAGAACGAGCCGTACTTCTCGACGAGCTCCTTGGCCGACTTGCGGCTCTCGTCGAAGGGGGCGATGGGCGCGGCGATGACGGCGGCGCCGGACTTGGTCAGCTCCGAGGCGACAAAGGCGATGCGCGCGATGTTTGTGTCGCGGTCCTGGCGGCTGAAGCCCAGCTCGGAAGACAGCTCTGAGCGGACCGTGTCGCCGAGGAGGAGGGACACGGAGCGGCCGCCCTGCTGGTTGAGTGTGACGTTGAGAGCGCGGGCAATGGCGTCCTTGCCGGAGTTCTGGTAGCCGGTGAGGAAGACGGTGAAGCCCTGCTGGTTGCGGGGAGGGTGGGACTCGCGCAGAACGCGGACGACCTCGGGGTAGGAGAACCACTCGGGGATCTCCTGGCCGGTCCTGAGGCGCTTGCGCAGCTCTGTGCCGGAGATGTCGAGGGTCTTGACGCCCTTGGTGACCTCGTCCACGGGCTTGTACTCGTCGGTGTCGGGCAGGTACGTCATCATCTGGAAGGGGACGACCTCGATGCCGAGCTCGTCCTTGTACTTCTCGACGGCGTCCTGGGCGTCGTAGGGGCCGTAGAACTCTTCGCCCTTGGAGTTTTTGCCGGGCCCCGCGTGGTCGCGGCCGACGATGAAGTGTGTGGCGCCGAAGTTCTTGCGGATGACGGCGTGCCAGATGGCCTCGCGGGGGCCGCCCATACGCATGGCGAGCGGCAGCAGGGCGAGGGCGGCCATGCCGTTGGGGTAGCGCGGCAGCAGCGCCTGGTAGACGCGCACACGGGTGAAGTGGTCGATGTCGCCGGGCTTGGTCAGGCCGACGACGGGGTGGATCAGCACGTTGGCCTGGCGGGCGCGGGCGGCGCGGACCGTCAGCTCACGGTGGGCGCGGTGCATGGGGTTGCGCGTCTGGAACGCAACGACCTTGGACCAGCCGAGCTTGTCGAAGTGCGAGCGCAGCTCGGCAGGCGTGAAGCGCAGGCCAACATAGTCGTAGTGCTCCAGGCGGTCGATGGCCTCGAGCTTGCCGCCGACGTAGAAGGCCTGTACGCTCTCGTTGAGGTACTTGACGGCTGGGTGCTCGGCGTCGCCGCCGAAGACCTTGTTGGCCTCCTCGGCCTTGTCTGGCTGGTACACGTCATCGACGCTGAGGATGGCGAGGTTGCGGTCGTCGCGGAAGTCGCGCAGGGCCACGCGCGCGCCGGCCTTGACACCAAGGGCGTCGATGGTCTGTTGCGACACATCGAGTGTGATGGGCATGGCAAACACGTTGCCATCGCTGAGACGCTCCGTCTGCACGACGCTCTCGTAGTCCTTCTGGTTGAGGAAGCCTGCATCGCGTTCAGTCAGCGCATCGTCCTCGAGATGTGGTACACGCGAGGCTGCTGCCCCTCCACCCGTGACCCCACTGCGCGCTTCGTGTGCGGCGCCATGACGTACCCTCAAGCGGCGAGAAGCCTCCGTTCAGGATCAACTCCAAGTCGCACAGTTGCCTCTCTGTCAACACAATCGCCGGCAGGCTCTCGGCCTCTGTGAAGAGTTCCTTGCGGCGAGGGGCATCGCGCGCAATAAGGTCCTTGAGGACGCCGCCTGTCAACTGTCAGTCTGCTCCATGTGTGCGTGTGCGGCTAAGCTGCGGGCGGCCTACCGTGAGGTGTATTCGCCATTTTGCTTGTGAAAAAGTGTATGGGGTATATGGACGAAACCGTAACAGCAGCCAGGTCTGACCTTATAAACTGCAATCCGGCACTGCATCACGGCCGATCGTTCGGCTCGTCGCTCTGAGCTTTTCACGCATAAAACTATTCGCAATTGGGTCTGTGAGCCCTCCTCTGCCCACTTGTTGACCACCATTGTGTGGCCCTAGGGTGTAGGCGGGACCCTGTATGGATCGGCAAATCCTTGGAACCGATTGCGCAATTGCACGCGTTTTCTAGAGGCTCACTTGGCCGGACTGCCGGTTGGAAAGTCTTGGGCAGATGACGTGGGGGAAGGGCCATTTCGTGTGTCTCTGTTTGGACGTCTCCGGATGAGGTAAATTTCTAGCAAGGAGCGCATCACAACATGGCCCAGAAGTCTTGGATCTGTGTTGATCATTTATTGATCGACTTGCAACACTCGTGACCGGTGGTATCTCGGCCCCGACTGAGCTTGTAGTTCTTGTATCTTCATGTGGTTATGTTGTAATGCCTGTTTCCAAATTCCATACCCAATCCAGTCCATGCTTCATGACCACAACCCAAACGCCTCTGCTAAATGCTTGATATAAAACGCCAAAAAGAAAAACTCAAACGCAATGTTCTACACAGCCAGCTTTTGCAGAGCCCCATTGAGAGCTTCTTGCTGTGCCTTCAGCTCCTGCTCCATGAGGAACTGTGCGTATTTGGACTTGGGGTTGTGGATACCGCACTCGGTCTTATTGCGGCCCTTCCAGCGGCCAGCGCGCTCGTCCTCTCCAGCAGCCACAGGCTGGGTCGAGTGCCAGTCACCAACGCTCTTGTAGCCCTTGGTCAGAAGCTCGTTGGAAGGAACGTTGTTGGCGTCGATGTACTCTTTGACTTGAGCAAACGACCAGTTGGCGAGAGGGTTGATCTTGATGAGGCCGCTGTCGTTGATCTCGATGATGTCGAGGTCACCACGCTTGCCTCCTTGACTTCGACGACGTCCAGTAATGGCAGCCTTGACCTGGAGCTCAGCGTATGCACGCTCGGCAGGCTCGACCTTGGCGACGTAATCATAATGGTCCTCGTTGGTCTCCCAGAGCTTCTCACCATATCGTGCGTTGAAGTCCTTGACATTGTCGCAACCGGCAGGCTTGTAAATGTGGATAGGGGTGTTGTACCTCTTGCGGATACGGTCGACCAGTGCGTAAGTCTCATCAAAGTGAAACAGTGTGTCCAGGAAGATCATGTCGGTATTGTGCTTATAGGGTCCGTCCATCTTAGAGAGCATGTCAAGGGTGACAAGGCCAGACAACCCAAAAGCAGTAGTCTGTGACAGCCCAGGCAGAGATGTGATGCACCATTTGAGGATGTCTAGCATGAAGTTAGCCGAGAGATATTGCACCATGAGTGCGGGGGCCACTCACCCTGCGGCTCCAGCTTCTGCAGCTGAGCGTTCAGGAACTTCAGATGAGGCTTGCTGAAGTAGACTTCGGGCAGGCTGTCCCGGCTTGAAGACCCTGAAGCATATCCAGACTCTGAACGAATGCTAGGAGACTGAGCTCGGGGCTCTGTCTCGAGGATTTGTGACGACATGTTGTTCATGGATCCAAGTGTAGCAATGGCACGTGCGAGCAAGACGTAGAGAGAGTGATGGCGTAGGTGAATTTCCTGAAGGCTCGCAGAAGGCGATACTATTATGAATCGATTGCTCGGTGTGATGTACAAGAACAAGATACACTCCACTCCCTCTGGAGAATATATCGAGACCCGCCATCGGCTGCGCTTTGAAATCCTTCTCCGCAAAGGTGCGGTAGCTGGGGGTGAAGACGTGCGATCACGCAATTCGCGCTAGTCCATGATGGAACAAAAATCTTTCTGCTAGGCTTAGGTAAGGCTGCCTGACCAATGGCGTGGTGGCAGTAATGAGGCTCGAAGCAGATGGTGCCTGTGCATCACTCTGATGGCGCTCATCCGCGGGTGATGCGGTGGTGATGGCGCGACGTCTAGTGTCCGGCGTTGTGCTTTTTGTCATCAACGTCATCTTCAACCTTACTAAGTTGGTCGGTAAAGGTTATACTTCATGACAGAGATCGCGGAGATCCACTCGCTTTCTCTGCTGCTGCTCAAACAATGCCGTAGGGTCCGTTCTGCACCCCGCGACTTTCAAACGTGGTCGTCCTGACATCCGGAGTCGCTGAAGTGCTATCGGCCGATCGCGTTCGGGTCGTCGGTCTCGCCGGGCGACTAGCTGCGTCTTACAGCTGTCTCGCAAGGTGCATCGGGAGGCTTGCTGCGATCGTGATTAGTGTGGAGTCTCGTCTGGTGTTGTACATCTTGATGTTACCCACTCCTCTCCTGTCATCTGGACTCCTGCAGGCGGCACTTCAACTGATAGCCAACAACCAGCCTAGCAGACTATTCGTCATACGGCACTTCCCTTGACTTGTTGTCTTTTGTTCGTTACACGATAGGCAGTTGAGCATTGCCATCATTGGCGATGGCTACATGTTGATGTTTGATAGCGTTGGTGATGGTGAAGTGGCGGGTCGTGCGGGGTGTCCTTTGAAGTTCCTCCTGCGTCCCGTTAAGCCTTCGTTTGCCGAGGCGCACCGGCTTGCTCTGTACAGCTATGAACCTCACTATGTCTACTTCACGTAGACCTCGATGAGCGAAGCAGAATTGAAAGTGCGCGTATGTGGCAGAGGTTGTTCATTTTGCAGTCCGTATCTTCATAAGGTGTGGTATCTTCGAAAGTCATTTGTCACATTTAGACTCCTGCCTCCACCATCATCTTCATGCCGTCTCTATCCTCCGCGCTCAGGGTGCCGGCTCTCGCAGCTTCTTTCCAAGCTTCCAGCTGTGCGTACTGTCCTGCTTTCAGCATAGGCTTAAGATGTCTCAGCAGCTTGGGTGCGAATTTGCCTGTTGCATAGACAACACCAGCGTTGTGTTTAGCGAAGAGAAAGACGACCAGTGTCAAAAACAGCAGGGGACCGTCAGACTTTCTCTGCTTCTGCATTCTCCGTGCCATGTCGCCGAGCATCGCTGCTTTAGACGACTCCAAGGCTGAGGATGCAGGCGCGTCAATCGATTGCTTCTTGTTGAATCTGTCCAGAGATGCCATCAGAGCAGATACATCCGTCCTACCAGTGCTGAGAACAGACTCCAATCTGTGGACGTTCTTGCGAGTTTTACGGCTCGCCACAAGCCCTTGGCACGTAGCTTTCGACAGTGCGTCTGGGACAAGGTCTTTCTGTATGTATTGGGCCAGCAGCTCGGACAGTTGGTCCTGTAACTTTGAGTCTTCAATTGTGGCAAGTCCTTCTGAGTAGATCGCAACGCGCGTGACGATGCGATCTGTCCAAAAGTCTGCGAAGTCGGCTTCGTTCTGGTTTTCGAGCTCAGATATCCTTGCGGAGAATGCATCGTCAAACTCTCGCTCTAACGCTCTCTCCTTGATCAAGTTTTGCAACACTGGATTGTCATCTAGGATTTGATAGAAAGTGTTGGATAGCGAATATTTGTCGTCCATCGTAGGGTCCTCTTTGCGTCGCTGCCATTGAGAAGCGGCATCGGCCCTGACAAGATCAAGAAGGATGTTACGGTGTCGGGAGAAGCTGTCCTCGCTCAGCAAGGTCTCACCAGCACGATGTGTGCCTGGGGACAAGGCGCGTATAGCTTGTTCGACCTTGTCCAGGATAAAGTGATAGATGCTGTCAGGGAAGTTAGCTATGACGGGCTGCTAGAACACATCCGTTAGAGCCTGTTGTATCGGAAAGTTCAGGTTCACATACCCCAAAATCTATGTCCCCGTCACGAGCCATGCTTGATACACATTCTTGACTGAACTTCGAGATCCACGCATCTGAAATCGCGAAAGCTTCGACTAACTCAACGCCCTGGGTATTGTCCAAGTGCTTCTCGGTCTCCTCCACAGTCGCGTAAATGGTGGGGTTATCTCTCTGGAATGCGTGGAGATCGATGTAGGCAATCTTTCCTGACTGCAAACTTTCGATGATGTCGTCGTGGTTTTGCTTGATGAGCTGCACGGGAGTGCAACGAATGCCACTTGATAGGTCATGAATATGGATCTTCCCAGCAAACTCCGGGTCCTCCAGTAGGCCATCAACAGTGCGATGTATGAACCAAGTCGGCGGGTTTCCGGGAACACACGTCGGTACCAAGTCGAGGATTCTGCGCGAAGATGATCAGTCATTGTTCTAATTGGATGAGTTCAATAGTGGCTGACTTACTCCAAGTCTTCGATGTGTTCTCGAAGCAAGTTCGCGATAGCTCCGGTTGCAGTCATGTCGTATGAGGTGCTGTACAGGTAGCCCTCTACTTCAAGTATGTGAATTTCCGACATGTCAATGAGGAGGTCCAGGCTGCTGTACGAAAGGTCGTGTTTGCGTGCAAATTCTTCTTTCGACACAAGGCCATAGACAACACCAGCCTCAAGATCTTGGTCGATAGCATCCCGCTGCGTTTTGGTGATGATCTGGCGGCCATCGCCGCTCCGCAGAAGCAGCGTGCCGTCGTTCTCTTCCGCAAGATGACGAACAGTCTCTTCACTCACGTCCAGATCCAGTGCCAGCTTCAACGTTGTTGTTCTTGACCCGCCATGGACTTCTTGGTCAGCGAGGATCAAAAGCAAGATTGTTGGAACTCACCATGTGTGACGAGGTTTTCAAATGCTCGGCGAGTATAATTGCGCGTCACGAAGCCATCACCGCTCTTGGACAGTATCAGAGGATTGCTCAGGTCGCCCTCCAGCGACAGGAGTTGGAACACTTCCTTCGCATCCTGTGCGGAGAACATGAATATTCAGTGTCAGTCAAAGCTGTAGCCTGCCAAAGTCGACGAAGAACACCTGTAGAAGAGAAAGTAGAACAGTATATGCCCCAACAGAGCGCCCTAGAATGAGTAGCTGCAGCGAACTACACCGCAAAGCTTATGGGTATACGTTCGGTGGGGGACAATGTGAAGCGGACTTCCGAGGAGCAGGGTGTCGCTGATTGGTTGACATCATGAGGAAGTCGCGAAGCTTGGCGCCGAACTTCAGGTCCTCACCTCGACTCTAACCACAGATTACCGATTTGTCGCCCATCGCTGTCCCGCAGTCGTCATCATGTCCCAATTCCGCGCCAAAAAGCTCGATCTCGGATGCTTCGCCAACATCCGTAACATTCGCGACCACACGAAGCGCAAGGTCTTCGCAGAACACGAGCCCGAACGGTATGCGCTCATGCACCTTGTCATTGCGAACAACGACTGACGAAGTACACGATAGACAAGCCCTTCGATACATCATCCGCAACACGACATTGCCGCAGCGCGTGCGCGCACAGGCTCAGCTCCAGCTCTCCCAGATGCACTGCTATACACGGTTCACACAGATCAAGAACAGGTGTATAATGGGAGGAAAGGGACGAGGTATCTTCAGCGACTTCAGGCTTGGACGTGTACGTATTGCGGAAGCCAAGACATGGATCAAGACGCTGACCAGCTCTACAGTATCAATTCCGTCAGAATGCGCTTGCCGGAAACCTGCCGGGTGTGAAGAAGGCCAGTTGGTAGACGTGTGGTGGCGTAGGGGTTCGATATATGTGTATACTACGGGGTGACACAATTGCATTGGGCGGCGTTATCTGCGAGAAGCAAAATTTCTACGACCAAACCGTGTTCCATTTGACGTCAAGATGAGATGCTCCTCCCTCTGTTTGCCCTCTTACCCGTTGTAGCAGCAGCAAACGGGAACCTGCGGACAACAAACTTACCCAGTCCGATCAACAAGCTATCCGCGCGCAACTCATAAACGTATTCGGTTGACTGCAACTCGACTCAGGACTTCCGGCGCGGAGTGTTCGCAGCCATACCCGAAACGCGACATCATGTTTCGCCGCAAGGAAGACACAATCACACCAGATGCCTCCTATCCTGCGGACTTGACGAAGCTTGGGTGAGATTGTAACGCGCCTTTCGTGTACAAACAGCTGACCGATCATAGCTTCTTCATCAACAGGCTCGGCCATATTCGCATGATCGAGGCGCCCGAGAAGCCTTTCGTCTTCAACTCTACTAACATCGAGAGACACAATGAGGTGCGCAACGAAGCATTACATGGTGCGAATACCTCCAGAACTATGTTTGACCCGAGCTACCGCTGACTGTGCAAGCTTGCTCTCGCGCCGAGGTGCTTGAGCGCCTATCCAAGCTCGGAATCAAGCAGCTTTACTTTCCTCATTTCACCACAACAAAGCCCGATGGACCGCATATTCCGACTCTTGCTCCACCGCTGGATATCCTCAAGAGACGGAAGCGCATTGTCGTCATCATCAACGATACGCTGCAGGACCTTGGTATTCTCGCATATCGACAACTGCAGCGAGAGCTTGGTCTTAACGGCGGATCTGTGGTCAACTTCGCAAAAGAGTTGGTTCAACGTGCAGGTGTAGCAGGAGAAGAGCAAAGTCAAGAGGCCACAAGTGGTCTCTTTGATGACGGTGCGTCAATCGAAGAGGTCAACGAGATCCCCGGTCTGATTGTGATGAACACGGGTCAGCTCCTCTACTCTCACAAGTACAATAAGGCTATGACTATGAGAAGTTGGTACGCTCTACCCCGAAGGTCGATTGCACACGATCATGTTAGGATCCACGACCAGGAAAATCATGTGGAGGGCCATCGCAATGCTACCGAGCATATCAAGTCTGTCTTTGACCAGCTTCTCTGCGACCCAAGCCGTGTTGTACCAGACGCAGAGGTGTACATTGTTGCGATCGAAGGTGGCGCAGACAAGATACTGGAGTTGTTCAAAAACGACTGTAAGTGGTACTGCCATGAATATTGTGATAAATGTAACTAATGCAAGCAGTCGAGAAATACGGCCGCCGAGTAACTGCGATGGCAGTCGTTCATACCATGATAGACAACTCCGAGATTACACACCCGAGTATCAAGGCTTTCCTACACCAGCGTACGAGACAATGGAAGTACTCAGACCTTAGCCTTAGCCCGACACAGTGCATAGAGTTGCCAGATGATTACGCTGGCGACGCTTCGAGGGGCAATCCACAGCAAGGTACCAAGGCAGTGTGCTGGAATGAGAACTTGGCGGAGCCAGGTCCGCTTTCTAAGCTCGCGGAGACATTGCACCATTTGACACTGAACGTCGTTCCTTCTACGAACAGAATCGGGTCCACAACAGACGATTCAGCCAGCGATGATAGCTCAGAATGGAAGAGCGGATCTGTACCATGTCCGACATTCGCCGGCGGAAAAGAACCAACCGGCGAATGCATCTTCACAGAAACCAACGTCCAGCGCGCCATCCTTTCCTTCTTCGAAGACGTCGCACAGGATCCAGAGAACTACCGCAACCCACCATTCACGACCTTCGCCGACGTTCCGCATCCCACTGCCGATGTACCCTTCGTCCTCTCTGCCGATGCGATCATGCAGCCCTCTGCTAATATCCAGACAGCATACCACATGCTTACACCTGAGCAGCAGGAGCTAGAAGAGGCGCGCACGAAGCTCGCAGATATGCGCATCGCACTCGACGGCTGTCCCGACAATATCGACATACTCGCCAAGGGCCGCGTGAAGCTGGCGGAGAAGATTACGAAGCAGGAGGCCGCAATCAAGGATCTGCAGGTTAAGGCCCTTAGTAGCGGAAGCTTAGGAGTCGGTGAAGCAGAAGAAGAACGCCAGGATTGGAGCACCGAGGCCGATGGACCGAAGGTGCCTTTCGCGGGTATCATGGTCGACAGCGAATTGCTCAAGGCTGCTGGACTGAGTGAAACGGCGAGGGAAGAGTTGGAGAAGCTCAGAGAGGAGGATAAGGCGTTCATTTGAACCAGACACACCAACGTTTGACTTTGCAGGTAGACACGCCGATCTCCTTAGCCTATCCGAGAGCAGCAGAATCCCGACAAAAAAAAATTGGAACAGTAATGAGTAGATTGAATCACACCTGGTATCACAAAAGCAAGCAAGTAACCGAGAATCAAGACTGGAAATAGCGTCTCAATGCGCAAACCCAACACCCTTCCCTTTCACCTCATGCCCATACTGATACTCCTCCTGCTCCGCCACAGGACTAACCTGCTGTACCTGCACAAACCCCGCCTGCTCATTCCGCCCCGCATACCAACTCTGCTGCCCCCCATGCGCCTGGCCATGCGCCTGCGCGACCCAGCTCGGATGCGGTTCAGCCTCCTGCTGCTGGTGGCCCGCCTGTCCGCCTTCCAGATCGCCAAACGCGCGCGTACGCGGCGTCATAGGGCTCTTGAGGTACATGGCGTTCGCCGCGCCGGGGGTGCGAGGTAGCTGCTGCAGCTCCCACATGTGCTGCCACTGTTCCTCTGCGGACATTTCGTTGGAACCGTCGGGCGTGCTGGCCCATTTCTCCTTCTCGGCCTTCTTCTCTGCCTGGCGCGCGCGGTGGGCTTCGAGCGCGGATTTGGTCGGGTACAGACTGTACACGGAGATCACGAGGAAGAGCGCATATGTCGAGCTATGGGGTGTTAGTCCTGTGCACGGAAGTGGAAATGGAGGGGGACGCACAGCATGATGCAGCTCACGGCAAAACTGCTCTTGGCTTGCATGCAGTACGCGCGCACGGTCTTGTCCTCGACGATGTTGCAGTTCTTGGTGATGTACCAGGGGGCGCCCGGATTGCTGCGCTGGGGGTCGATGGTGTCGGGCGAGGTCTGGATGTGGATGCCGTATGCCCAGATGGCGAGCAGGGGGATGTGGAGGAGGACGGAGAAGATGGGGAGGAAGACGTGGAGCAGCCACATTGTGGCCTTAAGCAGGTAAAAGAACATGCATACTACACCGATTACGAGGTGGTATTGGGTGTTGCTGGGTAGAGTCAGTTGTTGTACTGATGGGAGTGGTGAAGCATCCTCGAGGCATATCGCGCAAGCTGATGCTCCGGGTTCCCGTGTGTTTGTGACTGCGTGTGGAGATACTTACAATCCACTCCAAACCAACGGTATTTTCAGAGGCCGGTAGTTTGCGTATGCGTAGACGATTGTCGACGAATCCGAGTTGAAGCCCATCTTTCCACCTTCATTCCATAGGATCGTCCGATACAGATTTGGCGACGCAATACCGAACAGCGCAAGATTGGCGACGGTGATCGGTAACTCGAGCATCATGAGGAGCCAGACATAGCGCGCGAGTCGCCATTCTCGCGGGATGAACAAACGGCCCATAGTAGTGGATGTAAGCTGATACTGGTTGGACTGCAATAGGTAATGAGCTTCAGCTGAGCTCAATCCGGATGGTTACGGGTCGCCAGTAGTCGCTCAATTCGTCCTCATAGATGTTGTCGGCTGTTAGGATCGCAGGTCAAGCCGTCCAGCACCAACGCACATCGAAGTCGAGGTCACACACTCGCCCGGGGCGCACCTCGCTCTTAACAGCCGTTCGCACAGTCAGCCGGCCGCCATGCAGCACGCCAAAGCGAAGTCTGCGGGCTTACGCCAGCAGCTGAGGGGCGAAAGTCCATCTGCAGGCGCTGAGTGGCACATGCATATTGAACCATCACACAGCGTGTGAAGTGTGACGTCCAATCAGAGCAGCAGGGCGAGGGACTAGAAGCGGGCCCATCCTTGCTGGCGGGTGGGCGAAGAATGCAGGCTAACGACTGCATCGGGCAAGCGCAGCGTTGGCTCCCGCAGCTATCACGGCTTGGTTGAATTTGCGGTCTTTGGGGCGCGTAAATGCGGGTTAAGTGTGTGAGTATCGAATCGCGACGATACTTGTTGCGACGATCGATCTGCGATTGAAGATGTGCATATCCAAGAGTGAAGTGACACTCGACTGACTATCTACTGTGATGCTGGACATCGAATGTTGCCAAATCTGCTGCAGGGCAAGGCGGCTATGTACTGAAAAGACAACGCGCTCGGGCTGAGGGACGACAGGAAGGAATACATACGCATATTTTGGCTCTTACCACCACTTTTCGCACAGGACGCGCTCAGGCGCGACGTTGTCTTGATCCTTCAGATATTGGACGATCTCGTCGGTCATGGTGGGAGGCCCGCATACGTAAAAGACCGTGTGCTTGGCCTCTTCCTTACTGCCGACTGCACTCGACAGCGCAATGTCATTGATGCGGTGTGTCCATGCAATTACAGGTACTTCAGTCGCAGAGTCGAGGTTTGGTAATGTCAATGACATGAGCGGTTGAATCGGCTGGTCGTTGCTCTGGTTTACCTCGGAACCGTCCCATGTGCCTGTGAAGAACAGTTCGATGCGGTCCTTGGTTGACTCGGAGCGTGGTATCCGGAACAAGTCGATGATCTGTGGCAGGAAAAGGACTTCCTCCTGACTGGTCTCTTTCGAGGGCACCTTGGTCGAGTAGAGGAGGCGCACTTCAAGGTTGCGGTAGTTCTGATTGATATAGCACATCATCGACATCATAGGGCTGTGACCGCGTTAGTGACCGTGACAGATCTACATCATAGCTGCCCTACTTGATGCCTACACCACCTGCAATGAAAATGGCGCGCTTGATCTTTGGTCGCTCCATGTTCACACCGGGCGGCGGAAACACGAAGCTGCCGCCTACGCGCACCGTGATCTCCTTGCCCTGTATCTCTTCCACTGGCTGCCACAGCCATGCTGCCGGCGGGTTGTCCGGGCTCTTTTGTATGGCGAGCTCGAAGAAGGGCGCGTGGTCGGGGTCGCTCTGAGGCAGAGCGTCTTTAGGCGAGGATGTAATGGTAAAGCCACCGACTTTCTCCATGTCAGGCACGAAGACGTCGAGCCATTGGCCTGGGAGGAACTTGCCTCAGCCATCAGCGCGTGTCGAAAGCGGAGATGGGAAAGGAGCCGACAGTACGTTGAAGCCGTTCTTATCCACAATGTTGAACCTGAACGTCTTGATGCGGTCGTTGACGCCCGTCACCTGACCGACCGTGGCCTTGTGGAGTTCATTGTTGCGCGGTTCGCTCGAGGTGCGTTCTTGGTGACTTATGCTCTTCGCCTTGGCAGAGCGCGTCGTGGGCATGCTGCCGCTGTGACGCCGAATGCTGTGTTGGGGGACAGTACGAGGGAAGAGGTGCTGGCGGAGAGTGTGACGGGATATACACCGCTGCATCCGAGCTGAAGTCAGGCCGAAAGAAAATGCTGCGTGAGTGGGTGCGTGCGGTGGGGTTCTTCGCTGTATGGGAGAGGGGCCGTCTTGTCGATCCAGGGAAGCTCAACGGAGACGCAGTAAGCTATGATGCAATAGGCAAAGTGCACGGGCGCGCCGCGGTAAGTCAGCCGCGTCTCAGTAGTCTCAGGGTCTTTGATGTAGGCTGCTGCGTCTGACCTCCTACCTGTTGTAAACTACATACATCTAGTATCTGGTGTTCAACATGGCTGCCACAGAGGGCTGGCACACTTCAGACGACGGGCACAAGCTCTACACGAAAACATGGACCACGGAAGGGCCGGCTAAGGCTCGACTAGTCTTCATCCATGGTTTCTCAGATCACATCAACACCTACGGCAACTTCTTCCCGTATCTTGCCTCCAAGGGCATCGAGGTCTATAGTTTCGATCAGAGGTAGTGATTTTCTAATTTGCCGAACATACCGCCGCTGACCAGGTGTAGAGGATGGGGCAAGTCGGTAACAAAGAAAGCCGAGCGAGGCGACACAGGACCCACGGCAAGAGTGTTGGACGACATCACCTCGTTCCTCAAGTCCGTGACACCTAGTCCAGTTCCCCTGTTCCTGATGGGCCACAGCATGGGCGGTGGAGAAGTCCTGTGCTACGCTGCTCAAGGCCCACGTGAAACCCGGCAGCACATCCGAGGATACCTGCTAGAGTCGCCTTTCGTGGACTTCGACCCCAAGTCAAAGCCATCGCCGCTCACTGTGTTCTTCGGCAGGCTTGCTGGAAGACTGCTGCCTCACAAGCAGCTCGTCAACAAGCTCGACGTGAATCTCATCTCCCGCGATCCTGAAGCCTGCAAACGATTCGAGGAAGATGAGCTCTGCCATGATACTGGAACTCTGGAAGGACTCGCTGCGATGTTAGATCGTACTGCCGAGTTAGCTGCCGGCAAGGTCATCATTCCAGATGACGCGGGAGAAGGCGGGGTGACCCGAATCTGGATTGGCCACGGCGACCAGGACGGGATCACTGCATTTGCAGCCTCACAACGTCTAGCCGACGCGCTCCAGGTCAAGGACAAGGAGTTCAAGGCTTACGCAGGATACTACCATCGCTGTAAGTCGAGCGAATATGCTCACGAAGATAGTACTAACTCTGCCAGTGCATGATGAACCCAGCCCTGATAAAGAGGTGTTCATGGATGACGTCGCCAACTGGATACTTGCCCGCTCTGTAGAACCAGTGCATGCGGATGGTGTGAAACCAAAATTGTAGACATGAAGTGATCTGGGTATGGGGAGCGTCAGGCATTGTGTCGTGGGTGCTGTATTTCTTTATTAAACTCGTTCAAGAGATACACTGCGGTAGTAGGTAGAGATTTAGCATTATTGATTCGTAGGAGCTTCGAAAGCAACAGCTACTATGCTGCTACATCCTGCTCAACGTCGTTGCGCGGCCCCTCTTCCTCTTCCTGCGCATTGGAGCGGCCGTTCGATGACTCGTGCTGTTCTGTTGTAGGCGACGCGACGACGCCAGCTGGAGGTACGAAGGACTCGCCTTCCTCGGTATCGAGCTGCATGAGAAATGTTTCCCAGATCTCAATCAGCTAGTTGTCCTGTTAGCGAAGTTTCAAGCGACAAAGGGCGAACACCATGTACCTCTTTCTGCGCCTCAACAGCGCTCTCGAGGTAAGTCTCAATGCCAGACTTGAAGTCTTCGACCTTCTCTCGTTCAAAGCGCTCCAGTTCGCTGCGCATCAGCCTACCCATGTCGTCGAACAGGAGCCTAGCCTGATGTACTCTGCGCTCAGCGTCAGCGACATCAGCACTGAGCTGATTGAGGCGGTCTTGCTGCGAGCGACCTTGTCGTAAGAGCTTGTCTTGGTTCGTTCTGCGCTTCTGCAGCTCCTGCTCAGCTGTGTGCCATGAGTGGTAGGACTTTTGTCGCTGCTGAAAGGCTGTCTTGACGGAGCCAATGAGCCGGATGTACTCGTCGATTACGATACCCATTGTGAGGACGTCTTGCTGTGCCTGCCGCTCATACAGCTCGCGAATTCGAATCTGGATGTCGGAGAGGCTGTCAAGGGGACCTGAGAGGGAGGGCGAAAGCTCGACGGCTGAGAGCGAGTGTAGTGAAGCAGAGAAGTCGCCGCATGCTTCCGCAAGGCCCTTGCGTTGCATGACCACTGTGTCAGTAGCCTTGAGGAGCGCTTTGAGCTGATTCTCCAGAGCGTCGAGGTAGACCTTGCGATCGTGGAACCACTGTGGCTTGTTAGTGAATACTCGCAAAATATCCAGAACCACCTACATCATCGTGCTCGATGAATTTGCCACTGTTGCCAGAAAGCATGCCGCCGAACATTCCCTTGCTCTCGCCCAGACCAACGTCTTTGCGCTCCTTGTTCTTGATGTCCACGTTGAAGGCGTCGCTTTCGAGGAAGAGCTTCAGATCACCATCGTGTTGCAATATGGGATGAGCAGCAATCTTGTTCAGCATACGCTCCAGCGCGGCTCGTCTCGACTCGACAAAATCGGCCTCGAAGCGACCAAGAGACTGCTTCTCTGGAGGAGGTGGGATGATGATGCCAGGGCTGTTGTTGTGCAGCTGGGTGTACAGCCAGAGGAAGTCGCGGTATCGGCGTGAGACGGTAAATTCGGGGTTGCGGTAGCCTTTCGAGGTGGTCTTGGTCGTGACCGAGTATTCCGTGTGCGAGCTGGTCAGGTCGCCCACCTTGTGCGGATCGCCCACGTAGATGGAGAAAGTCGGCTTCGCTGCCTGTTCGATGCTCACGCTCGGCTGTGCCTGGCGCTGCGGTGCTGCGTGCGCCGGTGCCTGAACGGGTGGGGGCACTCTGGGGCCTTGCGACCGCAGGCGCTCGTCGTCATCGTCGTCGTTAAGGTCGACCGAGTCCATCATACCGCGCAGAGACGAGGAAGTCGAGGTGCCAGTGGCCGGGCGATTGTTCCGCAATGCAACATTCTCCTTCTGCGGCGGCGCTGGAGGGTCCGAGGCGGCGGGTGGAGTGGCAGCTCCCAGCGGGCCAAGCGGGTCGTCTACGGCTTCGAGCTTCGTCGACTGGGTCCCGTACTGTCGTCGGCGAGGGCCACGGCCGGCGGGCGAGCGCGGTGCCGCCGAAGCGCTGGGCGCGGAGCTGGCAGCTGCACTGTTCGGTGCAGGCGAAAGCGTGCTGGACTCGTCCTTGTCCTGCTTTGCGGCGTCTTGTGCCGATTGCGAGGGCACATCTGCTGTAGAGTCAGATCTGGACGGTGCAGCCAGAGCGCGAGCAGGTTCCTACCACCCCAGGGAGAATCATCACCGAGATCCATTGTGGTGTGATTGTTGTTGTACAGGCGACCGTCTGTCTGATGGTCCAAGGTACCGAACGTCCGTAGTATGAAGAGGCCGACCAATGGGGGAGATGCGCACGGGTAACGTCCCCAACGTCATGTTGGAGCTCGATCAGCGTCCGCTTCGTATCCCAAAGCTCACCAACGATAATTTTCACGTGATTATGATAGTCTCAAACTCTCCAGTGGTTACTGCTCAAGGTATATGCAAAGGTGCCAGCGATACATTACCCATTCGCTGCCTAAGCAGCCGCCACATCACGAGGCAGAAGCAGCTGGATGACAATCTATCATCCCGGTCTGCAACACCAGCGACAGCAACTTCATCTCATCCTGAGTTCACGGGCTGAAGGACGGTGGTAACGGGAAGTTCTTCACGTGCGACAGGAGCGAGGTGCTGCGGTAGAGACGAAAAGTGAAATGAAACCTTGCCTTCCATGGGTACTCCCTCTAGAAGTACATGTTCTACAGACTGGAAGCTCCCACCGCAGCCTTGTCGTGGTTGCACGTGTACGCTACCTTGCCATCCTCGGTCTCCAACCTGATCTCGCCTTTCACCAGACCCTGGCGTCTCCCCAGAGACACCACCTCGCTGATCACATACACCTTCGTGCCCAGGGGCGCCGGCCGCAGATACGTGCAGCTCAGATTGCGACTGACGTGGCCTATTTCGGGCATTAGCACCTGAACGTCCATCTCGATGTGGTGAAGGCGATTCTGTACCTGTGTCCCAGAACCCGTCGTAGGCGATTGCCGAGATGGCGGTCGTGGTGCAGATGTCGAAGACCAGCGCAACGGCGCCGCCGTGCATAGAGCCCATCATGTTGCATAGTTCCATTGGCACTGTGAAGCTGTAGACTACACGGGAGTTGTGAGGATTCTTGGCGGTTGGCTTAATAGTGACGGATTCCAATTTTAGGAAGCGTGGCAGCATATCGTCAAATCCCTATATCGTGCATCAGGATGATAGTTCTGGTTCTACTTGGCTACTGTCACTTCGTACCACGTAGCCGCCCGATTTTGCAACCTCAAACTACAAGGTGTCAGCGGCAAGTACGCTGTTCAGAGAGCAGCCACTGGTGGGCAGAGAAGGCATACCCATTTGTAAGCCTTTTCCTCGGGCGAGATGTCGCCATGCTTTGCGTATACCCTCCGGTAATGATCCTCCATGGTAGGATTCAGTGTGCATCGCCAGAAACGGCCGACGGCGTGCATCTACATGTAGTTCCCCTCGTACCTCGGGCATCGGTCAAGTCACGCAGAGGGCGCTAGCCGACACCCCCGGACCCCTGTTTCGCGAGTCGAATGTTTTGCATCTCATCTCGAGTACCGAGCTCCCCAGCCGCCCAACACCACCCATCCCGACCTCCATGTCCATCGCGCCCATGGACTCGGCACTCCTGATGCGCCATGTGCTGCGCACGCCGGCGGCCCGCCGTCCCGTGCCTGCCCGCATCCCGCGCCAGACGCGCACCCTCGCGCTCTACGCACCGCAGACGCGCTTCCTCTCGACGCCGACGATCCTGCGCCCGAGCTTCTGGGCCGCGATGATCCCGCGGCCGCTGAAAGAGCGCTCATCGGCCCCGCGCGCGCGCGAGTCGAACCCGGCCACGCCGTTTATCGTGCTGGCGCTGCTCGTCGGCTCCCAGGCGATCCAGATGCTGTGGCTGAAGCAGGAGCGCGCGCACGCGCTACGCAAAGCGGAGGCGAAGATTGGGCTGCTGCGCGAGGTTATCGAGCGCGTGCAGAATGGCGAGAATGTCGATGTCGAGAAGCTGTTGGGCACGGGCGATGAGAGCCAGGAGCGCGAATGGCACGAGGTGCTGAGGGAGGTTAAAGAGGAGGAGGCGCTGTTCCAGAGCAAGAAGAGGAGGAAGGCGTTAAAGCAGGAGGCGGCCGAGCAGGGGGCGGGGAAGGAGGAGGTTGTGGAAGAGATCAAAGAGGAGGGGTTGGCGAAGGTGGAGAGCATTGGGGGTGTGAAGTTCTATTAGGGTGCTATCGTTGAAGAAGAAGAAGAAGAAGAAGAAGAACAACAAGAACAACAAGAAGAACAAGAAGAACAAGAAGAACAAGAAGAACAAGAAGAACAAGATTGCAAACCTCGCCAGCGAGGACTGCATACGCCAAGCCGCCCTGCCACGGTCATCTCGTCACACCATCTCGATCACTCCTCAATCTCCCGGACAGCAGCGAGCCCCTGGACATCGGCCAACTCTTGACTCTCAGAGTCGTCGACTTGCTCGATCTTCTCAACCTCCCCGATCTGCTCGACCGCCTCGATGTGCTCCCTCGCCCTCAGCCTCGCCCTCTCCTTCGTCCGCGTCTGCCTAAGCCTCTCACCACGCTTCTGGTTCCCCTGATTATTACTCTCCTTCGTAAACCGTCTCGCCTCAGGATTATCACAAAGCAGCGCGAGCGTAACCCCGCCCCTCACCGCATCATCAACCGCACTCTTCGTCTCAGCAAGCACAAGACAGACCCTCGACAACCGCAGCTCCACACTTTCCCCGGAGATATCCACCAGCTTGCCGCGCACAGTATGCTTGTGATACACACCCGGCATGTTCCAGCCGCGCTCGTGCACAGCGATGGCCTCGTCGAAGACAGCGTGCGCTGCGGCCTCGAGATCGAGCGCCTCGAACGCCGCTTTCGCCGTGAACCGCGCGCGGTGCACGCTCCGCGCGCCGTCGGTGATGCAGCGCCCGTTGATCATGGCGTTGAAGATCCGGCACACCCAGTACTCGCGGCCGAGGGCCTTGACCCGCGCGACGTCGGCGGCGGGTTTGGGCGCCAGTCGCGCGCGCGTGCGGTGTGCTTTTGCGGCCGCGGCGGTGCGGAAGTGCGTCCGTGTGAGGGGCGTGTAGAGGGCGTTTGGGTCGGGCGGGGCGGCGGGCTGGTCGGCGAGGATGTGCGGGTGCGGTGTGTAGGTGGGGGGTATCGGGGCTGAGGGGGCGGTGGTCAAGGTCGTGTTGTTGGCAGAAATGCCAGCGTCGTCCAGCGAGTTGGTGAGAGAGACGGTGGAGACGATGCTGAGTACCTCCGAGGGGGCGGGAGACGGCGGAGACAAAGCCGGAGATGGTATTGGAGACGGCGTTGGAGACGAAGCCGGAGATGAAATCCGAAGTAGTGGTGAGGAGTGATCCAGCACCCCCTCACCCTCACCGTCCTGGACAAATGCCTCCTCGAAAAAAACCCCATCCACTCCCCCCAGCGGCTCCTCAAACGCCACATACCCATCCCCATATGCGGTGAACTCAATGAGCGCCTGTCTAACAGCCGTATCACCATCGTCCTGGGCGAAGAAGCCCGCGTCGGCAAAGTCAGCGCCCGCGCTGACGAATTCGGGGTACTGGGCCATGGTGAATTAGAGGCGACAATGGGGTATGGCAGATACACAGGGACGACCAGCGTCGGAGGAAAAGAAGGGAAGGGCGGGCGAAGAAGACTTGTTGGGTGAGTAGGTGGAAATATAGAAGGCGTCTACCACCGACGACGCGCCATTGTACAACCGACACCCATTGCAGGATCCTGGGGAGAACCGGGGCGCCTGCTATTGTCCCCCCCCCCGAGTTCTATTGTCGCGGACGGTGAGAGTGAAGAGCAGCGGCGGTGCGGCTGGAATGAGCTTCTTTCACCTCTGACGCTGGCTGGGGAGATGTTGGGCCGCACTCACACACTCAGGCAGAGCAGAGCAGAGCAAAGACAAACATATAGATTAAACATTCGAGAATGGTATAGTTATAGTAAAGCCCCTGTCCAGAGCCCAGCAAGTGCGCGGTAACCGTGTCCTTGCACGAGCTCCATGTATCAGCTCCTAGTATCCTGGCACGCCAACGCAAGTGAAAAACAATCATCAATATCGTCAAAGCATGCCGGCGGGCGGCCCGTTCGTCGCTGGGGCTGTCGGAGCCTGCGCTTGCGCCGGCGTCTTGGGCGCGATTTCCTGCACGGAGATCTCCGAGTCGACCGAGTCGCGCCATTGCGAAATGCCCTCATTAGTGTCGTGCTGGCCCTTCGCGGGCGTGTGCTCAAAGTCGAAACGATCGCTGAGGCGGTAAGCCTTGTTCGTAGTCTCCCAGTGACTGCGAAGAGCGTCGAGCTCTGAGGCGAGATTGTCCAGTGCCATGGAGTTGCGGGTAGCGGTGGACGCTGGACGGTTGTTGGCGGCTTCCGGAGTGCTTGAGCCTTCGTTGTGGCTGTAGAGAGAGTCGGCGGACGCGATGCTGTCGTGTGTCCGATGACGTGCAATGTCGCCGTTGCTGCTGCCGCCCGGAACCTGCGACTGTCGGCGGTAGCTGTCGACGGAATTCTCGAATTGGTCGAGGAACGTCTGTACACGCGTCTCGGCCTCACGGGCACGCTCCTCAACTGCAGTGTACTGCTGGCGCAGTGCGTCCAGGTCGGCGCGAGACTGAGTAGCAGAGGACTCGGCCTCTCTGGTCTTGCTTGCTGCTACTTCAGCTTCCTGCCGGGCTGCGGCGAGATCGGACTGCAGCGTGGCTAGCTGGCTCTCAAGACGACTGACATTCGTCTTCATGTTCTCCTGGACGTTTGAAAGCTCACTGCGCAGCGACGTTCTCTCCACCTCCCACTCCGCAGTCTGCTCCTTAGTCGGGCTTCGTGAGGCCGACGTGGCTTGCTTGAGCTCCTCCTCAAGCTTTGTGTTCGTGTTCTTGTACCTATCGAGCTCTTGCTTCATCTTTGCAAGCATCTTCTCTGTGCCTCGCAGGTACTTGACAGCCGCCTGGTGGTCGTTGTGCAGAGCCTGCAGCTTCTCTTCCCAGTCTTTGCTGACATCGTGTTCACGCGCTTCAAAGGATGCGCGCAACTCCTCGTGAACCTTGTTCATCGAATCGATCTGCTGCTCAAGCTCCCTGACGCGGTTCAGTTCCGGAGTGCCGAATCGAGAGCTGGGGCTATCCAGCACCCTGGAGCGACGGTGGTCAACAGGATTGACTCCTCGCTCCTCGAGAAGATTTTTGAGAGTCTTGAGTTGGACCTCAAAAGCGTTGCTCTCCAAGCGCAGACGCTCATGCTGTTGGTGGAGCTCAGCCTTCTCGGCTTCGGAGGCTTGCACGTCCCTCATTGCCTGTTGCAGCTGTTTGCGGATCGTCAGACCCTCACGACTAGACTGCTCCTGGTAGGCCTCCAGACCGGCGATCCTCTCCTCAGCGCGACGCAACTTCTCTGAAGCCTGGTCGGCAGCCGCCTGGTTCTTCCGCGCCATGGCGTTTGCCGCTTCGACTTGCTTTTGAAGTATGGCAACGCGCTCGTTCGCGGCGTTGTCGTTGGCAGGAGCATGCGCAGCGATACTTCCTAGGCCAGAAAGCACGGCTGCCTGGTGAAGACGTGCTTCTCTTGCATGCGTCTCGGCCAATTCTTCAGCACTGCGCAGCTTCTGAGAAGCAGTCTCGAGCTCCGCAGTACGGGCCTCGTGCTCGGCACGAAGTTGGCTGAGCTTTTGGCGAATGCCTTCGCTCTGGCTGCGCTCTTCTTCGAGCTGCCTCTCCAGCAGACTGGACTTTTCTGAAGATGCAGCAACAGCTTCGCGCAACGTCTGGAGCACAGCGGCATGGCTCGTCGACTGCGTGGTGAAATGGGTGACCTTGGCGCTCAGCTCGTCCTTGTCAACAGCGAGCAGGCGAGAGGAAGTCTCAGCCTCCGCAGCGCTAGCAGACACCTCTCTTGCCACACGCTGCGCCTCGTGCAGCTCAGCTCGCAGACCCTCGCATTCGGCGGCCGTCTTTTGTCGAGTGGAGTCTAGCTCTTGGACACGGGCTTGCGCGGCTTCTGCAGTCTCATCCGCCAGCTGCTTGGCCCTCTTCTCGGCTTCGACCTCATGGCTCAGCTTCTCGACCTTTGTGGTCAGCTCTGCCTGCGCGGCCAAAGATGCGGCCAGACGTCGACTGATGTCGTTTATGCGATCGAGATCGGGGGTTTCCGTGTTGCGAGAGCCATCGGGCTGAGGAGTGCCCGCCTGGCTGCCTCCGCCATGCGCCGCCAGTTTTGTCTTTGCATAGATGGCCTCACTGATGGCAGCGTCTCGTTGGCGCTCGACCTCCGCAATGCGCTTCGCCGCGTCCGCGCCTTGCGTCTTGATCGAAGTCTGTACACGGTCGACCTCCGCCTTCATCTTAAGCAGGGCTTCCAACAGTGGTCGGTCCTCGTCCTGGAAGCTGTCGGCGGAGCGCTCGTCGAACATTGGGCTCGTTGAAGTGGCAGGATTGTAGCCAGCTTTGCGGGCTAGGGCAAGCTCAGAAGCATACCATGCGTTGCGGCTTTTTGCGACATCGAGCTCTCGAACCACGTCGTCGTTGACGTGGGCTACCGCAGGCGAAGCGCCGAGGCCGCTATCGACGTGTCGGCTGTCGGCCTCCCGGCTGTGAGCGCGCTGTTGCGGCGTCTCGAGCGATCGCCTGGGTGTCTCTTGTTCGATGCTAGCTATCGTGTCGTGAGACGGCTGCTGCCTGTGAGACTGCGATCTCGATGCGTTCCTCGAGGCAAGGCTTCCAGAACGTGTGGTGTCCATGGACTCTTTTGGCGTCCGCTGGCTGATGGCATCAGAGCCCTTGCGTTGGAGCTCTGCTGGGCTGTCCCTGGGGATTGGCGAAAAGTTCTCCCTGTCGACTGAAGACGGCGCCTCAGTATCAGCAGCAGAACCGAAACCGCGCTCTATTTTGGTCGGTGTTTTACTCCTGGAAGCTGGGACCCCTTGGGAGTTAGCGCCATTCATCCTTGGTTGAGGTGGTTGCTGGAGGGGTGGAGGTCCGGAAGGCGCCTGCCCAGCTGCACGGGGAAGCCTCGACCCACCTGGTCCCATTCCGTTTGGCGCTATGCCGTTCGACATGTCAGGGCCTATTCGCTGTTGAGGTCCAGGCAGCATGCTCTCGCGGTTCGGTGGCGGACCGTTCCGGCCATGAGGGATATTGCTGCGTTCGCCGCCACTCAGTTTTCGAGGCGTGTTGATGGCTTGCTGGGGAGCCGCACTCTCGTTGGGGGGGTATCTGATTTTGGATGTGTCCAGGATGTAAGCCATGCTCAACTCGTTTCTGTCGGCGACAGACGAGCTCGGCTCGCCTGCAAGGGTCACAATGTGCTTCCCAAACGCCGTCATGCTGTGACCAGAGCGAGCAGAAGGCGAGTGGCCCATGTTCTGGAACATGTACCAACGGCGAGACGAGATGCGGAAGGCTGCAAGGTCCCCCAGGTCGACGCCCTCCTGTGTGCGACCACCGAATATGTACATGGTGTCGTTTACGAGGGCCGCCGAGTGCCCCTCTCGGGCGACGGGGATGTAGCCAATGCAGTCGAGTTCTGTCCAAGAGTTGGAGCGAGGATCGTATGTCCATACGTCGTTGAACCAGATGACACCATCTGTACCACCAAAGAGGTACAGCTTGTCCTGCCAAGTCACCACCGAATGATTCGTACGTGGGGGAGGCGAGCGGCCCTGAGGAGAAGCCTGGTCCTTTGTGTTGGTCAGAAGGACTTCCCAGCGGCTAGCCGAGGACTGGAGCGAGTTGAGATCAAAGGCCACGAGATCATTGAAGAAGAAGCCTTCCACTTGGCCACCGAAGATGTATATCTTGGAGCCCAGAATGTTCAGTGTATGGCCGTAACGTCCCGTGGGGCGGGGGCCTTGGGGCAAAGCGCGCGACCAGTGCTTTGTTGCTGGACGTTGTTAGCTTCAGCAGGTGCCCAGCAAGGAAGATGCCTACAGGTATTCAAAAGGTACAGGGTATCATCCAGGTCGTCGTTGTCTGCCAATTTCGTGTCGCCGCCAAAAACGATAAAGGCGTTGCCAACCAGCAGACTGGCGTGTCCCACGCGAGGCCCAGGGCCGTCTCCCGTGGTGGAGATGGGGTAGCAGGACAAGCTCCCGTTGCCCATCTCCGTCAGCCAGAGGTCGCCCTTGACCGTTGAGCCGCCAACGAGGCCTCCCATGATGTAGACGATGCCGTCTTTGGAAGCGACCGAGTTGATGGCAGCGCCATAGCGCGGGAACGGATTGCCGGCGGTGAAGTTCAGACGGCGAGAGGACCACGGATAGGGCGAGTCCTGCGAGGGACCGCCTTGCGGTCTGGCGTGCTGGAGGGCTCCCTATTTGCACACGATTAGCAAAGGCAGAGACGGTGCGGATCGCATGCTGCGCACCTGTTCGTTGGACCCTGCTCTTTCGCGCAACGCCTTGGGCTCGGGCGCAACCACACCCAGGCCATCACGGCCCTGCAGCGAGCTTAGCGAGTTGTTCACACTCCCGCTCGGCGTCGACGTGGCCGTCGGCGGCTGTGGGCCGGGGCGGCTGTTGTCCTTTCCGCCAAGGGGACCATTGAGCGAGGCAGGCTGGGGGCCTTCGCGGCCATGCGACGAGGTGATGTCTCTGGTGGCCGGCGGCAGCGCATTGCCCTGCTGCTGCTGCTGCTTGCTCTTCTTGCCAAACAGGAACGACATGGTGCCGGGTGTGCAGCCCTCGGGACGTTGCAATGGCAGCGGGTGCCGGTCACGCACGCATTCGGTCTGCACGCGAGGCGGGCAGCGCGTTGGCTGGGGAGCTTTAGCGACAGGCAGATGGGTTCTATGGGCGCTCGGCGGGGAATGTGCGCATTTCTCGAGGGCGTAGGAGAGGGCGGCGCCTGTGGTTTGGCGCGGCTGGGGGAATGTCCGGCGCCACGAGTACTGTAGTGTTGGCTTCCGACGTGCTGGTGGCTGTCCCTGGCTACGGTAGGACGGCGACTTGGCGGGTGCGGCGACGAGATAGCGGGTGTGGGACACAGAGGGCGCCGGCAGCCAGCACAAAGGGGAGCGTGGGCCGCGAGCAGAGTCAACGGTGGCAGAGAGCAGAGCAGAGCAGAGCAGAGCAAAGCAGAGCAGAGCAGAGCAACACAGCACACGGCGTGAGAGCGCTTCAATCTATTACAGCCTTGCCAGGTTTCGCGGCGCGATCCCCCTGAGCTGCAGCACGACAGGGATGGGCCTCGCCATGATTGGACTGGCTGGTGCAGGGCGGACGGAGCATCGCGCCTCACAGCATGCACGAAATCATTGGAATGGTAACAGCGAGGACAGCGCGAGCGACGGCCGCCGCCTGCTGAAAGGGCCTGTGGCACCTGGGCTGCTGCGTTTGTGCACCGCAGACGCTCGACGTGGGCGAACGGTGCGGACGTGTTGGCTCCCGGTGCATCTTTATCATCTTTTGCGTGCAAAGGCTGCTTGACCGCGGTCCCATTTGGTGTGGTGACGCTAGGTAGGTAGAGCGGCTGCCGTGCCTCGAAGCTTGAGCGCCCGCATCTTGAGCTGCAAAGACAGCAGACGGCAGACGGCAGACGGCAGACGGCAAACGGCAGACGGCGACGGCGACAGAGACAGCGACAGAGACAGCGACAGAGACAGCGACAGAGACAGCCGCTGCAAGCTGCTGAAGCTATTCCGGCCTACTTTGTACTTTCCAGCTCCTGGCAGCCCATGCGACATGGGCGCTACTGAGAGCTTCGCACCTCCACGCTCGACCTCGCCATGAGAACGGCCTCCGGCCAGCCTCTCCCCAACCCGCTTGCTTCACACGCGCCCGTCGACATGGCCAGCGCCGCGGCAGCAGCAGCAGCGGCGGCAGCCGCCGCCGCAGGCTCGGCCCCGAGCGAGACGCGCCCGTCGCAGGGCCCGACCTCGTCGCGGCCCAGCTCGTCCTCGGCCGCCGTCCACCTCGATATGCCGCCGTCCGCGTCGACAGTGGCAGCCCGCGGCAACCTCGGCGCTGCCGAGTCCCGTCGCCCCAGTCTCGCCCGCGCAAAAAGCGACTTTGGGCCTCGACAGCCGGCACAACAGCCCCAGGAGCCCGCCGACGAGGGCAGCGTCGACGGCCACTTCAAGATCCGCCATGGCTGGGACGACCAATTGAACTCGGAAGAGTACAGCAACATGCTGACCTCAGTGCGTTGCGTCGAGCATGCCAGTGCTGTTCTGGGACTGACCACCTGCTGCAGAACTTCTTCATGTACTACACGGACAAGAAACACGAGACGGGCGGCCATCCAAAGGGCGAGGTCGGCGCATCGACCGTCCAGGAATGGCGCATGCGCGACCGTCTGAAGACCGTCTCTGCCGTGCTGGCTCTTTGCTTGAACATCGGTGTCGACCCGCCCGATGTCATCAAGACCAACCCATGCGCAAAAGAAGAATGCTGGATCGACCCCACGGTGACCTCGCAGACTCCAGGGCACACCCCCATGAACCAGATCGGCAAGGCGCTGCAGACACAGTACGAGCAGCTCAGCATGCGCACGCGGTACAAGCTCCTGCTCGACCCTACTACGGAAGAGACGAGAAAATACGCCTCCACCCTGCGACGCAACGCCCGAAACGAACGGGTTCTGTTCCACTACAACGGCCACGGGGTGCCGAAGCCCACTTCTAGCGGAGAGATTTGGGTCTTCAACAGAAACTACACGCAGTACATTCCTCTCTCGCTGTACGACCTGCAGAGCTGGATCGGCGCGCCTAGTCTGTTCGTCTACGATTGCTCTGATGCTGGTCTCATCATCAGCAACTTCAACAGGTTCGCCGAGAAGCACCAAGCCGAGTTCGAGGAGGCACGACGCCGCGACCCCAACGTCGAGCACGTCGACTTTGGCGACTGCATTCATCTAGCCGCCTGTCGAGAGAGGGAATCGCTGCCCACGAACCCGGAGCTGCCTGCAGATGTCTTCACCTCGTGCCTGACAGATCCCATCACTATGGCTGTGCGCTTCTTCATTCTCCAAAATCCTCTTCCCACCAAAGTCAGCCTACGAGACGCGCACAACATCCCCGGCAAAGTCTCGGAGCGTCGAACCCCTATCGGCGAACTCAACTGGATCTTCACAGCCATTACCGACACCATTGCGTGGAATTCCCTGTCAAAGCCACTCTTTAAGAAACTCTTCCGCCAGGATTTGATGGTGGCGGCACTCTTCCGCAACTACCTGCTGGCACAGCGAATCATGCGCGTCTACCACTGCAACCCCGTCTCGCATCCTGAGATACCGCAGACGCACGACCATCCCCTGTGGCGAAGCTGGGACCTCGCTGTCGAGCTGATCCTAGCTCAACTCCCCGACTTGCAGGCTGAAGCTCGAGGCGAGAAAGAGTACATGTACAAGCACTCGGAATTCTTCTCGGAACAACTCACTGCCTTTGAGGTATACCTCTCACAAGGGGCCGTGGAGCAGAAGATACCCGAGCAGCTCCCCATTGTGCTCCAGGTCCTGCTGAGCCAGGTCCATCGGCTGCGCGCTCTCATCCTCTTGTCAAGCTTCTTGGACCATGGACCCTGGGCCGTCAACCTTGCCCTCAGCATCGGCATCTTTCCATATGTCCTGAAGCTTCTGCAGTCCCAGGCGAACGAACTCAAGCCTGTCATGGTCTTCATCTGGGCCCGCATACTCGCCGTCGACTCGTCGTGTCAAGCCGATTTGCTCAAAGACAACGGTTATCAGTACTTTATCAACATCTTCAACCCTAGCTCAGGTAACTCCCAACCCGCTAACGTTACTGTCAAACCACTTACGGGGCTAGGTATTCCTATCCAGAATGCGAGTGAACATCGAGCGATGTGTGCCTTCATCATTTCCATGTTCTGCAAGGACTACAACCAGGGCCAGCGTGCATCGCTCAGCACAGAGCTCGTCGAGAGCTGTCTGGACCACTTGAAGGACATGGCCAACCCTTTGCTTCGACAATGGTCCTGTCTCTGTCTGAGCAAGCTCTGGATCGACTACGAAGAGGCCAAGTGGGTCGGTATTCGTTGCATGGCCCACGAACGTCTCTGCGAACTGGTCATGGACCCGGTCGCTGAAGTACGGGCCGCGATGCTGCATTCGCTGACGGCCTTTTTGGGCATACGAGACGTCACGTCACAGGTCGCCAACATTGAGGAGTCGATTGCGTCGACAGTCCTTCTCATGACTACGGATGGAAACAGCATGGTTCGCCGAGAATTGTTGATATTCTTCTCAACATTCATCGCACGCTACAAAACGCGCTTCATCGTCACAGCATTCGAGCACTTTTCGGAAGAGAAAAACAGTGATATCCTGGCACAAATGGAACACAGGAACGGTGACGGGCTATACATGAAGATGCGTGCGACCGCCAACGGGTCTTCGGGCCCATCGAATGCTTGTTCGCAGAACACAGTCTACTCTGCCATCTGGAACGAGATGTTGGTCATGTCTGTCGACCCCTACCCTGAGATCGCCAAGGACGCCGGGATAGTGGTTGACTACGTTCTGGTCGCTCTACTCGAATCGTCGCTCGGGCGCTTTGCGCAACCCCACTTCAACGTTACGTTGAAGAAGAACTCCGCGGCTCGCCCTGCGCGTCGCGTGCCGGAAGAGAAGCCACTTCAGCAACTCGCCCAAACGCCACCCACACCATCGAAAGAGACCAGCTACCTGTCTCTCTTTGGTGGCATGCGCAAGTCGACTGCCTCGCTAAAGAGCCTTTGGTCTGGTCACGACTCATCCACCTCGCCTCAGAAGCCGACTGCGAGGGGAAAGATGGATGAATCCGATGCTCCGCTTACGGAAGCACGCCCTGGCACACCTGAAAAGTACCACGTCGAAGAAGAGCCCAAGTCGAGAGGATTCAGGCCTCGATCTCTGTCGGAGAAGCCGCAGCTGCCGCTTAAGAGTGTATTCTTTGAGTGGTCTGTCGAGTACTTCCGCGAGCCTCAGATGAAGCCCACAGAGGCGGACGAGCCAGGTAGCACCGACTACAACGGGCGACTTTGGCGAAGAAACCGTAATGATAAGATCATTGCCGAGACGCAGCCCCTCAAGGATGTTGCAGTCTCGAATCGATGGGATGTACCACGCGGCTACTTTGACAACCTTAGTCAGCCCATGAAGATGACCTTTCACCAGTTCGAGGACCACCTCGTCGTCACCGACAGCTGGAACACGGTCAATGTCATCGACTACTCCGAAGCCGTGAGGAGGATCAACAGCTTCTCAAACGGCAACCCGATGGACTCGAGAATCACAGATGTTCGGTTCATCAACGAGGACGATCAGGCGTTGCTGATGACCGGATCTTCAGACGGGGTTATCAAAATCTTCCGCAATTACGACTCCAAGGGAAAGACGGAGCTCGTGACGGGATTCCGGGCTCTCACTGATCTTGTGCCCAGCAACAAGAACGCAGGACTTGTCTTCGACTGGCAGCAGGGTAGGGGCCTGGTGCTGGTGGCTGGAGATGTCAAAGTGATCAGAGTCTGGAATTCCGCCACCGAAGTCTGCGTCAGCGTAAGTGCCCTCGTCCTACTTCTCACACCAGCGACTGACTTTTATAGGACATTCCTGCACGATCGGGATCATGCATTACCTCCTTGACGTCTGATCAAGTCGAGGGCGACGTCTTCGTTGCCGGGTTCGGTGATGGTGCCATTCGTGTGTACGATCAACGCCAGAAACCTGCAACTGCCATGGTGAAGGTCTGGAAAGAACACAAGCAGTGGGTTACAAATGTACACTTGCAGCGCGGCGGTCAACGAGAACTCGTGAGCGGCTGTCGAAGTGGAGAGGTGAAGCTGTGGGACATACGAATGGACCGCAGCGTGAAGACCATCCAGGCGACAACAGACCACCTGCGTACACTCAGCGTCCACGAGCACGCGCCGGTCTTTGCCACGTAAGTCTCCGCACCAAACAAGCGAGTGCGTATACTAATCACGCCGCAGTGGAACCCAGAAGCACCGCGTAAAGGTCTTCAACATCAACAACGGGAAGCTCGTGTCAAATTTCGAGCCCTACTCTGGCTTCCTGCGCGACCGATCTGCCCCAATCACTACCACGGCTTTCCACCCGCACCGACTCATGATCGCTGCTGCCGCTCTGCACGACAATCACGTCAACATTTTCTCGTGCCACGAGCCCAAGAACCCCATCTTGAAGACGGTGAAATTGTGGGACGGCGGTGCTGGCACTATCGCTTCGAGTCGGGCTTCTTTACACGGATAGACGGTTCACGTGCATCTTTTCGCATGGCGTTTCGCAGCGCATCAAACATTATGGCAGGTGCTTGCTTTGCATTTGGGCGGGTCTGGCGCGTGGGTGCATGTTTTTAACGGCTGGCGTGGGCATAGCGCGGACATTGACATTGAGCGGCAGCATGAGGGATTCGAGCTCCACTCCCTTTCGATACCCACTGACTGTAGTATCTTTGTAATTTTAACGGTTCCTCCGAAGCCACCGAGCTGATTGTTGTGCGCGGAGAGTCCTACCCATACGGGTACCTGACTCGGTGAACGGTGCGTGGTATGACGCTGCAGGAATGTGGGGTTATGAGTCCCGCTGCCCCTCCGCCACAATTTCTTGAGAATCACCACCAACACACTCTTTCGCACTCTCTTGAACCATTGCAACATGAGTGACGCACCACCACCAGCCGCAGCTCCGAGTGAAGCCCCACAGGGTGAGGCGCCATCCAAGAATGCCTTGAAGAAGGCGCAGAAGGAGAAGGAGAAGGTGGGCAGCAGTCGTGTGCCTCGAATACAGGACTTGCAGCTAACCTTTCACTAGGCAGAGAAGAAGGCCGCCGCAAAGGCCCGCGAAATGGCCGACCGGACGAAAAAGGAGGCTGCCGACGCAGAGGATGTCTCTAAAGACTCTTATGGCGAGCTGCCTCTCACCGGCTCAAAGGACTTCAAGCCCACGGGGATCGAACGCGTCGGCCTTGACGAGGTAGCCAGCCACGTCGACAAGGAGATCACATTCCGTTGCTGGGTCGAGAACGCCCGCTCCCAGTCGGCGAAGCTGGCCTTCCTGAACTTGCGCCAGAACCTCAGCACCATCCAGGCCGTTATTGCTGCCAGCGACGCGCTGAGCAAGCAGATGGTCAAGTTTTGTGGTACGGTTCCTACCGAAAGTACAATCGTTGTTACTGGACTGGTCAAGAAGGCTCCCGAGCCCATCAAGAGCGCCTCCATCCAGGACTACGAGATTCACATCAAGAAGCTGTTCATCGAGGTCAAGGCCGAGGTGCCGCTGCCACTGCAGGTCGATGATGCAGAGAGGCCTCTGCCGGCTGAGACCACGGCTGAGGAGGAACAGAAGGAGGAGGGCGGTGAGCGACCGCTCGTCAGCCTCAACACTAGGCTCAACAACAGGACGATCGATCTGAGGGCCAAGATCAACCAGTCGATCTTCGTTGTCAAGAGCGGTGTGTGCGCTATCTTCCAGGAGTTCCTGTCGAAGAAGGGCTTCACACTTGTCCAGACTCCTAAGATCTTGGGCGCCGCTTCGGAGGGAGGCGCCAACGTCTTCGAGCTCAAGTACTTTGACCGCCAGGCTTACCTGGCCCAATCGCCGCAATTCTACAAGCAGATGTTGATCGCCTCCCGCTTCCAGAGGGTCATGGAGATTGGACCCGTCTTCCGTGCCGAGAACTCGAACACTGCTCGCCACCTGACAGAGTTCACTGGTCTCGATCTCGAGATGGAGTTCCAGGAGCACTACCACGAGGTCATGGGCGTCCTCGAGGACCTCATGCTGTTTATTTTCAAGGAGCTGAATGTACGATACAAGCGCGAGACCGACCTCATCCGCAGTGTCTACCACGTCGACGACTTCAAGCTCCCAGAGTCCGGCAAGGTACCCAGAATCCCCTTCACAGAGGGTATCAAGATGCTGCGCGAAGCTGGTGAGGAACTCAACGACTACGATGACTTGAGGTGCGTTTACGATTCTTTCTCTCTCTCTCTCTCTCTCTCTCTCTCTCTCTCTCTGCACGATCTCACTGACACTCCACAGCACACCTCAAGAAAAGCACCTCGGACGTCTGGTCCTCGAGAAGTACGGCACCGACTTCTACGTCCTCGACCAGTTCCCGCTCGCGATCCGACCCGCATACACAATGCCATCGCCACACGACCCCAAGCTCTCCAACTCGTACGACTTCTTCATGCGCGGCCAGGAAATCTGCTCCGGTGCCCAGCGCATCCACGACTCGGAGCTGCTGTCCAAGCAGATGCGCGAGCACGACCCACCGATCGACCCCAACGGCGCCGGTACAAAGGACTACGTCGACTGCTTCCGATATGGATGTCCGCCCCACGCCGGAGGTGGTTTCGGCCTGGAGCGAATCGTGCAGTTCTGGCTGGGTCTGCCCAACATCCGCATGTGCAGTCTGTTCCCTCGCGATCCGCAGAGGGTTGCGCCGTAAGCATGTCGTTGTGTGTTCATGGGGCAGAAGTTGTGGTAGTGTGATTAGAGATTCATCCGAAAGCCTGAATGAAGTCGTTGTAACACCACGCCATAGCAGTCCTATTCTGGACCTCTGTCAGGCGCGCTGCTTTTGAGTTGTTGATTTGCTACGTGGAGACCTGAGGAAGCATCGTCCCGACTGTGCGTTCTTGAAGACTCCCGGCATCGTTGGACCACCAGATTCACATTTGCACTATAAAGTGGATGAACAAGAAGCACCATAACATTCAGGATTAAAGACTCCACTCAACTCTCAAAATGCAGTGCTTTGGCCATAAATGAAGGCAAAGGTGTAGAAGAGAAAGGCAATCGTAGGCGCAAACATCGCGTCCTACAAACGCCGTGCTTATGTCCGAGGAGAGCAAACGTCATCTATTTTCATCTATCTAAAGACTCCACTCAACTCTCAAAATGCAGTGCTTTGGCCATAAATGAAGGCAAAGGTGTAGAAGAGAAAGGCAATCGTAGGCGCAAACATCGCGTCCTACAAACGCCGTGCTTATGTCCGAGGAGAGCAAACGTCATCTATTTTCATCTATCTAAAGACTCCACTCAACTCTCAAAATGCAGTGCTTTGGCCATAAATGAAGGCAAAGGTGTAGAAGAGAAAGGCAATCGTAGGCGCAAACATCGCGTCCTACAAACGCCGTGCTTATGTCCGAGGAGAGCAAACGTCATCTATTTTCATCTATCTTCTGGTAGTGGGGCTTCCCCAACGCGAAAGCCCAGCTTTTGGATATCGACTTCGGAACCGTGTGTGCACTCGCGTGGAGAACCATCACATGCCAACGTACGCAAACTACCTGCCCGATGAAATCCTACTCGAAGTCATCACCTACATAGAGGCGTGGGATGTGCGCTCCAAGCAAGCCACGCTCGCGCACTTCTGCGCCGTGAACCGGTACGCACCTCCACCCTGTCGGTCTGGTTCCCACGCTCACGATATCGCAGACAATGGTATGACGTCGCCGTCCAGCGTTTATACGAACAACCCTACCTCGCCGGCCGCGCGTACGACCTCTTCGTGCGCACAATCTGCCCCTCGGTGCTCGCGCACATCAAGCACCAGGCCCTCGCCAGCCTGGTCCGCTCCCTCGACCTCTCGCACATCATCCACCAGAGCACCAAGTCGACGACGGCGCGCCTGCTCGGCCGCACAAAGGCAAGCCTGCAGGTTTTCGTCGCCCCGCAGGCCAGCTTCGCAGTCAACTGCTGGGCCAGCCTGTCCAAGTGCGCGCGCCTGCGCGTCCTCGACCTGAGCCTGGTCAGCGAGTGCATCAGCTTCCAGTCGCTAGCACAGACGCTGCGCCAGCTCCCGGGGCTGGAGCGCATCTACCTGCCGCGCAGCTCGACGCGCGACGAAGCAGGCGCGCTCTCCATCAACGTCCGCTGGCCGCCGCGGCTGCAGCACCTCTCGCTCTCCGGCCCCATCTACGGCAAATTCCTGTGGGACCTGCTGCGCCAGCCAGACCACTTCCCGCCCAGCCTGCACAGTCTGAGCATCAGCCACAGCCCGGGGCTGGACCACGCGGGGATCCGGCCGCTGCTGGAGAGTCTGGGCGGTTCGCTGACGCACGCGCAGCTGCACGACCTGCCGCACGTCAAGCACGGGCGGCTGAACGGCGTGCTGGAGTGGCTCCCCGCGCTGACGGATCTGACGATCGCGCTGGACTACATCGACGCGCGCTTTGGACACGTGCCGGCGTCGTGGAGCGCGGCGCGCTGGCAGGATGCGAAGCCGCTGCAGACGCTGACGCTGGTCACGAGCGGGCAGACGGGCGTCGACCCGGGCCGCTGCTTCACCGCGGTCGATCTGTATGCGCTGGTGGACGAGCGGTTTCTGGGCCGCCTGCGGCACGTGTACATTGCGCAGTCGAGCGAGTGGGAGAACGAGCAGGACGGGGCCGAGGTCGGGGCGCTGGAGATGCTGTTGTGCGACGATCTGGACCGGGAGAACTGGGAGCTGCGGCGGTGGCACTATACGGATGTGGTGTTTGGCGGCACGTTTGACGAGTGGAGAGAGACGGGGGCGGGGCGGCGGATGAGGGCGCGGCTGGGCGTGGTGAGGGACAGGTGACAGAGGGGGTTCAGGGTGATGCGGTGACGGCGTTGCCCTGGACGTGTGGAGTTGCCCTGGACGTGTGGAGTTGCCCTGGACGTGTGTGGAGTTGCCATGGACGTGTGTGGAGTTGCCCTGGACGTGTGTGGAGTTGCATGCTATCTACTCTGCGTGGGGAAAAATAACCTAACCTGGAATGCTGGATTGTCTATTGCGCTCCCTCGTTGGACGCTGGTCTATTCAATCAATCAATCGTTAATCGTCGCTCGCGTTCCCCCACCTTTTCACCATCTAAGCACTGCCGTTCGCAGCTTTCCCCTGGATCTGCCCCCGTACACCGCCCTTTCCGCCCACCTCGCGGAACAGCGCGGTAACGCTGAGGTCGTTCTGGATGTTGATCTGGACCTCGACCCTGGCGCCCTTCTTGACACCACGCAGCGCCGCCTCGCTGAGGGGCGCGCCAATCTTCCACGTCTTCTCGCGCAGCTCCTCCTCCTCGTCTTCGCTGTCGTCGTCGTCGGAGTCGGACTCGGACTTCTCGGCCTTGGGCTTGGGCTCGGGCTTGGTGACCTTGATGTGGCGCGCGCCCTCGACGAGCTTGATCAGCACGTCGCCGCCCTCGCGGGGCGTTGTGATGGTCGCGGTGCGGCGGACGGGGAGCGGCGTCTCGGCGTCGACGATGGCGTGGAAGACGCCGTTGGACTCGTCGCCGGAGATGAGGAGCACGCCGACGGCGGTGGACAGGTGCGGTGTCACCGTCACCATGGGGTGCAGACTCTGCTCAATGTCATCGGCCTCGAACTCCTGGATCAGGCTGGCCTGGATGGCGGCACCGCGGACGGCGAGCTCAGAGGGGTTGATGGCGCTCGACGAGGTCGAGGGCGCGAGGACGGTTGTGGACTCGGGAAAGGCGCTGGCAACGGCAGAGGCGACCTTGGGGGTGTGCGCGTTACCGCCAGCGAGGATGACCTCGGAGATGTCGAGGGGGTCGAGCTCGGCCTTTTCGACCGCGTGGCAGACGAGGCGGGTGAAGGCGGCGAAGAGCTTGTTGCCGAGCAAGTCGTAGCGGGTGCGGTTGATGGTGGCGGTGAAGTCGATGCCGGCAGCCAGGCTCTCGACGGAGAAGCTGGCCGACTGTCCAATCGATAGGGCCTTTTTGACCGACTCGCACTCGAGCTTGAGCTTGGCCATGGACCGCTCGTTCTCGCGGGGGTCTCCGGCAGACTTGTGCTTCTTGATGAACTCCTTGGCGAAGTAGTCGATCAGGACCTGGTCGAGCTTGGCGCCGCTGACATCGAAGTCGTGAACGGCGGCCAGGATGGTGTAGATGCCGCCGCGCGAGGCGATGACGGTGACGTCGGAGCGCGTGCCACCAAGGTCAGCGACAACGAGCATCTTGTCGGCGAGCTTGGCGTCAGGGCGGGCGTCGTAGGCCAGGACGGCAGCGGTGGGCTCGTTGATGAACTGCAGGACCTCGAGGCCGGCGTCCTGGGCGGCCCTCTTCAGGGCGTCCTTCTGGGCGTCCGAGAAGTTGGTGGGCACTGTCATGACGGCGGCGTTGACGTCCTTGCCCAGGTAGTCGGACGCGGACGAGCGCAGCCTCCGCAGGTGGCGCGCTGTGACGTCGCTGACGGTGACGGTGTTCTCCTGTTCGGCGTCGCGGTCGCGGATCGTGAAGGCGACTGTGTCCGCGTGCTCGACGGCGTGGGCCGACTGGTGGGCGGGTGTGGGGTCGATCGACTTGAAGCTGGGCCCGTCAGTACACGCACACACGCACACACACGACAGCGCGCGACTCACTCCTGGCCCAAGAAGTCGCGGAAGTAGGCGACCGTGTTCTTCGCGTTGCGGACGAGCTGGGCCTTCGCCTGGCCACCGTGCAGCTCCTCGCCCTCGACGTACGAGAGGATCGAGGGGATCTGGCGGTCGCCGTCCTCGTTGGCCATGACCTCGGCCTTGCCCTCCTGCTGCGTGTCAGACTCTGCCCGGTGCCTCTCTCACATGCATGGCCACTCACGCTTGAGGTAAAAGCAATGGAGCTGTACGAGTTTCCGAACGAGATGCCAATCGCAACCCGCTGGGCGGGGTCTGCCTGGGCGCTCATGTTGGCTGTGTGTGTGTGTTTGTGTGTGTGGTAGCGGCCGAGGGCTCGTTGTCCAGGAAGTCCGGCGATTGGGGAGGGGCTTGGACGACGGGTCGATGTGCAGAACTCTGGTGTCTGGAGTTTGCCGTGTTGACTGTCGAGTTCCGTCTGGGCCAGGGCTCGAAATGCGGTCTTCGAATTTTTGACTAGCGCCCGGCCACCCAACCCAATCGATAGTTCTATCCCGCCGTCTCCAAAAGTTCACGTTCGGTGACGTCCTGGCCCGCAACACCAACGCCCGAATCGCACATTGTCATGGCCACAACGCTGCATGTCGTCCTGCCCGGCGATGTGATACCGCAGCATGCGCTGCCCACGGGCACCGGCAAGAAGAAGACGCTCACACTAGGCCCCGGTCTGCGACACATCCCACCAAACACCGTCACCGCGACAGTGGCCGGCACGCTCGTGACCGACAACAGAAAGAACGCCGCATTGGTCGAGTACAACAGTGGGCGGGTGCGTCGATTCACCCACCAATTCCACCACAGCGCCCAGCTAACTCACCCAGTACACGCCCTTCAGCGGCGACCTCGTCATAGCCACCGTCAACGGCAGCGCCGCCGAGAACTTCAACTGCCTGCTGACCCCCGAAACGCCCCCCGCCGCACTCCCGCACCTCGCCTTTGAAGGGGCCACCAAAAAGACTCGCCCCCAGCTGCCTCCCAACTCGCTCGTCTACTGCCGCGTCGCGACCGCCGGCCGCGACCAGCCGCCAGAACTGACCTGCGTAGACCCGTCGACGGGCAAGGGCGAGGGCCTGGGCCCGCTAAAGGGCGGCATGGAGTTCAGCATCAGCCTGGGCATGGCCCGCAGACTGCTTGCGCCCAAGAGCGACCTGCCGCTGCTGCAGGTGCTGGGCGCCAAGCTTGGGTTTGAAATCACCGTCGGGAGGAACGGTCTTGTGCACGTGGACGGGGGGAATGTGCGGACTACGCTGGCCGTGGGGCGGGGGATCCAGGACGTGGACCAGAAGGCCCTGGGGGAGACCGTCCAGCGGAAGCTTGCTGCTGATATTCTGAAGAGTCTTTGATGGCTTTGGACACATCAGGGCTGGACCATGAAGCATGCCACCTACCATCCGATGGTCCGAGCAGCACCGCATTCGGCTGCTGCTCACCGAGTGCAGTCGACCGACTTGGAGCCGTGCAAGAGGGAGCTACCACAGTAGATGTGCTGGAAGCATCAGTGGGTTTGCTATACCGACTATTGATGCAGGGTCATGGCGGTTCTATCCAGTATAGATACATGCATCCGAGCAGCACCGCATCCGCGTGCTGCTCACTGAGTGCCGTCGACTGACTTGGAGTCGTGCAAGAGGGACTACCACATGGTCGAGCACCTAACAACTTGGAGGTCATCATCACGCTTAGGGCAGCTACGGGTATCCGGCTTGCAATGTCACCTCCGTGTCCATTGATCATTACTCATCTACTGGACTAGTCTGACGTATTCTTGAGGTTCGAAATGGTACGACGTAATTCCGAATAATTCCGTCGAGGACTGGTCTGACCTATCCTCGAGGTTCGAAATGGACCATAGAATTCCGTCCGTATAAAGCATTATCCCCACATACCATCTGAAGGCCTCAGAAGCGCGGCTCTTGGCCACAGAGGTCGAGCAATGCCCTTGCCGAAGTAGCTCCTGCTGTGCTCAGGTCCTGCCTCACGAAGCTGCGCATCTACGGCCTTCCATCGTCGCGTGAAGTATGACTGACCGCCACCATTGCGATGCTCCTCCACATACTCCGAGAGGTTCTCGTACAGACGTACAAAAGGCCCCGTGTTCGCGTAGGCTCCATCCTCCAACTTGGTAGACACTCCACCCATCGCTCCAACCTGCCGGCTCTTGTCGCTGGCTGCCGCCGCAGCGATGAGCGTTTTGGTGTACTCTTTCTGGCGTGCAGGACGATGGCCATCGCGATACCAGTTCATCAGCTTCTCCTCTTCGCTGACGTGGACAGAGAGTGACACTGTAGGGTCGTGCGTGGTCGGCTTAGAGTCTGTGAAAAAGGGACCCTTGAAGCTCTGTGTAGTCGGGACTTGCTGCGTCAAGCCATTTGCAACCTCGTACTGTTGAGTCTTCCGCAGGCCATCTGGATCGCTGTAATGTAGGGCGACGCCGCCAGCATTGACGGTACTAGCGCTGGACTTGGACGTCCCTAACATGCCGTGCCCCGAAGGAGCCTGCGAGTAAGGCACAGCAGTAGCACTGAGGCTCGAAGCCGTGTAGTTGGCCGACAAGACCGAGCGTGTCGGCGCTACAGGTCGAGTGGCGAGTTTACACATTCCGACATTTGAAGCAACATCTTTGTACCATGGTGTGGTCAGCCGGGACTCCTCGACTTTAGCGGGAGTATGTGAGCGATCAAGGTAAGGTTGGTAAGACGCGGTCGAAGGAAGCTGCTGAAATTGGTCACTCTGAGTGAGCAAAGTTCCACGTCGGGTAGCAGCTTCCTCTCCAAAAGCAACCTCTTGTAGTCTTGTCGTAGATGGCAGCCCGGAGGTACTCCCCGTATTCCTGAAACCAAAGGTACTAGTCTCGGTTACCGAAGACGGGTCGGCGCTTGTTTTGACAGGAAACCTGTAGGTAAGATCTAAGGACCCTGTCGAGTTGACGACAGCGTTTTGAAACTTGTTGCCATTCGTGGACCGTATCAGAGAGACGTCAGCTGCTGCAATGAACGGGTCTTCCAATACGTCTTTCGTAAGTAGAGCGTGGGTGGTTGAACCTGCCTCGCTTTGTGTCTGGTCGATGAGGCGGAGGGTCCTAATCGAAGGGTCTTTTGGGACTTGAGGCCGCTCGACTAAGTCTACACCTGCATGCAAAGTCGGTTCTGTCGTTGCGTTTTGGTTCTTCGGGCAGCTACTCTCGAGTATAAGAGCTTGGCGATTCTCGGCAGCCAGCTTGAAATACTCGACGGTATCGTGAGGCTCGTCAATACCTCGAAGACGGTCCGACGCAAGTGAGCCTTCCACTTTGCCCCGTGAGTGAGAGTACCGACCAATGTTCACCCACTGGAAAGAAGACGATGACCACTGATGTGCTGAAATGTCCCGGTTGGGATGGCCTATGAACACGACTTCTCCATCGAATTTGCCCATCTGCTCACTGAGTCGAATAGGGTCAGGTAAGTTGCTGAAAATTCGCCCGCGTGTTGCTTTCGCGGTGGATAGCGCCTCGCCCTGACCATTGCTTTCATCTCCAGCTATGGCAAAGACAGCAGTGGCTTGGGCGCTATCGTCATACGTCTCACCAAGCTGACCACGAATGTAGGTAGCATTCGAGAGCGTGTGAAGTCTTGACTGGAAATCAATGAAGGGCCGCTGGGTATTCGCCTCGGCAACTACTTCGTGGTGAACATTGGCATTAGTGAGCTGGAAGCTACCATCGCCTCTAGTACTGCAGGCCTCTCCCAGATCAGTCGCCTGCATTGATCGCCAGCTCTTGCTCGTCTTCGTGCGACTCGGCTGTAACTTGATGATGCCGGCCAATGATACGCTGCTATGATCATCTTGATCATTTTCGAACTCGACGGTCCTGTGCGGCCGAAAAACCATGCCTGACATTCGCGCTAGCTGTTCTGCAGAGACTCTCTCGGGTTTCTTGGTTGACTTCTCGCGCGGGGAGGTGAGACCTGGGTCAAGCAGCTGCTGAACCGTTGTTCGAGTAGGCGAAGAGGAAGGCTTCCCACAAGAGTGAGGAGTGCCTACTGGCAGCCGTTCTGTAGCAGTACGTGCAGAAGTAGCGCCACGACGATCTATAAGGGCTTAGAGTAAGCAAATGTGCGGCCTTTGGGTGTTGCAGACTCACTGCGCCGCCGACTACGAGCCTTCGATACGGTCGCCACTTTGCGCACAACGACTAAGCTTGCGTAAAGATTCGTGTGCAAACGATTGTGTGCAGAGATGGGGTTGCGGGGAGTGGTGGAGTTGAAGAGGATCCCCAGGTATTTTGTGATGAGACCCTGGTTAGGGCAGGTGCACCTGGCGGTGAGGTGACGGTGAACCACCGTGAGGCCGACTCACTCGAGGCGAAAGTCAGGGACTACGAGCAAACTGGGTCAGTAGCAAGCATCAACTAAATTGGAGAAAAGACCAAGGGCAATGTAAATACCATGCTGAGTGGTCTTCTGGATGTGATCTGCTGAGAGCCCGCAGGCTTTAAGAGTGGGAAATATTGAAATATATGAGAAACAGCTAGAACGCAAACTTAGAAGTAGGAAGGGAGTTGAGTATGACTCAATGTCTTCTTGCCAAAGATTGGAGACCTGATATGACTGCGGACGTAAGAATGGAACAGGCAATGAGGATCTTTTAGAAATCGAAGCTGAGGCCGCTACGGTGCTTATTGTGGTGTCCAAGTATGGTCAGAGGAAACGAACATTATAGATCCGCCCTTCAGCCGAGATCAGAGTGGAAGAAATCATGGGGATTGTACAGATTGTGAGCTACTCAACCTGTCCAGCCTTCTTGCGCAGCAGCCCAACTCACCGCATCCCATACATCGCCAACAATTTGCCGTGGCTGAACGGCCGGCGGCGAGCCCTCTACGTAGACACCGGTCTTGACTAGAATGCTTGCCCAGTCAGTCCCATAGCGACTGTCATAATTGTTGCCGCCTGCTATATCGCTGGCAGGATTGTCACCAACCATGTACACACGCTTCAGAGCCCTGATTTCTTGGTTGGTTCCCTTGAGAAGGTGGTCCCGATGCGCAATCAGTCGTTTCTCAGCGAATTCAAATGTGGACTGGTATGGTTTGCCCATAACAACCTTCTGCAGCTTGACTCCTTCCCGTTCGCCTCCAGTGATGGCCGCCCAGATACCTTCCAGCGCCTCGCGGAACCCACCTTGGCCTAGTCGTGGCAAGTGGTACTTAGCCGCCCACAGTAGATCAGGGTTCGAGAAATACAGAGTTGGTTGTCCGTCTTGCTGATAGCCCTTGTTTGGAAGAGTTTTATTCCCATTCTTCGCAGAAAGTGTACCCAGAATGCCACGCTCGGAGAGCAGGACGTCTTTAATAATCTGAGCGTCGAGGCCCCAATCGCGCGGATCGTTGTATACGAAAACTGCATCGATGCGAAGAGAGGACGAGGGCGAAGTGGGGTCAATGGGAGCCGGAAGAGGTCGTGTGAATGTTTTGTAATAAGGCAACAACTGTTGTGAGAAAGGCCAGACGTCTGGATAGGCTGCCAGTATATCGCCGGGCGTAACGACTGTCTTGAACCTAGAGAGGCTAAGCGGGGCGTTTGGAGGGCATTTTTTGTGAGCAGACATACCCGTAAGCTTCCGCAACGTATCTGCATTTGTCCTCGTCCCCTCCTACAACCATGACCGTCTTGTCCTTGTATTGGTCCATATCGGCGAAAGGAGTGTGGCTCTGTACAAACATGCTGGTGTCAAGAGGCACACGTAGTTTGCGGCTCAGATCGGCCACCCGTTCGGATTCGTGTTTACCGCCGCCATTGGTGAGTAAGATGAATGGTATGCGCTGCGCCTGAAGGTACGAAAGTGCCTGATGAGCCCGTGGCAGGGCGTCTGAACTGCGAACCTAGCAATGCATCAGCCTATCTTATTTTCTGACTTCAAAGGGCCAAATTACCAGGACGCCGTCAATGCTACGTCCGTCAGTAGAGCTCTTTCCACAAGCTGCGCAACATGCCTTCCTTACTCGAACGCGAATGCGAAGCCTGGGACACGTAGTGTAGCGGCTGGGGCAGCCGTTTGCAGACTCCTGCACAGAGGCAATCTTGCCAGGCGTGGAACCAGAGTACGAGTCACCATGTTGTTGTGGTAGAAGTAGGATCGCTGCTGTTCGGGGATGAATCAGAAGAGTTGCTCTATAGGACGCTTGGACCACCTGTTCACCCGTTCAGTTCCACACCTATGAAGTACGTAATTACCTAAAAGATGTTGATCTCGGGAAATACGAAATTTCGAAATCTACGCTCAAAGCTATCGGAAAAAAATTGGTCAGCGCGTCGTTCAGAGATCACACAAGTTCAAAATAACGATTGGCTCAGACGTTGAGAGCACTAAGGCCTGACGTTTTCAAATTCTACCTATGGACCTGTGGTACTCCTCGAATTTCATGATGTCGAGCTCGAAGTGATGTGATCACGGAGTCACGCTTCTAAACACATATGGAAGCCTAGGTCAAAACTATTTTTGGGTAGAGTATAAACCGACAGCGCATGCAAGGCATCTTGGAAGTCATATTGGTATTGATACGGTCTCAGAGCCTGATTCATGTTGAAGTTGTGTTTGATCTTGAGGTGGGGTCTCTCAAAACCGAATATCTCTCAGAAATCAAACAGAGAAGTGGCTGAAGCAGGCTCTTGTAGCCATGAGCACGCGTGCGTACGTCTGTGCTGCTGAAGCTGCTGGTAAGAAGTCTTCTTGCATTCTGTGGTGTTGACAATTTTTTGATCTCGAGTCTCGACATCCCTTGAACATCCGCATAATCAGACCAGTGTTGGACACCCGGACACCATTCCTTCAAACATGATCAAACGAAGATGGGTCTGGTGACGGAATTGTGCGGGAGAGGTTGGTCCAGCAGGTGAAAGAACTCGCGTTGCCACACAGCGCGCTGTGTCACTGGATCAGTCGCTCTGATAAATACTTATGCAAATGGCCGTCTTTGATCAAGGACAGACAACACTGGCGGTCCAGTTTCGAGGGGGGTTCCTAACGTACTTTAGTCTCGAACTTACGCGAAATGGTGATGTTCCCTGCGAACTCCAGTTGTAGTCGGAGCCAGCCTAGTGCGCGAATCAGAGCATCTCGAACTGAATCTGCAAGACTTCAAGACTGTGCGCGTTGATTTTGCGAGCTACCTGTGCGTGAAACTTGAGGCTTCAGACTCGAGAGCCGGCCGATCTCCGAGAAAGCCAGGATGTAACGCGACAGTGCAAAGAATCGTCGCAAGTATTGTCTAATGGTACTCAAAAGAAGAACTACTCAGATGGGCGAGATGGAAACAGGAAGCCCTGACTCTTCCGATGGGGCTTTGTGCTTTGTTATTGCCCCTTGCATTTTGGCGTTCTCGCCTGGACTTGATTCGTACATAGTTGGCACCGCCACGACGGTCTCGACACATGCAACAGTATCCGACACATGCGAGCAGACAAAGGCTTTGCTTTGGGTGGCTACATTGCGTGTCTAATTTAAATATCCCTACGTGTTGTGGTACAGTGTGGCGCCTGAATGTCAAAGAGAATGATACCAAAGAGAATAATGGGTACCAAAGAGAATAATAGGTACCAAAGAGAATAATAGGTACCAAAGAGCACAATACCAAGAGCACATGACCGTGGACATGATTTGCAGGCTGGACGGGCACACTGGCCGTCATTCTCTTCTTGTTTGGCACTACTATCCTCCCGTTCGTGTATAAATCCATTAAGACTGCGCTGTTTGGGTCTCTCATCCGCAACAGACATTCATTACAAGCTCATCAATATCAGTCTCCCAACCAATCCATCTGCCAACCAACCAACCAAAATGGCATCCATCATGAAGTCCAACGTCTCCGGTAGCATTCGTGGTCCTCAGTGCACCGTCCAGTAACTCACTCGCGTGATTACACGTGATTGCATGGGCCGGACAGTCACCCATCAAAACGTTTTTTAGCCTGGCATTGACTTTCACTTCGCTTGACACTCGTTACACGTCAGGGGACGATGATCTGGGAATGCTCAACTCTCAGCGCTCCGAGATTCACCGTCGCCATCTCTCCGCTCTTCCTCTGGCGAACAATGTACTCAGCACGATTCCGTTTTCGACACTTGCGATGAGCTCATGCTCATGCCCATATGAGGTGGATGCACGACCGATGTGAGGGACGGAGGGTAATGCGCCTATATAAATGATAAAGCACTAGGGATACCCTTTTCAGTCGATTGTCTGAACGAACTCTTCCATATAGCTTGTCAAAATCCATGGCTCTCTCCCACGCTGTTTCTTGATGCTGATGCGTGATGCCCGCCCGCAGTGAAAAATCACAGTCGTAATAATTGGAATGCTCGTGATGGGACAATGAATCCGACCGACGCTATCGTGGGTCAAGGCAAGCCGGGTTGCCAGGCTTCTGTATATGCAAAGACGACCTAAGACTGCCTGCACCTTCCTGAAGAAACAAAGTGTACCCGTACATTCGCGTCCATAGGCATGCCGGAGGAAAATTTCATTTGCTCACTTTGAAAGTGTTGTAGGGATAATCGTGAGAGGCATTCTCGTAAATAAAGCTTAGAATGTCTTTTTGACGAGCCGAAACCCGAAGCTGGAGACGCACGATGTAGCAAATACATCGCGAAGACGAATGAAGAGAGGCTTAGTCCCCAAAATCCTCAGCGTTGATGCTTTGGGAGGAATCTACGACAGTTAGCTTATCCGAAAGATAAGATGAGTTGGAGTGACCAAGCATGAACTTGTTCAAGGTGTACCGTACTTACCTGCCTCTCATGGTCCTGGGCCTGCTTTGTGCGGGGTGACAAATTTTGTGCACCCCGGTACCGGTGCTGTGCAAGCTACGAGGTGGCGGGGCTGGATTCTGTCGAGCGGATCTGATCTTATTGACAGTAGCAGTACGCTTGGTTCCACCACGATTGCCGATAGATCTAGGAGGTGTGGCCTGGGAGTCCGAATCGAAATTGAAGGTACGCTTTTTACCATCCTTGGACGCACTGCGTAACGATGCTGGCGTGATATTAGGGGATGTGTCTTCGTCGGAGTCATCGTCTTCAAGGTCAGAATCCGACTCTGGTGTGCTAGGTCTCTTCGACGCTGCTAGGCCTCGCCCTCCGTTTGTCGCTACACTAGCACGTCGCGGAGCAACATGCGTGCGTACAGACTTGCTGACAGCTTTCAGCGCGCCAGGTTTTACTACCTTCCGTTGCAGGCTGACGGTCGTGGTCCTAGTCGATTTGAGCGTGCCCTGAACTGTGCGCCTCACTACAGTGGGACGTAATCGTTTCGAGACCTTCAAAGAGGAAGACCGCTTCATGGCACGGTTCTCGCGAGATGCGATCTGCCTAGAGTGTTCCACTGCCTCCACTTCTGCCTGTTCGCGCGCGGCTCTCGTTGCAGCATGCGAGTTCTTGAATTTCGTGGTTGTTGCATTACCAATGTGGACCTTCCGCTTCTTGGGTGAGTCGGCATTGTTTTCTGACCTTGCGCGACCGGAACCAAGGAAGTCCTGGAGTTTGCGCTTTGTCCCGGCAATCAAGGCAGAAGTAATGGATCTCTCCTCTACGGGTTTCTTTGGCTTGGGACCGAGAACACCACGACACGATTCGGTGCCGCAGCGACATTCTTGTATGTTCTTTTGTGAAAACGGGCTTTGCAGAGTTAGAGGGTGTTACTCTAGTGTATCGATGGACTTACTCGAAGTTGTAATCGTACGTCAATTCCTCGCCCGTCATAACGCCGCGAGAACCGGCGAACAGTGCCATTCGTGGCTCTCCGCCAACCGTCCACTTGATCATCTCACAATTAGGCTCGCAGGAGTGGTTCACAAACCGCGCGATGGTTCCTCGAGTGGCATCAATGATCATCTTGTTGTCGAAACTCATGAGGTAGTAGCACTTGTTGCACGTTAGCCCAGAGGTATGGTTCGAGCGAGCTGTCTTACCTTGTCTTTCTTGTAGACCTGCTTCATGCGCCGCTCGCACTCAGATTGGGTGATGATCTCACCAGCATATTCGACAATGATCTGATGGGGTTTGAAAATCCTCATTGCTCGAACGCCATATCCGCGGCCCTCGGTCTCCATGACTTCAACACCATAATCGTAGCCGTTTCCTTTGCCTCGGCGCTTGAGCTCTGCAAATGGGCGATTCCCGCATTCTTCCGATGTGAGCCTGCAGTTGTTGCTATCGCATTCATAGGCCATGATGCGGTTGTGACAGGCCTCTCCACATCCATCTTCGGGGTCACAGTAGCACTGAGATGAATCCTGCTTATCGTGTTTCCACAATGCGGAGGCGTCGCCGATGAACCGATCTGATCCGATGTTAGCTTAGCGACGAGGCAGATGACATGGAACAAACACACTCTTGGAAAGCTTGACCCATCCATCTACTTTGACCTTTCTGGGCAATGGATTGTACGTGTCGAAAGGGAGCTTGAAGTGTCGGTGCACGTGTTGAGGGTCTTCCTCAAGCATGCGGCCGCCAGCGAACATAGGGAGAGGAAGCGCCTCGGGGTGTTTTTGCTTCTTGGCCCTCTTCGCACGATTCTGTGTTTCTGACAAGCGAGCATCGAAGTCGCGATATTGACCAACGTACAGGCCCTGCTTCAGCCAAGCTTTGGTTTTCGGTTTCAGGTATTCTTTCTGCTCCGAAGTGGCGTCTGTGTCGTCGTCTTCGGGGGTGTCTGTCGCAGTGCGTGGTCGTCTCGATGATGCAGGGCTGGCAGAGGACGTCGCAGACTTGAGGTTGGAGTCCGACGCACTCCTACGGAGAGCTTTCTGGACCAGAGACTTGCCCCCGGCAAAGGAAGTGGCCACGGCCTCGCCAACCCCGGTCAGGTTGCGCAAAGCCTCCTTGCGAAGGTCGGTGCCACGGGACGAGACGCGGCGACGGACAGCCTGAGCGGCCTCGGTGGCCAGCTGGTCCTCGGCCGAGTCAATTGCTCCGTTGGCGCTGGCCCTGGCTCTGGGAGTCCTCTTCTTCACAGGCGTGTCGTTGCTCCGAGGAGCCAGTGCTTCGAGGGAGCCGTGCAGGACGTTGGTGTGGTGCTTCTCGAGGTACTTGGTGGGTGTGTGGATCGCGGTGCCGGCGAGGATCTGCACGTTGTACGTGACGACCGATTTGCGCGAACTGCGAGACGGCCGGCGGCTCTCGCTGTTGGGCGTGTCGTGCGCGTGAAGCGGCGAGCCCGCCTGCGCGTCGGGCGCTGGGCTGACCGAGGCATCTTCGTACACCTCGGTTGTCTGCTCCAGCTTTGTGATCTCCGACATGACGCTGGCGCCGTCGTCGAGGCTTGTGGGCGGTGTCGAGATGGGCGGCGACGCGCTCGACGTGGCGCGGACGGCGGCGTGATCAGGCGCGTTGGTCGACAGCATAGATGATGTGGACACGGGCGAGCCTTCGCGCTCAGCCATGGTCGTCGGAGCGCTGCCGAGCGAGTCGCGTGGCAAGCGTGTCGTTGCAGGGCAGGGCAGGGCAGTGACGCGCAAAGGAGGTCTCACGGGCGCCGACTAACAGTGCCAGAGTATGCGCGTGGCAGGCACGCAAGCACTTCCGAGACGGGGCAGACGGCTCAATCAGGCCTGCACAAAGGTGCGTGCAGACGCGACCGACATAGCGACAAGGTGCAAGGTTGATTGCGAGTCGAGGGCTGGGAGGAGAAGCGTTCACGGGAGGACCAAAGGGTACACAATATCGAGCTAGTCCGCCAGCCAATTAGGCTACCCAGATACGCCAGTGTCACCACCCACACATTCCGTCTCATTAGCTGAGGAAGTCGAGGACCAGCTGTTTGACAGTGTGCTAGTTCCACCGAGGAATAGCTTTCATTTGCATGCTGCACGGTCTGTCTTCGGCTCTAATGCGTTATCTGAGCAAGGTACATCTGCGAACAACACTGGACACGATCAGGCTGACCAACGACTGCTGGCTTGAAGTAAGTGTCAACTAATTCATTACTACGTATACAAGAGCAGGCTCGGCGCCACCTATGCCGCGTCTGCATCATGCGAGCTTCGAAGTGCTCTGCTAGCCGGCCCTTGAAAGCCGTGGTTGGTGCCAACATCCTGCATTTCCAACCCTCCGCCCTGCTGTTCAGCAGTCAGAGGCGCCGTGCGCTTCCCTTTTCGAGGGCTGAATCTTTGGTCTCCCTCTTCGTACTCCCTCTTGAAGTGCAGGTAGGTTGGTGGGCGTGGACGTTGCAAAACTGCGATCCAGTTTTTGATCAACGAGCCCTGCGTAAAAGGTCTGTGTCGATCTTTCTTCATGAACTTGTGAGAGTTCAGATACTCGCGGGTCGTCTCGCCCCTGCCGACCAGGAACAAATGGTATACGCCAAGGCTGAATGGATATGCCCAGCCCAGCAATCCGTAGGTGGCCATTGCAAACGGAACTCGCCAATGGTTGATCGCTTGACTGAAGGAAGCAGCGTTCCTCGCACGCCAGATCAGGATGTGTGCCAAACTTGCCCCCAGCAAGAAGAGCCCGAGCAGAGTTGTGGCGCAAACAAATACGAAAAAGTAACGATAGTTACGACGGCCTACGCAGTTGTTGAGCCAGACGCAGTGGTGATCCTGCGTTTCAACACAGTTATCGCATATACGGCAGTGATGCGCTCGTGGAGGACGCCAAATGTTACAGCTTTTGCAGTACTTGGTCGGTACTTCCATTGCCGCATTGGTGCCGGTGGCCGAGACGACCATGATCCACTCGGTTGTTGCCGGGCCAAGATTCAGAGGATCTTCATTAGGATTAGTGGGCGCAAAGGGGTGTAGGTTGCGAGGTAAGATCTGATTGTGTCAGCATTGGTCAATGAATGTGCAGTGCAATACTCACTCCGGGATCGGAGGCAGATGCGTGGATGAACGAAGACATGGATATTAAAAACAGATAGGCGAATAGAATGGGTATCGATGGAGAAACGTTAAGCCATAGCCATGGCGCACTGTGAATCAGTTAGCTGGATGGTATGCGGACCAGTGGGAGCGAACGCACGAGAAACCGAAGAAGAGCGCAGCCGGCAATATAATCATGATGGCAGTTGCAATATTCACTGGCCTGTCCCGTGTGTTCTGCAGTCGCCCGCCCCAGCAGAACGCCGTGTTACCGGAGAAGTATTGGTAGTTCTTGCCAAGCTCTCTCTTCACAGCTTGTTTGGTGGACTCTTTCCGGTCGAGTCTGGGAGACGACTCCGCCGAAGTCAACTTCTCATGACCCTGATGCACGCGCATCTGAGCAGAGCGACCGTCCCGACTGGGAAGCATGAAGCTGGAGCGGAAAGAGCGCGGGGACTTTCCCGGGGTGGGAAGGTTGCCGGCATCGGTGTGGTGCGTGTTGGTGAAATTCAAATGCTGAGGTCGAGGGCGCTGGAGCGGCGTGATGCTCTCATCCCGACTGCGCACAGTCTCTGCTCCTGTCGGTGTAGTGTTTGCGGTTGTGCGGTCGGGCATGTCTCGGTCGGTCATGTCAGTTCCGCGTGATGGCGGAGGCTGGTCTATCTCGTGGTGGAGACCGAGGGTAGGCTGGCCGCGCATTGTCTGTGTCGAGCCCACGCTCTGGCGATATGAACTCGCGGTCGAGTCGCGTATGTTCTCGGCATGCAGAGAGCTGTGGCCGAGGAGAGAGGTCGGTCGTTGGTTGCGCTGTTGCTGGAGGCGCTGCGAACTCATGGGTCGAAAGAAGCCGTGGGCGGCCAAAGGAACGTGGGTCCTGCTTGCAGCTGTCGTTGGGCGACTCTGTCCCTGACTGCCTGCGACGCTCATGCCGCCTCCCCGTCGCGGCGCGGCGTGCTGCGACCATCGATTCTGACTGCCGGAGTGCGCAGTCATGATAGAAGATGGGCGTGAGGGAGGCAGCGACGGCTCGCCGACCGGGCCAGTCATGCCCAGCACGCGGCTGCCCGTCGAGCTGCGTTTCTGTTCGGTCGTCGTCATGGGCGGAGCGTGGTGGTGGTCAAGGTCGTGGCTGGACTCTTCATGACATAGATGGGAGAAGGCGCGGTATAGTGGAGGGAAGGTGCGAAGGAGCGACAGGAAGGGAAGGTGCGCAGGGCGGGCGGCTCTGTGGCGCGGTGAGGGCGCGCGTTGGCAGCAGCAGGCGCTGCAGAAAGGTTGTGATTGCAAAGGGGCCGGTGATTCATGCTCGCACTGTCCACGGCCTGCTGTCAGGTCGCTGCAAGGTCCGGGCCCGCTAGGCTGCTTATGGCTGCACGCAGCTTGGCTCGAACCACTGTGCCCAGCTTTGTCGTCAGTCCCGCCAGTCCACCACGCATTCTCTCCGCAACCCCCGTCGACGCCCACCCACACCGAAGCAGTCATGTCCTCCCTCGCCGCCCGCTCGGCCTTCCGCGCTGCCCCTCGTCTTCGCGCCGCCGCCCCCGCCCGCCGCTGGGCCAGCAACACCGCGGCCTCTGACTCCGGACACGCCGAGAGGCAGGCCGGCAAGGACGCCCTTAAGGCCGGAGCGAAGCGCGACCCCGAGCTCTACGTACGCGGCGAGCACCTGCTATGTTGGGACATGCAATTGGAGGCTAATTGAGGTGTGCAGGTGCTCCTGGCCATCATGAGCGGTGTCTTCGGACTCGCAGGCTGGCACTTCTGTAAGCTTCCTAGATAGTCGCGCGACGCACGACCAGGCAATCTTATGCTGAACTTGCGCAGCCCGCTCTCCCACCAGCGCCTCGTCCGAGCGCACCGTTTCCAAGGCCGAGCACAGCGAGCCCTGGAAGTCTGGCGGCTCCAGCCCATACCAGTACCACCCCGGCGGTGATACCAGCATTAAGAAGGACGCCCCTTCAGCCCTCAATGTGGTCGTAATTCCCAACGTGACGCTCCCCAAGGTATGCCAGCTCTTCGTAGTCGTGATGGCTACACCCGTGCGGGCATTGGCTAACGACTTGCCTACAGGAGCTCCACGACACATACAACAAGTGGGGTAAGGACGGCTACTAGGCTGCTGTGATTTAGCTGATGCCCAATTTTCCTACAATTGCTTGAGGAGAGCAGACGCCCTTGCCTGGACACCTTTTCGTTTAGAAGTCAACTGTACATAAATCATGTAGCAGGAATCGAACATCACAACTAGTCTTACGTCGACCTTGCAACGCCGACGAGCACTGAATGTGGCATCAACGTCATACTATTCTCCACAATGATATATCTCACGTTCTCAGAAATGTATGGCTGGAATCGAGTGTGAAAATGCCAAGGGCATTTAAATCTATGGGTATCTTATACTTTTTTTTGGTCTGGTCTTACCGCCGAGAGCGTTCTCAAACGCCATTGGCAGCAGGTAACCGTTTGCGGATTTCGGCTACCATATCTTTCCTGTCAACGAGCACACCGTCCTTCTCTGGGTTGCTCTCGTCGGTGATACCCATGACCTTGATCTTGACCTTGCCCGCCTTCAGTTCCTCCTCACCCAAGATGACAGCGAGCGGTACACCAGCCGACTCCGCTTGCTTGAACTGTTGTGGCAGCTTTGGCTTGAGCTTGTACGAGAACTCCGTCTTGATGTCAGAAGCCCACAACTCTTGGGCAACTTGCATGCGTTCTGTCAACATGCCTGTGAAGCCCTTGCCACCGAACGCCATGACAAAGGCGTCGACGTCTTTTGCGCGCTGCGTAGATTCGCCGCGGGCTTTCAGAATGCTTATGATGCGGTCGATCCCGAAGGAGATACCCACGCACGGAATCGGCTTGCCGCTAAACATGCCTACTAGATTGTCGTAGCGACCTCCCGCGGCAACACTTCCGACGCCGACCTCCTGTTGTTTGCCCTTGATCTGGGGAGCGGAGCCCTCAGTGACGACCTCGTAGATCAAACCAGTGTAGTAGTCGAGACCACGAGCGAGTGACAAGTCGAACGAGACGTGGCTCCGTGCGTCGAAAGCGTCCAGATAGGCGAATAGCAGTTCCATGTCCTGAATGCCCTTCTTCACATCCTCGTTCTGCGAGAGCACAGGATCTGACTTGAGGAACTCAATGATGTCATCTCCCCCCTTACGTTGCACCCATTCGCCGATCTGATCTGCGATTTCTGCGGACAGGCCTTTGGTCTGCATCTCCTGCTTCACTTCCGCCCAAGGTAACTGAACGAAGTTAGTAACTCAGATCGCGCGTTGCTCTGCCCCTCGCTGCGAATCTCACCTTGTCCAGCTTGTCCACGGCGGAACTGATTGGCCGTATTAGGTCTTCCTTCACGCCAGCGGCTTTGAACATGCCGTCCAGGATTTTGCGGTGGTTCATCTTGATGGTGTATGCTTCCCATCCAAGAGCCTTGAAGACATCGTTGACAATCTTGAGGACTTCGGCATCAGGAATCATGGCATCGTACGCGCCAGCGATGTCGAAATCGCATTGGTAGAACTCCCTCATGCGGCCCTTTGTCATAGCAGGTTGGTCGCGACGGTAAACCTTGGCAATCTGGTAGCGCTTGAAGCTTTGAACGCTGGGGTTCATAGCAAGCCATCGTGCGAGCGGGACTGTCAAGTCGTAGCGCAGCGAACATAGCTCTCCTCCCTGGTCTTGTAGGTCGTAGATGAGCTTCGAGTCCTCTCCGTACTTGCCGCTGAGGATTTCCTTCAGCTCGAAGACAGGTGTGTCGAGGGTCGTGGCGCCGTGGCGCTTGAAGACGGTGGTCACGGTCTCGAAGAGACGATCGCGTAGAGCGGCATCTTCGCCAGTCCCTGGTAGTGTTAGCAACTCGACCTGTTTGAATCATGTAGAGCGAAAGCTTGAGTGCAGCGTACAGTCTCGTGTGCCCTTTGGCACCTTCAGGTTGAAATTCTTGGATTTGTCGTCTTTGCCCATGTCGTCATGAATTGCGCCAATCGAAGATTGAATGCTGTATACACGGCGGGGCTGGGATAGGCGGGCTGGCGCTGCAAGGCGAGTTAATTTATAACGGACAACTGTGTGTCGCGGGATGGTTTGGAGGAGCGCGGGGCAGGCGAAGTGGGGTGGAAAGAGCCGCATGAGCAAGAAGTGACTCAACAGGGCAAGGGCAAGCGCGTAAGAGCATAGGAAAGTTGGAGAACCAAGTCGCGTGGAATCTGGCCCGTGCGTTTGATATGTGAACCATGAGTGACTGCATTGCGCGCTGGGATTACGTTTATTGACTCAGTAAGGTATGTAGAATGCTGATACTCGTCAAGAAATTTCTACGGAGGGAAGGCCAAGAGACAGTCATCCGTAGATACCTACCACGGCTTTCGGAATCTAAGCAGGTCTCTCTGCCCGTAGCACTCCGCAACCACTGTCAGGATCATGTCAATCGTTGCCCGTGTGTTCAAGTCGGAGTCATCTAGGTTGTTGTCTGATCCAACAGAATGCGAGGCAGAAGATAGTCCCGTGCCCGTAAGCTGTTCTTCCTTCAAGCTTGCGGTAGCTGAGTTCGTCGCACGCATCAATTGTCGCTGCCTCTCAGCTTCCGCCCGGGATGGTATTACGCGGATCTTCGTTTCGTGCTGTAACTCATCCAAACCTGGATCAGGCCGTGCGGAATGATGTGGATGAGTGTCACCTGTATAAGGAGTTGGTGCTGGTATGCCGGCTTGCACCAAGTTGTCGCCAAGCTGTGCAAGCAAACGCGCACGCGCACGCTCGAGAGTGTCATCGTTCGTGTCAGTGTTAGTGCCCTCCTTGCTATCGATCAAGACCTCTGAAGTGCCTGAGCTGGAGATACAAGAGAGAAGGTCGCGCTGAGTTTTTGACACATCCTCGTTGTGCTTCTTATGCGCCTCTGAGTGTAGGTCTTCACTGACACAAGATTGTACGTACCCCGCTTCCGAATTGCAATCATCTACACCGGCATCGCAGCAGGCTGCTTCGGGTTCGTCACTCTGCTCTACGCATGCTGGGTCTGTATTGAGGGGTCCGCACCGAGACTCCTTCGTCTGACGTGCGAAACTCGAGCGCAGACCGACACTCATCTCGCCAGCTTTGGTCCCGATGTCTCTGATATGACTCATCTTTTGAGAGTCCAGCGTCCCAACATCACCAGATAGTGCCAGCAAAGTCCAGATCCAGCAACTCTTCTGACTAGAGATCGTCTCGAATCGATCCATTGCATGAGCACAATATTGGAGACCTTGTCTGACGTTCACTTCATCCAATTGACGTATCTGGCTCTGTATTGGATACTCTCGGTCGATTGTATAGAGCCACTCATGTCGATTCGACGGCGGTTTAACATACGAGGATCGATTCGAGTCAGCATCTTGCTGGGGTGTTTTACCAGCCCCGTGTTGACTCAGGGTATGGCGAAGAGTCTTAAAGCGCCTCACGAGCTGCTTATAGTATATATCCTTTGGATCCGGATCGTGAGATGCATAGTCGTCACCGTACGCGGCATCGTAGCCTTCTTCGACCGTAATCCACGCGCCGTCCCGGTAGAAGGTACGATGACCAGTGAAAGCTGTCGGTGCTTGCGAGTGTTCGGTGTTCGTCTCCTCATCAAGTTCGTTCGCGGCGACTAGTAGATGCGGGATCGCGGATGCTTCTGACCTGCTCATGAAGAAGCAATTAGCTCTCGCGAACCACAAGAGACTGTGTTGGAAGTCATCCAAATGGCCCAAATGGCTAGTTACTTACCTTACGCCACGGAGATATGCCAATGCATCTCCCATAGAATCATCGGAGTACAGTGCATCTTCTTCGTCGATTGGCAAAGTTGTGCGCATGCCACATTCTGCAATCGGGCCACCGCCCCGATATTGGTTCCTGTCGTCTGACGACTGGAACGATTTCACCGTCAATCCTACATGCTGCGTTTTCGCGCGCTTGTTGCCTGAGAACGGCCCTGCCACAGGCGTGTCCAAAGCTCCTCGCTCGCGCTTGCGCTCGACTGTCTGCTCTGGACCTGCTGGTTGATCGAGGAAATCGTTCGGTCGTTGCAACTTGTTATATATCTCGCCGTCCTTCGTTACAGCTAGGTTAGTACGAGGTCCCGCCATGCTGCGGAGTGTCGGTGGGTCGCGGGATGTTGATGCGCAAAGGTAACCGCGACATGTGCGCCAGGGCGAGGGTCCACGCTAATCAGAGCAATTCTGGCATCAAAATAGTTCATGCGAAACCATAACACCATAAATTTCGCAGTGCGACTAGGAGATATCAAATACAAGGCCATTGATGTTGCGATTTCGTAGTGTTTACAGTGTCACTTGTTTGCGCCTCCCCAATCCTCCCGCTCATTGTCCCTTCTTCTCGGTATTTTCCTTGACCGGCTGGTAAGGGTATTTGATCGTCAAACACCAGATATCAAGGTAGTCGCAGATAGTCCAGATGACGTCGACGATGAAGCTTCCGTGTACTCCTACAGCTAGGCCAAGACACATGAAGATAAAAGCGACTTGGTAAACACCGTCGCCCAGAGCACTGGGCCAACCCACGCCAATGTGTTCTTGCAGCCAAGGACCCAAAGAGTCGATAACGCCGTAGATCAACGGATAAACTAGTACGTTGCCGCGAGGGAATCGAGACTTCGTCAGATGCGAGATGATCATGCGGCCGACGGAGTAAGCGTTGATGAGACCAGCGTAGAAGATGAAAGGCACCAAGTGATGGTGCAGGATGGCAGGCTGCAGGAAGAGGTAGACAGCAATGAGAACCCAAGCTGCGGCGAATGTGAGAAGCCCTAGAAGTGCCACTCGAGTTTGCTGGCCTCGAGCGCGACGAGCTTTCATCACGTTTTGCGCACTGCGATACGTAAGCGACACCCCTTGCAAGACTTATCAAACGTTCCACGACGTACCTAGAAACAACGTTGAAGACCAGCACTACGCTTCCATAGACCATATACCATTCATTCCACGCCAGATTGTAGACAAAGTCCGGAATGAGATCGTGATTCTGCAGGCCTACGCTCTCGAACATAGAGCGCTGCCAGAAGCTGCCTCCGCCGAGGAACGCAGTGGATGCGTACACGATGCATAGAGTGAGAATGCCCTCAACTGGGCCGGAGATCACTCCAAGGGTAAGAGTGTGGGTGTGATACTCATCCCACGTCTGAACGTAGAATGTCAATGACGCTACAATTGTTAGCATTTACATAACGCCCCCAGTGCGCATAACCATTGCAATACTAACAAGCGAAGAGGGTGAGGACTGTCTTCCAGCCCTGCCCAAGGTTCATCGTGGCGGAAAAGAGCAGAACCTCTAGAGTGGTGTTGATCGCGTCAACACCGTGGTCGAACAACTCTCCGAGAGGACCGCTCTGATGGGTCCTTCGGGCCTGGCTTCCATCGACGGCGTCAAATGTTTGGTAGAGGAACAGACCGATTGCCCAGCTGAGGTACACCCATGAAGGACAATCTTGATCCAGGGTAGGTGTGTACCACAGCAGAGTGAGAAAGTTGACAATCACAAAGCCGAATCCAGAAAGTGTAATCTGATCGAAGCTGGTCAGAAAGCGACTTGACTACTGACATAACAAGCCGACAATCCGACCTTGCCAGCATGCTGGATACAGGAGAGACTCACAAGGTTAGGTCTATGAACGTCAGCTTTGTTTCATCACCGGGTAGGAGGACTTACGCCATCCACATCGGAAAACATTTGATGACAACGTGTGTGTAGAATGGCTTGAGGACATATTGCGAGAGTAGACTGTGATCTACACCAGAATATTTATACTCTTTGAGCTTGGGCAGCTTGTCCTGACGGATGTAGACCATAGCTGTAAGATCCGTGACGAGCGCGACAAGTGCGACGAGATGCTACGATCTTTGTTGTTGTTGTTCGTGTTCTGTGTCAATGAAAATCACGAAGTCGCGAAACGGAGGGTCTTGGCTTGTGATTGCGGCAATGACGTGGGTCACCAAGGGCGGGGGCCTAAGCACAGAACCTTGGAAACGACAAAAGTAGCGGGCAGCCGTCAACATCGTGGCAACACGGTGAACCAGCTCAAATTGGGTAAAGTGCAGAATGCTGCATAGCGTCATGTGCTTGTGCTTAGGTGCTACATTGTTTACAATTTACAATGATCGCCAATAATCATCGTTTGAGACCTTTCTATCTCAGTCTGCACCCGTCTCCTCATCGATCTGCACTGACTGCAGCAAGACTCAATCACTATGATCAGATACTAGGCCACTGAGCGCGTCTGCTGGGAGATGAACATTATGCGACAGTGCTCCAGTCGCAGGGGACCAAGATCCGGCTCTTCATAGTCTGGATGAGAGGGACTGTCTTGTGCACAGTCTCACCCCATCCCTCAACATTCCAGCTTTGCTCGCGGCGCACCTTACGCTCCTCCAGATTAGCGAACTGCCACAGATGGTGCACCGTATTCAGTTCACCGATTTGGCAGAACCAGGCGCCGACGCCTTCCATGACTTCCCTGCGTGCCTTCAAGCCGCGCCTCCAGTGCGTCTCCCACTCGAGCAGATTACCCGGGTGGAGTGTGTAAGAGCGCAATTCAAAGATACCGCCGAGTTGGCGCGGGGAGGTTGTAGGCCAGAAGGAAAACTCTTGCATCAGCGAAGTGTGCTTCGATCGAATAAGGCTCCTCAGCTTCGCATCAAAGGCACCAAACTCTGGGTGCGATTGGATATTGTGTAATGCTTGGTGGTAGCCTTCGTAGCGTTGATATTCCCAGATGTGGACTGTGGATTACTGTTAGTACTGCGCGTATACGACCGAATTGTACACGGTGTACTCACCAAATGTGTTGCAGTCGCCCACCTCAGTCCTCCAGCTACCCACGAGGTGCACCTTGTTCTTGGGAATGGCGGCCATCTTCGGGTACCAGTTACCGACGAGCTCGTAGTACTCTTCGACCTTGTCTGGCTTGACATCGTGGAACACGATCGAGTGCACGTACTTCCCGCGTGCGAGAACCTGCGAGAAGCTGCGCTCAATATCCTTGTCGAGCTCTCGACCTTCGGGAGTTCCGTATATGAGTGATGATAGGGGGCCACTCTTCTTCTTTCCGCTCTCCTGCTCATGAGCGCGAGCTTCTTCTGTTTGACCGTATTAGCATCTCCAGAACCCGCGAATAGCAGTAGCGTTTTAAGCAGGTCAAATTCCTGACGCCAACATACTGTCGGATTTGAACCCACTTTCTTGCAGCTCCTTCTGCTTCTGAGCGGCGACTAGGCTATCACGAAACTCCTTCTGCTTTCTGTTGAAGCTCGCAGCGGCATCAGGTATGATATCAGCTAATACCGGTGCTCGAGCTGAGCTCTGCATGATGGAGCCAGCTGCGAAAGACCGCGTGGAGACAGTCGCTGAGCGGGAGGTGGGCAACATGCCGCGTCCGTTGCTGCAGGCACGTCGCGTGAACATTGTGAAAGAGGCCCGCTAGTAAAAAGATAGTATTGTAGAGGAATTTCGAGGGAGTGCCTGGGAAGCTTCAAGCTCGTCGTGTGAGAGTGATGCGAATTGGTGAAGAAAGGTGGAGGATTGGGCGTGTTGTACTGGGGAGCTTCCCCTCATCATCCGTCCGTGCTGCAGCTTGCCCCTGCTAGCGCACGCCTAATCTGCCTGCCGTAGGTATCTTACACTGAACAGCTCGGGCCAAAAACCGGGGAAGACCCACTTCGCCCACACTATTATACAAACATCAAGGCGTACTTTACAGGCTCTTACTGCCGGTCTGAAGATCATCTATCTATGATTTCGTCTGCAGCCAGGACGACACCCAGATCACCAATTCAGACATTTCCTCAACCACCGCTTAGCAGATACTCAAATCTCGTAAGGAGTGAATTATAGAGGTGTGTGAGCTATAGCGTTCGATATATATGGACTGAGACGACTTGATCTTAGACTGGAGGGTTGATTTGCCCTCAATTATGTTCGGACAGCTTCACAATTGTGCTGTGGTCTAAAATATGAGCATGGGCTGATCCGTGAGATTTACACACACAGATTAGGCTGGCAACCATCAATGCGAAGCGTACTACTTGAGCCGCGTACCCTAACTGATGCTCTCTCGATCACAAAGTGATAGCAAGCTGACTCTTACGACCAAGAAGCTGTCTAAAGTAGACAGAACAGGGGGTAAAAATGCCCATCTCTTACCTGATTGGTCTCGGTAAGGAGTCTCGCCGTCGCAACCAACGCAGCTTGATGCCCAGTCTGCTTTACGTGAAGCGATTCTTGATAAGACGGTGAGCGCACAGCATTCATTAAGCGAGTACGGTCCGATGCTGGCAGAGCGGGAGAATCGTACATGCTAAGTCCTTTTTAATTGTAGATCCATGATGAACTTTGATGTACGACCTAGCGTGGTGTATCCCAGGCACCATACCAGCATCTAATGAAAGGTCTGATTTGCGAGCATGAGAATTAGCTGAGATACGAGGGTTTGATTTGAGTGCCACAATGTAGCCCAGTCGACGATCTAATCTTCGTCGAATATTTGCAACACATTGTCCAGAATAGTTATTATGACGCGAGCTTGAAGCCCGGCGTCTGCCATGTTATTGCCTTTGTGGGGACCCATGATTGACGGCCTGCGAAGAGTTAGAACAGGTTCACCTTCCATAGATCTTGTACGTACGCCCAACAGATGCCAAGATTAGCTGTGCTCATGCGATTGATCTCCGAAGACTGCTGCACTCGGTGCAAGTGCAGGACGAGAGCGCGAAGGGTCGCATAATTAGGATCCGGGAGTGCATTAATGAGCGCATGCATTGAGTCTCGGCGCATGGTATCGTCATCGACTCGCGCAGCATCGATGTATTTGTTGTAGAACTCTCTGGTAAGAAGTGGGTCGGGGAGTTCCCGGAAGAACTGCTTCAACAGACCGGCAACGCTATTGACGTCGTGTTGGAATGCTTCAGGGTTCCGGAAGTCAACTTGAGATGCGTCTGGACAAAGTCAGTCTTGGCACAGCGAATGGTTGCAATCAACGGACCGCTATCAAACAACGCCTTCATTTGTTGGATATGAGAGGACGTTCCAGGTATTCGGTAAATGCCCTCAACCTCCAATCCGAAAAGATCGACCGCTTGAATACATTGGTATACTACCATAGGCACTGGTGATCCATCCCGATGAAAGAGGTCCTCGAGAGTGATACCGAAGACCGGGTTGATCGGTGGCTGAGGGTTATTGTACAGTATGCCACTCGTCTGCTGCGCTGTTGCCTGTCCGACAGGCCCGCGTGGATATTCGGGCTGTGAGAACGAGTTTGCTGCAACTGGAGAGTAGGGAGACTTCCCGTACGAAGGAGCTTGGGCCTGCACCGACTGAGTTGGTGCCTGGTACGCGGAGTAACCGGCTTGGGGGTCTGAATCGAGGTGCTGAGGCTGTTGCTGCTGCTGCTGGAACGAAGAACCATTTGCCTCTAGTTGCTGGGGTGGGAATGAAACTGGCGGCTGAATCTGTGGAGGTACCGACGTTCGACGATCATTATTGGTCGGAGTCATGGAAGGATAGGTCTGTGCAGGTGCTTGTGTGGGATGCTTGACGTAACTCAGCTCTGGCCTGACTGTGGAGGCCTTAAAACCATTCTTCAAAATGTAGTCTTCAAAGTCTTTGTCATTGTCAATCTGGTAAATGAGTTGATTGACACTTGGTTGAGGTTGTGCTGTGCTGCCCTTGAGCGGTTGTGGGCTAACGACCTGGCCATTGTTGACGACCAGCTTCTCGTTGAATGACGCTGCAGAGATTAGTATCACAGACAGAGCCGTAGCTTTACCCTGAACGTACCATATTTCTGCATCTCCATAGTCAGCGCCGCATCTGTCTCTTTGATAAGGTCCAGTAGGCCGGAGACGGCCTGTGGGCGCGCTGACGCCAACAGCTCCTTGCGGTAAGCTTGTGCTGTCTGGACTTTGCTTGCGTAGTCCTGATCGGCGGCTTGTAGCTTTCGTTGGAGATCTTCCTCGTGCTGAGCTGCCGACTTGGGACCTTTCAGCCCAAACTTTCTGCCAGCACCCGTATCACCCGTTTTGACGCGATCGAGGTCTTCAGCTAGCTGGTCGTACTTCGCCTTAGCTTTCTCAGCAAGCTTCTCGGCATCCTGGACTTTGCTCTCGGCCGCAAGACCGGTTTGCTTCAGCGACTTGCGGTTTGCGTCCATCCTGTTCGCCAATTGCAGAAGGTTCTCGTGCATGGCATGCAGGGCAAGCCCAAATTGGGTGCCATGGTCGGCGATGCGCTCGTTCGCGTGGAGGACTTGCTCGAATTGGGTTGCGTACGACTCGTGGCGGGTATCAGCTTTGCGTAAGCCGTCCAAGGTCAGCCGGGAGAGCTTCTTCAGGCTGCCAGCATGTTCCTCTTCAAGGGCCCCGCGGCGCTTGAGAAAGCTGGCGAAGTCCTGCGCATCGTGTGTCAGTCAGATCGCCCCAGATGCGGGGAAGGTGCACGAACTCGGGCGCTCGCGATGCTGGCTTTCAGTCGATTCAAAAGCGTTGTAACACCAATATCTGAGTGCAGAACTTCTTGCACGCGTTGTTGTGTTTGCGTGTCTTGAGGCGGCGCGCGCTGTTCGGGCGACGCAGGTGCGACTGCATCGTCGATGGGCGAAGCGGGCGCGGCGTCATCGTTCGGAGCGGCAGGAGTGTTAAAGTCGGGACTCAAGCTGTCGCTGCTAACCATGGGCGGTATGGACGGCGGCGCAGCCATTGTGTTGGTGTCGTTGACGTGGATGACGGCGCAGCTGTCAGCGGAGGACATGGCTAGCCGGTTGGCTGTCGCACTCGGCGCCTCTTGTCGGCCACGATTGCATCACTAATGCTTCCTTCTTTCAACGTCATGCGCTCAATTCATTAGTAGGTTCACGCCTTCGCAAACCGCCTTTGCAAGTGGCCCAGGGACTCGTATCTTTACATTGGCCAACTTCGCACGCTTCATACCTCGAACATTCAGCTCTTTGACTATTCGGTACTGCTCGCACATCATGGCAGCGGCTGCTTCACCTCCGCCAGCCAGTTCCAATAGGCTGCCAGACGAGGTGGTAACCTGTCTTCAGAATGCGCGATTTGTAAGTCCACGCGTCTCATCCCCTCTCTCCCGGGTTTCTCTGTGTTTTTATCTGTTGCGCGCGTCATTCCCTATCAAACTTTCTCCTGTCATAGGCAAGTCCTAACCCTGATTGCTCTTGCTTCTGCAAGACATGCTCGACAACGCTTGTCGACTCTCTTGCGCTTGCGCCTCTTATTTTCGAGACTTGCTTTCCCTGACAACGGCAGCTTCATCTTGCAACTTGTTCGAACAACATTCCTCACGTTTCCTTGATGAATTATACCTATCTTCCAAACACGCCGTACTCGTCAGGACCGATCATCATCATGACAACGCCCTCTTCTTCTCGTAAAACCGATAATCTGGAATCCAACACCCGTGTGTCGCTTCTGGTACATGACTGGATTTCTCATCGACCGCCTACCCTTAGCCAACAAGGTCGCTCGCCATCGCCTTCCCAGCCAGGTCCACGTTCCGGCTCGTTGGCCGAGCTTTTACTCGGAATGAACACAGCGTCACTCAGCAGAATCAGCACCACGATCAATGGTGTAGCCGAGATCATTTCCGCTGGTTCTGAACAAGAGAGCTGGTACAGGGCGCAGCACCTTGCGAACAACACATTTGGACCTCCCGATGAGGATACATACTCCAGCTCTCCGGTTGGCGGTGGCCTGTGGGGCGGAGGTGGTATAGCTCGCACCCATGAATACGGGAGCGACACAAGAGAGGGCGATGGCGGCACTCGATGCTATGTAGAGGGTGACGAGGTTAAAGTCGTGGTCGTGAAGATTCAAGACGGAAGAATCGCAGATTGGAAGGGCCAGGTCAGGGATTGGGCTCTCCGAGACATAGACGGGACACCTACAATCAATGGCTCGATGCCTTGAACGCATCAGTTGCGCAGTCCGCCAGTATGCACGTCACACCAGCCGAGACGTAGCGACCTAAGGCGAACAATTGCGAGTCATGATATTACATGGGTATACTGCACGGAACTTGGAGGAAAAAATCGTTCGTTTCTTCCTCTCTATCGTCCAGGCAAGAAGTTGAGTGAGCAATGTGTTCGCTAACAGCGTTTGCTGAGTTTCCATTTTGCGTAGACTAGCCGTTTTGCCGTTATGCAAGGGGCACTCGAATCGGCGCAGGCCTACCTTGTAATTTATTCTATTGCGTCGGTTCAGGAAGGATTCGCATCAAGCCCTTTCTGGTATACGGCGGTGTGCTATCTGCCTTTGTCTCCGTCTGCCACCAAAAAAAGGTGAGATCCTTCCTTCACTTGCCTTGCGGTTCCTGGACTGTTATTGGCCTTGTTCATCTTTCACCTCTGTAGTCGGCTTTGACAGGAAATGCAAGATACTCAAAGTCAGGCTACCAAGCTACTGTACATCCACTTCAACTTCCCGTACGCTTCTGCCGCGACACTTAGCAACATCAACAGCTAGAACCTTTTAGATCGTGATCGATGGGAAAGAGCCAGGATATGAAGCTGAACAGCTGAGCGTCATAATTCACGTGGTATGTAAATTCCGAGAATCCAGAACTTGTACTGAAGTTGGCAGGAGCGAATGTTACTTCGCAACTCAGCCTGTTCATTTGGTCCTACAGCGTGGATGAACGTGGATGAACGTGGACTAATAGTACTCTGCAGTGACCGTCCTTATTCCAGTCACAACATCTTGCATGCATTGCGTCGAAGCTGCCTCATGAGCCGGTTGGTCGCCTCGCAAGCTACAATTGACTTAGTAGGTGAAGGCAAGCCAAATTGACCCAAGCTGGTACGTAAGAACGCTCTAGAGTATGCGGTGAATGTACTGATCAACGGTGAATGCGCAGGCTTTCTATTCGACTTGGCTTGGCATTGACCACAAAAGTCTCTCCATTGTCGCCTATACTTGTGACTCTTTCACCAACTTCTCACCGCGAACAAATCTCCACTTTGTAAAAGTCCCACCTCGTTTTGCTCTGAAGCGCCCAGTTCAATCACCTGCGACGATGACTACCGAAGTATACCTCTCACCATCATCCACCAGAGAGCTCTCTCCTACCACCACCGCAGACCATGACGCCATGGCGCTGTTTCAGAGCGCGCTGGGTGCGTGCGTGCACAGCTGGAATAATGGCGACAGTATCGTCCTTCTTCAGAGCAACATCCAGGAGCTGTTCGGCGATATGCTGATGCAATATTTCAAGCAAAGTCTGACGCAGCAAGTGGGTCAACCTCTCGCATTCACATTCGCCCCCAATAGCAACGGTGGTCAAACGATCGTTCAAATGCCAGAGAATAAGACCGCGCCCGTTCACCGTCAGATAAACGCCAAAATTCAGAACCACCCCGCTCAGCCGGTGTCTGCTGAGTCGCGCAAGATATCAGCTGGTGTCAAGAAGGCACCTCGTCCCATGAACTGCTGGATCATCTTTCGGGACGCGATGCACAAGAACTTGAAGACAGAGAACCCGCACCTCACAGTGCAGCAGATCTGTAAGCCTTCTACTATCATCATCATTTTGAATAAGTTTCACTGATTCTCTCACAGCAACTCGTTGCGCAGAAATGTGGCGAAGTCTTTCTCCTGTGGAGAAGAAGCCGTGGCAGGCAGCAGCCGAGTCAGCGAAAAAGGAGCATCTGCGCGCGCACCCAGACTACAAGTACAGTCCTCGCAAGCCTGGTGAGAAGAAGAAGCGACAGTCTCGCAAATCCAAGCAGGCTTCCACCTTTGCTGCGGATGCCAGCCTTCTGGATTTCTCGCCCATCCCAGATCTGACAGCACTTGCACACAATGACCTTGAAGCGACCGCTATCGTTCGGCCCCCAACGTCTTCAGGCTACGAGAGTTCGATCGATTTTGGCACCACATACGCTGCTGACGTGGCGCAACTGATGGAGCCGGCAACACTGTGGGATATGGATATGGAAGCTTTGGTCGCTGTCGAATACTTGCATGAGTCCGAGAGTCTCCGTCACGATCGACTTGAAGCTGAGTTTGGCGCTGACCTCGAGAGCACTATTCCATTCGATCTGTTTGGCGAGGAAGCTTTTGCCTTTCGCGCCGGCGCAGATGGTAATGCCACACTGCCATCGATCTACTCCGATCTCTAGAACAACACATTTGGACCTGCGGATGAGGACGCCTATTCAAGTTCACCTGGTGATGGCGGGTTGTGGAGAGGGGGCGGTCTTACACGTATAGCGTCTCATGAGGGAGATACCTGCGAAGGTGATGGCGGCACACGATGTTATGTCGAGGGGGACGAGGTCAAGGTCGTAGTCGTTAAGATCAAGGAAGGACGAATTGCCGACTGGAAACGTCAAGTGTGGGATTGGGCAGTTCACAGCAGCGCTGTTGCTGCACCGGTGAATGGTACGTAGATTGCCAACATACCTCGCGCAATCTCCAGACAACAGACTTCGTGCGCTCGCGACGAAGTCTGCAGAGCCCAGTGCTCAAGCATTTTGATAATCCAAGCCGTACAGAACTGTCTGGAAGGGCTTTGAAAATACCACTGTCTGAATCAGGAGAATTAGTTCTACTGCTGTGCTGGTTGTAAGAGGTGGAGCTGGATTTCAGCCTGGTCCGGGACCACCAGCTGCGACTGTTTGCCTGGGTGCTTAAAACATCCCTGCGACCAATCAAATTTGCTGTATCCGACCGAATTTTCGTGCAAGGAGCGCGGCTCCATGTGAGCTACCTTCATGAGTAAGGCTGGGTCCGCGTCCGCGGTGAGTTCGACGATGAATGCACTGACCAACGGTGAATGCACTGACCAACGGTGAATGCACTGACCAACGGTGAATGCACTGACTTTCTCGCCTACTCCCCCTGCCCCCGCTAATTACTAGACCCACATGCCCATCGTTTGTTCTCTACTCAGACACTTACTCACATATTCTCATCCACCTTTTTCCCAGCTTGACTTTCGACCGGTCGCCATTCGTGCGCTCACGATCAGATCAACACACATCGACACGACGCACCTGTTTTGACCTCGCTTCACAATGCCATCAAAGATTCAGACCTACCCAATGGTGGTCTTGAGAGACCCGACTTCTGCAGAGATCGCGTACTTCCTCTCCACTCGCAGTGGCGACCAGATGGTGCAGCTGGTGCAGTCTATCAGAGAGCCTGCCGCTCAGGCCACACTTACAGCCTCACTTCTTGCTATACCGCCTGCAGTTATCACGAAGAGTGCACTCCCAGAGAAGACCAGAAAAGCTCTGAATGCTTTCGTTGGATTTCGATGTAAGTCTCACTTTCACTTCAGTCATACAACAGCTAATAAGACTCAGGCTACTACATCCTCATCCCTATTTTCAAGCCATGGCCCATGAAGAAGCTGTCCAACCCCATGGGAATCATGTGGGAGGCAGACCCCAACAAGCCTTTGTGGTCCTTGACTACGAAAGCTTGGTCTGTCATCCGTGACCAGATTGGTAAAGACAAGGCTCCACTCGACCAATTCTTCCGCATCATATGTCCTTACCTCAACATCCCTTCACCAGAGACTTATCTTGACTGTTGCGGTTGGAAATTCAACACTGACGATGAGGGCAGTCCAACTCTCTCAAGGGAGTTCATCCCATCACCAGGTGCTATGAGTGCTGGAATAGCAGACACGGCACTGTCAGTGGAAGACATCATCAACTACTGCCAGAGCATGGGATATGCCCAAGAGTATGTATCAGACACTGAATCTAACTCCCCAACATACCTCAGTCAGTCACGCAACCAACTTGCTGGCAAGAGTACTTCTTCCACCCACGAGAGCCGTCTAGTAGCACGCAACAAGCGACGTGCAAAGCGACAGACCGCCAGGGATGTTAGCATTGCTCCAGTACTACAGCAGCAGATTGTTGAGGCACACATGGCTGATAACCTGAATGCCACTTACGAGGGCGACTCACTCTTCGGTCACAGCGAGCCGGTGCAGTTCTACGGTGATCTTGCAGATCTGTTGACCAATCACTTGGGACAGGATCAACAGGCCATTTCTGGCGACTGTACTAGCTCCCTCACCACCACTATAGATCCCATCATGGCAGGTTGGACAGATTGGGGTGCGTTTCGGCTCGGCGCAGACGAAAATGCAACGCTCCCCAGCCTCGACTCTGTCCCGATTTGATCGTGTCCTACAATGTCCTACCAACAACTGGCAGACATTGACTCGCCGTGCCATCGTTTATCTCTTCATGACGCACTCTTCCATAATTCGTCTACGAACCTCTGGCGCCTGCTGGTCTCTATCTCGAAGATTCTACATCCTCTATTCTCTGCAATTGATACCCCTGGCTGGTATACTCGCTCAGTATGCCCATCAACACTTATTGTACCCTTAGCTACATCGTAGCCTTCACGACTATATAGTAACGCCATAACGACCACGCCACGATCACACCACCAAACCGCCCTGCTCTCTCTCGTTCGCCCACCAAATGACATCCCAGGAGCGCTCTCTTCCACGGCGCAGACTTAGCCAGATCCACCAGAGCCTAGAGCTCCCCTTCACGATCCGCACACCGAAGTGCGGAATGCAGAACCTCACTTCGACACACTGAAGTTTGGTCACGGTGGCACATTGGCATTGCATACTTGTACTTAGACCTAGATCTTGATGAACACTTCAAAGATCACTCAGACCGTGTGTGCTGTGACTACCTGCTATGCACTCACACTATTCATTGCCATGCTGATGCAGCTAATCAGGCATAGACGACCGCTCACTGGAAGGTAGGTTCTATGGATCCCTGCAAACCCACGGTGCTGTGCTCGCGAGGCCTCGATTAATCGGACTGGACATGAACACATGAACGTATGAGGGCACACAATAAGACAGGAAACTTTCGCATCAGCTCGTGAGACCCATCATTATCTTTGCTATACGCATCGTACCGGCTCAGAACCCCTGTGACATGAACGCTCTCCTCCGTACCTGCTCCCGTCAGACAAGCAGCTGCGCGTCGCTAGACCCTCCTGGCTCCAATCACACAGGATCCCACCCCACCTCGTGCCCCATCGCCAACATTCCTGCATCGTTCCTACCTTGTCTTATCGGCTCTGGATCTTCCGCGGCGTGATCCCTGCATCAGGATTCCTACCCCCGTCGAAGGTAAATATCGTTCGCATCCCGTACCCGCGCCTCAGTCGGTCGTCTTCCAGTCGCTGGCCCAAATAAACGTTCCGCAGCGCCACTGCGTGCCCGATTCTTTCTGTCCGGAAGGGCCTATGGGTCTAGGGTCGTAATCAGCGTTGCGTATGCGATACCAAGATGCTAAGATGCCAAGATGCATAGATGCAGGAACGGGATCCCCGTTACACATGACATGGTTAGAGTCCTGCTGCGCGTCGTTTGCTGCATCATGCATGCAACCGCCCCTTGCAGCAACGCGTATGGAGAGAGGACAAAGGCCTCCTTGCAAACGAAATGCGCGACTGGGAGTACGTACCGTGGGCACATCCAGAACTGCCTTCCGCGGTTAACGCCAGGCTTCTTAGTTGTGAGGCTAATGCACGGTTCGGCGTGGCCCTCACATCGGGGTGGCGGCCGCTTGGAAAACAGTCTTGTCCATCCTTCCTTTGACGCTTGCTGTACCGCACCGGGATCACACGCTTCGTATGGAGATGTGGTACTTTGACTGGGGGATGCTGCCGTTGTAGCCGCGGCCGTTGGGGTGATTTCGGTTTCGGCATCTGCGGATGAAGATACTGAGAACGAATGTGTACTCGCGTCACCATTGTTGACAGGTGTCTGTGATGTCGATCGCGGCGTAGTCGCAGCGGTAGAGTTGGGCCCAGCGCCTTTGGAACGTGTCTGAAAGAATCCTTTGAGTGACTGCTGACCCTTGGCGAGCGACACGGGATTATTGAGGGCTGGGCTGGAGGGTTTGGATCGCTTGATGGATTTGCTGGGCGATGCTGATGCTGATGCGCGTCGCTTCTCAGGCGATTTGAGAGAGCTTGGGGCATCCACAAGCCGACCATCAGCGGGGAACAAGGCGTTTGTCGCTCCCGCCAGCGCGGATCCTTTGTCTGCCCCTTGCATTGGCGAGATAACCGCGGCCCCTTCCAATGTCGCCTCGGTGGACGGGACTGCAGATGCGTTTGCAAGCTTTGGAGCTACAGGATTCTTGCTGAACATGTCACGGATGTTCTGTCGTTTGTTGAACTCGGTAAGTAGCTTGCCTGAAAGCGGAGGCACATCTTTGCTGGCGCTATACTCCCTCAATCGAACGCCGTCTTTGAACATTCCGGGCGGGTTCATGATATCGAGTATGTGGTGCTTTTGGTCTTCCTCGCCGTCTTGTGCAGCATTGCCTAATCCCGGTACCGTATGCTTTGTGACCGCGTACACTGGGCAATGATCTGAACCCATCAGGCCTTCCTGAATGTTCGACTCCTTGAACCAATCCTTGATCTTGATGCTGCAGAGCACAAAGTCGATACGCGAGCCAAAGTTGCCTGGCCGTGCATTTATCTTCTGCTCCCAGTGCGTATACATGCCTTCGCGATCGGGATGGAACTCGCGACACAGATCGTACAGCACAGGCTCTTCTCTCCCCTCATCTCGTGCGCCCCCGACTTTGCCATTCAACAGGAGCTGGTTGAAGATCCGTCGGTTTGGCGTGCTGAGGTACTCGCTATGGGTCATGCCTTCCGCTTTCATGTTGTCCTCTGCTTTCGCAGTGTCGATGAGATCGCGGGAGACGTTCAGATCGCCAGTCAAGATGACGTTCTTGCCCATCTTCGTGAGGCTTCGTATCCGCGTATCGAGCATGTCCAAGAAGCCGTAGCGGAAGTCGTCACGAAGGCCGTTGCTATTGGCGGGGCTGTAAACACCGAAGAGCACAAAGGCAGGGAACTCGAGGACGAGACATCTACCCTCTGCATCGAGAGCAGCTGGATCGACTCCCAGTGCCTCGATGCGTTCGAGTGGTGGATAGCCTCCTATGCTGTCTGATTTGGGTTGTTCCCGGTAGGGTATCGATGAACCAGGTGGACAGAGGACTCCAAGAAGACCTTCTTCAGCCCGGATTGGTGCACATACGGATTGCCGAGTGTATATTCCAACACCAGAATAACCTGCAGTATTGTTAGCACGTGATCCAATGCTGTGTTTGGTCAGGTGTGTGGTGTACCTTTCTTATGCTTGGGCAAGCTGAAGTAGCAATCCCAGCCGGGAACTAACACCATATCATCTGTCAAATTCCTGCGCTGGATCTTCAGCTCTTGCATGATGATAATGTCCGTCTCGAGAATGTCGAACATGGCGCTGAAGGTGCGATTCTTGCGCCATGGCTCGTAGCCAAACGGGTTGCGGATGCCATTGACATTCCACGTCGTGATGCGGACCATTGTGCGTGTCGCTGGCGGTGCTGCAGCCTCATCTCCGCCCGGCGATTTCACGACATCGTGTTGATGACCGAGACGCGCCACGCGCCTGCCCAATGCACTCGAAGCAGTCACGACGTCACATGGCTCGCCCGGCGAGCGCAACAAACGGCGCAAACCCGCCAAGCCCGGCGGAAGCTCGAGCTTTGCTCACACCACACCTCAGAGCTGTCATCGCACTTAACGCCCACCAACGCTCCACGCACCAATCTTCACTCCACCACCGCCCACCATGTTCGCCGCCCGAACCGCTGCCCGCGCTTCTCCTCGCATGGCCCTCGCCCGCGCCCCCGCCCGCGCCGGCCGCCGCAACTACAGCTCCGAGAGCCCCAAGCAGTTCGCCGGCGCAGAGGACAATGAGTTCAACCGCGAGCGTGCCCGCATCCAGGAGCATGGCGGCGAAAGCGGCGAGTTCTGGCGCAAACTGAGTCTCTAGTAAGTCTCCTGCGCTGTGCGAGCAGCCGCCAATCAGGACCTGTGTATATGATATCAAAACCGGGGGAAGAGTGGGCAGGCATTGCGGGTGCAATTGGGTCAACTGGGGCGAGGAAACATGTGCTGACGCTTCAATTACAGTGTTGCCGTCCCTTGCATCATTGTTGCCACCGTCAACGCCAAGCTGAGGTGGGACGCTCACTGGGAGCACGTTGCGCACGATGAGCACGAGAACCCCCGCGCGGAGAGGCCCGAGTACCCGTACCAGAACATCCGTACCAAGAACTACTTCTGGGGTGACGGTGACAAGGTTCGTGCTTCATGGCTCGTTGCGACCGCTGTAATACTGACGTAGCCTTAGACCCTCTTCTGGAACGACAAGGTCAACTACCACAAGAAGGACGAGTAAATGCTTCTATATCCATCAATCAATTGGTTTTATGGTATCGTGGAAGCCTCCTCAGGCCCAATGTGTAAATAGTAGAACGCAAGCTGGAGGCGTAGAACCAGCAATACATTTCCTTTGTAACTGATCTACGTCCGCCGTGCTGTGCTTGCCGGGTATGTGCTACAATGCAGCCCACATGCCTCAGGTCTGCTCGATGTTCCTCATACCCTCCTCCCAAACTCGGTTGTGATTCTGGCTCCACTCCTCTGCCAGCTTCTCGTCGCCTCTCAGCTTCGCAATAATGGCTTTCTTCAAGAGCTGCTCACACTCGCCATCAAGGTACGAGCTCCTCTTGAAGCACTCTCTGGCCCGATCGATGTACAACTCAGCCTTGGCGATGTAGCTAGTCTGCAGTCGCGGCTCAGATGTCCTTGCCGGGTCGGCGAGGCCCATGAATGAGTCACCGAGATGTGAGTATAGCGTGCCAGAGAGCATATTATCTCCGTTTTCGAGAGACTGCGGTAGTACAGCTTCGAGCAGACGCTTTGCACTCGCACACTCGCCCAGACTGTTAAGGATGTTGGCGAGGAGCCCGACCGCAGACCACAAGCTGGGCATCAGCTTTGCTTTGTATGCCACGCTCGCAGCTCGCAGGGCGATGCTGAACCCCCGCTCCGGCCTTCCTACTTTACGGAAGAGATCGGCCTTCATGAGTAGAACGGAGACTCGCTGCAGGATGTCTGCATTATCTTCCTTCAGCGACTGTACGAGATTCGAAATCTTTGTGAAAGCTGATGGGTAGTCGCCTTTCGAGAAGAGGTAGTCAATATAAGCTTCTGACAGGAGGAAGTGGAGCTCGGGATCAACAGTGTCTGAAGAAGGGTCTTCCGAGGGTTTGAGAGTTGCGAGTAAGTGGGAGCAAGTCGACCAGTCGGACCTGGGAGCGTCAGAACAATCCTTTGTGTGGACTGATGGGAAGATCGAAACACCTACCTTCTGATGGCGCGCTTCAGTTTGATGATACCAACGCAGAGAATGAGATACTGGTTAAACTTCAACGACTTGTTGTGAGCAGTCAAGTCGATAGACTGGAATGCTTCAATGGCCTCGTCGTAACGCCCATTTTGGCTCATCTGTCAGCCCGTCAGTATATCGTTCGGAAGAGAACTTTCGTTGGAAGTTTAGACGTACAATGAAAGCCTGCCGTCCCACTGCACGACGCTTCTCATCAATCGGGCAGCTGGCTCCATGGCAATCGAGGAGTAAAGCACAGTGTACATTTGCCAGATGTGGTATCCCGAGCCGAGAATACAAGGTAGATTGCAACAGCATCTGACCACCGTAGCTGTTGACGTGCTCCTTGATATTGAGGTGTGATGACTGGTAGATGTGCTCGAAGGCCCGAGAGGTCGAGTCACCCTAGCGGTTCACGTCAGTCACGAACTTTCTTGCGAGCCAACGCTGGCCTCTCAATCTTCAACGTACGGTAGAGAGAACCAATTTGGCCTCGTTGAGCAATGTTGCACTAAGCAGATTGTGCATCTTGAACTCACGAGCCTTTGCCTTGAGGAATGTAAGGGCATCTCGCTCGCTCCCCAGCATGCTCATGTAGCCAGCGGCCTTCATCTGCTTAGGGTATGCCTTACTCATGTGGTTCAGCCAGCTCAGACTGAAGCTCAAGCAGGTCATGTCTTGAGACTCTCGCGCGGTCGCAATGGTCTCGTTGATCGCGGCGATAGCCTCACCGAAGCAACCGAAGTCAGCCTGCAAGATCGCCATGTGGAGTAGAGCATATTGGTAGTGGATTTTTTCGCGGGTCTGCATAGCATAGTCGTAGTACCGGTGCAGGTTGTCGAAGGCAGATGTGTAGTCTCCGGCTTTCCAGGCGTCGAAAAATTGTACAAGGTGAGCTTGTCGGTGTACTGTACTTGACGACGCAAGCATTCCACGAAGCTGTGTCCTCATCGACTCGGGTACTCGGTCACCGAAGCGTTGTAGACGGTCGAGTTGGAACTCCAATATCCGATCGAGGTCGTCCTGACTCATGCCTTGTGTTCCATCATCTGGCTCATTGAGATCCCCGTAGGCTATCTCATAGACGTCGTCGCCCTCCTGCATGCCCATCTCAGCGACGACAGCGTCTACGCCACTCGCAGCAAGTCCAGCAAGCCGCTTAGTCCATTGCGCTGTGGGTGCACGGTACTTGACAAAAGATGACCATAGTGCGATGGTGTCCTCAAACTGCAGTCTATCGAACTCGAGTCGTGCACGCCGCACGAAGATGCCTAGTGGAGAAGTCTTAGAGAGATAGATGCGCTCTTGCCCATCTCCATCGTGGGTTGGAGGTGACATCAAAAGCTCGCCAAGATTGTCGATGAGTGAATGCAATGCATCAAACGAGTTCATCTCCCACATGCTTTTGAGGAACAAGTCCAATAATGTGCGACCGGGCATGTTGGATGTATGGCCCTGGAGAACATCCTCGAAGCTGTCGATGGAGAAGGAAGGATTGATGGTCGCAGAAGAGCGCAAGGACCTGACGCTTGAAGAAGTTGACGGAACCGTAGTTGAAAGGATAAAGGAGAGTATGGGTATCGTTGCTGAGGATGGTAGCGTGGAGCTACAATACAGGCGGAGCAGGACCAGCAGACTGATCTTCTGCGCCGTGAGGTAGTGCGCTGTGCCCATCTTGAAGTTTGATAACCAGAGACACAAGGCAAGACACCGCTGAAAGCTCACCGATGATGGGCAAGGTGCGCCTTCTACACCTGCAACATTACGACCTGCATATATTTCGAAGTTCAGGCCATGAGAGTGAAGGAATCTAGCAGGGGGCAGCTATCGGTGGTATGGAAGAAGTGCTTGTTGTTTCACGCGATGTAGGGCAAGCGCGGCCTACCGGTAAGCGAAACGCCTAAACGCGCAGTCACGTTCATGTTCGAGCCCATTTCACCAACCTGCAACGGAAATACTGGAAATGGACATGTTCAAGTCGCACAATGATTTGTCGAACATCTCTCTGTACATATACAGTTCTGAATACCGCAGAAACGCCAGGAAATTGACAACGCTGAAAGTGACGGGCCTCGATCAACTCTATCGATTTGTCTCCGTGATATCGCGAACTACCTCCTCCTGGACAGAGTCCTTCCTTCCAACATTTTTGTTGTAATCGCCTTGCCTTCGCGACCCTAATGGAAGGCCCTGGATAACGCCGGGCGTGCTGCGAAGAATGTCGTCCTCCTTAGTCGCGTTCGTCGCCCAGACGTTGCCAATGCTAAGATCGTAAGGACCAGGTATCCGGTCTATCAGCGAGATGCCCACTGTGCGCACCTTCTGTGTCAGCATCTCCCTCTGCGGCTCTACGACCTGACCATGGTTCGTGCGCACGAACTCGCTCCACTTGATGAGCACAGTCTCCCACTCTCCTGGTGTCTTCGAATGCAGCAGATGCTGATGGATGTCTGTGGGTACGATCGAGTCGGTTTGTACGTTTACGAAGTACTTGCGCCCATCTGACTTGAATTGCAGCGCCAGATAGCCGTACAAGCTCACGTCCCAGAACGACGGGCCAAAGATGGTACGACCCCTCTCAAGTGTCCTGAAGCCCGCAAATCCTGTTCTCTGGACGTGCGGTTGGTTGTGCGGTAGCCGTGTGGATATGGTGCCGTGGAAGCGTGCGTGTGCGGGCTCGGTCTGGGTAACAGGGTGGTGATCGAAGTTGACGGTCGAGTAGCCCCCAATGCCCTGGTCACTCATTTTCTTGCATTGCAGCAGATCTTCGGCTGTATCGAACCGCATCAGAGGAAATGCTTTACGGGGAGTGCTCAAGCCTTCGAGCTTGAGAGCTGTGCTGGTCAGCCGGTGTCGCATAAGACTACTGCGGGCAACACTTACCAAACTTCGAGAGGCGTTTGAATTCATCCAAGCTACGCGAAATAAAGCCACCTTGGGCGAAGTACTGTGGTGTTGGGCGCATCTTGTCGGGTGGTTGCCGCGACAATTGCTGGGTGTGCAGATGGCGACTCTCCGCTCCCTGCGGCGGTGGAACAAAGCGATGACGCCCGCGGCGAATCATGCAGATGCCCCCGGATTCTGCGCTAAATTTTGGTCTTCAAGTATTGCGCCTCGCATCGCGCATCTTGAACGCTGGATCTCTACATCGTAAATTGCCTTCAAATAGCCCACTCCCCAACCCCAGGTCGCGTCGCTTCCTCTCGCTCAAAACATATTTTCACTGTGCGCGCCTTCTTGATTCAATCCGCTCTTTCCACGCGACGCGCAATCTCAGATGACCTTCGATACCGCTCCTGCGCCTCGACGCCTTCGAGACAACAACCCACAATTCGGACAGACATCGCTACCTTCCTCACGCGAGCTTGGTGAAGTGATACCTGCGAAACTGCCTGATGGTGCCCCAGTAGCAGCCGGAAGTCCGGCGTTCGCAAAGTCATGGGCGCATTTCGTCGCTGGAGGGTGAGGCAAAACCCGTACAGGAACAGCACGAGAGAGTAGAGAGCTGACGAGATTCAGTCTTGGTGGTATGGCCTCTGCAACCTTGACCGCGCCGCTTGATGTCCTCAAGACACGCCTGCAATCTACCTACTATCAACAGCACCTCGCCGCCATGAGAACCGCCCGAGGGTTACCGCCGATCGAGACCATGTCATTCGCCCGCAGCTCGTTGCTCCACATCCGCGAAACGGGGGAGATCCTGTGGCAGGTCCCCAAGGCCGAGGGCTGGCGAGCACTCTTCAAGGGCCTTGGACCCAACCTCATTGGTGTTGTCCCTGCCCGCGCTATCAATTTCTATGTGTACGGAAACAGCAAGAAGGTCATCAGCACGCACTTCAACAATGGGCAAGAAGCTGCGTGGGTCCATCTGTGTTCTGCAGCAGCGGCTGGCATCGTCACAGGAACCGCAACGAACCCCATCTGGCTGGTGAAGACCCGACTACAACTCGACAAGAACATCCACAGCGACGGCCGCGGTCGCCAGTACAAGAACGCGCTCGACTGCACAATGCAGACCGTTAGGAAAGAAGGGTTCTTCGGCCTATACCGCGGTTTGACTGCCAGTTACCTCGGTGTATCAGAGAGCACATTGCAGTGGATGATGTACGAACAGATGAAGCTCGCACTGGCGAGGCGTGCTGAGCGAGTTGCGGCGAGTGGCCGGGGACCTACAGCATGGGATACGACAGTTGACTGGACTGGCAAGATCTCTGCCGCTGGCGCTGCCAAATTCATCGCTGCACTGATCACCTACCCCCACGAGGTCGTCCGAACACGCCTACGACAGGCTCCTCAGCAGGATGGACGTCTGAAGTACACCGGCCTCGCACAATGCTTCAAGCTCATCTGGAAAGAGGAGGGCATGGCTGCGCTGTACGGTGGACTTGTACCTCACATGTTCCGTGTCGTGCCCAGCGCCGCGATTATGTTCGGCACGTACGAGGGCGTACTGAAGCTCCTCGGCGAGTCCAGCAACATGTAAAACACCTTTGTCATTTCTCTTCGCTTGTACAACATTTGATTGTACAACATTTGGCTGCATGGGCACGGCGTTGCAACATTGGAAGCATACACTGACGGCGTCTTTTCACTCGGTATGGTTACTCAGCATCTACGCTTAGATTCTTCGGAACGCTTGTATAACAAAATATGTATAGAACTGGCGTGATGGGTTGGGAATATAGTGTGGGTGGATGTAAGAGTACGACGGTATGAGCGAGCCTCAACTCAGTCACTGAAGACGCAACGAAAAGCCAAATAATGATAATCACACCAAGCTATAAATCTCTGTCATCAGACCATCTTTTGTTGACTTGTTACAGTTCAACGATCGCGCAGCGAATCGAGCATTCGGAGAAGTGAAGTGGTCAGTGCGCCTTTCGACATTCGATGAACCTCAACTTTTGTGCCATCTCCCACGCGATCACGTCGCGCCACATCGCCAACATGTCGACACAACTACCACTGCGCCTGGTGCGATCGCCAATGTATCGCCAATGCCTCTTCCGACGGCGTATACCCTCCACACAGCCCCTCGCCTCGCCATCCACACGAGCTTTCTCCTCCACGCCCTCCCGACCACGCAGGAAAGAAAATCGCCTGGTAGACGTCCGCATGCAACTGGCCGGCGCCGAAGCCACCGTAAAGGGGCAACCGGCACCCAACGTTCAATCCTCGTCCAAACGCGAAGTGCAAGATATGGCAGAGGACATCGGGTTACTACAGAACACGGTGATCCGGGCGTCGTTCAGCAAGCTCCCCGCACCGACGAGCTGGGAGTTCTACAGCTACTTCTGGACGGTGCTGAAGGCGCGGTTTACGGGGCTGTACACACGGAGCCATTTCAAGAGATGCGTGCACAAGTCCGGCATCGCGTCCTATCTGCCCGTCGACTTGTTGAAGCAGAGCATGCTCAAGAACAAGGCGAAGGAGATGTACCAGCGCTACTACGAGCTACTCGCGGCGTACGTCCCCCTCCCCATTCCCCTCGCACCCAACATCTTCCAGCTTCGACTAACCATGTCTTAGTGGCGACATAGAGGCCTTGCGCCCGCTCTGCCTCCCTCCTCTCGCCTCCTCCCTGCGCACCCAAATCGCCGCCCGCGGCTCCGTCAGGACGAGCTGGCAACTGCACAAATTCAAGTCGGCACGCATCGCCTCGCACCGCTGTGCGCCCCTAGGCAGCGACCACCCCGATACCAGCTACCGGCAGTGCATCGTGCGTCTCGAGTCGGAGCAATCGCTGACCGTAAGCCCTCTGGCGACACGCGCTGAGCCGCGCAAGACGCGCGCGCCGAAGTGGACACCGTCCGCCTCGACCAAGAAGGACATGGCTGCCGAGTCGACGAAGGTTAAGGCCGAGACCAGGCAGAGCCAGACCGTGGTCGAGTACCTCGTGATGCAGACGCGGGTCATGGACGGCAAGGAAGAGGAGTGGAAGATCTGGGGCTTCGCGGACGAGACGACGCCCGCGAAGATGGAGGAGGATGAGACGTACTGGAGGAAGATGCTGGCTATCCAGAGCGCGGCGTGAGCCTGATGAGCGTGGCGCAAAGTAGCGTGAGTGCAACATCGGCGTGGTGATGCTGGCGTCAGTGGGGGCGGTTTCGACGACGAGCAATATTGTAAACATAGTGTGTACATGCCAGACATAGGCCATTGTATAAATCATTGTCACGTCTGCGACGAGTCATCATGGCCGAAAGTCTCTGGTCGTCATTTTTGTGCGAGACATTTCGAGGCCCACTTTCCTTCTTGCCCATGTCAGCCGCGGCCGTAAAGCTGACTGCAGTCTCCAAAAATGCTGCCAGACAATCTAGACACAGAGCCCGAAACATGAGTACCACCAAAATTGACTGCCTGCGTCTCCTTTCTCCTGCGACAAGTGAGTCTCGTATATTTGCGGGTCGAGACTGAGACCACCTTCACAAGTCGGCAATCACATCTGCAATGCAACGTCAAGGGTAGGGCATGTGGAGCAAGCGCTCAAGACTTGGACGAAGTAAAGATGCATGTCATGAAAATTCTAGACATTTGTATCATTCATGGACGTATGAGGCATTCTCGACGTCCAGCGCATGTCGCGATCAGTCCCGTGGTCTCCGTCCCAGCGGCATCTCGTGCCGTCTCTTCCGTCAGCCTTAGCTAACAAGCGTCATGACCGCATAAAGGGAGCCGCCTGTATTTCGCCAAATCCGTGACATGGAGTCTGGGGGAGGGAACTCGCATGTGATGGCGTTTAGAAACCGTGGACCTGTGTGATTATCAATATGCAGCCTTGCGGTTACAGGTACCTGGGCGTGACTCACCTTGATGGTCTTTGCATCAAGACCAAGGCCCTCCTTCTTGTTGGTCAAGAAGTCTTGGATGTCCTTGCGCTGATCTCCCTGGAGCTGGATGACCTCACCCATTTCGGAGTCAGCGACTATGGTTCCATTGCAAGCGAACTGCTTCTTGATGACCTTGAGGATCTTCTTCTGGTCGAACTTCTTAGGCAGACCCTGCACGGTGGTCAAGGTCTTGCGTCCATTGCGCTCTGCCTTGTGTTAGCAAACGTTCGTGACTGAGAGCGACAGAACGGTGCCCTATCAGGAAGGTCGAAGAATTTTAGGGGGCTGAGGCAGGCAGCCTGAGAAGGCTGCCGGCCATGACAAGACTCGAGGCCGCAGCTATGAGTACGTACGCTGGATACGGATGTGGATGTAGTCCTGGGACTGCGCTGAGGACTTCTCGCCGGTGCCTTCATCGGCTTCCGCGAACGGGTCGAAGGTCTTAAGATTCTCGATGGACATACAAACAACTGTTGCGTGTGCGCTGTGGGTGGGGTTGTTGTGACGTGCGCGGGGGTATGCTATACCGGGGCAGCTGAGGATAGTCGAAAGCGTTTGGTGAGGCGAGCGGTCGTGTGAGTGGAAAGTCAGAGTAGTGTTTGGGTGAGTGGAAAGTCAGAGGTGGGGCGCCGCGGGGCGCGCGCACCTACCACCTTCACGTCGTGGTTGCACTCCTGATCCGTAAGGCAAGAGCGACTTAGTGAGACATCAGATTGGGCGAAGGTCAGACTTGGAGCTGATTTGCTTGAATGAATTCATGCGTCTACCCAGCTCTCCGTTATTCGGCCCACATTGCCATTGGCGAAACTCTCGCGTTTTCACGTCTTCGGCGGCCCATCCATTATACAGTTACACAGTACACCTGCCGTGCTCAACGGCTAGCGCGCCGATGCTGAACACAGCAACGCTTCATGCATGCATGGTGAAGACTACGATGGAGGCGCCGCAGCTGGTGCTGCCTGTGTCCCGGTGCCCGTACCGATGCTGCCAGGTGGCGGCAAGATGAGGGAAGAGTAACTCTGTGATACCAAGTCAGTCATCCAGATCGGCCGCTCAGCGACAGGCCCGAGCACTTACGACGAGCAGAGACATGACTGCGGCAGGTTAGCAAGGATCCGGGGGCTGGGGACGCAGTACTTGCCAGCCATGCCAACGGAGAAGTAAGCCGGGGTGGTGGACGTCTTCTTTTGCTCTGAGGTCTCAGCGAGCCAGGACTGCACCGAGAAGACCACGGATACCCTGCAGCGAATCAGTGGGTGGTCTGACAAAAGAAAGCCGAGCAACATACCAGCCGATCATCCTATTCCAGACGAGCCATGTCAGTGCTGCAAGCCAAATTAGATAAGGGCGCCGTACTTGTTCCGGGTGAATATCTGGATATCATGTCAGCCGTGCAACGCAGACGCAGAGGGTGGTGCATACAGCAGCCATGGGCAGCGTGCTGGCCATTGTGCCTTGGGCTTGCGTCAGTACACTGCAGCTGCACACACAGAGGCAGGCGGTCACATACTCGACATGTCGCCATCTGACTTGTCTTTGGCCGGCTCGGCGTAGGGCACGACTACGGGGAGTTAGTTCACGTGATCTGGTGTGAACCGGATGCATGGTTGCGTATAGGGGCCACGGCGAATGGCGATGAGCAACCATGCCGGCCGGCGGGGGCACGCACTGAGGTCGGCGCGTCGCATATCCTTCTTTCCCTGGAGTGAGGCCATGGTGATTCAGGGTGGGCGGTATAGAGCCGCAGTGGGGACGAAGATTGAGATGGGGCCCAGGTTGGTGTTGATGCCGTAACGTGAGAGAGGTCCGGCTGCAGCGGCGGGCGTTTGCACTCGGCAGTAACAGCGACACATCAGATAGCCACCCGGAAGCTCTCAACACTCCGGCCGTGACTGCCCACCCTTGCCCACCCTGACGGACCCTGCGTGCAGATCTCCCTTCCCTTCGCACCTCGCTCCGCTGCCTGCTGCGTCTGCTCTCTGCCATCGAGACATCGCGCTGTACATGTTGCGCCCGCGGCACCACCACCTCAGCTGCCCGACATTACCGACGCCGTCCCGTCTCCCTTCCCGCCAGCCCGGCCGCGCAGCACGTCAACGATGAACCCGCTCTCGGTGCGATGACCTCTCGTCCTGGCCCGGGAATACATGAGCAGTCCCGTGGCAGCGGTGTGCCTCCTCGCGCCCAGGTGCGGCGGCGGCGGTCTAAGCCGCTCAACACGGCGCTTCCCCAGCCCGACTGCATCGATCCCACCCTGGAGGACGAGCGACCGCCTGCACACCATGGGACCGCCAAGACAGCGAGACCACTGCCACGGGGGTGGCCGCAGCTGTTCTTCGGCACCGCCCCGAGCGACTACGAGCTGCCCATCCACCCCACGTTCCCCTACCAGCCGACCGCGAACCTGCCCGTCCCGCCGCGGCCAGGCTCCGTGCACCTGCACGATACCTCGAGCCAGCGGCGCATTGTGCTGGGAGGGACCGGCGTGAAGGAGCATCCTGGTGTCCAGCCGCCGGAGGTCATCTCTGCGCCTGTCCACTTCCCGGGGGGCAAAGCCGCCGATGTGTTTCCATGGACCGGCGCCAACCCCGAGGACACGCTGACGGAGACGCTGGTCAAGGGCGGGATCAGCAACAAGCCGCAGATTATGAACGAGACGAACACGGCCCGTCCTTCGCTGTGGTCGAACCTGAAGAACAAGTCAGGCCTGTCCACCCTGTCGACGCTGTTTGTCGCTGTCCTCGAGAAGCGCCAGCAGACCGGACGTCTCCAGGAGCCGAATACCTTCAAGCCTCCTCCCCGCCTAACCCTCCGCGACACCGCCAGAGAGCAGTGGCTGTACGACCTCTCGAATCCAGGCATTGGCCTCCGTCGCTTGAGTCGCACCATACCTCACGGCCTCACCGGCAAGGTGCTGCTGGAGCAGTGTCTCAACAAGACCATACCGCTTCCAAGGGCTCTGTGGCTGGCCAAATGTGTGGGCATCAACGAGCTGCGTGCGCACAAGCGAAAGGGGCAGGCAGGCACCGTGACATGGGTTAGAGGCTGGACAAGCTCGGTGGAGCAGTTTCTAGACGGCATTCTGCAGAATATTGGCACTGGAGAGTGGAAGCAACGCATCACGTACTCGTACGTTGTACCTCATGATGAATACGACATTTTGCTAACATGACGCAGACTCCAGCTGGCGACCTTCTTGTACAAGGAATGCCTGCTGGATGTGGACCACTTTCTAGACTGGATACTTTCCAGTTTAGGAGCTTGTACATCCGAGCGCCTATTCATCTGGCTTCTCATTGTATCTATTCCTGCTTATTGGAAAGATATCACAGCTTGTCGAGTGCGTGGCAGGCGTCTGGCAGAGGCGCTGCTCAACCATATAACAAAGGCAAGCTCCGACGTCCTCAAGCTTTACAACGTGCGCTTACATAAGACAGCTTTCCCATCACGATGCTGGGATACCACCGTCACGATTATCGCATTTCCTCGAAAACACCCTGATCAAGCTCCTCGCCATACGTCCAGCATGTTTATTGCTTCCTGACTCCTGGCATCAACACAGCACTACCCTCCACGGTCTCGCAGAGAGGACCAATCATCCTCAGATCTTGCACGGAGTGAAGAGGCTGGACGAACGGAACCGCCGGTTACAGCAGTCGTCCAAGATCGACCCAGCGGCTTCTATGACGTCTATAGGTCGAGTCTACCGCATACTTGACGAAGTCGATTACAGCAACATGGTTCGCATTGAGCACGTCTCCACCGATTGCATGGAGGTCATTCCTAATCCCATCAACCTGGTCAAAGTCCTTCTCCAGTGGGCATGTTCATGTTATCGCGAAGGCTCGCACAGGGTGTGTCTGGCAACACGGCTACTCCGCAGTTGGGCCCACCTTGGTGCAGACATATACGAATGCATTACGACATACCTTGAGGGTATGAGTTGGGCCAAGGGTGGCGACTCTCGTATGGTCTTCAAGATCATCTCGGAATTGGTACGCTCTAGGACGTTTGCAGCTGGTCGGTATATGCAGTGGCTCATTGCTACTGGATCGATTGCTCAAGATTTGGATTTATCGCACGCTGCCGCATGGCCTGTACGTCTCATCACAGAGATACCCATCAGTGGACTGCCTGATCAAGTTCGCACCTTACGTGCAACGCTCCTACGCGGGACAGATCACTCTGCGGATTTAGAGGTCCAGACGTTAATGGACGCCAAGAACGTCATCTCGCAGCAGATGCCTGCACTATGCGGCACAGAATATCTAGGCTTGGTTGATTGCAAGTTGGATATTGCCACACTTGGCCCTACAGTCAGGATTGAGCTTGGTATCTGGCTGCGTCAGCAGGTCGCTCGATATGCCGAGGTCAATGAGCAGTGAGTGTGCCTTGTTTTTGTATCTGACCATTGCTAAGTCTTTCAGTGTACCCACAAAGGACCCTCATGTTGAGGAAACTGGCGCAGTTTCCCTGATCACCTCCTACGACTTCCATACCGTACGATCTTACCTCGAGCAGTTCGAAGACCTTCCGTTGCTCGCGGATGTGGTCAACATTGTTATGTCCTCACTGGACCCTAGTGTACTCGCCTCTGCCACGGATACTATGCATTACCACCTGAAGGCTTTCCGTGCCATTGGCGCCTTCGACGCCCTCTTTAGTAGAGTGGTGACAAGATATGCTGCTATCCGGACTGTACGATTCCCCGAACGCGAACTCTTACTCAGCCTTCTCAATCTTACACGAACACTACGCTTGGATAATTCACTCCTGCAGCTGCTCAATTATGACATAAGCCGGCTCGATCAGAAGAACTCCATGGCTGCCTGTTCTCCAGCATCCGACAACATGGGTGAGGTGATGTACAACAACATCTCATCTAGTCCTGAAGAAGAGATTGAGCGTATCCTTTCCAGTGGCAACTCTATGGATCAACAGGTCATGGCTCGCGTACTACGTAAGATCACTGGTAGTCTACAGGACTGTGTCAGTAAAGAATTTCTGCAGTCTGATAGCTATTCCAGTTGGTTCTATCGTCTGCGTAGCTTCGACGACTCAACCTTTGATGTTGTTCTAAATGAGTGGGTAAACATGTCTTTGATCAATCATCAAGTCGAAGTCCTGTTCCTCGCGTTGCCGACCCTAGTTGGATCAGGCTGTATGCCTCTCTCTGGTTTCTTGGACAGCTTACGAGCTTATGTGGGCAAGACAGCGCCTGGACAGCCCGAGATAGCCTTCCGTGTCGCTTTAGAGGGTCTTCAAAGCTTACTACCTTCGGATGTCCTCACAGGCACATGGTCGGCGCAAGACAGGTACCGCTACCGATTGGAACAGCACAACCTGTGCTATGAGGCAGATGCACGCGTACTTCAGTTCATTGGCGAACTCGTTGAACTCGGCACTACCCTACCGACACAGAAAGTGGGGCAACCGCTGCGGAATCTCTTATCTAGCAGTGCCGTGTTGGGGATCTTGAAGCACTACACACTTGCAGGCGAGACCTCGTTGTCTAAGCTCAATGCGGCAAGTTCGAATGGAGACCTGAAGAGACAGTATCTGAAGTTCTCGTTCAGCTCGTTATTGGATCCCGCCGGTGATCTTGGTAAGCAGACCACGAAATACCCCTTACGATCAACGTTCCTGACGCAAAATCCAGATCTAGTCGAAAAGACTCCGGAAGAGCAGATACTCGCAATCTTCGACATTGCGAGTGAGCTTTCGATGCCTTTCTGCAGATCTACGATTCAGCAGATCTTCGAGACAGAATCGACATCTACAGAGCAGTCGTCCGACAGTCTCTCTGCCGCTCTTCTGGACGCTATCAAGTCAGCCATGGAGAAAGACCAGACGTCTGGGTTAGAGCTCCTGGCCAACCTAGATAACGCTCTGACAGACAAGGTATGTGAACGACGATGCCCAATTCGAGTTGAGCTGACCCACGTAGATCCGTCAACATGCCGAGCGCGAGATTATCGATGCATCGTCTTTTTTCACAACGTCGCCCTTCGATTTGCAAAGCTTGAGCCAGACATCACCCTCATCGGTCCAGAAGTTTCTTGCTGTTATCGATCTGACTGCAGGAGATGGCTCGGACTCTTCTGATCAATCCGCACTGTTAATGGCCCTAGTCGACAGATTCAAGGGTGTAGCCCAGGCTCTAAGTACACTGAGCGGTATGGCGAAACCTCCAAGTCACAGTGACAACTTGACAGTGTCGGACCTGTACACTTGGTAAGTCTGCCGTCATCGGCGTCGCTTCGTCGCTAACCGCGAACAGGACGAATGCTCTGTTCCGAGTGCTGCTCTCGCACAGCACGTCGCTTCTGCAGAACGCAACACACCAGCATCAGACCGCCCTGATGATCGCCTTGAAGTCTTTGATTGTCCACCCGGTTTTCGAAGTGTACCCACGAATCGCCGAACACATCTTCGATGTCGCTGTCGTCCTGTCCGATCTACTCTCCGACGATGTACGCAATCAGCTCGCACGCGCCGAGACTGCTGCATGCACAGACGATCCTCGGTGCTCGTTCATCGTCGGCCTGGCGATGCCAATCGATGGATGGCTCGTACTGACAAAGCCCGTGCCCCAGCCACAACCCACTCAGAACCTTGCGCCATCACAACCACAGACTCCAGCTCCCAATCAATACCAGAATCCGCAGATGCTCGGGTCGGGCGCACCGACGCCCCAGCAAAGATACTTCAACCAACAACAGCAACGTCAGCAGCAAATGCAGGCGCAACACGCACAACAGATGCGCAGCTACCCTCAATACCCTCAGCACACCCACCCACAGAACAAAATGCTGCCCGCCCAACTCCAGCGCAACCCCTCGAACCAATCGACTCCAAGTCCCTTGCAGCAAATGCAGCACATGCAACACATGCAGCACATGCAGCACATGCAGAGTCTTGCCCAACAACGTGCCACCCAGCCATCGCCAGTGCAGTCACAGCGTCCTACTCCTGCAGCAGGTGGTCCTGGGACCTCAACGGTCAAGCTCCCAATACAACCGAAAGAAGTCAGACAGTTTCCGTATGCGCAGCCGCGCTGGGAGATTCTGGCTGAGAGCTCTGGGAATCCGAATGCGAACGAGACGGCGATCAACTTGAGTTTGTTTGGGGCCAGGCGGGCTTGACCAACGCGGGTGGTCTCCAGTGCACATAATCCCTTTTGATATTTAATAGCGTTTCGTATGTCCATTTTCTTGGGGTATTTGGGTTTACATGTGTGCAGTGTAGCGGTGGCGTTGCTTTCGGTGGCCCCTCATGACATGTCTGCATATCACGGTGTTTGGTGTTTTACACGTAGTTGTATATAGTGATTCTGGATAGGGGAAACGAATCTGGCATTTGGTGGAGATAGCGAGTTGCATATAGGAAGACGTAGTTGGTTAGAGGCTTGAGGCCGAATGAAGGCGTCAACGTTCGACTTCCACTCTGAGTATCGGCGAACCTCGGGATCTACTCTAAGCTGACTTCCCTGCGATCTTCTCGTAAGCCTCCCTATACTTCTCCGCCGTCTGCTGAACAATCTCCTCTGGCACCTTCACACCGTCCTTCCCCTTCAACCCGTTGCTCGTCAACCAATCGCGCAGGAATTGCTTGTCGAAGCTCGGCTGCGCCTTACCCAGGTTCTGTTCCCAAGTGTCCTTGGGCCAGAAACGACTGCTATCCGGCGTCAGCACCTCGTCCACCAAAACTACCTCATCCTTCTCATCCAGCCCAAACTCAAACTTGGTGTCCGCAAGCACAATGCCCACAGACTCGGCGCGCTTAGCCGCCGCTTCGTAGATGGCCAGACTCAGCTGCTCGACGCGCGCAGCAATCTTGGCGTCTGCGATGATCTCACGCGCCTTCTCAGGCGAAATGTTCTCGTCCTTGTCGCCGAGCTCGGCCTTTGTGGACGGCGTCCACAGCGGCTGTGGCAGCTTCTGGCCCTCGATTAGTCCCGCAGGAAGCTTGATGCCGTTCACAGTGCCCGATTTCTTGTACTCGGACCACCCGGACCCGGTGATGTAGCCGCGCACAATCGACTCGATGGGGATGATGCGCAGGCGACGGACTTGCATGGAGCGGTCCTTGAAGCTGGTTAGAGATGAGATGGGCCCGGGGAGGGTGTTGCTGATGTAGTGTGTTTTGAGGCCCGGGACGTGCTGGGGAAGATAGTTGAACCAGTAGATGCTGGGGGATGTCAATCGTGGTTTAGGTCAGTGCGAAGTCTAATGGGTACCTCATGGCTGTGAGCAGAGCACCCTTGCCTGGAATTCCCTTTTCGATGTCAGTAAGAGCTCGAAATCCAACAGTCCCACGTCGAGACGTCGTTTTCTTTTTTGCTTGTCTTTCAACTCACATTCTCCATAATCACATCGTATGCCGAAATGCGGTCGCTCGCGACAAAAAGCAGTGTGCCATCGTCGACTGCGAACAAGTCGCGCACCTTGCCGGACGCTACCTTGGGCAGCTTGCCTTGGATATCAATCGTGGTCACTATTTCTGACATCTTGCTCAATTGGTGTGGATGTTGTGCGACTCATACGATTGCCCGACTTGGTGGTGAACTTTTGTGCCTGCATGACCCAAAGTGGGGCAGGGGTCCGTTTGCGGGGCCGAGTATCGCTCGTGAAAGCGCGCATATCTGCCGACCAGATCAGTTCACCTGGGCGTTGATTTGCTCTTTTTGAGAGACCAAAGTAGTATACATCAAGTGACCCTTCGTAACGGGGCGTCGATGAGGCGACAACGTAAAGGTTGCTCTGCGCGTGAGCCTGGCCACACGGATGCCTGCGCGCACAGCAGTTCACGCGCTTCCCTAACAGTCTAGCCTTGTCCTCAAACATCTCCTCATCCATCTCACACCAACACATCGCGTCGCTTCTGACACATTCTCAATGTCTTCAACGCAGTTTACAGCCTTGATTCGGCTGCCGTTCCTGCGTGGTAGCTTCGTAGATCCACCACAAGCCCAGTGGGATGCCGAAAAGGACCGCCAACTATGGAAGGTCATCTCGAAGTCATCTAAAACGAGTGACCTGAATTGGGTAGAACTGGCATCCAAATTCCAGGTCCCTCCAACGTTCCTTCTACAGCAAGCAGCATGGCTGTACGAACGCCACTTTGAGCACGTCCGGAATCAGATGAAGAAGGTCAGCGGCTCCAATGTAACCGCAGCTGCATGTGGCGGTGGAAGCACCATCACCCCTGTTGGTGGTGTCGCGATGCAAAGAGCTGGCAGCGGCGGTGCTGGACCTCCAAGAACCACTTCTCCAAGAACCACTTCTCCAAGAACCACTTCTCCAAGAACCACTTCTGCTCTATCTGGCCACCACAGGAACAGTCCCAGCTTCGGTCTGCAAGAGGCTACCGAGCCCGCCCCGGCATTGACAAGAACGCCATCTACGACTACCATCACGCAGTCCCGCGCCCAGGCTCAGCAGCTGCCGACTCGGAAACTGTCTGCGCGCTCAGGACAACGACCAAGTTTTGCGAGACCTGCTAAAGATGACTGGCCTGTCTCCCCAGGACCTCTCACTCGCGCCGCGCCTCAGGAACCACCGGATTCTCCAGAGATCCCAGCCTCGTCATCATCGAGCTCGTCTTCACTATCTGACACTGATCATCCAGTCCACCGTAGTCAGTTGTTCAAGAGGCCACCACGCTTCCAGCAGAAACGACCTCGCGAGCTAGCGCCATTCGCAGAAGGCGACGGCACGCAAGAAGGAGACGAAGCAGGATCGCAGGGCAACACTTTGCTGCCTTTTGCATCCACTGCTCGGAGATCCCCCGGCATATTCAGACAGGGCCTACCTAGGCAGGGTGCACGACTCGTAGATGGACAGGGTGCACGACTCGTAGATGGACAGAGTGCACGACTCGTAGATGGGCAGAGTGCACGACTCGTAGATGGGCAGAGTGCACGACTCGTAGATGGGCAGAGGGGCAGCACCGCAGCAAAGCAGAGCAGCCCACATTCTCAGGTAACGACCGAGACAGCGTCGTCGATGACCAGCTCTGCTTCAGCTAGTGATGCGCCTTCTGGTCCCCAAGCCGCCACGAAGAGCCCCGCGAGCCCGAACTTCAACCATCGTGCTGCCCTGGCAAACCTTGGGAGTCCGAGGGCGCAGGCGCTCAGGCGGAAAGAGGGCAGTGAAGGTGTCCCGAGTATGGGGAGCAGCTTCAGTGATATCGATGGCACGTAGTATCACCCGCGCAAAGTAGAGCAAGCTGACATTTGCAGATGCGGGCATTAGCCAGTCGGCGTTGGAGGAAGCTTTGCTCAGCAACATGCAGCATGGGAGGATGAGCACGCTCAGTCGCATGTCACATGCGTGGAAGCAGTAGTCTGTTTGCTTTCACTTAGCTATCGTAATCAGACGAGCTTGGGCGGTTTTCGAAGCGCAACCGCAAACGCTTCCTGCATCTTTTGCTGCCAAACTTGAGATTCCGTTCTTCAACCTCAACAATGGAGCCACCGACTATTCGCGTCGAAGACACTGACAGCGCAGCACCCGCCCTGACCCTTCACTACGCCCTTGGCCAGAACTCGCTCGACACGGTCGCCGTTGGTGCCTCCATCTACGGCCTCTCGACCCACTCAGGCCGCGCCCGCATGGAGCCGGATAGCACAACCAAAGTAGTTCCCTGCAGCGCCCCCTTCCTCGGTTCCTTCTGGTCCGCCGCCGCCTCCCTCCTCGACTACTTCGCCGACTTCTACGCCACAGATACGGCGCTGATGCAGAGCGTGTGGTTCCACCTGCTCGACACGTGGCAAGCCGCCAGCCCCGCCGCGCTGTACAAGCAGGCCTCGGACTCCAGCTTGTCGCACGAGGCGCAGTCGTTCAAGGACGAGTATCAGGACACACTAGCGCTGTTCCAGCGCGTCGCCGGACAGCCGCAAGGGCAGACCGACTGGCGCGGTGGCACTGCTGTCAAGCACGCCGAGGCGCTCATCCACCCTCCCAGCGGAACGCTCGAGGCTGAAGCCGGCGCGTACGCAACAGGGCCTTTTGTCAGCGGTCTCAAGCCATGGCAGCAGTTCCTGAGCGCCGGGACGCCGGGCTTCCGCCCCACGGTGGGGACCGGGGCAGACGACGAAGAGGAAGCCAACGCGGCAGCTGCCACGGCCCACGATCTGGATGCGCCGCGCTACATCCCCCAGCCCGCCATCGCCCTCATCGCAGCCCACACGGCGCGGGCGCGCACGCTGCTGCTCCGCCTCTGCGAATCGCAAGGCCGCGACGCCGCAGGGCACATGCCGTCGTGGACCGCGACGGCGCCCGCGTTCCCCTCGGTCCCGCACCGCGAGCACACGGCGCGCTCGCCGCTCGCGCCCGGCTCGGCGCTGTCGTACGCGCTGCTCCAGGGCGCGCCGCCGGTGGCGCGGCACGAAGGGCTCGGCGACCCCAGCTTGCTGCTCACGAGGCCGGATCTGATGCTCGTCGACGAAGTGGTGGGGAACTGCAGGGGCAGGGAGGCCTATGTGCCGATGACGGGGCCGCGGGGCGAGGCGGGCGCGGGGTTTGACGTGTGGGCTGTGCGGCGGGAGGGGTGGGACGGGGGGTGGGATGAGGGGTTGGATGAGGGGTGCTGGGGGGACGTGTTTGATGAGTGGTGGTTTGAGGATTGAGATGGGGGTGCAGTGGTTTGAGGATTGAGATGGGGGTGCAGTGGTTTGAGGATTGAGGATTGAGGTGGGGGTGCAGTGGTTTGAGGATTGACATGGGGGTGCGGATGGTTGTGGAAAGGTACTCGTCATCACATGTACAAGCCAAACAGACGCATGTACATGGCCCCGCAAACATTGAATCATGGATATCGTCTCCCCAATCAAACCATGACCCCGTTCCCTCTTGGATGGTTTGGCGCTGCAGAAAGTATGTCATTACATATGTACAAGCCAAGCCGCATATACACGCCCAAGTAGACATTAAATCATGGATATCGTGCCACCCTCACGTCAGTTAAATCATTACCACATTCCCTCTTCTCTCTCTTCTCTCTCTTCCCTCTTTTCTCTCTTCTCTCTCTTCTCTCCCTTCTCACCCTTCTCTCCCTTCTCTCCCTTCTCACCCGTCATGACAGCAGCCTACGCAGAAAAGTCGTCCTTGACGCGCCTCTGGCTGTCCGTGTCCATGAAGCTGGCGCGGCTCTTGCTGCTCTTGGTGGAGCGACGACGCGAGACGGCCAAAGTACGGTCGCCGCCCAGAGCACCGCCGAGACAGAACAGCACGGTGGCGATCAGGAAGCAGGCGAACGAGGCCCAGGCGAAGGCGAGCAGGTAGCGGCCGACCGAGGCCTCGAGGCCGGCGGAGCGGAAGGCGTTGCGGCCCTTGACGACCCAGGCGCTGCGGGGGGGTGAGCGTGTGTTTTGGACGGGGGGTGAGCGTGTGTTTTGGGCGGGGAGTGAGCGTGTGTTTTGGGCGGAGTGAGCGTGTGTTTTGGACGGGGGGTGAGCGTGTGTTTTGGACGGGGGGTGAGCGTGTGTTTTGGACGGGGGGGTGAGCGCGTGTATTGGGCGGGGAGTTTGCAGGGAGACGTACGTGAGCAGCGAGGCCGACAGGGCCTGGAAGAACAGGGCAATGGAGACGGTCAGACCGGACAGGTAGCCGCCCAGACGGCTGCAAATGGCCAGCAGGCCGGTGAACAGGGCGCACGCGGCGAAGAACAGGGCAATCAGGTAGAAGACAAACATGAACCTCGACAGGTAAAAGTACACGTGGGTTCCGACAAACTGCTCGGGCACATTCTCCGTGGTGCCAAAGTTGCGCGGCGGGTCAAAGGGCAGTGCGGGCACGACGGCGCCGCAATTGGCATTGTGGCCGCTCGCGGGGTCGCTGCCGCAGATGGCGAAGAAGGTCCAGCGGCTGGGGTTGCGGGCATTGGGGATGCCGCTGGTGCCGGCTTGCAGGAAGTAGAACTGGTTGACGGGCGCGCTGTTGACGGCGCCGGACAGGATGGTGAAGAACTGCATCACGATTCCGCCTGCGACGAGCAGGAGGGCCGCGAGGGCGAGGACGGGCTCTGCGAAGAAGCGCATTAGTGTGTGTCCTCGACGGTCGGACGAGGGTTGGGTGGGAGTGACGGGTGGGATGGCGGGTGACAGGGGTACGCACTTGCTGCAGCGACCATGATGAAACGCTGTGCGTTTTGGCGGAAGGATCAATTAGGACGGCAAGACAGGCAGCAGGCAGGATCCTGACGGGGCGATATGGGGCGGCGATTGGTATTTGAGACCCGAAGCGGAATGCAGGCACGACGTGTCTGGACGGGCAACATCTTGTTTATGAGGGTGTGGAGCCGGTTGGAAGGGATGACGTCTGGGCCGAGCCGGTGCGTGTCTAGGTGAGCTCATCGCGCGCGCGCTATCACTGCGCTTTGCATCATACCGCCGAGCGTCAAAGACAGGAGGGATCGCGCCTTGCCGGATGCAGCCCGAGTTTGTAGACGTGCAGATCGAGTGCGCTGCTCAGGGCGGCCTGCCCCTGACAGCCGTTTTGGATGGTTGCGGAGCAGTCGTCGTGCTGGCTGAGCAAGGCGGCGCACTCGGGTCAAGGCGGCGCACTTGGGTCAAGGCGGAGCACTTGGGTCAAGGCGGCGCACTTGGAGCCAGGCGGAGCACTTGGGGCAGGCCGGAGCAGGCCGGAGCAGGCCGGAGCCGATGCGCTGCAGGCATGTTTGTTTGGCGAGACGCTCGGTCGGGGCCCTCCCGCCCTGCGCTGCGCTGGTTCGGCTACAAGCGAGGGCATCACTGTTGTCGGGGGTGGTGGAGGAAGTAGCTGAGCGAGACACGAGGACATTCGCCCTGGAGCATTGCCCGCACTCATCGCCGGGAACATTGCCAGGAGCATTGCCAGGAGCATTGCCAGGAACATTGCCCGCACTCGTCGCCCTCACCATCGCCCTCACCATCGCCCTCACCATCGCCCGCACCACCGCCCGCACCGTCGCCCGCCCTCGCTCGTCGCCCTCCTCGACGCGTCGCATCGCCCGCCCTCTTCGCCATGTCGACGGCCGTGTGGCCGCCCACTGACGCGACGCAGCTGGCGCGCGAGCAGACGCACTCGCAGCAGCGCGAGCTCGAGTGGCTGCTTGCGCAGCTCGGCGAGACGCTGCAGTCGCTCAAGGCGGGCCTGGACGAGTGCGCCGCGCTGCTGGCGCCGTCGGAGAATGGGTCGACGCTGGTGCTGACGTCGGTGCGCTCCGAGAGCCTCAAGGGCCTCGTCACCCGCGTCGGCACGCGCATCGTAAAGGGCAACGTCAAGCTGCGCATCGCGAGCCTGCCGCCCCCGCGCGGCTCGCAGTCGTTTGACATTGCCATTTCGGCTGCCCCGACGGCGCCCACGCTCGTCGTGCCCCAGCTCACGGCGGTGCGCACCGCCGTCAACGGCTGCCTCGATGCCATCGACGTCGTCTCCTGGGGCGGCGACGCGACCAACGCCGCCTTTGTCGCCGGCCAGCTGCTGCTGCTGCACGACCGCATGCTCGAGGCGCGCCAGGCGCTCAAGGGCCACGCCGACGTGCAGACGCCGTGGTGGGAGCACCCCGTCGACCCGCACACCTTTGACCCGCCGCTGCCCGCCCACCTCTCCTTCCACATGTTCGTCTTGGACGCCGCCCTGTGCCTCGAGATCCGCACCCTCGAGCCCCGGCCAGAGGACGAGCCGGCGTCCTTCACCGGCTTCAACTTCCGCGACCGCCTGTCGTCGGCGCTCGGCGGCACGCGCACCCCGCTCCACGACGAGGCCGACAACGTCTACACGTACCGCGGCCAGCCTGTGCGCGTCAGGGACAAGATACGCGTCGAGACGCAGGACCCGGCCCTCATCTCGGCCTCGGCCAAGCTGAACGCGCTCGCCCACAGCCTGACGCTGAGCCGCAAGGCCCTCGACATTGTCATGGAACTCCCCGACGAGCCGACGCCGACCGGCCGCTGACAGCAGCCAATGAGCCTGCTTTGCGCGCCCTGATTGGCCGCATGCCTTTCTCCGCGGTCTTTACTCTTTTGATAACGCCATCCGCGCTAAGATGGCAGCTCGGAAATGCAACATGGACATGGGAAAGATGCACTAGCATTTGCCCCAGAAACTATCCCACGGCGATAACGCTTCCACGTTTTGTGTTTTTTTCTCTCTTCTTCTTGTCTTGACGTGTCTTTTCTTGTCCTGACTTGTCTTGACTCTTCTTGTCTTGACTCTTCTCCTCTTGTCTTGACTCTTGTCTTGTCTCGACTCTTCTTGACTCGACTCTTCTTGACTTGTCCTGACTCTTCTTGACTCGACTCTTCTTCTCTTGTACATGCACTCGGCCATGCCCCTCTTTCCCTGACACACTGGCTTGCTCTCGGGTTCTACCGTCCCACAATATGGCGCCCGCGCTTCTTGCTGCCGTTGACTCGGCCGCGCACATCCATCTCGTCGTCGGCTCGAACCCACTCGCCGGTGCACGGTGCGCGCGCTCGATTGAAGTCGGCGCGCACCCCATACTGATCGCACCCGAGGATGCGACCCTGCACTACGGACTGGCCAAGCGCATCGACGAGGGCGAGGTCAAGTGGATCAAGCGCGGCTTCCAGGAAGCGGACCTGACCACGCTGGGCCGCGCTGAGGTGGATGGCGTCGTCGATGCCGTCTTTGTGACGGCTGGAGGGAAGCAGGGGCAGAGTATGTCTTGCGTGTGTTCGAGCCAGTTCCTGTCTAACGCAGTACAGGCACACAAATATCCAGCCTGTGCCGCCGACTGCGGATCCCCGTCAACGTCGCCGATGCGCCCAACCTCTGCTCCTTCACCCTCCTCTCCACACACTCCGACGGCCCTCTGCAGATTGGCGTGACTGCGTCTGGCAAGGGCTGCAAGCTGTCAGCTCGCATACGGCGCGAGATTGCATCCTCGCTGCCACCCCACCTCGGCGACGCCGTCGAGCGTCTCGGCACGCTCCGCAGGCGCATCTGGGAGGAAGAGCACGCCGCCGAGCTCTCGCAAGACCTCGAAGCCGAAGAAGAAGACAGCGGCCAGCCCGCCACCTTCAACAAGTTCGTCATGGAAGAGAGCAAAGAAGCAGCCCGCGGCCGCCGCATGCGCTGGCTCTCGCAAATCTGCGAGTACTGGCCGCTGCGCCGCCTGGCTGCCATTACAGACGCAGACATTGACACCCTGTTTCGCGAATTCGCCGCCAGCTCCGCCTCCAAAACCGGGCCCACCAGCACCGCCTCCAACACGGGGCCCACCGGCACCGCCTCCAGCATCGGGCCCACTGGCACGCCCACCCCGCCCGCGCGCAAAGGCCGCATCATCCTCGCCGGCTCCGGCCCTGGCAACCCCGATCTCCTCACGCGCGCAGCCTACAAAGCGATCCAGTCGGCCGACCTCATCCTGGCCGACAAGCTCGTCCCCGCTCCCATTCTCGACCTCGTCCCCCGCCGCGCAACCGTGCACATTGCCCGCAAGTTCCCCGGCAACGCAGACCGCGCCCAAGAAGAGCTCCTCGAATGGGGTCTTGCCGGCCTCGAGCAGGGCAAAGTCGTCGTCCGCATCAAGCAGGGCGATCCGTACATTTACGGCCGCGGCGGCGAGGAGTACGCCTTCTTCCGCGACCACGGCTTCGTGCCGACTGTGCTTCCCGGCATAACGAGCGCCCTCTCTGCCCCGCTGTTCGCGGCCATTCCGGCTACGCACAGAGGCGTCGCCGATCAGGTGTTGATCTGCACCGGCACGGGGCGCAAGGGCGCGCCTCTCGACCCGCCCGAGTTTGTTGCGAGCCGCACAATCGTCCTCCTCATGTCGCTGCACAGACTCGAGGCGCTCATCGTCTCGCTCGTCGCCAAGGGGTATCCCGCCGACCTGCCCGTCGCCGTGCTGGAGCGCGCGAGCTGTCCCGACCAGCGCGTCATCCGCACCACGCTCCAGCACGTGTGCGCCGCCGTCGAGGAGGAGGGCAGCAGACCGCCGGGCTTGCTCGTCGTCGGAAACGCGTGCAGAGTGCTGAGCGACTACAGCCAGCGCTGGGTCGTCGAGGAGGGCTTCCACGGCCTGGACGACCTTGGCGCGGACGGGGAGCTGCAGCTGAGCAAGCTGGGCGACGGGGTCGCAAAGACTGCTGCGTAGAGCAGTGCAGGTAGACGGCCTGCCGATTGTGATAGCAATAGACACGCATTCCACAACCTACTCTTTCCATCTCACCTGTGTTTCTCTCGGGCTGCTCTCTTTCCATCTCACCTGTGTTTCTCTCGGGCTGCTCTCTTTTCATCTCACCTGTGTTTCTGTGTTTCTCTCGGGCTACTCACCTCCCTACCAAACATACCGATCCTGCTGTCACTGCCGGTTCGGGGCCGTGGCGTTGTGGTGGGGTACTGTCACGCTGCGTCTTCTTTGAGCTCAGTCTCGCAACGCTCCTAGAAGCCGCCCGAATCCAGTTCAACGGTGCAGCGATGAATCGCTGATTCGATCCGAGCTCGTCACAAGGCGTGACTGTGATCCCGCCACGGATCTTGCCTTTGTAGACACAGAGCGAGAAGCAAGTTTCTCCATCTCCTTGTTCGCCTCAGCCCTCAGTTCCCGCTCCATGCTTTTCAGCCTTCAGTTCTCGCTCCATGCTTTTCAGCAACCCTTCCACGTTTCGCTGTAACCTCACCCGGCCAATAGACTCGGCCTCAAGCGCTAGACAGTACAGTTGAGCGAGGCGGGAGTCTTTCTCAAAGACGCTCTGCAGTTCAATGGGTGCGCCCTCCATTTCCACTGCAGTGCAGCCGCTAGCCCACGAGGTGAGCGCGACGGACGATGCCCACGAGTTGAGCACGACGGACGATGCCCACGAGTTGAGCGCGACGGACGATGCCCCAGAGACCACGGATCGTCCATGGTCGTCAGATTCAGTGTCGGTGTCAACTTGCATACACTTTTGTATAGAGCCAGATCGGAGACTGTGCCATGGTGTGCGATGTGAATAATCCTCCTCCTGACACCGTACCATGTCCGCTGCGTGATCTATATTGGCCAGACCTTCATCTTGAAAACAATATCCTCTAACGTAGCTGCCCTCATCAACAATTTCATCGTCAGTCACGCCAGGTGCGCTCCCCTGATTCCCTTTTGAACTTCTCCCGCCGGTCTCACCATACCTGGTAGTATCCGTATAAAGACAATACTCGCGCCACTTGTGACCGCAATTGACACAGATTGGGGACCAATCGCCCAATGGGCCATGCTCACATTCGCTACAGAACCAAACAGTCCCACCCATCGTGGCGTTATCGGCCCCTTTCGTCAGTAGAATTCGGAGCAACGGTGGTGCATAGCCCGATCTTTGAGCGGCCGTCAGTTTTCTCCCGAGATCGCTCGTGGTTCAGTGTGAACAGCGGCGCATTTCAGTGCCGAGTTTATGGTGTAGAAACCCTGACACAAGCTTCGGTGTGCTCAGGCGAGACGAGCAAGTATGTCTGGAACGGTATCTGACATGGCGGTTTTGGTGGGCGTGCTCTGGGGACAGATGCGAGGCTCTGAGTGATATCGAGCGTACGAGCAGGATACCAATATGATGAAGGTCTTGGAAGCTGGGTGTCTTACGATTTTGAGGTTCAAGACGATCGGGCTGAGATGCACAGCCTACCAATGTCGGCCACTCAAACGCTAGTGCATGCAGCTTCCTGCATCACGGCGCGTACAGCACTGAACAACTGGCAGCACAACCACGATGACGTCCTCGCCGGTGAGTTTCTCCATGCTATGGGCCACGATCTCCATTCACACAGTCGGAGTTTCTGTTGCGGAAGCAACCGTAGAAGAAAATATCGTACACAGCTGCGCCCGTAGCTTGACTGCAAGTGCAGATTGATCAGGACCTCCCCTTCATCTTCTCCAATATCTTCACAACCTGAGGTAGCACCTTCTCGACGTTCTCCGAGACCCTCACAGCCTGCCGCCCCGTGTTGCTCTCTTCTACATCGCTGAAGAAAGCCTCCTCTCCTCTCGCACCGCCCATATTCAATATGCCTATTGGCAGCTTCTGCTCCTTGGCCTTCTTGACAAGTCTCCAAGCGGAGTATGTCGCGAGGCTACTCCCAATCACCAATAGCCTCCCCGCCTCGTCCACAGCCTGCTCAGCAGCGACCTTTGTCAACGCCGGTATACTCTCTCCGAACATGATAACAGCAGGCTTCAGTACTCCACCCTCACTGCCATGCCTCCATGCGCCATCTTGGTCTGTCTCAATCCTCATAGCACTTCCGTCCGCCTTCCGCGGCGGGTTCTGTAAACACGTCGGACACGGCGGGTAGCGGAACGTTGTGTACGGTGCATCGGGCACGTCGGCGTCGCCGTCTGGATTCGTCTTTAACCCTTTCTTCCGCCGCTCGTCGGGGTTCTCCGAGTCCAGCGCGCCGCTCGCAAGCATTTCCGCGAGGAAAGTGGCCCACGCGGGGTTCAGCTGCGCGAGCTGATCTTGGAATAACCGGCGGTCGTATTCGTTGCGGCACGTTATGCAGACCAGATTTCTCAGGTAGCCGTGCAGTTCGATCGTGGGGAGGGACGGGTGTGCTTTGGGGTGAAATGAATCCACGTCTGCTCTCGTCAGCTCCATCTTCATACGACCCACTGCCATTCACAGGCGGGTACTCACTCTGCGTAATCACCCGCCCTACAACGCCCAACCGGCCCAGATCCCCACAAGCCTCATGTGCCTTGTTCGGCCGTGCCTTGTTCAGATTCGTCCAGCCGAGAAAACTCCTTGCCCAGTATCTCTTGCGCGCTTCGTTGTTCTCGCAGAACTCGTTGTAGTAGATTGGCTTATACGTCTTGTTCTGCGTATACGTCCCGTTCGGGCCCCGATAATCCGCCAGCCCGGAGGCGACACTGATCCCCGCGCCTGTCAAGAGCAGGGTCTTGCCATTCGTCTTCGCCGGCGAAGAGCCGCGTAAGTACGGTCTCGGGGCAGACAGCGAGGGCGAGAGAAAGTCGATGAGTGCCGCGATTGCGCCGGACGTTGTTGTCGCGCTGGCGGGGATTATCTTGGGAAGTGGCAGGGGGTCTGTGTACGGCACACGGAGGATTGCCATGGCATGCGCGTGCAGGGCTGGTGTGGGGATTTCAATTCCATTGTGAGAAGCGTGGTTGTTGCGGCGTTAAGGCGGAGCGACGGGTTAGTGGTGATGTCAGTGATGGCGGCCCGTGCGAGACCTGCATCTGTCGCGTGGAGACCGGGATCGAAGAGCCGCAATGCGGGCGCTATTTTTGGCGTGTGCCTGATGGTGTGTAGATGCAGGTGAGGTGTGTTTTCCGATCATGCACCTTTGTCTAAGTGAGGCATGGGAGTGGAGGATGCGAGGTGGCAATGGAGGGGGCTGTATGCATGTGCGAGGCTGCGAGGCTGTGTCGGGAGATCCTGCAGGTCAATAGTAAGTGCAACCGAGTGCAGATCTGGATTTGGCATGGTAAGATGGGGTTCGAATAGCGATCTGTAAGGTACGAGCCACATTTGAGGCTCTTTTGAATGTTTCGAACCGTAGGTCATCGTGTCACGCTCGAACGTGACAAAGGAGTCTGGCCAACCATGGCTGAGACAGCAGTATGACGGACATGGTATGCTGTGTTCTTAAAAGTAATGAAGTGTTGTAAATCAATAGACATAGTTCTTGTATCGTACACGGGCCATATGCAGAGGGGTATAGAGTGCAACGAAAGTAGGAAATGACATTGACAAGAGAGACATCGAAATGAAATGGATACAGAAATCTAAAAAAGTATGGCCTACGCAGTGAACTGAAGCGCAAACAATGATGCTTGGAAAATACAAGAAAGCTCGGAAAAATTTGAAGTCAACAGGTACCTCAAGGCCCTATGAAGGCCGGCGAGCATCCTGCTTGCTGCATCCCGAACATGCCGTCATGTGTATCTGAAGAACTCCTCGCTAATAGAGCCAAGTCACGCGAACGGCCGGATGCAATCAAGAGAACGGGAAGAAGTGTGTACGTTGAAGAAAAGAGTGAGAACGAAGAGAATTAGGGATCGGCGAAATACCGAGCGGAGAGAACGCCGAGTGGTGTCGTGAAAAGTGCGATGCTTGAGAGTCGTAACGATCGTGTGGAGTATTTCGTACAGTTGCCCGAAAAAGAAATCATGTGAGGAGCGGAAGAAGTCGTCGCTCACTGCTGTTGCAGGTGCGCGTTGGGGAGCGGGTGCGGGTGCATCAGCGGCTGTGGAGCGTACTGCATCGGGTGCTGGTGTAGCATCGACTGGATGCTTGGCACCCGCTGCTGCTGAGACGGATAGCTACCCGGGTACTGGAGTGGAGTGTTCTGGTAATGAGACGCCGGGGCAACTGGCATTGCCATCTCAGTGTGGTGGTCGTCTGATTCTTCATCGAAGTCAGATACGCCTATTGCGCTGTCCGCGTGGTCGGCGTAAGTACCGGAGTTATAGCCCTGCTTCTTCATTGCTGACCTAGCAGCCTGTGATAGATTCTTGAACCCCTTCTCCATGCACTGGAGTCGACTTAGTGGGCTATCATCAAATGGTGCAGTAAAAGCTTACTTTCGTCTCAACCAATTGCCACTTTTCACCGACTCGAGCAGCAAGGAGGCTCCACATGTCTCGTCGAACCTCCATGTATGCTTGCGCTAGAACATCCAGCTTCACGCCATCCCATTGTTCGGCGTTCATCCTCTCCATCAATCGCTCGTGACGCTTCCGGCACGCGTTCGGCGACTTGCTGGGGAAGTGTTTGGGAGCGATTTGATTCCAATTGAGGCCTTGTGTCCTGGCCTGGATAAGAGTTTCGTCGTCTTGCGCAGACCATGAGGAGCTTCGTGTGCTCCCACCTGCTGCCGATGCAGTAGAAACAGAGCTGCGGTGTCCCATCGGAGCCTTCTCAATCCTAGGCATGTTGATTATGGAGTATGAGATAGTAGAGAAGAGACTACAACCGGTGTGTTGACCGGAAGGAGTACAAAAACTGGAAGACGGAAGCGACCGAGAGATGTATTATGATTATGGTAGAGTAGGTGTCGTTCAACGAGAGTGATGGAGCGGGAACGAGAGGTAGGAAATGTCCTGACAATATGAAAAACGAAGGAACCTATGTTCGTACCTTGACCTGGAGGGAATCTGAGGTCCGGACCAAGGTCAAGGCCTTTTGCTTTATACAAAGCTCAACTTTGAGCCGCAGAGGGTACCTACATCAGGCTGGAGACCAATGGGCCGCTCGGAGAATTGTTTGAAACCAGGTTGTGTTTCTGTAATCGCCGGATCGATCCCCTGTTTACTCAAAGAGGAGTGTACAACTATGCATAGACCACTCGGTCGCAGCCCCAAGCGCTGTCAGAAAGGGCAACTAGGTCACCAGGCAGGTCAGCCAACGTTGGGACAAGGGTGTGGTGTCTGTGACAGAAGCGCCTGTTTGAGAGCCGTTCCTGAGGCTCTTGATGCGGCTGTGCCTAAGAATAACATCTGCCGACCGGTAAGGGTGTGGTATGGAGGTAGGGCGGCGGCTCCCTTGTAAGTAAGCGCGCGAGTCTCGACGCTGATACGATAGATCCATGGGGCCAAAATAGAGATCTTGGCGATCCACACCAAACTGCATCTGCAGGGCTGCTGCAAAGAGTGCGAGGGTGCTGTAGTCATCAATATTCCACGGGGCTGAGCCCAACATGACCTGCATCTGCATAGCGGCCCGCGAAAGTGGGAATACCACGTTGCTGATGTCGGGCAGTTCAGGCATCGGAATAGAGGATGCAGATGCAGAGCGACTGTGATGATGATAGTACGAAGAGTAGCTAAGCGCGCGATATGGTGATGAGCCGGCGATTCGAGTGTTTGTTTCATGAAATACGTCGCAGCGGCTGTCATCCAAAGAAGGCGGCCGCAAGCGCCAGGCCCATTCCAGCACGTGCTCGTCCCCACACTATGTACATACAAACCGCTATTGTTTCTTCTTTCTCCCTACAAGGCCGTTGCTGTGCCTCCAACATACAGTTCGAAATGCAGCTACTACCTCACCAGCAAGTACCTTAGACCTTCTCAAGACGCTACCGTGAACAAAGACAGCAATGACACACCCTGTGTAACCGCCAGTATTCGAGGCCTGCATGTGGTTCACCACTCCAGCCTTGCCCTAAACTCGAGGTTAAAATTGACGAGACACTGACATGTCAGATTCAGAAAACTTGATCCACGTAGTCGGCGTGACACAAGGCTGTCAAGTGTAGGATGCTGCACAGCCCTAGCACCGGCTACCGAGTCTATCTGCATAGAAGCGGGTGAGATAGCTGCGTACTAAAAGCGCCTTTCATTAGGCAATTCTGACACATGCAGTCACGTTGATGCAGACCAGTAAATCGCAAAGTCCATGTTGTCTTTGACTGTTCGAACGTATCCGTGAAGCTGCAGCAGTCTTGCTCTTGATGCTACCCAGCAGTTCAAAGTTGCTAAAATTGTGCTTAGAAGCAACACAGTGTCTTCGAGCAGAGAAAAGATCAAGCGCTTCAGTCAGTAGCAGACACGAATTGATACTTTCTTTCGTCCGATAATCCGTGCGGTTGATTGCACCAGACACAATCAAAAGCCGCAGCGGCTGCGGAGAGGAGCTCCCAATTGGCCTCAAAAGCCGGCCATTGGCGACCCCCACTTCGGCCAGTCGTATTGGTCATTAGGCGGAAGCTACCCCGAAGCCCGCATCGAGGTCGGCCATCTCGCCGTGAGAGATTGAGCATACGCCGAACATCACGCTAGTCGGTGCCTCGGAACATGAGGGGCATGTCACTGCTGGTTTACATCACCCTCCAGCTGCCGCTCTTGCGCGGCAAGCCTGCGAATTTGCCCGTACCTCGAACTCCTCTTCTCTTCACTGCCACGTCTCTTGTGCACGATCTCGACTTTCGCCATGGCTGCTCTTCCCGACCTTTCACAGAACAAGGCCGTTAGGCTGGTCAAACATGCAGCCGACAATCACTATGCTATTTGCGCAACTTGTTGTTACAATGTTGAGGGAATCTTGGCCTCAGTGAGAGCTGCTGAGGCGAAGCGCTCACCTTTGATTATACAACTTTTCCCATGGGCGGTCCAGTACGCTGATGGTATCCTCGTCCATGCAGCACGGGAAGCCGCCGATAAAGCCAGCGTTCCAGTTGCGCTGCACATGGACCACGCGCAAACCCCAGAAATGGTGAAGAGGGCCGCAAACTTCGAGAGAGGATTTGACGGCATCATGGTCGATATGTCCCACTACGACGACAACCTGGAGAAGACCGCAGAACTCGTCAAGTACTGCAACGAGCGCGGCATTATCACCGAAGCGGAGCCTGGGCGAATCGACGGTGGGGAGGATGGTGTGGGGGACCTCTCAGACCTGGGGTTGGAGGCGATCCTTACCACACCGGAGCAAGCCGAGGAGTTCGTCGCCACAGGGATAAACTGGTTGGCTCCTGCTTTTGGCAACGTACACGGTAACTACGGGCCGAAAGGGCCACAGCTGGACTATGAGCGCCTAAAGCGCGTACACAACAAAGTCGGGGACCGCGTCAGTCTGGTGCTGCATGGCGCAGGCGCAGAGTGGTTCCAGGAGAAGCTGCTGAAAGAGTGCATCGACTGCGGTGTCGCGAAGATGAACATCAACGACGCGTTCAACAACGATTTCACAAGGATCATGCAAGAGCAGGCGGGCAAGACACCGATCACCGGGCTGATCGAGAAGGCGACCGACGCCATGCAGAAGAGCATTGAGCAATACATGGACTGGATGGGCTCGACAGGAATGGCAGACAAGATACAATAGAGTGAGAAGAGGAAATACAAAGATCCATTCATATATACATTGAAATCGCCAAGCGCGGGTATCAGAAGTTCTCTGTCTGCCAAAAGTCTAGATCTGTGGAGGCCACTTGCCCCAGGAATGCTTCGTCCATCCCAAAACCATACGACCCTATCAGATCATACATGTTATATGCGTTTGCCACGTCGCCATGGCCAAAGTCGACTGCTGCAACTCCATTGGGCTGATTCTGATCATAGTGCCCATTGGATGGTTGTCCATGCTGTACATTGTACGGAGGCGGAAAGGTATGGTCGACTGAGCTTGAAGGTGTGCCCATCATATCAAGCTGCTTGAGCAGAAGGTTGATGCCATGTACGATGTGTCTGGTGAGGTGTTTCTCACTCAGGTTCTCAGCAACCTTGGCAAGAAAGGTCGCCGATCGCCTCGCTAGTGATACGACTTGTACTGTATTGAAGTTCAAGCCGAGACCAATAGGCTCGCCTGCTGATTCTGGTGACCGAACTTGGGCGGCGCTACCCCATGTCTTTGCCATCTTGAGCAGGAAAGTGGCGCAGAATGCGATCATGGTGTGCGTAAAGATGGGCACTGCAGACATTGCCCTTCGGATGTCCTGCTCTTCGAAAATAAGTGTCAGTGTGCTAGTTGCTGCGTTAATCGCAATGTTGGCGGCTTCGCGTCGGTCGTAGGACAGTGTCTCCGACGTGACGGCACTAGGCGGTGGTAGACCGCGTAGCGCCAGAGAATTCAGCTGAAAACGTGCAAAGTGGTAGTAGAGGACAACGCCCTTTGATGGGTACGAACCGATCGTGGGGCTATCGACGGATCTCGCTTGCCATGCAAGCCGCCATTGCTCAATGGCAAAATTGAACATGCGCAGTCGCTGGAAGTCGGGTTCGGTGAGGGGCTGCTCTGGATCGCTACCGTACGCGACGTACGCTTCTGTGAGAATTTTGAAGAGTGTGACTTGCGCACTCAGTCTGATGTCGCCTGGCTTGGTCTCTGGACTGTCCAGAAACTGCTCGATGTTCTTGATCGCGATGTCTTCGTGGATGATAGGTGGCCGACCGTACGCGATACTGAGCTGGTGCTCGCAGACATATAGCACATACCAAAGACGGACCTTATCTCGGTGGTCTTCGTGGCCTCTCATAAGCTTGTTGAACGATTGATGAAGATTCATCTCTGTGGCGTTCCGAACTGCAGCACCTGAGAGCTTCCAGCTGAGATTTGAAAGATAGAAGGCTGCAAGCAGTAACGCGCGGATGTCGTCTAGATTTTGGACTCTCGAGAGGCAGGCGCTGTATGCGCCAGAAACGAAGACGCCGTAGCACTTCTCCAACGCGTCGTCCCGACCGGGTGTGTGCAGAGCTGCTATCGTGAGAACAACAGCCGTGAGCAGAGAAGACCGCCGGCGAATAGCAGCCAGAGAGTCGTAAGGACACAGTACCCCACCCCATAGGTATAGTCGGAGGCCTTGAAAATAATGCCTGAACAGGTCCTCGGCTTCCGATAATGACACAACTCCTTGGGCAATGAAGTCCTCCATTTCCGGATTCTGTCCTGACCCATGTTTCACATTGCTGCGAAGATTGCGAATACGTGTCAAATCGTAGAGGCTGCGCATGGGCACTGTGACAAGGTCGGCCTCTTCGATGGAGTCGCGCTCCACAGAATTCTCTCTTGTCATGTCCATTGCAATTGGAGGCACAACCATAGCTGTACCGTTTTCGTTACCAGTGTGGCCAGGACTAACTTTCACAGTAATTTCTGATTGCCTCCGGAGTTCCGGTGATGTGACGGGAGGCTCCTTGATTTCACCAAGATCCGGGAGGCCATTGTGTCGCAGTAGAACCTGGACTGCAGAGCGCAGCTGTGCGATCTCGGCAGCTGCATTTGCTTTCCAACTGCGAAAGTCAGTATACTAAGAAGCACGTCACAACACGTGTGACTCACGAGGCATCTTCATCTAGAAGGCGCTGGTTCATGTTGTACGGCACACATTCCGTACCGCTGCGCAGGCATTTGGCGCATTTAGTCTCCCCGTCTACCGGATCGCATTTGATCTTATGTCTCTTACATTCGGCGCCTGTTGAGGAGTCAGTTCGAAGCCTGGATGTTGATTCCGGACCATCGCTTACAAGCTCGGATCCTGGGCGTGCGCTGCTGGGGGCTGGGACGCTTTCCATCCTCATGGTCTACGTCCTCACTCGGTCGCTTTTGTTGCGACATCTCGAGGCCATCAGGTATTCCAGTACTCGATAAAATAGAGATGTTACAGATCTTCAGGGGACGGGAACAAAACGCAGGTGCATGTGGAGACAGAGACAGGTGCCATGTGACTGTCAAAGACAGTGCCACCACCCACCCATTGGGAATTACAACCGTAGAGACAGGGGTCTCTCCGCATGTTGCCTAGACCCTTGCCGAGATGCGGGGTCGGTTCGTATTCGTATACGGTAACGGCTCGAAAATGATCTCATCCCTTCATTATTCAACCCCAAAATTGTTCGTCTGCGTTGAGTCTCCTGTCAGCACGATAAACTACCTTTCACTCTACCGCACATATCATCCGACCTGGATAGATTGTATTAAGAGCAATGCAGCGAAAGCTTCTCAAGCATAGTCCACGCGCTACATCACTAAGCGTCCCAGTGTCTGTACGATGTCTGCCGTGCGGTGACCTCTTTGCTTTATACGTTAACGGTGTCATGGGAGCCGAGGATCCCTGTGTTGCTACTGGGCACATTTCAGCATCTTCAGCGCTTTGTTGCATCTCCCCGCAACATGGCCAAGGAACAGATTGGCACAATGCAAGTCCGTGGCCAAGCGTGCTAATTCTCTCAAGCTTTCCACCAACCCTCACGCGAGCTTCGAACATGACAACCCTTCTAGCGATACTCCATAGAACCAGCCACTGCCGCTGTAACCCTCTCAACCAAGGCGACCAGCTGCAACCGAAAATCCTTCCCGCAGTCGGCAGTTGCGTGACCACCCCGCATGGTTGCTTAACAGCCGGAGCGGTCATGCAGCGCTATGTAATGTAAACCTTAATATAGTTGGATCTTCCCCAAGTACTTGGACTCTCATTTCCACCACTTAATTATGTGCACGTAGATCGTGGGTTTCGGGTTGACCATCTGTACGACGTACTCGATGGAGGTACTCCTCCATGGCAGCAATCTAAGTCGGCGTAGCTGTCAGACCGACCCTGCTGTCGGCGAACATGCCGTGCGAGATGTTCGGTGGTTCATTGTTCATTGTCACGAGTAGAAACCAGGGAGGAAGTAAGAAAATGCGAAATTCACCTCTTAAACATGAACAAACGGCTCTGGAGTCCCTTAGTATCTTGTGCACTTTAGCTCGTCAAAGGATTCCTTTCCAATCCAGTCTTGTTTTGTCATACTACCTTCAAACCTTCAAGATGATGTCCACTCTGGCTGTTTCAATGATCATCTCCGTCCTTGCCGCGACTGCTGATGCCTACGCGAACCCTCTCTCCTGTAGTGGGACCTGTACGAACGCACACGATCCATCTCTCGTCCGCCGCGATGACGGCACGTACTTCCGCTTCAGTACAGGCAAGTCTCCCTTCAGCTTGACAAATCTACGATAGCCCCTCACATGTTCCCTGGCACCAAAGCAGCTAACAAACTTGTAGGCGGCAAAGTCGCAGTGCACACCGCACCCTCCATCCAAGGTCCGTGGACCTACAAAGGCGCCGCTCTACCCAACGGCTCGAAAATCAACAAAGCCGGCAACCAAGATCTCTGGGCCCCAGATGTCTCCAAGGTCGGTGCAACATACTACCTCTACTACAGTGTGTCCTCCTTCGGGTCGCAAGACAGCGCCGTTGGCGTCGCAACAAGCTCCACCATGGACGTTGGCTCGTGGACCGACTTGGGTTCTACTGGCGTCGAAAGCGTCACTGGCAGCAAGTTCAATGCTATTGATGGTAATCTGGAGTCTGCAGGCGGCAAGCTATACATGAACTTTGGCAGCTTCTGGAGCGATTTATTCCAGATTGAGATGACCGCCACACCCACAAAAGTAGCCAAGGCGGTGACAAGCGCAACACAGATTGCATTTGTGCCGACGAGTCCGCAGGCGCAGGAGGGGGTGTTTGGGTACAAGTATGGGGATTACTACTACTTGTTCTTCAGCGTGGGGAGCTGTTGTGGATATGACACAAGCCGGCCTACTGCTGGGAAAGAGTACAAGATTCAGGCTTGTCGGTCGAGCTCTGTTTCCGGGCCTTTTGTAAGTCAACTATCGGGTTATACGAAAGTAGCTTTGTACTGACAAGTATTGAGGTTGATAAGAGCGGCAAGTCTTGCCTCTCGGGTGGCGGAACTACCGTTCTTGATTCTCACGACTGGGTCTATGGACCGGGTGGTCAGGGTATCATGAACGATCCGTCGCTAGGACCGTAAGTACAATCGTCACCTTCGTCAACATATGTAGCTAATAACGCAACAGCGTCCTCTACTACCACTACGTCGACACACGTATCGGCTATGCTGACAGTCAGAAACAGTTTGGTATCAACAAGCTCGACTTTTCCAGTGGGTGGCCGGTGGTCTGAACGAATCGTAGCCTTCCTTGCACCAAGTTAATTCCCCTAACATGTTTGTACATACGTAGGAATCTTCGACAGCGACTGTATCCTCGGTCATATGCACATTTTTCTTGCAACTGTATAATGTTTGTGAAACGAGCCACGGTCGTTCGTAATAATAACAGCCATTATCATTCGTGCATGACCACCTTGAACAAGAACTTGATGTTTGGATCATACGCACACATCTTGTACAACAACTTTTCGCGCTCCATCAGCGCTTCCCTTGCCAACTCAGCTCCCCAGCCCAGAAATTTTGCATCAGTAGTGTTCTCTATTCCAGCCAGAGTCGCAACCTTAAGGTACAGAATAAGCCTGACATCGTGTTCTCGGAAGATCTTGACTGCACAGTCGGGGGTGGTCTTATTGGGCTTCTCGAAGTAGTTCAAGACGGCCAGATCACACGCATCCAGCTGGTAGCACACCCTTGCTGTGACCTCAGTCGTGGAGGGTGTCGGTTCCTCGGCTAGCAGTCGTCTGCCACTGAGCTTACAGGCCTCAATGTAAGCTCTCTATGCTTCTGCAGACACCTTGGACTTGGTGGCAGCTACCACTGCGGGACCTAGCAGCTCTTTCCCCTTGCTCAAGAACTCTCCAGGGTCCTCGCCTTCCTCAAGACCATCAACAGTTGCGGCCTTGCGATATGCCAGAACCCTTACATCCGCCCTGTTGAAGAGCTTTGTAGTGTTGCCGTACTTGGGGTTAGGCCTCGGGAAGTGAGGTAAGCAGACCAGATCTCCAGGTAAAAGAAGATAGTGGGTCTTGCTGTCAGTTTGGTTGATGCTCTCGTCAGGCTCATCGGAGAGCTTCTCGTCGCCGACATTGTGCTCTTCGACATATGCGGCCCACTTCTATTTGGGCGTCTTTGCCTTCGGTGTGTCCTTGGCTGTTGCTTCCTTGTTTTGCTTATTGGGAGTTGCTTGTGCGTCGTCCTTGTGTCTGCATCTATGTTAGTAAGAATAACGAGAACCAAGTGAATGAACATACTTCTCCTTCCATTCGTCCCAGAGCTCTCCACCTCTCTCCAAGATTTCGGACTCCTCCATGGAGCCTGTGAGCAAGCCATACTTCCGGACTGCCACCTTCTTTACTTCTGCAGCCAGAAACAGCTTGGTCTGACCGCCATACTAATTAGGTTTTTCGAAGTGTTCCAGTGTAACCAATTCGTTTGCTTTCACGTCGTACTGCTTATGCGCATCGGTCTGCGTGACAGTATCATCGCGCTCAGGTTCGTCATCGAGCAATTTGCCAGATACATCATTCTTTGACAGCCAGTCCTCCCATAGCTGCTTCACCTGCTGTTTGGCAGCCTTTCCCTCTTGAATCCTACTTTTCTCTTTGTGTTCAGCCGCGAGCGTTTCAGGAGACCTCTTGCGGCGCTTGGGCGTCTTCCCAGCCTCTTTATCAGGCAACTGTGGTCGCTTTGTGCCCTTTGTACGAGTGGCTTTGGCTGTAATTTTGGTCGACCTCTTTCGTTTCTTATCACTGAAGTCTGAGTCCTCTGAGCCCGAAGTGTACTTGACAGGCGCCTTTGCAGCGGCACGGGCAAAGCGTTGTCCAGTCATTGTGAAGTATGGTGTAAACAATATGCGGGAGGCAAGTTGAAAAGTAAAAAGAAATATTGTATGCTGCTGGAGATAGGTTACATCAATACAATAACAAAATGGTATTCAGGTGTAAGACATCAAGGAGGTTCGGTCAGGGCGGTCTAAGGGCTGACGGGAAGTATCTCCTGACATCCTTGCAAAGCAGGAACAATCAAGGCGACCGACATCATATCACTGATCTGGAGCAGGGAGAGCGCGACGCAACAGCTTCGGTGATGCTGCTTGATCGAGAGCTTTCGCTCAAGGATCGCCGTCTGAGCATTTCGACATTGAACATGTCCAACTGGGCTGTCAACATTTCAGACAGCCACGTCCAGAATGAGGCTGCATCTAGCCTCGTCTGTTCTTGGCTTACTTGCCATCAATCGTCGGCTTTCGGCTGAAGGGAAGATTTCTTCGAGAAGTGCAAAATTATCGCGGAATCAACAATTGGAGCTTGGATTTGACTGATAAATCCAAGTCAAGAGGCAATGAGAGGATGAACATTGTTGACGGTAGAGATTTGGGACGGGCCCGGGCGCTAGGTGATCATCGTCACCAATTGCGGGGATGTGCCAACGACACCACCATCCATCTCGATTTATCAAGCAAGTAGTATAGCCAATCGCAGATCCTGTTTTGTTCGCCGCGCCGACTGCGCTGTCAATTAACCATGTCTCACCAATGTGCGTGCACCTGTGACGAAAAAGAGCCCCCCTGCCAGCCTCCCCAGCCTCCTACAGCCCCACAAGTCTCCCACGAGCCAGCTTTCCATGTGCAATAACTGCCCATGGGGCCGCACTTTGGTACCGTCCACGACAATGCCAACATTCCTAGCGACTCCACTTATTTAAGTGTTCCAAAGATCATGAGTGTGGAGCCTGAATACCATCTCAAGCACACCAACGGTACAGCAGCTTGACGCACAGCATCCATCATTGACTGATTTCCAATAGTATCACGACCTCAACTTTCTCACTCGAGCTCACAACAAAGCATTGCAGCATCACAAGCCGCATCCGAAGGTTACTACAGCGCTTCTGATCATAACTCCAACGACAGCGACGACCGGAGACGCCTGTACCAGACACCCACCAGCCACACACCCACACGAAGTCATGAGCAATTGCAGACACAGCACCAGGCCCCGGTAACATCACTCAGAGGCGTGGGTATTCCAAGAGGTCAGCCTCAGCAGTCACACGCCGCACACCTTCTCCAAGGCCGTCCCATCTCCACAATCTCAGAAGAGCGAAGATCGATGGACACCAGACGGCGGTCCAACATGGACCCAGATTCGCAGGCCACAACACCCGGCCAAGACACAACACCATACATTCGCTTTGCTATCGACCAACTCACCCGAGATGAGGAGGTTCGAGGGTCACGAGTGTACCCTGAAGTACGGCAGTACGAGGAGGACTACCCTGTAGAGCGGATAGTTCCTGATCATGGCCTGGGGTACATGGCGCAGGAGCAGCAGACACAGAAGAGGATGTCAGAGCACATGCCGCCGAATTCCAACAGACACTCGAGACGTCACTCGATTCCTCGCAAGCCAGTCGCTACGCCTCACAACGTTCAGTTCTCGTCACCTGCCCCGGCATACGAATCGCCACCTCGTACACAGCAACAACCTCCATATTATCAACATCGAATGCCGGCACAAATGCAGGTCGAACCACTACTACATGATGACCCGCGTGTGCAGTACCCCCAGGCCTCTGCCTTCAGTGCAGATAAGGACGTCTTCGTAGCGCACGACCTCGACCACCTGCCTCTCCACTTCGTCCCCGCCGTCCTCCGCCCAGCCTGGCTGGGATTATTCAGCTTCCTATGTCTGCTCATGTTGGCTGGTCTGATTGCATCTGCTGTCTTGTCGTCACGAGACGGAGGCAATGGACTGTGGAACTACACCAACTTTGGTGATGGACGTTACTTCGTCTTCGAGTACCTCCCAACATTACTCGGCATGTTCATCTTTATCTGGCTCATTCAAGTCCAGACCGCTCTACAAAGAATCATTCCATTCTTGTCAATGGCATCAAATTCATTCCATCGCCGCTCTGAGGCTGTCTTCCTCGAGCTCCACCCAACGCAGTTTCTGCTTCCCAGAATCGAGCACTTTCGTGCTGGTCATCCGGCTATTGGCGCTTGCTACATCATCTTCTGGCTTTTCGCATGGACGATACCCCTTCTTGCAGCTTCTTTCAACGTACGCTACGACTTGACAGCATCTGTCTGGCGATGGGTCGCCGTACAGGGTGTCATCTGGACAGTCGTTGCACTGTACATACTTCTCGTCATTGCATTGTTCGTCGTTCTGATTACTCTTCGCAAGCCAACGGGTCTGAGATGGGATCCCCGATCTCTCGCCGACATCATTGCACTCTTTGAGCGTTCCAATGTCATGGCCGAGTACGAGGGCTCTGAGACCTTTGCCAATGGCGACTGGGACCGCCTGCGCAATCGCGCTGACCGCATCGGATACTGGAGCACATCGAACCGCACGAAAGACATTTTCTACGGCATCGGCGAGGAAAACGGCGAGACGCGCCGCTTCTCGATCGAAGACGGACGAATCAGGGAGAAGGTGTCTGATCGTGCGAATCTCGAGCAGACTCACGATCAATCAGGAGACTTCCACATTCGAACCGACATCCGCAGTCCTCCCGTACGCCTACGATTTTTGCCGTGGTATCTCAAGGACGGCGCCGTAATTGCAAATATCGTGGTTGGCATCATCTTGCTCATCGCCTTCTACGTGATCAGTTACGTTAATTCGGCTGTACGCCTCGGATTCCTGCCCGCCGTGACTGCACGCACCGACGCCGCCGGCTTCTCGACAAGCAACTTCTTGTACTCTTTCGTGCCTGCAGTCATCGGCATGTTCCTCTTCCTTGCACTCCTATCCGTCGATTACTCCCGCCGCGTGCTGCAGCCATACATGTCCCTCTCATCGGCCGGCGGTGCAACAGCAGAAACCTCCCTGCTCCTCGATTACCCTTGCCGCCTGCCTCTCTCTGTAACGCTCGCAGCCGTCGGAAACCGACACTTTGCCACCGCCATCCTTTCGGTCATCTCGCTAGCCAGTCTTGCCATCCCGGTTGTTGCAGGCGGCTGTTTCTGGACACAATACTACGCCAACGAAGACACGGTGCGCGTGGCCGCCGATCTACCGGGATACTACGCTCTCTGTTTCTTCCTCGCGCTGTACATCGTGGGTCTGTTTGCGCTGCTGCCGGGTCGCAAGAAGGCGAAGCTGCCGCATCGGAGTAACACCATCGCTGAGGTTGTGAGTTGGGTGTACCAGAGCCCGATTCTGGGGGATCGCGCGTTCTACCGACCGCAGACGAAGCCGGAGTTGGTCACAAGATTGATGGGCACCGCGTATGCGGAGCGCTCGTTCAGTCAGTCGGTACGCTCGCTCGTGAGGGGTGATTCTCCTACTGATCCGGCGCTGGGCGGGAAGGAGAAGCGCCGTGTTGGCGTACCGCAGCGCGATAGCACGGCTGATCCTGGTGCAATCCGATATGGTTTCGGCATCTACGTTGGCCGCGATGGACTGGAGCATCTTGGTATTGATCGTGTGCACCGCCGTGAGCGGCCTACTGGGCTGGTGATCTGGGAAGAGCAGCAGAGCCATCCAAAGGTTAAGAAAAGCAAGAGGAGTAAGAAGATCAAGTACGACAGGAAAGAGAGAAATGGAAGTGAGACGGAGAATATGGTGTAGATGATTGAGACGGAAGAAGAACGATGGAGATGTTTATGATTTCGTGTATCATGCATTTACGATGGCGCAATATGGGGCATCGGAGGAAATCTGACATTCGGACTGTAACTATGCGAACGACTAGATGACATTGACGACATACTACAACTAATTCGAGATGACCCAACCATCACACTACTATGCGAAGGTTCTACTACTCTTTCCAACAACACTCCGTGCCATTCGGGCTCTCACGCCACTTGTAACCCTTTCAAAAGACTATCGTTTCCGCCGTCTGCTTCTCTTCACTCCACCGCTCTTCTGTCTCCGCTATTCCAAATTTATGTCGAGAGCACAGCGTCAATTGACAACGATCTGCTGCTTTTCTAGTTCAAAAACCATACTGTACTACTCCATGCCATTCTTTTGGCGCTAAAGCAGCAAGACACAAACAATGCCCGCTTTGCTCTTCTTCATCTCCAAACACTCTGTCGGCATGTGCAATCCTGCGCCTTGTGTTGTATATAGGTAGTCGGCTCCATTCCGCCCTCCTCTGATGCCCAAAACCAACAACCCCAATGCCATTGTGCCTCTCCGTCGAAAAGAAAATCCACTTCGGTATGGCCGGCTTGCTCTTCTTCTCCATTCTTATCTAAGCAGTTGTCAGCACGTGCTTATATGGGTGCCTTTACTGCACATCTGACAAAATCGATCTTATCTGCCTTCGCTGCTACGCTCAGCAGTAGACTCTCTTGACCATGAAACATTGTCTTTGGAGCACATGTCGTGCTGTCTGAAAAGTGACACACTCATAACGATGCTCCGCTTCACCCTCTTTCCACCTTTCCCCTACACCCGTACGTGCACAGCCACAGTCTCTCAACATAAACCTCACGGCGAGATTTGCACTGGCAAGACAACGTATGGCATTAACCACAAACCCCTTATGTCGACGCTCTTCCAAAACACCCACTCAGACCTCAGTACAACAGTACGAATGCACCGCACTCGATCCAAGCCATGAACTTGTGCACGCTAGACGGACGTGAGTGAGTGTGAGGAGGGCAAGCGAGTGTTTGCTTGTGCAGTTGGATAGGGAGCTAGGAGATTGAATGCAGCGTAGAGATATGTCAAGCAAGTTGTGATGTGCGAGGCGTTGAGTCGAAGGAGGACCAGGGATGCCCGCGGGCATGGTCTGTGGGAGGCAATTGAGCTTGGGGCCGGTTGGAGCTGTGTTCCTTGCGGATCGGGCGGTTGTTGATGTGACGGCCCAGCATTCGTGTCAGTTCGATATTCAGACCCGGGTGACATAGTCGGGCTCCAATTCAAAGGGCAAGATATCATTACATGGATAGAAAACCACGGAGACCTGTCTGATAGCAAAGAAACTCTGTGAAGGTGGCGACTGGCATGACGAGAAAAAAGAGGGGCACCAGACGCATGTCAAATAATGCATACACGTGAACCGCTTCCATAGCTTACATCCCCGAAGGTTTGCTCATTGATTGATGAACGCGAAAAAGTAAAGAAATGACAGACATTATCGATCGAGTGTTTTAGCCTCGTCCGCCACCCAAAACAGGGGGACACCGAATGTAGAAACAAGCCCGCTGATGGAGGCCCATCCATGAGACTCCCAAATGCTCGCACCCCACGTAACCCATATCAAGAATGCCAACGTATCGAGAGAACCGTGCGAAATCGTAGCCGTTGTGACAAGCGTGATTGTAGCGCAGCCGTAAGTCATGTTCTGTTTTCCGTCCTTCTGAACACAGCAAACGACCTCTGATCATTCAACCTCTTGTTCGCCGGCGAGCACGAGAGGCAAAGTGAAGCGCGAAAGACCGTCTAAAGCGCTATTCGGAATGTCGAGACAGCTCGCAACCATGATGTTCGTTACAGAATGTTGTGCGCCGCTCTCGCTACGAGGACAGGAAGGGGTGTTGGTGTACAAATGTCGAAGAGTAATTGGGTTGTCGTGGGCGCGAAAGCGATTTCGAATATGATGGGGTCGGACTCGCAAGGGCAGATCGGCGTAGGGACTCGGGGCTATCGAGATTTCGCTGTCTATCGGCGCCCAAACCTGCTGTAAAAATTGTTGGTATGTGTTCTGAATGTGTAGCTGAAAAAAGAGAAATCTCAACTTCCTCTGCTACGAGGAGTCGGCAGACCGCGGGCGCTGAACTTGGGTACATACTTTTGTTTCTTTTCGGCAGGTTTCAGGATCTGTGGATACAACATTAGTCTCTGTTGCACGTTTAAGCACCTTAAGGGCATACCTGGAAGGAGCACAGCAAGCTCTCGTCGACGCTCATCATTGCACCTGCGTTGTCAAACTCGCCACAGTAGTTCGGCGCACTGAACAATGTGACGAGTTGACGCTTTGAGAAAAACTCGTATCCGTCTTCTACAACCTGATGGGCACGGCAGATGAGGTCCATGTCGTGTTTTTGCAGGAAGCGTGACACAACATCAGGGCCAAATGTGAAACTGACACCTCTGTCGTTCTCGCTCCAGCCAGTAATATCCTTGTCAGGGTCGGACCACAGGAGATCGCAGAGAAGACCGCAGTCAGGAATCTGCGCAAGTCAGCTTGAGCTATTCTGATACTTGATGTATAACAACCAAGATCAAGAACCGCAGTATTACTCACATCAGTAGGTCTCATGACCCGCCTGATCTGCTCCATGGAGTTCAGGTCAGGGCTAAGACCACCGTGCATGGTGAAGATCTTCTCGTCGATGATGGCAGCGATGGGCAGGCAGTTGAAGCAGTCGGTGAATGTCTTCCACAGCTTGATGTTGTATCTTCGCTTGCACTCGTCGTAGAAACCGTAGATGCGGTTGATTGAGGCGCACTCATGGTTACCACGCAGGATGAAGAAGTTCTCTGGGTACTTGATCTTGTATGCGAGGAGCAGGCAGATGGTCTCTAGCGACTGCTTGCCACGGTCGACGTAGTCGCCGAGGAAGAGGTAGTTCGCCTCAGGAGGGAAGCCGCCATATTCGAAAAGTCGGAGCAGATCGTAGTACTGGCCGTGGATATCTCCGCAAATCTGGTCGTCCGTTGTCAGTGAAGTCCCTGACTCTTTTGAGCACCACTGACCTTGATGGGTGCCTCGAGCTCGAGGAGGATGGGCTGCGAGATGAAGATCTCACGCGCCTTGGTGCACAGATAGCGGATCTCAGTCTCGAGCAGCTGAACCTGTTTGCCGGGCCTGCTGCCCCTGACCTCTAGAAGACGGTCTATGATGGAGTCGAGATCTACCTCGGTTTCGGCCATAGCTGTGGCTTGCTACTGGCTTGGTGTAGAGTTTGGGAGGGAGCAAGGGAGAACCTCGCGTGGGTGGGGTCGGAGAGAAAGAGCGCGTTGACGCAAAAGGTTTTGTCCCTAGAGGTTTGCTGTCAGCATGGGGAGCCCTGTAGACACGAGGCCGCATTGGCGTGGTCCGTTGTTGCCAGGCTGCCCACGGCGCACATGTCCACTGTACGGGAGGAGCAGCCGGGCGAACGCAGCAGGCAGGAGTGCAACGTACCTCACGTGCAGATGGGCCGGTCGTGTGGACGCTGGGTGCTAGCGGTGGGCGCTGGATGGAGAATGGCTCGAAGCCCCTCAGAGACGCCTTGCGGCAGTGCTGGGTCTACTCGACGCTAAGAGTGACTCGCGAGTCGGGGTCGTCAATTGTGCACGTGCTCAAGAGTCTACCTGCGCTGGTGGTGCGGTGGGCGGTTGAGGGCGCGATGGGAGCGGGGCGCTGAGGCGTTGTTGTGGCCGAGCGATGTCGAGTGGGATGCTGAGGGACGGGACCTCACCGCCTGGCTGCGACGTGGGGTGCGGGGTCAGATGGCGGTTGCTGCGAAGTGGTTCTCGGTGCGGCACGGCAGAGAAGTGCGTCAGAAAGCTTTGCTACTCGAAAGTCGGGGCAGGTGGGTGGTGCGAGTGGTAGAGCGTTGCCGTGTAGTAGTTTTGCCTGGATTGTTTCGTCCTTGGGGCTAGCTTGGCAGAGAAGTACGAGCTAACCAACTACAGAACGCGCGGCCAACGACGAGGTAAGCAATCGCAGTTATTCGAGCTGTCTTTGGCGGTTGAGGCAGAAAGCAAGTGAAAAGTGTCTGGATCCGAGAGGAGCGAGGCGGGTGTGTTTGGGAGCAGGGCTTGCATTGAACCGCCCAAGCGCTCTGTCATCATTCTGCCTGCTCCGCCCTCTCACGCGCGTTACATGGAAGCTCGACCCAACGTCTACACATGTGCATTCCTGTACGCTCACGAGTCCTGCCAGCGAGCACAGCAGGAATTTCTTTTTGCGAACTGCCACGGAGATGCTGTTCACCTTTCCTGGCAACGACTGCTCACGGCGAACGTCTGACAGTGTTCCAGAGACATCGAGCGGTATTTCTCGTTCTAGGCTTGGGCACCGGCTCTGCAGGCAAGCTCGGCGCGTCCCCTTACACACCGAGTATTTTCATGCGCCAATGCGGTGAGGTCACAGTACAGACCGTTTCAGTTCCGCAGCATACATCAATGCGTGCACAAGAGACTTCATATACCCAGCTTTCAATCGGCCCACAGATCCCGAGCGGACGTTGGCATCACGTGCGCGGTACAATTCACTGCTCGGTGTCTAGAGAACCTCACCCTTGCCAAGGACATAATCGTCATATTTGACTTTGCAGCTACCTAGAAACGTGTCCAAATATCCGCTCCTCATTATGCAATAAGTCAAACAGCCGCCCCTCATTGCTCACAAGCCAAGCTAGATGAGCCATGTTCGCAAAACAAAGCTGAGAGTCTTCCAAGCCCAAATAACGCCGTGAGATGATTAATGATACAAAGACAGGTCATAACAGGTCCGTAAACTGCGCAGGAAATGCAAGCACAGCCAGCCTTTTTAGGGATGAGAATGCCGCCGGTATATCGATATATAGAAAGGAACAAACACGGAAGAACAACGAGCGTGACGCAGCCGCTCAAGCCCTCAAAGCCAATCCAACCAACGCCATGCAAGAGAGAATGATCTGCGTAAAGTAAAACAGCAGAGATACGACAAGAGCCAAAATGATCTGCCAGCACCTAAAAACAGGTGGTGCAGATATGAGAATGAAAAACACAAATCTTTTGGGTATCGCAAAACTGATTAGATCAATGGGCTGTGAAGATCAGCCCAGTGTGCGACCGCCTGAGACGATACCCTGACTGGGCGTCCGGGGCATCGCTGGTCGTATGGTAGGTGAGGTGTAACCGCGGTCTGGCGACAGGCCTGAAGCGGCGGAATCCCAGCTCTCGTCACCCAACGCAGTCAACCAAGTGTTGCCGAAGTCTTCTCGAAGCGCCTCGATCTTCTTCTTGTACAGATCATTGCTGACATCGAACTCCTGCTCGGGGATCTGAGGAGCTTTGCTCTCGGTCGAGGTATCGATAGGCGGCAATTGCTGGTGGGTGGTATGAGTAGTGTCTATGACGACTCGCTCATCGAGAGAGGGCCTCTTGACAGGATCTCCAGTGACTTTCCCATTCTGTGGCTCTTCGAAGCGAGGTTTGTCTGGCACTGTGACGTCTGTGGTGGTTTTCTGTATCCTGGGCGGTGTCCTTGCGGACGTGTCGTCGTAAGGCAATCCAGTAAGGCCAGAAGCGTTTGATTGTTGCAAGGCCTCAGCATGCGAGAGCTCAACAATCCTCCGCTTGGGACCCTTCTTCTTCCGTTGTGAGCCGTGCGCAGCCTGCGCGCTCCGTGCGCTCTTCTGACGTTGCACCGAGCCGGAGCGCCCGAGAAGGTCCGGGTCCTCGGTTGTGGAGTCGATAGCCTTGACGACCATCGGAGGAACATGGGGCGGTGGCATCTCGTCTTCGACCGGCGGTTTGACGACTGGGACACCTGGAAGCTCAGGTGCTCGATCGACAAGTTGTTTCTTCTCAACATTGCTTGGTCCTGTTGAGTCAATGATGACATCCTCTGTGTAGCCAGGTGTCCGGCGGAACAAGTTGAAGATTGTGACACGGTAGTTGGAATATGACTTGCAAAAGGGGTTGCGGTGGATGTAGATCTCGGCCATGTCAGGGATGACAGTGAGTCGCGCGAGCTCAGTAGGATCCGTCAGATTGTTATCCCTGAAGTCGACTCGTTCCAGGGACAGCAGGCGCTCGATTCCAGCTAGTGACGATAGACGATTGGACCGCAGATTCAGGGTGGTGATCGCAGGCAACGGATTGCGTCCTAGGGATTGCAACCCCTCGATCATGCAATTTGACAGGTTGAGTGCACGTAGGCAAGTCAAAGTAGCCAGGCTATCCGGGATCTCGCTGAAAAGGTTGGCGGAGAGGTCGAGCGACTGCAAGGTATTCGTAAGCGGCGCAAGACTCTGAGGAGATATGTTCGTGAGAGCGTTGTCTGCCAGACTCAAATGCCTCAGAAAGCGCCACTTGGTCGAAGGAAACCAACCTAGGGAGAGTAGATTAGACGAACTTCCCCTTGGTGTGTTCGATCGGACGCTTGATGCCGAGCTACCAGATGAACGCCTGTAGTTTGGGGCAGAACTCCTTCCGTGGCCATGAGCATGGCTCGAGCCATGTCGAGAGCTGGTGGGTCGAGTAGGCGAATTGCTTCGCTGACGCTGTGTCGCAGGCACTTTGCTAGGGCAGTCTCGCATGACATCGGAATTACGAGGGCTCGATCCTTGTTTGCTGGAAGCGTTGGGCGAGGACGGCGGCGACTCCTCGGACCGGGCTAGGTGTGCGTGTCTTGCGGTAGGACTTGTCGTGGGCCATGGTGCTGGAGACTGAGGTGCCTTAGCAGAACGTCTGCGACGCTTGTCGATATCGTCCAAGACAATGTTGATGATCAGATCAGCAGGATCGTCGACACCTGCTCGCTTGACAGTCAGACTGCGAAGGTTCTCAGCAAGCCTGTCCCAGCCATAGAACTGGCGAAAATCGACATCGTAGATCTCCAGCGCTGTAACGTTCTTGAAGGCGAAAAGTGGCACAGCAGTGTCGAAAGGAAACTCCTCATACCCCGCGATCAGGCGAGCCTTGTGATCCGGAGCTAGTCGCAGACAGGGGATCTTGGTGAACGCGGAGTAGAGGTATCGCAGATCCTCCTGGAGCAATGCCTTCTGCTTCTCGGCCTTGGCTGCACTATTGGATCCAATGCGCAGACTTGACCAAAGCGAGGACATGCCAGACATTACGCTACGCACACTCGACACAGAGTGAATCGAATTGCCGTCTGAGTTCTTCTGCCTGTGGCGCTGGGTATTGCTGAGGAACGACACATAGTTTGTGGGCGAGGCATCGGTGTGGATGTTTTCCAGTCGAACATTCATGGGTCCCACAGGAATGGAGGTGTCCTCAAATCGCGAGAGCAGGTAGAACAGATGGTGCGGTGTCAGCGTCAACTTCGCCGGCTTAATCGTGGGAGATGTGAAAGTCAAAGATGGTAGCGAGAGTGCTGCGGCCCAGACACTGGAAGAAGTGGAGACTGGGGGGCTCGAGGGACCCGTGGGCGAGGTAGGCGAGAGAGAATTGCTTCGCTCATGTTTGGGAGCCTGTCGCTGCAACTGTAGTGCGTTTGCGAGCGCTTTCTCATGTGTTCGTACAAAGTACGCCAAGTTCTGGAGCACATCAGCATCAGTCTCGTGCGCGAAGTTGGCAGGTCATACGCACTCTTATGAAAACCTGTCCATCCTCTGTGTCCATGATTTATGACTGGCAGACGCCGACTGCATATAGAGCTCCGAGAGAGTCTGTAGGTAGGAGATATGGAAGGGCGGCCGTTGTCGTGGAGGCCGCTGGGTAGGACGCAGTACTCGCTCGTTGCGCCGTGTCGCGGGACCTTCGCAGAGCGGCTACGTCGTGAGACGAAGTCACCGGAATGTTGCTTGAACAGTCAGCAGTGAAGGTAATTCGCAGAGGCAGCGGGCGCAGTTGCCGCAGGGCATGGTTGCTGTCTGCAAGATCTTGGCGGGGTTGACCGGCACAGAGTCGAGGTACATACCGTTTGACCTCTTCCTGGTGCCCTAGGCAAGGAGACCTAGGTGACGAGATATTGCTCTGGCAGCGAGCCAGATATTATGCGGCAGCGGCGCACGGGAAGACAGCCCACTGGAGGCGGCCGGTGGTACAGGAGGAGCAGCTTAGCTGCGGGTTCCAGCGGTCGGCCAAAGAGAGGTGCAGGTTCGTGCAGGAGATGCACGAGAGTCCGAACCGCGCCCGCGACACTGGTCAGGGAGAAAAAGGACAACCCGGTGCACGCGCTCGCGAATGTAGCAGGGTGCAAGAAGAGGTGGGCGTCGACGCTGGAGCAGCGCAGGGTTGTGCGGTGTTTACAATACCTATGAACAGCGAAAGGCGGCCGTATGTCGAGAAATTAGATGCCTTTTCGGTCTACCGTGCTCAGACCTCCCGGGGCGATCTGGAGGGGCTCAACGACAAGGCTTGCGCGACACGGCCGGGGTTGGATCAAACGTTCGATAGTGCTAAGATACAGAGCAGACACTGGCAACCTGGCAGAAATATGAGCCGCGGCGAGGACAAGAATACCACACCACGAGCAACAGGTCAGCCCAAAGTCAGCATCACAGCAAGCAGGCTCTCGATAAACAACCAAGCCCTCCAGACCCTTTGGGTACGCTATTGGTCAGGAGGGACGAGCCATGTAGCGCCATTATGCTAGTGCCCTCGAGGGGACCCCTTGTCTGCATCCTTTGCGCTTGGATCTCAGGCGTGCTGCGACTCCACGGTCAGGTATAGTGGGCATCACCGAGCCTCCTCAGTTATTTGAGGCGTTGTTGATGATCGTGCATTGCTGTTGACCATCTTGAAGGACATGCGAAGAAAGCGTAGTGGGCGGTAACATTGCGCCGGCTCGACGCTGTGCAAGCTGCCCATTGCAGCATGCGGAAGGTGCTCACTGAAGGATGTCGTGATGGATTCCCCAGCCATGGCTTTCTTCGAAGGGTTGCGCCGAGCACCACCGGTTGCAGATGCGCTAAGCGATTGTCAGATACGAGGTCTTCCGCTCGGGGGAAACCAGGACGAGACCATCTTTAAGCCTGGCGGCAGCACGATGATGCTGCTGCTCAGTGCTCACCTCGCTGCTCGTCAAGAGATTGCACGCAAAGCTTTTGCGCTTGGAAATAGGCAAAGCTCCACTTCGCTCTACAGCTCTGCGACACACGGTCGCAATGGTGGTCAAGCTGTTGTCGCACAGGCCGTGCATCATGAGCACATGAGGCAATCTTGAACGTGCCGCCAAGTCAGGCCAGTTTGGTGGCTACAGGTGGGCCCTCGAACCGCGTCCGCCGACGTCCATCAAATCTGACCTCAACCTCGCTACACGCCTACGAACGCTGACTACTGCAAGATTGAGGCGTCTCCCCCTCGCTACATCCGGAGCGCTCCAGACATTCCTCAAAGGGTAGTCCACGAGAGTGCTCATCTGACTCTTGTCAGGCTTTGCAATCCTGCGGCTACCGCGCTGCTGAACGCTGATACGCGACTCGAGTGACACAAGGCTTGGATATCAAACATTCAGGTAGCGCCGGGCCCTTCAATCCCTCTCCGTCAACCACCACTCGTGGCTTGCGTGTTCGCTAGCACAGACCCACACTGTCTACAAGGGTGTCGCGGCGCCCATTTGCAGATTTGGAGATTAGCTGGCAACATCAACAAAGCAATTGAGCGAACCTCGTGCCACAGACATCACGGCGAGCGGCGGGAGCGCCGCACTCCAGAGCAAGGTTCGCATTATGTCTGTTCCCATCCTCCCGCAACTCAGACCACGTTGATACGGGGGTCCTTTGCTCAGGGCACGTTTCGATAAACTTCCCAGGAACCCCACTTGCCTTTCCTTTGACAGACGGAAATCAGCAATTTGATCCCTGCACCTCCGTGCGCTAGCCGAATCTCCGAGCAGGACAAGGCTGCCTCTGCCCCTCAACACCATGACCCCTCACTCGCGCTACAAGTGCACTTTCGACAGATCGCACGATCGAACTGACCACACCACCAGACAAAATTTTCACACCGCGTGCCATTGGTTTTGACGTCCAGTCCTGCAGGCTAGGCGAAACCGCTACCACCAAGTGTCACTCCCTCGACAGCCGTTCCATGCAGTGCGACGAACTGGCATGCTTCGGCTTTGTTCGATCTTCACCGCTAGATCACTTGCCGAGCGCAACGGCCCCGTGGGGTTCGACACTTCCGACTGGTAACCAGCGCCTGTCACTGGAGGCGGTTGATGCAACGCAGCCTCACAACTGACAGGGACTGCAACTCGTCAAGAACCTAAACTCGTCACGTTGCATCCGCATATCCATATCCTTGCATCAACTCCACAGCGTCTGAGCACATCTCAAGATGGCGAATCTGAGACATTGCATCTCTCAATTGCCGTTCCAAACTCTGCAGTGATATTCGCCCAATTGGCGGTGAAGCCTTACAGCCTTGCAGAGCATTGACATCGCCAACCCCTTCCACACCACCAGTCGTCTACGCACCAGCCTCTTGGGCACCCATAGACACAATGATCTTCACATGCCCAACGCAGCACATCTCAGCCTACGTACTTAGCCCCGGCTATCGCCCGACTGCGGGTTTCCCTGCGCACGCGCCCGTACCCAGCCTTCAACGTGCCATCAAATCCGAAATTGACATCATCGTGCATCGCCGTCCTTGCGCGTCTTCAAACGTCCCACTTGGTCTATACATATTTACGGTCAAGCTTCGAGGAGCCCCACTATGAGTACGTCTCGCAACAGCAATGCTCGATACGAAACATCGTTGACCTGAGCCTCACGCCACCGGGCATCTGTAGGTTTGGAGCTTGAACTTGGAGCTTTCCAACGTGCTGACAACCATCTACGTAGGAATCTGCATATTAGTTGGCAAGAAATGACTCTTTACATATACCTAGTAAACGCGTTTTGTGCACCTATAGGCAAATAATGCCATGCATCTTCATACCATAATGTGACTCTCACCTGCCCCAAACTCCATCCTAATGACTTCCATCCCAACACCACAAACCACAAACCTCGCAGCTCTCCCATCGTTGCCCAATACCGCCATGCTCGAAACATCTGCGACACTGGTCTTGCACCTCGCCAACCGCTTGATCGTCACTCTGTCCTCGTAATCAGAAGCATCATTGATCTCCACGCTCCAGAGTCGCACCCACTCGTCGTTGCCGGACGTGAGCACGTAGACTCTCCGCTCTGTCTCGCTGCTGAGTATCGCGCATGCGGTTGCCGCCGAGCCGTGCGCGCGGGTCACGATCACCCGTGGAGCGGCGTAGATCTGCTTCTCTTCTCCTCCCTCCCCTGCAGCTGGAGAAGGGGAGGCGAGTACAAAAGCCAACGCGCCGTCGTCGCCGCCGGATACAATTAGTGTGCCGAGAGGCGTGGGGTGGGTGGAAATTGTCTTCGACGCATTTTGGTGGATAAGGAGGGGCTGTTTCCATACCATCGTCTTGTTCTCGTGCGAGGGAACAGAGGATGAGGATGAGGGGAGAAACCAGAACGCGGCGTGACCGTCTGTGCCAGCTGTGAAGAGGAGTGTGGGTGAGAGGAGAGCGGTCTGAGTCAGGCAGGACGTGGAGTACATCCCGTTGGCTAGGGGTTGCCAGGCGGGTGCGAGAGAAGGTGTGTAGCGGTACGTCTGTGTACTGTCAACGATGTCCATGTCAATGCGAGCGAGTGAAAGGGGTATGTTAACCTTGACGCTCGAGTCCGAGAATGCCATCGCAATAGCGTATGTACCTCCAGTAAGATGCACGTCGAAAGACATAATGCGCAGATCTGAAAACTCGCTTTCTGGCCTATAGACGGATTCACAGACGATGCCAATGCCGATATCTGTGGATAGGGACTGGACGCGCCATATGTAGAACTCTTCGCTACCGGCACTGCTGAAGAGGTATTCACCATTATCGGACCACCGGAGGTGTTGGATGCCGGTGGTGTGTTTGCGGAGCGTTCGCCTGCAGACAAGCTCTCCCGCATCGTATGTGAAGATCTTGATATCTGTGTCCTCGGCGCCTGTAGCGATTAAGGTTCTGAGGCTTGTGATACCGTTATTGCTTGGTACAGGTGGAGATACGGCTATGGCTTTGATCTCGCGGCCGTGACCGCCGGAGCGCACGACAGAGTGATTTGCGCCGACTTGACTGCAAATATGCAGACTAGATGTACGTGTCCACACAAGCGTTCCGCCTGGATACTCGGAGTCAGAATTTGACTGGAACGCCCAGCTGCGGTGCGCGCCGCCTGTCTCGATGCCCATGATTTCTTCTTCGGTGGTGATATCGTAGAGAACCCACTTCTTACTGAAGAAACCGTGTACCAACAAGTGACCTTGGTGAATGTATATGTTCTCGATGTTCGGTCCAATTGGTAAAGTCAAGTTGTGGACGAGGGTCACAACGTTTCTTTCAGTGTCGACAATATGGACAGCAAGACAACCGTCACGGCCGACCGAGTACAGATGTCCGGTCGAAGCACTTTCGGGTAAGGCTCGGAACATCATTGCAGTGACGGTCTCATCGCCGTGGACTTTCTCGATGACCCTGAAGAGAAAAGTCTCTGCTCCTGCAATATTATGCGGAATCGTGTACAACGCTATAGATCCACGGCGATACCCTAGAAGAAGCGTCGACGGTCCTGGGTGTGCATCCACTATTGACATGCTGGTAATTGTCGAACCCGTCAGGGTTTCTGGAATGGATATAGACATTGATTTCAAGCTTGGCTGTGATGAATCCGCTGGGGTGTCGATGAACAGCAGTTGCGAGTGTGTCTGGCCAACCAGCGTGATCAGAAGCGCAATCTGCTTTCGACCTTCAGGATATTGAGCGTCTGTGACAAACAAAGAACCAACTTTCCCAGTGACTGTGTGGATCCTCCTTAGGCTCGAGTTATGTGCAGAGTACATGTAGATACTGCCCTTTGTACCTGCAAGGAATGCAAGCTTGTAGGTAGGAAGACCAGTACAAGTCGAGTAGCCTGATAGGTCCTCGAGTTGATCTATTAAGACTGAGGTTGAGAGGTTGCTGCCAAGGCTGGAGTCCGTACTCGTCCGATATGATTCAATCAGGACCTTACCAGTATTCGTGACCAACAAGAACGTCTTGATTGAGATGAAGCAGTAGCTTCTGATCGAGTCGCCCTTTTTCGACGCCTTTGCAAGTTTTGTGGCATCTCCCGAAGCATTCGAGGGCTCTGCCATATAAAGTAGGTCCTTCAGAGTATACTCAGCAACTGAAGTACCTTGATCATTGATGCCCTGGTTGGCACCACTCAGTGGATGCGTCGTAAGTTTGCCGTCCGCAGCACCGCAGGCTACGCGAACCGAATTGGCATCTTGATGGTATGCAGCGATTGACCACATGTTCTTGCCGTTATGATATGCGGAGCAATCTGTCTGCTGTAGGGTGCATGGACTGTTTCCCTTCTCTATACTGGCTGCAAACTTCCATGTGCGCGACGTAGCATCCTCGCCTGCTGAGAGAAGACCCAACGTACCATCACAGGGAGAAGAGTCTAGAAACCGAATCCTCCAGACTCGTGACGTATGACCCCACCCGATTGCAAGACAATTCGAGGTCTCAGGCTTCTCATCAGCGGCTGCAACGCTAAAGCCTGTGTGACGTGTCCGCTGCGTGTCTGTATCAAATTCGCCTGACAGTCCGTCGGCATTGGTATCTACACTTGAGACGTCCCATAGACGAATTGTACGATCATCACTGCAAGAAGCAATGACGCGTCTCAGGACCCCGAAATCTCCGCGTTGCAGCTCTTTCGAGATGCGAACATCGAATATCGAGCCTTCGTGACCTAGGAAGACTTGGTGTATTTGTGACAGTGCTCCGCCTTGGACCGACTTGGACCATGACCAATACATAATCTCGCCAAATGCAGTGCCAGCAGCAACAAGTATACAGCTGGGTGACTCCCACAGCAGATGAGCGGAGTAAAGAATGGATCGTGAGCTGGCTGTGAGCTCAGAGATATTGACGTCCAAAGATCTGGTTATAACCGTGAGCAAGACTCAGCCGACAATTGCGGCCAGAACAGCGGGACGAAGGGAGTGTGACCTACTTCGTGCTGTTTTGGTATTGTATGGTGAGCTCGAGAAGAGCATTGTGAGCCGTGACAGCAGCACATGTATCCTGGTCGTGCACCTCTCCATCTTCCAGACTACTCATCCGAGGTGCGAGATCAAGAATCCAGTCGGTGGCTTTCACAACATTTGAGAGACAAAGAGATAAGAGTCCATGGCTGGAGCCGCCTGTCAATGCATTGAATCGAAGGGCTCGAACAAGGCGTCCGCCCCATACGACGACCTTGGTCACATTGCCTAGCTCTTCAGCATAGACTGATATGCCATGAACGGCCTGTGCTTTGAAGATGCGTTCAGACGCAATGAATTCGGAACTCTTAGCGTGGTAGAATCGCAGGAATGATCCTTCTGCAGCAATCAAGAGCGCGCCGCAGGATGCTAACGCGGTCACCGGTACACGAGTGCATTCATGCTGGGGCAGTCAGCGCCGCTCTATGAAATGAATTGTCCAAGACTCACGTGAAGTATGGGTGACATTGGCAAACAATGCTGTCAGATTGAAAGCCGCAGCTGGTGCTGGAATTTTGTCAGCCCCGCACCTGCACCTGCCCGATTTGTGGCGGGGCTGCAATGACGCGGGCGAGTCTTCGGACTTTCTGACACGAAATTTACACCACTTCGCGCCCGCTCTGCCAACACTTGAGACACTGTCGCTTCACGCTCAAGCCCTCCGCGCACCCTCAGATACCAAGCACATATTCCAGCATGTCTCTCGGACAGCCAGGCGTACCGCTCGACGCGGAGCATGCGGACAACTTCGAGGATATTGAGAAGCAGTTCGCGGTGAAGGGTGCGCGAGCCTGTGAAATTCATAGAACGTCGGTTGACAGGTCGCGCAGTTGTCCAGCACATGGAAACATACTGGAACATCCTCGAAAAGGTCAAGGGCTCGACGCTGCGCCTTACCAAGATCGACGACGAGATCTACGAGCACTTCCAGAAGGACTTCCCGGACTGGGACGCGACCGCGACAATCAACGAGGACGAGATGAAGAGCAAGGCCGGTAAGGAAAAGTGGCGCAACTTCATCAACCAGTACGAGACGAAGGTCGAGGACTACAACTTCGGCGCCATGGTCCGCGCCAGCTCGAAGACCGACTACACACAGGAGGGGACTATTTTTGCTGTGCGCATGCAGTTCTATGCAATCGAGATCGTGCGGTAAGTGAGCCTTCAGAAGCATGCAAGCAGCGCTGACGGGCGCAGCAATCGCCAGGGTTTGAACGACTGGGTGTTCGAGCAGGCGCACCAGGGGAAATAGACAGCGCCATGGATCTTACATGACCTGACCTTCCCGTAAGCCGTACAAAGGGTGGATTGCGTCCTGCACTATTATCGTACTGCGGGCCGGAACTGGTCCGCTGTGATAGCCCTGGTCATGCCGTATGCAATGAGCCACGACCACATACAGACGACCGTATACCATGATGGTTCTCGCCATCTCGCTCTGATCGCTATGCCTTCGCCCGGCCTTGTCGAATGTACGAGCAACAATAGATAGCGGTGCTGGTGGTCTTGTCGAGGAGCTCACATTTGTCCCTTGTGCTCAAGCTCAGCTTCTGCAGGGGATGACATCTAACGAATTCATGTAAAATATTGGTTACCTCGCACAAGTGTTCTCCTCTTCACTTCGATGCAGCGATATTGATACTTCCACGCAGAGTGGCGTTGCGGGGACGATGGCGAGGCTGATGGGTCAACCATCCGTTGGCGGTCCAGCTTGGAGAACAATAGCAAGGACGAACAAAGTGACAGACGCACTCAGCCCCTCGAGAACACCAATGCGTCGGCTAAGCATACAGATGATCACGCTACGCCAAAAAAGGTAATTCCTTGTCTTCACTTACTATTCTAATTGCATCAGTTCGCCCTCACTGTCTGCTCCAGATCTGACCCTCTACACTCGTTTTACGGACTCTTCGTCCACACCGGTCACCATGGCGACCACTGCACAATCCGATCACTCCGGGATAGACGAGAAAGTCACCACAAAGGCCGACGATGAAGAGCAGTACGCTTTGCAGGTTGGATGGAAGGCGCTGTTCGGTTTCACCACCAGCAGTCACGTCGCAGTACTGATCAGCGCGCTCACAAGTGCAGCTGCCGCTGCAGCTACACTGCCGATCTTCTCCATCATGTACGGGCGCATCTTTGGCGCGTATGCGAACTATGGTGCTGGGAAGTCTAACGGCGACGAGCTGCTGAGTGAGATCTCACGGCTCTGCGTGATCATTACTGGCGTTGCTGCCGCTAGCTGGATACTAAACAGCATCTTCTTCTTCCTCTTCCTCTTTTTTGGAGAGTTACAAGCAAAGAGCGCAAGGACCAGGATTTTTAACGTGATGATCCGAAAAGACATGGCATGGTATGACATGCGCGAAAGTAGCGTAGCTGCGTTTCTGCCAACCATTCAAATGTGAGTATATGCAGACTGTACAACATCTGTTCACAGCTAAGCTACTCCTAGGCAGATCCGCGACCTGCAGCTCTCGGTCTCCGCGCCACTCGGTGAAGGACTACAATGTGTGATCGCAGCAATCATAGCTATTGGCGTAGCCTTGTACTTCTCGTGGAGTCTCACCCTTGTCGCCATCTGTACAGTACCTTTAATTTATCTCGTAGAAGCCTACCTGTCTAAGAGACTCAATGCACGAACGCATGAGCAAGCCATCCAGCTTCAAATGGCGTTAAAGCACATCACCAATGCCATACAAAACATCGAGACGGTCAAATGCTACAACGGCCAGGAGCACGAGCTTCAAGCATTCACAAAGACCCACACGATTGCAGCAAACCTATACAAGCGGGTGGCGAACCTGCGATCTATGCAGATCGGCCTGATACAGTTCTTCACATTCACCGTTTTCGTTCAAGGCTTTGCCTACGGCTCTTATCTGATCAGGACTGGAAGAAACGACGTCAGCAGTGTTATCACTACATTCTGGGCAGCTTTGTTGGCAATCGGAGGAATTACTGGTTTCCTTCCACAGTTCATTGTCATGCAGAAGGGCAAAGTCTCTGGTTCAACACTTCGAGCGATGATGGAGCAAATGTCTAGGGAAGATGCACCGCATGAGCAGCAAGGAGAGTTCAAGCCTGCAACATGCCCAGGCGATATCGAGCTCAGGCGGGTCAGTCATCACTACTCAGCCCTCGTACCACGCTAATCGATTAGGTCACCTTTTCGTATCCTACACGAACCAACGAGATTGCTCTTCGGGACGCGAATATCTTCTTCCCGGCCGGAGAAACTACTTTCGTCGTCGGCAAGAGTGGCTCGGGAAAGAGCACCCTTGGCCAACTGCTGGCTCGGTTCTACCAGCCATCTTCTGGTCAAATATTACTGGACCATGTGCCGCTCACCAAACTGGAGATCCACTGGCTGCGACAGAATATTACTCTTGTAGAGCAGCATAGCGTTTTATTCGACGACTCCATCCGAAATAACATTGCTCTGGGCGACCAGAACGAGACCATAACGATGGAAGACATGAGAAATGCGGTCAGTTTCGCGATGCTGGAGCCTGTGGTGGAAGGGTTCCCAGCAGGTCTTGAAACCCAGCTGGGTGCGACAGGTAGCTCTCTCAGTGGAGGTCAGATGCAGAGGGTGGCATTGGCGCGTGCTCGAATACGCGACACACCTGTGTTAATTTTGGACGAGTCCACCAGTGCCCTCGACTATGTCACTCGAGCCATGATTTTCCACGGTATACGGGAATGGCGACACGGCAAGACAACTATCATCATAACACACGACATCGCACAAATTCAACCAGACGACTTTGTTTACCTGCTCGATAAATCTGAAGTGCTTCAAGAGGGCTATCGCAAGGATCTAGAAATAGAGACTGGCATCTTTCAGTCCTTTCTTGCGACACACGAAGGGAAGAAATTCGACACAGATGATGAGTATGAGTCGGAAGATGAGATTGAAGATGCTCAGGAAGATGAGCTAATGTCGCTGTATCGCGACTCCTGGGTGCCTCCACCCATCAAACGCCCACTGTCCGCCGTTTTGTTCGGACAGTCCGTTTTGTCATCTTTACAAGCTGAAGTGACGCCGACTTCGGGTCTAGTACTTCCTGATACTATCGACAGTAGGGCAGACAAGCGACTATCAAAAGTAATCCACGAACAGAACTACACCCTCGAGCAGGACGGCATATTTCCACCTACGGACGACACGCAGCCCCGACCTCCACCAGAGCCGATGTCACCAGTATCACCTGTGTCGCCCGTCATGAACACCTTCAACACCGCACGCACATCCCGAACCCTTCTCAACGACCGCCTCTCTCGGACGTACTCGACCAAGGAAGATGGCTACGGCAGGTCACACTCTCGAGCTATGCCACGACCGATGCCAAGCCACTCGGCTTACCCGAAGCGACCGTCTGTTACGGTAGACCGCACTTCGTACCACGCGCAGCCCGTGAAGCGTTCAAGGCGGAAGCAGCTCCGTTCCAAGCTAAGTCGCGAAAGGCTTGTCAACATACCACTGCCTCCCGCTGACTCGCTTCCTATCATGCACATCTTGAAGACCGTGTGGCCGGTCATCGATTGGAGGTCACGACTTACTCTCTGCGTTGCCTTGTTGGCAACATTGGTGCATGCAGCAGTGACGCCAATATTCGCTTGGGTATTCTCACAGCTTCTCTCCACATTCTACGCTATTGAAGACACCAAAGCGGAAGCGCTTCGATACATACTCATCATTTTGGCTCTCGCCGTTATAGATGGTCTGGCCGAATACGTAATGTTCTATATGTACGATTGTGTCGCACAGTCGTGGACTCAAGCGCTCAAGACTGAGGCCATGAGGCGTATCCTGGCACAGCCTCGCGAGTTCTTCGACGAAATGGAAAACAGCACAGCACGCTTGACCGAGACTTTGGATCACTTCTCAGAAGAAGCTCGTAATCTACCTGGGCGTTTCACGGGAATTTTTGTTGCTATGTTCTTTGTGCTGGCGATCTCTCTCATATGGAGCTTGGCCATATCCTGGAAGATAACACTCGTTGCTCTTGCGTCAGGACCTATCCTCTACGCCACCACAACGGCGTATAACCTAATAAGTAGCCACTGGGAGAACCTAGCGAACGAAGCCGCCGACAATGTAGGTCAGGTCCTCCACGAGACCTTTGTCAACATCCGCACAGTACGCTGTCTCAACCTAGAGGACCACTTCCACAAGAAGTACGAAGAAGCAACAACCAACGCCGTCAACGTCGGTTTCAAACGCGCCATCTACTCTGGATCGATCTTCGGTCTCTTGAACTCGTCCGCCTTCTTCGTGACAATCGCTCTCTTCTGGTTCGGCGCCTGGCTCATCTCCCGCAAAGAGCACACTGTGCTCAGGGTCACAGAAACGTTCATGATCCTGATGCTGTCCATCAACGACGTCAGCAAAATGAGCCAATACATGACCCAAGTCAACATCTCGCGCGAAGCCGGCGCACGCCTGCTCCGCCTCGCACGCTTACCAACAACAAGCCACGAAGATCACGGCACTGTAGCCATCGAGAGAGCAGAAAACATCACTTTTACCAACGTGAATTTCACATACCCCACCCGTCCTTCCACGCAAGTCCTTAACAACCTCTCCTTCTCCATCCCTCGCGGCTCCTGCACCGCCATCGTCGGGTCCTCTGGGAGTGGAAAATCCACCATTGCTGCACTTCTGCTGAAACTCTACCCCACTGCGGGTCCCTGTCTTCGGACTGGTTTCCTCGCTTCCACTGGCAAGGATCTGAGTATCAATGGCCAAAGTGTCAAGGCTCTGGATACGCACACTCTGCGTTCGCGCATCGCTATCGTTAGCCAGACCCCAGTGCTATTCCCTGGCACCATCGCGCAGAACATCGCGTATGCTTTACCTCCCTCCTCTCCCCAAACAAGTCTAGAATCTATCCGACGCGCTGCTACCGCCGCGGGCGTGTCTGAATTCATCAATTCTCTGCCAAACGGGTACGCGACGCTCATCGGCGAAGGCGGCACTACACTATCCGGGGGCCAGGCACAACGCATCGCCATCGCGCGCGCACTCGTGCGAGAACCTGATATCCTGATCTTGGACGAGGCGACCTCTGCGCTAGACGTCATGGCCGCGCGCACGATCCGGGATACTATCAAGCGCCTCGTCGCCACCTCAGACTCCGAGGATGATAGCAGTACCCAGGGTAGCAGAGAGGGTGGGCTCTGGACTGATAAGGATTTGGAGGATGAGGTCAAGAGTGCGGGCTGGTTGAGAGCGCGAGGTATGGGCACGAAGGGGAAGCAAGTCAAGAAACAGATGACTGTGATAATCATCACGCATGCAAGGGAGATGATGAGTGTGGCGGAGCACATCGTAATGCTGGATAAGGGAAAGGTGGTCGAAGAAGGCGGGTATGCGGAATTGAGACGGAGGAGGGGTGGTGCGTTTGCCAGGCTGCTGAGGGGTGAAGCGTTGGAGTCCGGGGTCTGAAGGAAGATTTAATGTGTACTGGCTGAACCTGCTTTGGCGTACTTGGGAGTTTTTGGTGTTTGTACTTAACTTTTAAGTCCTGATATACTGCTGTCTTTCATCGTCTTGGATGGGTAACACTGTACTCGCTCACTAGTGAAAATACACCATCGAAGTACACTCAAGTACATAAATTGCTATCTCAACGACTCGAATACGCGAACACAGTCAAGCCCTACGCCTTCATAGTAGTAACAGCCGGCTGATGCCTAAGTGGCAATTGCGGTGCCGCCAACGGCGCAGGAACCTCCGTAATACTCCCCGGCTCGACATAATCCCGATAGCCATTAACCCTGAGTCTCAGCTTCCTGCTCTCGGCATACACGACCCTCCTCATGCGATTCGTGCTGCCAAGGGGCTGATGCTCCTTGAGTCCATGCCAGCTGTTGACCGTAATGCGATCATCCCACCAGGTGCGGAACTCCGGGAGCCAGGAGTCCTGGGGCTCGAACTCGAGCGTGGCGACCTGCTCAAAGGGGTACTTCTTTGGGTCCCACTCGATGCCGATGTCGTCGACGGGCTGCTCGGTCAGGTCCTGCAGCAGCTGCGCGCAGAACGAGTAGGTTACTTTGTGCTCCATGTGGAAGCGCCGGTTCTCCTGTGAGATAATGTTCATGGGGTCGGAGTCTTGGATGTCTGTGTCGACGCGGTCGATTTGCTCTTGCGACAGCGGGAAAACGCCGTATTTGGCTACGTAGTCGCCGTGTCGGTAGGCGGACTGAGAGTACTCCGGCATCGCGTACACTGGGGAGTCAGTTCTTGTTTTGTATGACGATGGATCGAGAGTGGACTTACTGTGCTGTCTTGGTAGTCCGCCACCCAGTGTTGCAACATCAGCGTCTACACGCTTGGACTGCTCTTCCGCAAACTTTGGAAGATCGTTCCAATTGCGCTCAAGGGCGTCGGCAATGTCATACGTTGTCTGCGGGTCACGGAGCTCCAAGACGGGGTAGTTGTTGAAAGTCCAGTCCTGGGTCTTCTTGTCCTCTCCCCAGATCTTCTCGCCCTCGATACCGAAAATCTTCATGCCGATACCACGAGGTGCGGGCGCATTATCAGGAACGATCTTGGGTGTGAGAGACGAGTAGCGCATGATGACATCGTATGTACCAGGCTTCTTAAACATGCCCTGAGCGAGATGCTCGGGGAGATTGTCGTGCACAGTAAACTTGCCCATTACGCACTGTGAGATTGTCAGCCTATGCAATTGTGAAACATTGTTTCTACTTACGCCCTGTGTCTTCAGATGTGTGCCTCGTAGGCAGTGCATGTGCTCATTGAAGTTCATCATCTGGAATCGATTGAACTGATCCGAGACCTCTTTGATCTTCTCTTGTTCGCCCGGCTGAATGACCTCTACGCCCTCAGCATTCCACTTGATATAATTGCCCGGTGCAGGCTTGTCCTGACCGCCAGCCTTGACGGTACCGCTGGGAACGTTGCCATTGTGGATATTGACAATCTTGTGGTGTGAGATCGGACAGGTCACAACCTTGGTGTCGCCCATGGTGAATTATGTTTCTGTTGGTATCTCCAGGTACAATGTCGTTCTCAAGGTCTGGCATGCAATGTGATCATTGTCCATCTTATATCCCCGCAGCATGTTAGCTTCCGTCTCTCCGCGCGCGTTACTCATGGCAATCCGATGCTCCAGCTTCACAGTCCAGACCGAATGCGTAAAAGTGACCAAGGTATGCGGGGTAGCGCGTTGCATTATTCCAGATCTCAGAGCTGGCAGCCGCCGAGTAGGTTCGGAAGCTAGTCCGGCGGGGCTGGTGTTGTCCACCACCCACTTCGTTCACTTGGAGCTTTCCATGTCAGCCAATCAGATCAATAACATTCCCAATGGTGACAGCTCCACTTCTCCGCATGCTACCCGGCGCAGATCTGGAGTGATGATTTGGAAGGACGCCGATCTTCTAGCTCAGCCGCAAGTCATGTGTCTCGATCGAGAACCGCATGCTGGCAAGTGTGAGTGCAAGTCGGCTGCTTGTATATACCCTCAGACATGTCTACCTCGGACAGTGCCGTAGGTATTGAGTTTTCGTGATGATGAGACGACGCAGCTATCTGGAGATTACTGTGATTACCGGTAATCAGGCCAGGACAATGGTACCCTCAGAGTCCACTGTGCTTCGCAAATAATCCACTGCTTCAACACAACGCTCCCGATCGCGATTCTACTTGCGCCTCCATTGCTGTCCCAACTGATCATCAGAACGTATAGGCCCCATATATTATCTCCCTTCTCGGTCACTGCTTCTCGTCAGGAACATGCAAAGTCGCATGTCTCTGGGCATAGCGAGCAGCTCCCGAAGCTACCCCAGCTGCAATAACCGCAATCTTACATTCTCGATCCAATGGGATATTGTATTAATCTATAGCCGGGGTAGTTGTGCCATCTGGCCCACGACAATGCCATTATGGTTCAAATGCCAAGGTTTGTGTCGCCAGGGGTAGGCTCGTGATTAAATGTTGTAGGTAGGCAAAGCCAAACCAATGCAGAAGTCTTTCTAAGGATAAGAGCGTCTTGACCGCTGCAACATTGGTTTCTCCGCTTGGAGCAACTGTCCGTGGACTCTATATCGATGCGAGCTATTTCGCGCTTGCCACCTTGAATAATCTGTACCTCATCTCCGTATACAAAGGATCGACCACTGGAAGCAAGCTGAGGGTACTGAGGTTCACTTGCGCAGAGATTCATGTCGAAACAAGCGCAGTCACGATGTAGTCACGCACAGCCGAAGCTACATTTCGAGTGATCGGAAAAGATGATGAATAATACTGCTTCTAGAAGTGAAGACGCAAGTCGACCTGAAGAGATATATGTAGCAGTAAGCCTCCCTGTACCCAAGCAAGCATTACTCAAGTACAAGATGCAACAGTTTGACCAGTATGCTACACTGTACACCTTGGCTCGATGAAGAACCCCAGGTGGAAGCAAAAGCCCCATTATACGCCGTCTGAAAGCAAGATGCATGCCGTGGCCGGCTTTGTTGTAAAGAGATGTTTGCAGATCATACCGCGGAAGAAGACTGTCAACATGTAATCCTAGAGAGCAGTCAAGCCTGACCGCCCTATCAGAACGGTTTTGTGCAAACACTACTGCAAAGAGCGTCTCTTGAACTTAGTCGATGCGCTGAACTCAACTGGTCTCTTCTTTGGTGCTGGTACTCCTTGATTGATGTATTCGAGAGTGTGGCCTGGAGTGACGTGATTCGAATGCCTCCGGAAGTTTGTTGGTAGCGACGCTTCCCACGCAAAGCGCTTTGCCTTCTGTCGCCGATGGTCCTCCACTCGATCAGGCTTTACGATCTCCAGCGGTGCCAGCAGTGACTTGACAGGAGCAAGTTCTGGTGATGACGGAGTCTGCGGTGCGGGCTGGTCGAGCCATTGGGGTACAAGAACATCGCTGTCCTCCGAGCCGCCGAGCCGATCCAGCCCAGGTCTTCGTCGGAGACCCCTCTGCTTGTCTGCGTTTTTGTACTTCTCCACTAGCCCGTCGCACTCTGGATCGCATGTGAACTGCTTAGCGAGAATCGACGAGGGCGAACCTTCGCTCTCGCTGCCCTACAAAAGAAGAAGAATATTAGTAAGACTGCGGAGCGTAGTGTGCAGGCTGGAGCTGAGTCAGTACGAGTAAGATATATAGATGGCACTAAAGATCGCTTTAAATCTATAGGCCGAGGCCAAAAGTTACTCACTGGTGAGTTTAGCATGCTTTGGCGCTTGTTCCTGCTCTTCTTGATGTGGCTCTTCAGCGCGCTCGAATCAAGCGGCTTGAGCAACTCGAAGCTGCACAGCAATTCTCCGGATACAGACATAACTGCACCCCAGTTGTCGAACTCGCCACAGTACTGTATATTGTTAGTAGTTGCCACAACTTAACGCCTGCCTGAGCTTACGTTTGGTGCGGAGAAGACCGTCACAAGGACCCTGTCGTTGAAGAACTCGTAGCCGTCTTCGACTACCATGTGCGCTCGACAGACGAGATCGAAGTCGTGCCGTTGCAAGAACTCCATGATGACCTTTTTACCGAAGCAATAACTAACGCCCCGCTCATTTGATTCCCAATCGTTCTCCATGTCTGCTGGATCACTCCAAAGCAGATCGTTCAGCAGACCGTAGTCAGGGACATCAGTTGGTCGGGCGATTTGACGTATGTCGTCCATGTGCGACAGACTTGGGGAAAGGCCGCCATGCACGCAGAAGATCTTCTGTGCGACAATAGCTGCGATGGGAAGGCAATTGAATGTATCAACGAACGCCTTCCAAACCTTGATGTTGCACCTCCGCTTGCATTCATCGTAGAAGCCGTAGACACGTGTAACGTTCGCGCATTCGTGGTTGCCGCGGAGGAGGAAAAAGTTCTCGGGGAACTTGAGTTTGTAGCACATAAGCAGTAGGATTGTTTCCAGGCTCTGTTTGCCGCGATCGACGTAGTCACCCAGGAATAGATAGTTGGAGTTCGGTGGGAAACCGCACATCTCGAACATGCGGATCAGGTCAGTGTACTGTCCGTGGATGTCTCCGACGATCTTGACGGGCGGCGCAAGCTCCAGAAGCGCTGGCTGGCTCAGGAACACTTCCCGTGCAGCAGAGCAGATGGCGAAGATCTCGGCGTTCTTCAAGCAGACGGTCTTGGTGACCTTTCCGGCATATGCAGCGTCGAGCAAACGCTGAATCATGTCGTCGAGGTCGATCGCCTTCAGAGCACTGATCTCCATAGGGGAACCGGCTCCATCGTTCGCGGCTGGAGGCTCCGGCAGCCTCGGGATAGGCTGACCCTTCTTCTGCAAGATTGACTCTCCTGGCTGGGCGGAGGCGGACGGAGGCGGGACACCAGAAGGTGGCACTTCTGAGACTCGATCGACTTCCCCAGTCTGTTGAGCCTTCTCTACAGCCTCATGTCCTGTGCCAACTGTAGCTCCATGCACGGGTGATGGTGGTGGCTGTGGCTCATCTGGCTGCTTCTCAAGCTGCGCAGCTGTCTCGATAAGACCAGCACCTTCTGAAGCTGTCGAGCCTCGTCTCGAGCTCTTTCCTCCCTTGCTCTTCTCTGACTTCAGAGAGACTGCATCCGACTTGTCATCCTTGCCATTGGTGGTTTGGCTCAGGTTCGACACTGAGTTGCGTGGGCTGTCGGTCTTACCGGTGCCGGGGATCTTATTGCGAATAGAGTTGCGAATCGAGCGCGTCGAGCCTTGGGTGTCTGAGCGTTCGAACGAGCGGTAGTATTCACGGCCCAGAGGAACGCCATCAGCGCCCTTCTCTCCCTTCTTGCCCTTCTCGCTGGATGGCTGGTTGCCCATGGTGGTGGCGATGCTGCGCCTAGATGTGTGCTGCTAGTGCGCAGGAGTGTGTGGATGTGTGAATCAGGGAGGGTGTTGTTCCTGGTATCACCACAGGAAGCAGCGGTGGAGTTAAGGTGCGCAGGGCCGAGGCGGCAGAGCTAAGTGCGTGCTCTTTCCCAAGGTTCGTGTGCGATGACGCAGTTTGCGACTGCAGCTCTTGAATATTCGTTGACGTGTATATTAAACTACCGCAAAACGTGTGAGGTGTTAAGGCGGCCTAAAAAGGCGAGAGAGGAAGGACTTGAAGCGAGCCTCCGTCGGCGCTGTCGTTATCAGCGTTGCGGGACGCTGCGTGTGACAGGTTGGGTTGGGACGGTCGACGGGGGGCGAATTGAGGCGCCGTTTGCGATCCAGAGCTATGGCCTGGGGTGAAAATCGCAATGGGGGAGTCGCTCACGCGGTGCGGGCAGTGCACTTGCGACTGTGGTTGCGGGCGTTGGTGGTGATAGCGATGATCTCAAGCTCTCCAGTCGACAGGGCGGGGATAGAGCTGTTAGCCGCGTACCTTAGTAAGGCGCAAGGACCAGCAGTGACTGCGAGGGCGCCGGGCTGAGCGGAAGCGATCCTAGGTCACAAGCTAGCGGCGGTCCAGATGTTTGGAGTGCGCAGGCAGAGCAATGGTATCAGTCACAAGAGCAGTGCAGCTGTCAGTGTGAATGTTGCGGTAGCAAGCACAGCGCAACGGGAGGCACGGCGGGCACGGCGGGCAGTGAGAAGGCAGCGAGGGACGAAGGCATTGGTGATTTGTTCGCGTTGGGCTACGAGAGGCTTGCGCCAAGCACAACCGTTCTTAGCTGTGCGGAGCACACAAAGCATCGCCTGAACACGTCGTTGCAGCCAACTGGTGACATGTGCGACCCCAGCTCTGGTGTATTTGCACCGCTATCCTGGTCACGGAGCCTCACTTGTGCTGCATTCGGTGTCAGTCGCGGTGCTTGGACAGCAGTCAGGTACATGCAATTCAGAGCTTCACCAGCCTCCGAGCAACGACATCATATGTACCGGTGTGGGCCCACTTCTGGCCTTGCTCCACACAAGCCACAACCTGGGAAAGGTTTGGCAGCTGCCCAAGTCGCGCCGACTTGAACGGGCTTCACAATGTTTCGGACAGTCCACGCAAGGAATTTATGCCTCATGTGACTCCCCAAAGTGATGAGTGGATTTCTGGAAAGTGATGGTTCTTTTCAACATCACCTAAATCACGCATCTTGGAGACAAACTTGCAGTGCCACAATTGTTCCTCCCGGACCAAGCAATGTCAAACATCTGTAATCGTCCAACCCACCCCAAGCCATGGCGCCAAGCGCAGCCCCGTTCCGGGTACGCAGCGATGGCATGTACCGGTATCTGTTCGTCCATGATTCCTTACAGCCTTGTACCCAGATTGACATGGATGGCCTTCTTATTAGTGTAGGCCTCAAGTCCAGCCTCTCCGAGCTCCCGCCCAATACCAGACTGCTTTACACCTCCGAAGGGAATGCGATAATCGGAATCGTTGCTGCAGGAATTAGTAAGAGTAGGAGGTGAGGCCTCGTGAAGTTGAGAACGAAGAACTGACCTAGAATTGATCCACACCATGCCGGCCTCGATGTTACGTGCAACGCGATGTGCCTTGGTGATGTTCTCGGTAAATAGCGCTGCTCCGAGACCGTACATTGTTGAGTTGGCGCGCTCAACGGCCTCCTCCTCAGTCTTGAACGAGCTGATTGCGACGAAGGGTCCAAAGACCTCTTCGCGGTAGATCGTGTGGTTGTCCTTGACGTCTGAGAAGATTGTGGGTTCGATGAAGAAACCCTTGCCACCGACATCCTTGTAGGCCTTTCCTCCAGATACAAGTGTCGCGCCTTCAGACTTGCCGGCCTCGATGTAAGATAGCACGCGCTCGTACTGCGCTTTGGTGACTTGCGGGCCCTGGAAAGTGTCGTCCTTGAAGGGATCGCCAACGACTGATGTCTTTGCGACGTACTCCTTGAAAGTAGAAACAAATTTCTCGTAGACGCCGTCTTGCACTAAGATCCTTGATGTTGCTGTGCAAACCTGTCCTTGGTTGTACCTACCATTCATCAGCGAGTATCAGGCGTGCAGAGTGGCATTCTCTTACATAATACCAATATGTGACCACTTGACTGCCTGGTCAAGGTCTGCGTCGTCAAAGACCAGCAGTGGAGACTTGCCGCCTGTCTCTAGGGTGATGTTCTTCATTGTTCCAGCAGCCATCTTCATGATCTCCTTGCCGGTAGCTGTCGACCCAGTGAAGGCGATCTTGGCTACGTCGGGATGTTTTGCAAGAGCCGCACCAGCTGTCCTGCCCAATCCGTTGATGATGTTGACCACGCCTGGTGGGAAGCCAGCCTCCTTGACAAGTGTTCCGAGGTACAGGATAGAAAGTGGCGTCTGCTCGGCAGCCTTCAGAACGACTGTGTTACCGGTGCAAAGTGCAGGGCCGAGTTTCCAGGCCGCCATGGCGAGAGGGAAGTTCCATCTGTGGTGGTCAATACAAATTCATTGCAACATTGACAACACTTACGGAATGATCTGTCCACACACACCGAGAGGCTCACGAAGGGTGTAGGCGAGCTTTGCAGGCGATGTATCGATGACCTGGCCGTGAATCTTGTTTGCGTATCCCGCGTAGTATTTGATCGTGCCAATAACTTCGCCAAGGTCGTCGTTATACGAGACCTGATATGGCTTACCGTTGTCCCATGTCTCGATTGTAGCTAGCGTCTCTCTATGCTGCTCGATCAACTGTGCGAGTTTGAAGAGGATATCTGCACGGGCATTTGTGTCAATGTCTCGCCATTCTGTGCTCTTGAAGGCTTTGCGTGCTGCTGCTACTGCGTCGTTGACATCTTCTTCGCCGGCTGCGTAGACGGAGACAATCTCCTTCTCGTCACTGTCAAAGTCAGCCACATGTATGGTAGCTAAGATGTAGCTACGTACCTTGGATTGATTGAACTAATAGTCTCGCCAGACTTTGACTTGACAAACTCATTGTTGATGAACAGCCCTCGTGGCTGCTTGTACTTGTGGCCGTTCGGCGCTGTGAGCTCGACAAAGAGGTCTGACATACTGCTACCAGTTGTGTAGTATCTTGGAAATATGACTTGTTTCAATTGCACAGCTCTGAGTGCTGAAGCTTGAGAAATTGCTGAAGGCTTACGAGTCGAGGCTCTGAAGAGGGAGGTGTAAGGACAGGACATCGCTCCGGCCGGCACAGGGGATAGCTGGTTATCTACAGAATACCAATGGCTTGCAGCTACCGATGCAGGCGTAGGCAGCTTCTACCGCGGGGGCCAGATGACGAGCGATATCCGCATGCAACTGCCTTTTTGGGATCTGCACTCCACACCCGTAGACGCGTGAGACGCATTCTTTCGAGCTTTGTATGCTCACTTGATCTACCAGCTGCCGACATTGTAATTCTTTATCGTTATCTATAGGTTTACATAGATGCTAGATTGCTGCACAGCACCCGCGGACGGAATAATGCCTTTCGACGAGAGCTTCGAGCTACCCCGCCAGACGCGTCAAGCTCCACACATGAACAACGTGCTACCGGTACCGGTAACAACTGCTGATCTTTAATTCAACACAAACAGTTCGTGACAACAGCCTCGACATACTCAGTACCATAGAGGCATTATCAGCACATCACTGAACCACACTCTCTGTACGTCACACGTCAAGTCCGCCAGACGCTCCCACCCACATTTCATAGCCATGGCCGCAGGCATGGCCACCGACCCACCCCTCCCCTCGCACGACCCCGAGCACCCCGACGCCTCAATCAACATCTCGCACTCGCTCGCATACTGGGAATCCGTGACCTCAGACAATAACGGGATGCTGGGCGGCTTTCCGCAAACGTCGCGCATCGACCTCGTCGGCTCATCCACCTTCCTCACAAAACTGCGGCGCTCGCGGCTCGGCCTGGGGCCCAAAACACCTCTTCCCTTGCTCGACAGAGTAGCGGACTGCGGCGCGGGCATTGGGCGCATAACAAAGGGCTTGCTGCTGGGAGTGGGGAGACGGGTCGATGTTGTCGAGCCGGTGAAGAAGTTTACCGACGAGCTTGTTGCGGAGGTCGAGAACACGAGTGCTGAGGCTGCTGGCGACGAGGCGGCGGGCAGGGGGCAGGTGGGTGAGGTGTGCAATCAAGGACTACAGGATTGGGTTCCTGCGACGGGGGCATACAATTTGATCTGGAATCAGTGGTGTTTGGGCCATTTGACGGATGCGCAGCTTATTGCATATCTGGAGCGGTGCAAGGACGGGCTTGTTAAGCCTGAAGAGGGAGAGAAGGTGGAGGCGTGGATTGTGGTGAAGGAGAATCTTTCGACAGATCTTAGGCATAAAGATATCTACGACGAGGAGGATTCGAGTGTGACGAGGAGCGATGAAAAGTTCAGGAAGCTGTTCACGGATGCGGGGTTGAAGATTGTGGCTACGGAGCTGCAGCGAGGCATGCCGAAGGAGTTGTATCCTGTGCGGACATACGCGCTGAAACCTGAATAAGCGCCTTGAGGAAACGATTCAACAACGATAGACTCAAGAGCTATATACCCAGGTACGCAATGCACGATTATTGATGATGCGCAATGCTCTTCCTTCCGACGTCTTACTCTCCTACAGCGGTGCCCGGTGATATTGTGTGGCCAGCCTTCCTACAACTGCCCTGTCGCCATGAACTTCTGAATAATACCCAGGTCCAATACCGGCGTCCCAGGCACCGGCTTATGCACTGGCGGCTCCGCCTCTTGAATCATGATAACCGGCGGCGGCGGCTTCGCAGGCTGAACTCCCTCCTGCGGCGGCTGCGCACTCGCGTCCGCAGCCGGTGTATTCATCGCATCCTCGAACTCGCCCTCATCGTCTTCTTCATCCCCCTCCTCACCATCTTCATACTCGCCCTCGTCATCAAACTCCGTCCGCGGCGGGTTGAAAAACCAGATGTGCGCCGAATTCCATCTCTGCACCAGCTGCTCCTCCGTCAGAGAACCCTTCGCACGCTTGCTGAACCTGTTGACCGCGGTACTCGGCGCATCAGGGTCGGTCTCGTTGTCGCTGTCTTTCTCGTCCTTGTCGGCAGGCTTGCGCGGCTCGATGCCCCATTCTGGCGGCACAGAGGCAAATTCTAGCGCTCTTGATAACCGCTCCTCGACCCATTTCTCTTCTGCGGGTTCCATACGTTTTCGAAGTAGACCTTGTGCTATGACGGCGAACTCGTGCGTTGTGCCTGGGAAGGGCGCGGTGGGGAAGGGGTGCAGATTGCGGATTGTGTCTGCCTGAGGCTCGATGTCGATGTCTCTGTAGTCCCGCCCGTGGTCTCCTTGTTTGTTCTTGAGTACTTTGCCAGCATCGGTCTTTCGGCTTTCGAGGGCATATTTGCGGCCGCCATTGATTGTGGTCATGAGGTTTGTGATGTAGCTGTTGACGGTTGTTGTTGCACGTTGAATTTGTGGCCAGTCCACCGCTGTTCCTCGTTTTTTTGCGATCTCCATGTCGTACTTCAGCTTGTCCAGGGCTGCGAGCATAGGTATTAACCCGCGCCGCAGGTTTTCGAGCGCTTTGATGTCCTCAGCGTTGGGCTGGCCAACGAAGTTTTGATTCATCCTGCTCTTTCAATTCGTTTTGCACAGATGTCTTTCGATTGATTTGAGGTGCGGATCCTTCGCTTTGGTTGATGCTATTGGCGCGGCCCGTCTTGTCGTGTAGACGTGAAGGTGCAGATCGGTGCTGAGAAAGACTATTGGCTGGAACGCGCCGCCATCTCAATCGGGGAAGGTGCGCTTGGCGCGTTGACGCGTGAAGGAGGCGCGACATCATTCAAACAATGAAACTGATCATCGCAATGCTATCTCAACAATGTCAAATTCTGTGTATATCCGCTGTGAGAGAAAGGAAATCACTGATCTTTGTGAGCGCTGCGATGCTCCGACTGTGATTCACATGACTTCATGCAGAGGTCCTGAGTGCCATCTTGTCAATAGTAGTGTGCCCATTGATAGACCTGGATCCCACAAGTCACTAGAAAGGTGTGTATAGGGACGGGGACCTCTCAATCAAGCCTATCGAGGTCGTTGATAGGACCTTTACGAGGCAGGAAAGAGTGGTCACTGATTGGTCCATCGAATAATACGCTTCGTAGCACTTCACCTCACCCTGTGCCCTCACTTGGGGCCCCCGCTCACCATAAGTTAACCCAAGGCAACAAGAGGTGGCCCGAGCACCTCTGGAGTATGGACGCCTCTCCATAAGTATCTATCCAATTTGAACAGCATGTCTTTAGCAACAACAGCCCGAAAATAACATAGACATCAAAGTCGGAACACCATGCTCGACGTATTCACTAATCTAGGGGATTATCAACCTGTTCAATCAGTACCCTACGATCCAAGCCCATCCATAGAGTGCCTCCACGAGCAGGTCTGCCAGTATCAGATCCAGTCGCCTGCCCACTTTGTGCTCGGTCTCGCAGTACAACAGGCCAGCAGCCCGTATGGTAAGACCATAGACAGAGGTCTTAAAGGCATATATCTCACCACGTCTCTTGGTGTTTTAATGCACGGTAATAGCATTGAAGGTCGCATCACTGTGCCAGTGCAATGCCAACTTCGGAGAACCGGGCGCCGCTCGAGGGAAATGAGGTGGGATTACCTCTTAGTCTCTCATCGTGGCACTGCCGAGGCCCTCGACACCTTCCTAGCTTCGACATTCCCCGCCATCGATGGCCCCCTCAAGTCCGACATCCTATGGAACTGGTGGTTGAGCAACAGCAAGTCCTTCAATTGGACCGCGCTCCCTATCGAGCTGAAGCAGCGAGTAATCGAGCAATGCATGCATCAACCTCTCACATATGGCGTCTACGCCGAGCGTCTCGCCCGCTTCAACTGGCGCTACAAACCCGACCACAAGATCCGCAAACCTGGTCCGTTCGAAGTCGTCGACCAACTAGGCGACTGGTTCCCGCTCCCGTACGTCTCCCACCAAATCCGCGCGATAACAATACGTCTCTGCATCATTGGCGGCAGCAGTCTCATGCACCCAGAAGGACTGTGCATAACCGCCTCATGCTACAAAGGCCTCTGCGACCGTATCGATCGCCTGGGAGACTATTACCAGATGACCTCTTCCTCCAGCATCCCGATATCTCCCGCTCAAGAGATGCTATCCAAGTGCTACGAGCACTTCCCGAAAATATACCCGCAGCTTTCTCAGTACGCAACGCTGCGCCATGGCATACAGAAGATCAGCCTCGGCATGGATTTTTTGTCGTATATGCACTTCTTCAAAGTGACAGTCGGGGGGCTCCAGCAGTACCGCAAGGCGAAGGCTTTGACTTACGAAGTCTTCGGGCGCCTGCCATGTCTGAACGAGATTGTGATCAGGCTGCCGCTTCGACCATATGGAGGTTGGCGAGACAAGCCGGGACAGGCAGGACCGCAATTGTGGCACGAGGACTCGCCTTGTCCGGGGTTTGTTCACCGGGTCATCTACGAGCGCATTACAGAAGTTCTGGCTGGATATAACGTCACGGTGCAGAACTTCATCGATTACGCTGAGATGAAGCGGTACGAAGCAGCTCGTCTGAACGCACAGAAGGCTCTCAAGCTCACAAAGACTGAGCTTGAAGAGCTGTACGCCGATGGCAGTGGAGGCGTTGAGCTGGCAATATCGGAGAGGGAGCCGTCAATTGAGTTGGAAAAGGCAAGGCGAAGGGTCGAGGAGGCGGGCGCTAAGGAAGTCCAGGTCGAGTTCTTCTCTCCAACCTGTCACTGTGATGAGCCATGTATTTTGGCAAGAGTTTTGACAGCAAGGAAGGATAACAGTTAAATTCAGAACGAAAGAGGCGGGTCCACATCAGAACATCAATTCTACTACAGAATTAGACTATGTCTGACCGCTCGTGCTGTCTGATACCCAAAGCGCGATATCAAACTTTCAGCATTCAGCAGGCTATACAATCTTACTGATTGTTCGACTGATCTTCACCGATTACCATTCCGATTCGGGCTTCTTGCAGATCAAATGCTTTCAGCAGGCTTCAGGACCTGCTGGCACAGCTCCTTCGGTTGCGTCACGTCTCTGGATGCAAGTCCTCGAGTCAGCTCGTAGGATTCCCAGCGGGCAGAGCTGCCAATGACGAATGTGGCGAGATTGATGCTACCGGGCGGGAGAGTAGAAGCTGTGGCGGTAGGAGTAGAAACTCGGGTTTGACTCTCCGCATCAGATCGTGTGTTTGATCTACTGGTTTCCTGACTGGCAACATTGGCGGCAGTGGTTCTACTTTGTGTCTCGCGATCAGAGGTTCGTCTGGTTGCCCTCTCTCTGCGTGGCACAGCTAGAAAAAAAGAAGCCGCTCAGCACGAAGAACCAGGCATCGGCTACGAGCGCAAGGGGAAGGCCGAAACTTATGAGTCTTGTGGCATCAGTGAGAAGAAGCCCTTGGCGAGATGCAGATTACTCGCCTTCCATATATCGGAGATGGGCCAAGCCCGTGATGTGGTGCAAGCGAGAAGGTGAGAGGGGCAGAAGTCGTCGAGGCTGACAGGTGAGCAACTGTAAGAGCGTCTGCGCTAACGATTGCAGGAAGTCGCTCCTGCAATGCATGCAGGCGCCACAAGCATAACAAGACGAGAGAACATGGACGAGCAATTGCAATGATGATCTCCCTGTTGATATCCTATTTTGAAACTCCAGCAATGCAAATGTCAAGTGATACCGAAGAGCGAGCTGTGTAAGCAGGCAGTCTGGCTAAGGCCACGGGAGCAAACTCACGCGCAAGGTGTTCTACAATACAATCTGAGAGCCGCTCAATGGTACCCAGGGTCCTCGCCGCTCGGCGCTGGTGTCGAAATGTCCCACGCGCCAGGCGTCGCTGCAACTGCAGGTGTAGCGCCATAGCGATCGCCCGGTGTAGGCGCAGAGTAATTACCAGGTGTGGGGGCATCCATTGGGCCACCAGGTGTGGGTGCCGAGTATGCACCATAGCCTCCGGGCGTTGGCGCTGCGTACGCACCTGGCGTGGGGGCATTGTAGGCCCCAGGTGTAGGTGCGGAGAGGTTCGACTTGGATGCTGTGTTGCCAGACCCAGAGCCTCCCCAGCCAGGCGTGCGGCCACCAGAGTTGAAACCTCCGTATGCGGTGCGGTTGCCATCGTTGCCGCCGTAAGCTGTGCCTCCGCCGTATGAGGTCGCGCCTCCGTAGGATGTAGCGCCGCCATATGCTGTTGCTCCACCGTAAGCTGTACGGCCTCCGTCGCCGCCGCCGTAGGCTGTGCGTCCGCCGTCACCTCCCCAGCCAGGAGTGCGGCCACCACCGCCGCCCCATCCGGGTGTACGACCGCCTGCACCACCGCCGCCACCCCATCCAGGAGTGCGACCGCCGCCGTTGCCCCAGGCTGGTGTGCGTCCATTTCCACTGTTGTAGCTTGGTGTTGCACCAGAGTAGCCTCCGCGCGAGCGATCCGGGAACTTGCCACCGCCAACGGGCATACTACTTCCGGTGATGGGATCCTTGATGGACAAAAGCTCCTTCTTGACAGACACCTGCTTGTTCTTAGTGTGCAACTCGATCCGTGCCTCGTCATTCATAGTGTCTTTCACGATGCCGAGAAGTCCCTTGTACGCGCCCTTCCGGATGACGACCGTCTTTCCAATCAACTTGTCGCGACCAAAGCTTCGCGGAGGAGGCATAGGCCCGGAGCTGCCATTTGCACCAGCGTTCAGAGCTGGATTAAGGCCGCTGAGATCTTGTGTTTGGGCTCGTCCGCTCTTGGCAGCCATAGTAAGGACACTCGTGCTGCGGACGACGAAAATACCCTGGTTCTCAACCAGCTCGCGGTTCTGGACGAAGAGTGTTCCCCTGTGAATGTAGAGGACCTTGCCCTGCCGGTTTTCACCGCCGTACTCCTTGACATTATCATCGTGCCGGATTTCAGAGCCGTCGCGGTCCGTGGCCACAGCATTTCGATTCCTGCCTGCGACTTGTGAGACTTGTGTGTGGAGAAGTGTGCGCACATCGCCCTGTTGGTCTACGACCTTCAAAACCTCACGATCGACTCGGACAACGCAACCGATGGTGGAGGCACTGCTCAATATTAGGGAAATGCAATGACCTGCGGTGCTCCAGAACTTACTCAATTTGCACAAGGTCGTAGAGATCGAAGTTGGAGTCTGCTCCCACGGTAGCAGAATCGGCAGCACGCTTCAAGTCCTTGCTAAAGACTGTGATTTCTTGCTGTGTCGAGTCGCAAAGCAAGGTGATCTTGTCGTCTCTAATCTTGGTAACAAGACCGACTTCATCAACGTACTTGCTGCCGCCAATGACCTTGACGTGGTCACCCTCACGGAACAGCTTGCGCAGCTCCTTGACGGGCGCAGTGATCTTGCGACCCTTGAGCTCGCCCTCGCTGACCTGCAGTGTGACAATCTCGCCAGTGACCGTGACAGTGGTACCGCGGATACCTCTTTGTTCACCGGTGTAGATCTCAACGTTGTCTCCAGCAGCAAAAGCGGCGCCGGTCTCGGCAGCCTTTTGTGCAGCTTGCACTGCGATGAGGTCCAGCGTCTCGGTGCCGTCGGCATTTTGGGTTGAGAAGTACTGCAGTTCCTCCATCTTGGGGTTGACTCGCTCTGCAGAGACCCAGTTGACCTTGACCTCCTTGACCAAGAATCCACCGACGTAGTCTTCGCCCTTGTATGTGTACTGCCTCTGGGCGCCAGAGCCAGACATGCTGAGGTGCTTCATGTGTCTCTTCTTCGCATCGGCTTCGCTGAACAGCTTCTGGGGTGGGCGCTCGGTCTTCGGTCCGAAGAATCCGCGCTTCCGCTTGTTGTCAACAGCCGCATTTGTGTCCTCATTCAGGCCGTAGTCGAGACGAGGGACGAGCTGCACGATGCAGTCCAGACCGTTGCCGGACACCTCGATCACTTTTCCTAAATCGCCCTTGTAGGTCGGCGGCCTGATCATGCGCACGAACTTGCCAACTTCCAGCGGTGGCCTCCTCTTCTTGCGAAGCAGATCTGGTCGCTCCTTGACATCGATCGAGAGCATCTCACCGCTCATGAAAACGTTCGAGATACCCTCAATGATCTCTAACATGTCCTGCTTTGCATCGGCTTCCACATAGAGGTACCCGGACTGAGGACCGTTGGGACCGCGCTCGAAGGCCGAATAAACCTTGACGGGCTGCTTCGCGCGCATTTTCTCGTCAATGCGCCTTTGAATGCTCATGATGATTTCACGCTCCTTCGTAGGCCGACACTTGACGCTCCAAATGGACGGGTCGTTGACAGTTGGGAGAGCAAGAGGTACAGCTCCTGTTGCGCCTCGACGGGCGCTCTGCATCTCCCTGCGACGGTATTTCTCGTCGAACTCCTTCGCAATTTCCTCGACATCCCTTTGTGCGTTCACCTCGCGGCGCATATCAAGCTCACGATGGTGGCGGTCGTCGAGATCGGCGTTCGTAGTTTCAAGCAGGTCATCAGGATGCACTTCGTCTTGAATGTCCTCGTCGCCCTCATCTTCCTCTTCTTCTTCCTCGTCAACCTCGGCTTCAACATCGATGAACATGTTGCGCTTGGCCTTCTTTCTCCTTTTCGTAGGGCGAACCTATCATAAGTCAGTATGTGCCCGCAGCCGTCGCGGTGCAGACTATATCCTACTATGTCCTCTTCATCTTCTTCTTCGTCATCGTCGTCGTCGTCGTCGTCGTCATTCTCCTCACCTCCTTCCTCCTCGTCGTCATCGTCGTCGTTGCCTCCTTCGACCGCATCGTCCTCATCATCGTCGGCTGCAGGAGCTGATCGGCGGACGGGCGCGCTGGTCGCAGGTACGTCATCCTCGTCGATTTCGGCCTGGGGGTTGAACGGCTCTTCATCAGAGCCGGAATCGCGGTCGTCGTAGCCAGACATGATGTCGACAGTATTGGAGGTAAGGGCGGCGCGCTGGAGCTGAAGAAAGCTGGCGCTGGCAGCTCTTTAAGAGTTCGAGAGCCCTCTGAGCGCAGCAGCTCTTGGCGTCTGCCTGCACAATGATCACCCGTGAAAGGGTGTGGGGGACGAGATTGGAGGAAATAAAGAGATTTGCAAGTCGAGAAGAAGATGTCGAGGCTTTGTTTGAGGTGTGAGCGACGTGAGCGCATTGTACGGCGCGCTAATGAAGCCTTAGCTTCACCCGTGCGCACCGGCCACCCATGCACATGGATCGCTGAAGCCCTCGAGTCTCCACTTTCACATCGTCAGCACGCAACCCCTCATACGTTTTCAAGCGGAGTGACCTTTCATGAACTAAACTCAGCTAGTATAATTTGTGCTTGTGCGTTACAACGGACTGCGCCTACTTCAGAGCGCGTCAGCGCAGTTCAACACCAGAAAATGTTCTGAACTCGAGTAAGCCCTCCCTGACTACCAGCTGGCGAGGGCGCATACACGATTGCATGAGGGAGAAAATTGATCTAAGGAATTCTTGAACACAATTATTAAATACAAAGAGAAGGGAAAGCTATTAAAGACCACCAACTGGTCGTTTTGACGCCGCATCGTGGGGACCATCCACCAGTTCAACGTGCCCACGCACCCGCTCTGGTCAAAAGCTATCGACGTGTGCCCTCTCACCTACACTGTCAAATGTGGCTGGGCCTGCCCTGGTGCAGAGGCGTTGGTGTCCTGCTGGACTAGAGCAGGCTGGCCATGCCGCCGCCCAGCCTTGATATCCTCGTTCCTCTGGCGCTCGGCCTCGACCTCCGCAGCGTACTTGCTGCGGGCACGAAGCCAAGATCCTTTCTTGTAGATCCAGAAAACCGGGATGATGACCAGGACCGAAAGACCGAACAACAGCCAGGTAGCGTTCTGGTTGCCGAGTTTGTGGTACATGGGGCCCGTGTAGAATGAGCAGATACCTGCGAGAACATCGCGCGAGAAACCGTTACCTCCAGTGGCAGATGCCGAGTACTTGCCACCATAAGCAGCGACCATGTAGTCGATAGTAGCGAAGTAGATGGCCATGTTTGCCCATCCAATCAGGACTGCAAAGATGAGGGGCGCAATCCATGGGAGAGGAGGGCCAACGACGGTGAACGCGGAGCCAAAAAGACCAATCGCAAGGAGCGGGGCAATCCACAGGAGTGCCTTCAGACGAGTCTCAGGGCTCAACACCTGTCCAGCTTTCCGCTTCTGGTTGTCTCTACGGATGACGGGAACGTATGAGAAGCCGGCAGCCCAGTATCCAATGAAGAGGGCAGAAAGGGCAAAGCCTAGTTGGCTTGGGGTGAAGTTCCACCCGCCAGGACCGAAGACGTAACCGTAAGACTCGAGGAAGCTGAAAATGAGGGCATCAGCAAAACCAGAAAGAAGGGAGAGAAAGAGGACGATGGGCTCTGTTGCCAGCATTTTGTAAGCGCGCCCCATCAGTGCGGCGGCGTTCTTCCAGTCGAAAATCTCATCCTCGGTAGGGCCACGAACGCCACTGTCAGGGTTCGACTTGCGAGTCTTTTTCGCCTTCTTGTTGAGCATGACAGTGGAACGGGTTTCCGGGACCAAGGTCGCGTGGACGAGCTGTACCGATACACCGAGAATGAGCTGGATCCAGAAGTTCCAACGCCAACCGAGGAACTGCTCAATCGAGCCACCAGCGATACCACCGATAACTATTACATCGTTAGCGATACCATCTTACCGTAAACGGCAGATCACTCACCAGAGCCAAGACAAGACCAAAGCGAAGCCCAAAGCACAGCAAACTGCTGATCCTCAGGATCGAACATATCCGCAACCATACCCAATGTCACAGAGCCACCAGCTGAGCAAACGCCACCGAGAACACGGGCCGCGAGGACCATGTTCCAAGACGTGCTCGCTCCTGCGAGGATTTGCCAAAGATTGACAGTTCCAAGCGAAAGCTGCATAATGGGCCAGCGCCCAAAGTCTTCGGACCACGGCGCCCACAGCTCGCACCCGATACCGTACGGGATCAGGAACCAGGCCAAACCCGCACGAGCATTGGTGAAGTGGTTGGTGCCCAGGTTGTAGTGTTCGTTGAGCGGGGCGATGGCGTTGGAATAGACGGCCGCGTTGAAGTCTAGACCATCTTTGTTAGCAAAATCTCACGTTCAATAATCATTTGAAATGAAGCTAACGATGCAAACTGGACTTGGGAGAGGACATGCTTACTCATGCTTGTCTGGCACAAGGCGACGACCGTGAGGATCCACCACTTCTTGCTCGTTGAGAAAGCATAGGCAGTGTCCTCGAGATTGGTGGCCTCGTTCAGTATGGTGATACCATTGTCACCAATGAGACCCTCCTTTGACCCGACTGGGCGAGTCCGTGAGGAGGCCTCACTGTCGGCCCTTGGCTGGCCAACGCAAGCGTCTTTCTCAGCTATGTTCTCCATCTCTGTGGAGAAGTCTACAACGTCAGCAAGATTCTTAGTAAGGAGGTTTTCGTATCAAGAGCTCATAATGGACTGACTGTGTAGTCTGCAAGATTGCTGGATAGCTGTCTTGTCTATCACAAGCTATCTGTCTGTGGGGAAAATCTGGAGAAGCAGGCGACTGAGACCTTATAGAACCCCAATGGTATAATTCGCACAACTGGCACTAGGTTTTATATCGGTACACTGTTTGTATCGTGGTGGAACCAGATTCTTGTGGACCAATCGAACACGTTCGCTCGTGCCCCTCGACGAGCTATACAGCAAAGAGACACATCAGTCTGGGAGGTTACCTCCATAAAACCCGTACCCAAAGCTCCATAAATCACACGCTCTGCTCACCTGATAAATTCTCCTCTCTCAGGACCCCCTCGAGAAAAAGTGAGGCGCTGTACACTCTCCTGAGTGGGGAAGGTTCGAACGCAATATTGCTCTTAGGTCTGAAAGCTCTTAACTGTGGTAGCGATGACGACCTTGAGAACCCTCAACAACGTTGACTCGCAGCGGTCCGCACAGGGACCAGGTTTACATCACGAGCCCCCCGCAAGTCTATGATCTCTCTCCTCGTATTGGCTAAGGGTGATTGGGTACTGCAAGGTGCGCAGTTCAGACCCGGGAAATACATCACTGACCGGAATACATGATGTGTATGCTGCACTCCCATTCTCGTACTAGACCAAACTAGCGTGACTACCTCCGCGATCAGCTAATCATGCTTCTCTCGGACATACTATGTGTCCTCATTCACCGACGACGACCCCTCGGCTAGATCACCGAGGTCTCGCCCTTCCGATTCCCAAACCCAAGACTCACGATCCCAAGGCCTCAAGGGAGTCCACTTCGTACCCCTCTTGATCTCATACTCGCTCTTCAGGCGCTCGAAATGCTCTCCCAGTTCCATATCAAGTTTCTCAAGCGCAACGGTTGTATGTCGTAATTTGGTGTGGTCAAAAGCAAGCTCGATGTCATCAGTGAAGTGATCGCTCTGTTGCATTTGTTTTGACGCCAGATAATCGCCGCTGGCCAATGCTCCGTCTGCCCTCGTAGAATGGTCGTAGTCCCATAAAATTGGTAGCACCCTTGCTGCAGGTCCCTCAAGCAGCCTGAACTTGAACGTGGTAAGCATGATTGCAGGTTTACCATCTTGCTCCTTATGCAGAATTCTGGTCGACCCCGAAGCTGAGCACTCCTTGTCTTCTGTCGACTGCGCGGTCAGCATTGCGTTGTAATACGGGTCGAAGAAGTTCGCGCGAGAATTTGAACGTCGAAGACTCTCGTGCGACTGCGAACGACGGCCACTTGCTACTGGACCAAAGCTTTGGTCACTGGCGCCTATCTCTTGGACTGAGAGTGACTGTTGCTTGCCCATAATTAAAACCGAAAACTTGCACATGCATCTGTATGATGCATCCTGGCAAGCGGCGGATGATATACGTCGACTGACATTCAGCAAGCAAAGAGACGTTTGGTGCAAACGTCTGGTGCAAACGTCTGGTGCTGTTGTTCTTCGCATGGTCATTGTTCTAGGTGATTGCCAGAAACCGCGATCGCTTGGTACAAAGCGATAAAGCAGAGACAAGAGGAAGAGAAGGAAAATCACGGACAGTTTGTCCATTGTAAGTTCGTTGCATTGTTCTGCATTGAGCGTAAACAACGCTTTGGTCATCTGGGTAGTCTAACCGAGTCTAAGTGTTCGTGCAAGTCGTCCTGTAAACCAATAATTTGCATGGATTTGTCCTACACGAGCCTAGATCGAACGCACACCTAACAGCTGAAGCCAGGGTAGATCTCATCGTGACGAAATGAAAGGCCCTTAGCCGCGCGTTTGTAGTTGATCTACGTTGGTACAGGAACATGGCCGTGGCTCGAATCAGAGCATAAGAGCTGCCACAATCTTTCTAGCCCTAAACGCATATGCCTGAAGTAACGTCCTTGGCCTAGAAACGACCTTCCGCAAAGTTCTTGGTGCTTCAGAACTGCCTCGTCAATCTCGTCTCTGCTCTACTTGATCTTCCATGTGAGTTTGTGCATAGTCTTGATCTTTTTGAAGTGGGCCTCGAACTCCTTCTCACTCATGTCGTTACACTCTTGGCGCGTCGTGTGCGCCGACATGTCCATCTCGTCTTCCATGAAATTTATGAGCAACGCTCATGTTCTTGGGAAGGCGAAGCTGTGTTTTTGGGGATGAAGCTCTCAAGTAGGCTCTTCAAGACCTTCAACTCCTGCGCTGTGTGGCGTGTGGCTTCTGGTGGTGGGGCCTCCGCAAGATTTATAGGCTGCGTCTTGACCTGTGGCGCATCGGTTTGTGCAACACTGTTCTTGCTAAATGCTGGAGTAGCGACAGGAGCCGACGATCTGAATGCCTGCGGCTGCTTGCAGAGGTGGGGTGGCCTTGACACAGGCGCGGGCAATGCTGCTGCTTTCGCAACAACAGGCTGAACGAGAGGGGTAGACCTCGGAGGCGAGTCATCGCCAAGAAGGTGCTCGATAGTTCGAAACCAGACTGGTGTAGATGTTCTTACAGGCAACTCAGACACCTGCGAAGCAACACTCGTGGGTGGCGTATGGGGTCGTTGAAAGAGCGGCTGAGCCGGAAGCGTCTCCATCGTGCCTTTGTTGCCGTTCGTAGGCTTGGAAGTAGTAGCTGCCCTGACTGTTGGTGCTGAACTTCTCACTGGAGCTACTGATGCCATGTCGACTGGCTTGACGGGATCCGGTGGCGAGAAAAGCGGATGCTGAATTGGGGTAGGCGCGAGTGCACGCGGAAGACCGGTCGCCCGTGGTGCAGGCGCCAGCCAGCTACCCACATTTTTTGGGGTACTGGTAAGTGGAGGACTGACAACAGAAGAGAGCTGACGTGTGGGTTTTTACTGGGGCGGTCAAGATAGAGGCTGAGAAGCTTGTCTCGCTTCAGAGCCTGCTTTTGCTGCTGGGTGAGTGGGCTCTTGTTGAAACGAGGATTTGGCAACCCGCCAGCGATAGGCACGGAGTCAGGGTCGGGTTGCCATTCTTCAGCCCCCGGTGTAGGGGCTGCGAACGAGTCCCATGACAGGTCGGCCACCTTTGAGGCTGTTGTATAGTTAGCATCTGCAGTAAGAGGGTGACCATAAGTGCGTTGCAACATACCTGAGAATTTCATGTATGGCATGGTGTGAGTGTTAGGGCAAGCGATTGTGGTTTTTGGAAATGGAGGTGGAGAGCGAAGCAATTGTCGATGTTTAAAAAAGTCGAGGTGAAACCGATTTCCACGATACGTTGCTAGGTAAACGTCGCAGGCAACCGCAACCCAACCACGCAAAGATAGATCGCAAGAGACAGTTCCTTCGAGAGATGACAGTGGTCGAGGTTCACTGCACGGAATCATCTCAGGATAGAGAATGTGACTCCATACTGCTCGCCCCTCGCCGCCATTAGGTCCACCGTAGGCCAGGTCATGCAGAGTTCCAATTGGCAGCCGTCTCTTACACTAGCTAAGCTCACTCGCGCACGAATCCAACTCTATGTCGATTAAGACTGTAGTTGGTGTTCAAGCATCAAAATCGTGAGTGGTTGAAAGCGCCAAGAGAAATCTCATTGGCATTTCGAGGGCACAGATGCTCCTAGGCAGAGCGTACACTTACGCGATGAACTCCAAAGGGGCACAATGAGGAGTGGAGCAATGCACATTCGATGCAGAGAACAAAAACCAAAAATCGTTGCGAGATATCACGGTGACGAAGCTTTGCACGTGTCGGTCAGCTCTTTTAGGGGCACACTACTACCTAGCTCGCCGTGCATACCTAGCGTCTCCCGCTCTGAGGCCCTTCACGTTGCAAAGCCACCAATTCCGCGCCCAAAGCCCTGAAACCTCATTTTACGATTCCTTTCTTATACCTTACCGACTTGTTCCACTTTGCAATTCTCCTCAATGTCCACTGCAGACTGACAGACCGAGCTGGATGGCGATGCGTTAAAGCGGCTCTAGTTGACGACCCTCACGTGGCAGTGTGTCATCCTGATGGTCGATCCTCCAAACCACCTCACTCCATTTGGCATCTCGCTTATGCTCTCGCGTTGTGTCACCTCGCCAAAGGTGTCAACATCTCAATCGCAATCTGGATCGTGCATTGTATGCGGGCAGCAAGCGTTGTCGACGTTGATTGAGGCTGAGTGGCTTCAGCCAATCTTTAGGTCGATCTTCAGCGTCTGAGCCGCTCCGAACCGACTCGAATGAGTCGTGTCCGTTCTTTCATTGTGCCCTTCAATCAAAAGGGTCCAGTCAGTCTCTTTCCGCGACTTGCTATTTCGTTGGGCAAGCGTAGCCTCCGCCTTTACTTGCTGCATTCTTACAACCCTGCATCTTCCGCCGAATGCCGCAGCTGTCTACCCTGGTCGCTTGCTCTGAAACTCTACACGCCACTTGCAACGACTAACACGAAAGAATTTGGGAGTCACCGGGAAACATGAAGAAGAGATTCACATACTCCAAAAAGGACAAGGCGCGGTCACACAAAAATGAGGATCGCTCCACACCAGAGGACGAGGATGGCAGTCGTAAGCGGCGGAAAACCGACAGCCCCAGCGAGACCAGCAGCTTTGTGTCTGTGCCCACGATATCATCAACGGCCTCCAGTATTCGTGCAAAGAGCTCAGCACTCTTCAAAAGGGGATCGCAAATGTTCAGTGGGCCTGCGTCCATAACTCCAGATGATGCAGAAGTCGACGTGACGCCGAGGGCACGGAAGTCTTTGTCCAGTTTGTTTGACAAAGCAATACAAGGAGGACGCACCGCGCAACTACAGACATCTCAGCAACCGAAGATTCATGGTAGCCGCGAAGAATTTGTGCGGACAGTCGAAGTCAGAAAGAGAGAACCAAAGAGCACACAGACAAGTGGTAGTTATCTTCCAACACCGCCCTCAGAAGTACAAAGGCTCCGCAGCAATGGCACCGGCAGCAGCAATTCGAGCGGTCTTGGTGCACTAACCAAGTCAAGCATGACGTCCGCCACCTACGATGGGTCTTCAGAGACTACAGATCTAAGCCGGGAGCCCAGCAAAAGCAAAACACAAAAGCAACCATACGTGCCTAAGATCTACGCGGCCAGGAGGACACCGCATCCAGGTGCTGATCTATACGGCGACCCGTTACCAAAGCGCTCTCAGGAATTACAGTTGTAAGTGCATATCCCGTCCCTCAGGGCCACAACTAATCCTGCAGGTGGTCGACTAATCAATCGAAATCGCCCTTCTTGCGGCTTCCTGAAGAAGTACGCGCACGAATCTATGCATATATCTTGGGCGGTAGGACCATCACCATCGGCTACGAGACATATCGCCGTGTAGAAGCTGTAGATGAGGCTGCGAAAGCCGTGCCAATCTTTCGCTACTGCTGCGCTATCTACAGCCAACGCAACGTTAACCCGTTCGGAAACCAGCCACCCTTTGTCAACGTCATGTACAAATATACCCCCCTGAACAACATCTGCCGGCAGTTATACCACGAAACCGCTACACTACCTTTCATGCTTAATACGCTTGCATTTTCGACGCACAACGTCATGTTCAATTTCCTTTACCTGGAGCAACGACTTTCACGCGAGCAGCGTGATGCGATCACATCTATCACGCTGCAGAACGCGCTTCCGATGGCGAACTTCCTCGTCTACATGCGTAAGCTGCAGAAGGTGGTACTTGTGGATGGTTTTGCAGATAACCAGAAGGGCACATACAAGGTGACCCGCGTCAAGGGCAAGGCGCCAAAGCTACTCAACACGAGGCACGTCTGGGGAGGTTAGAGGATCTCCCTGATCTATGCAGGCATTTTATCGGCGTTCCGGGACATTGGCTTTGCATCAACATATACCAAACATTATGAAATTACGGCGCTGTTCGCATGCAGGGGCGGGACCGGGTTTGCTTTTCAGCGCTGCGACAACTTGAGAAGGGAGCGAGCTGTTGAGGTACCATGCAACTTCGATGTACACTACATCAGCAATCATTTGCTCTTCTTTGCTGCCACTGTTCTGTCTCCCCGTGATCTCGTGTCGTAGATAATGACGCCCAAAATCGCAACGTTCACGACAAAGAACACGATACTGGAAAGCCATAATCCAGGCATGAACGTAGAATACCCGTTGAACTCAAGCTGGAATCCTTGCTGTAACCACGCTGCTTGACCTGCGATCCAGGCTGCAAGTGCAGTAAAACCGATGGTGGGAGATCGGAGCAGAACCGAGTCAGGCAGGTAGTATGGCAGGAACATCATGTACCACAGAAAGTACTGTAGGCTAATTAGACCACCGGCCAATAGACACCGACTTGTTGTGACTTACTTGACTTGTGCAGACCTTGTTGAATGCTACAAAAGCGAAAGTCTGCGCTAACATGGTCGAAGGAAGGTCCTTCTTCGCGAGTGCCAGAGGGATCATAACAGCGCTAAGGAGTAGCTGAGGTAGAAATGCAAGTCGCTCCAGCTCAAACGTGCTCTGACTGCCTCCTAGCGAAGAGTTGAGGTAGAGGAGGGTGTTGTAGGGCGAGAAGTTGTGGCGATGGTCGATCCGAGTCAGGTGGTAGAAGTAGCTATGCTCGAGGAAGGGCCATCCGTACATCTGATACATGCCGATGTTGAGCAACGCGAATGTGACGGTGCCAGCTATGGCGATCGTGATGCGCTGAGAGTTGATGAACACGAGGAGTTGGGCAAACACCGACCCTCGGGTCCTGCTCTTCGAAACACGCCCGACGCTCGTCTCATCAAGCCACCACACAATTGACGCAGCGTAGATGAACGGGTAGATTTTGAAATGCACCGCGAACCCCAGCAACAGCCCTGCCAGCACCATCTCCTTCGCCAACACCGCCCAAAGAAGCGCAGTCACAAACACGCCCAGTAGACCCTCGGAGCTTCCTCTCGTGCTGATCGTGGCAACCATAGGATTCAGCAACCAGATACTCGCAAACTTCAAGGCCCTCTCTTTCTCCAGACCCCTATACTCCCTCAAAATCCGGTACATCATCCAGCCTGCAACCACGTCCCCAATAGCGAACAGCGATTTTCCGGAAGAGAACCAGAGAGTCCCAGGCCATGTCGTGGGATAGATCATCCAAGCGAGTAGGGGCGTGTATCTGTACGTGTCGCGGGCATAAGGGGAATGTCCATAGGAAATGAACCGCGCTGCATCGGTGAAGACGAAATAGTCAATATCCGTGTACTTCATCGGCGAATTCGCATCCTGCCATAGCCCGTACAGCAAGAACACCGCGCGAAGGAAGGACGCGGTGGTGAAGACCAATAGCGGGCTGCGGAAGAAGCCTGATAGCGCCATGGGGATGGAGGGAGCTGCCACCGCGCGAGACGACAAATTGCTGAACAAAGGAAACGCTATGCGCAACGGAACAACAGAATATCGAACTGGTTATTGGTGATGTAAACTCCCGGCATCAACTTCGATCACAACACCAGCAATCGCAGCCGAAGACCCATTCCCAAAGCAGCTAGTTCCCACGTGCCCTCGCGCTGCACTGTTTGCTCTTCATCGTCATAGGCGTGCACCGCGTCAACGCATCTCCCAATGAACCAAAACAAACGCAAAAGAGACCAAACCATGGCGGATGCAGGCAGCTCCATGCAGCCCACCGGCCCATTCATCCCCATGTTCGAGGGGTTCAGGAAAGAGCTCGATGCACACCACGACCGGCGCGAGCGAATCATAAAAGCATCTCGCGACATCACAGCATCGAGCAAGAAAATAATATTCACCCTGCAACGTGTCCGGACAGTGGGCCAGCCCGTTCCCCCGTTCGTGCACAAGTCGAATGCGCAGTACTGGGACACAATCCAGAAACAGTACTCCAGCATAGCTCAGGATCTTCAATCCCTTAACGCGCACCGCTACCCGCAGATCACAGGCGGGAACCAGGAGTTCATCGAAGCGCTGTCTTTCCAGCACTACCTGGAGCACCAATCCCTGATCTCCTTCGAAGAAGCCAAAGCGAAGATCGCGGAGCTGAGTCGGGCGAAAGTTGAGGGTGAGACGACCGTGACACAGGAGGAGGAAGGCAAAGAGGAGGGGAAGGACACCCCACTAGTCCCGCTCACGCCCGAAGATTATATCCTCGGGATCTGCGACATGACGGGTGAACTGATGCGGTTCAGCGTTACGTCGATGGCGACGAACGGCAAGCTGCCCGCAGGCCGCGCGAAAGCCGCGCCGGTTTCCAAAGCACCTGCAGGAGATGACTCAATGGATATCGACAGCGCGCCTCCACCGCCGGAAAGCTGCCGGCCTCGGACCGTGCTAGATGATCTACGAGTAATCCGCCTACAGCTCGAGATGTTCGAGGCGCCGTACGGTCCGAAGTGGGTCAGCGAGCTGGAGACGAAGAAGATGCCTGTGCTGAGGGAGTGTGTGGACAAGGTGGAGAAGGCTTTGTATGGGCTTACGGTGCGGGGGAGTGAGAGGCCGAAGGGGTGGATGCCAGACGTCAGCAGCGATAGACGGGCGGAGGTGGAGAGCTACTAGGTTTAGGGTTCTTTGAGCTTGAGAGCGTCACGAAAAGGAGAAAGTGGATAGAGGCCGTTATGAAATTGACGACGCCCGAAGGCGCACATGTGTCATTCATATACAGAAAGGCTTACAAGTTAACGCTATCATAGCCCATAAGAACATAATTCGTTCGATGCAACGATCGTCGGTACTGCCCGCCGTCTTGTGGTATCCATCATTTCTATCCCCCATCTGCTCCAACACTCCCAGATGCACTCTTCCTTCTCACGTAGGCCGCTCGTGTCTACAATTATTGCCAGCTTGACCAAACTCTCACGTACCGTCCTACAGGTGTTCAGCCCTCCATGATGAAAGGCGCCTTCTGGAGAGCAGTATTGCCGGGATTGGGCCTCGCGTTTAGTGGGTCTCGTCGCGGATGAGAGCAACGATCATGCTGTAGAGGTAGAAGAAGAACATCAGCAGGTGGAAACCAAGCTTGATGAACGATTCCTGCAGGTTGTCAGCACATTGAACCTCGAGTGTTCGAAGGATTGTTCACAACATACCTTCTTATGAACGTTCAGCTTTCTGAAGATTTCTGTTGCGTCGAGCAAGTGATTCTTCTCGAAGATCCTGTCCACTGTTAGCTTTCATCCGTCATACCAAGATCTAGCCACATACTTCTTTCCATTCCATGCCAGCAGGGGCAGGTTGAGTATAAGCGCGACCCAGTACCCATTAATAAGGAACAGGAAGGTCAGGAAAGCGTGAACAGCAGCCTCGGGGATGATGTAGGTGTTGAGGCGGTTGCAGAGATCGATGGGGTTGATGTAGTCACTGGCGCAAAATTAGCATGTGCTTGCGTACGGGCGCGTCGAGTAGAGCTCAAGCTGCATCTAGCTGTGCTGAGCTACGACGTCTAGGAGCCTTCACTTACCATTCCAGATCGCTGTACATAATAGTGAAGAAGACCTGCAGGAACAGATTGACGGCGTTTATCAACACCGCCAGCAGGTACAACCATGCTTCGCCAGTCATTGTTAAGGCTTCGTGTGCTGCGTGGCACAAAGATCGGTAGGATGGGGTTCGACAGGAGCTGGCGGTACGGCCTGGGGATTACGCAGCGGTGCGATTGCGAGTGAGATGTGTGATTGTGGAGCGGATGCGGTCGTGTGTTTGCAGGTTGCGGGCTAGACGCGGTAAGCTAGCTCGTGCGCGGCGGGGCGCGGTGGGAAAGCTGTTGGGTGATGACGTAGCACGCAACAGCTGTCAATTTGAGGACTCGGATGTAACGGGATGCACAAAAGAGTCTGGTCGGGGTAGTTGAGCTGTCAGTAAGCAGGCAGCGATGGTCTCTTGATGACGTTTGCAGAACAGGTCCTTCTTGTCATGCCCTGGTCGAGGTCAAGGCGTGCTCGCTTACACCGCTGTGCGTCTCTAGCGGCGAGCCAACCCCAACAAGGCGTGCGCTCATGTGAAAGTCACGATGCATAGTCGAGTTCAGCAGAAGATCTGGCTCTCAGAAAGCCGAGTCCGCCCCGAATAGGGAGAACCACCAGAATGGAGGTGTACAGGTGTTCGAGCAGACATGGGTGGAAGGGCTGTAGCAAGTTGACAGGTGTAGATTTATGTCTGCTCTTGCTGTGCTTGATAGCCATACCGTAGGACGTGTTGGTGCCATGTATGTATTCGCCCTCTCTCCAGCTCGGGTCAGAGTATTTGTACCCTGAGACTCGAGCATCTCCGCCACCGGCCGCTCGTTGACCGCCACTGACAGCAGCGTTTCCCGCCTGATCCTTCCTCTAATAGTAAGCACGAAGCCACGGTGTCCCACACCAGCATCCGCTAAATGATCCGTGAAGTTACAGTGTTTTAGCCTGTCATGCAGGTTGCTCACAATACGATCATGCTGCTGCAGTCACTTCACCGTTCGCAGGGGCAACCCTCGGGACGGGGCCGCCTGGGGAGTTAGGCAGCCTTGCCGTCAAGACCTCGACGCCATCTTCAGTGACAAGCAGTGTGTGTTCTGTCTCGTTGTTAGCAAACGCACACCGATGTCTTGCAATCGACTTACCGAACTGAGCGGTCAAGGAACCATCCTGGGTGGTGCTGGTCCAGTCGTCCGGCCAAGTCTTGTCCCTGTAGGAACCAATACTGATCATAGGCTCGATGGTGAAGCACATGCCAGGCTTCGCCTGTCCGATGGCCTTGTTCTTCGCGTAGTGGGGAACATTGGGTGCGCAGTGGAAGAGCTGGTTGATGCCGTGCCCGCAATATGTCCTGATGACACCGCAGTTATGGGCCTTCGCATGCTTCTCGATGACGTTGCCGTACTCGCGGAAGAGCGTGCCTGGCTTGACGAGCTCAATGGCCTGGTCTAAGCACTCGCGTGCGGTCTCTGTGACGCGCACTGCGTCTGGGTTCGCCAATGCCTTTTCACCGATGTAGTAGGTCTCGTTCAAGTCTCCGTGGAAACCGCCGTGGTACAAAGTAACGTCTATGTTAAGGATGTCACCGTTCTTAAGGACTCGCTGATCGGGAATGCCGTGGCAGATGACTTCATTGACCGATGTGCATACTGACTTGGGGAAGTGGCAGTAGTTGAGGGGGGAGGGGTACGACTGCTGAGTATTAGCTGAGGTTCCTCAAGCTTAGAAGAGCTCCCTTACGTCTCGCTCCATGCAAGCATTATGAACGACCTCGTCAATGTAGTCAGTTGTTACACCGGGCTTCGCCGCTGCAGCCGCAATGTCCAGAACCTCACGCGCCAGCCGGCACACCTTGCGCATACCATCTTGCTCCTCCTTGGTAAGAATGGCGATCTTATTTCTGTTCACAAAGACCTGCTCTGAGCGGGGTATGCCATCCTTCGAGTAATCTGGGTGCTTAACGCCCTGCTTCACTTCGCGCTTCGGTGACAGTGGGTATACGGGTCGCAGAGTGCCGGTGTAGGGGAAGGTGGGGAATGGGTTGAAGTGCCCGGTCGCTGGGTCCGGTTTAGAAACTACTTTGGGCGTGAAGATGTTGGAGAGAATACCGTTCTGCGACTTGTGTTGTTTCTTATGCTCCGCCTATGATCTTGTCAGCCTTGGCTCGGAACATGATTACTGGTTTGGAGTCATACCCAGTTGCGCTTGAAGCAGTCTTGCGAGCAAAAGTAGCTTTCCTTGCCCAGCTTCTGGCAGTTCGGGCATTGCAGCGAACCCGCGTCGTTTTCGCAGTCTGCACTGCAACACTTGCGCGGGGCGTCGGCGGCCATGTTTGTGCAAGATGCAATTGTACAAAGGGCTTGCGGGGAAGATTTAGGTATTATGGCGGCGATCCGAAGGCGAAAGGAAATATATAGCACTCTCCAAGAACGCAGAAAACGAAAGCACAAAACTTTTGGACTCCGTAAACTGACGACGGCGTACGGCGTTCATTAATCGCCCGTGCGGCTTGAATGGAAGAGACCAGGGTCTGGCGATGGCACCTGCCGATCGTTGGACGCTGACTAACTCTCCCCATGCCAAACTTTAGAAATGCTCTAACCCACCGCGGCCGGAAGATGATACCTGCAAATATCGCTGCCAAATTTCCAATTCCTTGCCTTCGTCTTCTCTGTATATAATTGCACCATAACCCCGCTGAATCTCCTACGTCAGCATGTATACGACAATGTCTATGTAAAATTTAGATCTCTTGCAATTTCCATTACGCCGATATCGCCTACCCGCCCATCCGGCTGAGTAAAGACTCACACGACCACCAGATTTCTTGCAACAACACACGTTCACCATGAAGACCGTCGTGGTTGGAGCCGGCCCTGTCGGTGCCCTCGCCGCGCTTTACGCTGCTGTCCGAGGACACGATGTGGAAATCTACGAACTAAGACCAGGTTTGTCTCAACAAACTGAGTTACGACTCGTGACTTACGAGCACCTACTAACCCCACCTCTTAAAGACATTCGAGATCCCTCGACAGAACCAAATAACACAAAATCCATCAATTTGGCTCTCTCTGAGCGCGGCATCTACTCTCTGCGGCAAACTGGACTGTCAGATCTTGCAGATGCGGTGCTCGCGAACACCGTGCCCATGCATGGTCGCATGATTCATGTCAGAAAGCATGGAGAGTACGTGCGTGAGGCACAGCAGTACGACGCACATGGTCGCGTAAGGTTTACAATGACGTAAAACACAACCCTTGCTGAACATGAGCAGGATCTCCTGGCTATGGACCGGACAGTGCTGAACAGAGCCCTGATCGACCATCTCGATGGAATGCCCAATGTCAAATTCTTCTTCAAGCACAAGCTGATTGGTGTGGACTTCAAGAAGAACTCAGCATGGTTCGAAAACCGCCAGGACAAGAAAGACATCTTGACCCAAGGCCCTGAATTCAAACTGACTTTCGACCTGTTGATCGGCGCCGATGGGGCGCATTCAGCTGTACGGAACCACTTGATGAAAGTTGTCCCCATGACATACCAGCAAGAGTACATCGACAAGCTCTGGTGCCAGTTCGGCGTTCCCACATCGGCAGAGGGAGACTTCCGCATACCGCCGAACTATCTACACATCTGGCCCGCGGATGAATCGATGTTCATCGCCATCCCCAACACAGACAAGACCTTCACCGCGACACTTTTCATGTCCAAAGAAGGTTTCGAGGCTTTAGAAGCATCCGGCAAAGTCGTCGAGTACTTCAGCAAGAACTTCCCCGCCGTGGTCCCCGACCTCATCACAGAAGAAGATCTAAAGCAGCAGTTCATCAACAACGAGCACCTCCCCCTCATCTCAATAAAATGCACACCATACCACCACGAAGACGACGGCGTTATTGTTGGCGACGCCGCGCATGCCATGGTTCCCTTCTACGGTCAAGGAATGAACGCCGGACTAGAGGATGTCCGCGTGCTGTTCGAGTTCCTGGACAAGTACCCCAACGACCGCGCCAAAGCCCTGAGCGAATACACAAAACAGCGTACCCCCGATGCGCAGACTATCAACGATCTTGCGCTTGGCAATTACCGTGAGATGGCGTCTGATGTCAGGAAGCCACTGTATCTGCTGCGGAAATGGGTCGAGGAGACGCTTTACGTGCACCTCCCAAGCCTTGGGTGGGCGACACAGTATTCGAGGGTCACCTTCAGTAATATGAGGTACTCTCAGGTTTACCAGGCGAGTCAGCGGCAGGCGAGGATCCTGAATGGCGTTGTGGGACTAGGTCTCGCTGCAGTTGCTGGATCCGCGCTCGTGTTTGCGGGGAATGGTGGCGCGAAGAGAATGGAGAAGGGTATACTTCGTGGGATATGTCTGGCTGCTCAGGGTCTGCAGCGGGTCATCCAGGGATGAGGGGCTATCATCCGTCACACTGTAAATATACCACTCTCAATCCTCATACCTTCCGCATGCTACATCACCACCGACTCCATCTCACGCTCAAGCCTTCCAACCCTGCAGCTCCTCACAACGCAATCTTCCCCCTCCACAACTCTCGCGCATTCCTCCACAACACCCCCTCCCTCTCCTCACCAGGAATAAAACCGGCATCCGCCAGTCCAGCAATATTCTCATCAACATCCCAAAACCCAATTCCATACGGATAATCCGTTCCAAACACGCACTGCCCCACGCCAACACCCATTCCCTCCAATACCCCTTTGATCTGCCGCGGCCACACAGGTCCTGCGCTGTCGTACCAGCACCGCGTTTTATACGCTTCTCTCGCCGCAGCACTCTCGTTTGGAAAGCCGAGAAGGAAGCGCTCGCTAATATCGGGGAAGGCGCCAGCGCCGTGGGATATGCGCCAGTGGAGGGAGGGGTACTTGAGGAGGGTGCTATTGTAGGGTGGTGATGAGGCGATCAGTGAACTCAGGGCGCGCGCGGTTTCGAAGTAGAATTCTCCCAGTCCGGAGCGCAGCGGTGCTGGGCGTGTCAGTTCTGGGATGTATTGGTGCTTTGCGTGTGATAACAGCCAAAACAAAGAGACAACATCAGAAGAAAAGAAGGGAGCGGACGTACAGGGTCGACTGGATATCAGAGTCCCGTCGTCGAGCGCGATCACTGGATCCGTGGGGTGGATGAAGACAACCTCCCTCCCATGCCGTCCCGCTCGCTCCTCGAGAAACCTCCATAAGGGCGTGAATGCAGCATCTCCAGGATACAACCCCTCTGCATTCGTCAAAATGCTGATCCCCACCGCGCCCAGTCCCAGCGCATGCCCGACTTCCCTCACACTCTCCTCCACAAACGGCAACGCTGTTACACCCAACCAACTAAACCTCTCCGGCCAGATGCGACACACTTCGGCGGCGTACTCGTTCAGCAGTCTAGCCAGGGCGACGGTCTTCTTCTTCCTCAGCTCTGCATCGCGTTCGAATTTGCTCGGGGATGCGAAGGCGTTGGCCTGCGGTGTTGAGACGCTGAGGATACTCCTCCGAATCCCGCGCGCACTCATGAATGCCAGATGGTCGGTGACGTTCCAGGAGGGAGTTTCGCGGCCTGCGGCCGAGAGTTCGAGGGTGCGGAACCAGGAGGGGACGGGGTGCGTGTGCGTGTCTATTTTGGTCGCGTTGGTGAAATCAGGGAGTACGATGGTGGTGGCTTCTTCGTGTAGCTTGGTGATTGAGTCGAGAGCTTCTTTGTGGAACGGAAGCACGGTAAAGTCTATGTTGTCTCGGGCCGCGTTGGTGTTTATGCGGGTCAGTAGAGCCTGAGGGGTTGGTGGGGATGTTGTTGTCATGCTGAACAGAAGAGGAAGGAGGGATAGATAGCGTAGCTGCATGGCATCAGTGCTGCTTCTCCAGTTGTCGTGATTCTTGTTGTATGCAAACCTGTACGTGAACCAAGACAAATGATTCACAGCAACTGCCAAGATGAGTGATGCTGGGCTGCCGTGTTGATCAATTGGAGGTAAGGCGGATGGTGGGATGCAGGAGCAGCTAGTTGCATGTGGTTGGTACTGGCTCGGGTCCCCGCATCACCGACGAGACTTACCAACGCGGAGCAAAGACGACGCAAGGTATGTGAAGATGTGTGATTGAAGTATGTACAGTTCCTCTGGAACCATGCTGGGTATCTCTAAAGCAGCTGAGTTGATGAACTCTCACTGCTAGTTGAGATGCCGCTCAACCATGAACAATGAAACAATGTCGCTAATCGCAGTCAAAAACAAAGGGAAGTATCTACAAGGATGGTGGACATATATAAGAGTTGATGTTTAGATGAGCAGGCCGACACCAAGAGCGACGGCGCTGATCTCGTTGTTGCGGCCATCGATGCTAGTTCTGATTTTGCCCATGTGACCAAGCTGGCGTGTGGCGTCCATCTTCGTCTGAGACATGGCTATTGGCGAGGGTGGGCCAGATGACGAGGCGAGATCGATGCGGTCCGCATCCTGCTCAGAATGCGTGGGGGCCAGGTCATAGCCAAATGTAATGGACGCAATGGAGTCGTCGCTGGCTGCTCGGATAGGCGATGCTGGCCTTTCAGAACCATGGATCTTCTCCACAACAATTGTGGCGGGAGCTTCGATCTCGATAGTTGTGGGCTTAGGGCTGCGCTTCTTCTTGAAACCATGTGCATCGTAGCGCGGTGGGTGAGAGGTGTAGTCGACAAGTGTGCGCTCTTTGATGTGGATGCGCATACGTTTGCCGTCGCAGATCACGACATCGCTGACGCGAGGTGATGAGGACAGTAGCACTGGGGCACAGCGCCGGCGGTAGCGGAGAGCCTCTGAGGGCGTGGGACGAATGACGGAGCCATTTTTAGAATCTGAAGACGCTGTTGAAGGGGGCTCCTCCTCGTCGTCTTGAGAAGACGAATGTGGAAGACCATTTCGTGTTGGGAACCGCACGTCTTCAGGATCGAATTCGTCGAATGGGTCTCCTGTGGCGGTCACAGTCGTGACGTTGCCCATTGGCAGACCCCCACCCAAATGCGGGTAGAGATGGCGGATAATGCGCTCTTGCTCGGCAATGATACGTCTGCCAGCGTCGAGGCTCGACAGGTTATCCAAATCCTCACCAAGCTGAGCTCCGTCGAGTATGCGCTGGCGCCTGTTCCTCCTAGGCAGGCTTCGATAGCGCGGCTCGCTGCGATCTTCGAGGGGTGAGCTGATGTCAATAGCGGCGCAGAACGCCTCTACCCAATCAAGCATCAACTCTTGAGAGGTTGTACAAAGCAGCAACTGCTCAGTCTCTACACGGATGCGAATGACGTGCTCGCGGACCGGCTCAAAGAGGTGTGGGTCAGTCTCGTAGAGCTTGTGGCGAGCTGAGGCAGGGACAAGGTGTGCGAATGGGGACTTTGGAATGATGGCTGTCCTCTTGAAGTCTGAAGCAATGCCGACTTCTGCGTGCTGCAGAGTGTATGACGAGATCAAGCGGCCTGCGGTAAGCCCTTTGGTTTTGCTCCACAAGCCTGGCTGCTTTACTCGGTGGATGCTTAGCTGCGTGCCCCGGAGAATCACATAGCAGTCTGACCAGTCGCGCTGGCCAGACACGTGGTATGGGGAGAGCAGCTCATGACGCACGCCCAGGACACCACCGATCTCGACAGTGCAGGAATACGGCGGTGGCTGAACATCAGCGCGCTCTGCTTTTGCCTCGGTTCGCGCCTTGTTGTTCAGATAGCGTAGGTTGTCGTCGATTCGAGCGTATGCGGGTGGACTGCCGAGCGGCAGCTGCGCGTGGGTGTGGAATGTGTTATGGTATCCATACACAGCGCTCGTCTGCTGATTGGACGGGCGCTGTCGCCTCGTTGCTGGTGCTGTGGATCCGGACATGGTGGAGATGGGCGAGGATAGTCGTAGACTTGGAGAAATCGCAAATTCTGTCCAGCAGGATTTGTTTTCTATGCGCGTCCAGTTTGTTTGCAGAAGCTACCTCTCGCGGGTTGACACGGTGAGGGCGCCGGAAACGGACATGAGCGGATTCTTGTGGCGTGCGTTCGTTGCTTGTTTGAATGCGGCCGCACAATGCACCGCGCGCCGCCTCTTTGTTTTCAGCCAAAATAACGATGTCGTCAAAGGGACCCTGTGAAGTCAGACTGCGCGGGATGCTGCCAGGGCAGGGCCGAAGTTTGAATTAAGCGGCGCAATCGAGGATCCTTGCGTGAGCCGAAAGCGAGGATGGGGCCGTAATACGGAAGGTGCGCTGAGTCCGGTGCAGTGAGCAATTACCCTCACTTGGAAATGGATACAGGGTAGAATAGTTGGTCAAATGGTGCTTCGAAGAGACCCCTCGGCGGCACGACAGACTATTAGTATGAATACTCATCATGCGAGGCCATCAGCTGGACTGCCTGGCCCTATGCGGTCTTCAACCGAACGATAGCAGGGTTGGCCCGCTCTCCACTCGGCCACGTTCGAGATGCCCCTGCGACGGGTCTCTGTCTGTGCGGGACCTGTTGTCCGTCGAATGTGGCTGCGCTAAACGGGACGACTGCATCTTCGACCCCCTTCGGTCCACTCAAATGCGAATTCGCGGAGCCTGGGTGTGGTCGATATGCAGGTCACCCGGTGCCTATTCTCCCACCTGCAATACTGCAAGGTCGGCGCGGAGCATGTGCTTCTTTACTCGCCCGTCCAGACACCGCTCCCCCGGCCAGCTATCCATCTCGACCTCGACGCAAAGAGAGCGGTGTACCGAGTAGTTGCTTCTCTAGCAAAACACCCGACCTTGCTGAGGTGCAACTTGTGCCAGTCTGACAGGCGCTGGCGGGCCCAAGTGCCCAAGTTCGCGCTCCGCACTCCACACGAGCCATCATGCGTAACGGCCGCCCTCATCAAATATTATTTGAGAAACAGCTCCCGTCAGCTTAGAGAGGAATTGCCTTTTCTATACGACTGTGACACCAAAGCCTCGCTAAGCCCGGGAGGCAAAGCCCTCACTTACTCGCGTGTTCCACAACTTCAGCCAAACGTCGATCATTACAGCTGCTCACACCACTCAGCAGCAATCATCGTATACGTCAGCAGCTTGGACCACACGGTATCTGCAGTGTCACAGTTGAGACCTAGGTATTTGAATTGGGAACGCTAATAGGGGCTCGTCACTCGAGACGCTAGCACGGAGGTTTTGGGCCCGTTTCAAGATTCACCGCAGGTTGAATTCACCGAAGTCAAAGCTCACTGCACCTGTTACCAGAAACGAATGTCTATTTTGGCAAAAACAAAGACGACGACCATATAGATTCAATCTATATTACATCAAAGCAAGACCTTCGGGATCTCCGTAGCAGCGCGCAGGAAGTCAAGATTTGATGCCACATAGATTCGACACCCTAGCTTGAAAGTCTTGATCTCATCACCCAGAGCATCGAACTCTTTCGTACACAATACCCAAAGCCTCTCAGTAAGCTGGGTCGTTGATCTTGATCCAGAGGACGTTATAGAATGGCTTAGAGCCGTGGCTACATCATGATATGCCAGCGTGTACACGATTTTTAAATCGGGAACAGGACCAAATGACCAGACATGCAGGCCTTGGAGACACTGTGCGACCTCAAACCATCCTACTTTATCACCCTCCCTCGATCCTGCGTTGACAACCGGTAGTAACGAGCAACAAGTCATTCGCCATCAATTAACGAACACGACGTGGTCTGCCCCTTTCGAGTATGCTGTTGCTCAGAACCGAAGTGCTCGTGTTCCAACTGTCCAAATTGTGAACTTTGCACGACCGATCTTTCTGCAATGTTCTCGTACGAGGAGTACTCGGATTCTTCGGATGTCTCTGTCGGACGAGATCTCGACAAATTGGAAAAAGGACAAAGACACGTAGGTATCAACAGTTCGCAGAAAGCAGAAGCCCACTGGCTTGTACGTCGATTTTGAGATCGTTCAACATTAGTTGCATATTTGCCAAGACACCCATGGTCCTCGCTGCAATGAGCGATATTCAGAGGAAATTTCTCAGGCCTCGAACTGTGTCATTCTCCTTGACGTACAAAGCGACGCTTGGCTACGCTTCCGACTACGACTCCCTTCATTGCTCTGTCTTACGTTCGGGGAGAGACAATGATCCCGACGACGACACGAACCAATCTTGAAGAATCGAAGAGGTCTCGTGCCTTGCTCAATCACATCGATGGCGTGACAATTCCGAAGACGATCAGAGATGCTGTGCTATTCGTCCAGCAGTTAGGACGGAGATACCTGTGGGTCGATATTCTCTGTATCATACAGGATGCCCCCGAAGAAGAGATGAACATGATGTTAATACAATGCCTATATCTATGACAGTACCGATGCCATTCTAGTTGCAGCATCGGGCAATAGCACCGACAATGGGCTGAACGGTGTACATCAGACGCCTCGACAACCCCTGACCTCCTGGACACTTGCATCTCGGTTTGTCCATGGGCATGATGTCGCTACTATCTGGCCTTCCATCCCTGGATCGATGGGGGATCCTTGTACAGAATTACTTCAGACGCCAACTCACATACGAGCAGGATTAGTCTTCAGCGTTCGCAGGAGCAACCCGAGTCATGAGCCAAACGTTTCCTGGAGTGATAGTCTATGGCTTCCGGTTTTCTTCTTCGATATTTCTATGCTCTGGCAGCCAGTATTGCACACTGTTTTCCGCTGGCTCGAGCATCCAAGTTGGTCTTGGACAGGGTGGCATGGCGAGGTCAGTTGTCTAGACCGGTGGAGTCTGCATTGCACAGGACTCTTCTGACACCACGGATGGAAATGTTGGGTTGCGTGGGCGCCTTTGCAGCCAGTTGCTTCGTACCGATTTGAAGCAGCGCAGGTAGACAAGTCGTCTGAATGGGTGCTATTACCTTCTACAATGTACTCTGGATCGAGCGGATAGGAGAGGTAGCGTACAGGAGGCTTTGGGTGAAATGGGTACAGCCTAGTGGGATACCATCGGTGCCGGAGTCATTATAATTGGATTGGGATGGTGATGACTGCAGGCTGGTGCAAACTTGACACGCAGCATGGCTTACGACCAAGACGCAGTCGTGCGTTCGCTGGCGCAATTCAGGTGATGCGCTCGGCCTCGGAGGACTTGCACATGGCCTGCCATTTATTTTCTTCGATGTTGCGCTACTACGGCACTCAGAATGGTGGTGCGCGTCGACGATCAGGCTCTCAAGTAGCAAAAGAAGTGGGCTCCAACAGCAGAATACTTGTAGCTTGTAGAAGGTTTATTACATTATGAGATACTCGAGATATCTAGCATGCTACGGCGTTCTTTCATTGTCGAGTCCCTCTTGTTCAAAGTCAGGGCAGAATCAAAGTGCCAGCTCATCGCCAATTCGAAACTGAGGTTCTGGACCCCAGACCACGATCACGACTATATTGATCAGGAACTTCATCTTCACGACCGCTGTTATGATTTGATCCCAACCGCCCTCAAGAATCCCTCTTTCTGCTTCATCCCCTCCTTGACCCCACTCTTGCCCTTCTGCGCACCCTTCATGGCGGAACCATCATCTTCAAACTCAAGCAACTTCACCACATCCGCCATACTCTCCACCTCCTTGACTCCCTCACCATGCGTGAACCGCCACTCAACCTCTTCTTCAAACCTGACCTGAAAAGCAGCCCAATTCTGACTTTTCAACTGGTTGACATGCGCATTGACCGCCGCCACTGGTCCCGAGTAAACCAAAACCCCTGGGTACCCGGGTTTCGTGATCCCCGCAAACGACGGTGAGAGGCAAAGTTTACGCTTGTTGGTGTTGAGGAGGTGGTGGAGCCATATGATCACAGTTTTCTTGGCGTTTCGATCTGCATGCACTTCGCTGACGGATCTTGTGGACTTTGCGGACGCTATGCTGGAGGTTTCCAGACGGTCTGAGATGATGGCTTGGAACGCTGCGATCATTGCGTCGAGGGCTTCTTCGCCTACTGGTAGGTTAAGGACCGCGACGGCTGCTTTCGTCTCTGTTCTGATGTCATGTTTGGATGCGTCGATTGCGCCTAGGATGTCGGGTTGGCCTGAATCTGGGTAGGAGTCTGGTATGCGGAGGTGGAGTGTTGCTTGGTCTTGTATGAATTTGAGTTCTCGGCTTCTGGGGCAGTAGGTGGCCTGGTCTGGGAATATTGCTGTGAGAAGCTCGATCTCGTTTTCAAGACGGCTGGGAGTTTCGTCTGACATTGCATGTGGGGAAAGGCTGGCTCAGAATGGCTGGCACAATTATCACAACAAGCTCGAAGACTTCATAGGCAGTCAGCGCTGATTTGTTAGTAGGTATTGACGATTGGCAAGACACTTGGAAATGGCCGTACATGTTGGATCTGGATAGCTAGTCCTGCAACAGAAGTGCGTGGGTTTCGTCGATGTTTGATGCCTGCTCGAGGAAATGATTGGATGGTGCCTCTTGTCATCGTCAAGGCTACGCGCGTCCGTGCACGAGCTCACACAAGCTTACCAGTATGCAGTCGCTAAGCTGGATCCTTCTGGTCATCCAAATGAGGTCTTTTGACAGTTCGTCTTCGTGCTTGATAGCAATGGCAGTGCCTTGAGAAGAATCAAACTTCAAATGGGCGGGCGCCTCTGGTTACTCGGGAAACAGCCAGCATGTCAGGTGAAGGGCCCAGGAGATAGTCTGACTGCCTAAAAACGATAAAAATGGGCCGTTGTGGACTGAAACGCGCAGCAGTCTCGGCGAATGGTCAATTCCTATGGGCGGTGCCGTGCCCGATGCATCTTACTGTGGTTTGAGGGCTGCACGCGGTGGAACTAATAAATCCTCTCCTTCGGGCTAGTACGCGGTTCGATCGCGCTTTCCCCGTGTGAGTGCACGCCAGCTAACTGTCGAGGACCCATCAATTGCAGGATAGCTTCCTGCTTCTTTGTTTGTCCTGCAGCCTTACAGCCGCCGAGACTCCGCATACGTTGGCTGTGACGCTCGTGAACGATAGCAAACCGCTCACCCGTGGGCCACCCGCACCCCAAGCACCGCACCTCTTGGCTGGGGGCGTCTCACAACATCAGCAGACGGCCCTTGAGCTGCAGACACCTCCGCACATACCGGAATCCTCTCGAATTCACGCAGATCGAACGGCCCCGAGCCGTACCCACGCCCACGATGAAGGCTGCACCGTTGCTGGTGTCCTGGCACAACGAGAACGCACCCATATACTCGGCCCACTTCGAGCCCCACGGCAAGGGACGACTGGCGACAGCTGGCGGCGATAATAATGTGCGAGTACGTGTTTGGGAAGCTGGGGCGGCGTGGCGTGCTTGCTAACGAGGCGGCAGCTCTGGAAGGTCGACAACAATGGGGAAGACCGCAAGGTCACTTATCTCTCGACGCTTGTCAAACACACTCAAGCAGTCAATGTTGTGAGGTGGAGTCCGCGAGGTGCGTCATGGCGAATACGACGAACACACATCGACTGACAACCCCTAGGCGAAGTGCTGGCTACCGCTGGTGACGATGGCAATGTGCTGTTGTGGGTACCAGCTGAGAACCAGACGATCACACACAACTTCGAGGAAGGCCTCGAGGACAAGGAGTCGTGGCGAGTCAAAACAATGTGCCGGTCGATAGGGTCAGAGATCTACGACCTTGCGTGGTCTCCAGATGGAGTATACTTCATTACAGGGAGCATGGACAATGTTGCACGCATCTACAACGCCCAGACAGGTACGACCCACCGCCCCCAATGCCCTTGAAAGGTTACTCAACAGTATCAGGAGCCATTGTACGGCAGATCGCCGAGCACAACCACTATGTGCAGGGTGTGGCATGGGATCCGCTGAACGAGTTCATTGCAACTCAATCGTCAGACCGCTCCGTGCACGTCTACACGCTGAAGACCAAGGATGGCCAGTTCGCACTCGACCCGCACAACAAGGTCGCAAAGATGGACCTTCCTGCTCGCCGAATTTCATCAAATAGTCCTGCACCGCCCGACTTTGGCGCACGAGCTTCGTTCGCAGCGGACTCAACTATGGGCATTGGCTCACCCGTGCCTTCGATGCCTGGCACTCCGCAGTCTCTGGCTTTGCCTGCTATGCATCCACCTCCCACCTCCCACAGCCGCCGCTCATCGATTGGCGCCATGTCGTCCCCGTCTATGCGACGATCTGCCTCCCCAGCACCCTCGTTGCCATTGCCTGCTGTCATGCCCAACTCTCCTAGTTTGAGTAGCGTTGGAAACATGGGTGTTCGCAACGCATCCATCTATTTCAACGAGACGCTGACGTCATTCTTCCGACGTCTTACGTTTGCCCCCGATGGTAGCCTGCTATTTACTCCTGCCGGTCAATACAAGGCTGTTCATCCATCGTTGGCCGATGTGGGCAAACCGACCGAAGACGTCACAAACACTGTGTACATCTACACTAGAGCCGGGTTGAACAAGCCTCCAGTCGCGTTCCTGCCCGGACACAAGAAGCCGTCTGTGGCCGTCCGCTGCTCACCCGTCTACTACACTCTCCGTCAAGATGGGCCACCGACGAAGCACGTTGCTATCAACACGTCCATGGACGATGACATGCCGTCTCTGCCGGAGCCAGTCCTGCCATCCGTGCCTCCCACATCACACTCCTCTATGGACCCGCCACCGATTACCAGCGCACCGTCGCCTGCCCCAGCCGCATCCCCTGCACCGACTGACAGCAATGGTCCACCTCCAGGCCCACCGTCAGCTTTTAGTCTAGGCTATCGTATGATATATGCGGTTGCGACTCAAGATGCGATTCATATATACGACACGCAACAACAGAAGCCTTTGTGTATCGTCAGCAACCTACACTTTGCTACTTTTACTGACATCACATGGTATGTCGACATGAGTTGGCGACTTGCTAATTGTACTGACTTTGTGCAGGTCGAATGATGGGTCAACTCTGCTCATGACCTCATCCGATGGCTTCTGTTCGGCCGTCACCTTCACGCCTGGTGAATTGGGCGAGAAATACACAGGGCCGCTTGCCCCCTCGACGAAACGGCATGCGACTCCAGCTGCTATAAACGTCAGTGCAGCGCAGTCGTCGAACCATTCGACTCCGACACCAACGCCAACAGGCACAAGCATTCCCATACAGACTATCGAAAAGGCACCTCCGATGCAGCGACAGCCCTCAGCAGGGTTTCCAGCATCTCCAAGCTCTTTTGTACCGGCCAGACCTGGTAGCCCGACAAGGAGCAACTCCGTCTCCAGCATCGCTACCGCATCGTCGTTTGCCCCTGGTGTTGGCGATCCCGGCTCGATGAATGCGCCGACCCCAGCAATGTCGTCAGTACCTAGTCTGGCAGCAGCAAATTCAGGGCCTGTCCCCATGTGGACGCCACCACTCACTCCTGCGCACGGGCAGGGCAACACTCACAGCGCGAGCAGCTCCGTTAGCGGCATCCCTGGCATCGCAACTGGACGAAGAGAGAGCGAACAGAGTGAGTCAGGTCGTGATGATGTTGCAGCGCCTGGCGTGAAGAAGCGCGAGCTGCACTCCGTTCCAGAGGAAGAAGGACGTGAGAGCAAGAAGAGGCGCATTGCGCCGATACCCGTCACTATGGGTAACGAAGGCGACAATGCGGTCGCAAGTAAGGAGAGCACGCCGGCACCGGTGGCACCTGGTCCGCAACGGTGATTCTGGAGTTGGAACTGCGTTTTCGATTTAAGTGTTTCAGCGGGCGTTCATGGGTCAAGCGCTCAGCCGTGATTTTGAGCCGGGCTGTTTGTTCCCGCGCATGATCAGTATATCTTTCTCGGTGTTTATCAACGTCGAGGACGAATCCCTCGACCGCAGACGCATCATTGTGCTGTGGCATTCCTCTAGTATACCCTGTTCATTATGTCGCAATTAGCTTAGATTTCAACTCTCTCCAGTCTCTGGTGGACTTCCTGCACTGCGGTGACGTGGAGTGGCCAATCACGGCAAGCACACGTGCGGGCCGCCAACCGCTGGTTGGCCGATACTGATGTAAGACAAGCACTGCAACCCAGGGTCGTCAACCATACTTAAAGCGCGGGTGCGCGGGGTGTTTCTTTTTCGCTACCGTTACACTGGTCCACTTGTGATTTTCAGATTGCGAAAGTTGCGACTGCAAACAGAAGCGATTAGCGGGAACGCTCACTCACAAGGCTCAACAGGGTTCTGTGAGAATTCCTATATATTCCACCGAGACGCGTTGCATGGCCTGAGCAGCGCTAGCAAACATGGCGGAATCGAAGTCTCTCGACCATGAGACGAGGGTATCGCAAGAGGAAGATGTCGAGCAGGGCGGGCATGGTGTTCTGGATCCCAGTGATGCGAGCAGCCTCTCCAAGGGCGATATATTGAGTAACGAGCATACGGATCCCGTGCTCAACGCTAAGATGCATCTCATCAACAACGTAAGCCCGAGGCCTGCTCCGGCAGGAAACACTTCGTCCCGAGCAGGACTCTCTGATAGGATCCCAGGGCTAACAGACACCACAGGCTATCGATGAAATCGGGTTCACCACATACCAATGGTGAGCAATCTCCGCTTCCTCGTCGCGTCTTCTCACTAACACGTCGATCAGGAAGCTCTTTGTCCTCAACGGTTTCGGCTACGCAGTCGACTCCCTCATCCTCCTGATCCAGTCCATCATCGCGCGCCAAGCCGCGCTCGAGTTCAACCCAGGCTACCCCAATGGCCTTACCATCGCAGCATACGTGGGCATGCTCGTGGGCGCGCTGTTCTGGGGCATTGGCGCCGACGTGATCGGGCGCAAGATTGCGTTCAACGTGTCGCTGATCATCTGCTCCATCTTCGCTATTGTGGCAGGCGCGAGCCCGAGCTGGGAGGTGTTGGGTTTGTTTGTGTGCTTGAGTTCGTTTGGTGCGGGCGGGAATCTCGTGCTTGATACTGCTGTGTTTCTCGAGTATCTGCCGGGAAATCGCCAATGGATGCTCACGCTCATGGCCGCCTGGTGGGGTACGTAGAGCCTCATGGAGACGCATGGGATGAAGTGCAGAATCGACTGACGAAGGCAGGTATCGGACAACTCATCGCTGGGTTCTTCGCTTGGGGCTTCCTGCCAAACTACAGCTGTCAGGATCCAGCCAACTTCCCGGATGCGGCGCCGTGCACGCGATCTAACAATCAGGGCTGGCGGTACGTCTGGTACGCATCCGGCGCGCTCGTCTTCGTCATGAGCATGGCCCGCGTCTTCGTGATCCGGCTCAAGGAAACGCCCAAGTTTCTGATCGGCGAGGGCAAAGATGCAGAAGCCGTCGACGTGCTCCAAGGCATCGCCACAAAATACAACCGCCCGTGCAGCCTGACCATGGAACGCCTGCAAGCCTGCGGCACACTCAGCACCCGCTCAACCCAGGGCAAGAGCAAGTGGAGCCCCGGCTCCATCGGCGTGCACCTCAAGGGCCTGTACGCAACAAGACGCATGGGCACAAGCACGACGCTCATCTGGCTCTCGTGGACGCTAATCGGGCTCGCATACCCGCTGTACAACGTGTTCCTGCCGGCGTACCTGTCGTCGCGCGGCGCAGCATTCGGGCAGACGTCGCCGTACCTGACGTGGCGCAACTACACGCTCGTCAACTTCAGCGGCATCTGGGGCCCCGTGCTGGCGGGGTTCCTGTGCCACACGGCGCTGGGCCGCAAGTACACGATGGTGCTTGGCGCGCTGGTCACCATGGCGTTTTTCTTCGCGTACACGCAGGTCCGCACCGCGACGCAGAACGTCGTCTTCGCGTGCATCATCAACTTCTGCCTCAATGTGTACTATGGCACGCTTTACGCGTACACACCTGAGGTTCTGCCCAGCGCGCACCGCGGCACGGGGAACGGGATCGCGATTGGGTGGAATCGCATCATGGGGATTTTGAGCGCGGTCATTGCTACCGTTGCGGATGTGAGTTGCTTTTCCCCTTGGCTGCGAGACTGCGGATGGAAGGCTGACGCTGATAGACGAGCACGCCGGTCCCGATTTACATCTGCGCGGCGCTTTATATCTTCATGGCTGTTATTGCGGCGCTGTTCCCGTTTGAACCGTACGGCAAGAGGAGTTCGTAGGCGGCTGACGCAGAGGGTGTGGAGCTGGGCTTGTCTGCAGAGGGCGTGGAGCTGGGCTTGTCCGCAGAGGGCGTGGAGCCAGGCTTGTCTGCAGAGGGCGTGGAGCCAGGCTTGTCTGCAGAGGGCGTGGAGCCAGGCTTGTCTGCAGAGGGCGTGGAGCCGGGCTTGTCTGCAGAGGGTGTGGAGCTGGGCTTTGTGCTGCGCGGGTCAACGGGAATGAAGAACAGACGAGGTTTCAGAGAAGTGATTAGTGTGGCTATCAATATTTCCTGAATCCTTTGCTTGTGTTTTCAGCATGATCAGGCGGCCGACCGGCCAGCCTTCCACCGGCTGAGCGCTTTTATTTCTAGAAGAGACTCCTGCTTTGCATGGCACGGTGAGTTCTACGCAGCTCACGCTCGGCTGCCAGGCAGTGGACTCTCTACGCAGCCCACGCTCGGCTGCTAGGCAGAGGACTCAGGAGTCAGGAGTGAGTTGCCAACTCTGATTAAAAGTCTTGGTAACGGGTCAAGGCCTGCTGGGCGTCGTAAGCAAGGCTTGATGTGGAAGGCTGGTATGGGGAGCATTCGCAGAGCCTTTGTGGGGCATGCGCAGTGTTGATTGGAACGCGCGTTCCTGGGAATGTTTTTTGGCTACTGAAACATGCACTCTTGGGCGCAGAGGTGACGACGGCGACGGCGAGGCCCCACTTGCGGGCATGATGATGGTTGACGGGCAGCAACCAGGGTCGAAGCTCGTCGCAGGACGGCGGCGCACGCATAATTGATTGTTAGATTTCGAGCAGCCACACAGGACCGCGCCCAGTCTGCCATTGCATCCCGCCCCATGCTGCTGCGAGACGGCTCTGCTGTCTGCAGACGCGCGTGCGCCCATCGGCCTCGACGCGCCGCGCTGCCTCTCCCACCGGCGGCCGCATCAGCGCAGTCGTCGCACGGGCTGCGTCGCACGTCGCCGCAGCTACGCGTCCTGCAGACCTGGACACATACAAAGGGCCGCAGTCCCTCGCCGTCCCAGCGCGACGCACAAGCCCCATTCCCTTCTCTCAACTGGACCGCGACCGCGCACCGCACACGACACGTCGCCGCTGCCATGACGAGCCTCACCCACAGCCACAGCCACGCCGGCCACGGCCACCACCACCACCACCACGACAACACATTCTTGCTGTCCAAGAACAAGAATGATGCCGGCGTGCGCATCACCCGCATCGGGCTGTACGTCAACCTGGGCATGGCCGTGGGAAAGGGGCTGGGCGGCTACGTCTTCCACAGCCAGGCGCTCACCGCCGACGCCATCCACAGCCTGACGGACCTCGTCAGCGACGTCATGACGCTGGCGACGGTCGGCTGGTCATTGAAGCCGCCCTCGCCGCGCTTCCCCAGCGGCTACGGCAAGGTCGAGAGCCTGGGCTCGCTGGGCGTGAGCGGCATCCTGCTGGTCGGCGGCTTCATGATGGGCTGGTCCGCCCTGATCACCATCATGCAGCAGTTCTTCCCCGGCTTCGCCGAGGCCGTCGCCAACCTGGGGCTGCTCGCCCACAGCCACCACCACCACGGCGCCGACGACCTGGGGCCCAACATCAACGCCGCCTGGCTGGCCGCTGCCTCGATCCTGATCAAGGAGTGGCTGTACCGAGCGAGTGAGTGTCTCGCTCTCGTGTGTCCTGCGACGCCTGGCTAACCGCAATCCAGCACTCAAGGTCGCCAACGAGCGCAAGTCGACCGTGCTCGCCTCCAACGCCTACCACCACCGCGTCGACTCGCTCACTGCTTTGGTTGCGCTTCTCCTGATTGCCGGCTCCAACGTGCTCAACAATGCCGCATGGCTGGATCCCGTCGGCGGCCTGGTCATCTCCCTCATGGTCGTGCAGGCCGGCTGGGGCAACACCAGGTCGGCGCTGTTTGAGCTCGCTGACGTCGGCGTCGAGGACGAAATGAAGGAGAACGTCACCCAAGCCGCCGCCAAGGCCCTAGAGAGCATCAGCACTGCGACTGACAAGGTCGCGGTGCGAGCTGTGCAGGGCGTCAAAGCGGGCCAGAACTACCTCATGGACATTGAGGTCGGTGTCCCCGGATCATGGACCGTCGAACAGACACGCGTCGTCGAGGACATGCTCCGCGAGCGGGTGGGCGCAAAGGTCAGGGGCGTCAAGAAGGTCCGCGTCCGCTTCGTCGCCGACAGCACCGGCGAGCCCGACTTCCTCGACGAGTTCATCACCGGCGACGCCACAGGGACGACGACGCCTGCGTCAGGGCACAGCCACGACCTCGAGCACGAGCACGAGCACGACCACGACCACAGTCTCGAGCACGACCACAACCACGAGCACGACCACAATCTCGAGCACAAGCACAGCCAGAGCACCGACACAGCGCGGAGGAGGAAGTGATCTTGTACTACTACTTTGTATAGACGGACCGAGAACAGAGGCGCTTTGGAGTTAGATACAGGGCCATGGCATTTACACCATCTCGAACCGTTGGGTGGTTCAATGCATCTTATTTCATCAACGTCGTCTCCCACGCCAATGCTCCATTCAGCTTTGCCCGCGCGCGAATGACATGCGCCGATCGGCGACGGCACCGATGTGCTGGAAGCAAACACCGACCTGGCAGTCACGCAGGTGTGCGGGAATTTAGCCGCGGCCCAATGAACAGCGCTCTTCGCCGCAGACTCCGGCGGCAAAATGCGTCGTGCAGCCCTATGGTCGAATTGTGGACCCTGACCGGCTTCTGAGCACGACAACATGTGGGACATGCCACCTCCTCATGCCCGCCCCATCTTTCATTTCTTGCCCATTGATTCTGACTGTACCTCTGCAATTCCAAGACCATGGCTGACCAGTTCCTCGGCTTCGATCTGAGCACCCAGCAGCTCAAGGGCGCGTACCCCACTACCCCACCACCCCACCACGCTCTCGGTCACTAACACGGCGCAGGAATCATTGTCGGCTCGGACCTCAAGCTCCTCCACGAAGCAAAGGTCGACTTCGACGCGGACTTTGGCGCAAAGTATGGCATCGAGAAGGGCGTGCTGACCAACCCCGCCGAGGGCGAGGTGTTCGCGCCCGTCGCGCTGTTCCTCGAAGCCATTGACCTCGTGCTGCAGCGGCTGCGAGAGCAGGGCGCCGAGTTTGCAAAGGTGCAAGGTGTCAGCGGCGCGGGCATGCAGCACGGCACTGTGTTCTGGAGCCAGGACGCCGAGGACTTGCTGCGGAGTCTCAGCCCGGAGAAGACGCTGCTCGAGCAGCTCGAGGGCGGCGCCAAGGGCGAGAGGAAGGGCGCGTTCAGTCACCCGTTCAGTCCCAATTGGCAGGATGCGAGTACGCAGAAGCAGGTCGAGGCGTTTGACGCTGCGTTGGGCAGTCCGGACGAGCTCGCTGAGGCGACTGGGAGCAAGGCACACCACGTACGTCTCTCCCAACCGCATTCACCACATGATAGACGAGACTAACGACACCCAGCGCTTCTCCGGCCCCCAGATCCTCCGCTTCCACACAAAGTACCCGGACGCCTACAAAGCCACTGCGCGCATAACCCTCGTGTCGTCGTTCCTCGCTTCCATATTCCTCGGCCGCATCGCGCCAATGGACATCTCCGACGTGACCGGCGCAAACCTCTGGGACATCAAGAACGGGCAGTGGCACGAAGCGCTCCTCGCGCTCGCCGGCGGCTCCCCCGACACCACCGCCCTGCGCGCGAAGCTGGGCGCCGTGCCCGAAGACGGCGGCGCAACACTGGGCCCCATTGCCCCGTACTTCGCAGCCAAGTACGGCTTCCCCCGCACCGCGCGCATCCTCGCCTTCACGGGTGACAACCCAAGCACCATCCTCGCCCTCCCGCTCCGCAGCAGCGACGCCATCGTCAGCCTCGGCACAAGCACCACTTTCCTCATGAGCACCGCCGCGTACAAGCCCGACCCGGCGTACCACATGATGAACCACCCGACCACGCCGGGCCAGTACATGTTCATGCTATGCTACAAGAACGGCGGGCTAGCGCGCGAGCATATCCGCGACGCCATCAACGCCGGCGCCGGCGCCGGCGGTCAGGGGCCCGGGGGATGGGACGCATTCAACGCCGCGGCGCTATCGACGCCCGTCCTGGGTCAGCACCACCCCGACTCGGATCCCGCGCGTCTGGGCCTTTTCTTCCCGCGCCCAGAAATCGTGCCCGCTGTTCGCGCGGGCGTGTGGCGCTACACCGCCTCCAACGACGACTCGCGCCTCGCAAATGCAGAAAACACACCCGCCTGGCCCGTCCCAACAGCCGACGCCCGCGCAATCCTCGAATCCCAACTCCTCTCCCTCCGCCTCCGCAGCCAACCACTACTCACCCCGCAAGGCAGCCTCCCCGCACAACCACGGCGTGTCTACCTCGTCGGCGGCGGTGCGGCGAACCCGGCCATAGCCACGCTCGCGGGCCAGGTCCTGGGGGGCAGCGAGGGCGTGTATAAACTCGAGATTGGAGCGAATGCGTGTGCCCTTGGTTCCGCGTATAAAGCTGCGTGGGGCGTTGGGAGGAAAGCAGGGGAGGCGTTTGAGGATTTCCTTGAGGGGCGGTGGGATGAGGAGAGTTTTGTAAGGAGGGTTGCGGAGGGGTATGCGGAGGGTGTGTTTGAGCGGTATGGCGGGGTGCTTGGGGCTTTTGCGGAGCTGGAGGCTGTGGCTGTTCGGGAGAAGGGGGAGGGGAGGGCGGACTTGGTCAAGGAGAGGGGTGTGGATGGGGGGGTTGTAAGGGGGAATTAGATGGCTGAGCGATGTGTTTGTTTATGCATATACCTACGCACCCTGACGAATGCTCTCAACAAGAAACAAATCCGCTAGAGCTCCATAGTCTCCTAGTCCGGAGAGCTCTGCGTAGAGACAACCTTCAGCTTCTCCCCCCACACAAGGCTCTCTCTCATCCGATCCCCCAGCCCCGCGAATCCCTCCTGATGCACCTTCCTGCCTGCAAGCTCGCTCGCAAACATCAGCCGCTCGTCCGTCGTCCAGCCCGCCTGCGCCATGGCGCCGTACAGCATGCCCGCCACAAATGTATCGCCCGCGCCGACGCTATCGACGGGCCGCGGGTCGTTGGCTGGGTCGTCGTAATTCCGCAGCGGACGCCAGGCTGGCTGCTTCGCGGTAAGAGGGGCTTGGTTGGTGCCTTTTACCAGCACCGCTGTGGTGCCGACGCCCCATGTGCATACCAAGATTGCGCGGGGATGTGTGCAGAAGAGCTGCGTGCGTAGGAAGGTTTCGGCTGGGTCTGGTTGGTCGCAGAGACAGAGCGAGTTTTCGTAGTGGGCCTGTGGGTGTTAGCAGTGGAAAGCTTCTGTGTGTTTCGGTGAGAGAAATATTCTCTGTTTCGGTGAGAGAAATGTTCTCTGTTTTTCGGTGAGAGAAATGTTCTCTGTGTTTCGGCGAGAAGACTCGCGGTCGACGGAGCGGTCTGCAGGAAGTCGGGCTGCACTCACTTCGGCCCAGATCTTCGAGTAGAACACCATATCCGCCAGCGCCGCCACCTCCTTCAAACCCACCCTGTCCGGCTTCTCGCACTCGACACTAATCTTCACCTTCCCAGCGTATCCGTACGTGTGCCTCAGCCACATGACACACGGTAGCAACACCTCCGGCACGCGGCCTTCGAAGTGGATCCACACATCATTCGCGCCGATAGCAGGGTCATCAACGAGCGGGGCGATGCCCCTCCTAAACTCCTCCACAGTCATCTCGGCGAGTGGGTTGGCGCTGACAATCGTCCGCGACAGGTTCGCCACCGACTGGATGATGTAGCTGCTGGCCGCGACTGGCTGGCCCTGGCGGTACAGATACAGGTGCGGTCTGACGTCTGGGAGGGATCTGATGACCGTCTTCGTATCTTGCGACTCTGGATCGGGCAAGACGGTGAGGAGCGAGAGCTCCAGGGAGTACGTCGATTCCTTCCTGTCCATGTTTTGCAGCAGCAGCTGGGAGATGACTTCGAGGGTGTTGGCGGTGTTGCCGCCGCGCCGGCGGACGAGACTTGCGGCTCGCAGTTTTGTGTCTTCCTCGGGGTAATGGGGGACGCTGGAGGGAGTCAGCGCTTTCACACAATGTATGCCAGCAAGGTCGTACGAGAGAATCGTGTCCATGTACACGGCCCCAACACAAATCAGACGCTGTTGGCGATCTCCGCGCGGCATGGTGGGCGGCCCTGAGGTCATCAGCTTTGGAGTGCAAAGTCAAAAGAGACTGTTGTTCGGTGGAACTTACTGCTTGCTATGATGTCATCGTCACGAGGTCGAGTTTGGGGAAGGGACGACTGAACTGATGTGTTTACATTTGAGACCTTTCGCGCCGTGCTACTCAGTAAATTATCGCTAATCGACTATGGGCTGTTACGCTCCTCTTCGCACGTTTGTGGCCATGAGTGTGATTTTCTTCTTTTTCTTGCCCTTTCCACCTGCGGGCTTGTTCGCTGCTGCTGCGGTCGACTTTGCCTCCTCGTCCAGCGACATGGCTTGCGCCTGTGCTATCATCTCCTCCTCTTGCATCAGTTCCTTCTCCCAGTCCTGCAGCCAGCCATCGTCCACATCGTGATCCAACGGCGCCAGCACTGGCGATGCACCTGCAATAGCCGTAGTGCCCCAGACGGTGCGTGGAGCAGAAGGGCTCGTAGACGGTGAAGCCAAGGAAGCGAATCCTTCGCCGCGTCGGGCTGGCCAGGGTGGTGATGTCGATGCATCTTCGCCGTCTGTGATTGTCTGGCCGTCCGGATTGCTGGCGGACGCCAACGGCAGGAAGTCGGCTGCCGAGAATCGCTCAGAGATGCTGGGTCGTTTTCTCCTAGCCGAGTTGAACTCGGCATACTCTGCTTTCTCTGCGCGTAGCCTCGCCTTTTCTTCGCGGCCCTCCTTGTCCTGGTGCTTCTTCCTTCTCCTCTCGATGTCAGACTGGAATCGTTCCAAAACCTCAGGCGCAACGGTATCCGTCCAGTCGCATTCCAGAAAGGCGACCTCGCAGCCGTATGGTAGATGCGCAAGGTACTTTGTGCGTTTTCTGAGCTCGTCGTCTACAACGTGCCCGGTAGAAACGCGCTCGACACGCGGAAGGATAGTGGCAGGGAACGCCGCAAAGTTCTCAAAGGCAGCTTTGAGGATGCGAATGTCGAGCGGCGATAGGTAGTAGTGCATCAGCGCCTGGTAAAAAAAGTACTCAGACGGCGTGCGGCTCTGGTCATGATGCTGGCGATTGCGAATCTCGGCGAGCGTCGCCGGCACGCTTGAGCGTGAGGTCTGCGAGGACATGGACATCTTGCGTTGGTGACTTGATTCGCTGGGGGTTGTCACGGCTTCTCCATCCTGACCGGACGGGAAGAATTCCGGCGCATCCTCGCGGAAGACGATGGGTGCTCGCTTCGGCTTTGGCTCTGCTGGCTTTAGAGCAGAGTCTGGCGGGTTCCCAATGCCCCTGATCTTCTCTTTCGACTCTTCGATGCTGCGAATCGCCCTCTTCGCCCACTGGATGTTGTCTTCACCAAACATGACCTCGTCCTCTTGTGCTTGCTGGCGCAACTCGACCGTCTCCTTCTCGAACTGTTCTAGCATGTAGTCCTCCCCACCACGTAGAACGCGCGCATAGTCCATGACCTCTGCAGCAAAGTACCAGGGAATGTCTTCGTCTTTGCCCAGGACCTCTGCACCATCGCGGGGCATGGCCAGCGTACTTCCAGCCGTGCGCATTACCAGGCGAAGCACGACATCGCCGCCCTCCCGCGGCGGCTCTCCCTCTTGTCCAACGTACCAACGCACGGGTCTCGTCTCGGTCGCGTAGATGGTATCGAAGCACAGCGGACACTTCTTCGAGCGGGCCCTCTTCACAGGCTGTTGCCCCTCGTCTTCAGAGTGCATGTAGCGGATGAGGCAAGGCAGACAGAAGATGTGACCGCATCTGGCCATCCTCGGAGCTACCGGAGTTCCGAGACAAATGGGACATGACGCGTCTTGGGAGACGGACGAAGCCAAGATCTGAAGGACGCTGTTCCAGTCCAGATGGACGTCGGCGTCGACGCCCTGAGCGCGATAGTCACCACGCGGATCGACAATGAAGCGGTAGTTCGCGTGCACGTATCTAGGATGGTCAGTCTTGCCTTCGCCTCAAGGCGCAGTCGCCGCGTACCTCGATTTGTCAGAAGCATGGTAGCCGGAGCCAACGCCCCAGGCAGGAGTGCGTCTGTTGCTCCTTCCATGCCCGTGACGATCGTAGTGGTGGTGATTCTGGGGACGAGGCGGGAGGTTGAAGTTCATAAGATGGGTTATGGACGTCTGCCCCTTCCGGTTGCCGTACGGACGCATGGCGAGCTGGGCTGTCAGTACAAAAGGCGGCTGCCGACGCTGCTGGGACTCACCGACTCGGCAATGGTATCCTCATCTGACTGCCGGAACTTCTTGGAGCCCTTGTTCTGCTTCTTCGCCGGCTGGTTGTTCCTCGGCGTCGGCGAGTTCTTGAACGGAAGACTGCCCCGCTGCTGGCCGAAGAAGTTGACGGTCGCAGAGCCCGCCTGGCTCTGGGCAGGCGACTGTGGCGCAGCGGGCGCGGAGGCTTTCGAGGACGAGGCGGCCGAGGGCGGGTTCAGAGACATGTTGGTACCCACGCGAGGCGCTCACAATGACAATGTTCCGGTGCAGCGGACACTGCGATGCCAACACAAGAACGAAGGAAAGAGGTGCACGGCGAGGGAGTGAGAATACGGGCGCGGTTTGCGCGAACTAGTTGGTTTGGACTTTGAGCGTTTGGGTCCCCCAGAGGGATGGACTGGGGAGAGTCAGAGAGAGGCTCGCCACCAGCGCACCATGACGACCGTCGAACGGCTAGACGTCCATCACGTGCTAACTTGCGACCATGTAAGCTGCCATTCACACTGTGGACGCGTTCCCTCGTGCGCGAACACACACATTCGTTTGTCTACAGGGCCATGCTCTGTGCAGTGTTGGTTGCAGCATGCTCGGGGTGGTCTCGACGTCAGCAGCGAAGCTTTGAGCACGGGTTCTGAATAGCCGGCTGCATGACTTCATCGGCGCACTGCGGAGGAGCGAACGTGAGGTGCGAAAGCACAATTCGCAGCTCAGGGGGGAAGTGCTTGCGCACCTCTCAAGGCAGTGAAAGCCTGGGCGCTGGACGGCTGCATCTTCCACTGACTCAGCTGGTGGATGCGTCAGTTGGTTCGCGCGGCCGGCCGGTTGGTTGACCTCGTAGATTGATTAAAGTCTGTGCGAACTTGGACCAACTCCATCACCGTCACCGTCACCGCACCACACGACCACGCGGCCCTTCGCAGCCACGCATCCTCGCGCGTCCCATCCCCGGGCAGTCTCGACTGCGCTCATGTCGTGCTGATACAATGACAGCGAGTCTGGCCCGCCACCCCGCTGCCCGTGTCCCCCCGCCGCCCGTCGCGCAGCGACTCTTGTCCGCGACCCAGCAGTAATTCTCGCTGCACCGCCGCCGCCGCCGCCCGCGCGCCCTGTCCGCGCCGTCGCGTCGCCCATAGCTAGGCGCTCCCCCCTTCCCCGGCCCACGACTCGGCGCCCACTCGCATTCCCGTTGCCTCGCCGGTTGGACGCTCGGTCTCGCTGACCGGCGCCCGACATCGAGGCCACCCTGCCGCCTGTCGGCGATGATGCCAGGCCACATTCCGCCCGGTGGACCGTTCCACCAGGGCCGGAAGCCGATGGAGCATCCGTACCAGCAGCACCACTACGCTCCGCCGCCGCCGCAGACGCACTCGCCCGTCTACCACCACCCCTACGCGCCCTACCACCACCCGCAGCACTATGGCCCGCCGCACGCCTACCCCCACCAGATGCCGCACATGCAGCAGTGGAATCCGTATCTCCCGCAGCAGCCCCAGCTGCCGCCGCCCCAGCTGCAGTACAATATGCCGCCGCGCCAGTTCCAGCCCCAGGCCTCGCCCGTCGTCGTCTCCTCGCACCCGCACGCGGCAGCCATGCCCCCGGCGAGCCGTCCGCTCCGTCAGACGCCGCCCATTGTCCACTCGCACTCGCACTCGCACTCGCACACACCGCCGCCGCAGCGCACACACACTGCCCCGCGCGCTCCGTCGTCGCCGTCGGTCCACTCCCAGGTGCAGATGCACTCGCCCACTCCGCCCGCCCACACGGCCGTCGCCAGTCCCCCGCCAGTCGCAGAGACAAAGCCTGCGCAGCCCGCCTCGCCGACATCGCCGCAGCCCACGACCTCCAAGCCCTTCTTCCCGCCACTGCCGTGGCTGTCCGTCCCTGACGCACATTTCCCGCCGCGTGCGGCTGGGCGAAGGAGGAGAAAGCGGGGCACCGTGTCAGCTCAAGAGCAGGGCCTTGCCTTGCCTTTGCGCGGGCAGGACGTGCAGGCGGACACAAAGACTGCAGAGGAGACAGCTGCTGGTGAGCCCGAGTCTGCAGGAGAGCCCGAGTTTGCAGGAGAGCCCGAGTCTGCAGGAGAGCCCGAGTCCGCAGGAGAGCCCGAGTCTGCAGGAGAGCCCGAGTCCGCAGGAGAGCCCGAGTCCGCAGGAGAGCCCGAGGAGTCGCAGGCCTCCACCATTGCCGTGCCCTCGGACGCTGAGGTCGACACTCCGTCGACCTCGCACCCACCTTCCGAGATCGACGTCCCCGCGGTGCAGCAGCGTGCTGCCCAGACAGCTGCGCCTGCTCAGAAGCACAGTCGCAACACCACCAAGCCAGCTGTGCCGCTGATCCCGGTCAAGCCGGCCAGGCCTGCAAGCGCAGCTTCAACCACCCAGAAGTCGGTCAAGTCGCCTCCTGCCTCGAAGCCACAGCCCAAGTCTGTCGATGAGCTCGCCGCGCCTGCTACCGAGGCAGTCAGCGCTGAAGAGGCCCCGAAGCCTGCAGCGCCCGCAGCGCCCAAGTCCTGGGCAGAGCTGCTTCGAGCGAAGAACGCCGCAGCCGCACCCCAAGCCCAGGCGCAGCCCCAGCCACCTGTCGTCACAAACGGCGCTACAGGCACGAGCGGCGCTGCTGCGCCGAAGAGCAACTCGCTCGCCGACGTCCTGGCGTCATACTCTGTCGATGCCGAGAAGAAGGTGTCTTTCATCGAACCCCGCGGCCTTGTCAACACTGGCAACCTTTGTTACATGAATTCTGTACGTCGTTTCCTCCCACGCCGGAACACGTCTGCTAATCAACGCCAGGTCCTTCAAGTACTGTTGTTTTGCGCACCTTTCTACGACTTCCTGGACCAGACGGCAAAACGCGCCGTGCACAGCTTCAAGTCTGAAACACCTCTTGTTGACGCCATGATTATGTTTCTGCGCGACTTCAAGGTCATTGACTCGGCCAGCTCGGTTGAGCAGCTCCGCCTGCGCCTCAAGACTGACGAGCTCGAGCAGTACGGTGATCCTCTCACACCAGAGTATGTCTACGACACCATCAGGCGTCTGCCTCGCTTCGATAACATGAAGCGCGGCTCTCAGGAAGATGCTGAAGAGTTTCTGGGCTTCCTTCTGGCTGGCTTGCACGACGACTGTGCTCTTGTCATCAAGAAGGGCGAGGCACGAGCTGCCCAGAATGGCACAGCACCCAAGACGGAGCGATCCAACTCGGCAGACGGCGGATGGCTTGAAGTCACGGCGAAGCAGAAGACGTCGCTCACCCAGTCATCTGGCGCTGTCGAAGTCGAGACACCCATCACCAAGATCTTTGGTGGCAAGCTTCGCTCGGAATACAAGAAACCCAACGAGAAGCCGTCGGTGACCTTTGAGCCGTACCAGCCCCTACAGCTGGACATTGGCGAGCCACACATCAACAACATTTCGGATGCGCTGAAAAACCTCACTCGTCTGGAAACACTGGACAGCGCTGTCCGTGGCGCCAAGGCTTCCACCAAGCAAGTGCACATTGAAACACTGCCTCCAGTTCTGATTCTTCATTTGAAGCGATTCCACTACGACGAGAAGGGCCCACAAAAGATTTGGAAGAAGATCGGTTACCCTCTCGAACTGGAGATTCCGAAGGAGGTCTTCCCTCAACACAAGCGCGGAGGCTTCCAGGCAAAGGGCGGCTTTCCCAAGTACAGACTCACAGGAGTCGTCTACCATCACGGCAAGAACGCCAGCGGCGGCCACTACACTGTCGACCTTCGCCGGCAAGAAGGCAAGGAATGGATCCGCATGGACGATACCGTCATTCGTCGCATTCGCGCTGAAGATGTTGCCGAGGGCGGTGCCGAAGAGGATCCCAAGCTGCTGGCTGCTGCTCTTGAGCAGCACAAGAGCGATGCAGGCAAGAGCAAGAACTTTTTCGCTCAAATTGATATTGACGAGGAGGCCGCCGACAAGGGTGGCTGGAACCAGGTCAATGGCGTGGACAAGAAGGATACAAAGAAGTGGGCGGGTGTTGTCAACGGCACAGCAACGCCCAACTCGGCTGGAAAGAGGACGCCACTTCCAAAGGAGAACGTCAGGGACAACAAGGTGGCATATATTTTGTTCTACCAGCGCATAGAGTCATGAGAGGGCGGACTTGAGCACGGATAGGCAGGGCGTATGCTCCCACGATTACCACGACCAAAAGTCATTCCGGCGCAGCAATTGCATGCAAAAGCATCCACAAGCGCAGAGCTGTGGATGAGCATTCATCAGCACCGCTTGGCGGTGCACAAAAGAAGAGGAGCATGTGGAGAGCAAGATACCCTTCCGGGCGTCACTTAGGAAGAAAGACGATGTATATTTCAAACACGACCCGTGACATCGTGATGCGTGAACTCGAGTCGGCTTGGCGCTGCCCCTCCACCCCACCTTTGAACATCGAGCTCTGGAAGCTTTGACGTATACGTCAACAAACGACCAACAGAGCCATTGACAGACATAATGCTCATCACAGAGACGCACAAGGATGTGCCCACCCAGGCAGGTGGTGACATGAGTGCGTCGTATCTGATTCCCTCTACGACTGAAGTTCACCATCGATGCAGGGGTCTTCGTCTTCCACCCTACCATTGCAAACTACCCCAAGGCAAAGTTCCCCGGTGTCGTCGTCTTCTCTGAGATCTACCAAGGTGCGTGACTGCTCAGCCCATCGAGTTTCCTTCTACTTCAATAGCCATCTCACAACTCCGTCTGCCAATGACCCCTTCTCCCCAACAACGTCACGTGCACCATCTTCACAATCTCACGCCCCCAGTAACCGGCCCCGTGGCGCGCTTCGCCCGCCAAATCGCATCGCAGGGCTACATCGTCGCCGCCCCGTCGTCCTACCACGAGTTCACCGGCCCGGAGCCGCTTGCCTACGATGGACCGGGCACCGACGCGGGAAACGAGTGGAAAATCACCAAGACGGTCGCTGCGTACGATGAAGATGCCAAGCTGGCCGTCGATATCCTGCTTGACCTGGAGACTTGCAATGGTCGCATCGGCGCTACAGGTCCGTCCCCTTCCCGCCATTGCTCCCACCATCCATCTCATCTACCGCCGGAGCCCACAGCTGACAGCGCAGGTATGTGTCTCGGGGGCCACCTTGCGTACCGCTGCGCGCTGGACGCTCGCGTCAGCGCCGCCGTGTGCTATTTCGCAACGGACGTGCACAGCGCGACGCTGGGCGCGGGGAAGAGCGACGACTCGCTGCAGCGCGCGCGGGACATCAAGGGCGAGCTGGTTATGATTTTCGGAAAGATGGACAACCACGTCCCGCCCGAGGGACGCGATTTGATACGCCGCACGCTGCACGAGGCGGGGGTTGTGTTTAGCTTCTACGAGCCCGCGTGGGCACAGCGTAAGTCCTTTGTTTCTCTTGGGAAGGGGAAGATGGGGGCTGACGGTGATAGATGCGTTTATCCGTGATGAACTCAGTAAGGGCCGCTACGACGCTGCTTTGTCGGGGGTTTGCTTTGAAATGCTGAAGGAGCTGTTCAACCGCACGCTGCGCTCTGATCTGGGGCCCAGGAGCGGCGGGGAAGTCGAGATCGAGGATATCTGCTAGAAACTGTAAAGTGTCAAGGTGCGATGGGGCTCAAGATGGAGAGCGCGCCAGGTGTTATTATTGACAGGTGGAGGACTGGAAGATTGACATTGCCCTAGGGGACGCTTCGGTACGATTGATTGACCGTTCGATGAATCGCTGACAGCTGCTGCCCGTACTCGAGGCTCTGCTGCAGCAACCCGGTAAAGCACAGTTCGATCGGTCTAGTTTGCGAAGCCACAGCTGATACTCACAACTACGGAAGATTGTCTCAATCCTTTCTTTCCTCTCCCCTGCTCGTCAATCCAGAGGCGTCTGCCGCATCGAGCTTATTGCGGCTTCTCATCAATCCAGTGTCCGAACAATACCATCTCCTACCCAAGCCATGTCGACAGCAACACCATAATACCCTGAGATGATCGTGTATCATCGTCGCTGATAAGGACCACAGACCGACTCGGACTTAGCGACCATGATGGTTGTCAACTTACCACAGTCCCGGGATCCTTTGTTCTGCACCCTCACTCATCGTCATCGGTGTGCCACTGCCAACATTCCACGTGCCAATTAATGCCATCCTCGACAACATCCCTTGACACAAAGACACAGACGTTTGGACATTGTCCAAGTCCAACAATGCAACAGACACTTTGCGCAGCATGTCTGACCCTGAAAGCCTGCAGTTGAGCCCGACGAGACCAAAGGACTTGTACAAGCACCACAGCAACGCCTCTCGAGAGATCGCGCTGGTAGACTTCCTCAACGACGGACATGTCGCGCCGGACGTCGTTCTTCGCAGGGTGAAGGAGGGTGTCACGATACATGATCGCGGGGATATGTATCGCATGGGCAAGAAGCAAGTACTAAAGGTAATCAAGTCAATACTTCTTGCACAGCTGGCTAACCCCATGCAGCGCAACTACCGACCACTCTCAGCGCTGAGCTTCGCCATCGTCCTGACTGCGATATGGGAGTACCTCATGATCGCTTGCACCCAAGGGCTGATCAACGGCGGACTAAGTGGCCTGTTCTGGAGTTACATATGGACGTTTGTTGGCTTCACGTTCGTCGAGATGAGCTTAGCAGAGATGTCGTCCATGTATGTTTCCAAAGTGCACATGGCTTGAGCTGTATACATGCTGAGACATACACAGGGCGCCAACATCTGGCGGTCAGTACCACTGGGTGTCTGAGTTTGCGCCACCGCAGTATCAGCAATTCCTGTCCTACGTTGTGGGCTGGATGTCGACGCTCTCTTGGCAAGCAGGCAACGCCGCAGATTGTTTCTTGACTGGAACCATCGCACAGGCTTTGATCGTTGTTAACAATCCAAAGCATGAACCTCAGCGATGGGAGGGCACGCTATTCGTCTTCGCAATGGTAGATATGGAATGGACTTGTTCAACGGGACTTGACTAATACAGAACAGGTCTTCATCGTGTACGTCTCGAACATCTGGGGCCACGACCTCTGGCCGCGCATTCAAAACGGGCTCATGGTGCTTCACGTCCTCGCTTTTCTAGCTGTCGCCGTGACGCTCTGGTGCCTCGCACCGCACCGCACGGCCAAAGATGTATTCACCAACTTCTCCAACGCCGGCGACTGGAGCTCTCTCGGCGCGTCACTAATGGTCGGCCAGATCTCCGCCATCTACTCCATCCTCGGTTTGTGCGCCAACCACACCTACGTCCTCTGTACTACTACTAACAACCCATCTCCAGGCTCAGACGCAACGGCCCACATGGCCGAGGAAGTCCGCGACGCCTCGCGCAACGTGCCCATCTCGCTCTTCTGGTCCTACTTCGGCAACAGCATCATGGCCATCGTCTTCCTCGTCGGCTTCCTCTTCGCCATCGACGACGTCGACGCCGCCATCTCGCACCCCACAGGGTACCCCTTCCTATACGTCTTCACCAAGGCGCTATCCCCACAGGGTGTAAACGCACTAACCATCATCGTACTCCTAATCGTGAGCGCAGCGAACGTCAATTTTGGCGCCAGCACGGCACGCCAGACCTTTGCGTTTGCGCGCGACCGCGGTCTGCCGTTTTCCAGCTGGATCGCCAGGGTCGACCGCAACAAGGAGATCCCCAGCAACGCGGTGCTGCTGTCGTCTGTGATTGCGGCGCTGCTGGCGCTCATCAACATCGGCTCCACCACCGCGTTTGATGCTATTGTCAGCCTGCAGGTCGTGAGCCTGATGTTCACGTACACCGTAAGTCTGTCGTGCATCCTGTACCGCCGACTCACACAACCCGCGTCGCTGCCCGGCGCGCGATGGAGTCTGGGGCGGTGGGGCATGGGCGTTAATATCGTGGGGCTGGCGTACGTCTTGTTTGCGGGCTTCTGGAGTTTCTGGCCGACGTTCGCGGGCGTCGACGCGGAGAACTTCAACTGGGCTGTTGTGCTGTTCGTGTCCGTGTTTGTCCTGTGCTTGCTCATGTATCACGTCCAGGGCAAGCATGTGTATATGGGGCCGGTGAAGGTGGTCAGGAGTCTGTCGGAAGCGTCGGGCTCGACATTCTGATTCCACGGTTCGTTTGCAGTAGAGCGATCCTAATCATGTAGACTGTAGATCTAACACTGCTTCTGCCCTCATCTATTCGACACCTGAATTTCAAATCGCACACTCAAGGCTGACTGACGGTCCTGTAAAGCCGCACGTGGTGTCTCTTTGTTCCACGCCCCCGGACTCCCCATCCGCACGCAGCATCGACCCAACAAAGGCTCCCCCATTGCTGAGCCTGCAGCCCGCGCCGCACTGCTATCTCGACCTGTAACGCAGCGATCCGCAATTCCAGACTGCGGTCCAAAAGCGAGCGTCCTCGTCGCCGACACGCAGGGCTCTTGTCTCGATGCGGCCACCACGCACCCACGTCGTTGGAGCGAGCTGGAGCTCAGCCTCGCCAAGCTCGAACCATCGAACCGCAGATCACACGCCCACCCATCGACGTGGCCTGCAGTGAAAGAACCGGCTTCTCACTGCCCTAGCGCCCCTTCCCTTCGCGACGACAGAGCACCGCGAGACAATACCATGCGCGCTCACCCCGGCCTTCGACCTCATCAGCAGCACCGCACTCACCCGTCTTGTGCGCACGCCATGCGCACCTTGCACCGCTGATCCACGGCCTCCATGCACGCAACCACGGCCTCTGACGACGGCCCACGTACCGCCTCGACCGGGCCCGCGTCGGCGACGCACAGCACTACGATCCACGCGCCGCTCACGGCCGTCACGCCACAGGACCAAACGGGCATCATCGCGATCCTGGCGGGGTTCAGCGTGGGTCTGCTTCTGCTCAGCACAGCGGTGCGGGTATGGGCGCGGCGCAACGCGGGGTCCCGGAACGGCGACGACTGCACGTTCTACGCGGGGATGGTTATTGGGCTGGGCGAGGCGGGATTGACGCTGTGGCTGATCGGGGAGGGGCTGGGGAAGAGCGTCGAGGGGCTCGATGAGGGGGTTGTGCGGACGCTTGAACAGGGGGTGCTTGGTACAACGGTGCTGTATCTGGCGACGCTGTGGATGTCCAAGGTTAGCTGTGCGCTGATGTTGGTGGGCCTCAACCCGTTCAAGCATCAGCGGCGCGCGGCGTGGGGGCTGGTTGTTGCGGCGACGGTGTGGTTCGTGTCCTGCGGCGTCGTCGTTGGGACCGGGTGTCGCGATATACTGGGGCAGTGCCACGGCGCTTGGAGGCGATGGGTGTACATATCTGTTGTAGACATGGTGCTGGAAGTAGCGCTGGTCGGGGCGAGCGTGTACATGGTGTGGGGGCGGAGCATGAGCATGCGAGCAAAGGGGACCGTCGTTGGTGCTTTCGCGTGCAGACTGCCGTACGTATTGGCTTCCCTTTCCTTGCCTCTCCATTCACCCCTCTCTTGCCTGCGTTCAACGAGGATGTCGACGCTAACATGCACCCAGCAACGTAGCACTGACCCTCGCCCACCTCCTCTTCCTCACGCTCCCCGCGCCCACAACCGCCATCCACAGCTCCCGGATCCACGCCCCAACGCAACTAGCCATCAGCTACACAATCGTATCCTGCGTAATCCCGTACCTGCGACCGCTGATGCAGAGCTACGAGAGCGACGGCACTGGCCACGGCGGCGCAGCCGCGACATTCAACCTCAGCGACCGGTCGCGGGACAGCAAGGGCTCGCGCGACCTGATGGGGGGGAGGGACTTGCAGACGCTGGACAAGGGCAAGGCGAGGGAAGTGAAGAGTGCGGGCGCCGAGGTGAATGATTAGAGTCGGTTGTTGGGGCCTGAGCGGCCGGGTTTGTGAGGTGGAAGAGCAGGGAGGCGGTGGAGCGGGTGAGTAGACAGGTTGTTTAATTGGCGCTGTGTTGGCATGTTCTAGACGGGGCAGTGTGTATAGACTAAATCTCATATGAACCGGTTAGTGCCTGTTTGAAAGAGTGTATGACTTGTCTGTTTGATCATGCCTTTCGGCGAGCGATGATCGACTGAGCGTTCAGCCAAAGTGGTGATTCAGATGCTGATGTATATTACACTCTCAAGCAACGCAAATATGCAATGTGCTGGTTGGCGGTCTCCATTCTCTTCCTTCTATCCACGTCTCTTCCTCTCTTCACATCGACATCCGCCTAGTACTGACCAGCCGCCGCCTGGCAAGCCTTGAGCTGATCGAGATACCACCCACAGATGTTCAGGCTACCCTGGTTCTCGTCCATGCACTTGCGGAAGCTTGTAACGTTCTCGGCACACGGCCCGGTCTGCGCCTGCGCGCTGGTGTTGACCTGGTGCTGGGTCTGGAACTCGGTGCTCTGGGGCGCAGCCTCAGCAGGTGCGCTGCTTCCGCCGCCGAACCAGCCGCCGACGGCGTGGCCGATCGAGGAGCCGACTGCGACACCGCTGGAAGAGGTTAGTATGCTGTATGTACAACGTTGCGGGTATTGCAATAGTCTGATGGCATGGGGAGACGTACGCAGCGGTAGAGGCCATCTGGCCGAACAGACCGGGGCCCTGAGGTGTAGCAGCGGCCGGGGGCGCCGCGGCCGCAGCAGGAGGAGCGGGCGCGGCAGCAGTCGAGTGCTGGCGAGCGGGTGCCGGGGCGGGCTTCGCGGCAGGGACGGTAGGCCTGGGGCGGACAGGCGCGGCTCCTCCACGTTGACGAGGCATGATTGCTGATGGGTTGGAGTGATTGGAGAGGGTGATTGAGTGTTGCTTGTTGTGGAGGGCAAATGAGGTCGGTCGACGTTTCTCGGAGGTCGTTTCTCGAAAGATCCACTCCAAGTGCTAGTGGCGTCATGAGCTTCGTGATTGGTTGAATCATTACGTGATAGAGTAAACAGCTTCACCAGGCAGCAGAATTATGAGGATACTGCACTTATGGTTACTTACTGCCAGCACTGTCCATACTCAGGCTGCCGGTGATGACGGTGCCATTGTAACTTCTCAATGACATCAAAAAGTTCAAACCGCCACCAGCATTCAAGACACTCATCACGAGCAATTGCACAATTGTCAAGCCCCAGTCTGGCGTCCGCTGCAGAAACCAATGCGTGATATTCAGAAGACAAAGGTCTATCGTAAATGCTAAACTCAGATCCGCAGTCCACCGTGCCAAAAGAGAGTAATGCAGCAAAAAACGGCTCGTAAGCGTAGCCCCTGGCCCTGTTCGATTCGCCGAACGAGAGGTGTGCAAGGTGCTATCAAGAAGATGCCGATGTGTGAGGGTGTGAGGAAATGGCACCAGCAAGGCGGGCTTGCTGTGGGAGTGTGCTGGGTAGAGGGTATGTTCGCTTCTGCATCGGCGCTGGGTTCGATGGACGCATTATATTCAAGCTCCCGGGGGTGTCCATGATCACGCCAGATCATCGCCGTGCCTGGTGTGGGTCACCACTTATAAGATGGTGCACTTGCTCTTCTTCTTCTGCTGGGATTGTTGAGGGCGGGGGCTAAGGACGGCGCTGCTTGAGATTAGCCTGGGGCCTCTGCTCGAGGGCGGAATACGCACCGGATTGCCTCGTCAAAGACGCTCTTCAGGTTGCGCTGTGTGAGCGCAGAGCACTCGAGGTACTTCTGTGCCTTGATCTCCTTGGCGACCATGACTGCCTGCTCGTATTGGATGGGCGCCATCTTCTTCTGGCGCAGCGACTCCTTGGTGGTCTCGTCGTCGCGCAGATCGAGCTTCGTGCCGACGAGGATGATGGGTACGCCCGGTGCGTGGTGGTCGATCTCAGGGTACCACTGGACCGTGTCAGCTACGTGATGCATGGGCGTGCGCGTCGTCGAGACTTACCTTCGCCTTTACGTTGTCGAACGATGGCGGGCTGACAATGGAGAAGCAGATGAGGAACACGTCGGTCTGGGGGTACGACAGCGGTCGCAGTCTGTCGTAATCTTCCTGTCCAGCAGTATCCCACAGCCCCAGGCTGATGGGCTTGCCATCAACCATGACATTCGCCGAGTAGTTGTCGAAGCTGCGACGGCATTAGCCCCGGTTTCGGCGGTACTCGGATTCGGCCAGACTTACACAGTGGGAATGTACTCGCCGGGGAAGGCATTCGTTGTGTAGGAAATGAGGAGACATGTCTGCACAGTTAGCCAGCAGTTTGGCGGCACGCAGCGCGCGGTGGCTCACTTTGCCCACGGCACCGTCGCCAGTCACGACACACTGTCAGAGTCAGCATGCAGCCATTGCAGCAAGGCTTACGGCTGCGCACCTTTAGGGATTGGGTCGCAGGGGCGGCCATTGTGCAGGAGGACGCGTCGTCGGATTAGGGTGTAGGGTGTATGTAGATAGTGCGGGTACGTGAGCCCTGTTCGGCGGCTCTGGGGCGGCGAGGGGACCGGCGGTCGAGGTGGAGCTTGCTGGGGCGACGTGCAGGCAGGTGGACGTTCAGGGTCTTGTCGAGCAGAAGTCGCAGCTCTTTTCGCTTTTCGTAGCTTCTGCGAGGGTCGCGGGAGCTATCTGCAATGCAGTAGGGGGGCTCGCTTGGCGGCGGCGGTTGAGCTTGCTCGCGAGTCGCGCGGGGGGCAGTCGTGGCCGGGAGGTGGCCAAGGTGCGATAGTTCGAGCTTCGTCACTGGCAGGACAGGGCGGAGAGGACTGAACAATTGCAGAGGCAGCTTTGGAGGGTGACTGCAGGACACGACACGTCTGGGGCCTTGACGCTTTCGTACCTACGACGTGCACACGGAGTCCTCTCACACATCAAACAGGCCTGCGACAAAACCTCGCGCCCACGACTCTCACCTCAACCAGCCATGCCTCTGCGATGCCCTGATAGGCACTGCGCACGGATCGGCAGCAGGAGCCACTTGGTCGTCCACTTGGTCGTCCACTGGCGCTGCCGGTCCTGATTCGCAGACCCCAGGACCTAGGTAGCTTGAAGTATGACCGTGTCTGCCGTCTGCCTCCCGCCTGCGCAGTACTGGTGCATGCCTGCCGCTGCCTCCTTCGCCGGCGCAGACACGGCCAGCCACAGCGCGCTGCCCTTGACACACGCTGTGGATTTTTCTCATGTCAACAGATGTGGGGCCGCGCGCGGCATTCTGGCTGTTGTTGGCCTGTCGGCGCTGTGATTCGGCCTGCACGCTGCATTTTCAGCACCAGTGCCTTCTATTCGCCTGCAGACCGCTTCACGCCCGGCATCCGCACCACCCAGGCAAACATGTGGGTTTCTAGTTTCTACTTTTGCGTTTGCGTCCGCCGAATCACAGCGCTCAGGCATGGTGCGAGTGCCATGGTGCATCAGCACATGTTTTGAGCCCGCACTTCCGAGACGGCGAATCCTAAGTCTAGCGAGCCCGGACCTAGGTAGCTTGATCTCCGAGCCAGGTCGCTGATCTCGTGGTTTATTCCAGGCTGTCTAACTTTGGGTATCTTGTGCAGCTCCGACTCTCGCATCACATCTCAGTAGAACACAAACAGCTCGTCCCCGCCTTCTTTGTCCTCGCCCAGGAACTCTTTCCTCAGCAGCAGCTTGATCAGGGGCTCGTGCAGGTCTTTCATGTCGAGGATGCCGCGCTTTTTCTGGTCAATGTACGAAACATCAACCACCACACGCTTCAGGTTGGCTGTTGAAAGTGCACCATCCTCAAGCAAGACAGAGAGCCGGTCCGGCGTCCCAACGCCATAGTCCACTCTGCACCGAGTCAGCCAATTCGCCCACCATAGTCTCAATGTACGCACCTATTCTTCTTCAGACTCGCGACCTGGTCTGCGAGCTTCAAGTGCTTTGCAAACAGCTTCTCCACCTTGACATCTTTCACGCCTTGCTTTGGGAGCCCCGTCTTGAGCGACCTGCACACGTCGGCTGCCCGGATGCCAGAAGCAGTCACCACAATGGTATGCGGCGCTCCTAGAGGCTTGGTCGACGTCGGCTTCAAATCGCCAAACTGCTTCTTTAGGAAGCTTGAAAGGTTGTCCAGTTTCCGGGGTTCACTGTAGCTTGTGCTGTCATATATGGTGCGTGCTGTTGCGGTCAGCGAATCCCCAATATCATAGAGACTGGTCGTACGCACCAGGGATAAACTTGTCTTCCAGCTCGACACTGCTCAGGTCCTTCCCGTATAATCGTGTTCGAGCGTTGACATAGTCCGCTACCAATTGACCGTCCATGCGCTCGAAAGCATGATTGACACCTAACTCTTGATCCAGATCATCTTCGTCGATGTTCTTCGCCTTGGCCTGCTTCTTCTGCTTCCTCTTCGCTTTTTTCTTCTCTTTCTTGCTGTCGATGCCGCCTTCAGGTTCTGCCTCCGCCTTTCTCTTTTTCGAGTTTGCCGTGGGATCAAACTCCGCCTCGATCAGAGGCACGCCTCCTTCCGAATCCGAGTCTGACATGTTGTTCATGTTCTGTGTGAAGCTTTGCAGCATGGGCAGCGTGCAACAGAAAAAGTCCCAAAAAGTCGACGGTCAATCGATAAGGACAGGTACGCTAGCGCCGCACTCGGCCTAGATTCCGGCGCGTTGAACGCGCCTTCCGTGTTGATTGACGGCCGTCAACAAGCCCACCTCGGAGTTGTATTCTTAAAGCTGCGCAACCATGGCGTCTGGATCTGCGCGCAAGAAGCAGCGCCTGTCGCCGGAGATCGTTGCGACACCAAATTCCACTGCGCGCACCGAGCCCATCACGCCCTCTCGCCGTGCAATCAGCGCAGGCCCCACACCAGCCGGGCGGACACCCACCTTTCGAACCCCAGGCACTACGGCCAGGACTCCGCGAGGAGGGCCGGCAACGCGACCGATTTCAGCGCGCAGGGCAGCACCAACTACACCGCATGCGATCAGAGCGCTGAGAGAACGAGCCAATGCCGCGCGAACACCAGGGAACAACCGGCGCAGGAGCGGGAGGTTTCAGCGAGAGACGCCTCGAGACCTCCTGCGCAACCTCAGCAGAGGTACTGCAATACACTTCTTCTTTATTCCTCTCGGCTCACTAACATTGCAAAGCGCTTGCGCGTGACAGCCGCCCTGTCGAGCCCGAGCCTCAGACACTCCCACGCCGAACCCGACACTCTGCGCTCGACCTCCCAGATGTTGTGGAGAGCCCCGATATTGCTGCGCCCCGGCTCAGCATGCCGCTGGAGGACATGTACGACGATGACAGCTTCCACGAGCGACCACCGAGGCAATCGCTGCTCCCGGAGTTGCCGGAGGACGTAGACGGAGCTACAGTCCAGTCTCTCGAGTTCGGCCGCCGAGCGCTGAGCGAAGATCCGCGATATGCCAGGAGAGTCAGTGACAGGTTTGCCGAGTTCAGCGAGCTTGGGGTCGAGGGCGACGAGTTTGAGATTGACGGGACGTTCATCAACCGGCGGCGCACTGGGGCTTTTGATCGGTTGCTTGATCAGACCATCGTCGAGGAGGATGAAGATACAGTGGCAGCTTTGACAGGCCGGCGTGACGGACCATCCAGCGATGCAGACTTGGGTGTATTTGGTCAAGGAGATGATGACACCGAGGAGCCGACTTTCAGATTCCACATCCCAGAGCGGATACGAGCGCCCGTTGAGGGAGAAGCGCAGGATCAAGTAGAGCTGGATGAGACCGTCGCGCTGCCAGATGTTTCGGAGGAGGACGAGGACCTGGACGTCGAAGGAGAAGAAGAAGCCGCACTCGACGAAGCAGAAGAGACAGCAGCATTGGACATGGGCGAGCCTACAGCCGCATTCGGCATGACAGGCTGGGAATCAGATCCTGGCGAAGAAGACGATCCCGAGCTCGCGGCTTACCGCGAAGAAGAGTCCGCCCTAGACCGCAGCTTGCAAGCGCCTGAAGCTTCGACTTCAGTCCAGAAGCGCATGGATTCGAAGCGGAAAGAGCTCAAGCTGTCACGATTCGGTCTGGACTACCCATCCTTCTCAGCTGCACCGGTCAAGAAGTTAGCACTCAGCTTCATGAAGTCGCAAGGTAGTAAAGCGCAGCTCAACAAAGACGCACTAGCCGTTCTTGTGCAAACAACAGACGACTTCTTCGAGCAGATCAGCATCGATCTGGCTGCATACGCACAGCACGCAGGTCGAAGGATGATTGAAGAGAGCGATGTCCTGGCGCTCATGCGACGGTATGTTACATTCGCACTTGCTGTACATATACCATATGTGTACAGCTCCCTGTTCTACAAACGCTGACATACTCAGGACGCGCAAGACAAGCAATAACAGCACGACCTTCTCGCTTGCGCAGAAATTGCTGCCCAGGGAGTTGCTGCAACAGCTCAGGATGGAGCCGCAGCCTAAACTCCGGGGTCAGAAGCGGAAGCGACTAGCGGCTGTACAGGAGGAAGACAAGGAGTGAGAGTTGAGATATGTTACTTTATGACCACTCGGAGCTGTGGCGCACGCGTCGCTGTGTGCCGGAGAGCGGCTTCTTGACGACCATCCAGAACATGATGGATGTGGCGAAACTCAGCGCATACCTGGCGACATCAGCTAGAGTCCGTTTAGTTGCCGGGAGGAAGTCTTACCATGTGAAGATATACTGCGTATGGTTGTTCCTCAGATTCACTGTCGGCGCGCGTCCAATCGGTATACCCTTTGGTTCGCGCTCAAAATTCGTGAGCAGATCCGGTGCTGCAATCGTCAGGTACTTTTTCACGCAGGCCTGAACGATAAGAATAGATGCACTCACTCATCGTCTCCTCAATCCACACTCTCTGACTCCCACTCCAGTCCGCCATCTCCTCGACACTCGGAAAAAACCACTTTCCCTCCTCCGGCACATTCTTGGGCGTAAACATATTCCCCTTCGGCGGGACCCTCAGCAGCCCCTCAATCATAACCTCCCCCTCCGGCAGTGCCCCGTGCTGCCGTCGAAACCAATGCTTGACAGCGTCCTTCTTAATCCACCCCCTGCAGCACAGAATCTTGCTACTCCGCCCCTGCTCATCCCACCGCTCCAGCGGCGTCACAACCGTATACCCGTCCTCGCCGTCCTGCAAGCGCGGTCCAATGAGCATCTCCTGATCATGCCGCAGCACGCCCTTGGCATACACGCGCCGGTAGTCAAACGCATCGACCATGCTCTCGTCGATTCGGTGCGGCAGCTCCAACGGCGGGAATGTAAGCCGGTCCTCGAAGCGCGCAATCAGCTCCGTCTTCCAGCCCAGCCGCTGCACTTGCCAGCACCCCAGCACAAAGGCCGTGAGCGGGATGATGGCCAGGATGATCAGCCCGGGCCCGTGTTGCTTGCCCACGCGCGCCATTTTCGCCGGCCGGTCCAGGATCGAGACGAAGTTTGGATCCAGCCCGTCGGGCCCGTGGGCGTGGCGCCGCTGCATAAAGAACAGGGCTTTTGGGCGCGAGGGTCGCGTGGGTGCGCGCAGGCATTGCGGGCCGTGGGATATGCGGGTTGTGCGGGCGAATGTGGACGCCGTTTGTGTCGAGTATTGCCTGAAGAGGCGCAGGAAGGGGTGTGGATTTGACATTTCGGGGCTTGCGCGTGTGCGTGTGGAGTGGTGAGGGAGCGCATCTATGGCATTTGAGATGGACAGCAGGCTAGTTGACGAATGGGGGATGGCGGCCGCGGGAGAGAGCGCCACATCGACTTGTGTTTGTCCATGGTTACCTGATCGTCAACCCTTGATTATTATTTTTCTGGCATAGGACATTCATGGCTGAAGTTCATGCTCCTCTGATTGCGCAAGTTACTCCTGCAATGCCAACGGCTGGTGGTGACAAAGATGCTCTCATCGCCCGCCTCGATACTCTGCTAGAGCAGTATCTGAACACTCTGGATGAGTACGAGAAGCTCACGCAGCAGCTGTCCAAGCAGCTATCTGCCGTACGTCCACATCCTTGCATCCCCTCCTGCTGTTGATTCATAGCTGCAGGGCTACTTCTCCCTCGCCCAAGCAAACTTCCACAACCGCTCTGGTGTGCACTACGGACGAGACAGCTACGATGAACGTGTCCAGGCGACACGGAAGATGTATGCATCCATTTAATTCCTCGGGCGGATGTGTGCTAATGGGAGGCAGCCTCGTGGCGGAGGACGAGGAGTGCAGACTGCGCTTTTCCGTCGTCTCAACGCTTCCAAGCACAGCTCCTAAATCCAGGAACAGCAGGGAAGCGGGTGGGAAAGAGCAGACTCAAGAGCCAAAAGAAGACACTCAACCAAAAGAAGACACTGAACCAAAAGAAGACACTGAACCAAAAGAAGACACTGAACCAAAAGAAGACACTGAACCAAAAGAAGACACTGAACCAAACGAGGAATCGAAGGACCGGTCTACAGAGGACAAAACCAAGGAGAAGACCAGCACAGCGAAACCGAAGGTTGTAGATCCAATCCGCATGTTCGGCATCCTCGTACCACCAGCGCTGCGCTTTGCACAAGCATCTTTCAAAGACGCTGTAGACGGGCCTGTGGTGCGGTTGGCAGCTGTGACGGGCGATTTGAGGGCGCTGGAGAGGGAAATCGGGCGGACGAGGAAGGCGATGCGGAAAGCATAAAACCCAGTGGATATGTCTAGACCATCACAAAGACACCGACGAATGTCGCAATCTTGAAGTGCAGGAATCCTGCACTAGTCAGATCTTTCTAAGCAAGCTTGCATCGATTGTGTTAATTCGCAAAGATGCAAAAGTGTAATATTGGATTCCTCATCCCGAAGTTAGATTACATGCTGTCCGCGATCATACCCATTCTAGCTCTTATTCGGGTAGGAGAATGAAACGTCGTTCTTCCAAGCGAGCCAGCCGTTCGTAGCTGGAAGTTCCATACGCTGCTCTCAACTCAGAAGAAACTGTGTCCTTTAGTTTCAGAGATGGCATCTCGTATGCAAAACGGTACATATGTACGCCTATCTTGACCTCCAATTGACTTGTGTCTGGGATAACGTGGAAAGGCTGAATTCGAGTCATCAATCCGTCCAATAGTTTTTGAAGAAAAGTGACCGTGCCAATAGGAGGGCAAGCAATTGATCGTGAAGCGCAGCTCGGATGAGGGAAAGAGAGGACGGCAAGTTACGAATCATCAAGCTGCGACTTCTTTCAAAACACGAGTCACTAATGCTTCAAACTTGTCATGATTTGTCTTGACCATTTTCCCCTTGGTGCGTACTAATCTCTGCGCTGATTGAAAGGTGTATCCAGAGCTACAGTAGAGCGAGATGATTTTTGGAAACAGAGATAGAGTCAAGCCTGGGTCCGAGGGCTCGGGATGGTCTCAGGCCATGCGTCTGCAGTGACGGCGTTTGATTTCGCGACCTTGGAGAGCAGTGCAAACGCGGGATTCCTTTGAAGCTATTCAGCTGGAAAGGCTGTGTTTAAATGTCAACTCCACTCTTGAGGCGTGACCAGCTCGGCCACGCCTTGGCTTCCTTGGTCACCAGACGAAGTGACACGCCTTCGTTGTCATCCTGCAGGTGACTGTGCACGGTGCCACAATTGATGTCTCTATCATAATTGTCTTGTTGCTATGCTGGGTGTAGTTGCGTTCGCGCGTGCATTCAAAAAATGTGTTAAGGTCATGAAGCATTGGTAACGCTGAGCATCGCACTGATGCAGTAGCACGAATTGATCCGAAGATAACAGAGCATCGGATAATCTCTGAGTTCATTGCTGTGAGGGATCGCCTTCGGGCATGGCGATCTCTTGATGAATTTCCTTATGTGTTTGATTGAATCAAGGCGGTCGGAGCGACTGGCATGGACAGCGCGTCAGACCTAAAAGTCAAGCTCGTACGCACCTCCTGCCCATTATTTGTCGTACATAGAGTCCACGTACGGTTTTAATGCGCACAGGCCGAACTCGACCGCTTCTTCAGTCCTGATCGTCCTGCTACCCTGACCGGGTACGAGATTGACCCACGAGTCAAACAATGTGTGCGCACTGCCTTTGCCAAGACCTTTCTCTGCAAGTACAGGGTCATTCGCTACAGCTGGCTCGATCCCGGCAACACCTCCAAAGACAAGGAGCAGATGATTGAACTTCTCCGGCGCCTGCACCGAAGGGTTTGAAGTTGTTGAGGGTATGAGGTCGCGAACGTCGACGCCTCGTTCAGATGTGCCGACGGTGAAGTCATAGCCCCCCGAGAACTCACATTCGGAGAATACCGTGCTTAGGGATGACGCCTTGCGTACAGAGTAGCCCCAGTAATATCCCGCTTCCTCGCGAGGAAGCGATGACCCGCAAGCGCTGGCTTCAAGGCTTTCGCATTCGGCTTGCGACAGGTGCGGCCAGTTCCTGGGAGGATCTGAGTTGCCAAATCGTACCGTTGTGCGCATGGCGGGCTCGATCGGCGCGCCTGGGGGCATTGGGACGACAATCGGAAAAGACAGGCCACACTTGACATATACGTGTTGCTCCGTCTGTTTCTTGCTCGTCTTCCTTGAGCTTTTGCTAGCCACTGGTGCATCCGCCGGTCCTATAACCACGCCCTCGCGGAACTGACACCACTCATGCGGCCTCAGATGATGAGGCATATCCATACTTGGTAGAGTGCCGGTCCACTCAAGATTCTTGTGTTTCTGAAAGATACTCAGGCTCGGGTCGTCATGGCTGTACCTGAGATGTGGAGGGCACTCAGCAAACGCAAGGACGTGGTAAAGAAACTGGTCTGGGTTCTGCCAGGGCTCATCTTCTTCCAGTATGCTATCGAGAATCTCTTGTTTCGACTTCGATTTCTTACCGCGCGTGTATCGATCGGACACTACATTGGGCGTGAGCCCAGATGGATTGTCATCAAAAACGACAATTTCATCGACACAGAACACGGCTGCAGCTCGTGCGATACGTCCTACTTGCATTGTCTTGTGATCCGGCTTTTTGGCATTTAGAAGCCAGCTTCCCGGTAGCGCAATGCTGACAGTCCAGTTCCTGGCCTTGGTGGGCTTGAAGAGCGCCGTAGGGCGCGACGTGTCAATGTCCTCGGCATCTTGTGGTTCTGTCTTATTCTTCTTGTTTGGACTAGCTTGCTGGTTGGTCTGATGGAGGACTACGGCCGCATGTTTGCGCTTCTGGAACCATGTAAGCATTAGTATATAGTAGGTGGAGGAAATCCCGTACCTTGCTGTCGACCATATTGACGGATCCCGTGAATTCGATATTGCGCGAGGGCGCTTGACACGTGAACGCGTAAAAGAGGTTGGTCGAGATTTTGAACGAAGGTATTTTTGGTCACCTCAGCACGGTCCTGCATTAGCGCATCTCTAAATGTGGGGCGATAATCATGGTAAGGCAACCACGACCGCGCTGTGAGGCGGGCAGCTTCTCTCATCTCTGCTTCTCTTTCCTTCCTTTGTTGTACAGCAGCTATCTGGAACTCCTGTCTGCCTGTGCACTCAATTACAATCCGGCAACATGGTTTCAGAAACGTATGTGATCCCTTCTCCGCATCTCTCAACGTCAGCTCATATATGCTAGTAAATCCTCCTTTAGCGACACGCTGTTTATGTTCCTCGCCCTTTACCTCACGACCCTCTTCTCTCTCGATGCATGGGCTGCTGCCCGAAACTCTCCGCACCGCGCTCCGGGCAACAGCGCGCTCTACCGCCCTGCGAGCACGACGCCCGCGCCCGAAACTTACCAGGGCGGCATGCATGGCCGCGGCAATGCTGGACCAGGGAGCGGAGCAAGTGGAAACGGCGACAATGTTGGAAGGGTGCCACAAGCGAGAGACTCAAGACCACCCATGAAGCTGTGGGGAACCGCAGCTTGCGGTGCTTGCATGACTTGAACGTGTCTGCATGCCCAAGCACAGAAGACACAACAACGTCTTAGCTTGCACGTCGTGACAATGCATTGCTGGGTTCACTTTCATGTTCACCACGTCGATTCATCTTCATTGTGCTTGATACCAGGCTCACCATGCTCGGTTACCTACGTTCTTTCGAAAGCATACACCGCTCAGCATGACAAATCGGCAAGACCACGCCCTCGAGTCCTTCCTTGACCTACCTGCCGAGCTTAGACACATGATCCATGGACATTTCTTCGAAATGAATTCTCTGCACCGACAGTTCTTAAACCAATCCGTGAGCCTCAACGAGATTTGCGTACTACATCGGGCTCAGAAGCTATGCGTCAACACCGCTGTTCCCCAATCGATCGCTAGCCTACGCACAATTGGGGTGATGAGCGAGATAGTTCATCGAAACGAATACAGCTTCTTCTACGTCTCCACAGAAGTACTTCTCTAAGGCGACGGTATCATGAATTTGGGGAACTGCGGTCTCTTGCAGAAGTTATTGCGAAGATTAGACCTGACGGCGCCGAATCTCTACATTCCACGCAGTTTGAAGTGCGACTTCGACCAGTGGACTTCTCCTCACAAGGACGCTTGGCATTCCAGAGCTTCCTCTCCAACATTACGCCATCGACAACCTCCGGTACTTCAATATGGACCTAGCGGGATACCGCATCTTTGAGTCAGATCTGGAAGAGCCGAAGGCCCTTCTTCTGTACGACCAGGAGCTTCACTTTCCCAGGCTTGAGATGATTGCTATATTTCTCAAACCACTTCCAAGTCTTACTGAAGTACAACTCACCATGCGCCCTCCCATCCAAATCATTTAATAAACGGCAACCAAAGACGAACTGTTCCCAGATGTGGTATGCGTCAGGTTGCACCATGGGCTGTGAATGAGGAACCTCTGGGAACTGGCAACGTGTACGAGATTTGCGATGGCGCTGACAGGGCCAAGTTCGTCAACTCGTCCGTTAACATTGAGTATCCCTCTTTATCGCGCCCGAACGAAGGGGATCATTTGCAAATCTTGATACATGGAATGGTACGGCAGGCTGAAGTAATTTGAGAGTTTGAAGTCTCGACGTCGGCCCACGCAACGAAGAAGACATAGATAGCGCCGCAGAACTCCCACCAATGATCTTGGCATGATCTTTGGGGTTCGTGGGGCAGTTATGATCACGTCATATGATGACATTCGGCTCTTTGTCGGTATCTCTAAAGTCACTAATTTGCACTCTGTCGTCGAGTGGTCAATCGCGCGCTTTGTACCTAAGCATATCTTCAATCATGCACATTCCCTCCCAGCACCGCGCAGCATATATTCACACCAAAGGCGAAGCGCCTAAGATTGCCAAACGTACTCTCGGCGAGGTCAAGCCAGGCGAGATCGCCATCAAGATCGCAGCGACAGCGATCAATCCAGTGGACTGGAAGATCCGTGACTATGGATTGTTCCTCGTTCCTAATTGGCAATACCCGGCCATTTTGGGATCTGATGGTTCTGGCACGGTAGCAGCCATCGGCAAAGACGTTTCTGGTTTCAACTTTGGCGATCGAGTGTTTTTCCAGTCCGGGTACGGCGACGATGACGTCTCCACATTTCAAGAGTACATCAAGATCCCCGCCGAGATTGTTGCGAAGACTCCCAAGAACATCTCGGACGAGGAGGCGGCAGGCATTGTCCTGGCTACAATGGCCGCCGCTACGGCGTACTACGACACGACCGGACAAGGACTGAAAGCACCATGGGTCGAGGGAGGAAGTACAGCCGGCAAAGGCAAAACTATTGTCATTCTAGGTGGTAGCTCGTCGGTGGGCCAGTATGCTATTCAGCTTGCGCGCCTGTCAGGCTTCGAGCGTATCATCACCAACGCCAGCGCGGTACATCACGACCACCTTCAGAGTCTTGGAGCCCATGTCGTACTCGACCGCAACGCTTCCGGTCTCAAGGATTTCCACAAAGCACTAGAAGGATCGACGCTGGAATTTGTCTTTGACACAATCGCCTCCAAGGAAACACAAACACTAGGTGTTGAGATTCTGCAAGCAACCAGCACGAAGGGTTCACGCGTAGTGATCGTAGGCCCAGTTAATGATGAGGCCAAGAACCTCGGCGAGTCCAAGGAGCCGCACGTTGCGGTCCAGCAGATTATGGGCATTGCCCTGAAGCCGAAGTTACGTTCCATCATCAAGGGCCTGACAGATAGCCTTGGAGGTCAGGACGGATGGGTTTCGAACGGAGAATTCAAGCCAAACCGTGTTGAAGTAATTACAGGCGGTCTAGAGAAGCTGCAGGAGGGTATGGAGAAGAATAAGCACGGCGTGTCTGGAGTGAAAATTGTTATACAGTACTAGAACACTATACTGATCTTTGCAGGTGCATCATGACCAGCAAGATTCGAAACAAACAAGGCCGTAACATTACTCCTCCTTCGGTGTTGAAGAGAGATAGATCACGACTGAGCTGCCTGCGGCCCCGCATGCAGCCCCATGTTGAGATCAGGTTCGCCCTCTCGAGCCTTGTTGGAGCCGCACTCTTCAGAAATTTCCCTGCTAGTAGAAGCCTCGGACCTACTAGGAGTATCGTCGGCCTTCTAATTGCACGTATGTCAACGGAGGCTTATTGAAGGAGTTATCAGCCGCTATTTTCTGCAGTGGCTCCATAAACATGCCGATTTCAATGCCGCAAGAGAGTTGAATGTGAGTTTGACCCCGCTGCCGCGGCGTCTTGGGTGTGAAGTCTGTAGGTCAGTACATGCGGGTAAGGATGCGACATTGCGGTTTTGATAGGTAGGAATTGGTTTATGGGAACTTTTAGGCGAGTGTGTTGACACATAGTAGTGCAGGACATATAGTAGTGCAGGCGGCTTTCCGCGAGTTCGACTACAAGTTCGATGGATGGGAGATTGCAGGTGAAGGCAAGTCTTGCCCTTCACTGTCTGCAAACAGAGGTCTGCGGCTTTTTAGTGTCCCATAGATGAAGTGAAAGGAAACCCCACAGCAACACAAAATAATGGTGGGGCTGCACGTAAAGTGTTACTGTGGGTCCAGGGACTGCGTCTGCGAGATAGCGCGATGAACTCTGTTTAAGTTCACAACGCATCTCAACCATAAAACCACTCAAGGCACGATAAGACGTCAGAGAGAAAGTGTGGAGGAAGCCACGAGGAGGAGAAGAAGAAGAAGAAGAAGAAGAAGAAGAAGAAGAAGAAGAAGAAGAAGAAGAAGAAGAAGAAGAAGAAGAAGAAGACGCAACATTAGACAGACAAGAACAGGGCAAAGAGGCAAAGGCTAAATAAGAGAGCATGAAAGACGGCAGCAGACAAGACGGCGACGGACAAAGCAACGAATAAAACAGTGGAACAGACACTGGAGGAGAGGGCGGATCAGATCGAAACAGTCGAGCAAGTGGCAGGAGACACAGCAGGCGAGGGAGACGAGACTTCGAAGCCCGTCCCCTACATAAGAAATTCTCAGCGCTCTGGGTGTATACATCTAGTTGTACACATAGAAGTAGAAGTCGGAGAGTGGGCTCTCTCGGAGGCCGCGTGGGCAATGTCCGGCCGCAAAACCCTACGAGACGAGCCATGATTTTCATCTCAGCTGAAGACGCCGAAGAACGCTTGTGGGATGCGATTACACCAATTCTGCGGGCAGATGTAGATCCTTTATCTGAAGTTCAGTTAAGATACTTGGCTATATTGTCTACTGCCCCGTCTTCGTTCCCAGAGACCACCAGCTCTGGAATCTCCACAGCAAATTTTTGCAACCGATGGCTCTCTTCGATAACTGGATCACGATGGGAGCCTCCATTGGGTATACCAGAAATGATCGTTCAGGCACTGTCGGGCTCGACGTCCATCTCTCAAACAGCGGGAATAAGGACTAGTCATTGTGGCGATCCCTTCTGGATAAAGATGCTGAACGCATGTTGGAGTTCCGACAGTCTGACCAACGTTACTAAACAGTCCTGGAACGAGAGACGGAGACCATCACTCAAGGTAGCCGAAGACGAATTTGCTTTCCAACAGACCCACCCATCTCGCTTTCTGGGTACTGTCTATTCACTGTCCAGATATCGTTTCCGGAGGACCGAGCTTCTCAGTGAGGACTTTTTGATACGCACGTCGATGATCAACAAGCCTGGCAAGAATGAACCAGTGGAACTGTGGAAATCTATAGGGGGTCGCCAGCTAGATTGGGGCGTTGATCGGGCACTCATGAAGCTGAAACTATCACGGCAGATACCTGGACTGCTACCCAGTGGAACAGGCAAGCTGAAGATTCGTCCCGGTGCCGCCGAACGCCACTGGTGCCCGCTTCGATCCTACAATTCCTACGAAGCAGCGAAGTTTGGGCGCACTTCCCAATGGACCACGAGGAAAATCAGATCGATCAGACACTATCTCTTGCAAAAAAAAGCACGAATGATTTGATTATTCTACTATATACTGGACTAAACACTTCTCAGCACGCGAAAGTATTGCTTCCAAGGGTCTCCAAGAAGCTGTACGCTAACTCATCAAGAGTAGTAGTAGCATCTTGTAGAATTGGTGAAAGTTCCATTGGATCAGAGCGAATCTCAAGCATTCATTTCCAGAAGATTTTGACAGTGTTATGGTGTCGGCATTCTTCGAAATCCCGGTACTTCACCGATCATTGTTAGAATCTGAGTCTGACTATGATCAGCACGAAAGAAATCAAGCTCTGTTCTGGGAAGCGCGATTGGGCAGTATCAGATCGATGAAATATCTGCTTCAGATAGTAACCCTAGTTTTCAAGGTGTGGATCTGCACACACCACTGACAGTGAGTGTTGAAAACGGCCACACGCATGCCATTGAGGCTCTGTCATCCGATCTACGCACCCAGCCTATGTCGAGAGAAAATCTTTTCGATCAGCGCTACCACTCGCTGCTGGAAACGGTTATCTGGACATCTTCCGGACGCTGATGAGCTGTGGAAATTGCAAGGTAGAAGAGCAAGACGTTAATGGATGGATTCCTCTCTTCTGAGCGGCTGGAAGTGACCATGTTACCGTTATTGAGTGTCTGCTCAACCAGTCTTCTGTCGATGTAAACTGTACTGACAAAATAGGGCATTCAGTACTATCATGGACCGGAGGTGAAGGCTTATTGAGGGCTATCAGGACCTTGCTCCGACGTTCGGAAGTGAATTCCAACCTCAAAGACTCCATTGGCCGCTCGTCATTATCCTGAGCAGCTGGAAATTGCCGTACCAAGGTAGTTGCCACTTCCTTGCGCGCCAAAAGAGTGAAGCGATCAGATATAGATCTCGATCAACGAAGTGCTGTTTTCGGGCTTGTCCAAGAGGACATATAGAAACGCTGAATATATTGATGAAATACTACTGTCGCGGCGACCAGAGGCGGACGTCAGTGGCTGGGCTCCTTCGGCGTGGGCTTTTTTCCACAGATCCACTTCGACAGTGGAAGCTCTAAATACGGGAAGTTCAGCGCGAGTCGACACACAGGATATCCAGAGACGTACTGTATTAATGTCGGCAGCATCGTATGGGTACTCAGAAATAGTGCGGCTACTGATTTCTCGAGGCGCGGATCCTTTGGTCGAAGATGTTGATGGAAAAACGGCAGCAGATCATGCAGGGATATTTAATCACACAGAGGTGATACAGGAGCTATCCTGAATAGCTACTGGATGCAAAGTCGGCAAAGCTATGAGTTTCGGATACCGCCAACACACAGCAGCGCACCACATTAGAACAGTTGGCACAGTTCTATAGCTTGTATAATCTTGTAGATCCTCACTGTGCCTTAAATTTAACGATGACTGCGAGCACGAAGGTGGAAACCTTACTTGACGAGTCCAAGAACGCTTGATCAGCAGTACGTGGAAGTATCCTTCTCTTAAATGGTTACTGGGGGGAGTGCACTGTTCTTGGCCTACCACTGGCTAGAATCTGTGTGATTCGGGTTCAACTTATGCCACGCCCTCGAGTGCATACTACTGAGCTAGCGTTCAAAGATGGTTGCTGAGGTACCAAGGGCTAGACGATACATGATGGATGTTGTCAAGGGTGCATCAGTAGATCTACTGCCAATCGCTAACATCAGTGTTACCAATTTCTTTGAGCCGCCCTGAGGCATAGAGCTTTTCAGTACTGCTAAATGGCAGATATGGACCTTCTCAGACATCTTAATGGATCTAGAGTAACACATGGATGTTAAGAATTACAGTTTCGCAATTTTCTCAGCCGCTCCCGCAGCAACCCAGTCTTTAGTCGGTGGCGTTGCAACAAAACTCCCTCTCTTCTCCCATTTGCTCATCCACTTCTGCAACTTCGGTCTTCCCTTCCGCCATTGTAGACCAAGAAAGACCATCTGCTCTGTCATAGCTGTTGCAACAGCCACAGCAACCTCATCGACCGTCGCTGGCCCAGAGTCCGGTTCTCTCAGTACCCCCTCCGCGGCTGCAGCCTCAAATCGATCGAGCCCTCGTACAATCTTCGTCTTCTGTCCTTCAACCCACTCTTTAAAGTATAGTCCCCGCTCTTTCCTGATGCGCACTTCGTAAGTGATGAGCACCCCTGCATCCGCGATGCCGTCTGCGCATGCATGCAGTGCCCTCATCTGCCAGTACCTCTGATCCTTCTTCATCTTCACGCCCGCTAGCTCTGTCAAGTACTCACAGATGACTCGCGAGTCAAAGATGCCAGTTGGCACATCATCTGTGACCAGACAAGGGATCTTGCCCATCGGGTTAAACTTCGCCACGTCGTCTGTGTTGTCGATCCAGCCTTTTATCGGAATCGGCGCCACCACGACTTTCTCGAGAGTGATATGCTGTGCTAGATTGAGTTCGTGGGCGAGCATGAAGACTTTGCGAGTGTAGGGCGAGAACGAGTGATAGATGAGGCGCATCTTTGGGAACTTCTTTGTGCCGCTCAGTGATGGGGTGGCTTTCTGAGCTGCTGCCTTGGTGATGCGGAAGTTCCAGCGCGGGAAGTGTAAGTGCAGGCCTTTGCTGTTGCGGATCACAACTTCTGAGACTGTAAGACCAATGATGGTACCTCGGTCTTTATGCGCCTGGCCGTAGTCTGAAGGATAGACTTCGACTGTATCGCCGGCCTTGAAGCCGAGAGGATCATGATCGTCGAATGTCAAAGGCACGGTGGGTGAGGTTGTGTTCAAAACCTGGGCCCCCATCGTTTTACCATCAAGTGCGCTGGGCTTTCTAGTCTTGTCTTTCGCGGCCTTGACTCTGTTCATAAGTCGTTGAATCCACGCATGCGTTTTCGGGTAGTTCTTCGCGCCAAATCGCTCATCAGGTAGCGAACCCTTCATGCTGCGGTCTATGATCAGCCACTCAAAGGGCCAAACAGCGTCGATATCCACGACGCTTGGTCCTTCGGTACCCAAGATCCACTGTCTTTCATCGGCCAGAAAGGTGCTCTCCAGTAAGTCGAAGGCTTGTCGCATGTTCTGTAGGCCATCCGGTCGACCAGCTTGCATGTTCTCAGATGTCATACGCCTGCCGCCCATCAACTTCTGCCTATCGTCGAGAAAAGATTTGTTCTGCACCAGACTGTTGGAAGACCAGTATGGCATAAGTTTTACGGCGCTGTTGAAAAGGCCACTATCGCTGTAGTGTTCGAAAAGCAGCCTCAGTCCGCTCTGTTCAGCTGTTGTAGGCGACAGAGCACTGTTGGGATACAAAGATTCAAGTTTGGAGATGATTAGACGCGAATCGATGTATATATCCTTGCCTATAGCCATGATGGGTATGCGCCTGTAATTCACTGCGATTGATGCTAGGTCTGGGCGTGGCATGACTGGTGGTTGTATCTTAGTCTGTTAGCACAGTGCATTCTTAAACTTGAGCATAACATACGCATTCATCGTATGCGATGTCACGAAGCCACAGATACCATAGCACGCGATGAGAGTAGATGGATTGGGCATAATGGAAAAGGATTGGCCTCTCAGTTGGCGTCATGATGGGTAGCCCCGGGCTGAATAAGCTAGAATCTTGCTGAAGAGGATGTCGAATTTGAGCAGCTTTGCTGAAGGCTTTCTAGAGTTTCGCGTTGATCATCGCGCGTGTGTACCGTGTTCAAGTTACCCCACACGAGGCTCATGACGTCGGACCGAGCCGAGGCTCAAAGATACCTACCGAGCCAACGGCACACTCATCAATGAATGACCTCTGTTGGAGACTCTGCTTGAACCATCACGTTCAAGAATCTATAGGACTAGATGATGGCTGCAAGTATGCAAAGAATTTGCTGGGAGGATGCCGAAAATGAGCTTCTTCGAACATACTGGTAGGTATGCACGGACCCATTAACCTTGCCAAATTTGCGACCTCCATTCAGTCTGCAACAATCCCATCAACTCCTATCATCATGCATAGAATATGCGGGGAGGCTGTTCTCGGCCATATGTCCTTCTGGAACGAGCGCTACTCTAAGGCGGGTGACCGTGCCGAGCCTACGTATGAGTTGTTCCGAAATATCCTTAGAACCGTTCTTTGAGAGATATCTGTTTGCAAACCGTAAACCGGAGACTCAACCAAGAGTTTTGCACCTGGGAAGCGGCGACAGTATTTTTGTCCTAATCGAAGCTACGTTCCAGCTTGGACTGACGAATGCACGGACTGTACCCTACGATCTTCTTAAGAGAGGATACGACTGTCAGCTGTGTCTCGACTTCTCTGCCAGTGTAGTTGACTTCATGTCTCTGCCATCGCCAACCTGGAAGGTACATTCTTCCCGGATTTTTGTTGAGACTTCATCAAGGACATTGAGATAGGCAGCATCGGTGTTGCGTTCGACAAGGGCACGTTAGATGCACATGATCTTTGGCAGTCCATGGAACCCACCAGAAGGGATTCTGGAGAACAGCAAAAAGTATATGAAAAAGAGGTGGGCAGAAATACTTGACTCTATGCTAAGCACCGCGAGTCCGATAAGGCATGTCCAAAAGGTTATGAAAGAGGATGGTGTTTTCTTGTACATCACCTGCCGACAACCTCACTTCATCAAGGCCCATCTTGAACCGCGACAATGATTGGTACTATGAGATAGAGATCTTGGAAGGCGGTAACAGTAATTTTGAGTAGGCACGACGGCTCCATCATGAGGAAGCATAGATAAGCGAGCTCAGCAACCAGCACCAAGCTTCGACACCAAAAGAGACGGGCGGAGCACGAGTTGTCAATTTGTGGTCGGCTACCCTTAAAATCAAATATTCTTAGACCCTTTCATGCCATGCCCCTCTATCACCCCGCCGGCCTCAACTCCGCATCGTTCGTATGACGCCACACTCTAATTCTACAGGCGCGCCGAGACACTCGATACTTCAAGCTGTTCGATAGCACTGTCATCTTCAGTCCAACACGTACTTATTTCGTACATCTCTTAGAATACAACATGGCTCCGATCACGCTCTACTTCCTCCAAGCGTCGCGCTGCATCCGTACAGCCTGGCTACTTGAAGAGCTGAGTCTTGACTACGAAGTCAAGTTCTCTGACCGTACCTCAGCTTCAAAGGCTCCTGAAGACTTCAAGCTTGCGTCTTGCAATCCATTGGGCAAATTCCCAACCATTAAAGATGGCGACCTCGTCATCTACGAAAGTGGCGCTATTAGCGAGTAAGGCGCATCTCCCTGTAACGATACCTAAGACGTTATACTGATCGACACAAGCTATCTATGTGATAAGTACGACAAAGAGGGCAAGCTGGTTCCCAAGGATGCCAAGCAGAAAATCAAAGTCTTGCAATGGATCCACGCCGCTGAGGCAACATTCGCTCTTCACGGCTTGGCCATTCTGTACGCTCGCTGGAACATCAAGGACGCGCCTGAAGGTGTTGTCGAAGCCGCTGAGAGAGGAATGTCGGTCAATGTCCAGAATGATATGTCATGGTTGGAGAGCGAGCTTTCGCTATCGCCTGGTCAGTTCTTGGTAGGAGACCACCCTACAGCAGCAGACATCATGATGCATTTCTCGGCAACATTCATTATTGCGAGAGAGTTGGGAACCAACGGCAAGCAATGGCCGAATATCGAGAAGTGGCTCAAGGCTTGCGAGGATTCGGAGGGCTACAGGCGTGCAGTCAAGAAGACAGGACACAATTTGACCCACAGCCACGGACCACAGACGGCAGCGAAATGAATCATAGTTTACGGTGAAAGTAGCTTGCTGTAGACAGGAATGAAACGCATACGAAAATGTGAAGGCAGGCGGTCCGCTCCGCTCATATTCAGATGTGGGCTGGTGCAACACAGTAGCCGTGAATTGAGGCCGAGAGCCCCGCCCCACACCCCAGATTTCGTACCCCAGCTCGTACAACGGAACGCCGATCAACCCGTACGAAGTTGGTACACGAAGCTCGGGCTGGACATGCGGCTGATCGGTGATTGATTTGAGATCCGGCGCCTAAAATGTCGTAACGCGTTGCAGCAGATAACTACGCGTCGTGTCTTCTTTCGCTCAATTTCCCCCGCAGCTGCCTCCGGTATACCACCTCAACTCAGAACACTCAACCATCCACGGAACAGCGCATTGTCAATGTCACAGAAGCTGGACATTCTCATCGTCGGGGCGGGCCTGTCTGGCCTTGCTGCATCGATCCAATGTGCACTGTCCGGCCACTCAGTCACAGTCCTGGAAAGCGCGAAAGAGCTCGCCGAAGTCGGTGCCGGGTTACAGCTGACACCGAACGCTACACGCTTATTCCAGGACTGGGGCGTCTACGACTCCCTCAGATCGCTCGTGTGCGAACCAAAGACCCTTACAGTATACAACTACAAGGGCACAGTATTGGCGAACGAAGACAACTTCGATGCAAACATCAGACGGAAGTACGGAGCGCCGTTCTCGGACTGTCATCGCGTGGATCTGCAGCAGGCGCTTGTGAGGAGGGCAAAGGAGCTTGGTGTCACGGTTATTCTTGATGCCCGAGTCACAGGAATAGATTTCGGGTCAAAGATAGGAGACAGGGCGAAGGTGACCGTGGGCGAAAGGACGTACGATGCGGACTTGGTCGTTGGTGCAGATGGACTGTGGTCGACGTGTCGGTCTACAATGTTGGGCAAGCGAGATCCTCCGCTCCCGACCGGCGACTTGGCATATCGAGTTGTTCTGGATATCGACCAAGTCGAGAGCCAGAAACTGAGGGACATAGTGCGGAATCCCACATGCCGATTTTGGGCGGGTCCCGACGCGCACGTAGTTGCGTACAGCATGCGGGGTGGCAACACATACAATATTGTTCTGCTCGTACCCGACGACCTTGAAGAGGGTGTTGCAAGGACGGAAGGCGATCTGGACGAGATGAGGAAGCTGTTTGAAGGATGGGACCCAGTGTAAGTTGTGCCGTCCCTGTGAGACCGGTTTGCTCATCTCTGGCAGGTTGACCGAGTTCCTCGAGTGTGTCGACAAGGTTGACAAGTGGAAACTGATGCATCGAGAGGAGCTGCCGTCGTGGATCAATCAGCAGTCAAATCTTGTGCTCATCGGAGACTCCTGCCATCCTATGCTTCCATACTTAGCTCAAGGCGCAAACTCGTCGATCGAAGATGGCGCTGTGCTAGGACTATTGTTGGGTCCAAAGCATCTCACTGATAGGGCTCGGCTGCCGGAATCGCTGAAGAAGTTCGAGAAGCTGCGGAAGGCAAGAGGTGAAGGCATTGTCAGAGAGACATTCAAGCAGCGCAAAGACTTCCACATGCGCGATGGGCCTGAACAGGAGGAGCGTGACCAGCGCATGCTGAGGCAACTGGGTCAGGAGCTGCAAGGCGCATTCCCAAGTCGATGGACATGCCCAGAAGTTCAGCCATGGCTATACGGCTATGACGCTTTGAAAGAAGTTGAGGCTGCAGCTGCAAGGTAGAGACTTCTGCGCATGTTCTATGCCGCGTTCGCGCTCGCGATTGGCATGAGAAGGTGGCTTCGAGCGAGAAACTTGGCACATTTGCATAACCCAATGTCAGCCTCGGAACTTCGAATCAACTCTGATCTTCAATTGGTGGCCGTTCTCCCGCTCAAACTCTATTTCAATGCTGACCATTGTGACGTTGTTTGACATTGTTGCACGAGGGTTTTGGTGAAACTCACTACTCCTGTCCACCTGCCGATAGTTTCCCTCGGCTGTTCCAGCCTCAACATGGATCGTGCAGACCTCCCCTACGCAACGTGCCAAAGTAACAGAGCCTCCACAATCAGGAATTGAAGGACGTCATGGGTCTTGGGCCATGATGCTCCCACCAGCCTTCTCGTTCCTTGTGCTGATCTCCGAGGGGCCGATAGTGCCAAGCTGGACCGTTCCAAGGTTCTCACGCAAAGGAACGACTCAAGCAGAAGCAATTCTTCGAATCATGCTCTAATCGGAGAATTCTCTTAATGTTTGCGGCACCCTCTTGCTAATTTCCAGAAGGAAAAATGCCCTATTATTTCGAAACTGGCCTGACATTCTGTTTCTTGGATGCCGAGCCCGCGCTTACGAGCGACATAGCTCAGGGAAGGTGGTGAAGCTACAAGTATATAAATGTTTGGGAGCATCGCCAGTATGGAATCATCGCATCGCATCATCGGCTTTTTTTCACTCCTTGTCTTCGTCTCTCGCTGTGCTGTGCACCCACTTTCGCTTTCGCTTCACCACTCACGCTTTCGCTCATTACCAAGCCCGACTTCCGCTTTCCTTCTTCTTACATACCAATTCGCCAACATGAAATACTCAACCGCATCCGTCATCGCCCTGGCCGGCATAGCCAATGCTCTGCCTTATCCGCAGTTCAGCTTCCCCTCATTTAGCATGCCTTCATTCTCTATGCCATCCGGTCTTCCCTCGTTTGGCTCTGGACTTGGTGGCAGTGGGTCGTCCTTCAGCTCTGGGGGTCTCCCGGGCTCAACTTCTTCTACCGGCGGTGCTGGCTCTTCTCTTGGAGGAGGCTTGGCCAATCTGGGTGGTGGCCTAGGAAGCGGAGGCCTTGGAGGAAACAGCTTCAGCATTCCAAGCTTTGGAGGCGGCCTCGATGGATCTTCTGACGGCCAAGCTACTGCAACCCCCACCACGATTACTACCGGAGCTTTGCCTACGAGCACTGGAACTACTGAAGACAGCAGTGGTAGCAACGCAAATAACGGCGCCAGCTGCGCGGGTAGCACCGGCGGCAGCTCCGAGAATGGTGTCACGGGTGGTACCTGCTGCACTGACATAACCGTTATCTTTGCTCGTGGCACCGGAGAGTTAGGTAATATGGGTACAGTCTCTGGTCCTCCTATGGTCAAGGCCATCAGGTCGAAGCTTGGCGCTGACAGGGTCACTGTCCAGGGTGTCGACTACGCTGCTTCCGCTGCTGTAAGTGTATCGGAGACATCCAATAAGACTAATGCTAACATGATATAGGGCAATGCCAACTCGGGCGGAGATGGAGGCAAGATCATGGCTCAATATGTTCAGCAGGCGCTTAAGCAGTGCCCTGGCACCAAGGTCATCGTCTCTGGTTACAGCCAGGGCGGTATGGTCGTCCACAACGCTTTCTCAAACGGTGTCTCTGCATCCGAGGTTGCTGGTGCCATCATGTTTGGTGACCCGTTGAAGCGTCAGGCTCTCTCTGACTTATCCACCGACAAGGTCAAACAATTCTGCGGTACCTCTGACTTCATCTGCGGTGGTGGCGGTGATGGTGGGGCCACTGGCAGCCATATCAGCTATGGCAGTGTCGCTGACTCCGCTGCTTCCTTCGCGATCCAGGCTGCTGGTCTTTCTTAGGCTCAACATCGATGCGAAAATTGAATGAAGAGGAAGGCAATAACGCATGGAGAAAAGACCTGCAGGATCAGGGATCCATAAGTTCATGACCATACCTTAACGGATCAATGCGACACGCTTGAAGCAGTTAGATCATGCATTAGCCCTTTTCTCCGTACCTCTTGACTAGCGACCGCATAATGCTCGCCGCGCCACTTTTGTAGCCACCACCAAACATGGCCCAGTGATTCAGGTGGTGATAGAGCTCATAAAGCTTTACTCTGTCCTCGTACTCCTCGACTGGCTCAGTCTTTGGGCAAAGCTCATGGTATTCTTCCAGGAAGCTTCTGCCAAACCCACCAAACATCTTCATAATTCCAAGTTCGAACTCACTGTGCGCATAGCATGCAGATGAGTCGAAGACTAAATCCTCTAGCTCGCCTTCCTTGCTGCCAATAACGCCGGTGCTCGCGTTGCCGCTCCAAAGATCGCCGTGGACGACAACAGGCGTAACACGCTTTCCGTTATTGAGGTGATCGTCGCCAATCAATTGCGGCACGACTTGTGATGCAGTCGCTTCAACGAGGTTGTGAAACTCATTGTCCGGCCCTTGAGCCTTCTCGCCTCCTCGCAAGATGGACCGTAGTCGGTTCTCGGCATAGAAGTCAGCCCAGCTTTCCTTGTACGAATTATCTTGAGGTGTGTCACCACAGCAAGTCGTATAAGGGAAGCCGAACATGGGTCTATCGTAGCCATCTGGTGTCGGCGCGGACGTTGTGTGTAACTTGGCCAGCTTTTGTGCCAGCGATGGTGCATTGCTCCGGGAAGATGAACGACTGGTGAGGTGCAGAAAGTCCGTTATCAGAAACGAAGTGTTTGGGTCTGACTCGAAATTGCCATAGCCGTAGGACCGTGGGCACAATGATGGGACGATGGTATTGATAGCATTGAGCGATGCGTGCTCGCCTTGATTGATTGGTCAGCTGGTCATTTCGCGACTTGAGCAGAGGAAGATCCCTGACCTTCAAACATAACTTTCGCAGCGTTTCCACTACCTGTCTTCATGAAGAACGTGTTCTCGGAGCCGTTATTGAGCTTGGAAACTATCCTTGAGGTAGAGGCAGAGCTGCAACCTCCTCCCCCAGCAGAGGACACAAACGTAGCATCCCCATCAAGCTGCAGGAGCTTCAGAACAGCAGGGTCGACCTTCATTATAGTTTTTCTAACGTGTTTTTAAATAATGCTGAGCATTACATGATTAGTATGTAAACCGTTGCGGATATTGATGTGCTATGTGTGACGTCATATCTCCATCAATTCGCCTAGGTACCAAAACGCGTACACGCGCCTCTCTATCTGCTCAAGCTTGACCTTGCGCCTTACAGCCTCATCAATGAACCTCTGAGCTATCCGCCGTCTTATGAAGGGATTCGATTACCTATCGATACGTCGTTCTACCACACAAGCCGCACGTTGCTCCCCTTGGCAAACGCACCTACATCTCGTTGCAATTGTGTCTTCACTTGCCCTAGTAGTGATATATCGCCTAAAACCACTCCTTGTAGTCCATTATCTCCGTAACTCCTGCATTGTAGTTATAGCTAAGGACTATTGCGGAACCTGGGCTAATTTTCCCTTTTTGAACGACTTAGCTGCACAAGAAGTCCTTACCTTTTGCCGCACGCCTGCCTCCATTGGCCTTGAGATATCTAGCCACACGATTCTTGCACGCTGTCCGGTGTATTTGAACTCGACCTTGACCTTGAGTTTGTTGAAGATGGCAGCGGAGAAGGCTTGTCCCCGTATTGGAACCTTCTCGAGCTGGGGCAGCCTTGACAGCGCACGTACCAGGACGTCGAGATTTGTGCTCTTTAAAGAGCTTTCTCACTAAAGGAAACTCTAGACGCCCGAAAATGCGTTCTAGAAAAGCTTTTTAAGCGCCAGATCAAAGTCGAGGTAAATGAGGCTGATACAGTCCGGAAGTGCCCTCAAGAACGGCCGAAGGTCTGAGACTTGGGTGTTAGAATTGAGGCGGGATCTGAAGTTCGAGAACGCAGCTCTGGAGTCTTGACTGAGCGCTGGAACGAAGCAATACAGATTACAGCTTTCGTACACGACGTGCGCCCAGAAGCAACGCCGGCTTTCCTGCTTAATTTACCTGTTCATGACGGCCAGCATTTGCAGTATGGACTTTGTGTGGAGGTGATAGAAGCTTCTTTCGGTGGTGAGTTTGCCAACGCGATCAACATTGATCTGCCACTTTGTTCCTTCTTGAAAACGCCAGACGATAAACGGCGTTGCATAATTCACTGGGGAGGTCCATGAATGACTTTCGGTCTGCTTCGAAGATTTAATCGCTCATCTGTCCGATTCGCCGATGGAGTAGTGTTACGATCATATTTTGAAGCGGTAGGAAGCCCCATGCATGCTCCCACCTCTGATCTGGCCGAGCTGCGAAGGGTGGTTCTCACATTGCTCGATCTTTCCAGCGATTGTATAGATCTAAGTCGTTCCGATGCACCCTTTGCACAAACCCAAACCAAAGACATTGGCTTGTGATTGCTTCGGTATCGAGGGTATATCCTCTGCTACACAGGACACTCTTCAGCTCTTCTTCTGACCAAGCAGAATATTCGATTCCCTTCTCTAGCTGCTCGCAACGCCCCTTCGTGGATGACCATTGTGGCTGGTGAAGAGCTGCTGCATTGAGGGCATACATTTGGTCGTTTTGATATCTTTGTGTCCACTCAGGATCGTTTCGTACGGGCGGCTGTGATCGCTCGGTCATCATCTTGGCTTTAGTCGAGGTATTTAACAAAAGGAATACAAAGTCACTGGAAGGTCCTCGGATCTATCCATTTAAGCCAGAAGGATACAGGGGAAAGCCTTGATGGGCAGGGTCCCAGCTTCCGTGGTTTGTGACGAACTAACGGGACCCTCGACTGACGATACTGCCGAAGACACTTCAGCCCACTTTCTAAAGGCCTCAAACATCGCTTGCCAGCCTCCGTTATTGCTATATTGAGCCCAAGTAATTTGTCGTTGAGCATAGATATACATTGCTTGCACTTCACGGTGTAAGCGCCGCGCTCTTTCTGCGTGAGTGAGCAGACACTGCGCGACCTCTTGCCTAGTGCGAAACTGCTTTACCCTAGTCTTACCCTGGTATTGCCTCAATTTTTCATCGCATAGAGATTTTGCTTCTGGTTGCCGCCGGGTGATGCTTACTCGAAAAGACTCTTGATTCATCGTCGAGGCCCAAGTGGCGAGGATCTTTTGTGCAGCGCGTGGGAAGTCTGCCCACAGATACCGCTTACGTCTAATAGTGGATGTTCCCTATGTCTGTTCTAGAAATGTATTCCATGTCGCAGATTCCTTGATGGTTATCTGGTGAGAAGCATTGAAGCATTCGATACCGGTATCGATCCAATAAGATCTGCCAGGAATGATTGCGTGCAGCGTATCGCTCTTTTGGGATAATTCCTACTTGCACGAACCATACAACGCAGCATACCGAAAGACGTAATTCAATCAAAAGCCGTCCCACCTTCGACTGGGTAGCGAGATCGTTGTCTCACTGCAAGCTCGCATACACTGATCGGTAGAGTCTATGTCCTCTCTCCGCAATCGAGCTGCATCTTGTTTGACACGATGTTTGACCACAACCCGTTTAAGTCAAGCAATCGCCCACGTGTTATTCGCAGACTCACACCTGATAGATGCTGAGGATGCTGGCGCAAGCCATAAGCGAGTACCGCCAGCTGGGTCTCGGGTACGGCATGACGGGAGATGTCTCCAAGGGCCAAGTACTGAACGCGTCGTTGGAAGTGCATGCTGTACGACACAATGACTAGATGCATGATTGCTGAAGATGATTGCTGAAGATGATTGCTGAAGATGATTGCTGAAGATGATTGCTGAAGATGATTGACTGGAGACTGAGCGCTATCAATAGCTCGAAGTGTACTAGTGCCCGAGTGGGGCTCCGAAGACCGTCTTGAAATCTCTTGAGAACCTGCGACATCCCAAACGTGCGTACATGCTACACAGTCTGATCAGTCATCTAGGCTGATTATCACCCTGCGTCAAGGCTTCGTTTCACAGCGTGTAATCGGAGAGAGGCTGCTGCATGAATGGCCGGCTCGAAAATCTTAAGTCGGAGCTTGATGGGTGTGAATTCAAAGGAACTCAAACAACCGTGGCGACTGAGCTGAGGGAACAATGAGGGCGACAGCGAGTCGGGGCTGGATTGCGACTGTGGCATACCAGTACCATTGCTCAAGGTGGCTGGCGTGACGCTACATCTATGGCTAGTGCTGACGATACCGAACAGCCAAAGTGAGGTGTTGTAGCACTCGTCCTGTTCTCGCACAGCCGCAGCGAAGAAACAAGGCTGGTACTAGGACAGCTGCTTCAGGCGGACATGTAGCAAGTCGAAGGACAACATTGACTGTAAGACTGCTGTCTCATAGCACGGGCGAGTGAGATAGCCGGGGTGAGACTGAAAACGGTGAGGATTCATTGAAGAAAAAAAAGGTCAAGAGCTATCGAAGCTTTTCGTCCCATTTTTGAGTTGTATTCTGTGCTGAGTATCCGGGTCGAGCACCGGATTTGTAAGAGCGTTGTGAAGTGACGAGTTTAAAGTGCCAGATCGTGCACACCATAAAGAACGACAAATACCTGTGTACAAGCCTGGCGCAGCAACAACTCAGGTTCACAGGCACCTTGAAAGCACAGCGACAATTACCATGGCGTGACTGCTGCCTCGCGCGCTGTATCGCCAGCCGTTAGCAGAGGCCGGAGATGGCGTTCGCCCTACGGCCTGCATGCCATGTTAGCGCGTCAATTTGGGGTTTGGTGCATTACAGTTGCAGTGAACGTGCACTGGTCGGCGGATACTCATGTGTATAAGGTCAAGAACTCCAGCTGTCAGCACTATGTTGTAGAGTTATGCTCCTGTGAATTGAAATCTTGGTCTTGTTAAAATCCCGTGGTACTGCCGAATCCTGAACGCGCCTTCCACTCTCCAAGATCTCGCCCGATACCATCACCAAGAAGCCCCAGAATTCACCATGGATTACAACTTCTATGATGCTTCGCAGCAGCCCTACCAATATATGGGCATGCCGGCCAATGCGTATGCGAACGCCGGCGTCGATCCGGGGGCAATGCGCAGTGTGGTGAGTACTTCGGTGCGGCCTGCAGTTCTCCGTCGCTGCCGCGGCCCCGCCCGCCCCCAAAGAGTGACCCCATCTGACGCAGTCTTCACAGGAGTCTCTCGACGCAGGGCTATACCAAGGCGGCTACGATGCCTTCACATTTCATGGTCTACCGACACCGCAGCACGGTGGCTCGCCAGAAAATGCCATTCAACTGCCTCATCCTTTGCCAACGGTTAATAGCGTAGACTCGGGATTGGGCGGAGAAATAGACGAGAGCGGCATGACGAGAGCACGAAGCAGCAGCGAAGAGAAGGAAACAAACTTGACGCCTGCACAGAGCAGGCGAAAGGCTCAAAACAGAGCAGCGTATGCGCCTGCTCACCTCGTGTTTGAGACGTTGCTGACCCCTGATGTAGTCAACGCGCCTTCCGTGAACGAAAGGAACGCCATGTGCGCGACCTCGAATCGAAGCTCAACGACCTCGAAAGCAACACACATTCGCTACAGTCAGACAACGAGCGCCTGAAGCTGGCTCTGCAGCGCGCCCGCACTGAAAACAAGATACTCCGCGCCACATCTGGCCAATCGCCTTCTTCATCACGCAGAGTCTCGGCTAGCTACCCTTCGCCAGGGGCACTCCTACCGGATGAGGAAATGGAGGAGGATGGATACAATGTGCAGGTACTCGGTAACGGCAGTGTTGTCAACGCCGCCGGCAAAGATCATCCTGCCTCGCGCCACATCTCCAAGGGTATAGAGGTACCAGCTGCTCAAGCTTGGGACGTCATCCAGTCGCATCCACTAGTCAAGCAAGGTCTGGTCGATGTCACAGATGTCGTTGAGCGTCTGCGAGGGGCGGCGAAATGCAACGGTCACGGCCCAGTCTTTGAAGAGAGCACGATCTGGCAAGCTGTCGAAGCATCGAGGCGCAGTGGCGGCGACGAGCTTATTTGAGCTTCGTCTAGTTGGTCAGTACCTGTTCCTTTTGACTTCTTGTTCAAGACTTTTCTCAAACGCTCGCTTCTGGAGGGGTGAAACTTTCTGCGGCGTTCAAGGGCCACATCTGGCGGCACCAGAGTGTAGGCACGGGCCAGGAGTTCTTCGAATGACCATTTACGGTCAAGGTGATTGCTATTCTTTCAGAGAGTGATTCTACAACACTGAATACCCGTGGTTCAAACCACCATCAACCTTCAAGGCTGCATCACCACTCAATGCACAATATGTCTCCGACATGCATCCGCAACATTGAGATCTGTGTCGCTACTGTACAAACCCATGCAGCAGAAGCAGTTCTGCGTGCACTGTTGTAGCTTCAACCTTGCTATGAACGGCTTGCCTCTAAAGCAGTCCAGCATCCGAAATTACTGACGGTCTTGTCTCCGAACGACGATTGCAGACTGCCTTCGGACTACAGCTAGCATCTTCCGCTATCTTCAATAATGCCACATGATGAATTGTTAGATTTTGAAGAACGCATGCTTTGCACTTGTTAGTCCAGACTAGGGCGTTCAAAGGCGTCCGGACTCCATACATTTAACGTCAATCGTGCAATCGTTCATGAGCCTGCCCTCGTTTCCAGCGTTGTGCTTCTCAAACCAGTTACGAGTAACACAAAGCCACAGCGACCCAGCTGTTAGATTCGCGAACAAGGCAGAGCAAACGTTGATGAAGCTGTCTGATTATCAGCATTTCAGGATGCAAGGTCGCAGACTGAGCATGGGCTCAATAGCTCACAATCAGAAACCGGCACAACAGCGTCTTATCTCAAAATAACAGACAGAGGGAGTCACCCCTTCGCGTCACGGAAGGCTTGCATCGTCGTGGAAGCCTCTTTGAGCGATGGAGTTAGCATTTGTCTATTCCCATCGGCGAGCTCAACAGTCCCGCCTTCATGAGGCTTCCACACACATGTCAGGATGCTATGCAGCCTGTCAGCCACAAATCAAACTACGGTAGGCTCTAAACCAATCGAGTCGGACTCGCATGCTGAGGCATCGGAACCCCATGTTGGCATTGCGAGATCGGTGTTGTGAGCTTTTGCTGGAGCAGCGCGCAACACCACACCAGCAAGATATGCAGTGCAACGCACCGTATAGCTTCACCAAGCGTTAAACTTCCTCGAAGCTCTTTCATGCGCCATTATGGATACCTTGACCAATAGGCGAGCAAATTTTAGCGAAGCTGCACATGTCAACAGACCGTAGCTTCTCAAAGTAATACTGACGATTGCCGATCCGTTCGCCAAGCCTCGCATGCATCATCGCCTACCCGCAGCTCGTCGGATCTCTTGTCCATCCACTGTGAACGCGATCGCTTCGCCTGCTGATCGATGCTCACCAAGACCATCGGACGCAGCTGCAGGAATCGGACAACTGCGGTCTTCGCATGCAAATGAGATCACGCATATCACGCTACGCAGCAAGATGGTGGCTGTCTGGCTGGACGACACATGTCCATCTACTTGTGTACTGTGAGGGCGACAGAGGTACGAAGCAATCGACGTCATGCCCCGCGTCTCCTTCAGGAAGGTGGGGGCGGGGCAGTCGATCGGCAGGGACGCGACTTGGAGGCGCAAAGCTTCGAAAAGTTTCAGGCGTCAACTTGAATGACACAACAACCATTCCACATACGCATTGTTTCGCACCTGCACTTCTCTCAGGCACCAAATCACTTTGCTGGAACGTGAAACACAGCCGCCACGATGCAGATGCCCGACATGCCCATCAATGTCGAGGTCGACCCCAACGAGGACACAGAATGGAACGACATCCTGCGCAGCAAAGGCATCATCCCCGAGAAGCCGCCGTCGCCCACACCGATGATCGAGGAAGCGCTCAACGAGGCGCGCCGACTTGCACACGAGAACAGGTTGGAGGGGAAGGAGCTAGACGAGCTGGCAGAGCTGGAAGACGACGAGGATGAGGACTTCCTGGAGAGCTATCGGTACGTCTTCCCTTGTACCTGACTTGAACTTGCCTTCAGATTGATTCTAATCTCTCTTCAGCCGAAAACGCATGAATGAGCTATCCAGCATCACTAACGCATCGATCTACAACCAAGTGTACCACCTGCAAAAGCCCGACTACAGCCGCGACGTGACTGAAGCGAGCAAGGAATCGCACATCTTCGTCCTCCTCACGTCCACGACGGGGACAAACACCGAATCCCGCGTCGCAGCGGAGTCGTGGACGTTGCTCGCGCAGCGCTTCGGCGACGTCAAGTTCTGCCAGATGCGCGCCGATCTGTGCATCGAGGGGTATCCCGATCGCAACACGCCGACTGTGCTGGTGTACCGCGACGAACAGATTGTGAAGCAGATTGTGACGCTGCGCGAGCTGGCAGGGCTGCAGACCAAGGCTGCGGACTGGGAGAAGCTGTTGGTTGATCTTGGCGCGGTGAAGATTGGCGATAGTAGGCTGAGCCGAAGACCGGGGCAGGAGGACGAAGGTGAGAAAACGACGGGGATACGGCAGGGCAGGACTATGGCGCAGGCGGATGGTGATGACAGTGACTGGGATTGAGAGAGCTGGGATGGAAGATCAGAATTGCAGCATGAGTGGAAAACACCGTCTGCGAGTAGAGTCTCAGAAGCAGAGTGCGCTGCATTCCGCGCGAGGGCATGTAAAATGACCAGGCCCGCTTCAGAGCGATGGAGGTTTCCGGCAGCACGGCGCGAAAGCTGGAAGCAGAGGATACGAGTTCCAGCTTCGCCTTGTCTCTTCATTGTGCACTCTTGGTCTCTTGTCTAGTTTCGTGTTCCCACTACGCACAACTGACTGAGCCAACAAATGCATCATGCGAGAGGCAGAAAGGCTAAGTGTAGCGAACCTTCTATGCATTCTTCGGTATGCACGGCTTACAATCTGATATACAACAGCTCCCATCCCTCGTCACATTAGCCCCCTCTACTCTCAATCCAACTTCTCCACGCCGTCTCGCTACACGGCCAACCTCTATCATCGCACCCCTGACTGATCATCTAGAAGAACTTGCCACTCTTACCAGTCTCAACGCTGTGCTCAAGCACACTGGTGTGATCATCGGCCTCAAATGCGCCGGGACGCGTCATTTGGCGGGGCACAGGACGGTCAAGTGCATCGAAGCGGTGACCCTTGAGTCTGGCCCAGACCCAGAGTGTTCCGATGCGGAGGGCGCAGGCACCGAAAGCCCAGAGGAGACCGCCAAAGGGCGCAGCGACGAACGCACCTACGCGTGTCAGCAAGATGTCAAACGCGACAGAGACAAATGATCTTACCGAATGCGCTCCAGTCGTTCGCGTACAGTCCGCCTTCGAGCAGCAGAAGACGGCTCGCAAGCCGCGTGTCGCCGTCGTAGTAGACGAGCCCGAAGAGAAAGATGGTGAGAATGCCACCAAGACCGCCGACGACAAAGTCGAAACCGCGGTACCAGTAGAACCTCTCGCTCAGACCGATAACCAGACACGGCACGACGGCCGCACTGACGAGGTCACTGATGAGGAAGATCTGTAGGATATCCGGGCTACGCAGCGCGACAACGACGACGGGGAAGATGATCGCAACCACGCACCCGCGGATGATCCAGATGTTCAGCTTGTTCCTGAAGAAGTCGTTTGAGCCAGTGGAGATCATGGCGGACTGAAAGGAGTCGAATGCCGCGGTCGAGAGCGAGACGGTCATCACAAGCACCACACCGACGACCCAGTTGGGTAGTTGCTGCAGCAGAAGAAACAGCGCCAGTGAGCCGCCTTCTACGTCAGTCATGTCCCATGCGCCGCTCCACGCGGCCAAGAGACCGGCGACACCGACGAGGGTCAGGATGATCAGGACGCCGACTGTAGCGAGGGAGACGCCGATCCAGAGGTCTTTGTCCGTGCGTGAGGCGAAAGTACGCATCCAGAAGCCGGACAGGAAGAAGTCATTCGTCAAGATGGCGACGGGGAGGATATACAGCAGTTGCCAGCCGAGCAGAGAGGAGTTGAGGTACCCGGACTGTTCGATAAGGGGGCGCTGGATGTCCGTCTCTACGCCGACTGCGATCACGCCGAGGATGATAAGGCCGACGACCATGGCGCCTTGGATGTTGTCGGTCACGAATGACACCTTGAAGCCACCGAGGGAGGTGTAGATGGTGGTTACTGCGCACTCAACGATGACAACGGGAAGACCGTTGAGACCGGTAAGCAGAGTCACGATCTGCTGGAGAGCGGATAGCTCGGCAACCATGTACAAGAACATAGTGATGAGTGTGCAGATACTCAGGAAAAGACCTGCGACCGCCCCATAACGCTGGCGTGTCCATTCAGTCAGAACGAACCCCTCGGGGCATTTACGGCGAATGATGGGTCCCAGAGCACCAAATATCAGAAGCGGAAGGGCTGACGACAGAGCGTACACCAAAAGACCTTGGACACCAGCGATCGTCGCGATCTGCGGGTAGGTGAAGAGGATTCCAGAGCCGAGTGCTGTGTGTAAGAACCTAGGTTAGCTGTCTGTAGCAATGAGGGGGAGGTCAGGGGGAGTAGCGGCAGCACGTTCCTCACGCAAGTATTATCTTGATCGAGTTCTGACGGTACTTCTCAGCTTCACGTTGACCTTGACAAGCATTCTTGGAATGCCTGTGTCGATCTCAGATCTGCGCCCGCAGTGTAGCCGCACAAAGACCGCTCCCTTCATGCTGTTCGATAGCAATCACGAGAGCAGCCTTTGTGAGAGATCTCAAATACGAACCTGGATACTTGACTGGAATATGCGCTCGTTGCGCAGTCGACGTTGAGTGCACCTCGATCAGGTGATGTCGAGATATCGAATCGATACTGCCGCTGCTCTTCACGCTGGACGTGCTGTTACACAGATGCACTCACCCGAGGCGATGAAGTTAAGAGCAAGCGGTACGCCTGTAGAATGTCAGCCTTCTTTCAAGGAGATCGATGGTAGTAGCAGCGTCGAGAGTCGTGACGCGTGATAGCTGAGTCTCTAACCCTTCTGTGTGCGATTGCTCGACAGCCACTCAGTCTTCGACTGGTGTCGCAATCGCCATGCGATGAAGCATCCTAAGACCCTGATCTCTGGTTAGCTTTGTGGTTCCACGGTCGCACGACTCGAGGGCTCCACAGTTGACATACAGGAATGCGCCGAGGGTCAGGTAGATGATGGCGTTTGACGCCGGCTGCGATGGCGTGCCCATATTGCAGAATATGCACAGATAGCTTCTTGTTTGTACGTAGGTGAGATTTGAAGCGTTCGTGATGCAAGTCATGCAGGGTTGCAGCTCGAGCCAGAGATCTGGGAAGCAGAAAGTTTTGCGGTCGCGGCCCCGCTAGGGCTGGACGGGGAAGGTTCCGATGATGTTAAATGATCGATAGGCCGGAACAATGTCTCAACTCCCACGTGGGGAAGGCTAGTGATGTGATGTTTTGATGTTGTATTTTCCATGATTGAGCAGCACTTGTGTGGCCTGATGTGTGGTTCTTTCGCAGGTGTTCTAAGTGTATTATCTAGCAAGACTTGGCACCGTGTGCGACATTCACAAAAGAGGAGTCGTACGTGAAAGCGTTTCCATTTTGTCAATATCCACATAACGCCCATATCGCTCCATAACGCATGTAAATGCCTGAACGTATTGAGAGACCCTCCTGTACCTCATCTCAGCTGCTGCCAGCACTTTATCGCAGCAGAGCTGTAGCTTCATCGCCTCTGCTTCCTTCCTCAGCTCCATCACCATGCATGTCGGTCCCAGTTTGGATCTGTCGCTGTCAGCCATCGCTCGTTGCAGTCTCTCCCGCCACTCACCCTGCACGAACGCCGCCAGCACTTTGCTCCCTGTCTGCAGCAGTGGGTGTCCAACCACAATCTGCAGGAAGCGCTGCAGCCCCTCTCTCCGGTGCTCGATGACGTCGTCTGAGAAGCGGTTCGTCAGGACCTTGCCTGGCAGCGGCGGTATGGTGACGCGCGCACTCTCGCGCTCGAGGATATCTCTGAAGGCTTCGAACTCGTTATAGCGCCGGCGCACCGAGGACGACTTGAGCTTGAAGGCGGGGATGTTGGTGCGCATGACGATCTCGTAGGTCGTGTACATGCCACGGCCGACGCCTGTCCACGATCAGTTTCGGTCCCTGCTCTTGTGCGTATAGCGTATCTGTGTACCGTGTGTCATGGGATTGCGGACCTGTGCACGCGACATGTGAGCGAGGCTGCGAGAGTCTATGGAGGGGCGCGTACCTCGATCTCGAGGAAGTTCTCGGGCGGCCCGTACAGCTCCTCGAACGACTGCTGGCGCGCATCTGGTATTGACTGCATCGTGGGTGTCTAGTGCGTGTGTAGTATGCAAGAGCGTTCGGCGCAATGCGAGCGTCGCTGACCGATGCCCCGCCTCCACCCACCCGTTATGTATTCGGACGTGCCCGTGCGCCTTCCCTGCTCGCTGCAGACTGGACCGGCATTCTTGCTCACAGACAATTTCCTGACCACGCAAAAAATTCAAGATGTGAGTCTAGTATCGTCTATCTCTGTGTATCCTACAAGATGAAGCAGATGAAAATAGGAAAGGAGGCATTGCTTATGGTCAGTCTACTGCAGTGTATACCTATTTTTGGCCGCACCACACGCACAGCACTGCAACGATAGGTGGCGAGGTCTTGTCAGCATTGCTCGACTGTATTTCCCCGACAGCAAGTACGAATCTTGGGAGGAGTCAGACATCGAGAAAGCGCGAATACTAACGATACCGCCAAGGGCTGGGTCCATCAACTCTGGCATTGTTGCTTTCCAAAGAGCACATATATTCAGGATGACTACGAGACTTAGCTATGCACATCTGGACTTGGCTGTTGATTCCAGGGCCTGTCAAGTTCATACAAAAGTTCTATACTTTTTTGCATCTGACCAATCATCTGATCTTGTTCCGCCGCTATAATGTCGAGCTCAGGGAGAGAGGTATAATTGGAACGCAAGTTATGCTCTGGCTAACGTTTGTTCACGAAGTAGAGGTGAAAAGCGATCCGGACCCATCGTTTGTGTTAGAGGCACATCAAGCCCGTCCGCCTTCTCTCGGACGCCAACCGGTTAGGCATAGGTCTTTCTTCCAGTGGGATAAGGAGCATTGGTCACTACTAACTACGAAGTGTATTTTGAAATTTTGAAGTTCATTATTGAAATTCATTAAACCACATACTAACTACTATCGTATTATGGGGATATCATATCATCGTTCGTTCCATTCCGTCCCTCCAGCTGCACTCATCCTCAAACGAGTCGCTTAACCGTAGGTACGGTCACCACCGGTGGTCTTGGAACCATCGAGGTCAGAGTCGACGCGGGGGTCAAGCTTGTTGAGGAGGTTGGAGCCGTGAGGTCCAGCAGTCTTATTGGCGTCCTGGTTGCCAACGTGGCCGGGGTGGTTGGTACCGGTCAGACCGGAGCCCTGCGTAGTACCGTAGGTGTTACCTTGGCCACCGAATCGGTCAGAGTCGACACGGGGATCAGCCTTGTTGGTGAGGCGGGAGTCGTGAGGACCAGAGGGGTCAGAGTAGCCGGAGCTACCGTGAGTACCAGTGAGGCCTGAGCCGGTGGTGCCGTGAGTACCGTGAGTACCAGTCAGACCAGAGCCAGTGGTGTTTTGGCCAGTCAGGCCAGAACCAGTGTGAGTGCCAGAGCTACCATACTGGCCAGCACCATAGCCACCAGCACCGGAGGTGTTGCCAGCGGTACCGTAGCGGTCCGAGTCGACACGGGGGTCGGCCTTGTTGGCGAGGTGGCTGTTGTGAGGACCAGTGGGGTCAGATCCGATGTGAGAGCCCGTGTGGCTGCTGGTGTGAGAAGAACCAGTCAATCCTGAGCCGGTGTGAGTGCCAGTGGAGCCGTACTGACCAGCACCAACTCCGCCAGCGCCAGAAGTGTTGCCAGCCGAGCCGTAGCGGTCAGAGTCGACACGGGGGTCAGCCTTGTTGGCAAGCTTGGAGTCGTGAGGACCGGTGGGGTCGCTGCCGCGAGTAGTGCTGTGACCAGTCAGGCCGGAGCCAGTGGTGCCGTGAGTGTTCGAGCCGTAGGTGTTCGAGCCGGTCAAACCACTGCCTGTGGTGGTTCCGTGTGAGCCAGTGAGGCCGCTGCCAATGTTTCCGTGGCTGCTGTGGGTCAAGCCGGCACCTGAGTGACGTTCAGCCCTTGAGTGATCTTCAAGGAGAGCATCGGGCAACTTCTTGCCGTCAGTTTGGTAGGTTTGCTGACCTGAGGTGTGAGTCTCGTTGCCAATTCCACCAACGCTTGAAGAGTTGCCGGCGGGGCCAACGCGGTCGGAGTCAACACGGGGGTCGAGCTTGTTGGCAAGCTTGGAGTCGTGAGGACCGGTGGGGTCGCTGCCGCGAGTAGTGCTGTGACCAGTCAGGCCGGAGCCAGTGGTGCCGTGAGTGTTCGAGCCATAGGTGTTCGAGCCGGTCAAACCGCTGCCTGTGGTGGTTCCGTGTGAGCCAGTGAGGCCGCTGCCTGTTGTGCTGTGTGTACCTGTAGTACCATATTGTCCAGCGCCAACACCACCGGCACCAGCAGTGTTACCTGCGGTGCCGAGACGGTCAGAGTCGACACGAGGGTCAGCCTTGTTGGCAGTGTGCGAGCTGTGAGGACCAGTGGGGTCGTCTGAACTGTTAGCATTTGCAGGGCGTTTAAAGAAGTCTGAGCACTTACTGTGTGTAGAGCCGGTCAGACCAGAGCCCGTGGTGTGAGTACCGGTGGTGCCAGTGTGGGTGCCGGTGGTACCAGTGTGTGTGGTGTCGTGGGTGGTGTCCTTGTCCTTGTGAAGGACGTTCTCGACCTTAGCCTTGATCTTCTCCATTGCGCCGGTCATGTTGTGTGTTGATGTATTTGGTAGTATGTATCTCGGTGGTGTATTGTTGAAATGTTGGTGAAGTGGTTGAGTGTGTAGAGCGTGTGTTGTTTGGTGGTATGATGGTCAGTAGACGAGGTCTCAATGGCTCTTTATACATCACCATTGGAAGGCAGGAGGCTGAGGGAGCACCTCCTACTGCTACGTCATGCTCTCCAGCTCCAGCATCAGCAGACGTGCCACGAACAGCGGGGACGCCTGGGTGAGAATTCTGAATCCCTGTTTCAGCATTCCTCTTTGGCCATAACGGGTAGGGCCGCATACAACACGATCTGAGATGCTGCAAGCTCCAGCTCCCGTCACGTCATTTGCCGTGCTTCCAGACCTTCAGCCCTCGAGCTTCTCCAGCAGTTGCACGGGCGTATCTCGGCCGTCCTCCTGATCCTCTCGATCAAACGTCTCCCACCATGCCCTGGCAAGTCTTGTTTCTTGGAAGCGCCACAAACACTGACCACAGTCCCCAGCGACAAGACCCCTTCGAGCACTAGTCTACACAGGCGGAGCTTAGCTTTCCTAAAGCGGTCCCCAGCGGAGGCCATCACGTGGGCGGCGCTGCGTCATTACCCTGGTTTCTGTGGAGAATTGCAAGCTTACATTCAGCTTCAATTTCCTGTTTGCTGTCGCCTGTCCTCGCGTTATGCCAAACTCGGGTTGTATCACGCAATGATCTCCAGCCGATCGGGTAGCCACACGCGCGTCTATTGAGGTAGTTGTGGCGCAGGACCGGTTTTCTAGAATCTGTGGCGTCACTGCCGAAGACCTTGAGCTTCAGATCGGACATCTGCCATCTGCAGAACTCCGATAGGGGGTAGGCATGCCACGGGACAGGTGGAGAAACGCGGTACAGCAGCGTGTCAGGAAGCGATGCCCCGCCTGCCTTCGAAACCTTGGTGCTTGAGACGATGGCCGTCATCATGACGTCTCCCGGGACCCGCACTGTATGTCTCGCCTGCGGATTCTTTCCTGGTCGCCAAGAATAGGCTGAATACACTGAGAACCACAGAAATAAAGTGATCCAATCAAAGAACCAAAATATTTTGCACAAGAAAGCAGGCTGCTTGACCGCCGTTGCGGGAACGTTGCGCCTGGAGCGTTGGTACTTGGAGGCAGCCGTTGCGAATCACGCAAGAGAAGGAAGTCACTCAGCGCCCCAAGCTTCAGCTGGCGAAGTCTCGACCACGACAGCCAGGTGCCCTGTGACTTGAAACCGTAGAGAACTTCTTAATCGGCAATTGCATCGAGAAATTGCCAATCCACTCATTTCTCCATATGTTGCATGGGAAGCTTCAGCCACAGCTTGGGGTTCGAAATCAGAAATGCCTGCAGCTTTCGTCACCAAGCCAACACACCGTGCGATTGTAGTGGCAATTCGTTCCCTGCTGATAAGCCCTTAAAATTTCTTCAGGATACCTTGCAATTGATGTGCACGCACATATGTAGAATCGGATTTTCAAAGATGTGGCGGTGTTCACATGCAAGAGCTGGCCCGAGCGCTGGGTACGATGTGTGATGTCATCAGTAAATAGCTAGCGAACGCCCTTGGAACTGCTTGCTCAACCGTCCTGGGTTCACTACACGACACTCGACAACCTAACTCCTAATCTTCACCTCACGATGTCAGAGCGTAAATCAACAGCGGCCAAGGTGCAAGACAAGGTCCGGCAAGTGGCGCAGGAGGACTTCAACCAGGCCAGCAACCTGGCAAACGATGCCGTGCGGTCCGGCGCCTATCTGTATCCGTTCAAGGTATGCCAGCATTCGGATCTTCATTCGGACAAGGTTGACGCGTACAGGGCATCGCGTACTTCTTCACCCACCGTGCGCTATGGCGTCCTCTTGCTGCGAAGCTGATCCCAACCGTCTCCCTCGGTTTGGGAGTGACGGTGTTCATGTTTGTGGTGACGTACGTGCCTCAAGCTGCCGTCCTCACCATCTTCAACGGGCCCCTCGCCTTCGTCACCACCGTCCTGCTCGTGCTTAGCGAGAGCTCGACCATCTTCAATGTGCTGAGCAAGAACTTCCTCATTGATGATGCACTCATCGACACCTTCGATGGCACCCTCATGTCCCGCGACATGACCACTCTGGTCGCGAAGGAGCGCGCCGTCAAGTCTGGCGGTGACCCTATCGCAAAGCTGGGCAAGCTTGCGACCAAGCCGTTCGCAAAGTTTGCCCCCAGCGCCATCGTCCGCTACTTCATGTACCTCCCGCTCAACTTCATCCCCATTGTGGGTACCGTTATGTTCGTGATTCTACAGGGACGCAAGTTCGGACCTACCGCGCACGCTCGTTACTACCAGCTCAAGCAGATGAACAAGAAGGAGAAGGACCAGTTTGTGGAGCGCCGCAAGGCTGCGTATGCCAGGTGTGTCCCTCATGAATCCCCTTTGCATTCTGTTACTTACTGTGGACTAGCTTCGGTATTCCCGCCGTCATGCTTGAGATGGTACCCATCGCCGGCATTCTGTTCTCGTTCACGAACACCGTCGGCGCAGCGCTCTGGGCCGCAGATATGGAGACCCGTGATGCCAGCGGCCAGAAGACGACTGCGCCTGGTCTGCGCAACCAGGCGGCAGAAGCAAGGAAACAAGAGTTGTAGAACGTCTATCCATACAGCCGCTTTATCGGGTTCGGTGAACAATATCGATACCCTTGGAAGCCTCCGTATGCACCGGGCTGGCTGCTGGGGTGGCCATACGTGGAGCCGATGTGCGTGGAGCAGGTTGAAGACCAATTCGCATACCTCGACCTCTGGCGAAGAGACCAATATGCTATTGAGCGTAGCTACGATGATGATAATAACGTGATACACTTATACTTATAATGCAAATTCGTGAATGTTGAAGATCAACTGCCAAGTCACACCGTTTGCCATGTGCCCTATGCTTCATCATGTATATACACAGTCTGTTCGAGAACGTTATACGATTTGCATACCGATATTGTTCCCATTGCCCGCTTTTGACCCATTCTGCTTGCTTGGGCGTTGAAGGATGCAGGGGTGTTGCTCAAAGGTCATTGAATTCGCGCATCAATGTAATGTTTGGGAATTTCAATCACCACCCAAACTCTTTCAAAAAACCACCACCACCAACCACACAAGATAATTTGCATCCACACCTTCGCAGCGGTAGATTATAGTCTTAAGATTAAGCTCTGGGTATAATTATATGCCACGATGTTGTCGATGCAGAATTCGCGAGAGCAGCGCATCTTTTCGGCCCTGAATACGACCTCGAATGGAGGCGTTGGGGGCACCGAAGACATCACAGACCCCTGAGTCTCTTCTTTATTCTCGAGACATACATTTGCTGTCTCCAAGATGGCTTCGCAACCGCAATACGACCTTAAGGTCGTTGTGTAGTACGGGCAATTCTAAGCATCGATCGCGTTTAAGATTCCGCACGACCCCAGCCTATGAATCGGCATACCCCACAAACACGAATCAGATCGCATACGATAGCGTTGATACGAACAAGCAGCACCACAGACGATATGCGGTCTGCGCAAGAGGACCTTCTGGAAACTAGTCGACGCCACGTTCGTAGTCGTCGCCGCAGGAGTGGGCGGAGGAGTCAGGGGCGCGCTCGCATCGCGGTCGTCAAGTGAATCGAACAGGAGCACCAGCGACAGCAGCAACAGCGGCAACACGGCACAGACAGCACAACCGAGCGCGCAACCGTCCTAGATGACACCGACACCGACATTCTCCACGCAAAATCTCCGATTCACACCATCAGCACCATCAGCACAAGCATCATCGTCGGGCCCACGAACAGCTCCATCCCACACTCTCGTCAAATGACACCCTCTACACCGTAAACCACGGCTCCACACGCACTGTATACCGCAAAATTTTCAACAACACATACGTCGACATCGCCGGTGTGATCGCCCCGGTTTCTGACGTGCTCGACAAATGCATCAACAAATGCGCAAGCTACAATCGTAACAACGCGACGGGGATCAGGACTGGAACAAACCAGGTCTGCAACTCCATGCGTTGGCGAAACACGTCCGATGTGCAGAATGACTGGGATGGCGGGCATTGCTTTGGGGTTACGACGGGAAAGGGACCGTGGGCGGGAGACGCCGTTCATCACGAATACAGGGGATTATATATGATAGTGCGGCGCCAATTCATCGAGGGTTCTGAGGGTGGTGTAGGAGTTGTGATGAGAACGAGGAAGGGGAATTATTAGTGTTGTAGTAACCTGGTGGGACGAAGTGGAGACTGCGAGGATAGTGGAATGCGGTCGAGTTTCTGGGTCGGCATCTGAGGATCATCTGATTCAGCCCACTTGAGCTCTTCAAAACCCAGCATCGTTAGTCCACACTTCGATTGTAGCAGGTGTCAATCCATTCATTAGAGATGAAGTTGCAGAGTGTCCAAAGTACCGATGATCTTCAGTTCATGCAATACTCGCTTTTACGCACTTGGCTCTATTCTACAACATTATTACTCATCATTCATTAACCAGCACCTCTAATACTTAGTGCTATTCGCACTCGGGCTGCCCCTCCCCAGACCAAAGCACTCGGCCATGTTGTAGAATATATCAATGCTGTTGTACACGCCGCCAAACAGCTCCTGGCACGGCCCCATAGCAAAAACAGGAACATCGGTGAGCGAGTGCACACCCTGATCGTTTTCAATCGGCAGCGTACCGTTAAGCGTGATGCCCACGGGCTCCTTGGGATTGGCGTAGAAATCGTCGTCGCCCTTGACCTGCTCCGAGGCCGGGACGCGCGGGCCAGACTTGCGGACAGACCAGTTCTCGCGGCGGTCCGGGTCGGCCATCAGGCCCTGGAAGAGCGTGTATCGCGGGTCCCATGTCGACGGGAAGTTGCTGTCCGTGTACGTTAGGTTGCCCGTGCTGGCGTACTGCGACAGGCCCGAGCGCTCATACACGCCGACGGCGTCGCGGCGCTTGCGGTCTGCGTTCTGCGCGGCGAGGTAGTGTGTGTCGACAGAGCCCATAACGTCGAAGCCGTGGCCGTGGTCGGCAGTTACGAGGACGAGGGTTTCCTTGAGGCTGTCGGTGGAGTTGAGCTTGGCGATTGTGGCTTTGACAGTGTCGTCAAGCTCGAGGAGTTCGCCGAGGGCGCGGTCATAATCGAGGACGTGCATCATTTTATCAATACTGGCTGCTTCTATCATTAGAGCATAGCCCTTATCGCCAGAGCGGGCCTCAAGGATATCGATAGCCTTGAGAGCCATTTCCTTGAGACCGGGTTGGTCGAGAGCGGCCGTCTTGTCACCAGTGGGAGAGAGCGACTGGTTCAGGTTTTGGCGATAGACGTTGCGGTCGAGCCACTTGGCCATGTTGGAGGTAGTGAAGATACCCAGAGCCTTCTGTTCATTGCTGGCAGAAAGCAGGGCAGTGCGGTTGTGAATGATCTGGTAATCTTTTTTGGCAAACTCCTCATAGTAGTCCTTGCCCTGGTAAGTGACGCCACCCAGCGAAGGAGGGTAGAACTGCTCGGCACCACCGCCGAAGAGAACGTCGATGGGGACGTTGGTCCAGGTGTAATTCTGGACACCGTTAAGGTAGGTATCGACAATAGCGCCGTATTCGCCACGGTTGCGGGTGTGGGAAACCAGCGCCGCCGGAGTAGCATCAGCAATGTAGGCAGTGGTAACGATTCCAATATGTCCACCAGTGAGACGGTGGAACATTTCAGCAATGGTTTCTACCTTGGGGTCGTCGAACGCATTCTTGCTCGAGTCGGCATAGACGTTCAGGCAGTTGACCGTGCTCTTGTGGCCAGTGTTAAGAGCAGCAGCAGAGTTGGCAGAGTCGGTGATAAAGCTGTCAATGGAGTGGGTCATCTGATGACCAAGCACGGGAAACTTGTCCATTGCCATGGTGGTCTGGTACTTTCCGTTGATGCTCTTGTGACCGATCAAGCGTGCGGCCGTGATCATGTTGGTGGTCATACCATCTCCAATAAACAGAATAATGTTCTTGGTCTTGCGCTCCTCAGCCAAGTCACGAACAAGCCAGGACGCCTCGGTTTTGCTGCCGTTATTGTAGTTGAGGGTGGCAGTGTACTCGCCGGGCTCGTAGAGAGCAACACGACGATAGGCTTTGGCGGCAACATTGACAAAGCTGGCATTCTTTGCGTCGCGGGCGAAGAGATCTGGAGGTTGTCAGTTGAAGACCAAACCAATTTTGGTGATTGATCGGAGTACCCACCCTCATACCATGTGAAGTTCCACTTCTCGAGCTTAGGCTCTTGGATCTTGAAATAATCGGTGACCGGTGCAGTCCTGCCGTTCTTCGTAATCGAGAAAGTGAACTTCTCATCCAGAGGCAGGCCAATGGCTTCAGATCCGTTTGTAGGCTGGTGAACTTCGAGACGGATGTCAAAGTACTGGCCAGCTAGGAAGTCGGCCCTATGGTCAATTGCTTAGCACGAGCTTATCAGAAGCTGTATCAACGGCATTGCTCACTGGTCTGGGGGGAAAACGCAACCTTTGATGTTGTTAGTATTTAGATCGGGGTTCAGGAAGTCGTGGTCGTACCAAGTGTTGGGCAAGCTCCGAGACGGCGGAAGCTCTGCGCGGACACACCAACCGCGAGCAGGGCAGCTGCAGCACCAATTCTTGTAGTAGACTTCATGGTAAACGGTACAAAGGGTGAGGTGATACACAGAACTCTGAAGAGGTGCGATAGCGTGACATAGACGCTGCGGGCCCAGGCTTTATAGCTCCTAAAACTTCGGTCCTGCATTCAGAGCTCTTTGCAGTTTTGGGATAGTCAGCACATGGGAGCTATCGACCTGCCAGGGTACAAAGCTCATCCCCGCGGGCTGCTGGCTTGTCCTGCAGGCGGGCCGGTCAATTGTTCCTAGCCGCCCTCGTGCGATGTTGCAGCTCTCTGACTGCTCGAGGCCAACTTCCCAGCTGCCAGGACCAGACCGATTCCCGTTGGCCTGAGATGACTAGGATCAAGCTACAAGCCACGAGCTGCCTGATCAAGGTTGACATGAACGTTTTCCATTTTGATTTGAAGAGGGTTCCGAGGCACTTGGCGAAACGTGACGCATGGTGAAGATGTGATTCGTCGATGTATGGGCCTCCGCTCTCTGGGCGTTCTTGGCACTGCAAGACAAGCAAACTTGTGCGAGATATGCTTCGGTGTGGGCGGTCATTGGACACGAGACGGATGCAGAAGAGAATAAGACTTTGGCGTGAGCTTCGATGCGGGTATTGTGCCGCGGAAAACCGATGATAGAAGTTGGAGATGATTGTTGAGGAGGAATTGCTGAGGTTGATAATGATGGGCACGGGTGGTCGCAAGTCGACCGTTACTTATTCCGACAGCTTCCCCGCGACAGCAACGCGAATGAGAGTCCGCAAAGATATGAGTACAGCGCACCCAACGCCTCTGTTTGCCCCTCACGTTCTGATAAAAGGTCAGCCAAAATACAGAAGTGACTGCAGCCTCTAGAGCCGTTATCTAGTTGAGATGATGCATATTGCATCCAACGTTTTGTGCGACACGAAAGTTTGGTGCAAATAGGCAAGCAAGTGCGCCCACTTTTTCCACTCACGTTGACGCTAAGCCGAGCTTGTTAACCTCCAAGGTCCATTTTGAAGCCCGTTTCGTCCTGGCAAATTCTGCATCGCGAAATCCGAACACTGACAGCTATCAACATGATCGCCGTACAACCGCGAACTGCTGCAGGAACCAGGTACCCCACAGATCGTGGATCTTGGCTACGATTCGGACCGCGTCGTGCGATGCAGACTCGCCATCAAGGTTTGTACTTGAATCGGTTAGCTCACCTCTGGTAGGGTCAACCAACGACGTCACCACTCAGCTTTAGCTGTCGCGTCGGCGACGTGCCAAAATGTTTACTTTCCACTTCCCGCTGTGCATCTATGCTTCTTGCCAGACGTCCCTTGTTTGTGCCAATCGTGCGTACATCACGTTTTCAAAAGATCTTATCTCACTTTGCGACTACCGAAGCCAAAATATCGAAGCACGCGACACGCTCGAGCTCCAAAGCGCAAAAGAAGCCAGCCGAAATGTCGAAGCGAACCGCATACGACCGTGATGAGCTTGGTCACACCACAACCAAGCGCGCAAAGGAGGTGGACGAGAACCTGCCTTACCATCAGCTGAAGGAAGCTCTAGGCGCGCAAGAAGAAAAAAACGATGTCTCAATGGTGGCCTGGTGGTGTCACCCGAAAGATATGCGTATCCAGGACAACACTGCTCTTCACCATGCTTCTGAGCTTACACAGAGCTCAAAGAAACCACTTGTTGGCTTGTACCTGCACTGTGCAGCAGACGAGTCGTGGCACGGTACAAGTCCAGCACGGATGGACTTTATGTGTGAGGGACTTGCTATTATTCAGAAGGAGCTGAAGGAACTCAACATTCCGTTTGTGTTCCTAGAGTGCGAAGATCGGAGGAAAATTGTGCCAACCGCCGTGGACTGGATGAAGGAGCACAAGGTGTCCCACGTGTTTAGCAATTACGAGTACGAGATCGATGAAATGCGACGCGACATCAAGCTTGTGAAGCAGGTTGGGAATGACGTCCATGTCTCCATATACCACGATCAGACGGTAGTCGAGCCAGGGACTATGTTGACAGGGAGTGGCAAGCCGATGAAGGTGTTTACACCTTACTTTGGCAAGTGGCTGGATATCGTCAAGGCAGAGCCGGAGCTTTTGGATCTACGCCCTGACCCCAAAAAACAGAGCGACAAGATTGCGAAAGAGCTCAAGGACCTCTTCGGTACAAAGCCTCCGCGACCGGGGAAAGACAAGCAGTTTAAGGACGAGGAGGATAGGAAACGCATCCGAAGGCTGTGGCCCGCTGGTCACAAATCTGGCGTAAAGCGTATGGTTGCGTTTTTAAATCAGATCAAGAACTACAAAGCCACACGATCAAATCCCGCCAAAGACTCGACATCCCGCCTGAGCGCATATTTCTCCGCCGGCATGTTTAGCGTACGCGAAGCCTTACAAAAGGTTAGCGACTACAACGGCGGTAGCAGCGACTTCACCGAAGGGCGCTCGAAGCCCGGAGTATACAGCTGGGTGCGCGAGATTGTATTCCGCGAACTGTACCGACAGACCACGATGACGACGCCGCACACCTCGATGAACCTGCCGCAGAACCTCAAGTTCGACTTTGTACAATGGGAAGACGACGAGGAGGGTTGGAAGAAGTGGTACAAGGGCACAACGGGTGAGCCGTTCATCGATGCGGGCATGCGCCAGCTGAACCACGAGGCATATATGCACAATCGTCTGCGCATGAATGTGTCTTCGTACTTGTACTGCAATTTGCTCCTCGACTATCGTCGCGGCGAGCGTTACTTCGCTGAGACGTTGATCGACTGGGACTTGAGCAACAACACGCAAGGCTGGGAGCCTAGCTATACTGTGTTCAACCCTGTCAGTCAGGCGGAGCGCAACGACCCTGATGGCGACTACATTCGCAAGTGGGTTCCTGAGCTGAAGGACGTGAAGGGCAAGGCGATTTTCGCACCCTATGAGAGGCTCAGTAAGGAGGAGTTTGAGAAATTAGGGTACCCGAAGCCGCATGTCAACTGGAAACAGACGAAGCAGAGGTGCATGGAAAGGTTCAAGAATGATATGTCTGGTGTTGAGCCTTGAGTCAAGGTTACAGACAAAGGACGACGGCATCTATCGCCTGTAGAATATGCGGATGATAACGCTTGGGGTGCTTTGGTTTTGGCCCCCAAAAGTGGGGAAAACTGGCCCATAGGTATTCAGACCAATCGGTCGTGCGTCCTGCGCGTTACCCAGGTCTTTCTTTGGAAGGCCTCCTTCTACGCATCTGAAGCCTGTTTGTAGCTTACAACGATAGCTCACATCATGTGGCTGCTACACACAGAAACCCTGAAACTTCATACCTTCTTATCGGATCCGCCTGATTACGTTATCCTTTCACACACGTGGGGAACCGATGAGGTTGCTTTCGAAGAGATGGGCCAGCCGCAGGTGACGGAGAGGCTGGGATACCGAAAAGTAGCCAAGTGTTGCGTGCAAGCCAGAAAAGACGGCTACGACTGGGCTTGGATCGATACTTGCTGCATCGACAAAGGAAGCAGTGCAGAATCGTCAGAGGCGATCAATTCAATATACGATTGGTACTGGAGTGCTGCAACATGCTATGTGTATCTTGCAGATTGCGAAGTTATCGACGATTTTGAAGAGTCAAGATGGTTCAAAAGAGGATCGACGCTACAAGAACTACTGGCGCCAAATGTCGTTGAGTTCTATAACCGGAGTTGGGGGTTTCTGGGATCTAAAGAGAGGCTTGCCCACCAGGTAGCGACAAGGACCAAAATCGCCGTCAGATATCTCCGAGACCGGAACATGATACACAGCGCGTGTCTAGCGACTAAGTTCCATTGAGCATCGCGACGACAAACATCAAGGAAAGAAGATAAGGCTTATTGCCTTCTTGGATTAGTACAGGTAAACATGCCCATGCTGTATGGTGAGGGCGAAAAAGCCTTCTACCGCTTACAATTGGAGTTGCTACGGAAGACAAATGATCAACCCATTTTCATGTGGCAGTTCTCTGGCACTGGGCTCCTGGCGCCTAGCTCCATCGCCGGAATACTTCGCAAATGCAGCAGGCTTCCGAATACTTGAACAACCCAGAGCTGTGGAAGCGTTGACGCATGATGTTACCAATTTTGGGCTTAGGATTACTCTGCCATGTGTACCCTTCTTCGCGTCTGGGGATCTTCTCGCTCGATTCCACTGCTACATTCACGACAACGAAGTTGTCTTAGTTTGGCTCGAGCGTTTAGAGGACGGTCAATTTTATTGACCGAAAGAGCTTTTCGAGTACCCTGGTTACGTCTCCATCCGATCGGTGCATCCAGTAGACGTCAGTGAAATGTCCTTGAAGTCGATATACCTTTCGATTGAAGAGCCTCGGCGCGAGGGTTTGGATGACCGTAAATACTCCATCAAGATCAACGGATTCCATCCTAACATCGGTTACACCGTTAATGGAATCTCTATCAGCAAAATGTTGGGAGTCAAACATCTAGAAAGAGCTACGATAGCAGTCGAACTGTCATTTTTGGGTTGAAGAAAGGTCGCCCTGTCCTCGGTTTCGAAGATGGTGTGCAAGGGATCCTCACCGAAAATTGGTACCGAAAGATTCGCAATGCATCGATTGAGTGGGCGCCAACTGATCATGTCCGCATTAAAAATGGTCAACACCTCATCGAAGTGAGGACTCGGAGGATACGACAGGGCAAAGATCACGTATGGGCCTTGACTCTGGAAGCTTTCCCGTGTGTTTGCCGATTCTCAAGTTCTACCGAACCTGGATCTGATTGCTTTTGCGGCGAATTACCCCTTGAGACATGTATATGCGACGCATGCAAGTCTTGGGCATGGGAGTCGAGAGGACCTACCCCCGAACCAGATTCAAAAGATCTCCACCTGATGGAGTGTACCTGTTTTATATGTGAAAGGGAGAGTAAGATTGTCCCAGACTCTACGCATCTCGTCGATTGAAAGATGCAGAAGAGGAGTCGCAGCGTGACCGCACGCTCCTTCAAGAGTGGACCACTGGTCCAGGCGCGGATATGGCATCAATCCTTCGTCAGAGGCTGCGTTCTTTTCTCCGAGGCCACGAGATTGATAGATGAAACCTCGTCTGGGATGTACTATAAATTTGCCCACTTTTGCTAAAGTTCTTTATGACTTGGGGCTAGATGAAACTAGCAAAATCAAATGAATTATGACATACTCGGGAAGGAAGCATCTGGTCTTGCAATATAATCCACACATCCAGAGCAACTAATGACACCTGCTGACAAATCAAGACTGCCTCTAGGGCGCTCCGCTATACAGCTGCGTTCCGTTCTTCTGAAATCCAGTCACCACAATCTGACCTCTTGCACTTGCCGCCCACTTCGCAAACTGCTGTGCAAGGGTAGCGTTTCTCGCCTTGTTACCAACAAGGAGATGTCCCGGTAGTAATAACGGATCGCTCTCATCATCTGTGCCAACCTTAAACTGACGCAGCGCGGCCGTAAGATTTGGTGATAACGCCTGCAGCGACAAGAAAGTACCTCGATCCGTCAGGGTGTACTCCTTCAACAAGCTCGCTGTGCTCAAAGCCTGGATTGGGAAGGCAGAAAACTGGTGATACCAGGTCGAGTACGGCAGAGCCCAGGGCACTTGACCAATACCAAGCCATAGCGTAGACTCCTTGAGGTTTGTCGCGGACTTGTCGTAGCGCGTCAAAAAACGTGTAGGCACTGGTGTCCTCGCAGTATTGAGCTCTCCCGCTTGGTAGATCTTTGCAAAAATCGTAGTCGTGCTCATGCTGCTGTTGACGCCGGCTGGGTTCTCGGGCGGACCGGCGATGATGAAGTGGTCGCGGAAGAGGTAGTAGTATCCAGTCTGCACGTTGATTATACCTTGCTCGGCGGCAAGCTGCTCAGCTGCTGGGATATAGGAGATGCCGAGGTCTGCTTCGCCGGACTGGAGGTTCTTGATAGTAAAGGTTGTATCGCTCAAGACCTGCAAATTTGTCTTCAGCGCTAGTATCCGAGCAGAAATATTTCACTACATACCCATCCGATGGTGAAAGCCTGTGAGCCATTGGCAATGCTCTCATTGATGAAGGCGTCGGCAAGGGCTGCATGAAGGAGTCAGTGTAAGATTGAAGCAAATGCCATGTGAGAACCACCTTTGACTAGACCACTCTGCCCAGCTCCTCCAGTGGCTATACGCAATGCCGTGTCATTGCTTGTGGCTGCCAAGTTGCTTCCAGTGTATATTTCAGTCGGCGCAACAAGCGCCTGCACAATGCAAACTGCATTCAATATCATATGCAAAGAACTAAGCAAGCCTGTCGAACCCATTTTCAGGTTGAGAAGATACACTGTGAGTAGAGCTCAGAAAAGTCATTGCGATAGCCCATCCTTTATGCTTTTGCGTCGGGGCCAGACTCTGAGCTGAGCCTGACACAACCAATCCGCTGTTCCAGTTATCTGATGGTGGCGTCGAGTGATGGCTGATTTAGCTCGACGGTGTAGTTTGGAGCTGAGGTAGCGCCACAAGTCCGCCGAAAACAGCTGTGTGCTATTTTTACAATCAGCTGATAGGTGCATCGCACGCCGAGGCTGCCTTACAGGGCTGAGTCTAAGACAACTACGAACGAGCCGCGCGTTGTAGATTTGCTGTAACATTCATTTGGTATGAGTGGTGCATTCTTTAACAAGCATGGAGGCATTTGGCGCGAGCTACCATACAATAGCACATTGCCGAAATCCGATGAAGATTTCAAGCCAGCATAGCTTTTTCCAATGGGCCGTGGAGGTATTCAGTTGAGGAGAGTCTTGTCTATACCAGAGCAAGTCATCATTCAAGCATGTGCTGCGTGTCGCTGTAGACTTTGACAATCGAAGCGACAGCTGTCTGATGGCGTCATCGTGCCCGACTTCGAGTGCAGCCGACATCCCGGGCAGGGTTGAGATTGATTCTGAACGAGGCTGAAGCATGCCCTTCGCGTAGTCCGTGCTGTGTTTAATAAGAATGTAAATGGATTTAGGTCTAGTACTGAACGCGACTTCATGCTTAGTTAATGAGAATCGCGTTAGTGCCATGATCCGTTGCGGCTTCTTCAGTGTATCGGGTTCTTCGGTTTGTCATTGGTTGACTGACAACCTGGCAGCTCCATGACCCGCAAAAACTTGCGGCGATAAGCAGATGGGAGCTTAGCTATTTGCCATACAGACACTGTGTCGAGTTCATTGCTGTGTATTTGAACGACTGAAGTTGTTTTCGTTGGCCTGAGCCATTGGCCATTACCGTCAGAGTGCAACAACAGCGCCAACAAATGGTTCATGCGTGTAAGTACAGAACCATAATTTTTGGAGGCTCACGTAGAGGTTCAGCCAATTACCTACGATCTGCTCGCTGAATTTTAGGGGGGAAAGTCCGGACCTTGACTGATGTGCGAGCTGATAGCATTTTGGGATACGCGCCATGAACTCGTTCCAAGGCATTCATTGGTCTACATTTGACCATATGTAAGAAAAACCAAGGTTAAGGCGCGAAAGCAAATTGGTCAGGAACCAAGAATAGTGAGAAGTGCAAGCACTCAGACACCTCTCAGACTGTATTGGCGAGGATGGAGATATATGCTGCGATACGTATTGACCAATTGGCAATGGGGGGCCCTTCAACATCGCCGAATATAAGATCGTCACGTGGGAGGAATTATGGACGGAATTGTGTGCTGACTTCGGTATGGCCGGAGCAGGTCCAACGACTGACACTGCGTCAATGGAGGAGTTCGTCAAGACCAATATCGGGACATAGAAGAAGCTGGTAGAGCAGTATGTGCTAAAGTAGAAGGTTGTGGAAGACCAGAACTGGCCGTCTGTGAATTTTGTGCTTGTTCGGTTCTAATCCAATAGACTGTCGCGCATATACTGCTCATGTTGCGGTATTAAGGGCAAAATGTAAATGAGTGTAGTTATTCTGTTGTTCTGTGTTCTTGTTCTGCTTGTATCTTTGCTCTCCAAGGCTCGCTACGGGGTCTGTTTTGATGACGTGTTTGTGATGCAGCTGAGGTAAGAGGTGTTCAACAACAAGAGGAAGCAGCACCAGACCACCGCCAACAACACGTGATCTGCTTCTCCTCTCAACTGTTACAGCTTGTGATCCTGGGTTCTGAACATTGCTTGGCGTCTGCGGCCGCTGCGGAGAGGGTACGTTAGTCAGAATGGTCTTTCTAGGCGCGACCGTGGAGCGTTGACAAACTCTGACATTGTCAGTGTGTACGTAAGAGGACCCGAATGCATACTGTAAAGCCGAATAAATAACTGAAAAAATGCCAGTTCCTAAAGAGAGCTCACGTGCCTCTCGCCAGCCATCGTCTCTATTCTTTGCCGCACACAAGCTGTTCTCTGAAAATTGGTCCTGGCTGTATCACTTCAGAAAGTCATCAATGTGCGGCTCAAATAATGTCTTATGGGATCTGCTAACTCGAGAACTGATAGCTTCGATGTCGTTCCTGTTCGGACACTGTCAGGTCGCGGCAACATGCGGCAAGACCAGAGCCTCAAAGCCGCGGACCATCTGCGCAGCAACTTTCCCTTGATCATCTCGCACGCTGGCATTGGCGCCTGCCGCGATTAGCCACTTATAGAAAACGCGACTGCCACTCATGGCAGCAATGTGTAGTGGTGTGCGACCGTCAGCGCCACTCTTGTCGAGACTAGCACCCTTCGAATTCAAGGCTTTTCCGATCTCGTGGTCGCCTTCCTTCGCTGCGATCATCATCGGGGTCCAGCTGTCGTGGTATTTGTCGTTCACTCGTGCGCCCCCTTCCAGTAAAGCATAGACGGTTGCCAAGCTACCCGATATGATGGCGCGATGTAGCGGAGAGTGTCCATAGCTGAGGTCGGGGTTTGGCAGCGCCTTCTTCTGCGGGCTCGCTTTGTTCTGCAGCAGCTTCCTCACTGACGAGGCATCCCCATTCTGCGCAGCCAGCAAGAGTGGAAGCAGGCCATGGCTGGGTACGTTGGGGTCCGCGCCCGCTTCCAGAAGGGCATCCACTATCTTTTGATCTGCTTCTTCACCAGCCATAGCTGCTTGTAAAGGGCTCCATCCCGCAACGTCAATGCCAGTAGCATCAGCATCAAATGCAAGTAGCAGGCTGACAAGCTCGAGATTGTTTCGGCGCACCGCAGTGACTAGAGCGGAGCCAAATCCTTCTTCTTCGCAGCAAGAATTAACGTTTGCACCTGCCTCGCATAGTAACAGAACCATCTCAATGTGTACATTGTCGACAGCCAAGATGAGGGCGCTGTTTCCTGAACTATTGAAGATCTCCCTCTCAGCACCTGCTTCAATGAGGATGGCAGCAGTTTTTCGACTGTCGGAAGCTGCAGCCACCTGCAGTGGGGTCCAGCCTCTTGAATCGACTGCGTTTCGATCTACGACAGCCAAGAGGGCTCTACACCATTCCTCGTCGTCTTGTTGTGCTGCACGATGCAACGGATACTCGGAAAGATCTCCTGCTAGGCTTGGCTTGATAGTATGCAACAGCTGGTAGTTGAGTTTCGATGTCCCCTTTCCATTTATCGAATCTCGCGATGTTGGGTTTTCGTGTAGTAGGAGCCAGTCGCTTCGCTCGGCCTTATAGTGCTTCTCAGTCTGCCCAATGGCGACAGTTAGACACACCCAAGCCTCCTGGGCGTCAGCCAAGGTAAACCTCTCCACCAGCAGACCGACAATTGAGAAGCGGCGATTGTCGTTAGCATCAAGCCTTTCATCGGTGAGGAGATATCCGTTGCCGTCTCTAACAGCTTCTTCAAATAGTGAGATGCTATCTGAAGCGCGTTTCACAGTTTGCTCGCTGATCACCGCAACTGATTGACACTGTGCCGCATGGTCGCTTTCCAAAGCCAGGTAGAGTCTGTCAGCCTCCCGTTCGAAAATGAACTTGACCTTGGTTGTCAACCATGCGCGTTGTAGACCGCGAATCTTCCAGGTTCCAGGCTCGATGATCTTACAATCCTTGAGACCGTTAAAGACCGCAGGTGCCCATCCCGGATAAGAAGCTCGAAGAGGACCATGGAATAGCACCAGACGCGATGCGTGTCGCCTCTGGGTCGAGTATATCTTGCGCATGGCTTGACGGGTGTTGTAATGCGACTTCCACTCAATGTTGAACGTGGGGAAGATTGCTCGGGCATAGTCCAGCTTGTCCCAAGCGTCACGGTATCCACACCCTATGGCAACATCGGGAAGCGAGATACCAAGCTCGTCGTTGCGCTGCAGACGACCAAATGTTTTGGCAATGCTTGGGTACTTACCACGAGCATCCCTCTCCCACTCTTGTCCAAATTCAATGATGGCCTTGTCCTTCAGATGCCGACAGATCGCGCTGAAACTGATAGGCCCCTTGCTCGTCAGAACAACAGCCATCTTAGCAAGCTTGATCTCTTGATATGTCCACATTCGGGTCAGCCAGTCTGATGACTAGTTAGCAAACATGATTTAGGCAATTTAAGCGTACGTACTTCCGAGAGAAAGCATAACTGCTGCCTGGATGGGGTCAGTCGAGTTCAACCTGAGACAAAGAGCATCGAAGACTAGCACCATCCGTGCTTCCCGATAGATGTTGGCCATTGCGTTGATGATTGTGCCTTTGACCTCTTCCTCCAGAAAATGGAGCGTCCGCTTTCCTCCTGGGATCGCGAGGCTGTCCGTCCACACCCACTTGATGCCCAGGGGCTCGACTCTGTCAAACACTTGATGTAGAAGATCCCGATGCAATCCACGATTGTCATCATCGGCTCCCAGCCCTTGAGACCAGACATGGGACAATGCGACGAAACCTCCTGCTGGATTCGTACAAAATGTCCCGCTTCGATTAACACACAAAGCACTCATCTTGTTCACAGACTCTTGGATCTCTTCAAAGGAAGGCTTGACGAAGTCCGGGGCGTGTGCGCTGTTGCTTTGAGTATGTCGGACTGTGAATGAGATCAGCTGATCGAGGGGCGCACCTCGTGGAACAGTGAGGTTGTCGAAAGCTTCATTGAGTTCTTTCTCCGTCCAGTAACATAGCTCGTTCATTGAGTTTGACTGCGCGATGGCCTCAGGTACGCCCTTATTTAGCAGATACTGCTTTACCGCCCGGTTGTTGGGCTGTCGGACCTCTCGCCGTTGATATCCTTGGAGCGTGTCTGCGATCGTTGTGAGGTTGTATGATGCCATCTCAATTCCGTACTTATTCGAAAAGCTGAACGGCACACGGTCAGTGTTATCTTATAAGCGGCAGAACAGATACAAACCTGGAAACAGACAATGATCAGCTGTGCAATCCGAATTGCGCCTACCCATTCCAGCCAGAAATCCTGAGCTTGGCTGAGAGGTGAGTTGCATGAGCTGACACCTCGTCAATACACGAGGGCGGGGCACACTCCCCAGACCCTGCAGAAGACCTCGCTGAGGTCACACATGTCACGTAGCGTCGACGAGCGGCCTCGACAGATGAAAGATGTGTTTCTTGAAAACGCCTAACTAGCAGGATGCGGTACAGATGCTCAGGTGTGACCGCGGTCTCCAAGTAGGGGCTGCGATTGTTGCCGGGGCTACCGACGCACTACCGGTAAACACAGCTGATCATCCCGGTCCTTCCACTTTTGCGACGTCTCTCATCCGTGAACCATAACAGCACGTCTTCGCTGCTCACACGCCAGCGATCTGCCCATATCCTGGTGCACAACATTTGAACACATACGTTTGCAATAGCGTACGCACTAATCGCAGGATGTCGTCGACATCGACGTCACCCCCTTGAGCCTAACGGCTGTCAGAGGCGATTCGAGCCATGTCTGTGGCGACAATAATAGAAAGCGTCAGCATGTCCAATACGTCTGTCTGGTACTAGCAATCAGGACAACTAGAGTCAGATCAATGATGTCTTGCTGCTCGAGAGACAGCCACCCGAAGAGGGATTTTGCCCAATGCCTTACTCGCACCATATGTTGACACAGTGTTCATGGCCGTTAAACCTCCTCTGAGATAGAACATGAACATGAACTTGCCGTAAGACGTAGCCTTGCGGACTGCTGCCACTATGGTAGTATCAGTAGAGATGAGGTATGCTGTAACAAAGCCTTTCCTCATAACCAACGTTTAATCTGTCAGTCTTATTTGAAGGCTGGTGAAATTTACTGACCGCGACTTGCTCAGGTGATCAGAACAGTAGTAGTCGACGATATTGGTGAGGATCAAGGTCGTGCTAGGGAGGACGGTCGTGTCAGTACCCTCTGGATCCGTGCTATCCGTTCAGTCAAAGCAGCTGCCTCGCGGACCTTCCGGCACTCGCGTCTCCAGTCTGCACTTAACGTGTAGCTTCAAGTCTTGACTCACAGCTACGTATGGCCATCTGACTGCACGTATAGTGCCGCCAGAATGTGTCCACATTATCCTCCTCATCCGAGATCCCTACTCATGTACCGGAATACTGGTGCCTGACGTAAGCGTTTTCGTTTCGACATGAAAGCAGCCAGTTTAGAATCTTGCAGGTGCGTTCGACTCTCTCTGTTCATCTGGAACATGGCAGGAGGAGCGATACGGGATCGGCGGTAGATGCCTACATCGACTTGATTGAAAACGCCGACTGGCATTTCACGAGGTGGCATAGAGATTTCCCATAAATGTTGGCGCAGTTCGATCGGTTTTCTGCCTTGTTAGGACGCGCCTGAAATTATGTTTGATTTGCGACCATGCATACAAGCGAGAGAACGGGTGAAAGGACGTCATGAATTTGCAACACCGTGAAGGACAGAAGAACGGATTGAGTAGGGTATCGTGTAAGAAAGCATTTGACTACGTGCAAAATATGTATGCAAGAATACTGTCTAGACGATCAGGGTCATAAGTCATCAGAAGGCCTCCAAAACTGGACGCTCATAGGTTGGCTCGATTGATCCTCGGTTAACATGACGAGCAGCACTTGAGTAGTCCCACGTAAAGTCGCAACTTGCAACGGTTCCTATCGAAGAGCGGGCGTGGACAACATTTGCGGGTCAATAATAAGGGAGGCGCGCTGCAGCCAATCAAGGCAGAACGCAGAGGCAAGTCAGGCGAGATAGCCCATGTGCACCTGCCGTACAGTATCGCCAGGCCTGCATCGAATTTCTGGTTGAGCTGCAGATGGCGCTTTCTTATCTCAGAACCACGGTTCCTCTGCCAAGGGATACTTCTCGACGGGCCGGCCTTGCTTCTGTGGTTGCTGGCATGCAGTGTCGGGGCAAAACGGGCAGCTGCTTGGCATAATTCTGCCGCTTTGTGCGTCGGTCGGGGTTGATCCGCCCGGCGGTCTAAGCGAAGTGCAACACCACGCCCTGAACCTTACACGACGCGAACCTCAAGCGCACAAGAGGGCCGTGGGAGGGCGGTCCAACTTCGGCACAAAATCAATGATGCCGCCATTTACGTGCTCTGCAATAGTCGCTCGCAACTTTAGCGACGTTGGGATACAGTTCGTCCGTTTCGAGTCTTGGTGAGACGCGTCTTTTACCCGTCCACCAACACACCATGCACCAGCCTTGCAATCGGTGCAGGAGACCTAGTCAGGGCACATCTCCGATGGCCGGGCCTATGTTGGAACTGCTGAGCCCCATAGATCTCCAGGCCCACGGGCCACGGGGGCTTCATGTTATCTGAGCCTGATGCGGCTACCTTGCGGCTCATCTTTTGGACCCTGATGGCTTGGAACCACAAGATTTTACGATAAGCTGTTCGCAGCAATTCATGAAAAAAAGATACTGACGGATATGGTTGACTTGCTCACGCGGGTGACCTGCCCTCAGTTGCGTGTTTACATTCACCGGCTATCTTGACTCGTATTGCACCTTCGCTCACCGCAACGCTTTGGACCCTGAGCCAAGGCGGACTGTGCGCCGACATCGAAATCTCGGTTCGAGGCCCACAATTTCTGCCATCGACACGACAAAAGAAAGGCGGTGTCTTCCACGCACGGTTATCTTTGTGGTGTTAAAACGTTCTCGGGTCGTTTGAGCTTAGGCTCTGCTGTATCAAGGGGCAGAATTTTTCGCCATCTGCCCGGGGCCATTTGGTACAAAGGTTGAGCGCCCCAACAACACGTTTGCCCGTTATCTTTTCACTCCTTTGTTTTCCGACAATGATCACAACAACTTCCCGGGTTCAGGCACCTTCGGTCAAGACCAGGCTCACCGCGGTGGCCGAGGTCAAGCCAACACCGGTTCCTGATGTGAAGACGCTGAAAGATGCCATTCCCGCACACTGCTTCGAGCGGTCCATGATCCGCTCTTTCTCCTACGTCGTTCGCGATCTCATCATCGTGAGCGCGCTCTTTTACTCTGCTGTCCAACTCTCTCGACTCGACGCCCCGCTGTACGTCACCGTGCCGTTATGGGCTCTCTACAGTTTCGTGCAAGGCTGCTTTTTCACCGGTCTTTGGATCCTCGCCCACGACTGTGGCCACGACTCCTTTTCGGCTAATCTTACCGTCAACGCTGTAACCGGCTGGTTCCTGCACAGCATTCTGATGGTTCCGTTCTTCAGCTGGAAATTCAGTCACGCACGTCACCACCGCTACCACAATCACATGGAGAAGGATACCGTCTTTGTACCGCACCGCCAGTCCGAGGCAAAGACCAACCCCACGATTCTGCAGAAAATCGTGGATCACACAGCTGCCGACACTCCAATCGTCACCGTTGCTGCCCTCATCTTCCACCAGGTGCTTGGTTGGCCAGCATACATTCTGATGAACGCCGGCGCGGGTCCGAAGAGTCTGACTAAGAGCGACCGAGCCACCTCGTCTGCTTACAAGCAGAGCCACCTGGACCCCACTGCTCACGTCTTCACCCCATCTGAGGCGCCTTTCGTTGCGCTGAGCAATGTTGGTCTCCTTCTCACCACGGGCGCGCTGTACATGGCTTCAAAGAGCGTAGGACTCTCTACCGTTCTGCTGGCATATGGATTGCCCTACCTGTGGATGAACCACTGGATTGGTAAGATATTAACCCCCTAATTACACAACGTCAAAACTAATTGATTGCAGTTGCTATTACCTACCTCCATCACACCCACCCAGAGGCCCCGCACTATGAAGCCGAGGATTGGACTTTTATCAAGGGCGCTGCTTCCACTGTCGATCGCGAGTTCGGCTTCATTGGCCGCCACATCTTCCATGGCATCATTGAGTACCACGTCGTTCACCACATGTTCCCGTAAGTCCCGTTCCAATGTCGAGGAAGCGAAGCTAATTTTGAACAGGCGTATCCCCTTCTATCACGCTGAGGAGGCTACCTGGGCGATTGCCCCTCTGCTTGGTGAACGCTACATTCAGCAGAAGTCGAACTTCTTCGGTGATCTGTGGCAGAGCTTCACGAGCTGCAAGTATGTCGAGCCAGGTACCGGTGCCCACGCTGGTGGATTGGTGTGGGCGAAGACCCAGTAAGAGACTTCGACAGAGTGAATCAACGAGAAATGTTCAATGTGGACATCTGGACGACTATATCACGACTACAATGCATTTGACACGTGATGCTGTTGACTTACTTCTCCCAGGCTAGCGCTGACGCCTCCTCCAAATAGCCCTGACTTTCGGTCATCCCTATGGCAGTGATCTGCAGCGTTATTATAGACCGATACTGACAGCGACGCAGCACTTGCTGACTGGGCTACGGCCATAGAAAGGCATTACCTCTGACCTCCAACTTCGTCTTCTACTGGAGTCGCTGGCTGTGTATTCTGCAGAGAGGGCCTTCATGACATAAGGTCGATTCCAGCCTCCAGGGCCCTCGACATATAGTGTCACAAACGGAGGAACAAGGCCACTACGCCTGGGAGCAGTGAACGCCAAGCACTGCACTCGTGCTTTAGTTATCACAGCAGTGGCTGCTTTACTGAGCGCTCGAGCACTCTGCGTATGTACCTAATGCTGGTCAGCGAGACAGGATACAGCAGCCCTCTATCCAGCCGCGGAGGTCATATTTAAAATCTGAACTGGCTGGCGTGCGGCCGACGCGCAGCTGGAGCCCCATCATCAAAGGCAGGATGCACGTGTATGAGTTCGTTCGAACCCGAACAAAGCATAAATTTACCACATCCTAGGGGCGAATCTGGTGATGATAGCCTTCTACGAGCCCGATTGGGGGGTGTAGGTCGTTCGCTTCCGCGCAGCACTCTTGTCAGCCAGGAGTCAGCGGGTAGCCTTGCATCTAACGAGAACGCCACAAGAATCAGTCCCAGGCAAATGGTTGTGCTGACCAAATCGCTGATATCACTATACCGGTGAGTCTAAAGAGTCTGGATGTACAAGGGACGCAATTGCATCGGTGTTACATCGCAAAGTGTTGGAACCGCCCACAGGTTAAATTATGTTTCGCCGTGTCCGACGACGTGCGCAGCTACTGTACTGCAAACCGACGACTGCCTACTTGAGAGCACTTGAGCCGATCTTATTGCCCTACGTTTTGAGTGCTTCTACTTCCCCAGCTGTCGGGTTGTGGCTGCTTCGTCTTGAGCGTGTTCGTGATTGCCCCCACTTATACTTGTAGCTTCCCTGGCTGTCACGGCCAAGCAGGACGTTGCATCCCGATGCTGCCCACAACGATCCTACCTATCAGACGGCCCGCACAACAAGGATCTTAAACGGCACGGCCCTACCCGTGCAGGCGCCGACCAGGCACGAAAGCTTGGATTCCACCTCCGCAGGTACACTACTGGACGCCAACTTCTTGCCGCACTTCACCGCTCGCTCCGTCGACTGCGCCCTCTTCATCATTCATCTTGCATACCGATACTTTCGATATCTTACATCTGGCTTGCCACCAATGCGATCCGATTTGAAGCGCCTCCCCAGACCAACCTCAACACTGCCGTACCCCGGACGTGTCCACGATACCGATCGCATGCGAGCATGGATTGCGATGAGGAGGTTCAGTGACCAATATGGCAGCCTCTTCGCCTTGACTCTTGGTGGTGAGACTCACACATGGATTGGAAGAGAAGGCGTCGCCCAGGACCTACTAATTGAGAATCGCTGCGATTTCATCCACCAGAGCAGATCCGGGAGCAAATCCTGATCTCGCACAAGGCTATAAGTACCTACCTATGCTTGGCTACACGGAGGTGTTCCATCGCTAGAAGAGATTTGCGTATAGTATGATGACGCGCAACGTCGCTAATAACTAAAACGGATACATTGACGAAGAAACGAGGCGTCTCATGCGCAAGCTGGCCGACAAACCCGAACATCGGTGGATGGCGTTCATATTTACTGCGCACGCATAAGCTCAGGACTGGGGTACGGATTTCTAGACAGTGCGCGAACACATGTAAGACATGCTGGGAATTTCATCCATCAAATTGGACCTTCTCGTCCGGCTCCCAATTCGGCGCCATTTGTCGCACGCGCACCTGAGTGACTCGTGCCAGGAACCAAGGGAGTGAGGACTCGCCAGGAGCCAGAAGCAGAGCTGTGGACCAAATCATTTGATAGAAACAAGGGACAGGATGCTCAAGAGGTGTGTGCAAGGACCTACGTCGGTGCCAGCCTGGAGGCCAAAGCAAGTGGCAAGAACAAGGGTCAATTGTTTGAGCATGAGGAGGATGCCAAATGTGCGGTGGGTATGCTCTGCACCATAGCTGTGTTTACCATTGCCGGGCCTGCGGCGCTATATCTCATGGCGATGATTCTACATTCTGAATAGCAGATCAGAGTTCGCGCACAGATTGATGAGGTCGTCGACGACGAGATAGTGGAGCTGAAGCATAGCTCGCAGCTACCCATGCTTCGCGCCGCGATCAAAGTGCGCGTGAGGTGGAAGTCCACAGTGCCGCGTGGTAAGTCAATCGCACCGCATTGCAACATCGTGCAGCCTTTTCACTAGAACTGCAGGTGCACCTCATTTGTAGCAGGATACTACAAAGTTCGATGGCTACCACTTCCCAAAGTGTGCTGTGGTTCATGCCCCGGACGTCGCTCTGTTCCAAGATCCCAGCGCTACGTCGACCCAGAAGTGTAAAATCTGGACTGGTGACTTGAGGTAAGCTGGAACTTCAGAGCTCATCTGACCGAGCACTCGCGGTTGAAAGAGCATCACATATTTGGCCGAGGGAAGCGAGTGTGCCCAGCACAAGATCTGGTCGAAGCTGAGCTGTTGGTCATGTCTGGTATCTTCTCAGGTTCTTCACACTCGAGTCAGCCGTGGATGACACGGGCGAAACATGGGTGGACCCAGAGAAGTGGACTTATTGGCGGACCTCTGCCCTCAATTGCGAGATCAATGTCAAGAGCGGGGAGGAGCTGTGCAAGACCGGGAACTCCGACTAGACTGCGTCTGCGAGCTAGTTGGCTCCTGTTGTTGGCTGACCTGCCTCCTCATCAGAGGCACGCAGCGTACTGGAACACGTTGACGGTCATGTGTTCTGTGGAAGAAGAATGTCGAATAAGGCTGAAGATGGAACTCGCACGGCTGGTGCTGGTTCGAGTATTGGGCCCAAAGACCTGCGCAAGTTGTATGCATTCCAAGGCCAGCAGCACCCACTCACGAGAAAATGATGAATGAAGGACATGCACCAAATGTTTGCTAGGGAGATGTCAAGCGCATGTGGTGCTTTCCGTTTCTTCGATGGGCGTTGACTGCATGAGGCCCCTGCCGCCGAGCTGTAGCTCAAGGGAGTGGGATGCCCTAGGCTTGGAGGAATCAGCGATCGCTTCATCGTTCAGATCAAAAGGCAGCAAGACCACTAAGGGTTGCTCCAACGCGCAGCCGAACAGATGATCAACCATGTCCGTGTGTCAGCATTTTCTGCGGTCCGATAGGACATGCCATGGTATCCTTGTGCCAATTGCCGCGCTCAACGCCTAGCTGCGAGACTTGTGTGACTCAATGCATGGGAGGTATAGTCGCAGGGTTGGTGTCTTTCGACATGTCTGGCTGTGTTCGATGACCATCACAGAAACCGTCGATGCGGCGTACTGCGAGCGTTGCGGCTGACTTGAAGGCGTGAGGTTGAAAGAAGTGTCGTGGCAACTTGCTATGAGCATAGTGTTTTGGTTTGAGTGATTTCCAGTGACGAAATTGATGTGTAGGTGAGTGTGTGGTTCGGGGTCGAATTCGAGCTCTGCAGTCCGAAAGCTATGCGTGAGCATCCCGACACATAGAACGCGTTCAGGTAGTGTTCTGAGGCAATTGCATCGGGAAATGCAAAGGGTAACGGCCGTGGCGAAGAGGAAGGGTTCATTTCGAAAATTAGGAAGAAAAGAAGAGGGTGGTGCGAGAGTGAAATTTCAAGACATGTCATACCGACATACCTGCATTGATCCGCGGCCTTGGATCCCGTAGCAAATGTGTTACAGGTAAGAAGCGGCAAAGTATAGACCATAGCTGCATCCCAAATTAGGCTGCTTATATGAGGTTGGTTCACTACGATAAAATGTCACTTACCTACTTAGTTGCCTACTTGTGTTGGCTTGCGATGAATGCGTGTGAAGAGCGATCTGCGTTCGCGCAACGAGCGAAAAATAATACGTGCCCTTGCGTAGTAGAGATGAGATTAGCATTCTGACCCTTCATCGACCGAGACCCACAACAGTCGGTGAAAAATGCGAGTAGGGTGAGCACTAATCTCGAAAAGCGACGTCGGGGGCACCTTGCAGATCGCAAGGGTACCGGTAATTAAGGTATCCGTTTCAAGCAGCAGAGTAACGGCGGAGGGTTCTCGGTATCGGCATCCACCAACTTTGGAGGTACCGTAGATGTTACTTACCGGGGATTGTGAAGGAGCGGCAGGTCTACCTCTTTCAGCTGGGCGGTCACTATACACTGTACTTCGGGTAGTGCCAACGATCCGAATCTATCCGCGCCCGTCGTGACGGCTCTGCGAAGACCCCCAAGGTTGTGTACGCCTCCACAGGAGTGCATAAAGAGGTCCTGTAGCCAGGAGCGATTCATGGTAAATACTTCAGCAGTATTTCTCTGCAGAGCATGGGCTGATAGTTCAACCAAGAGGTATCTAGTCGGGATAGAGCGTTGGCGCCACGGAGGTATGTGTTTGGCCAAAGTACTAGCCGACTAGATCTGGAACATTGACTCGGCGGACGAATTGCTACGTGCAATAAAATCCGTGCCTCCACGGCTTACGCTTGTCTTGCAATCCCACTGTAGAATACATATCACTGTCATGCTTGGAGGGCCGCATGATGTGGTTAATTGTTCGAGAAGCATCGAGATTCTTCTCTTTACAGCCTCTTCCAAGCACGAGGCCCTCTATCACTGACACCGGAAATGCCTTCTGCGTCCGTCTCTTCCTCCGTATCGGTTGACACCAGCAACTGTCGCATTGTTGTCCTAGCCGCTTGTCGTTGCCTGCCACTAGTACTTAATAGGAGGAGCTTCCGCACACGGAGTGCGGCTCAGCAAATTCAACTGTTGCGATGCGGCTGAAGGTGAGGCTCTCACTTAGCTAATTCTGGCCTAAGATTCGTAACTTTCGTCATAATGAACTCCACGTGAGTAATTCCACTAATGAAAGCGAGGAGCTAAGAATTGTGGCACCACTAAGCTCGGTCGCCACAAAGCTTACTGCGGAGCCCCATGGGCGAAACAGGATCAACTCCATTTTGTTCCCGGTCCCGAGCCGTGTGTATCGACCATCACTACCTCGTTCTTACATGTTTTTTCTGGTAGAGCATCGCTTGTCAGCAATCTGCCCACCGGAAAGGCCGGTAGTTAGGACTCGGACCCTCTTGCACGAAACCTCGGCATTTTTTCGCGATGGTACTCAGCGCATGCGTTACCCACGGGGGTAGGTGGGGATACCCCGTGCGGGCAATTCGCTATCACCCCGATGTTCTAATGTGGATACTCTCGTAGCGCTCATGAAAAGTGGACTTGGTACGGGGATCAAGTGTATGTGTATTTAACTGTTGGTGTCGCCAGCTCGGCTTCTGTTCTCATCAGCATCAAAGATCCAGCAAAGATGTCGGCCAGCATCAACGAGAAAAAGTTCGATCCTGAGCTCAATGCGCAGGGCGTCGCCCATCATGAGACTCTCAGCGACAAAGAACTTCTGCAAGCGTCCTACGAGGCCGAGACTCGCGAGAATGAGATGGGCGTCTGGGAGGCTGTGAAGGACCATCCTATGGCTTGCTTCTGGGCATTCGTCTTCTGCTTTACCATTGTGAGTCTGGCCGTCTTCTGAACAGAACCGCCGCTGACAGAACCAGGTCATGGAGTCTTTCGATATGTTCCTCAACGGTAACTTCGTCGCCCTGACCGCTTTCAAGCAGAGATACGGATCTCTGCTTGCCGACGGAACAACCAGAGCCATCTCGACCAAGTGGCAGAGCTCTCTCTTCCAGGCCGGTCAATGCGGCGCTTTCGTTGGTGTCTTCCTCGCTGGCCCCATCACCAACCGCGTCGGGTACAAAAACTGCACACTCCTTGCTTTGGTCATCATGATCTTGACCATCTTCATCTCTTTCTTCGCCAACTCACTTGAAGTGCTGGTCATTGGTCAGGCTTTCGAGGGTGTACCCTGGGGCATGTTCATCGCGAACTCTCCGGCCTACGCTTCCGAGGTCGTACCTGTTGCGCTTCGTGGTGTTTGTACCGCGACCCTCCAGATGTCGTGGTCCATCGGAAGTATCATTGTTGCTGCCGCGTGTTTGGGATTCAATGGCCGCATGGATGAGTGGGCGTGGCGCGGACCGCTTGCGTTGCAATGGATCTTCCCTCTCCCCCTGCTGGTTCTCATCTTCTTTGCCCCCGAGTCGCCTTGGTGGCTCGTTCGAAACGGCAAGAAGGAGCAGGCTCTGAGGTCGATCAAGCGTCTCGGTAGCAGGAACGGCACCCAAGCATCCGCCGATGAGACACTTGCCATGATTGAGCGCACGGTTGAGATCGAAGCCCATCTCGGCGGAGACCCCTCGCTCCTCGACCTCATCAAGGGCGTCGACCTTAGGCGAACCCTCATCACCTGTCTGATCTACGCGTCCCAGAACTTCGCTGGTAATCTGATTGCCAACCAAGCCACCTTCTTCTTCGAGCAGGCTGGCATGTCAACCGATTTCTCTTTCAAACTAAACCTCATTAACTCATGCCTTCAGCTGGTTGCCAACGCTCTATCGTGGCCTCTCAGCGCTTGGTTCGGCCGACGAACAATCTTCCTCGGAGGTGCTCTCGTCAACATGATTCTCCTCATCATCCTCGGTATCTGCGCTACTATCACGCAGAGTGTCTCGACCAACTACGCGCAGGCCTGCCTTGGCGTGATCATCTCCTTCGTCTTCGCTGGCTCCCTGGGACCCATCTCGTACTCCATCATTGCCGAGACATCCTCCATCCGCCTGCGGCCCCTCTCCACCGGCGTCGGTCGTGCTGCTTACTACGTCGCCGAGATCCCCATGATCTACCTCGCTTCGCAGATGCTGAACCCCACCGGGTGGAACATGGCGGGAAAGTGCGGATACGTGTGGGGAGGTACTGCTTTTGTCTGCCTGGTGTCCGCGTACTTCGGTCTTCCTGAGATGAAGGGCCGCTCTTACCGCGAGCTCGATATTCTCTTCAAGCGCAAGGTTCCTGCCCGGAAGTTCAAGTCGACTATCATTTCTGTCGACGAGAACGAGTAAGCTTCGTCGTGCTAGAGGCAAAGGTCTTGGGAAATTTCCCGCTTTATCCGCCAGTATCACGGCTTCGAGCATATAGCATCAGTCTTACGAATGAACAACTTGCTGAAACACTTTCGTCCTAGAATCCAACTTTGACTTATCTTCGTATAACTCACTCTTTGACCCGTGTGCAGCCTTCGGACGGTGGGACACGTGGGCTGCAGCCTATGCGTCGGAGGTCTCGGAGGCAATCAATGATCTTCAATAATTGTCTCACAGCGCGTGAGGCCCCAGCAGGTTGCGACGGTTCCAGGTTATTTCTGCTGACTGTTTCTGCTGCCCGAGAGGCGACTTCTCCCTACAGTCCGTATACATCAGCGCTGCCCGACCTCTAAAACCGACTTCAGTGCTGCTGAGTGGAGACAGTGGCTGGCTGGACGATATATGGAGCTCAAGGAATATGGACGAGCTTATGGCAAAAAAGGAGACCAATATTGCTGGGGATGAGCTGGAGATGCGGACACTATTCAATGCTGGAAGCCTGTAGAGTCAGAAGGAGAAAATGACTTCAAGGGATGCGGCAGCAAGAGCTATGACGAATCTCTCTGGCTACGACCGCCGAGTCCGCGGGAAGGAAAGCTGGAGGACAGACGGGCGCGCTATTAGCGTTCCCCGACAATGCCGGGCATGATCGCCCTCGTTATTCAGTATAGGCCTGGGAGTGGTCAACAAACGTAGATCAGCCGTTGATGATTGCAGTGATTGCAAGTCGGTCATGAATCGCAAGTCAGTCATGAGCCCCCCCTCGGTCGTCCTTGGCACATTCATCCGATGCGTCGACAATAATGTACGAGGTCGTCGAAGCGGCCAGAATGTCTCGAAGAGTGTTCGCAACTTGTCTTAGCGAAGTCTTCGTACCACCGGCCGAATGTCGCTCGTATACTTGTGACTAATCAACGACAATGGCCGCAATCGTGGTTTTGCCGGCGCCAGGTAAACCTGTGCAGTGAAGATATCTTCCCGATTCTCCGAGCCATGTCTTCACTTCAGCGGCATCCAAGAACCAATCTCCGGTTCCTTCCTATCGTCGGGAGATGATTTCTGACTGCTGTGCAGGGAGACTGGTAGTTGAAAGTCAGTCCAGGACCTTCTGTCGAATGTCAATGTTCTGATTCTGTTGCAGTGCCCCGACGCGACTCTGGATGATGGGCAGCTGGCCTCGAATGAAGCTAGTTCACAAGCTTCGCCATCCGATTGTCATGCCAAGCTTGCACGCGCAGGTCCCTGAGGCTGCCGAACTCGCGCAGTCATTCTACGATACTGTAGAGTCGCTCTGTCAATGCACATATGCGAGGAGGGCGACAACGATAATGGCGATGGTGTCGTTGACGGTTGGTGTCTTTGATATCTCGGCGCCGCTGGGCGTTCGAAGCACCTTCCGCTTTGCGCAAGAGGAACAACAACGGGGCACTTGCCCAATTCAACGTGTTCCCGGTATCGTCAACCACGATAGCAAGTTGTGAGAGAGCTGGGTTACACGTGCTGACATTCAATTTTATTGCAGCGGCTGCGGGAATTATCATTATTGCAGTTCGTTCGAGGTCGCTGTCCGGTGGTTCCAACTTCCAAGTTCGAGGTCCCTGTGCAAATCCAAGCGCACTCCACAGCAACGCAAGGGGCGCCGGCCAAGCCGTGAGGCTCTTCTGCACACGTTTTTGACAACTCAGCTCTCCTCGCCGGCTGGACCGCAAGCAGCTGGCGGACTCTAGCCTCGTTTTTCGAAGGTGTACAGGTTCGTGGTCCAGATGCGGCGTCATGTGCAAGGGCGCAGTCGCTGCTAGCTTCGGCGCCTCGGGCACCCAGTGACCTCAGCACCCGCCAACCATGGATCCGGTTCCTTCCACCGACGTATGGCCCGGCTTGCGAGATCCAATACTCACTACTTGCCCTGCCACCTTCTTGCTTTCTTCAGTCCGGCCGCTGATCAGACGGCGAATTGACTGCCGGTGTTGCACTTGAACGGTGTGGTGGCTCCAATGTGTTCGCCGTGAACGATCATCCCGTCTCCTGGTCTCCCACTGTCGTCACTCCTTTGTCCCTGGCCGCTTGCCGCTTGCCGCCCAACAACGAACAGCTTCGCGGCGTCGCCAACCGCCCCCGAAACTCGAAGGTCGAAACAGCAGGGCGCACTGGAATGCCTTCTGACTAGACGACATTAATAACGACACAATGGCCGAGTACGCGTATGTGGGCCTCGTCCGCGTCCAGACGCTTACTGATGTACAGCAGATTCGTACACACGGGTGCGCCATGGGTCCAGCACGGCTCCGGCAGCATGACACCCTCGCGCCTGCGGTCGCTGAGCCCCATGCCCGCGAAAAAGGAGGTCACCAGGTCCATCTCGACGCCACATCTCGCCAAAGCCGCCAGTGAGAGCGACGGCATGAACACGATCCCCGACCCTCGCACCCCCACGCCGCAACCCCCAGTCTCGCGCCACAACTCGACGGACTCGCACCCAGACCTCAGCCAGGAAGTCTCGACGCTCAGCACCAAGCTCATCAACGCGATCAACCACTCGACGATGCTCGACGACTCGCTGCAGCAGACGCGCCATGAGCTGGAAGCGGCGAAGAAGCGCCTCGAGCAGCTGGAGGTGCAGGTGAGGAACCACGAGCAGAAAGTCGCAAAAGGGCTGCTGGTCGAAAAGGTCGTCTACGAGAAGATGGAGCGCCAGATGTCGACAGAGCTGCAGGAAGAACGCAAGCGCCGCGCAGAGGCCGAGAGGCTGAAGCGCAACACAGACAGCGAGGTGGAGCAGCTGACAGCAGCGCTGTTCGAGGAAGCCAATGTGGTGGGTCCAGCAGTATTCGACGTACAAGAGACATGCTAATCCCGAGTAGATGGTCGCGGCAGCTCGCAAGGAGACTGAAGCTTCTGACAAGCGCGGCGAGCAGCTGAAGCAGCAGCTCAGCGACGCCGAAGTGCTGCAGCACTCACTGCAGGAGCAACTGCACGACCTGAAGGGCGTCATGGAGAAGATGAGCTCACACAGCGGCGACGACGAAAGCAACATCCTCGGGACTACAACGGCACCTTCGACGCCTGGCATCACTCCTGCCGACAAGATGACGAAGCTGCTTGAAGCCACCAACCTGACGCCTAACACGCCAGGCTCTGAGGAGTTTACCCCTGATCACCCGCTGCACTTTTCACACCTCATCCACCCCGTCCTGCGGTCTGACTTGACGGCTTTTGACGAGTTCCAAGCCATGCTCCGGACGGTCCCTCGCTCTGCGTCGTCGAGCCGTGTGTCGAGCGGCAACTACAGCAGTCTGAATGTGCTGGGCCTGGGTTCACTGACAAACAGCTCGACAACGTCGCTACCGTCCTCGATCAAACCTCCCATGCACGGCAACAACTCGCCCCGAGATGCGGTAGCCGGCCAAACCTTGACGAACCTAAAGGACGAGAAGTTCTACAAGCGCGCGCTGGCCGAGGACATTGAGCCTACACTGCGACTGGACATGGCGCCAGGTCTTTCGTGGATGGCGCGCCGCACAGTGGTCAGCAGCATTACAGCGGGCTCACTCGTAGTGGAGCCGAACCCAGCGACCAACTCGAGGTTTCGCGCGCCGGTGCTGCCCTGCTCGCTGTGTGGGGAGACGCGCACGGACGAGAAATACGCCAGGAAGTACCGGTTCAAGACGGCAGACAACGAAGACTCGCAGAGATACCCTCTGTGCGACTGGTGCCTCGGACGGGTGCGCGCAACGTGCGACTTTATTGGGTTCCTGCGGATGATTGCGGCAGGGCACTGGCGGGCGGAGACGGACGCGGAGAAGAAGAATGCGTGGGAGGAAAGCGTGCGGCTGCGCGAGCGCATGTTCTGGAACCGCATCGGCGGTGGCGTGGTGCCGGCGTTTGTCCCGATGCGCGACAGCCCACGCAGTGCGACATTTGCCAGCAGCGACAAGGCGCGGCGCAGCGAGGAGTCGACGCAGTCGCTGGAGATGGCCGCGGACGGGCCGCGGAGCGAAGACGACCCGTTCCAGGCCGCGGGCGGCGACAGGCAGAAGCGCGTGTCGATTGGCAACACGGTCCTCTCGCCGGAGATGCAGGAGATGCTCACCGAAGACGAGGAGATGCACATGGAGCTCATGGTGCAGACACAGCTGCAGGCCGAGGCGCGCAGATCGCTCGAAACCACGCCCGCGACGGGCAAGGTTACACTGCAGCGGTCGCAGTCGCATTCGAACCCGCCGGCCACGCCGCCGCGCAAGAAGGAAGAGCGCCTGAGTCTGAAGATCCCCGGGGGGTTTGAGTGATTTGTCCATGCTGTTTTGACGCATTTGTTGTCTAGCATTTCTACGGGCGCGCGAAACGAAACGCCGTCTTTTTGTCTTTTTTTTTTTTTGTTTTTTTTTTCTTTTTTTCTTTTTTCCTTGTTTGTGTTGTTTTGCTTGGTTGGTGTGCATCGCAATGGGACTACTGGGAATACCATGGGTGTTTGGCGTCGCTGTTGCACCATTGCCTTTCGCACATGGCACACTGGGTTGGGTATCATTTAGAGCTATCTACAAAGTATGGCTATCCTTTTTCGTCATCGTCTTCATCCGCGTGCGAGCAGTGTTGATGCGTGCGAGCGGTGTTGATGTGTGCGAGCAGTGTTGATGCGTGCGAGCGGTGTTGATGTGTGCGAGCAGTGTTGATGTGTGCGAGCAGTGTTGATGCGTGCGAGCAGTGTTGATGCGTGCGAGCAGTGTCGATGTGTGCGAGCGGTGTTGATGCGTGCTTCACTTCTTCCCCCTTCCTTTGGCTGGCGCTTTCGCCCGCGTCGCCGAGGAGCGCGTCGCGCGCGCCGGTGTGTCTTGCTGGGGCGGGGCGGTGGGGCTGGCTGTGTCGGCGGCGGGTTTTGCGCTCTTGGACGGCCGGCCGCGCTTCTTCTTGGTGGCTGCGGCGTCGGAGGTCGGGAGGTCGACTGCGGGTTTCCCGCCCTTCCTCCCGCGCTTCGGCGCCGGGGGCGGTGTGTCGGCGTCGGCCTCGTCGTCGTCGTCGTCGCGCTCTTCCCGCTCGGCCTCGCCCTCTGCAGTCTCATCCTCTGCAGTCTCGCCCTCTGCAGTCTCGCCCACTGCAACCTCACCCACTGCAACCTCACCCCCTGCAGTCTCGCCCTTGAGCTTCTTGCTGTTCGTCCTGTCCCCCTCCCCCCCCTCCACACCGCGCTTCTTCGTCGCATCCCCCTCGCCATCGCTAAACGTCCTATTCACCAGCTCCCTCGCCTTTAGCAGCGCGCGCTCCTTCTCCCCCGCCATCCGCGCGCGCCGCATCTCGTCGTACCGCTCATTCCCGCCCAGTCCGTGTCGTATAAAGCGCTGCGCAGCGCCGACGTCCAGACGCGCCCGTGCATCTTTCTGGGCGCGGTCCGCGAGGAAATCCTCCGCGGCCTTGATCTTGCCAAAGTACGTCTTGAGTCGCGCGAGCTCGGGGAATATCGCGTGTGCTTTTGCGTCGATCCCGGAGGCCTGCAGGGTGCTGAAGAGGAGCGACTCGATCGCGTACGCGAAGAGGACGTATAGCTTTGCTTTCTCTAGCACGGGCAGGGAGCCGCTGGTTTTGGCGAGTGTGTGTGGGGGGAGAAGTGGCGATAGGGTGCTGCGCAGCTCGTCAATGTTGACTTGCAGGTCTTCGACTAGGTCGGGGAGGTCGATTTGCGGGTCCATTTTTGCGCGACTGCTGTGGGGGAGTGGTGCAGCGGGGAAGTAGTGCAGTCGTGCAGTGGGGAAGTAGTGCAGTGGTGCAGTGATGAAGTGGTGCACTCGTGCAGTGATACAGTGATACAGTGATGCAGTGTCAAGGGCGAGAGTCTTTGCCGCGACAAAAAGTCAAGGGCCGCGGTTCAGCCGGCCAACTTGGCTTCACCTCGGCGGCGATGAGCGCATCGCTCGAGTGCCACTCCACCGTGATTCTCGACTGCCTCTCCATTTCGATACTCGACTGTCCTCCATTTCGACATTTGACTGCCCTCCATTTGACATTTGACTGGACTGCCTCCAACTCGACACTCGACTGCCGGCCGCATCCCAGCAGGTCCATGTTGCTGTAAACGCCAAGCTGTCTTTCTCCGTCGCCCTCTTCATACCCAGGCTGCGGCCTCGACGGCCGCCCCGCCTGCCGCACACGCGCCCCCGATGCAGACCCGATAGCCACGGCCCCAGCCGCGCGGCGACGATGCAGCGGCGGGCGTTTGGCGCGAGCTGCACGAAGCGGGACGAGGCGGCCGCGACCCGACAGCAGGCCTCGTCGACGGCGACGGCGACGGCAGCGCCGCCCGCGCTGGCCCGCGCCGCCGACTTTTATCGCGCCCAGCCTGTGCTCGACCGCCGCGTGCACATGATCGGCGTCGGCAACGTCGGCAGCTTCGTCGCGCATGCGATCCGCGGCATCCCCAACCCGCCGCCCGTCACGCTGCTGTTCCCGAGCTGGGACCGCCTCAACGCCTGGCGCGACTCGGAGCAGCGACTGGCGCTCGTGACCGACGGCGACACGGAGCTGCGGTCCGGCTACGACGCCGAGCTGGCCATTCCGCGCATCCGCTACCACGGCAAGGAGGTCGGCCTGACGCGTCCCGCTGACGCCGACGGCGCCATGCTCGAGGGCGAGTCGGCCGCGCCCATCAGCTCGCTGGTCGTGTGCTCCAAGGCCCCCGTGGTGCTGCAGGCGCTGTCGGCCGTCAAGCACCGCCTGAGCCGGGACTCGGTCGTGCTGTTCCTGCAAAACGGCATGGGCGTCGTCGACCAGGTCTCGCGCGACCTGTTCCCCGACCCCGAGACGCGCCCGCACTACATGGTCGGCATCAACAGCCACGGCATGCACGCGGCGCCCGACGCCCCCTTCACCACCGTCCACGCGGGCTTCGGCACCATGGCCCTCGGCATCCTCCCCCACGAGCGCGACCGCGACCCCAGCTCTCCGTACGCCCCGCGCTCCAAGATCCGCCCCCACCGCCAGGCAGCGCAGCGCCAGGCAGCGCAGCACTCGCCCAGCCCTCGCGGCACGCAGGACGACGACGTCGCGCTCCCGACGTCGGCCTCGGTCCCCTGGACCCCGAACGAGCGCTACCTGCTGCGCACGCTGCTGCGCACGCCCGCGCTCGCCGCGACCGCATTCAGCCCGCCGGACCTGCTGCAGATGCAGCTCGAGAAGCTCGCGGTGAACTGCGTCATCAACCCGCTGACGGCGCTGCTGGACGCGCGCAACGGCGCCCTGCTGTACAACTACGCGCTCACCCGCACCATGCGGCTGCTGCTCGCCGAGATCAGCCTCGTCGTGCGCAGCCTGCCCGAGCTGCAGTACATTCCCAACGTCGCCGCGCGCTTCGACCCGGGACGTCTCGAGACGCTGGTTGTCAGCGTCGCGCAGAAGACTGCTGCCAACGTCAGTAGCATGTTGGCTGATTCTCGCGCTGGCAGGCAGACGGAGATGGACTTTCTCAACGGCTGGGTCGTGCGCAGGGGGGAGGAGCTGGGGATCCGGTGCAGTTTGAACTATCTGCTTACGCAGCTGGTCAAGGGGAAGGCGCAGATGATTGATCTTGAGATTGGCGACGGCGTGCCGTTTGTCGATGGCGGAGGCAGGGGGGGGGGGGGGGGGGGGGGGGGGGGGGGGGGGGGGGGGGGGGGGAGGGGGAGAGGGACGCAGGCCTGCAAGTGAAGAGCGGTGTTGCAGGGAGAGAGACGAAGAAAGAGAGGCTGGGGGATGGCGTAGAGAGCACGCAGGGCAAGGCGAAGCTGTAACCGCTTCTTGAGTGTGGAATCTCAGTCTTCTTCGACATCCCGAGCGCGCAGAAACGGCCTTTGGAGTGTCTTCTCACGCCTTGACCGTCTGTCTGTGGATTCTTGTAAATCAACTTCGCATTGGCATGTGCAATTAACCTTGCTCCTGAAGCGTACCTAGATGCCCAAATCGCTCACCGGTGCCGCTCAGTCGTAGCTCAGTCGCTGCTCAGTCGCAGCTCAGTCACGTGCGCGCCTACCGCCAAAGTGTGAAACCGCCGCACTAGGGCCGAGATGCAACATGACGTCACTCATCTCGACGCCACGGCGCGAACCGACTTTTTCCCGCACGACGATCACGTCCACACGCCACACCGCTTGACAAATCACAGGCCTCGAAACCCCGCGGCGCCGGAACTTGGTCTCCCCCCGAGCGACCGACGTCCCGCCACCAGTGCTCGAGTTCCCACTACCAGTGCTCGAAGTTCCACTACCAGTGTTCAAAGTTCCACTACCAGTGCCCAAATTTTTCCACTACCAGTGCCCAAATTTTTCTACTACCAGTGCCCAAATTCTTCCACTACCAGTGCAAAGACGCGTGCGCGGAGTTTTCGTCCTGCGGGAATGCTATTCCCGACCGGTATTCCCAATGGCGAGATCGCCTCAGGCTGGTGGAGGGCTGCGTACTCGCCTCGGTGTTTGGGACATGTACATATACTGACGTAGCTCGTGCGGTCTGGCAATCGTCACCTCGCAATTCCCCAGCCAACGCGTCTTGAACTCGTCCTGAACGCGTCTTGAACTCGTCTCGAACTCGGCTTGAACTCGTCTTGACCTCGTCTTGAACTCGTCTTGAGTTCGTCTTGAGTTCGTCTTGAGCTCGTCTTGAACTCGTCTTGACCTCGTCTTGAACTCGTCTTGAACCCGTCTCAAACTGTGACTGCTCGCGAGTCGATCATGGAGAATGTGCGACGCACAACATCTCGGCGCTCGTCGAGAGCGAGATCGAGGCCGAACAGCCCGCCGCTGCATCGGTTGCTTTCGAGCCACCACCCGGATGACCAGTCGGTGTACCACCACGAAGATGGCGAGGGGGTGCTTGTCAGAGATGATGCGGCGTCGCTTCACAAGACTGAAACGCAGCGCAGGGATGCGGACAAGTCGTCTAGTGACGAGAGCAGCACGACAGAGACGAACAGAGACGAGACAAACAGAGACGAGACGAACAGAGACGAGACGACGTACGCAGAGATTAGGGGCGGCATACCGTACGAGCACGACGTCGAAGCCGGGGCGTCGGAGCTGGAGAAGAAGAAGAGCAGTCGCAGCATCAAGGATCCGAATCTCGCAAGGCACCCTCACGCAATTCCCGCATCGCAAACCACTGACGTCTGTAGGTGACCTGGGACGCGGCCGACGACCCTGCGAATCCCAAGAACTGGTCCATGAAGCGCAAGTGGGCCGCCACCCTCATCGTGTCCTGCTTCACCCTCGTCTCGCCCATCTCCTCGTCCATGATCTCGCCCGCGCTGGCATCGATCAGCGAAGACTTCCGCATCACGAACCAAGTCGAGGCGCAGCTCACGCTCAGCATCTTCGTCCTCGCCTACGCCATCGGCCCGCTGTTCCTCGGCCCGCTGTCGGAGATCTACGGCCGCGTTATTGTGTTGCAGCTGTCGAATCTCTTCTACCTGGCTTGGAATCTGGGATGCGGGTTCGCCCAGACGTCGGCGCAGTTGATGGCTTTTCGGTTTCTGAGCGGGTTGGGTGGGTCTGCGCCGCTGGCTATTGGTGGTGTGAGTGACGCGGTATTCAAGTCGCGTGATGATTACGATTACTAACATCCGCCAGGGCGTCCTCAGCGACTGTTTCCACGCCGAGCAGCGCGGCAAGGCCATCTCCATCTACTCGCTCGCTCCGCTTCTGGGTCCAGCCGTCGGGCCCATTGCCGGCGGCTTCATCGCGCAAAACACGACCTGGCGCTGGTGTTTCTACGCGACCACAATCTTCACCGCCGTCGTGCAGTGCTTCGGCTTCTTCTTCCTGCAGGAAACCTTTGCGCCCAAGCTGCTGGCGTGGAAGCGCGACAAGCTCATCAAAGAGACGGGAAACAAGGACCTGCACACGGAATTCGACAGCCCGGACCGCACGCTAGCGACGACGCTCAAGACCGCAATGCAGCGCCCCTTCATCCTGCTCGGCACCCAGCCCATCCTGCAGGTCCTGGCGTGCTACATGGCCTACCTCTACGGCCTGATGTACCTCATGCTGTCCACGTTCCCGCGGCTGTGGACCGGCGCGTACCGCATGAGCACGGGCACGGCGTCGCTGAACTTCATCTCCATGGGCGTCGGCTTCTTCCTGGGGACGCAGATCACGGCGCCGCTAAACGACATGCTGTACCGCCGGCTCAAGGCGCGCAACGCCGGCGTTGGCAAGCCCGAGTTCAGGGTCCCCATCATGGTGCCCGCGAGCCTGCTTGTGCCCGCGGGCCTGTTCCTGTACGGCTGGAGCGCGCAGGCGGGCGTGCACTGGATCGTGCCGAATATCGGCGCCGCGCTGTTCTGCGCCGGCGTCATCATCGGGTTTCAGTGCATCCAGACGTATCTCGTCGACAGCTACTCGCGGTACGCGGCGAGCGCTATTGCGGCCGCGACGGTGCTGAGGAGTTTGGCCGGGTTTGGGTTTCCGCTGTTTGCGCCGGCCATGTACAATGCGCTGGACTACGGGTGGGGGAATAGTCTGCTGGCGTTTGTGGCGCTGGCGCTGGGTGTTCCAGCGCCTCTTTTGCTGTGGAAGTTTGGCGAAGGGTTGAGGGCGAAGAGTCAGTTTGCTGCTGGCTAGGTCGTCGAGGGCTATGGATCAACTTTGCGCTCTGCATGTGTTGCTGTCATGTACATGTTGTGTAGCACTTGCAACCCGTCACAATCTCTCGAGATTACAAATGCAAATAAACAAGTCCATGTTCACTGTTCTGTTCTGTTCTGTTCGTCGTTCTGTTCTGTTCGTCGTTCTGTTCTGTTCATCGTTCTGTTCTGTTCATCGTTCTGTTCTGTTCTGTTCTGTTCTGTTCATTGTTCTGTTGTGTTCTGTTCTGTTCATCGTTCTGCTCATTGTTCTGCTCTGTTGTGTTCTGTTCCCAAGTCCCGCTCAAGGTTGGAGGCTAGCCGGTGACGATACCCGCAATGTCCGTGCACGATGGTCGATGAGGCTCTCGCAAAGTTGCATGACGGCCACTCCGCGACGGCTGCACGTCTCCGCCCACACACAATGGCCGCACCGAGCAGATGCACCGCGCGCATTGCGAACGCTCTCGGAGGTAATCCGACACGGCGCATCGCGACCTCGCTCAGAGACCCGACGCCGCGCATCGCCGCCCGCACACTTGTCGCCAGAGCGTCCAGCGCCCCATTGCGAACATGCCAGCGCCAGGCCCAGACGACTGAGGCACGCCGCCAGTTCTCCAGCAGCTCCCACCGCCAGCTCTCCGGCACTTTTCACCGCCAGCTCTCCAGCACTTCCCACCGCCAGGCGCTCAAGACCATCGGCCAGATCAAAGCGCGCAACAAAGGCGGCCCCTTCAACATCACCGCCGCGCTCCTCTTCATCGCAACCGCAGGCGGGCTATGGGCCTACTTCACGTACGAGAAGGAGCGCATGGCTCGCAAGCGCATAGCCGAGCAGACCAAGGGCGTCGGCAAGCCCAAGGTCGGCGGGCCCTTTGCGCTCGTCGACCAGGACGGCAACGTCTTCAGCTCCACCGACATGCTGGGCAAGTACTCGCTAGTCTACTTTGGCTTCACGCACTGCCCGGACATCTGCCCGGACGAGCTGGACAAGATGGCCCTCATGTACGACAAGGTGCGCGAGCGCTGCGGCGACGTCCTGCTGCCGCTGATGATCACGTGCGATCCCGCGCGCGACAGCCCTGCTGTCCTGAAGGAGTACCTCGCTGAGTTCCACCCGCACTTCATCGGCTTGACGGGGAACCACGAGCAGATAAAGGACACGTGCAAGGCGTATCGCGTGTACTTTAGCACGCCCAAGGACGTTGCGCCGGGGCAGGACTACTTGGTCGACCACAGCATCTACTTCTACCTGATGGGTGAGTCGGCGCGGAGCCCCGAGCACCAAGCTCATTCCGTTTAGAATGCAAAGCTGACGTCCACAGATCCAGAGGGCGACTTCGTCGAAGCCATCGGCCGCAACTTCACCGCCGACCAGGCTGCCAAGGTCATCGCCGACCATGTCAAGGACTGGGAGAAGCCGCTGAAGAAGGAGAGCCGCTGGGAGTGAGCCCGATGATGACCCTGTATAGTATGTATGCACTACTCTAGACGCGTACTCAGCATATGTAGAACACCCTGTACAATCAACAGATACCGACAATCGCTGCAGCCAAACAAGCTTCAGACCGCCAGACGTTGTCACAGCATGCACATTTCCATCCACGTCTTCTCTTCGCAGCGCCGACCCGGCATCTTGGCTCTGCACCTCCAGCGTTAAATTAACCTCATCGCGTCCTTCAGCTCCCAGCACGACACGACCGCATGCAGACAAATGCCGGAGCTGAGCTCGAAGTTTGCTGGTCATGGTGTTTCAGCTGGAGTCCGCAACGCCGCCTGCCGCCATTGGATAGCTGCGGATCGTGGCGTGCGCGCCGACACTTCTGAATCGCCTAGTCAGCGGTTGATAGCTACGCCGATGTGTACGGTGCAGTGTGTACGACGCAGGGTTAGGAGATAGTGGGCGCGCCAGGGACTAGCCGTCTACACGTTTCCCCATCCAACCCAACGTGCTGATCACATCGCCAACCAGTTTCAGAACCTGGGCCTCATCACGTTCATCAGCCAGGGCCTTGCCATTGCTTGGTGGAGGAAGGTCATGCAGGGCAGCTCCCTCAGCACATTACACAGAAACCACGCCTACTCATACAGCTTCTACTCCACCGTGACGTCGGGCAAGCACTTCAACATTGTCGCGCTTGCGGCGCTGGTGACCAAGTTTGATCGACAGTACGCTCTTCCAGAAGGCTACGAAGACTGTCGTCACTCGGCAAGTCGACTGCAAGAATGTGACAGTCACGGGGTGGCTGGAGACCAATTGGCCTGCCAGCAGCGGCGGTCTTCCTGGCGAAGACTGGACAATCAAAACGGTCGACTCAGCATGGGCAGGTGTGATCAACGCCTACGACGGCAAGATCGCCAACGGCAGAGTCCGCGACTTACTCGGCCCTAACCAAGAGCGCATTGCAAGCGATTTGTAAATTCCGCGAGAAGCACAATCTGCATCTCATTTCAGATGGGATATACGCCTTGTCAACATACAAGTCGATGGATGTGCCGCATCCAACGCCATTCGTGTCGGTCCTGAGCCCGGACTTGAAAGCAATGGAAGTTGCACCGGCAAGAGCGCACGTAATCTGGAGCGTAAGCAAGAATTTTTGTGACGGTCAAGAGGAGAAGCGGATCACGTGTTGTTGGCGGTGGTCTGATGCTACTTCCTCATGTTGTTGAGCACCTCTTACCTCAGCTGCATCACAAACACGTCATGCAAAACAGACCCCGCAGCCAGCCTTTCACAGGCCAGACACAAGCACAAGAACAACACAGAACAACAGAATACACTCGTTTTACACTTGCCCTTGATACCGCAACAATTTTGGATGCAGTGGGGTTCGACTTGGAAGTCGACCTGTCTTGATCTTCCTGTTGAACTTTCTAAAGGCTGCTTCGACAGGGCGCGCTCGTATGTCAAGGGAGCCCGACGATGACCTGCGGTGTAGCAATGGCTGCCAACACCCAGGTATCCAGTCTCACAGCCATAGCTATAGCTGTTTCGTGTCTACTATCTAACCCAGTGATAACGGACAGGTTTATCGAATTGAATAGGGAGCGGTTGACTAATCGCGTACGAGACCATGCGACAGTTTCGGATGCTAGCGAATCGTTATCTGCTTTGCTGCACCTGTATAACAGCGCCATTCGCCGCAAAGAGTCCAAGAGTTATGCCACCTGCCACTATTTTGAAAAGGCTAGCACAATCTCCCGCAGCAAAGTACCTAGATTTTGTAAACTAGTGTTTACGGTATAAGCTTCTTGATACCGTAAACAGCAAGCCCCTGCAGCAAAAACTTACTGCATTAGGGTGCTAGGGTGCACATTAGGGTTTGGCGGGGTTGCACGTTAATCTCTTCCGAAGTCCACATCCTGTGACAACAACATCGAAGCGGTCTGTCACTGTGGCGTGGTCGAAACTTTGTTATATCACAGTGTTGTTCCGGACTTCCGTCTCAGTTGTTCCTGGCAGCTTCTTGGACAGCGACATTATCGGCCGTCGAGACCTCCCATCTGCTGTTCAAAAGCATATCGGGAGTCGTTTGCACAAGGAACACTTTGGAGAAACTCTAATTACAATCCAAAAACCCATCCATAATGTCGACGACAACAACGATAAAATTCATGGCCCCTATAGCCGAAGAGCCCTTCTATCGCTCTCAATCCGACGAGAGATTCGAAGCGCGCAACTTTTCCCATGAGGTCGAGACGGTGCAGATCCGGAACACGCGGGCTGACAAAGATCGGTTCATATTGATACACCTGGCTTCGCCTGCGCAGACGACCTCGAAGGCGCAGCGTTTGTAGAGCAATTTCGGAAAGATGAAGAGGGTGCGAAAGAGCGCTACTACGAGCATCTGCAAAGCCTCCTCAAGAAATACACTGGTGCCTCGCGAGTCGTCATCTTTGACTACACCATGTGCCGCCGTGTGCCCTCGCTAGCCGGTAAGAACTCTGATGGCCGAGAGCAACCAGCGGCCTATGTGCACGTCGATCAGTGAGTGGTCATTCGTCAACGTCGATACTCAATTCGGAAGACAAGTGCCGACAAGAAGCTTAGAGGTGCCGCAGGAGCAATAAACATGTACATCAGCATCTTGGCGACGAGGCGGAGTGCGTGCTGAAGCGCCGTGTGCAGATCACAAAGTGCGTCGTCGATCTACTGCGACAACAGAAACAGCAGCTGATGCCGACCAGCGTATAGAGGCCTCTAAATGGTCTTGTGTAGGACTGGCCGCTCGCGACAATGGACTTCACTAGTCTAAAGCCAGAGAACTACCATCCCACAAACTTGTACCGTAAGCAGTTCGAGCTGGTGGGTCAGTCCTGCAATATTTCGCACCACGAAGACCAGCGATGGTACTCCCTTTACGCATAGACAAACAGTGGAATCACGTTCATCAAGATCTGAGACAACAAGATTGCGGGAGCCGCAAAGCATGAGTCTGCCTTGGCCTTCTGCCAACACCATTTGCGTCTTGTGATTATCGTATGATGGAGGAACTGTATCTGATACACATACAGTCTGTGCCCGCAGCGCCTTTGAGCATCCAGATACGCCCGAAGATGCCCCTTTGAGAGAAAGTATAGAGGTGAGGTGCATCGTTTGTCATGAGCATGAGGACCCCGCGCCGGCCTGAAACTCGCACCTCAGCAAAGAGACGGCCAGTTCCGGAGTGATCTGAGTAGATCTTTCTAATGCAATTGAAGTGTAACAGCGAGTCGGTGCGCGTCTGCTTGCTTTGACTATACACTGCTTTAAGAGTGGACTTTTAATGTGGATCTGTCAGTGCAGCTTTGTCCCATCAGAAAAGAAATCTGAAACAGGTATAGAGCAGGCTGTATTCAATTAACGCTAGTAGTAAGAAGAAAATAGAACAGTTTGAGGTTCTCGTGAGGGTACTGATCTAGGAGGACAGTGCTTGAATTGAGCGATAGATTTGAAAAGATTCGCTAACAGCTATCAGCAGGATTTCTGTTCTGTGGGTTGGCAGAACATCGGAAATTCCATGGCTCGCTCGGCTGATGTACGGTCGACGTCGGGGACGACCCGTTACAATTACACCGAAAACAATGGGGCTAGGTAGGGATACCCCTTTCGGCAGATCGGGAAGCCAAGAGCGACCGCGTTTGACAGGCCGGCAGCGGCCGAATCGCAGAAAACTCTCCTATGACGCTCTATATTATCCCTTGCTTCAGATGTCCAAAGAAAATAGTCAGAGCAGAGGGACAATTGCTATGTCAAGCAGAATAGAGTGTAGAACAAAAAATGCAGTCTTATTTCGAAGTCTATACATATTCGTTCTAGTTTCTAGTTCTTTGGGGCACTTGCAAAGAGTCTCGATCGGCTTGATCACAGGCTGCTTGCTCTGCGTACGCCAAGACTCTAATTGATGCTGCATCACTGCATGACAGCAGAGCGGAGTTCAATCTGTAATAATAACCTTCATCAAACTCGGCTGTAAGAGGCTCTCGGTAGCCGAGACAAGTCGTCCTTTGTACAAGAGGAGTGGCCAATCTTGGATAGTTCCTGTCTACCAGACTCGTCCTACTGCCAAAAGACGCAGGTATGTTGCCCTTCCTATTGATAACCTTCTCCCGACCCGTTCGGAAACTAACGAGTTGCAGGCAAGACACGGGACGGACGGCAGTGGTTCAGTGCACATGGAGCCGCCACAGGCTGCGTACTGCAATTGCTCGCTATCGGCGGTGCGCGTGCTGATGCGCATCGAGCAATTCGAGGGCGTCAAGGTGCCGCTGGAGACGCTGCTAGAGGTGATGGAGGATGCTGAAGTGCGATGTTGCGCGGTGCTCAACTGCACGTTGTGTAGCCAGCGGCGGTTCTCATTGGCCAGTGTCACCGTCGTTAGCGCAGCCGTCGTCGAGTGGGTCCACGGGGCCTGGCTGGAAGGAGGCATCAACCACACAGTTTCGCTGGGGGATGTCCGACTAGATCGGACCGATGCGGAGATGTTGGGCCGACAGCTGATGAGCTTGCAACTGTCCCATTTCGTCAAGGTCATGGCCCGACTCGAGGGTACTCTCTCCACCAGCACGACGGCGCACATGGCCATCTACCAGGACGTCGTGCGGGCAAAGATGCAGGAACTGCAGGACTGTAAGCAGCAAGTCCACAAATACTCCGAGTTACCGTAGCCGACTAGTCAGAATGCTACATACATATATCCGACGAGTCGCGTGCCGAGCCGATGCTCGTTCTGTAGAACATGGCTAAGAGCTGCTCAAGATGGATCGAGTCAAGTTCTAACAGTCAATATGTCCCATGTTTTGGTAATCGATAAAATGGGCGGCCTTAAAACGACCTGATGGACAGTCAGGCTGCCTAAAACTGCTTATGACATGACTGGCTGCCTACTTGTAGATGGTATGCGGAACGCGGAAGCGTCCTTGGCGCCCTTCCGCAGCCAGCTGCCGTGCGATGTATGCAGATCTTTAATCAAGAGTCTACTCTATGTACTACAAGACGCCCGGAAGGCGTCGGCTAGCCCAGTTATAAGTGCTTGCCACTGATAATGCACGCTCTCGTGCACAGGGGTACCGACGATGCGCATACACTGGCCGACCCGTTGGCCAGCGACCACGGTAGATATCTAGGCCAACTTCAGCGTGTCCGTAAAGCCAAGCGTTGTGCACTTGTTCAGGTCTTTGTGCGACTGAGCTTGGGAACTTTTGCAGAAGACGTCATTGCTCCCTTGAGATTACGCCATGTCTAGCCAACGAGGCAGTCAGGCTCCAAGGGTACCCAAAGTTCGCCAATCTTGTGACACGTGTCAAGCATCAAAGATCCGCTGCGGTCAAGAACGCCCTCGTTGCCACCGATGCGAAAAGTACAATCTGGATTGTGTGTACAGCGTTTCGCGGCGCGCTGGAAGGCCGCGACCAAAAAGGACAATCGACCCCACGACGCCCGTTGGGCCATCACCCACGCACTTGCAATCCACTCCAGACCCGCAGACGGGCTTCCCGACACAAATTGGGCCATCGCCAACCCACGAGGAATGCAGGCCTCGTCTTGCCTCGCTACGGCAAAAGTCCATAACGCCCGTGCCAGAAGCCACGCGCCGAGACACGGCGCAAAACACTGGACTAGAGGAGCAACAGTGTCATGATCCGCCAGTAAAGAGCACGCAGGGTGACCGGAGCAGCAACCATGGGACCGATGTCTTTCCCAGGACCAATTGTTACAACAGCAACCAATATGAGGCGAGCCACATGGAATCCGAGCCCGGGCTGGTGCCAGACAACAGCAACAGCAGCATCAGCAGCAACAACAACAACAACAACAACAACAACAACAGCAACGACGACGCCATGGACGCCATGGATGTGAATCCGTACTTCAACGACGCAGCCCTATTCCGCCACGTGGATAGCGCGCAGTTCCCAACGCTGTTCTTCTCCGACTCGGACCTGCTCCCCGAGCACGTCGACTTCGATCTCCTCATGGCCCCGCTCCCGGACTGCGCGTGCTTCCCCACGACGGCGTTCCCGCACGCGCCGCTCCCGCTGGGCGCCGGTCCAGTGATTGCCAAGAGCAGCGGTCCCGGCTGCCACTGCACGACGATGCTGCTGCAGCACCTAGACGCGCAGGATGGGGCCGAGACCGGGTGCAGCGACGAGAGGCTGTTCGCGCGGGCGGTGCAGCGGTCACGGGTGCTGCTGGACAACTGCTTGGTGGTGCTGTCGTGCGGGGCGTGCAGCACGCGGACGTCGTCGGCGCTGGTGGTGTGCCAGGCCATGGAGGAGCTGAGCGTGACGCTGGGCATGGGGACGCTGTGGGTCGAGGGCACTGGGGCCGGGCACGAGCGGTGTCCGCTGCTGGGCAACCTGGCCAAGGATGAGGTGCCGATGCGTTGCGGGAGCTACGCGGTGCGCGGCACTGACCGGCAGGTGCTGCTGCGCTTGCTGGTGATGAACCGGCTCACTGAGATGCAGCGCATCATGGGCAAGCTGTGTCAGGCGGTAGGGCTGTCGTCGTCGTGTCGCGCGACGTGTGCGGGCATGGCGGCGGAGCTGGAGAGGAGGGTGTTGGTCAAGCTGAATATGTTTCGAGCAGCGGCACCGTGATCAGGAGTCAGGACAATGGAATTACTAGAGGACAGTGCATGGGGGCGCCGGTCGAAGGCTCGAGCCTCGGACTCCGAGGCTGGGTGCCTTAGATTTATCGTTGGCATGTTGCATGTGTCAACTGGTGCGCTGGAGTCGGGCGAGCAGGCCCCTTATGGGAGTTTCGTGGGGCTTACATTGATTAGTGATATCTTGGCACAATGAAGAGGAAGGCATACTCGACAGTAGAGATTGAACACCAGAGACTAGTAGATCGATGACGAAGACTAGTAAATCACCAAAGGCTATTATGTGGGATTGGGGCGGCCGATGGTGACGGGCCGACCCGGGAGGAGGCGCACAACGGTTCCCTCGATTGGGCCGTGTGGCGCCGTACCGTAGCACAGGGCCGAGAAGATCTCATGGATGCTACCGTCGAAGACGAGCGACGTGAACTGGGTCAGACGTACGCCGCCGCCCTTGAACCGCCCGGTCGAGCCAGACGTGAAGCAGAGGTGGCACGCCTACAGTATCTCCGAAGTGATGCGGGCGATCCGGCTGGGGGAAGGATGCCCTGGCGTCGGTGACACTGAGCCGTGTCCCGCGTCCCGCGTCCCGCGTCAACGGCGTGCATGCACACGACCTGACCCTCGACGCCGAGCGCACTGAGCACCGCAGCCGTGCGCGACGCTAGCTGGTCAAGCTCTGCACACAATACGAGACCGACGGCTGTGCCCGTTGCGTGCACGTTCGCTGCCGTCTCGAACTTGGACACCAAGTCCTCGCTCTGGACCCCGGCTCGCAGTCGCCCAGCGCCCGCAGCCGCCCCTGCATCAGCACCGTGAGCGCGCCCGCGATGCACGTGCGCAGGCTCGAACAAATACTCAGCCGCTCCAGCGCGCTCACGAGCATGTCGCCATGTCCTCGTCTGCCCGCGCGTCGTACTTTATCCGCGTGATACACGGCCCGCAGCGTCATAGCCGCTTCGTCGAGCGCCACGCTGAGTGGGATGCTGCTTTCAAAGTTGTAACTGCGTGAACAGTGTCGGCCGGAGACTGTGATCAATGATTGTATTGCTATCTGTTGTCGTGTTGTGTGTTGTCGTGTTGTGTGTTGTCGTGTTGTGTGTTGTCGGGTTGTGTGTTGTCGTGTTGTGTGTTGTCGTGTTGTGTGTTGTCGTGTTGTGTGTTGTCGTGTTGTGTGTTGTCGTGTTGTGTGTTGTCGTGTTGTTCTGTTGTTCTATTGTTACACAAGCTCACCGGGCAGTGCCTGCTACAATAGGATGTCATGTGATCTGAGCCACGTGGTTACAAAAGTCGTAGTGCACCGGCCGTATCGGCCGCATCACGTCACGTGCCCGCGCGCCGCCGCAGCTGTCGAGCCCGCGCGTTACCGACGAAGCCGCCTCGAAGTCGCAGTCGAACCCATGCTTGGGCGTGCTCCACTGGTAGCACGGGAACTCCACCAGATCATGGAGCACCCCCCGCACCAGCTGGTCCGTCAGCTCCTCGCCGCTGGCCCAAGAGAGCATGATGGATGGAAAGCATGATGGTGGCTTCGCTGTCACTGTGTCTGCCGCTGTTGCTCTCCAGTGCCCCGCACACCATGCTCTTGAAGACGAACGTTGTTTGGGACAGCCCTTCCACTCTCGTCAATTCTTCCTCATACGCCGCGCGGTCAAACGTTACCACCTCCGTCCATGGGCACCGAAAAAACTCCCTTGCGCATTTCATACGGCCCAGGACTGGGTTCTTCGAACGCCGTCTGGAAAATGGGCTCCCAGCCAGGACCGTCTTCCATGCATATTTCATCACCGCCAAGTCTTTAAGACGCCATGCCTCGAAGTGATGGATTGTACTTTGCCCACTCTGGATGAAGGTCGCTTGTCGATCAGTTGCCGGCACTGAATCCGCAGCTAGCATGGCTCTGCTTGCGCTCCGTTGTGAGTGCACCGGTTTATCCTCTAGTCTAACTAAACTGGTGTAGAAGCGCTGCTCGCGTCGCCTCCATGCCTATCTCCGCAGCATCTTCTTCTGAAACGCTCGAGTAGGTGGGGCTCCCAGCCGAACCTTCCGACTGCGATAGCTCTTTCATTTCCACCACCTCCACGACTGTGCTAGAGCACGCGTAGGACTTGGGCTAGCCGGTCGCTGCGCGCTGATGTCGCGGTGGCGAGCGCTTCGATGTCCAGCGGTCCGTATTTCGCCACGTATCGGCGACGTGCAGATTCACCACACCCACGAGGCATTTGGCGTGCACGTAGCCTTTGCGTGGTTAGTCAAGCTCTTAACTTCACTTCTCTTCTCTTCGCTCAAAAGGGCGTGCGCGACGTACCTAGAAAGTGATCCGCCAGCACCAAGTACCCCGACTCCAGCTTCTGCTCGATCCGATGTAGCAAATCAATCGACGTGCCTGCTAACGCCTTCAGCTCTGGATCCGGCTGCGCGCCTTGCGCGTCGTTGTGCAGGCCCGTCGCTAGCTCGCGGCGCACAGCGTCGGACTCGAGAGTCGCCATCACTTGCTCGACGTGCGCGTTCAGATCGGTGAGGACGCTAGTCATGATGGGTAGTGTCGTCGCGCGTGGCTAGAGACTTTGGAATTGGGGAGTGGAGAGTGTGGTTTGAAGGTGCTGGTTGAATGGGTCGGGGTGATATGTGCGCGAGGACTACAATGAAACGCCTATATCGCGTGCGAAACACTATCATGCCACTGGATGCGCTCGGTTTGCGGTGCGTCGACTGGATACCGCAACATGGTCGTCGTGGGACGCGGCGAACGCCAGTAGCCTACGCGCGCGGTGCTCGCAGATGGTCTGCTAGTAGACCGGTTGCAGCGGCGAACTTCTCGTGCGCATCGCAGGGAGTTGAGAGTTGGGGCTGTAGCTTGAAAAATGGCTCGCAGCAGGTTGATTACCAGGGTCGCGGCGTATTCGTTGCATTGTGTGGTGCAGCGATGACCGGGCACGCCGGGCACTGTGAAGACGAAACGTCACGTGATGGGGTTTGAAGGGTGTGCTTGTAAGTCCAGTGTAGCTTCGCTGCTGATGGTGACAGTGAAGAATGGTATGTGACTTATCCATCCAACAAGCTTACTCCATGGGTATATCTCAACCCCTCCAATTCGGCGTGAAGTGCCTACACAACTATTTTGGATACGTAGTTGGAATCATGATCGACCATCACACCACTTGCGTGTTGATCGATCAGTTGCTACATGACCCTTGTCATCTTTATGCAAAAATTTCATAGTTTCCTGATCCAGCTGTGTCATGTAAAACTTTCAACTGCATCAGTGCTGAAGCCGCTAACACGAATGGTAAAACAAAACGCAATACCAAGAATACGTTCGATGCTGCTTTGTAAACCGAGCGTGAATGTTGATAGTTTTTGCTACGTGACCATGTCGTCTGGTGCCTGTCCACAATCGACAAGCCCGAGAAAACCATGGGCCACACAACGCAAGCCGAACAAGCACGGCGAACAACTAGCCCATCCCTTCCATCCAGCCCAGACGCAGAAAAGCGCAGATCGAGACCAAGATAGAACACAAATCGAATCACTCCCAGAACCAACATGATATAACCTTGCCGCCTCGAACGCCGCATGGAGCCTGCACTGCTAGCGTCGACGAAGTCATGCCACTGCGACACGTCACCATCCACGCGGACCCAGTTGCCCAGTCGAGATCACGTGCATGCCTATACATCATACGGTACGTACGGGCCTGCATCGGAGAACTGGCGGCGTCGGCGCTGCCGAGGGTATGGCGAAGGCGAGACGGTGCTGGGACGTGAATGGGCCAGCCGGGTGTCGTCACGGATCCGATCGGGCCGCTAGCGTGTCCAACGGGACGTATACGGCTACAGCAAAGATTAATTACCATAACCTACGGCTCAAATAAGCAACCGTAGCTTCCTGAAACTATGTAATCACGTGGCTATACGGTCTGTGAGCGTGGCGTGAAGGTGAATATTCTCTAACTAACACTCAACTTTAACGTAGTACTGCCGTACTACCGTTCAACCGACAGCTAGTTCCTGCTTGAATATCCTTCAGAGCCTTCCCTATATAATTCTGTAATGATTGTAACTTAGGCGAAATATCCACAATGAATGTGGTTGTGCAAGGAGTGTATACAAGCCTCAAAGTGACCAATCAGCCATGGCGGCGGTGCGCGCTTGATGCCGCTAATTTCGCCCAGGAGACCAAAGCTATTACAGTACTCGTAGTACCGTTTAGGTAGGTGGTCGAGGCCACACGGGGCAGAAAGGTCCTGTGGCACAAGCTGCAGGTTAGTCCTAGGGTTTTTGCATTTTTAGGTTTTAGTTTTTAGGTTTTGTTGTTTGCTATTTGATCCCTAGCACTTTGTCCTTAATCGTCCCCCGTACTTCGCGCGCACAGACACGGTAGGTATGCTGTGATAGATTGAGCGAAAAGCCTTGTTCCGGCCCGAATGTTATAAATCTGCTTGACTTATGCAGAACGCGTCAGAGGTGACGTTATCTGCAGTGCCTCATAGCAGTGCAAACCTATAGGCTCTCGCAATTATGTACGAAAAAGAAAAAAAGAGCAGCAATAGGGATAGCGCTTGCTTCCAAAGTTCCCAGTGAGTCGGCATGCCAAGAAAATCTCGGATACCGACCCTGTCAGGGGTATTGATGGACAACTTAAGACTCCGCTATACTGTGAAGATTCTTGTCTTGTTTTTTATAGAATCTCATAACGCGGACTGGGAATCTTTTGCCATACCACATCAGTCAGACCTATACGCCCCTCACCTCTTTGCTATTCATACCCTCCTGTACACATAACCTAATTGACAGAGCCTTAAATTTGTCAATTGTAAAATCTTTGGCAGTTTGACTTGGGTCTTTGTATCTAGTGTCTGTACGCCGCACCGAGTACGACATGGCCATGAACATGAGCGTGCACGATATCCCGGGATCTCAAGTACATGAAGATGGAGGATATATGAGCTACTGGGAGCTCTCCGAGCACGCTGTGATAATTTATTGGCATATTGGACTTGCGCTTTTGGCCTGGGCTGGGGTCTTACCCGTTGGTAAGTCAACCAAGTCCTACCCCAACTATCTAAACTGACGACTGGAAGCTGTAATGCTAAGCATTTCTCACTCACGATTCGCACTACCTTCTCAATTTGTGTTTCTAGCGGTAAATGGGCTTGCCCTCTCCATCAGTCATCTATACAACAAAAGAACACCAAACTTATACGATAATAATGTGCACGGCCGAATAGGCTGGATCATTACATGCACAGCGATGAGTTGGATTTTCATAGCCCTCATCCAGGCTTATGTGGGGCGAAGCGCAGCTCCGGGTTACAAATCGGTTCAGTCAATGATTACTGGAAGCTCAACCGAATATCATCAAGTTGAAGACGGAGAGTCTTCGGATGCATTGAGATGGTCGGATGACCACGGCCAGAGTCCAACGCTCCTTTCACGGTCACTGGACGGCTACCCCGTCTCATCCAGCATGGGCTCAGTGGGTCGACACTTATCACGGCTTGATATGATGCAAACACAGGACGCCCCGCGCGGTTCTTTCGTTACCCGATCTTTTTCCCGCTGCGTCGCATGCTTTGCTCGGATCTTCTCGGCAAGGTCCTTACGCCTCTTCTACGTACTTATCGAGCGCACAGTACTGGTACAGGGCTTCGTGGCTGTTATGTCAGGCACAATTGTCTATGGAGGTATTGGTGTAAGTAATTCAATGTTGGCGAGCATCGATGCAGAACAGCTGACAGTCTCCAGCGCGATATTGGAATTTTCAATGTGCTAGCACACTACATCAAAGGCAGCATCTTCTTTTTCTACGGCCTACTCACTCTTGGTCGATGGATGGGTGCATTTGCTGACTATGGATGGGCTTGGAACGCAAAACTAAAAAAAGAGGTACACAGTTGTCAGACAAGAGCGGTTCCAAGTGCTGAGTTTACAGAGTCTTTCGTCATGTGGCTGTATGGTGTTACCAATGTGTTCTTAGAGCATCTGGCCGCTTGGGGCAAAGCATGGACGGCACAAGATTTAGAGCACGTCTCAATCTCTATTTTGTTCTTTGGAGGTGGATTGGTGAGTCATTGATGATCCTTCTCGCACGTTATTTACTGACAGCAGCATAGTTAGGCATGATTGTGGAGTCTAACACAATACGGGAAATACTCAGCAACTCTGTTCTTTCTTCCCAAGCCTTACAGGACTTGAAAGGAATATCGGATCAACCTCATCAGTACGGTTTCTCTATGAACCCGGTGCCTAGTCTTGTCATCTTTCTTTTGGGCAAGATGATGAGTTCCCACCACCAAGGCTCGATCTTGTCTACCGCAATCCACACCCAGTGGGGAAGCATGCTAATAGGCTTTGCACTTGCGCGTTATCTCACGTATATCATCATGTACATCGTTACCCCCACCTCTTTTCTACCATCTCGCCCGCCAACTGAGGTAATTGCCTCTTTTTGTCTTATTGCCGGTGGCCTTTCATTTATTATCAGTAATCGGGACACCGTTACAGCTCTAGAGTCTTACGATCTTGATGCTATGTTCACCTTTACTATAATTACGGGTATTACGGCTCTGATCATGGCCTGGACTGTGATTACTTTCATGATCAAAAGCTGGGCCCTCCAGAAGGAAAGAATCAGTCGGTACGGGGAAAGCCACGCTAGTCCATTGGATTAGATAACTCCCCGGATCCTCTCCATAGAGCCATGGCTGAGGTGTTCTGTATCGCTGCAAATAGCGAAAAAATCATCCTTGGGGATCAAGCGGGTTCATGTCCATAGAGGGAAATTTTAAGTCGTGCCCAGCACTATCCGAAAGAAACTAATTCTACGATGAAGTTTAAGAAATAATCTAACGATCTGTGAGATGCTGCTTCCAAAGCTCTTGTACACACGAGGAACTAGCGTGCTATATGTAGATAATAGACTCTACTAGTGTGCTTGGAGGAAGTTTTGCTATATCTCCCGATGTTCACTAATCCACAACACCGACTTCACCATCTCAAGATGAGCTATAACCTTCAAGACAATACTTCAGAAACTACCCAGGTCATGATACGATGGCTGAGAACTATTGCATTGACATTTTGAATCGATCCATTTTCGACGTTACCTTGCGTTTCAGCTCAGTAACCATACCAGCGTACACCTCCTGGCATAACGAGCTTGCTCCGTCTTCCATTTTGACAATTTTTTCCAGGTTGTACATCGCACGCTGCATCTCTGTCAAACGCTTCATCATGAGTGTTTGCAGTAAAGCACGCTGGTCGGCCCTTCTTACTTTGTAGGTCCCACACCGCATCAGCACCTCATCTTGCGCCAGATTGGTGCTACACAAAAGCTGTCCAGAGGGGACTTCACTCCAAACTGTTCCCATACCCAACAAAACAGAGACCTCGTCCATCGTTTGGCATAACAGTAAAGCTGAAGAAGGTTTCGGTCCACATTGTGTACAGTATAGGACATTGAAACAGTGATCAAGGAGGACTGTAGACCTTTGTAATGCAAATGCATAGGAGGTGCTTTCACTCACCCTCCCATTTCCCTGGACATTTCCCTGGACGTTTTCCATAGGAGAAGTCGACTTAGCGAGCTGGTGGATCAGCAAGGTAGAACAGGAGCACACTACAGGCGTAGTAGTCGAGTCTACCGGCATATCGCCACTTTGACTAGACGCTGCGGTGGTCAAGTTCGTCCGAGTCGACTCACTACTTCCGCCGAAGTAATCGAAGCAGAAGACTTGCGAAATATCGGTATCGCTGCGTGTTTGCAATGGACTGAGCATGGGCGTAAATGTGAATGCCGAGCTATCGCATTGTAAAGTGTTTGTGGGGTCATTAAAGAAAGGTAGAGAAGGGAATGATGCACTCGTCAGATCAATTGCTGCACCCCCGTATGACTCGAGAGTTAGATTCTGTCCGTGTATCTCAGGACGAATGGTACTGTCCAGGTAGTTTTTGATGTGTTGCTTCTCGTTTGAGAAGTGAGTGGTACTTGTGGTGTTCGAGGATTGGACAGGAACACCAGTTGAGGGATTAGGCGCTACATGTTCGGGGGAAGGAACGAATTGTCCATAATCTTTGTGAACAGACGAAGTTGGCGTAAGCGGCAGTATTCGACGTTGTATATCCTGTGGGCCCCGTGAGGTTTGGCGAGAGACCGGTGCAGAAGATGTTATGGAGCCCATCCGACGGGATCGCGGACGTCCATTAAGGCGCGACATGCTATAGACGCAGTCAAGATTGTGCTTAGCACATCGCCGACATGCAGGGCGCTCTTTGCCGCAGCGAATTTTCGATGTCTGGCAGATGTCACAGGATTGATGGACTTTAGGTGTTTCTGATTGCCGGCTGTTTTTCTTTTCCATGATTGGGGTCCCCATGGCTATGGCAGTACTAGCTTAGCAGCTCGGGAACTACCCACCCACTCCTAATAAGTGGGGTATGTGGAGTGCTTAGAGTGCTCGGAAAGAGTGCTTGAAGTGCCTGGATTGCTTGTGCTGTGTAAGGGCATTTCGAGTGTTGGTAGTTGTTTTGAGAAAATTTTCTCAAGCGCCAAAGGTTTTGTTGAACCCTTCCTTAAGTATTTACTCTGCTACACTTCAGACCTAAGATACTGCCATACGTAATTCGGAGATAAGGCATAGTATGCTATACGGGATTGAGCTAAGTCTCGGACACATTTAGATGAAGTCTGATGTTGCAACACCGGACATCGCAGGAACGGAAAGAAGGCTATTGCGCCGAGCCAGCTCTTGAAGCTGCCGAAGTTGAGCAAAGACAAGGCTAAAGCAACGTTCTGTGGGTATGGACTTCATGTTTGAAAGAGCGCTTTGAAGCAGATCCACAACATCAGAGAAATGTGATAACTGCAAGCTCATCAATTCACGACTCAGAATCTCAGTATCTGCAGGATCGAGTTCGTAGGGCCCAAGAGAGACAATGTGGTCTGTGCAGCCATTGATCAAGTCATCAGGGAACCACTCCTTGCGTACCCAGTCGACTATGGTGATACAGACGACGGTAACGCTAGACAAGGAGAACCGGCGTGTTCGACAGGTGGCGCAATTGAGTAATACGCGGCATCGCAGCTCTGCATCTTCCAGAAGCTCCAGCGACTTCGGAAGATCCAATGTTCCGGTGCCGAACTGCTCAACACGCATCAGCGTGTGAAGGACTGATAAGGTGCAGCCGCAGGTATTTGTAGCCATCAGCTTGAGCTTGATTAGTACGTCTGCTGTCCAACTAATTAGATTTATGCTCACCGCTAGATCATTTCTGTCCAAATGCTTGGTTGAGAATAAAACAACACGAACTGATTTAAAGCCATAAAGTCAGATTCAGAGTGAAGTGTCGGCCCCCGATCCCCGATTGGATCGGCAAAGTACAAGTTGCGGGAACGCGGGATATCTACGGTCCGGCCAAAGCCGCACAGCTGCAGACTACCATGGCCGTGCATATGCAACGCAATTGAACAGTACAAAGTGGACGCCTACTACGGTCTCCGGTGCGAATTTGCCTAGACTTGACGGGTCGTCAGGGTCTCGGCTTGTGCCACGAACGTGCCACGCCTGCTAGCAACTCCAGTGTCCATGAAACCTTCCTGATGTAGCTAGACAACAATAGATGTCATTATTTTGATCGGTGTAGAATACCATTAGAAATTTTTGCATCCTCCGCCACCCTACCTAGACGCCGTTCTCCACACTTATGCCTGCAACTATAGTGGTTTCGCAGCATCTTAAAAGGAACGCTTGCTATGCCTTTCCCACTTATGAAACTTGGGCTTGATTCCACGGTTCCACGTCATCCAAAGAATACACTCGCCGTGCATTTGACCTCATTATAGAGTTCGTGATTATGCTGAGTGTTATCGTGAATAATTCTTAGCACTGTCTTGGCAAATAGAAGGCTTCGATTTGCAGTTATTGATAATCATAAGTAGGACTGCTGCGTATCGCAAGAAGATCTTTGGTAACCAAAGTCTCCCTCAAGATTGCTTCGACCCGACGGGGATCGACTAGTGTTAAGCCTCAGCTCCAGCTACCGTGGCAGGAGAGCCGAAAAGATATCACAGTTCATGGTCACAGTTGGTTGATTGATTGATTATTATTGATGTTGGGTTGGCGAGCTTCTAAATACGCGAGCGTCCCATAGGGCATTGGTTAATGTGGCGGCGTAAACAGCAACTATATGGAACAATTGACGACTGCGCTGAGTTGCTATCTAGCTACGATAGGGCAACTTATAATAGCCCCAGAATAAACCAGTCTAGAACAGTCTGAGTGCGTACAGTTGGATCTATACGGACTAATTGTACTGCAGCAATTAACGTGTGAAGCAGTGAACAAGTTAAGGGCTACGACCTCTGGCTTTCTCCGAACACAGTTCTTGGGTAAGGCGCTTACTATAGGGTAAGCCCTTTACTGTAATCGTGCATCAAAATCCTCCACCAATTAACAAAATTGCTGCGTAGATTTAGTTTTACATACAAAAGGTTCTTCCAGATGACACAAGTAAACCAGGCAGGCCTGCAAACTTATTTTCTCACCATCACAGTGAGCTCACAGCCGGAACAGTACTTATTATCATCTCAACTTATTTGGGCCTGACAACTAGCGAGTGGCGAGGACAGCTAATTTGTTGCGGTATCAAGGGCAAATGTATATAACGAGTGTATTCTGTTGTTCTGTGTTGTTGTCCTGCTTGTATCTCTGCTCTCCAAGGCTTGCTGCGGGGTCTGTTTTGATGACGTGTTTGTGATGCAGCTGAGGTAAGAGGTGCTCAACAACATGAGGAAGTAGCACCAGACCACCGCCAACAACACGTGATCTGCTTCTCCTCCCAACCGTTACATAATTCCTATAGTAAATCATAGCACGTTATTTAAACATGTCCTTAGGATGTTCTTACCGCTTAAATTTCTATGATAGCTCTCTTCTTACAAAACACCAATCCAAAATTGAGCTGGTCAAGACATTAACTTCTGACGTTCAAAAGGGGGAGATATTAGTACGAGTTATTGTGAATAAGTTGTGGATTCAACTTTTTACTCTACAGCGCGAATGGCTACCAAACAATCTATAGTTTGACCTTTCGTAGCTTATCCAGTCTAAACATTCTAGTGAAAATTCTAGCCTAAGTTTTGCGTTAGTGATATGTATTGTTTAGGAAGATAACTCCGTACCCAAACACTTTGTAACCCAAATGTTTCCAGAACCCAGACAGCACGGCTCCACGGACCAATCCAGAAGTTCATTGGAGGTGCTGCCACCTTTGCATAGACAGCCGTTGCAAACTGTCCACGTGCAAGCGTTTTTACACCATCTAACATCAGTCACCATCTATACGTCAAAACAGGGCATTGATTCTGCTTACGTTCTTCATGAGACATGCGTGACTCAAACTCTGCTTGCACGGGTAGGTATAGAGACGATGAAGGAAGAACTCGAGTTGCACGGGTCATTAGCCCGCTCTCGACAGGTCCACTCAAGATCTAAAGAATGTTAGCAATTCATTGCTTCTGCCATGATGCATGGGTAAATAATGTACCGTCATAACCTTGACGCTAAAATCGTTATATTAGTATGGTGAATTCTCCAATCGTACAGGTTCTCCTTACTTGAAAGGGCTAAGCTCGATACGAAGTGTATTACCCATGGCAAGCAGAGCAGCTTTACTGCCATTGTATGCAGCTAGATTTCGACAAGATCAGAACATGTTACTCTTCAGGTGAGCTGCCGGTACGCAAACCTCCGAAAGCATATGGAGAGTATGCTGCCAGTGATCCAACGTTGACAATAGTGCCTTTGGATTCGATCAAGAGGTCAGTCATAGCCTTAATAACCCGGATCGTTCCGAAGACGTTGATATCGAAGATACGACGTAGCTCGCTCATGTCAAGATCGAGCACAGGCATAACATAGTCTTCGCTACGTTAGCATGCTGCTGTGACCCTATTAGACGATGACTTACTAATACCACTGTTGACTTAGTTAGCCTTTTGTAGTTTTTATTTCTCAATCGGTATTAGGCGACTACTACTTACGCCGAATTAACTAAGACATCCAACTTTGCGAAATGCTTGTGCAGAAAGCTAGAGAAATTGGCTACACTGATGTCACTGGTGACGTCAAGAGGGCAGCAAATCATCCCTAGAGCCTCGAGATCTGAAAGTTGTTCGTGCGGAAGGCATGTAGCGCAAACGATGTAATCTAAAAATAAGCGATTGTCATGTGGAACATCGTAACCGTAGATGCATTACCATTCTTATGGAATTCTAGGGCCAGAGCCTCACCGATACTGTTCGGGCTGCATCTGTGATTTAAGCCATAGCTGTTAATGAATCTGTCAACCGCCTTTGTTGTGTCTAGAACTTACCCAGTGATCACGACAGATTTCCTGCTCTTCTCCATGTTTACGGCGCTGCCGGATGAAGAAAGGCTGGGAGGAATTTCGGAATTGCTACATGATATCTTCTTGAATAGTTTATAAAGCATAAAGTTCCTCTGCTAAGAATTGCATATCATCTAATCCGTCCTTACTTCGGGGAGACGGTATGGGCGGTAGATCTTGCATAATCTGGTCCACCACCGAGAGCGAATTAATTCGTCATGTATTTTAAAGCCCGAGATTCTTCTTGATTTGGTATTATGCATCGTGAATTGAAACTCGGGTGTATTACAGACCGTCCCATAGGTTCGACCTCGTTCAAATACAGGGTCGGACACCGACTTTATTCCCATTCAAATGCAGGGTCGGGTACCGACTCATCCACTTTCAAGTTCCAATAAGCTCGGCCGAGTTAGAATCGAATGATCTCGACTTTCGGCACCTTTCGGCCCCTCATCAATTGCAACCGATGAATAAGAAAGCGCGTCCGGTCGAAAGAAACAATCATCAATGTCGACTCAGTACGACGTGTCAACAGTGCAATGAAGGGTAGCGAAAATATGAAACGCGACCAGCAAGAGACGTCACGAGAGCCCACAGTCCTGGAAACGAGGCCAGCAATGACAGTCCCTTCGCAAAACTTGGTTACATGGACGAATGACGCAGATTTGGAAAACCCAAGGTAATACACTGCGATGGTAGTTCTCACCCTCGCTGACCTTTTTGCTAGGAATTGGAGCCCCATAAAAAAATGGCTTGCTCTGTCTACCGTGTCATTCCTTGCTTGCATAAGGTTGGAATAGAAGTCTACACGAAAAGAGTGTCAGCATGCTAAAGTTCCCAGTCCTTTAGCCTCTTCAATGATTGCTCCGGCCACAGCGCTCATCAGCAGGGATTTGAAGAACGATTCAGACACGTTCTCCGTCCTTGTAGTTACCTTCTTTATTCTTGGCTACGTGGTACGTCCACCAATATTCCCGGAATTTACGACGCTTATGAATTTGTTTATAGTTCGGGTCGCTTCTGTTTGGCCGCTTGAGTGAGATATATGGCCGCCGTCCTGTTAGTAATTACCTCGTTCACCTGCCCACTAAAGTTCAACAACTGACCCTTTACAGATTCTCTTAGCCTCTAATTTTATCTTTTCAATATGGCAGCTGGGTTGTGCACTATCTACCAGTATAAAGATGCAAATGGCATTTCGTCTGCTAGCTGGCTTTGGTGGCTCCGGCTGCATCGCTATTGGTGGGGGTGTTATATCCGATGTTTTCGATCTCAAAGAACGTGGCTTGGCTGTCACAGTATTCTCTGTGGGACCTTTGGTAGGTCCAGTTCTGGGTCCTATCGTAGGTGCATACATTAGTCAAGACTTGGGTTGGCGAGCAGTAAGTGTTAGCTTATTTCGTTCAAAGCTTGACGTCAACTAATCGCTCAGATCTACTACTTCATGTTCATTACGTCCATGATAGCAGAGATAGTCACCTTCTTTGTAGTGAAGGAGTCTAATCCTCAGACCGTACTTTGTCAAAAACGCGATCGATTGCAAAAGCTGACTTCGACACCTCTCTTCCTCGAGAATGAACTCTCAGCCATCTCTAGCAAATCGCCAATCTATGACTTGCTCATATCTACAATTCTACCATGGAAGGTGAGCTTACACACATCACACTTCTTATATCAATCACTGAGCACCCTGACAAAGTTACTGTTCTTTTCCCCAGTAAGCGCCTTACTGTGTGTGTACATGGCCTACGTATATGGTTTGTTGTACCTGCTTTTCACGACAATTTCGATCGTTTTCGCAGGGAACTACGGATGGTCGATTAGTACATCAAGTCTGGTGTACCTTTCTATTGGAGTGGGGTTTTTCATTGGTCTCGTAGCACACGGTGTCCTCTCAGCTAAGATGTTGAAGAATTCTTTGAAACTTAGCAACGACAAGTTTGAACCGGAGATGAGGTTAGAACCTTGCAAGATTATGGGACTCATGGTGCCTCTGTCTTTTTTCTGGTATGGTTGGGCGGCGGACAAGCAAGTGCACTGGGCCGTCCCGGTAGTTGGTCTTTTGCCTTTCGGTGTTGGGCTGATAGGAGTCTTTTTGCCCATTCAGAACTACATGATTGAAGCTTTCCCGGAAGTCTCAGCAAGTGCAACGGCTGTCTTGGCTTCTTCGAGGAACGTTGTCGGAACATTTCTCCCTATTGTTGCGCCAAGCATGTGTAAGATGCTCACTCACTTTCTCTACTTCCTGAAATATTTACCGACATTGATTAAGAACTAACCATGAGAATAGATCGAAAAATGGGAATCGGCTGGGGAAACACTCTGCTTGGCTTCCTTTCAATCATCGCACTTCCGTTTGCCTGGATCGTAGCAAGGTAAGAGAAGCTTGAGCCGGTTTCATAAATGTCATACTTATACTAATACAACAATTAAGGTACGGGAAGTCGCTAAGAGCAAAATATCCAGTAAATTTGTAGCGATGAAATCTTTGTTGTAACTCTCATCTTCCAATCCCCTTCATTTCACCTAATAGCTATCGTGTCTTATAACTACTTGCTACAGCTATAGCTAGCGCTTTAGTTAGCGAAACTACGTGATATGTCCTTAATTAAAAATTCAGGAAGACCAAGCTTTGTTCGAGGCTGCCGCCCTCTGATTGGCCAGCTCGTTAGTTCCCGCTCCCACACACACACATGTAGATAAGCGCTCTTCCGTAGTACCAAAATACATCATCATTCTTCTAACGCCTGAACTTAATGTCCTTGCGCTCCTATCACTCGTACTCCTATTAGCACAGCTTCTGCTGCGTGGCAGTAAGATAAGCAAGTGACGTAGCATTGTTGTTGTGATCTGTTAGTTAAGGTGTAACGGTTGAGAGGAGAAGCAGATCACGTGTTGTTGGCGGTGGTCTGGTGCTACTTCCTCATGTTGTTGAGCACCTCTTACCTCAGCTGCATCACAAACACGTCATGCAAAACAGACCCCGCAGCCAGCCTTTGACAGGCCAGACACAAGCACAAGAACAACACAGAACAACAAATACACTCGTTAACGTGTTTTACAAGCGAGCGCCGCGTACAAGCGAGCGCCGCACCCTACCAAACTTGCGCACCTCAAAGCCCTGCAACTCAACAACGTGATAATATAATATATAGGTAATTATGGAGTAGACTAAGTAGTACTCTAGGTAGTTATCCTTTTTACACGTACGTGAGTTATGGCCAGTCTCTCTGCACCTCTTGCAGCGTGCCAGAGCCTGGCGGCTGAGGCTTAATTGCTCTCCTCCTTGACGCTCTTCACGAGCAATCTGCTGATCGGCCTCATGTTGAGCGAGTAGATCCTCTCCAGCTCCCTTTGTTAAGACCCCACGCTGCTGTATACGCTTTTTCTTACGCTGTTTACGCGCTGACGCTGCCTCATTAGCCTTCTCAAGGCTGGTAATCTGATCGCGCATTAGCTCAGCTGAGAGCATCATTACCTCAGCGCCCTTCTTAAGTTGGTTAATCGCCTCAATAATTGAGGCAGGCGAGGAGCTCTTATGCCGCCGCACGCGATCACGTATTAACGTTGATTGAGCATCAAGCTCACGTATATTGCTCGGTGTACGAGCCTCCCAGAGAGCCTCTGGCAGAGCAGCTGGAGTAGGTGTACGCAGCAGCTGCACGTCAAGTTTTGATAGCACGGCATCTGGCTGGAGAGGCACAAGGCCGGCGCCTCGAAAGGCTGAGCAGATATTGGCTGAGGTGAATGATTGATTGAACGCTGCCTTGAACGCTGGCAGAAACTCAAGCTTGGTAATATGGTTGATATAGTGGCAGATCAGACTCTCAACCTCATAGCTATACGCGCGCTTCAACAGCGAGAAGCAGCCAACGTCAAGAGGCTGTAGTAGGTGGGATGAGCGAGGCGGCATACAGAGCGTATAGATATTGTTCTCCTTGCAGAGCTCTTGGAAGTTAAGAGAGTGGTGGCTCTCGTAGCTATCAAGAATAAGCAGGCGATGTGCTCCTACTACACAAGCCTTTGTGTGAGCGTTGAAGTGCTTTAGCCACTCAACTCCTAGCTCATTGTTCGTCTAGCTGTTGTCACTAACTGCAATTACCTAGTTGCGTGTGATATCCTCCTCGTACCAGGCAGAGAGGTGGTACTTGCCAGCGAAGATGAGGAACAGTGGGACTGACCAGCCAGCTGCATTGATTGCAGCGATCAACGTCACCCACTCACGATTGCCTGGCTGGATAGCCTTTGGCATGCCTCTCCTCTCTAACCCTGTCACGACGAGCTGAGTCGTGATCTTGCCCATCATAAAGCCAGCCTCATCAAAGTTGTAGACATCATCATCGCAGATACTGTACTTGGCCTTTGTCTCCTCTATAAGCTCAAACCAGCTTCTGATAAGAGCTGGATCCTCACACAGGGCTCTCTGTCTATCGTACGCTCGATTGAAACGCGTCGTGAGACTGTCTGTACGCTTGACAAAGTTGCGTGGCCAGTGGACGCCAACCTGACCTGCACCGCGCGCAGCCAGCAGCTTATCAGCCATATCACGTACAGCTGCGTACGTAGGCGCAAAACCACGTTAATCCAGATTGAGTATATAGCTGATAATCACCTCCTCTTCACGCAGAGTAAGCTTCTTTGAGTTGGGCTGGCAATCACGTCGGGCAGGCTTGCCAGCGCGTAGGCGGCGGATTGTTCGTTCAGGTACGCTATAGATAACAGCAGCACTGCGATTGCTCTGTATCTGGTAAGAATTAATAGATAAGATAGCAAGCTGAACGTCTGCTTCATTTGAAGCTGATAGAGCAGCGCTGCGTTGGGCCATTGTACGTTGAGATGAGAGAGGTGCGCAATTTTGGTGGGGTGCGGCGCTCGCTTGTACGCGGCGCTCGCTTGTAAAACACGTTATATACATTTGCCCTTGATACCGCAACATAAGGTTTGTTACGGTGCAAGTCGGTTCGACAGGCCTCAATCGTCACCTCTGTTGACTACCTTGGACTAGCACGTCTCAGGGCATGTATATATGGTTGCCTCCTAGCTAGCAATATATAGCGGCTACGTTTGCCGCAACAAGGTTCAATTAGTGCCATTAACGTAGGCAAGACTGCTGCCTTTGTGGCAGGGTCAACGTACTGCCAGAGCTTGTTCTTCTGCGCAGCATCTTTTTGTATGAACAGCCACTTGTGCCAGTTATCAGCTCGATTGAGGACAACTGTCACTCAGGTGACTTGCAGGGTCTGACTCAGCGCCGAACCACCAAAACACCTCTATTATCTCAGCTCTACAACAACACAACGCAACAGGATTAGAAAAAGCGCTTGCAGAGTGTAATACTTTTGCATCTAGAGATGAGATCCAATGGTCTAAAATAGCAGAAAAGCATGGTGTTGTGCAGTCAACGTTGACGCGCACGTAGAGGGGCGAGACGCGTTTGTGGGAGGAGCAGGCAATTGCACAACAGAAACTCACCCCACAACAAGAAAAGGAGCTTGTTAAGTATACAGAGGAGCTTAATGCTCGTCATATACCTCTTACAAGAGAGATGATCGCCAATTTCGCGTAAGCAGTCGCCCAGGACCTAGTGAGCAAGAGCTGGGTCACCTGCTTCATCAACAAGTACTCTATCCATCTTATCTCTTAATAATTAACAGGTATGGACGCTGATTGTCACAATGCTGATTCCTACAGCAAGTATAAGCTGTACTTCAACTTACTGCAGTGTAAGATTGCTAAGTATAAGGTTAACTTAACGCTAAGCACATATACAATATAGATGAGAAGGGCTTCACGATAGGAGTTACCTTATGAACAAAGCATGTGATCAGCAGGTGTATGTAGGAGAAAAGGAGGTTAAGGTATCACTTTAAGATGGCAATTGTGCCTAGATAACACGTTTAGCGTGTGTGTGCAGTAATAAATCAGCTCTGCCCCCTGGCCTCTACAACTCCGCCAACAACACCATCCAATCACGCTAGGCAGAGAAAATTAAGCCAGAGGTACACCCTGTACTTGTTATCTTAATACCTACAGGCTAGACAAACAATAAGCTAGGCCTTGCTTAGCTTAAATAGGTCTTTAATTTCTTCTCTAAGCAGAAAGCTTTAAAAAGTACTACCTACTCATTCTTAACAGCCACAGCTACAATGTAATAATAGACTTTATCAACTACTGTAATTAGAACAAGATATTCCTAGCTATCCTTCCCCCTTATTTAACCTACACGCTGCAGCCGCTTAACAAAGTGATGTTTAAGCCTCTGTTATCTGCGTACTCAATGTCAGGCTGGGCATGTGGCGAAGCCACCTCTGACCCATGACACCAAGGCATGTAACAAAGCTACCTCTGACCTGTGTCTTGTAACGATATCAGTACTGTTCCGGCACAGGCTCACCATCAGTGTGAGCCATGTTACCTTTTGGTTTGCTTGTCTCAGTGGCCGGAGCTGAGGTCCTACTAGGCCTACAAATATACTAGACAGCTCTGCTCTAGCATTTTACAAGAGAAGAGACAGACCTTTAAGACTGCTGTCTGACAGGCCAAGAGGCAGTACTAGAGGCATGTTATTAACAACGCCAAGGACGATAAGGACCTGTTTAAGATCATTGCCTAGCAAAAGCTTACACTAGAGAATTGTTAAACAAGGTATGTGTAGCACGGATAGATAGAGGACCAGGTTTCAAGAAGTATATTGAGAGGGTAAGGATAGAGTAATCGCTACTGTTCGGTAGCAATGGTGGAGGTATTTATCCTCTGGACTTCCCGGACGGGCTAACGACCACGGGCCGGACTCCGTCCTGACAAGAATTAGGACACTCCTCTTATTATGAACAACAGGGCAAAATCAGACCCCCTAGAGAAGGCAGAGGCTCTTAGAGAGGAAGTTCTTAACTAGTACACAACAGAGGATGACCTTAGACGCCACCTAGACTAGGGGAATGCAGCTACTCTCCCTTGGAGCACACACATCTCACTAGAGGAAACCGAACAAAACATAGTAGGGGTCTTAAGCACCTTACCAGGCACTAATTGCTCTACTGTACGACTACTCTCCGCCTGCTAGGCTCACTTTAGGGAACTCATACGAAGAATCTTCTAGCAATGCCTTAAGCTCAACCACTTCCCAGCACAGTAAAAGCTCGCAGAGGTAGCAATAATACCTAAGACAGGGAAGACAGACCAAACATCGCCCCGCTCCTAGAGACTAATAGCACTCCTCTGATGCATTAGAAAGAGGCTTAAACAAACAGTGGCTCGACGAATTACATAGACTGCAATAACACGCAAGGTCCTTAGCCCCTAACACAGGGGCGCCCTTCTAGAACGCTCAGCAGCAGACCTTACTGCTGCGTTTACCTACAACACCGAAGCAGCTTTAGTACTTAGAAAGTATTTCACTATAGTCACCTTAGATATACAAGGCGCTTTTGATGCCATCCTTAAGAACCACCTGCTACACTATATAGCCTAACAGGGCTAGCCACAAAGGACTATACTCTTTGTAAACTTATTCCTCACTAACTAGAGGGTTCAAGTCCGCCTTAGACAGGTCACCACCCCTAGCTACCCTGTGGCCTGTGGCACGCCCTAAGGCTCGCCTCTCTCTCCTGTCTTATACACACTGTAACTAGCTGAGCTACTCTCTATAGACACAGAACGGAGATTTGGATATGGAGACAATATCTGTCTATACTAGGCCTCACACTCTATAGACAACAACGTCAAGCTCCTAGCATTCTACGGCAGATCAGAGCATAGGGAGAGGCTTAAAAGGTCACATTTGCACTAGAAAAACAGGAAATAATACACCTAACTAGACAGCAAAGCAGCTACGCACCACTATGTGTCATAGATAATCAGCTCACACTCTATCCAGTCTCTCCAGGTGGAGAGCACAGCCAGCTAGCCCTGCGCTATTTAGGAGTGTGGTTTGACCAAAAACTTACCTTTAGACAACATGTAGCTACACGCACTGCAAAGGCTACTAAAGTAGCGTATCATATTTGTAACCTAGCCAGGACTACCTATAGACCATCAGCCAGCTCTCTCTGCAAGGCTATTATTGCCTGTGTGTACCTATCACTCCTGTACGGGAGTGAGTGCTGGTACAGAGGCTGCACAAAACAGCCACACTTACTTAAACTAGGAAGGCCATAAGACGTCAGCGCCTACATTGGGTGGCACATAGCTGCTATAGACAAGACGCTGGCTGTAGCAGCAAGAGGCATCCTACTAGTGTGGAGAACAACCCCTGTAGCTGTACTATTCCGAGACGTCGGACTGCTGCCAACAGAGGTAGCACTAGAGGAAGCCAAATATAGATTTGCAACACGTCTACGCACCACAGACTTGGACCACCCTCTTACTAGGCGCATATTAGTACCTATTGTAAACAGGGGCGTAAAGACTAAACAGCCCCAGCAAGTCAAGACTAAAGTCTAACAGATAGCATCTCTTCTACTAGAGATCCCTAGGACTACACTTACAGCCTCTTACTACTTAACTGGCTGTCAAACTAACCCAATGCTTGGCATAGACAAGAAGATAGTAGCTAAGGTATTTAAAGAATAGTGGGCTTAGCTCCTACTATTAGACGCCACCATCTTCTTAGATAGCTCTGAACAGTACACAAAGGAAGGAGAAAAGCAGGTCACCTACAGCTTTGCAGTGTATCAGGATAGAAGACAACTGCAGACTAGACGCAGATCACTCCACCCTACCTCACACGTCTTTAACACTGAGGCTGTGGGAGCTTGGAGAGGCCTCCAGCATACTATAAGACAACCAGAGCTCTGCACCCGCCGAATCTGGCTATGTATAGACAGCACCTTAGTAATATGGTGTCTTAGGGGCAACGCACCCCTAACCTCTTTTAGGCTTTCCTAGAATTCCATAGTGCTATAGAGACCATGCCGTCTCTATTAGATGGGCCCCTAGACACCTAGGCATTGAAGGAAACGAGGCCGCAGACAGACTGGCCAACCTAGAAGCCTAACACCTATCACCCTCAACTAGAAAAGCTGCGGCGCCTAAATTCTTAGGCATTAAGACAGTAGCTTGTAAGACTTTACAACACACCCAACAGACCTAGTGATCTAACAAGAAGACTAAGCTCTTAAGATAGTACAAGAGCTAGAACTTAGACTATGAACCACGCAGTCGTTGAAAGGAGCTATACCTACTAAGAGCTATCTTAGCTAGACTGCTTTCTATTCAGACTAGACATTGCGATTTCGCCTAGTACTACTAAAGGTACAACTATAAGGATGCAAACCTTACCTGCTTATGTAGACAAGATAAGACACCTAAACATCTTGCGCTCTGTTGCAAGACTGTTGCGTTATCAAGGGCAAAATGTATATAACGAGTGTATTCTGTTGTTCTGTGTTGTCGTGTTGCTTGTGTCTTTCTCTCCAAGGCTCGCTGCGGGGTCTGTTTTGACGACGTGTTTGTGATGCAGCTGAGGTTAGAGGTGCTCAACAACATGAGGAAGTAGCACCAGACCACCGCCAACAACATGTGATCCGCTTCTCCTCTCAACCGTTACAAAGAAAGTAGTCTAGTCCTTCCCCTACTTTCTTTACACCTATACCACCATCAAGCTAGGTGGACAGCCTAGCGTACACTGCAGCGCTAACAAGGGAGCCAGAGGCGTTTAAAGCGTTTATTAGACTCACACAGTACTACGACAGGATCTGCCCCTGCTAGCACTCATAGCCCTGCAACAGCAACAAGTCATGCAACACCTTAAAGGCTTGGCTCAACTGCAACAGCTGCAATACTCTCCACCCCTCCACCTCCCTTTCTATCCCTTCCCACCCCCCTCCTCCCCCTACACGCACTCTTTCTCTCTTTCTCTCTCTCTCTCTCTTAGCACATAGATGCCCTAAATTGCAGGGAAATTACCCTAATGTACACGCACTGCTCAGCCTCCCCAACTAGAAGAGGAGCTGTAGTTCTGAAAAAGTAGCAATACCCACACAGGCAAGAAATGCTTTCTAAGGTAGTGTGCTAGCACTGTAATCCTATAGCTTAGCACGTCGTGTATGCCCTTTGGGAGGCGAGATAGTGGACTTCATCCCCATTAACTGGACGTAAAATAAATACCAGCCAACTAACTAACCCCTTTAGCCTAACATTATCCTCTAACGCTTTGCAAAGGATACCCCGAAGCCCTCTAACAGCAGCACAAGCTCTTGTTTAGTCTATTCTAACAAGGATTGGCTCAAAATTAAGACTCAGCTGCTGGAGGTTGCCAGGGATGAGAGCAGTAAGGAGCTGAGGAAGATCAGCTACTCGCTCCACTACATCTTAGTTCAGAATCAGCTCCTCCACTATAAGATAGCAGGCCTTAATGAGGTTTTTAAGACTTAGAAGAAGCATAAGAACAAGAGTAAAGCTCTTTAGTTCCAGCGTCGCAAGGACTATCACGGTAGAGCTGAGTTTCACTCTCCTAGTAGAGTAGAGAACGCACGCTCTGATAAGAGGACTAAACAACAGAACTAGAAGGCAGAAGAACTTAAAATAGCAGAGATGGCGAAGCTCAGGCACGCTAACAAGCTTTACAACGAGAAGATTGCTCAGGAGAGGCGTGAACAGCGGGCAAAGGAGAAGGAGGAACGTGAGCAAGTTACGGTACCGTACCGGTAGAGCTGAGAAGGCCGAGGAAGCAGCCGAACGCAAGGCTCAAAGAGAGCGTAATAAACAAGCTCGCGACGCTGAAAAAGCTTTAAAATTGCCCCAAAGACACAATCGCAAAGCTTCAGCAGCTCCTGCAGCAAGAATACCAAAGAAGCGTTGTACTATGACCACAGTACGTGGTGTTGCTGCTGCAGAGCCTCCTGCGGCACCTCGCACCCACACCACCCGTAGCAGCAGAACCGCAACTCTATATAATTAATTTGTATGAGATAATATCGTCAAATAGATCTATAGAATAACCCACCAAATTATCTCGCGATCATAGTTATTATATGTGGCTCTATAGCCTCAAGTTTGGCGGTGCGCATTAGGGGGGTTCTGCGCATTGCGCGCACGAACACGGTAGGTATCCAACACATCATCAATATAAAACGTTAACTTATCATCATAATATCTGACAAGCTTAAACATCACTACATTAAGTAGCTAAAGCGTGTGGGCTGAGTAACTAGGGAAAGCAGATAGGGGTATCTTGTTCTAATTACAGTACTTGATAAACTCTAAAGTAAGGTGTGACCTGTGGCTGTTAAGAATTCGAAGGCAATAATTTCTCTGTGCTTTCTCCTAAGTATAGCAATCAAAGACCTGTTGTAACCAGGCAAAGCCTGTTTTGTTAGTTGTCTAGCCTAAGGGCGTAGAAGTATTGTGCGCAGTGTGCTCTCCTGACTTAATTTGCTCTACCTAGCCTAATTGAATTGTACTGCTAGCTGACTCGTATATAAGCTGTCGCGGAGCAAGAGGTCAACCTTTTTACTCCCTTGAGTGAGTTCGTCTTAACCGCGACATAAGTCCTAGCAGCAATGCTGATCCATCACCACACACACAGGCTATCAACGTGATCCACGCAAAATTGCCATCTCGTAAGGATGCCTAACCTCCCTTTTGTCCCACATACGTCGGCTGAGCACGTGTTTAGTCCCAGTGGTGACTCTAATCATGAAGCTCTTCTTATCTTTATTGTATGTATGCTCAGCGTCAACATTGATCTTGGCTTAGAGCAAGTTAAAATAGAGCTTGTACTTGATGTAGGAATTGACTTTGTAACAATTAGAGTCCATAACTATTAAGTAGTGAGAGAAAAGACAATTGGAGTACTTGTTGATAAAGCGGGTACCCCAGCTCTCGCTCACTGGCTCCTGGGCTACTGTTGAGGCGAAATTTGCAACTATCTCTCGCGTAGGAGGTAAGTGACAAGCAGTAAGTTCCTCTTTATACTTCACAATCTCCTCCTCTTGTTGTGGGGTGAGCTTTTGCTGTGTTACTGCCTGGTCCTGCTGTGATCGCGTCTGGGCTCAGTATCTGCGCGTCAAAGTTAAGCGTACAACACCATGCTTTTCTACAATTTTGGACCACTGGATTGTATCACAGGGTATTCGAGTCTACCTCTGCAAGGGCTTCGTTTATTGGCATCATGGCGTTGAGTTATGGGGTTGTGAGTATTGTTGACTGTAGAGAGACGCGCACATCGCGCGCACGGACACGGTACGGTACGTTACGGTACATAACGGTGTGCATTGAGTGCACAGGCTCGGTAGGTACCCAAGCTTTGCCGAAAGAGTGCCCGAACATTACCAGCAGAGTAAGAGATCTCATCCCCGAGCAGCTGTGCTTACAGCACTCTCTGTTCCTTGACCCCTCTCCCAGTCACCGTTCTTGAATGTATCAGCATTGCCTGCCATTGCTCTTCGAAGTGCCCATTCCTTGTAGGTCGGGAACAGTTCTTGGTGTTTACCTAGGGGCCGGAGTTGTACGTCATTATCAGGTCGTACAAAGTAGGCCAGGCTGTATCTAGCATATGGATGCTGCTCGCCAGGCGGAGTGGAAACTCGATGAATATTGCTCTTGTAGTTGCCAGCAGACCACTTCACCATAGCGTCACCGAGGTTGACAAGACAGGTCCTTGGCACAGGCTTCACCCATTTCCAGCCCGCGTTCTGACCAGGAATTAGGTTGTCTGGGATATATAGCTGAAGCCCGCCTATGGCGTTGAATAGGACTGTAAGGGATCCCCAATCTGTGTGAGCCTGAAGGTTCGCATTTTCACCAGCTGAAGCAGGGCATTTTAACAGGCGGACATGGGTACCAGAGTTATTACTGTGGCTGTGGAGTTTAGGGAGGTATTGCGGGTCTGTAGCCTCAAGGTTCAAATCGGTAGAGAGGATGTCAAGCACCTCGTTTGTGATGAACCTGCCGAGGGAAGAGAAATTTCTCATTTCCGGAAAAGCAGCGTGCAGAATGTTGTTGTACTTGGCTTGGGAGCGCCCAAAACCATCGAGGTCACCACAGCCGATGTAGTATTGCTGGTTGTTGTCCCTGCGACCGGTTTTGTCCACAACAGACTTTCCCAGCCCCTTGTAGCTACAAAATTTAGTTAGATTAATAATTAGAGAGCTTACAGAATCGACAACTTACCCTAGCAGAGACTCTCCGTTGCCGAACACATCATCTGCAAGAAGAATTTCATCAGGAAGACTAAAAGTCTCTTGAGAAAGTTTGAACATCTCGTTGGCAGCAGCTAACATTTGCATACCATCTTTTGTGTCTGAAAGATCAATCCTAAAGAAGCCGACAGTCTTGCAAGAATCGATGATTTTACGTATTGTTGCCCCCTCCCGAGCCTGTAGAGCTTTGAGTGAAATAGTGTCAAACTCAATTGTTTCGATGTCGGATGGGAAGGCTGGAAGTTTGTCCCAGCCATTGATAATATCTGGGGCGAAGTCAAAGGAGGCCATGTGGTATCTCTGAAGCTTTGCAGCGCCGTCTCTTAAAATCCTGGGAATGGTGAAATTGCAATGAAGGCAGCTAGTAGTCGTGCCTTTTGGCGAAAGGTACCTTTGAAGAGGAACTGCTGTAACATGTACTATTCATGCACTATATATAATGGTCGTAGGTTGGACTTGCGTTAGGAATACGCCAGAGATTTGATACCTATGGCGGCAACGTGGACCCGAAGCCACCATGTCAACTCAGTTCACAAGCTGGCCGGGCCGACTAGCTGAGATGTGACGTGGCATAATCCTTAGCGTTTAATCTCAGCCCTCCTTTCAAATAACAAGTTATGCGCTATACCTAAATCGTTAGAGATCTTTCCGCTTCGGTACCCGACCTCTCGGTTTCCGAGACGTCTTGCCTTAAGACCAGAAACCCGCGATGAACAATCAGGCGTCAAAGGGCTGTCTGATAACCCATTCATCTTAGTGCCAGCTCTACTGTCTCAAGGAAACCTCAAATTGTATCCTCTCTTTCAGGCAATCGTCGTTATGTCACTATCTATACCTGATCTTTTCTCGGTCAAATCTCTCGTAGCTGTCGTTACAGGGGGTGGGACGGGGATAGGTCTCATGATAGCGAAAGCTCTGGAGCATAATGGTGGAATTGTGTACATTGTCGGACGCCGTGAAGAAGTATTACGGAATGCATGCAAGCAAGCAAAAGTAAGTTGTGCATCAAAATCGTTGGAGAGAAGACTTAGCAAGATTTTTTTTCTAATCGATACCACAGTTTGGCAAAATTCGTTACATCGTTGCCGATGTTACGGATAAGGTATCTCTTCAGCACGCAGTAAATGTTATCAATGATGAAGTTGGATACATCAACCTGTTAGTCAATAACTCAGGTACCGTTGGACGACGGCATAGTTCGCTTCCAAGGCCGCCGCCATTTCCTCCGCTTCCCAAAGAGTTTGTTGTTTCGGAGCCAGACAGCGATTTCACAACCATTCGCGGAATCAGGGAATTCCTTTGGAAAGATGAGCCAAGCGACTGGAGCCATGTGTTCAGCGTCAACGTGACGGGTATCTGGCTGACCAGTATCGCCTTCCTCGAGCTGCTCGATGCCGGGAACAAGCACCAAAATTTTTCCGCGAAGAGTCAGATAGTCACCGTTGGAAGTATAGGTGCATTTCTCAGGCTGGTAGGGGGTACATCATATTCCTATAATTCCAGTAAAGCAGCTGCAACTCAGCTAGCCAAGATGTTTGCATCCAATTTCGTGCAATGGGGCATTCGTGCGGTAAGTTCGTACCCACAGTCATGTCTTTGAGCAACTCTGAACCTGTTCTTACTGACCGCTTTTATTTGAGTAGAATGTAATTGCACCTGGAGTTTACCCGTCTGAGATATCCGCTGGCACGGAAAATCTTGACGATAAAAATTCGAGCCAGCTTCCGCCTAAGATCCCTGCTTGTGAGATTCCACTGGAGAGATTTGGGGAAGAGCAGGACATGGCATGTGCAATCTTGTACTTGGCTAGCAGCGGCGGGAGGTATCTCAATGGCTGCGTTATCGTGACAGACGGTGGCCGGCTGGGAGCTTTCCCAGCAGTGGCGTAGAAGGAAAAGCAGGCAACGCTAAACTTAGTTGTGAATGTATTTAAAATCTAACACATACTTTGATGAGATTTTACAAGAAGTAAGATCTTGGATTGAACTACATTTCTCACCAAGTCAGTTAGGGTCGACCATCCTACGTAGAAGATTGCTAACATAAGAACTACAACCGATGAAAGGCATCTATATTCTGGCTTCAATTTCACAAACAAGTTCTCGAACTTTAGCAAAACTCAGACAAAAACCTCTTCAAAGCCAATCTAGTTTGCTTAGAAGTTGGAACCCGGTGAAATGGAGAAGTGTATGAGACGACTCGTCCATCTATGTCCGCACACCTCTCTGTAAGTCGGATGCACCGGTCTTCGGAGACAATTGGGTCATCCGGGTTGATGAAATGGAGCACAGGAGTTTGGATCTTGTGTTCATAAAAATTTTGCAACACATTGTAGTGTTCGCGGTAGCCGCTATAGGATACAACGAACGTAACACGAGGGTGTGCTGTGTTGAAAGAGATTGGCCGGTTTTTTACTGGACGCTCCAGAAGCCCAGCCATAATGGCAGCAAGTGCGCCCCCTTGAGAGAATCCAACGATGCCATCAAAGGGCCCATGTTGTTCTAAGATCTTTGCCATGTGGCGAAGGGTGTCGTGAATCCGGTCGACATTCTCCAATGCGCTTGGATCCCACCATGAACGAAGAGCAATACCAGACATGGTTTCTCCTGCGTGGAAGGGGGCTTCAATATATATGATGCGTGTTTGTGTTGCGAAGGTTTCGTAGATGACCTTTTCAACTGGAAGGGTCTCTGTTTTGAAAATATCGACGTTTTGCTGGTAGCCATGGAGAAGAAGGAGTGTACGAGACATTGTTTGGGGAGTGATCGTAAGTGAATAAAATGTTTTTCTGCTCTGAAATTTTACGGTCTGGAACACTATCCTTTTATATCTGGAGTGGATATTGAAAGTGCTCAACAAAGGATACAGTCGTAGGTCTAACGTATCCACCCGGTCATGAGATATCCGAGAACTTGGTAAGACATAACGATAGAAGTTCCAGAATGGGAACAAGTGTGAAACCTGATTTCGGCGTTGATACGAGCTAGGGACTCGTTTGTTTGTTTAAAATTGAGAAGAAGCCGTTGGGAATCGCTTCTCAGCTTCGAAAATTACACGCTGACTCGGGCTCTCGAGAACGGGATATTTGGCAGTTCTTGACATGAACCTCAGTCATCTACGTGCCGGAGATCAAATGTTCAGTATTATTGCAGAGTCTCAGTAGTTTTTGTAAGAAATTGACCCCTGTGATCTGTATTTTCTAAGCGAAAAATGGCGCCGACATAGAGCTACGAGCAGAGATAGGCGGTGGCTCGCAATCGAGGCTAAAAACAACCAAGAGTCAGCGGGTCGGCTATTGTGCTTGATACCAGGGCCTCCATCTCGAGGCCGATAAGAGTTCAAAAAGGATTTTCCTTTGCGGTCTAGAGCTGCAATAGAGCATTTTCAGCTTTTTGCGAATGTGTGATCCATGTCAGCGTGCTAACGATTGCTCTGAAACGGGCTCTAAAGTAAGGGAAGCGATATTGCGTATCTATGAGAACAAATCATTGGTTCGGTCGTGTTGCGGTAAAAGCTCGGCGGTTCTTTTGCCCTTAGTACCATCTGCAGTACTAAGGCAAGCGATTCATGATAACTAAAGTCGGGTCCCGATGCAAAAGACTGGAGATCCTTGCTCGCCTAACGATGTTGCTTACATGCAAGGACTAATTATTGGTCCGTTCATGTTGTGGTAAAGACTCAGCAGTTCTATTTGCCCTCAGTACCGTCTACGGTAATTAAGCAAGCGATTCATGATGACTGAGGTCGGGTCCCGATGCAAAACACTGCCGACCCTTGCTCGCCTAACAATGTTGCGTACATGCGAGGACTAATTATTGGTTCGTTCATGTTGCGGTAAAGACCCAGCAGTTCTATTTGCCCTCAGTACCGTCTACAGTAATAAAGCAAGCGATTCATGATGACTGTGGTCGGGTCCCGATGCAAAAGTCCGAAGAAAGTTGGATCATCTCTTTAATACTTGAGGATAGAAGAAATTACACAAATGTGAGGCCTTGAGACACATCATTTTCGGAGTCCTGGAGATAAGTCCTGCCAGTTCTTCACTACTTGTGTCTAAATTTTCCTCATTCCGCTACTACTCTTCCGCACATCTGCCGTCTTCTATCACACGATAACTTCGGCATTTCCACATTGGTAGATTTGGATTGAACAAGGTCTACCTACACCATGTCTACTGTTTCAGCACCGACAGGTCCTGTGGATACTGTTGTGCCCAGCCCAGAGCCTATTGCTATTGTCGGCCTTGGTAAGGAGCTTCCAAACATTCATTCATTCCCATTTTTTGCTTACAATTGAACATAGGTTGTCGATTTCCTGGTGAATCTGACTCCCCCGACGAGTTCTGGGAATTCCTTCTGCAAAAGCAGTCAGCCTTTTCTCGACCGCCACTATCGCGTTTCAACATTGATGGATTTCATTCGAAAAAGAATAGTCCCGGTTCTCTGCGTCCGGAAGGTGGATATTTCATCTCTGACTCAATTTTTGACTTCGACCCAGCCTTCTTCGGGCTCACGCGAAGCGAAGCCTCGGCTATGGATCCGCAGCAAAGAAAACTACTGGAATGTGTCTTTGAGGCGTTTGAGTCGGGTGGCATTCCGTTGGAGCAAGTGTCTGGCTCCAACACAGGTTGCTATGTTGGAAATTTCACCTGGGACTACGGTCTCATGAATGTCAGAGATCATGACTACCCAAAACCCTACACGATGACCGGAGCTGGGGCCACAATTCTCAGCAATCGTGTCAGCTACCTCTTCAACTTACAAGGGCCTAGGTTTGTCCACCAACAGCCATCGTGAATGGTGGATTTCAACACATGAGCATTGCTAAGCCTTTTAATAGTTTGACGTTAGACACAGCGTGTTCTTCATCTTTGTACGCTGTCCACGTTGCCTCTCGAGCCCTACAGAGTGGCGAGATCGATGCCGCCGTGGTAGGTGGCACCAATTTGATATTGGCTGTTGAAGTGCAGATGGCAACGGACAAGATGGGTGTCCTCTCGCCTACTTCTACCTGTCATACCTTCAGTTCAGAGGCAGATGGATATGGCCGTGGCGAGGGAATTGGCGCATTGTACCTCAAGAGGCTCTCCGATGCCATTCGTGATCAAGACCCCATCCGTGGAGTAATCCGGGGGACAGCGGCGAACTCGAACGGCAAGACCAGTGGTATCACGCAGCCCAGCGCCAAAGGACAAGAAGCGGTGATGCGGGAGGCCTATCGCTTTGCTGGAAATCTTGATTACGCCGACACGTCCTACTTTGAATGCCATGGGACCGGAACTGCTGTCGGAGATCCAATTGAGACTATGGGAATCTCACGCGTGTTTCTACCGGATGATACGACCAGAGACTCGCTGCTAGTGGGTGCGGTCAAGACTAACATTGGCCACGGTGAAGCCTCCAGCGCTATGGCTAGCATTATCAAAGTGATAATGGCCATGGAGAATCGGATTATTCCTGCCACGATCGGTATCACTTCTTACAACCCTAAGATTGACTTTCGTGACGGGAAGCTGCAAGTTGTTCAGGAAAATATTGCATGGCCGGACAATTATCATGTCTGCCGTGCTAGCGTGAACTCCTTTGGCTACGGCGGAGCTAACGCCCATGCCATTATCGAAGCTGCGGACTCAGTCCTTCCTGGATATCGGTCTTTCGTTCGTAAGGGCGGGAAAACACTCTCCCAGTCACCTACTCTCGACATGATTGGAGTAAACGGCTCCAGTGTCCAGGCCATTCCGCGCGAGGAGTTTATCCTCCCCTTCTCCGCACACGACTTTCCCACTCTGAAAAACTCTCTGGCAAATATCCGGAAAGTGTCTGACCAGTACGATATATTGGATTTGGCATTCACTTTGAGTCAACGTCGTTCTCGCTTCTTCAATCGTGCTTACGCTGTTGTTGGTCGACAATCCACGGTCGACGATCTGGACGACGCAGAAATAGTATTTGGAAAGCGTGGCAATGGCGCTAACATTGCCTTTATCTTTACTGGACAAGGTGCCCAGACTCCACAGATGGGTAAGGAACTCATGCAACAGTTTCCTTCTTATCTTGCTACTATTCGCAGGCTCGATGGCATCCTCGCCAACCTCGGCGAAGATTCTCCGCACTGGACTATCGAGGGAGCTCTCATGGAGCCTGCTACAACCAGCCAGATTCACGATGTAGAGTTGTCACAGCCCCTTTGTACCGCTGTTCAGATCGCTTTGGTCAATCTACTCCACTCCTGGGGGATAATACCCCGTGCCTGCGTGGGTCATTCTTCTGGCGAGATAGCCTCTGCTTATGCAGCTGGTCTTTTGACCGCGGAAGAGGCCATTGTATTTGCCTACTACCGGGGTTGGGCTGTTGGAAAGCTTAATGTCCAAGGTATGATGTTGGCTGTTGGTGCCAGTCCGGAAGACGTCCAGCCTTTCCTACAACCTGGCGTTATCATTGCTTGCTACAACTCCCCCGGCAGTGTCACCCTTAGCGGTGATTCCAATGCGATTTTACAAGTCAAACTCGCGCTAGAACAGGCCAAGATATTCGTACGAGAAGTGAAGACTGGTGGTCGGGCCTACCATTCGCACCATATGAAGCAGGTCGGAACCGCCTATGAGGAGCGTGCCCAGGCCGCGATTCAAACATTGACTGCGCCTGATGGACCAAAATTCATTCGACAGGCTACCTTCTTTTCCTCTGTTACTGGGAAAGTCTTGGACAGTTTCATCAAGCCTGACGCGTCGTACTGGCGCGCCAACCTCGAGTCCCCGGTTCGATTTACTACCGCGGTCAATTCAATGCTATCGGTAGATGAGCTTGGCATCAATTACACGATTGAAATCGGTCCTCACTCTGCCTTAGCAGGTCCTCTACGTCAGATCCGTGACAGCCTCGGCAGGACTTCCAAAGACCTCGATTACTCTCCCACTTTGGTTCGTGGTGAGAGTTCCGTTACGCGACTTCTCACCGTAACTGGTGCCTTATTTATTAAGGGTTACCCTGTTGATCTTGGCCGCGTTAATGCCATTGAGAAACGACAAAACCGTAGTTTGGGCATTGAGTATGGCACGACCATTGTAGATTTGCCGAGATACTCTTGGAACTACACTGACACCAAGAACATGCGCCTAGAAAATCGCCCCAATAACGAGGTCAGACACAGAGTTTTCCCCCACCATGATCTTCTAGGCAGCATCCTTCCAGGTGCCATGGATAGCCAAAGACAGTGGAGAAATCTTCTAGACATCAAAAATTTTCCTTGGCTAGAGGAACATAAACTCGGCTCTCAGCCCGTCCTTCCGGCAACTGGATACTTGGCTATCTCCGTCGAAGCTGCAAGGCAATACTTGCATGGTAGAGCAAAATTCGATGGACCATTTCGATACTTCCTTCCTCACCTCACAATCAAAGCTGCCTTGAACCTTCCACCGGCGGGAACAACTGTTGAAATTCTCACCAGCTTGAGGTTCAAGAAAGTATCCGATTCGGTGTCTTCGAAGCATGAGCTTAGCTTCACTATCGCCTCCTGCTTCGAGTCAGTTTGGACAGAGCATTGTGTCGGGACCATCCAGCGGGAGTCTGTTATCAGTACAGGTACAATTTTCGATGAGACTGCATTGGCAGAGCCAAAGACACCGCATACGTGGTACAATGGCTTCAAGAAAATTTCTTTGAATTATGGACCACCTTTCGCTGGACTCACGGACATCTTGACGGACCCCGCATTGACACAGTGCGTTGCTACCACTCCTATGCTGGCCGAAGGCATTGACCCCCAAGATTCTTCCTACATTGTTCATCCGACCACCATGGATACGTGCGTACAGGCCATTCTTATTGCCGCACATAAGGGCTCTTTGAAACAGCTGAACAGATCGTTTGTTCCTGTCAGCATGGAAGGTGTTTCCATCTGGTCGATGCACGGTGAAGCCATCCCTCCTCTTCAAACTGCATCGGGTAAAATCCTCGCCGAAGGCACCGTAAGTAGTTTACGAGCACTTCACGGTTCTTGCCAGCTCAGTGTGAACGGAAAGCCTGTTTTCGAGGCCAAGAGAATCAACAACATCGTTTATGCCGAGGATCTCAACCCTGAACCGAAATTAAACCGACATCCCTACCTTCGCTGCCTTTGGAAGCCCGATATTGAGAAGCTTTCCGCAGGAGATCTACAGAAGTTCTTCGTAGAACAGAAGCTATCTAAGACGTCATATGTTGACGCTCTCCTTGATGTTTTGGTTCATAAGCATCCTTCGATGGAGATTCTGATTGTGGGGGCCAAGAACCCAGAGTTTTTGTATTCTGTCCTGGAGGCCGACTCTACTTTGAGGCGGTTTAAGTCAGTTTCTGCACTCACTACGTCGGAAGAGCAGCTGCCTTTTTTTGAAAAAGCCATATCTACAACTGCAGCTATCGGTCGACTTCCTGGCGAGACTCCCAACCTGGATGGAAAGTTATTCAGCCTCGCAATCGTAGAGGCGAATGGTGATTTTTCTGAAATCGTTTCTAAGTTGAAGTCACTTTTAAGCGCTGACGGGCGCATACTTCTACACGGAGATGCAAAGCTGACGAAAGACTGGGCTGTTGGTCTTCAATCCCTGAATTTAGAGATCTTCGGATCTTTCACCGAAGGCGAGACATGGGTAACCTTAATCAACCCACTAAAGCCTCTCTCAGCTCTTCCAGTCGATGACCTCACGCTGGTTACCCGCAAACTTGGCACCGAGATTGCTCACAGCGTGGAAAGAGAGCTTGTAAAGTACGGTCCTGTTGTCGAGACCGTTTCCCTTGCCGATAACAGTATTAACTGCAGCAACAAAACCATTGTTGTTGTTGCAGAGACGGATGGCACCCTCTTCAACCAGTCTATGACTGACAAGGAGCTGAAGAATCTGCAACGCATCGCTGAGCAGGCCAAGACTATTCTTTGGGTCACACACGGAGATCTTCTTGTGGGGGCTGATCCTAATGCTGCTATTGTCATGGGTCTTGGAAGATGTCTCCAATCCGAGTACCCAACGTTAGATTTCATTTTCTTGGACGTCGACCACAGAGAAGCAAGTCCCCTCGCCAAACAAATCCATACCGTCCTCCAAACTATTGGCACAGTTCCTACAGTCGATCGCGAGTACTTGGTCAAGAACAACACATTCTATATCAGCCGTCTGTCAGATGACCGCGCTCAAGACGAGGCCTTTTCTGCCCTGCTTAACACTACAGCAATCAAGCAACAATACACCGCCGATAAAAAGATGCGCCTCAAAATTGAGCGTCCCGGTCTGCTTGAATCTCTCCACTTTCAAGCCGTGCCGCACGAAGATAGCCTTAATCCCGACGCAGCCGAAGTGGAAGTGAAGGCCATCGGGCTAAACATGAAGGAAGTTGCTACTTTCAGGGGCAGCTTCAACTCTTTATCGCTCAGCCATGAAGGCTCTGGTATTGTTCGACGGGTGGGCGCAAACGTTACGAATGTTAGAGTTGGCGACAAAGTCTGCTGGATGGCAAAAGGACTTTTCCAGAACATTGAGACCTTCCAGGCTAAGTTTCTGCATAAGATTGCCGATACAGACTCTTACGAGGAGGTTGCAACTATGCCATTGGCCTTTTCTACAGCAGTTTATGGTCTTCTCCATCTCGGTCGCCTCAAGAAAGGAGATGTAAGTCTGGTCTCCATTCCTCAGGCCAATGTCTACTTGTTGTGCTGATTTATGCGTTCTAGTCTGTTTTGATACATTCCGGCACTGGCGGTGTAGGCCTTGCAGCTATCCAGATTGCTCAGATGATTGGTGCGAAAGTGTTTGCGACGGTCGGTACTGAGGCGAAAAAAACCTTTCTCCACGAAACCTACGGTCTTCCCCGCAGTCAAATCCTAAACTCTCGCGACACTTCCTTCGTTGAGGGCATTATGAAGGCTACCAACGGCCGCGGTGTCGATGTTTCCTTGAACTCGCTCGTCCGTGAGCAGCTTCATGCCACTTGGTCGTGTATTGCCACTCAGGGTCGCCACATTGAAATTGGTCTCACCGATATCCTCGACTACGGCGACTTAGATATGAGCGTCTTCAAGCGTGGCGCTTCCTTTTCAGCTTTCGACTTCGGGGTCGTGGCTGATGAAACGCCCGATGTCGCCGTGGCCGTCATGCAGGAGGTCATCGGCTATCTCCGTGACGGCAAAATCAAACCCTTGTCACCATCTGATGTTTATCCAGCTTCCCAAGTCACGAAAGCCTTCATGCAGTTTAACAACGCCAAACGTATTGGGAAGGTTGTTGTCAAGTTTGAAGAGGATGATGAGACAGATGTAAGTCAAATACCACCAGACCTTGAGAAGCTATCTAATGCTTACCGTCACCCAGGTTTTCACAGCTCCCCAGAGACCTATCTACTCTCCAGATGTTTCTTACCTTCTAGTAGGATGTCTAGGTGGTCTGGGACGCTGCTTTGCTCGGGAGATGGCCAAGCAGGGTGCTCGCCACTTAATCTTCCTCGGTCGATCAGGTGACGAGAAGCCCGAGGCTTCTGTCATGGTTAATCGTATGCGTAGCGAAGGTGTGGACGTCCAAGTAATCAAGGGTGATGTTAGTAAAAAGCAGGACGTCCTTCGTGCCGTCCAGGCAGCCAAGGTACCCATCGCTGGTGTGCTGCAAGGTGTGATGGCTCTCGATGTAAGAAAAACTCATTTCATTTCAGCTTCTGGGGCCCAAACTAATATTTCACCACCCTAGGATCGTCTCTTCTCCAATTACGACATCAGCAGCTGGAATTACGCTATTGATCCCAAGATTGCCGGTACCTGGAACCTGCACAATGCCCTAGCAGATCAACCTCTCGACTTCTTTATCATGATTAGTTCTATTTCAGCAATGACTGGCGCCCCAACACAGGGTAACTACTGTGCTGCAAATACTTTCCTGGATTTCTTCGCTCGCTACCGTCGCCAACAGGGTCTTCCCGCCACCACGATTGCGCTTAGCATGGTACTCGAAGTCGGTTTTGTGAGCCAGAGTCTCATTATCGAGCAGGGTATCTCCCGCTCGGGGATTCACGGTATCGATGAGAAGGATTTCATTCGCCTCATTGAAGCAGGCGTAGCACCACAGCCAGACTCAAAGTGGCTGTTCGATCAGTCTGCCAGCTGCTTCCTCGTCTCTGGACTCGAGCCTGCCAAACTTTCTTCCGATATCGATGTCAACGACTTCCGCTTCTGGCTGCAGCCACGTGTTGGACCGCTGCTGAATGCTATCCTTGCATCTGGCGGGGATGACGCAGGGACTGCGAAGGCTAAAATCAGTCTGGACCTACCTGGCATCATGGAACAGGTTATAGCGAAGTTTGCGAGAACCTTTAGTCTCGAGGCTGATGACATTGATCCCATGAAACCACTATCAAGCTATGGCATGGACAGTATGATCGGAACAGATCTCAGGAACTGGTGTTACAAGCAGTTAGGAGCTGACATCCCCACATCCGATTTCATGGGACCTTCTCTAACAGCTCAATCGCTGGCTCAGAAAGCATTCTCTCTTCTAAACGTTTAAAGGAGTTGTTAAGGTTACTATGTTTGTTCAAATCTGTAACTAGTTACAATTAATCAATTCTTCTAGTTATTCCGCGTTTAAAATGCAGGTACATTTTTATGTAGTGTCTGCGCAGGCAACGCTCTTATAGGCCAGATCGTTTACCTAGCTCCTGCCCCACACTGTAGATACTCGTTAAACACCGTAGTACTACAACTAACAGTTTACACAGCTATACTCATTAGGTTATAAGCATCTCTTTTTAACTGCGATTACAACCCTGTAATACGTACACCTTGATGTCAAGCCTCAGCTCCGGCCACTGAGACAAGCAAACCAAAAGGTAACATGGCTAACACTGATGGTGAGCCTGTGCAGTAACAGTACTGATATCGTAAGACACAGGTCAGAGGTAGCCTTGCTACATGCCTTGGTGTCACGGGTCAGAGGTGGCTTTGTAATGTGCCCAGCCTGACACTAGTACCCCTCTATACTAAACTTAATTTGCATGATATGTCTCTACAAGGAAGTAGTGTACTAATTTTACAACTTTATACTTAAACTACTACTAGTAGAAGCATACCTTTAAACTCTAAAAAAAGTTATATGGCTATTACAGCCTACTTAATTAAGCCTAGCACTAACCTCAGGTTAAAAAGGGTAACAAACAGAAGACACTTATAAGTATTAGCAGCGTCTAACTAGATAAGGTGTCTGTATAAGCTGCTTAGATTAGTACTTATAAGTAGGCTGGCGGATGGGTAGGGTAGGCTTTTTTTTGTTTTTGCTTCTAGCTCCTTAACTATTAGAGATATGCTTACGTAATGTATTACTCGATAAAAGCGCCCAGTAATGCGCTTTCTAGTAAAAAAAATTCCTGATTTGACCTAGTATTGATTGAGTTATCAAGCCTACCTAGCAAAGTATACCCACAGATGGGTATGCTCGCTAGGTACCCCCCCTTTTTTTGCCTTTTCTGTCCTCTAGCCTGTGCAGTGCAATAGCTATAACAAAACTTTCTACTATAAAAACGTGGATTAAGTTGTTTTCTTTCTACACAGCCCCCTTCTGCGAGAATTGGTGTAATATTAACAGAGTTATAGGGGGTACTCACGAAGGACGTAAGAGTATACCTATCCGTCAGCCTATTTATAAGAACAACAACATTGTTAAAGAGTAGTTCTGTCAGATATTGGGTTGCCGAGGAAAGGTTATCGGGGCCGGATCTGTACACATCGGGAAAAGTTTTTCCGTTGTCGAAATCGGGAAATCGTGGCATTGTACTGTGGGCAACAGTAGGACTTGTAGGCCTACAACAGCCATTCAATGTGCATTCAATGTCCAGCCAATTTTGAGCCAACGGCTCCAACGGTCCCAACAGCTGCAATGGCCACAACAACTCCTAATCCTGCTACAATAGTAGCTCTGCTTAATAAACTATACTTTTATTATATTAATATACTACTAAG